ATATATATATATATATATATTTCAATTGATCTGTTAGAATATTATCTATATTTACTTGGTTTTTGATAATATTGTAGACTATTGTTATTCTCATTATTACATACAATAAACAGTCAACCCACGTCATAGATAATAATCATAATAGCAATAATGAAATTCTCTAAATTGACTCTATTAGCATTACTTTCTGCTACAACAGTTTTTGGTCAACAAATTGAAGACAATCAAGACGTTCCAACTGATGAAGAGGCAATTGTCATTGACAATTCAGCAAATGTTGAAAATGAAAGACCAAAAGTCAATTTCACAATTACTTATACAATTTTAGAAAGACCACCATATGACATTAGTGAATTTTTAGAATTTGAAACTGAAGATGTCGCAACTTTAAACTATACAATAACAAACAATGAAAATTTCAATTATACACTAAATTCTGTTGGTGGTTCAATTATGAGATTTGAAAATGGGTTTAATGCAGCAAATATTACATCAGGTAAATTTAATCCTGTAATTAGACTAGATGTTAATCAAACTGTCTCTGTTCAACAAAGAGTTACATTCTTAGATATGAAAGATGATGATTACTATATCCAACCAAAGGTTTATGTCCAAGAATTAGAAGAAAATGCTCAAGAATTAGAATTAGCCGCCCCATTAACTTTAATGACTATTATGAAACCACCAATGTCATTATTTGATCCACAATTCTTATCTGTTCAAATCTTAATTATTGGTGTCATCATGGCCGTATCCTACTTCTTTTTAAATTTTACTTTGAACGGTAAGAAGAAGAAAACTAATAACGCTAACAAAAACACTGTCTCCAATAAAACTGTCGATACTTCTTCTTTCTTACCTGATCAATATAAGAAATAAGTATCATTATATATATATCTATATATATATGCATCCCATTTTGTATAATTTAATAGAAATACGTACGTGTATTATTTAGTATACTAAGCCCTGTTTTCTATTTTATTCTATTTACCGTATTGATAGTATTCTCGTTTGTGAATATATATTGAACGAACATATATATTTTTCAAAAATTACATACCAAGGTGTGTCAGCCATGTATAAGATTCAATTGTACCCTTCTTCTTCTTCTTCTTCTTCTTCTTCTCACGATTCAACCCATTTACTCGTATCCTGTTTGCGTCGTTTCTTTTATTCGTACAAATCCATCGCCATTCAAGTACACGGTGGATTTGTCCTGGTGGCAGTATCCGCGTACATCGAAACGTTTTTTTTCCACAGAAAAAGTTTTGTTTTCTTATTGTGTGATGGATGAGAACAACAAGCCGCACGCATTTGGCACTGTGACTTCCCGAAACTGTTTCGGTAAAACTTTGTATGTGCTTTACTCTCTATGGATTAATTACAAACATCACTTTTCTTAAGTGGTGTGGGTTAAGAGAAACACTGTTCTGTACTCTCATTTGAACGAGCGGTCTCCTCTGTTGTAATCATCAATAATGTTTATAATTGCATCGTCATCTCTTTTACGAAACAACTTAATTCTAAACTGATTTTCAAGATATCTGATGCTTTAGTAACAAACAGCATCAACCCAATGTGCCTACATACATGGATATGGACGCGGGTGCCTTAGTATCATTAGATCTTTGTACCTTTTTTGAATGAACTGAATTGAAGTACGTACGTACGTAGATTTTACCAACCCTCATGGTTACCTCTCTCTCTCTCTCTCTCTTTTTTTTTTTCTTTTCTGATATACGAACAATGAAAAAATAAAAACGTATATGCAATGTATGTCACAGGAGAAATAACTAATAGGCAAAAAAATGAAATAAAATTTGGAGAACAACAAACTGCTTATTCAATGAGGTAATCGTGCTTTTGGTTTACTTTAAATTACTGTTGGAGAGATGGCTATATTCAAATTGCTATCTTACTTCTACTTCACTTTTAGTATAGAAGAGAAAGAGATTCATAAACGACCATACGAAATTTGATATCTCTATTAGTTATTTACCCAAAAAATATGAATTACTTTAACTCATACATATATACATATATATATATATATACGGATGTGTTTTGATCAATGACCTTCGATATTAATGAATTGATTCAATGGTTGGATCTCACTATCTTGCTTCTCTTTTAAATCATCAACAACTACAATCCATTCGTTACAGTCATCAATTTGTAAAATATACATACACATTTATAGATAAATTTTTTATTGAAAATATGTCTATATCAAAGTATTTTACACCGGTATCCGATGCATCTGTCACATTTGATAATTGTGATATTAAATTAGATACTACAACAATATCAAAAGAAAATGGCACATTTTCAAATACTCAAATTAATGATGTCACTTTTAGAGCTGAAGGTGGTGAAATGATTTTAGTACTCGGTAATCCAACATCTGCTTTCTTTAAAACTTTATTTCATGGTCATAAAGATTTAAATTATTCTCCAACTGGTTCAGCAAGATTCAAAGATAACGATTTTAAACAATTTTCAATTAAATGCCCACATCAAATTGTTTATAATAATGAACAAGATATTCATTTCCCATTCTTAACCGTTGAACAAACAATTGATTTTGCATTAAGTTGTAAATTTGATTTACCAAAATCTGAAAGAGATTCAATTAGAGATGAATTACTGAAAGAATTCGGTTTATCTCATGTATTAAAGACAATTGTTGGTAATGATTTCTTTAGAGGTGTCTCTGGTGGTGAACGTAAACGTATCTCCATTATTGAAACATTTATTGCTAATGGTTCAGTTTATTTATGGGATAATTCCACTAAAGGTTTAGATTCTTCAACTGCTTTGGATTTCTTATCTATTTTACAAAATATGACTAGAGCAACAAATTCCGTTAATTTTGTTAAAATTTCTCAAGCTTCTGATAAAATTGTTCATAAATTTGATAAAATTTTAATGTTCACTGATTCTTATCAAGTCTTTTATGGTACTATAGATGAATGTATGACATATTTTTCAAGAGATTTAGGTATTCCAAAAAATCCAAATGATTGCATTATTGAATATTTGACATCAATTTTAAATTTTCAATTTAAAAATAATAAATTAAATTCTTTTAATAATACCGAAGTTTCAGACTCTTCAAGTGATTTAAAAGCTAAGACAGATATTGAAATCACTAACGTTTCATCTCCAAGTACTAATATTAGAAATGAATTTGATTTACATAGATATTGGATTAGTTCTTCAATTTATGAAAATTTAAAACGTATTACTTCATCAGTTACATCTAATGAAACTCATTTAAATGATGTTAATCCAGACGATATTACAACCGCTAGAAATATTCCATTAACTAGACAAATTCATTTAGTCACCAAGAGAGCTTTCCAAAGAAGTTTAGGTGATAAAATTTATCTTTCTGCTCAGTTAATGTCTGTTATTATTCAATCTTTAGTTATCGGATCTCTATTCTATGAGATTCCTTTAAATACAATCGGTTCTTATTCTAGAGGTTCTTTAACCTTCTTCTCTTTATTGTTTTTCACTTTCCTTTCTTTGGCTGAAATGCCAGCTGCATTCCAAAGACAACCTGTCATTGGCAAACAAACTCAATTACATTTTTACTATAGTTGGGTTGAAGTCCTGGCTACTACAACTTTTGATTATTGTTATAAATTGTTATTGGTTATCGTTTTCAGTATTTTATTATATTTCTTAGCTCATTTACAATTTAATGGTGCAAGATATTTTATCTTTTTATTGTTCTTATCCATTTACAACTTTAGTATGGTCTCTTTATTCTCTTTAACTGCATTAATGACGCCAACTTTATCAATCGCTAATCTTTTCGCTGGTATATTATTATTAGCTATTGCAATGTACGCTTCTTATGTTATTTATTTGGCTAATATGCATCCATGGTTTGTTTGGATCGCTTACTTAAATCCTGCTAGATACGCTATGGAGACAATTCTTTCCAATGAATTATTTAATTTGAAATTAGATTGTAAAGACACTATTGTTCCAAGAGGTGATACTTATACTAATGTTTCTTTCTCAAACAAAGCTTGTGCTTGGAGAGGTGCTACTTTAGGTAATGATTATGTCAGAGGTAGAGATTATCTGGATCAAGGTTTAGAATACACTTACTCACATACTTGGAGAAATTTCGGTATCTTAATTGCTTTCTTAGTGTTTTTCTTAGGTTGTACTTTATTTGCAGCTCAATATGTTAAACCTCTATATCAAGATGGCCATTGGAAGAAAGTATTAACTAGACATTTCCCATTCATTGCAAGACACGCTAATGTATTAATCGATGAAACTGATCCTGATAAAGATATTGTTGCCGCTGGGGATTTATACTATGATAATCCATCTGATTTTTCAAATGGTGCCGGTAAAGAAACTAATTCCTTTGATATTAAATCTGCTTCTGCTTCTGAAAGTGGATTATCTGAACGTGTAGAGACTCAAAGTCATATCATTTCATGGAAAAATATTAATTACACTGTTGAAGGTGATAAACAATTAATCAATAATGTCTCTGGTTATATATCTTCTGGTTTAACTGCTTTAATGGGTGAATCGGGTGCTGGTAAGACTACTCTACTGAATGTTTTGTCTCAAAGAACTGAAAGTGGTGTGGTTGAAGGTGATATTTTAATCGATGGTAAACCTTTAACTGATATTGATTCATTCAGAAGAAGTATTGGTTTTGTTCAACAACAAGATTTACATTTAGAAAAATTAACAGTCTATGAATCCTTAGAAATATCATGTCTTTTAAGAGGTGATGGTGATAAAGCTTATATTAACACTATATCTGATTTGCTAAAATTACCATTGAACAAATTGGTTGCTACTTTAACTCCAACTCAAAAGAAATTACTATCTATTGGTGTCGAATTGGTTACTAAACCATCTCTATTGTTATTCCTTGATGAACCTACTTCTGGTTTAGACGCTGAAGCTGCTTTAACTATTGTTCAATTTTTAAAGAAATTATCCATGCAAGGTCAAGCTATTTTCTGTACTATCCATCAACCTTCTAAGAGTGTCATTAGCTATTTCGATAATATCTTTTTACTAAAGAGAGGTGGTGAATGTGTTTATTTTGGTCCAACTGATGAAGCTTGTGATTATTTCACTAAAAATGATAAATCTTTAACTTACGAATCTGAAAACGAAAACCCAGCTGATTTCATTATTGATGTCGTTGGTAGTAACGATGGTAACTCAAATGAAGAAAAACATGATGTTAAAACTGAACCAAGTAAATGGTCTAAAGTCTGGAACAATTCAAATGAAAGAACTCAAGTTGAACAAATGCAAACAAAACTTGAAGAAGAAGCTATTATGTCTGGTGTAGATTTTACTCAAAATGTTTGGAAACAACCAAGTTACATGGAACAATTGATGGTCATCTCAAGAAGACAATACACAGTTACTGCTAGAGACAAGACCTATGTTGCTGCTAAGTATTTATTAAATGCTGGTGCCGGTTTATTCATTGGGTTCTCTTTCTGGAATATCAAAACAAATATTAGTGGTCTACAAGATACCATTTTCTTCTGTTTCATGGCATTGTGTGTCTCTTCTCCATTGATTAATCAAGTTCAAGATAAAGCTCTTCAAAGTAAAGAAGTGTATGTTGCTAGAGAAGCTAGATCAAATACTTTCCACTGGTCCATTCTTCTATTGGCTCAATTGATTGTTGAACTTCCTTTGGCTATCACAAGTTCTAGTTTATTCTACGTCTGTGCGTTCTTCTGTTGTAAGTTTGATAATTCTCCTCATATTGCTGGTGTTTGGTATTTCAATTACATTTTATTTGCTGCCTATTATCTTACTTTTGGTTTATGGTTAATCTTTACTGCACCAAATTTACAAACTGCTGCCGTTTTCGTTGCTTTCTTTTACAGTTTCACAGCATCCTTCTGTGGTGTTATGCAACCTTACAGTATGTTCCCTGGTTTCTGGAAGTTCATGTACAGAGTTTCTCCTTACACGTATTTCATTGATACATTCGTCAGTTTACTATTACACGACAGAGCAGTTGTTTGTGATAACATGGAATTAGTCCCTGGCCAACCTACTACCGGTCTAACCTGTGGTCAATTTATGAAAGCCTACATTGATGAATATGGTGGTTATTTGAAGAATGCTAATACCATGACTGTTTGTGGGTACTGTACTTACACCGTCGGTGATGATTTCTTAGCAGTTGAAGGTATGAGTTACAGTAACAGATGGAGAAACTTTGGTATCGAATGTGCTTTTGTTGCCTTCAACATTTTTGGTATGTTTGCCGGTTACTACCTAACGTATCTATCCAATTTCTGGCCTCTACTTTTCAAATATATCAAGATGGCTCTTCCTTCAAGAAGGATGTTCCAAAGAAAATAATACCCATAATATAATTATATAATACTACTATATTTACCTGTAAACTAATAAATTCAAATCATTTAATAGAATAATTTCAATAATCGCATTTTTCATTTAAACGGTCACTACCACCTCTCACGTAAAACAAGAATCATTTCCATTTAGAGATAAACTTATGAAAAAAAAAAAATCTCTTCTTCGAATATAAATATTTTAGTTAATTTTTAATGTCAGACTTTTTACCATTTGTAGCGAAACCTGATAAAATGGAAGACAGATAATAACGGCACACATATATATATATGTATATACACTTTAAAATAAAAAAAAATAACATTTGGTAACAACATTTAGAGAAAGGCTAACCTTGCTTGATCCAATCTGTACAATTCTTCCTTCTGATACTGATAATTAAATGATGAGTATAGCTATCTTTTGGTGGATTTTCGACAATCCGCACTTTGGCCATCACAACAACCATGCCAAATTATTGCTAATTACGCCACATTTCTTTCAGGAGGCAAGAGCTGAGGTAAGTATATAAAAATATTAACTAGAGGAGTTAAATATACTCTGTTATATTAGGTTTGCATGGATTTTCTTTCGATCAAGTTCAATTACAAACCGTTAAGTATATAAAGAAATATGAAGCGCTTTATTACAGACTATTACGTATTGAAAAAATTCAGGACAGATAATTGGCTTTACATTCATTACTTATTAGAGCAGCACAACTGCAACGATACACATAAAGTCCCTAATGAGTTCCATATCATTTTAAACTTGATCCATCGCAATTAAATGAAAACAACAACTTGAAAGTAATGCTAATATTCCCTTCCTAAAATAAGATTAATTTTAGATCCAAAACGGGAGAAACTGACATTTTATTCAAAATTATTACGTATTGAAATCAATACAGATAAACAATGCGAGTGCCTCACTTGTAGTAGCATTGGTCAAAACACCAAATATTCTTGTAGCAGAGATAATGGTTAAACCAAATAAGAACAAATATTAAGAACTGACCATATCTAATTAAAAGAGATCGAATACCATAGCCCAACAATCCTCCATATACTATATCCATATTGAGTATTCCAAAGAACATGGTTTCATATTTATGCAACCAGAAGCCATGTATATATTATACAAAAATTATTTTTTATATTAAATTCTTTGTTTCACATTTCTTGCATAATAATTTTACATTCCTAAAAATAAGTGTTGGATATTTGAATTATTAGAGGAATCCATTTCTTTAATATGGTACAAAATTTAATTTATTAGAAATCAACGTATAGTCGTCTGATTTCTTTAGTATACAAATTATAAATAATATACAAAATAGTCAGGGAAATAAAATATTCCAATGTATGAAATATTGTTCCCTTTATATACCTTTGGATTTGGTTACATTTCGTGATTATAAATCTCCAATACTAGCATTGTAGAAATTATGCATGATTTCCAAATGCGTCTTTTTATTATCTTTTCTCATTTTGGATTGTTAAATATTGAACATTATCAAATATGACAATCTTTATCATTCTTTTATTCTTATATTTTATATTCTTGACGTCATTCTTCTATCATGTAAATTCCGACAATAAGAAAGTCGGAGGTTTGTCAAACAAATAGAATGACGGTGATATTTTTGTATAGGATAAGAGTTCTTAATCATCTTATCGGCAAGTCTACTTAAACTCTCTACAGGAGGAGGTAAACAACAAAAATAAAGTTTTATTGCACCGTATTTTTAATATAGCACATGTAATGTGAGCTGAAGCAGACATATCGATGTTAGATTCGGATTGGTTTTGCGTATTAAATAAGTGTTGATGGGTAATGAAGATTATTACGGTGACAGTAGGTTGTAAAGCAAACGTATGTGTTACTTTTCTTCTAAATTTGTAAGTGATTTCTTATTTTTTATTTAATATACAGAACGAATGAATTCTAACTCAGATTGTAAGTTCAGAATGACTCGTATTTATATAGTTTTAATTTCTTTTGATTACCTTCTCATCTATTAGGTAATCTTCCTTATGTCGGAAAACTGGGAATTAGAGAATAATAATAGGATATATATTTACTGTAGGTCAGGACTAGGTGTCCGTTGCCAGCAGCAGAGCTCCTCTCCCTCCTATCAGAGAGAGATGTGAGAAAGTGTAATATATAATTCTATATAATTTGGAAAACGGGTTCCTTTATATACAGAAATTTTCACAGCAATATCGCATTGTACGAAGATCACTGTGTGTCACACTGTGATATAATTTCCAACAATAAAACCGTTAAACGAATAGACTATTCTAGATGACGTTCCTTAAATTATTGAACAATGAAAAGAAGTTTGTGTTTAGTCTACACTTTACTGTGTCTAGCAATAAAAATATTTTTTCCTCAATGAGTAAATTAGAATTCAGGTTTGATAAATGCCTATATCTTTTAGTCAAGAACGAATCACGTCATCATAATTAGTTTCTAAAGAAACAAACACTTCTCAAAGCATTAATAACTTATTCAATAAATAATATTTCGATTAGAAGATGTTCAAACTTATAGTTTAATTACATTTGCACTTAATATTAAAAAGTTGTTACAGTTATTTATTATACTGAGCAATATTTTTTTTCAATTAGTATGAAGCGGTGGCTCAATGGTAGAGCTTTCGACTCCAGTTAAATCCTGGTATTTCCAAGGAAATTAATGATTGCAATCGAAGGGTTGCAGGTTCAATTCCTGTCCGTCTCATATATTTTTCAAAATTTTTTGGGCGAATAGTTACCCTGAAACAAAGTTTTTTTTTGACAGTTAAAAGAGAGCAGACGATACAGAGTACATGAACATAATATATGTTTCATTCAAAACTGATGATTCATATCTTGAAATAATTATTACGAAGCACCATTCAATTACGAATACTAAAAAGTAGTAACCCTTCATGCCTCCAAATAAGTTAACGTCTCGAAAAGTTATTTCAGATTCTGTTTACTTAAGGCCGTGGATTAAACAATTGATTCATGAATGCTATAAACATAAAAACAAAAAGCTACAGAGACCTATATATAATGCAATCCCAAGACTAAATAAGAAAGATATAGAAAATCCTGAATCAAGTCGGTGTATTTTAAGAAATAAACGTCATTTCATGAGGATTTCGAAATTTTACAAAGTCGAAAACTACACCATATATGCAACTATTAAAGATTGCGAGACACAACTTCTTAGTTGAGTTTACAGCCAATTGTGTAGCAGAGTTTGAACGATTATATCGAAAAAGATTCACATCCGAGACATTAATGTGCTTGTTTGTTATAGGGTCATGTTCTGTCGAATATCGTACATATGAAGAGATAGACAACATATATCATATTAGAACGCTGAGGAAAAACAGTAATATATATAAAAAAATTCCAATTCTTGTCATAGATCAAGCATTTATTTTTGATAGAACTCAGGTCAATCAAACTGAACATGTACCATTTGCCTATGAATATTTTTTGTAGTTATGACATAAAATTTTGTTCGAGTCCCCTCATAATCTTCAACTCTAATGAATTTCTTAATATATTCTCACTAATGTTACTTACGAAAGGTCATTATATAATTTTAATAATATTTATATCCTCAGTAATTTCTTCATTTTCATTCGAGAGTTTCATAAATGGACACTAGTTCAGCTCGTTGTTAGCGATCTTCTATGCCTCAAATGACAAGTGCGCCTTGGAAATTTCACCGCAGTCTTATGAATGTTAGAGTTTAAAGGCTCCAAATCGGACAAGCGAAGACGAAACTACGAAAAAGAGTCTAGAAGAGCTAATATTAGATAATCGCAACCATAAAGATATTGAAGAATTCTATAATCTGATAGGTACAAGTTTCCATATTTTTGGGAAACCTTATTTATGATATTTTAAAGGGTGTTTACTGCTTAATTCATATTCCATTTCTAAATACCCAAACCTGAGGGGTACACACGCACATATTTTTTAAAATAACAAAATGACATCTGCTGTCTACTTCTGTGACAATAAAGGTAAGCCAATCCTCTCTAGAAGATTCAAGGATGATGTACCACTGAATGCCATTGATAAATTTCAAGTCGTACTGTCAGATCTCGAGGAAGAATCGAGTATTATTCCTCCATGTATTACACATAATGGAATTCAATATCTATTTATTCAACACAATGATCTATATATTGTTGCATTAGCAACATCATTAGCAACAAATATCGCTGAAATTTTTACTTTTTTGCATAAGATGATGGATATTTTAGGTGATTATTTAAAAACAGTAGAAGAAGAGTCTATTAGAGATAATTTTGTAATCGTTTATGAATTATTAGATGAGATGATGGATTTTGGTATTCCTCAAATTACTGAAACAAAGATGTTGAAAAAATATATTACTCAGAAATCGTTTAAATTAGTAAGAGCAGCCAAGAAGAAAAGAAATGCAGCAAGACCACCAAGCGAATTAACTAATTCAGTCAGCTGGAGAGCTGAAGGGATCAAATATAAGAAAAATGAAGCCTTTTTGGATATTATTGAATCCATTAATATGTTAATGACGCAGAATGGGAAAGTTCTTAGATCTGAAATCTTAGGTAGTGTCAAAGTGAAATCAAGGTTATCTGGTATGCCTGATTTAAAACTTGGTATTAATGATCGTGGTATATTTACCAAGTATTTAGATGGTAATAATATAGGTGTTACTTTAGAAGAATCAGATCAACCTAGTAAGAGTAGTGAAAGTTCCATTACTAATACTAATGGTAAGACTAAGACCAATATTGAATTAGAAGATTTGAAATTCCATCAGTGTGTCAGATTAAGTAAATTTGAAAATGAAAAGATTATTACTTTTATTCCTCCTGATGGTGATTTCGAACTAATGAGTTATAGATTAAATACAGTGATTAAACCATTAATTTGGTGTAACATGAAAGTGAAAGTACATTCGAAATCAAGAATTGAAATATTCTGTACAGCAAAAGCACAAATTAAGAAGAAATCTGTTGCAACTAATGTTGAGATTATTATACCTGTTCCAGAGGATGCCGATACACCAACTTTTAAATATTCACATGGTAAGATTAAATGGGTTCCTGAACAAAATGCCATAGTATGGAAGATTCATACATTCCCAGGTGGTAAAGAATACGCAATGTCTGCTGAATTAGGATTACCATCTATAAATAGTGAAGAAGAACCAAAATTTAAGAGGCCTGTACAAGTGAAATTTCAAATTCCATATTTTACTACATCAGGTATTCAAGTACGTTATTTGAAGATTAATGAACCTAAACTTCAATATAAGAGTTATCCATGGGTTCGTTATATAACACAAAACGGTGATGATTATACGATAAGGCTTTCATGATAAATAGATATATAATACATTAGATAGATATAATATATCAGAGGTGAAGTATTTGTGAAATTGTAAATGTGTACAGTTTAAATTTGGGTATATATATACAAAAGTAATACAGATAAAGCTTTAAAGAGAAGCTTATATAGAAATGGAGGCGAAAATGAGATAAAATAGTGGTAGCATACGCCCATCTAACCAGAGCAACAAACAAATAAATGAAAAAAAGGAGATTATAAATAAGGCGTACAAATTTATTGGAAGTCTAGAAGGCATGAGTGGAAATGAGATTAAAAAAGGATATATTATATTATATTTATCATGAAGGTTAGTATTGTTCATTATTTGACTAAGAAAAAAAATAATAAAAGGAAAAGATACCTAGGAGTTCGATCAATAATAATCGTTACCTTCTTCATAATTACCATCACTATCTGATTCATCTTCACCTTCTCCATTTTCTTCCCTTTCTTCTGCCTCTACTTTCAATTCATGCATAATATCAAAACAACTTGCTAATAAAGCATTTAATATACCTTGACCTTCCGGAATATTTCCATCTGAATCATAAAATTTCCCATCTTTACGTAGATTATCTAATGATGTCAACTTCATTATATATGGATATAACTCTCTTTCATTATTGACACCACCCATTCTCTTTAGTTCTAGAAGACAACGACGTACTGTAGATAGTTGGTTATGAATTGGTTGTAAGGATTCTGAGACAGGTTCTGAACTTTCTAATAGTTTATATATAATGGTGTAGCATCTTCTTAAAAGATATAACAGAATTGATTGGCCCTTTGAATTTGTAGCTACATTACCATCACTAGTTGGGAATTTCCCATTTACTCTCTTTGCATCAACAGCACTTAATCTCTTTTGATATGAAAATAAATCGGTTTCTCTTAATGTCCATCTTCTAGTAATCATTAAATTTTCAAGTGTTGTTTTAATATCTATTAATTCATCATAAATTTTTTGTAAATTTTCATCATTAAATAATGTAATAGCATTATCAGTAGAATTATTTGGATGATGAGATAAATCATTAATTAAATCATGACAATCATCAATAAGACCATTTAACACATTTTGACCTTGATCGGATGCCATATTTGTCTCTAATGATCTAAAGTTACCATTTTCATCTCTATTATTTTCTAAATCAGTTAATTCACCTTGAAGGGATTCTAATTTTTTTTCAACAATTTCTCTTGAAATTCTAGTATTAGTAGCATTAGAGTTATTTTCAGATTCAATATCTAATGTTGATGATAACTTATCATCATTAACAGGGAATGATAAATTTTTCTTTGATAAAGTCACTAAAGATAATAAATTTCTTCTAATTTGAAATAATTTTTCCATTAAACTAGCAAGACTTGGATCAATAGATTCTAATTTTGATTCAATTTCATTATATAGATCCAAACAATGACTTAATTTAGCTTTTAATAATAAATCTTGTTCTATCTTATTTTTATTTCTTTCAGTATCAATTTTTCTAAATTCTTCACTTAAAGAATCATCATCATCATCATTATCACTATCTCTTTTCTCCTCGGCACAGCTTTCGTCAACAATCTTACTAATTTCATCTAATCTTTCCTTAATTGGTCTTAAATCGTGATGAGTATAAATACGAGATTCTTTCAAATGTTCTAATAAAGATTGAACGGTAGATAAGGAAGCATATGTTGCTGGAGCAGATTTTTTCAATCCCACGGTTAGGAAACATAATGATAATAATTGAAATACATCGTCCAATACAGAATCCACACGATTATGTAATTCTGCATTATGAATTAAAGTAATACCAGTGGCATCTTTATGATTAATTTTTCTAATTGAATCTAATTCACGGACTTTGGTTAATACTTCTTGATAAGTACGTTGCACATCTGTTGAATTTAAATATTTATCTCTATTTTGTTTCAATTTAGATAAAAACCCTCTAACTTCAATTAAATAAGCAAGAATTTCAGTTTCTTCCTTTGGTACTTCCTGGTTTTGTTCATTCGACGACATGATAATATTTTTCTTTCTTTCTTTTTATTCTCTATTATATATACAAACTTAAAAGTTTCAAACTTATTATATTGTTACAAGGAGCAGAAGACTATAAAGATAAAAAAAAAAGTATGTAATCTTGTCTTAAAGAAGTGGTAATATATGTCAAATTATCTTCGAGTTTGTAATAAGAAAATGTTCAAGAGTTGTGGCAAGATTATGATTATTACAACCCTTTCCCCCCCCCCCTGCCAATAATAGCCAAAAAGAGACAAAGCGAACTTTTTGAGTTAATATAATAACAATTTTTTTTTGTTTTGTTTTTGGTCTTCCGGTGCCGTACAATGTGATGTGAACAATTCACAACAAAATAATCAATAAGAATTGTCTATCGGTATGCTCAATGATGAAGTGTTGCACTGACGTAGTAGTTTGATTTAGAATACGTAATGTATATATTTTGTATATATTTTATTTTGTTTAGTCCTGGTCTGGATTGACCACCGTTAGAACATTCCCATTGTTTGAACCTGGTTGTCCTGTAAATATTGAACCTGTCGATATTCTCTTTGAATCATCGAATGGATTACTAGTATTACTATTATTATTAATATTATTATGTGTATTATTAGTGTTATTGTTATTGGTCATTATATTATCATTAGTATTATTCATCATATTTTGATTAAAATTTCCTGTTGATCCACTAGATCTAAACATTCCATCTTCTTTATTATTTCCATCAAAACTACGACTACCATGAGATGATAAAGATAAAGTATCAGTAATATTATTTGGTTTATATTCAACAGGCTTAATTGCTTCTTGATATTCTTTTTCCATTCTATCTTCTTCCTTTTTCATATTATAATGTCTTACACCAAATAATGCAATAATTGCAATTACAATAGCACCCACAACACCACCTACAACACCACCGACAATTGCACCAACATTAGTCTTTTTCTTTGTTGAACTATTATTATTCGATGACGATGAACTACTATTAGAACCTGTTGGAATTGCACTTTTCGTAATTGTATTTGTTACAAAAATTGTTGAACCACCTTCTGTATGAAAAGTTGTTGAATAAACAACTGATGTTGAAGCACTATCTAATGAATCTGAATTACTAGTAACAGATGTAATTTGTGAAGATAAAACACTTGAAGTAGCAGCTATATTCATTTGTGAATTAAGTGCAGATACACTATTACTACTATGAGTTGAACTTGGACTTGAACTTGAACTTGAACTTGAGCTTGAGCTTGAGCTTGAAGAAGAACTTGAAGTACCATCAACTGCATCGTCCATTGAATAAACAGAGAATGACGATTCACCACCACACATTTCTTGACCATAACCATAACAAGAAGTATCACAAGTATCGGCAGTTGATTCACTTGTTGAAGGATTATCATTACCACAATAACAAAGTGCATGGTTACTTAAAGCAAAATATGAATAACCTTCACATTTTCCTTGACAATGTGAACTTGATTGATAGCTATATGAATCACCTAATTCAAAGCTTGATGGCAAGCTTGAATAACAACCTAACAGTGTGCTTCCATCAGCTTTTATTGGTTTTAGATAACATGATAAAAAAATTATAATTGAATATAAATTTATGAGCAGTCTTTGCATCGTGTCCGGTATATGTGTATGTGTATATGTATGTATGTGTTTGTGTGTGTATGGTAGCAGTAGAATATATGATAACGATGTATATGTGAGTGTATGTGTTAGTGTATGTGTTAGTGTTTAAAGTAGTATCCCAGTATATATAAACAAGTGAATCAAGAATATGAATTTAAAATATTTAATCTAAAGGTTGTTGTTAATCGAATTTTTCCAGAATATATTTATTTTCTTGAGAGAGAGAGAGAAAGAAAATTAATGGGGGAGAATAAAAGCACAATACGATACAATTAATACAATGGATAACTTAGCAGTTACAAAAAAATCGCATACATTGCAAATTGCATCTGCTTCGCTGAATGAAAAGAAAAAAAATTTTGAAAATAAAAATTTGGTGTGTGTCATTGCATACGGTACGGGGCCCGGCCAGTGTGGGTGTGTGGGTGGCCGTAGTAAATATGCATAATCAACGCGAAAAACTAAATATTTGGCGTTCCCCCCCGTTGTATTTATAGATGGGAAAGCATGCATGCGCGGAATGCAATTTACATGAATTCTCGCCCGGGTGTGTTCGTGGCGAGTGACAAGAGGCGTGTTGTGGAGAGAGAGAGAGAGAGATGGGTGGTGGTGGTGGTGGTGGTGATGGTAGTAGTTACATGCTTACCTAGCATGGTAAGTTGGCGACAATGTAGTACATTGTAAATCAGTTACAATATCTCATTCCTTAACTATGGATATATATATATATATATTTCCACTTAGGGTTTATCGATGAAAGGTATCTATATATATATATATATATGTGGTTAATTTAGAAGCTTGTATATATATGTATCAAATAAACAATGGTTATGATTCAAAGTAACGCTATATAGATCTATCTCCTTGTATTTCTATAATAAACATCAAATCACGATGACGGCGACGGCGACGACTACTTACTTATAATACACTTATAGTTATTAATAACAGCCAACATACACAACCTTAGTTGACTGACTCGCGTACATAAAGAGCTATTAATACATATATACATTCTGATCACTATAAACGGAGTGTACCGAACCTTTTTCGCAAATTGCAAAACCGCGATTCATATCCATTTTCGGAGTAAACAACTCGCGGCCGGTTTTTACCCGTTTTGGGTGCGCGCGGAGAGAGAGCACAGAAAGAAAGTGCGTACGCTAGACGTATGGTATGCGCGCGTGTGTGTGTATATGTAAAGAGAGTGGGAGAGAGAAAAGTTCTACAAACTAAATTAAGTAATTGAATATTTGTTAAATCTGAAGGAAGTGGAAAAGTTGATGGTGATGATGACTCGTTTCTTTATTAGGCCTCACGTAATAACTGAAAAGGATATTGAGTTTTTCGAAAAAACAATTTATTCTTGAGATCTACGTAATTCTGTTCTCTATTTTATTAGATTTCTCTTTGTTTTGCATAGCAAATTATAGTAATAACCGTTGAGGTCCCTGACAGCTACACAGTATCTTTTTTTATTTTCTTCTTAAAACTAATTTTATTTGGCACTACCGTTTAATAGTGCAAAGACCACATTTTTTTACAATTTATTTTTATGTTGTTTGAAGTAGGAGGATCAACGTGGTTTGGTTTGAAAGGGCTGACTATTTTCTAAATGTGGTTGCAGTGTTATGTATATGTTATGTTATTTTATCTTTTTTTAATGTAATTTGTTTCTTTGTTTATTACTATCTTTAGTTGGGTATCTTTGAGGGGGGGGGGAAGGGAAAGAACCCATAAACAAATTAATTTCTTTCTTTCCTCAACATATATAAGCAGATACCTATTCTCTACTTACTAAATATTTTCTTATTATTCCCTTCTCTCTCTTATAATATAACTCTTTTATTATTTATTTATCATAAAATATCATCCAACAAATCAACCCTTTCTCTACACTCGCTTTTCCCCCCCCCACTTCACCATACAATGTACGCCAAGACTCTACTATTCCTAGCTGCCGCCGCTCTAGCCAACGCTCAAACCGCTGCTCAAATTGCTGAACTAAACGTTATCATCGCTGATGTCAAGGATAACATGGCCGACTACACTTCCCTAGCTACCTCCGGTTCTCTATCTCTATCCGATTTACCAACTGGTATCATGCCTCTAGCTATGGCCGTCCAAACCGCCACTGACGATTCTTACACCACCCTATACTCTAACGTCGACTTCGATGCCGTTGCCACTTTCCTAACCAAGTTGCCATGGTACTCTTCCAGACTAGAAGCTGCTATTGAATCTGCTACTGCTGCTGTCGGTGGTGATGAAACCACTTCTACCGCTGTCGCCGCTGCTACTTCTTCAATCACCTCCGTTGTTGATTCTTCTGCCGCTGTCACTGGCACCGCTGCCACTGAAACTGCTTACTCTTTCAGAAACACTACCGTTACTGTCTGTGAAGCTACTTCTTGTCACGTTACTTACGTTACCGAAACTGTCTGTAACCACCCAGAAATCTGTCAAGCTAAGACTACTATTCCAGCTACCACTGTTACTGAAACCATCTGTACTCACCCAGAAGTCTGTGGTTACAAGAACGGTACTCAAACTTCCGCTACTGGTTACAAGAACGGTACTTCTAACGGTGCTGGTAAGACTACCGCTGGTCTACAACAACAAACCGCTAACGGTGCTGTCAAGGCCGTTGCTGGTCTAGGTGCCGGTGCTCTAGCCGCTGCTGCTCTATTGTTATAAGCAGAATTTTTATATTAAAAGGGATTAATTAAAAGGCAAATGTCTTTTTTTCTTTTCAAACTTTTATTTTATTTCTTTTTCTAAATTACAGGTCTCTATCTCTTAAGTTTCCAATCGATCTCATAGTATTTTTTTGAATTTAAAAAAATACAATATATGTAGTTGAAATATGATGGAAACTTCTTTTATTTTTATTCTAGCTAACTTAAATATCCAACATATAATAATAGTAATATACAACAATATATCGTTAAAAAATTAATCTTTATTCAATACTTTAATTTAATCTATATAAACAGTCAAGATTCAAAAGCTTTAAACAGCCTCCTTTTCTCCATAATACGGTTGTTAAGAACAGACGTACACCCGATAACATATATCTCTACTACACTGTTACAAACACACGCTACCATTTTCCAAACAACTACCAAATGGGTTACCATGAATATATAAATATTTATATGTAATTTAGTGTCGTTTTGTATGTGACATTCAATTTATTTCATCTCTTCTTTGCGAAGAAAACAAACAAAATAAAACAAAATAAAATAATAATTTTTAATCGGCCGAGCCTCCTATTCTGCGGCGGTTTCTGCGGGCGTGTTTCCGCGGATTGGATTTAAAAAGCCACACCCAGTACTAACTTATAACCCCGTCCTGTAATCGGGTTTGTTTGTTTTTTGTGTGCGTTAATGGCTGGGTTTTTCCCATAGAAATTATTTTCTTTGCCACTTTTACATAATGTAGATCTCATTAAGTAATAACAATATATATATAACAGGGTCCAATCTATGAATAATTTTAATATATATTTCACTTTTGTTATGTTTCTACTATGAAAAGGCCAAAAAATAACACATTATTAAGACAACTATATAAATATGAGTGCTTTAGTATTAGGTGCTACAGGTTTATGTGGTGGATTTTTCCTTAAATTTGCTAACGCTTCAACAAAATTATCAAAAGTTTATTCAATTACAAGATCTAAACCATCAATTTCAGTAGATGAACAAAAAGTAGATTTAATTACAAATAAAGATAGTGCCAATTGGGATCAATTAATTCAAAATTTAGATAGTGATATTCAATATTTATTCACTGCTTTAGCTACAACAAGAGTTGCAGCAGGTGGCACAGATCAACAATATGCAATTGATCATGATTTAAACATGAAATTAGCTAAAGCTGCAAAGCAGAAAGGTTGTAAAACTGTTGTTGTTGTAAGTTCGATGGGTGCAAATGCAGATTCTTATTTTTTTTATCCAAAGATGAAAGGTGAAATTGAAAAAGATTTAACTGAAATGGGTTTTGAAAAAACAATTATTTTAAGACCTGGTATTATATTAGGTGATAGAGGTGATAAAATACATTCCGGGGCAGGTAATGGACTTGCAACTACTTTAGGTGGAATGTTTTATAGAACTAAATTACAAAGATGTATTGGATATCCCGTTGAAGCTGAAGAAATTAGTAAAGTTGGTGTTCATTTAGCTTTAAATGATACTTCAAATGAAAAAGTCAGAATTGTTGAAAGTAAAGAAATCCTTGAAATTGCAGCTAAGATTAAAGATTTATGAAGAAGAAAATTCGTATGTATTGATGATATAGATAAAATTGTTTTTTAATTACTATAACAAACAAACAAAAAAAATTTTGCTTTAGAGAAATATAATTGAAATTAATTTATATACCATTAAGATATATATATCAATATGTAAAAATTAAAAAAATTAAAAAATTATTTTAAATATGAATAGAAGAATATATTGTAATAAGTATCAAACTTATAACAATAGAGCAGCAGCGGCTAGAGCACCAGCACCTAGACCAGCAACAGCCTTGACAGCACCGTTAGTAGTTTGTTGAGAGACAGCAGCAGTGGTGGCAGAAGAAGAAGAGGAAGCAGCAGTAACAGTGGTAGAGGCAGCAGCAGAAGAGGAAGCAGCGGCGGAGGAGGTAGCTTCGGAGGAAGTTTCAGCAGCAGCAGAAGAGGTTTCAGCGACAGCAGAAGAGGTTTCAGCGACAGCAGCAGAAGAAGATTCAGCGACAGCAGCGGAAGAAGTAGCTTCAGTAGCGGCAGAAGTGGTGGTAGCTTCGACAGCAGTGGAAGAAGCAACAGCAGTGGAAGCTTCAGCGGTTAAAGTGTACAAAGCAGCAGCAATTTCAGAAGAAAGTCTGGTAGAGTACCATGGTAGGACAGTTAACCAAGTTTCAACAGCATCCATGTCGACGTTGTCGTACAAAGTGGTGTAAGAGTCATCGGTAGCAGAGGCAACAGCTAGACCTAGAGCTAGAACACCGGTTGGTAGGTCAGTTAGGGAGATGGTACCGTCAGTGGCTAAGGCAATGTATTCAGAGACATTGCTGGCGACATCGCTCATGATAGCCTTTAATTCAGCAATTTGAGTGTCAGATAGAGCATTGGCTAGAACAGCAGAAGAGGCAAGTAATAGAGCAATCTTGGAGTACATTATAATAATAGTATTGTTATTAAGTGAGTGGACAAATTTTTCAGTTGAGAAAGTGTTTGATAGACTTTTTTTATTGTACGTTATTAAAATACAAGAGGAAAAGGATAATAAAATTTTGAAACTTATAATAATAATGGTACCTTTATATATGTCTTAATTTTTTATTTATTTTATTAAGTTCTTTAGAGACTAATAACAACGAGAAACCAAATGAAAAAGAAAGGAAGCTTGATAGATCTTTTAACATAACGTTTTAGGAAGTTAATCAATCGTTTAGACATAAGCAATAACTTAATGTTTTCAAGATGTACACAATCGATCTTTTCCCCTTGCACTAAAGGAAGAGTTATCAAGGATAACGACAACACCTTTCCGTACACAATTGCACGCATGAGATTAACTCTCTCAACCTGTTAAAGTGGCTGTGGTCGACAAAATAAACAAGTATGACCCTCTCATTAGCCTATACGTGCATCTTATTCTTCTAACCGGTGCTCTGTTCCTGTGCAATTTCAATGGATTTCTTTTCTTTTTCATTTTTGCCAAGAAAAAAATAAAAACACCTTACTGAATTCCTTACGTTAACGATTAATTACCGTATCTCGCATTGTAGTCGTATACCGTACATTCGTGCCAAGAAATAATAAGAAAAAATATATTTTTCAGTAACTTGTCAGAGAACGGCCCATTGTAGATCTACGCTAAAAGAGAGATAGGTAATCAATATCTGCGCTCAGCCTTGTTTTTTTACTTTGAAAATACATATCGTAGAGAGTACAAGATGGTTGGTTACAATGGTATGTTTATCTAGAGATGACATCCATGAAATCTCAGGGAACCACCTCCAGCAACATAACTTATTTCTTTTCGTCAGTCATTAGTTCTAGAACTAATATTTTTCACAGATTAAACGTTTATAAGCCTTTAAAATTTATAGCATGCCAAAGCCCGTTTAGGGCATTTGATACCTTCTTGTTTATTACATGTCCCTTTTAGTACATCACGCCCAAACGAGTATAGAACAATCTCAACAGACGCGTCAAATAGGCACGTAATTATGTTTTTTCTCCTTATTATACATTTCATGAAACAATTATTTTAGACAGTTTTGAATAATTCAGATGCATTTCATTCGTAAATCTATAATTTGAACTCTCTTTATAACTGTATTCGTTTAATTTTTAGAAGAATCGAGACTTCTGTGGTCGTATTTTCGTTATATTATTATTATTTTAGAATTATTTTTAAAATTACTTACAAGAAATTATATGTATATATATATATATAAGGATATTTGTTAGTTTTGTTTATTTTTGGAATGGAGAGAGAAACATATTGGAAGTTTGTACCTCAAAGGCAACCATATCCAAAAAGGCAAAAGAAAAGAATAGTAGCATTATTGGGCTTGTAACATCATACGTTTTTTTGGTGTTGTTGTTGTTATTGTTTTTCGGTCTCTTATTCTGAATAGTAAACCTTTCTAATATCAACAATTTTTTTACCTCTACCTAGGGCAATTTCATTTAACGATCTTTGTCCCTCAGTTAAAGCTTCAATTAAACCTTTAGCAATATTCATATCATTTCTTGATTTATAAACTTTTGCACTTAGATCTTTAATACCTAATAATTGACAAATTTCAAATATTACATGATTAACTCTTAGACCAAACCCGGGTTCTTTTTTCCTTAAAAATAATTTAACACCATGATATCTATATTCTAAATCTGAAAATATTGTTCTATTTTCATATCTTGGTACATATTTCAAATTTCTAATAGCATCCCAATGAGCTTTATAAATAGATGTAGACATATCATTTCTTGATTTACCTTCACCAAGACCAATCATACCATTTTGATCACCAACAATCACTAAAGCATAAAATGATGCAATTTTACCTTTACCAGTTTGATTAGAAACTCTCTTTAATACTAAAGGTTTCATCTTTAAAGTCTTTGTAATATAATCGGGTTCAAATCCTGTTTGTTTGCTTATTCCTTGGGCCAAAATTACATTTTTGGAAATTTTACTTTGAGTAGCTAAAGCTTTCACTTCAGGTGGATAAGTATTATCTGGTATCTCTGGTGTTTTATAATTATATGGATTGTATGTATATTGTTCAGGATTTGATGAAGAATGAGTATTTGGTAAATTTGGATTATAATCCCAAAATGGATGTAATTTAGTGTAATCATCCTCATATGCAGATGCAAATCTGAAATCTTTTCTTTGACTTAGATCAACAGAATCCGGAATAGTCTCCTGTGCTAATTTAATCGATTTTAATAGATGTGCAGGGTAATATTTCGCCAGTAATTCATCATTGGATTGGGTCAATGTACGAAATGTCTGAGAAAATTGTCTCTTAAAAAGAAACCTCTTAATAGACATTTTATATTTGCAAATTTAGAAAACTAAGGGGGATGGACGGTTGGAAAGAAGGAATAAACTGCTGTTGTTTTTTTCAGTTCAATTTGACTAATTTTCTAAAAACACTTGGGTCAGTCTGTCTATGTACACGTTACCTCTTGTGTTTTTTCTTATGCTGTCTTTTATTATTTCTCTATGTATCGTTGGTTCCCTTTATGCAAAATTGTATATCTCTCTTTCTACATCTGCTTTTACTTTCTCGACGGGTAAAAAACAGAGAAATATGAGAAAACGCTTATTTTTCTTTTAGAAGGGAATTGGGAAACTATAATATTATTGAATTTTTTTACCGTTCAAGATCGTTATAAACGAGAGGACAGAGGTGACAACTACTTTATGGAGTGATATCGTTAAACACTTCGACTTGGCGTACTAGGCTATGCTCTCAAATTCCGTTAGGTAATTGCGTATATAAAATTATGTAACATCTAATAGAATGTGTTTGTTTTTTTGCAATATTTGTCACAACAGCCTCTCCAAAGAAATGAATAAAGTACCAGCAATAAGCACATCTCACTCATTATATAGTTTTTTCAACTTATTGTACAAGAAAAGTTGTCGTCACTGGACGGTCGCCATAAAACAACAACTGTCTTGGTCTGTGTTATTCGTGTAATTATAAGCAAGATTCAGCTAATTTTATCAGATGTCTTAGTTAAAGGAGAAACCCTAGTTGCACGTGATCTACATTGCATCACTCTACACGACCAGATCTAGTCCAAAATCACATCTGCTCTCGCCGTGAAAAGCGACACAAAAAGAGTGGGATATATGGTGACATTCTCCCTCGTGGGATGCCAAAAAGAATAGAACTGGACGTGGGAGGAAACTATCACCGGAAGTGGAGCGACTCGATATATATCTATAAATACCGTGTATAGACTGAGACATACGTACTGCATAATTAAGCAACAAGTAAATAAGAAGTCAAACATTTGACCTGTTGCTATGCTTGATATTAAACAGTAGGGAATCCTTCCATTCTTCAAAATAAACTTCTAGTAGTATTTCTTTCTTAATTGGGTGATACTAAAGAATAGTGGGCTAATTTATATATCTGCATGTAAGCACTATATTCTTGAGAAAACAGGAAAAAATAGTGTAGAAGTTTCTTTGATCAATAATTGTTTTCAGAACAATCCCCAAGAATCAAATGATATTTCAGGACCTAAACCGGCCACTACTATATTTTTAAAACAATAGAATGTTTTTTTGTTTTATTAGTACTAGCATACGCTATTGTTTGAAATACCACTTAAGGAAAATACAGAAAAATTAAAAATAAAATAATGTACCTTCATTGGATACTCTTAATTAGAAAAATACACGTACAATGTAAAGAAATAGGTGATCGGCAACTACTACTAGGTAGTCCTTTCTCTGTTGTTGTTGTACTTCCATGAACCATATGGTACAAAGGTACTCCTACTTGAAATAACATAAATACGTATCTATGTTTTTAAAAAAAAAACTAGAATCCTGATTGTTTACAGGTTGTTAATTTTTTGAACAAGCCTAGACGTTAGAAGATCAATTATTGATTTACCTCATTGTTTCATATTTTGTTGAGGTTGTAGAGATTAAAATTGTATAGATTTGAGTAATGGAATTTCAAAAAACTCGGCTAACTTTAATATCATTAAGTAGAGTCACTACATACAATACTATTGGGGGGGGGGGAATATCAGCATATTTGTAATAAGATATAGATCATAAACACACTATTATTCTTGAAAGTGTCTTTTGTAGCAATTAAAGCTACATTCACGTGTATAATTCAACAATATCCTTTCTTAGATATTAATTTTTAAGCGATCCAGAAAATATGGTGATTATAATATAGATACAGGAGGATCCTCGTTGTTCATTACTCTCAGAGGTCAAATGCATTGTGTCTTCCCAAGTGGCATTAATTGTCTTATTCTTTTACTGAATTACTTATGTATTATTTTTGTTTGATATTTATTTCTTTATTTATTTTTGAACTATGTGTGACGTGAATTTAGATTAATAGATAATATTAAAATATACATACTATTTCTTCCTCTATAAAAAAAAGAAATAGTAATTGCGTAATAAAATATATATGACGATAATATAATGTTACTGTTGAACGTGTGTGAAATTAATTTTTAATAGTAAGAAAAAGTTTTGGAATATAGTTACTTTGCTATTACAAACTAATGAAAAAAAAACATCTACGATGAATTTCATTAGCTCTTAAAGCTTTTGAGAAGAGAAAAAAGGATGAGTTGTGGTGGTGGTGGTGGTGGTGGTGATGATTATGTAGTAGTTATGCAGTAAAATGTTTTAAAGGTTTTCTTCTTTTCATATGATCTCCTCTTATTTTGTCAAAAAATAAAATTGAACAATGAAAAAAATATAGTATTTTAATTGTTTGATCTCTTCTTTAATTTACAGTATGCACATGGCTCTCTTTGTCTACGTCTTTGTCTACCATGATGAGCGGATGTATCGTCAGAGTCACTATTGGAATCCTGGGAATCCATAAGCTTTCTTGGAGCATACTTATAATCTGGGTATTTCTGTTTGTGCATCTCTTTTTCCTTTTGAGCTAGGTCCTGCCAGTACTTCTTTTCTTCAGCTGGTAATTGTCTCCAACGTTTACCAATTTCTCTAGATACTTCTGAGTTAGTCTTGAACGAGCCTTGCGTGACCAACATGTATCTATCCTTTGGGAAGATTGAATAGTGGAGATGTTGTCTGAATAAGATGAAAGCGTTTCTTGGTCTTGGAATATGTTCAGCAGAACCCGAGCTTTTCTTACAAGTACATTTTTTTAACGATTTTTGATTACCAGCAATAGTAGACGAAGATGCAGAAGTTGAAGTTAAAGAAGAAGATGAAGTTCTTGAAGAAGAATTAGATGAGATAGACGATGGAGAAGCAGGCATAATTTTTGTCATTTCAGTACTGTATTCCATCGGAACACCATCAAGGATCATACTACCATTATGTTCGTAGTATGGTACTGGAGACACTTTGTGTAATACAGGTGTTGGTAATTGATTATAACCTTGAACACGTGCAGACATATGCATAATTGGTTGTTGATATCTTGGAACGTCTTGCGTTTGAACAGATAATGATTTTAGAATATGGGCAGATCTAATGGAATCCATATTGGTAACCTGTGGGCCAGCTACAGGGGAAATATACCCATTGACTTGCATATATGGTTGATATTGTGGCATTGGAGTCTCATAAGATACATTGTATTGAGCATTGTATGGATCCCTGTACAAAGATGAGTTGATAGCGACTGGAGTGCTAACAGGGATTGGAGCTGATCCAGATGTGGAGTACATGGTATTGTAAGAGTATGAAGGTTGCATTTGTGGTGGAGGTCCAGACTGTGGGGGGTCTGATTTTTGTTCGATGTTCGAGAGCAACATTTGGATGCTTGGTAATGTAACGTTTGCTTGACTAGTCATTGTTGTTGAATTTTAGGGAGTGAACTATTTTAGTTATTTAATTTGGTACAGTATTAGAAGAATCTCGAGGATAATATAATTTTTTTTTTTAAAAACAAAGAAATTTAACAGTAGTTGTAGTTATGTCTTAGTATTTAAAATTATTAAAGTAAGCGATAGTTTATACAAATAGATGCCAGCTAAAGTATAGATTTTATATCAGTTTTGTTTTGATTTTATTGTTGACAAAAAAAATAAGATAGATAATAAATTAAATAACATAAATAATTATGGTTGAAGTAGAAATAGGAAAATGTCAAATTCGACAAGCATATTTAGGATTTATAAAATAAAAAGGCTAATCCTTAGTGTTTTTATATAAATTTAAATTAAATTTAATTAACTAATGTAGATGCAATTTTTATTTTTATGAAAAACACTTTTCTTTTCTCTTGAAGAAGAGGGAGAGAAAAGAGCGATGTTAGTATAAATTTATCACTCACGTTCTCTCTTTTTGATTAAATTAAATTAAATGATGTTACAGAAGAGGAAGTAGAAGAGAAGAGGGAAAAACCAGTTGAAGAAATAATATGATCTACGCCGGAATGATATATAACATGTAAGTTGATTACCATTAGTTTACCTACAATTGTTCGGCCAGAATAGACAGATTAGTTAAAATGAAAATGAGAGAAAGTTAAGGAGAATTGGAAAAATTAAATTAAATGTTGTAGAATTAAAAAAAAAAGTTATGCACTGATCATTTTTGAACGTTTTCTTTGTAGAATTACCATTATGGAAAAAAGTTTAAAATTTGTCGTTGTAAAATAATTTGTCATGAAAGTAGGGGTGTCTGTATGTGTAAAACACTGATAACATTCGTCATATATTTCTACATCATCTTGTCTTGTTAGATACACTCATGCATATGCAGAGTTATTTGCCCAACAGGACTTAAGCAATCCAAAAAAGAAAAAAAATATACACAACTATTTAAAAATTTAAAAATAAGTTGAACATTCAAAGTAAAGTAACACAAGGGTATTACTATTGAGTAATATTCCTATGTTCTTATATCAGCAGTAAAAGAAGAAGAAGAAAAGGTAGTGTATTATGCTACTACTTGAACTGTTTTCAGATCTACGATTGACGTTCAGAGTAATTAAGGAACAAACATATGTTTCTCTAAGAGTTTGCGCAGTAGTTCCCATTCAACTTTTAATATATAAGCATAATTATAATGATTGCACGGGGAAACAACAGAAAAAGAAAAAGAAAAGAAAAACACGGGACAAGAAACTTCATAAGAAAGAACGGAGAGAGAAGACTAAAATGAAAAGGTGTCCCTCGAGAACAAAGGTTCGTACAACAACAAGAAGTTAAGCTAACAAAAACAGTAAGTAAAATTAAAGTGTGTTAATCAGCAGAGTTAACGATTTGCTGTACCGTACAATAAAACCAAGGCAAAAGAAGACAAAAGAAGAAGAGAGAGGGATAGTAAATTAATCGTAGTGAAAACTGTACATCCAATAGTAGTATTTGAGGTTATCACCGTATTCTTTGTATTTGTTTTGTTTTGTTTTGTAACTATTAGCATTCCTAGAACTTATATGGTCTCTTTTTTATACAATATTATTGTTGAAAACCGGCCATATTATAATGTAAAAGATAAATCGATTGAATTAAGTGCAATAAGGAATTCAATTGATCGTAAATTCAAGTGATATCTATAAAGATTCACACACTATAACTATTGTTAACATACCTTTAAATTGATGATTTTGCAGCAACAAAGTATGTTTATTATTGGGTAAATAATAGGAACAACACCACCAAAATTAAAAAATTACCGCACTGCATCCTCTCAAAGAAAACGCCGCATGGGAGATCAATTTTAACATAGGGCATCGGGTTTTAAATGAAAAAAACGTAATTAGCCTTAAGAAAATTACGTATCACGTATCACTTCGAGAAACAAAAATAACCTCATTTTTCATACTTAATTAGTTGGTCCCTCTGCCGTATTTTAATGATATTCTGATTTAAGTTGTGCTCGCTTAAAACAAAAAATAATCTAAAATAGTATGTACTTGTTTTCTGTGGAAACATAATAATAAGTTAGAAATAGAAACATTGAAGGGGTACGTAGCAACATATTCAAAGATCCTCCTGTAGCCTCTCAGAGAAATTTGAAAAAAAACACAAATTATGTGAAGAAACCACCGTTGCTATCGTTGTCTCACTCCACATTTCCCCTCCTCCCTCCATTGAAATACTTATGCGCGCTTACTCAGATTTTTCTTTTTATTTTTCATCAAATTAATTTTGTAAGTCGTCTATCCAGGAACCTGAAAACCTTATACTAAGCTTCTTTTAAATTTTTAATTTCATGAAATTCCGACTCTTGGTCTGCCCTGCGTGTCGGTCTCCACTCATTTTCCCACGAGGGTTGACGACCTTTTTTTTTACTTCTCCAATTTTTTGTGTAATTCAAATATTTCTTTCCCGGTGTTTTCTGTGGGAAAATTATACTATTCACTAAAAGATCACGCAAACATTGTTTGCAACTTGCATCAATTCTTGGGAAAGTGCTAGCGTCAATTCTTACTCTCCATATTCATTTAATTCCCGAAGGCCCAGAAGGTTTTTGTTAAGTGATTTATTAATTTTTTTGTTTCGTGAGGATTACACATTCTTCAACCTTGACGTTCTTTGCATATCGTCCTATCCCAAAACGGGTGGCCCGTCAATTCGAGTCGAGGCGAAAAGTATTATTGTTAGTAATAAATTAATTTTACTATCATAACTGACAATGATTTTGTTTTTTGCTTATAGATTAATAAATATAATTAATTATATGATTCTAATAAGATATATATTTATTGAATGCTTTGTAAGATTAATATGAATTTAATATTAAACTCAAAGACGTAAATAAGAAAGGGTGTGTGTGTGTGTATTATGGTATGGCTTCCTTTAAAGTTCGTGGTATCTCATTAGTAAATAGAGGGATAAATTAGAGTTAAACTTGAATCAGTTTAATATCCTTTGTTTCTGAAACAAAGTGAAAACCTCCTTAGATATTAATGGATAGATGTATATATAGAATTTGAATGTATAGTCGAAGAAAATATATATATTATTCACAGGGGTAAAAGAATACAAAGGTCTAGACAAAAAGAAAGGAAAAATAAATTATTATTATTATTAAACGTTTCAGTTCATACGCAAAGAGTAAGAATCAACCAATAAGATAAGAGTCGATTTAGAAATATATAGTGTAATGAATGAATCTGATTTCCTATCGGCTGAGAAGTCGGAATATGATAAAATATATAGATGTCATAAATTTTTAACAGATAAGCTTGGAGAGAAAAATATAACCTTAATTTGTTACGAACTTCTAAGAGAGAAAATTAAATAGAATTTTGTTTAATGGTAGGAAAGAACGTTGACTACATTTAATTTTGCTTTTTTAAAATTATCTTTTGTATATACGTAAGGGTGTGAGTTTTTTGGGATAGATTTCATCCAAAACAGGACAACCACTTTTTTTCGGTCTTGTAATATTGATTGAGATAAAGTCATAGTCAATAGCCATTACCTTAACATACGTGAATACATTTAATGTGAACTTTTTACAATACGTATTTTGGGTGTATGTGTATATATTACCTTTGTTACAATAGATCTACATACATTATTTCTTGGTAATATGAGTTCCTTTATGGCTGGTTATTAATAATTAAAAGAACTATGAAAGGAAACAAGAGAGAATGAATCGATTTAATCCATTTAATTCACTTGTTACATAACTTATCTTTGAATAAAAGAAATAGGGACGGCAAGTATTTATGTTTAAGCAGAGCTAATCAAACTATCATAAGCCTCTACCTCTTTCTCTTTCTCTTTCTCCATTGAAGATAGATTCAAACAGTAAAAAGTAGATGTAGTGTTACAAATACAAAATACAAAAAAAAAGAATCCCTGTAACGTCTTTTCTTTTCATATTAGTACGTTGCATTCCTTGAAAGGTCGAAAATAAAATTGTTGAAAGAGCGATTATCAACATATATAATTAATTGATAGTCTTTATTGATCGGTGATACTTTAATAAGTACTAAGAAACACCAGTAGAAACCTGAACTAATAATTTCAGTTTGACTATTTACTGGCACACATTCAAGAAAAGGAAAAAGAAAAAAAATTGACCAGTCTGTATGATTAGAGTTAAATATGCAATAGAAGGCACCGCTTTCACAGTTCAATATAGTAATAGCCTGTTCTTTTAAATACAAGATATACTAAATAATGCAGTGAAACCCCTGTAGATTATGTTATTTTGTCAAATCCAAAAAAATATATATATATTTGTGTATTTATTATTCTTATTATCATTTTTTACCATTATATGTTCGTTAGTCACTCCAATGGAAGTCACAAATAAATTAAGCGAAGAAGAATCCCGTAGTGAGGGAGTAATAATATAATGGTCAATAGTTAAATTTATTATACTAAGATTTCATTGCATTCATTAAAATGTTTTGAGATCTGGCTTGTCCTTGGAGATATAAACACAAAAATACGTAGAAACAGAATTTTCATTTATCGGTCAAAAGACCATTTTTTTCGTAACAGCGATGGAAAACATATGTGGAAAATGAAAGTGCGGTTCATTTTAATTCTTTCTCCTTCTCCTTCTTCTCCGACAAATCATTGTAGTACTAAATATATAACCTCCTTTTTCTAAGGAAACATGGAAGAAAACTTAAATTATCTTTTTTTTTGAATTTGTTTTTCCCGCGCTGCGTAATTTTGCTAGTGGACGCGCATTTAAATAATTTTGAAAGTTATCGGCGATTGATCAAATTATTTGAAAAAATTCGAAATGTGATAGATTTTTAAAGCTGTACGGTTCTTTCTTCATTTGATTGACATTCTAAAGTTGGAATACATTAGTTCCAGAACGTGAATTTCACTGTTCCTGTTTCATAAAATATTTTATTTATCTATTTCTGCACTTTGATTTGTCAACTGAAAATACACAATATTTTTTATTTGTATTGTTCATTTTTTGACTCTCCCTTTTTTTATGGTGAGTCAAATTATAGATGAACATTACGTTTTTTTTATTCTACTTGTCTTTTGCTGGTATAAGTTTTCTTACTATCTATAAATATTCTACAGTATTTTACTTGAAGAAAATTAATTTAATTTTACTCTCTACGTCATTAAAGTGTAAATATCAACAAAGAAAAAGTTTAAAGCACCTCGCATTCTTCAAAAATTTGGTGGGTTACTACGGAAACGTTTTCTACTTTATTTTATTTTATTTTTGTTAATCGATTAGTAGTCGCGTTCGTCTGTGGGGGGTAAAGGGAAACTGAGAAATAGATAGTAATAAATAATAATAATAATAATAATAATAATAATTAAAATAATATTATTTATTATGTGTGTGCAATAATACAGATCGTTTAATTTTTAACAGGGAGAAAGAAATTCAAAGAAACAATGAAATCGTATATTGATGAAAATCTCATTTTGTGGAATTGTTGCCATCATCTGGTACTACCATTGAAAGTAAACAACAAGTCTTATTCTGAAACTTATGAATTGTGCAGTTCTTTTCACAATAAAAAAGAAAGAGAGCGCAATTTACCACGTACATTAAACAGGTTTAATATGAATTAATTCCCAGGTGAATATAATATCTTACAGAAAGAAAAGAAGAAAATCTGCCTCTTTTTTACAATTATAAGATTGTTGCAATTTTTACTGTTTTGGGAGACCGTGACGGTCAATTTGGCAGTTTTATCGGCAACTAACGGATGAAAAAGAGAAATCCTCGTAGAGTCTTCTCTTTGTACGGATATTTTAATAAAGAATGTGAAAAAGTTTTCTATTTTTTCCTTCCAGAACGGAAATTTATTTCATTTTTTATAGTTTCCATTGTTTAAACAGCAGTGGTACGGGGAGTTGTGTGGATGATGTACATAATGTATGTCATACTGCGTCAATTTGGTGCCTACAAGATGTGAAATAAAGAGAAATTGCATCAAAAAGAAAAACGAAATTATTATTGTTTTTGTTTGTTTTTCTTTCCAATGGGGAGACAGACAAGAATGCGTGAGTTATTCTTTCATTGCTACGGTATTTTGTGGGGAGAAATTTATTGAAAATACTGTATATAATACAAGAAATAAGGAACGATAACTTTTTCTTTTTTCATAAGAAAATCCAAATAATTGAAAATTGAAGAGATTTCCCGGTATTGTATGAGATTATCTGAGTCAAATTTGAGAGCGATTTTAAGAATTATGTATGTCCTGTGCCTTTTTTGTTTATTTGTTTCCTATATGACATAAATTTGGCAAGATCTGATTTTCAAATTAATTTATTTATTAAATCCTTGAAATATTTCAAATATCGAGATAATAGAATTTGAATCTGATTCAATTTGAATATGTTCATTATAATTGAATAATAACTATGTTTGCTTATTATATGTAGCATTTCAAGATCAAAGCATTGATGAAAGGAATGTATGTGTATATAATGAGTCTACTTTTATATGTACCTACCATTAACCAGTTTGCAATAAAGCGTGTATATCTATATATATATATAGTAGTACTTGAAATCAGGAAGACCAAAAAAAGAAGAAATAATTATATATGATTCGTTCGGTTTGATTCAGATTGTATTATAAAAGCATTTCTCCATTGTAGTGATGGATATAACCTTCTTTCTCTTACAATATTGGGATTAACAATCCAAAAACTTCTTTAAATCATTCTTTACTCTATCTATTTCAATTGCAAAAAATGATATTTTAGGTCATCGGTACCCCTATTTTTCACGTGACTTCGGATTTTTTTGATAATCCGGGTAATGCCAAATTTTTCTAAATGATTTTTTCTTCTTTTCGGTTTTTTTTTTAAATAAGAACAATTTCCCTGAGGTGGCGATAGTTCGATAGAGAATAGAAGTAAGAGATCTTTTACCCTTATAATAATAGTTGTAAATATAAAAAAATCCACATTTTGACGATTATACAATATATGAGTATATTCAGTCTATAAGTAATACTTTGAATACCAAATAAGATTTATTTAAATTAAATCAAATACTATTAACAATTGGAAAAGTTTCCTTTTTTTTATTTTTTAAGGAAGTGGAAAGACCTTTCAAGAAATCACATTGATTTGAGAAGAGAGAAAGAAAGAGATACTTTGTTTGTGTGTTTCTAATTTGGAATCTTTTTACCCTTAAATTCAATCATGTTTAATGCAAAGATATCGAATGTATCGAGATATGCTAGTATAATACCAAGAATAAAACTATGCTCGAATAATTTAATAAGAAAAGAAGTATCTTTAAATTTATTATATAATAATCATAACAATTCAAAATTTAATCCCATTATAAGAAAAAATAACATTAGATTTATTCATACAACAATATCTCCTTCATTTAGATACAGTATTCAAAGAAATCAAAATAATAAAGGATCAGAAAATCAAGATCAAAAGAATAAAAATAAAAATGAAAATAATGAAAATGAGGAAGAATTTAAATCTTTAACAGAATATTTAAAATCAAAAGAATTTGCTAAGACTATATATTTAACAGTTGGTTTTACTGTTTTATTTTCTCTTTTAAGTGGACCTGATAATAATAATGATAATGATAACAATGATAATAATATTCTTACTTTCCAAGATTTTAAAACTAAATATCTTGAAAAAGGTTTAGTTAAACATATTTATGTGGTAAATAAATATTTGGTTCAAGCTGAATTATTACCACAAGCATCATCATTATCTAATGATAGAAGTGCGGATTCTCGAGGATTATTTGGTACTCCATTTGGTGGTGGTCCACCAGTTGTATCATTCACTATTGGATCTGTTGATATATTTGAAGATCAAATGGATCAAGCACAAGATCAATTGAAAATTGCACCAAATGATAGAATTCCAATTTCTTACGTAACACGTACTTCAATGTTACAATATTTATTCCCATTTGTACCAACTTTGTTATTACTTGGTGGTTTATATTTTATTACAAAAAGGATGACAGGTGGTGCTAATACAGGTGGTTCAAGTGGTGGGAATGGTATTGGTAATATGTTTGGTGTTGGTAAATCAAAGGCCAAATTATTTAATAAAGAAACAGATATTAAGATATCATTTAAAGATGTAGCTGGTTGTGATGAAGCTAAACAAGAAATTATGGAATTTGTTCATTTTTTGAAAAAACCACAAAAATATACTGCTTTAGGAGCAAAAATCCCAAGGGGTGCTATTTTATCTGGTCCACCGGGTACTGGTAAAACTTTATTAGCTAAAGCTACCGCCGGTGAAGCTGGTGTTCCTTTCCTTTCTGTCTCTGGTTCTGAATTTGTTGAAATGTTTGTTGGTGTTGGTGCATCTCGTGTTCGTGATCTTTTCGAACAAGCTCGTAAGATGGCACCATCTATTATCTTTGTAGATGAAATTGATGCTATTGGTAAAGAGAGAGGTAAAGGTGGTGCTCTTGGTGGTGCTAATGATGAAAGAGAAGCCACTTTAAATCAATTATTAGTTGAAATGGATGGTTTTACTACTTCTGATCAAGTTGTTGTCCTGGCTGGTACTAATAGACCAGATGTTTTGGATTCAGCTTTAATGAGACCAGGTAGATTTGATAGACATATTCAAATTGATGCACCTGATATTAATGGTAGATTGGCTATCTATTTAGTTCATTTGAAAAGATTAAATTTATCTCCAGATTTGGTTCCAGTAGAATCGGCACGTCATGAACTTGCAGGTAAATTGGCTACTTTAACACCGGGTTTTACAGGTGCAGATATTGCTAATGCTTGTAATGAAGCAGCATTAATTGCTGCCAGACATAGAGATCCACATATTAAATTATATCATTTTGAACAAGCTATTGAAAGAGTCATTGCAGGTTTAGAAAAGAAATCGAAAGTTTTATCAAAGGAAGAAAAGACTACAGTAGCATATCATGAAGCAGGTCATGCAATTTGTGGTTGGTATTTAAAATATGCAGACCCATTATTGAAAGTTAGTATTATTCCAAGAGGTCAAGGTGCTTTGGGTTATGCCCAATATTTACCACCAGATCAGTATTTGATTAGCGAGGAACAATTTCAACATAGAATGATCATGGCTTTAGGTGGTCGTGTTTCTGAAGAATTGCATTTTCCATCTGTGACCAGTGGTGCTCATGATGATTTTAAGAAAGTAACTCAAATGGCACATGCAATGGTCACTTCACTTGGTATGTCTAAAAAAATAGGTTATTTGGCTTATGATCAAGATAGTGGTGGGTTACAAATTAATAAACCATTCAGTCAAAAGACTGCAAGAAACATTGATTTAGAGATTAAACGTATAATTGATGACGCACACAAAGAATGTGTTAAGCTATTAAAGGAAAAAATCAATGAAGTTGATAAAGTAGCAAAAGAACTACTTAAAAAAGAAGCTATTACAAGGGAAGATATGATTAGACTCTTGGGACCAAGACCATTCCCTGAAAGAAATGAAGCGTTTGAGAAATATTTAGATCCAAAGAATACTAAAGAACCAACACCACCTTCATCTCCAGCTACAAACTAAAAATCGAATACTTTGTATTAAGTGTTATTGTAGAGCATAAAAGTTGGTGATTCGATAAACGCACTATTAATGAGTGAAAAGGTCTAGCCAACAATTTTCATTTTTGTTTGCCTTTTTATTGCTTATATAAATAGTATCATTTCGATTAATTAAATATATTCATGTAGATATTTATACAATTCAATTATTTTATTATTCTTATTAAATTAAATTCCGTTAGTAATATCGTTTATAATCATAAAACGACTAAAGGGCATAGATAATACACTAATTTTTAGGATGTAGTTATGTAACAAAAGGTACAATCAATAAAAATATTGGTTAAAATTATAGCTTAAAGTGTTCGTATGGGGGGTATCTATTGATCTCTCAAAATGTTTCGTCATCAATTATTAAGTTCTGTGGGACAGCTTGAGCCGGTGGATTGTTCATAGATAGGTTGTTCATAATGGGTTCATGATTCTGAACACTGATTGAAGAATGATTCGTTAAGTTATCTTTATCCATATACTGTTGATCACTCGTGTTAATTGTTTCAGTTCTATTTTCTTCGTTTTGTCGTTGGTCACCTTCGTTTGAATCCTCTGTTGCATATAATATCTGTTGAACTTTGTTCAAGAATTTATCTAATTCACCGGTACCACTTTCATACACGCCTTCTTTTATAAGATCTTGCGTCGATTGTACCAAGATCTCAATATCCCTTAATTTACTGAAATAAAAATCACGTTCTCTTTCTAGAATATTGGTAGTATCCTTATATGTATTAATCTCTTTATCCATAGCGGTCATATTATTCTTTGCTTGAGTTAATTCCGTTTGAATAGCCAAATATTGATCGTTCGATATTCTTCTGGTGACACCACTAGTTCCATAAGATGACCGTGTAGATCCATAAGTTTGTGTAGGCATACTAGATTTACGTTTTGCTATACTGATTGAACCACTAGATGGGGGAGCCGTCCCACCAATACTTCCACTGACTTGTCTGTGTTTCCTCCTGGAAATAGCATCATAGGGACTACTATCTTTATTTTGCATCCAGAATTTTTTAATCCATTGTAAAAATTCTAAGTTGTCTTGAAATCTGCATTTAACCAATCTCTCCACATATACTGTCTTTTCAATTGCATGTCTAGCGAAGCAACTCTGTAAAATTTTGTAATTAGTATGAAATTCATATTCGGCTGTAGCATTAAACTTCACTCTATGCATTGGTACGTCAACATAGACGGAATCCATTATTTGACAGTAAGCTGCACCAGTACCACATTCTTCGATCTTTTTGTAATTCAACTTTAAAAGATCGTTCAACCAGTTAAGCAATTCTGTTCTAGATTCTCCGATATTATTACTCATTTTTATTTATTCGTATTATTTCACCTTTGATAATTATCCAAATATTATTATCCTTAAGGTCCTGTACACCACCAGATAACGTGTATTGTTTTGTTTTGTTTGTTGTTGTTATTAAGGTTTTGATAGTCGAGTTTCGTGTTGTTTTGTTTGTTTATATTTTCTTTAGTCCACATCGAGTTTTCAATAAAGCGCCAAAATTTTAATTTTTGTTTTTTTATTAAGTTTGAGAAACGTTTCAAGTAAATACACTCATTTTAATAAAGTGATTTGAAAATGAATATATATATATATAGATGGAATGATTTGATACTTTATATTTGTATATACTGTTTTATATGGTTCTAGTTCAAAAGGAGAAGAAATAAGAGAGTTATTATAGTTTTTCTACCCTGATTAAAGAACCTTGTTGGTAAAGAAGATCCAAATCTTTTCTGAAATATTTTGTTGCTACAATTCTTTTAATCTTTAAAGTTGGAGTGACCGTTCCATTTTCTACATTTAGAAGATCAGTTCCAACCATCATATTATGTAACTTTTCGAATCCTTGAAGACCTTCTGTGCAACGATTAATGATCAAAAGAAGATCTTTTTTCAAAATTGGATCATTATTAATTTTATCGAACAGTTTTTCTTCTGACAGAGACAATACTTCAGGATGCAAACGTGATAGAGCATTTTGTGTACCTTCATATTCTAAACTGACTACACCAACAAGATATGTTTGTAATGGGTCACCAAAGATAAACAATTGTGCAATGTATGGACATGAAGAAAGGTAGGCATTTTCAATCTTTTCAGGTGCAATATATTCTCCATGTGCTAATTTAAAGAAATTTTTCACACGATCAATTATATGTATTCTTCCCTTAGAATCAATAAAACCAACATCACCTGTAGAAAACCAACCATCTTTATCGATGGCTGCCTGTGTTTCATCGGGACTCTTAAAATAGTGACTAAATACTTGAGGACCTCTTAATTGTAATTCACCTTTTAAATCTTTCTTAGCGTAATAAGACATTTCTGGTACATCCTTTAATCTACATTCAGTACTTATACCAACAGCACCACAAGAACCGATGTCTCTTTCATGTGGTTCTGCTAAACAAATGCCAGCAAAGGATTCGGTTAATCCATACCCTTGTCTTATTCCGATATCTAAAGCACTACGTAAGAATAAAAGTGTTTCTTTTGCAATCGGTGCTGAACCTGTAACAATAAACGATCCATTCGTTAACCCTAGAGAATCTCTAATTTTATCGATTAGAACTCTATGATATAATAAGAAATTTAATAGCGAACGATCTGTACCACCATGACTAGAAAATCTTGCAGCTTTGTTTTCTATTATATTTGATGCAATATTTTTTTGAATGGCAGATTTGCTTAACGTTGTTTTAATACCAGATTCAAATCTTGTTAGTATCCTAGGAACCATAGATAAGAAATCGGGTTTCAGAATCTTTAAGTCTTCTACAAGAACTAAAGGATCAGGTTTATGAAGGAAACCAGAACCTACCCCCATAGATAATGCATATGAAGTAGTTTGTCTTTGAAAAATATGAGTTAAAGGTAAAAAACACATATCGTATAATTGTTTATTTTTCTTGCTATTAGGAACTTTCATTGATGATAAAACAAATGCATTACTAGAAGTGATAGCTTGATGTGTTAAAACTACACCCTTTGGTAATCCTGTTGTACCAGAGGTAAATGAAATTGTATAAGTTGTCTCGGGGGTTGGTGGGATCAAAGGAATACTGTTTAATTTACCAATCTGTTCAACTTGTTTCATTGAAAATAAAGAAATTTTTTCATTTAATTTATTAAAATTTTTAGTTAAAAGGGATTCATTAATAGATTTAAGTTCACTTTCATTTAAATCTTCCATACAAATCAAAGTATTAACATATTCAAGGTCCGGTAAAATGGAAAGAACGTTATACATATTTGATTTAGCAAATACTAATACGGGACTTTCTGTTAAATTCATAATATATTCCGACGTCTTTGGGCCTAATGTTTCATATAAAGCAGTATTAGTGATAGAATAACTTTGACATGCTAAATCTGTGATAACCCATTCCGGCATATTATGAGCTAAAATGGCCAATATAAAATCATTAGATTTAAGTGGTTTATTTCTCTTTACGTTAACTAAGGACATAATACCCGATCCAAAAGCATGAGCTCTTTCAGCAATTTGTTTATAAGTTTCAAAATGATATTGTTCTGACCATGTACTTGTTATAGGATCATATATTCTATTACCTAAACAATCATTTTCAGGCCATCTTCTTGCTGAGAACATAAAATGTTCATAACCAGTACTTAATTTTTGATCTACACAAGTGACTAATTTCTCAGGAGAAAGACTATTTCTAAATACATCACTATAATGTGAGTCTTTATCAATAGTATTGTTACCATCATTAACAATCTTATTTACTGGTACAGCTTGTTTCTTTAGATATGTCTTATAAGTTGGATAGCTATTTAATGGAAGCTCATTTAATAACTCTGCTAAATATTCGTCTGAGCCTCTAACATATCCCGCCAGTTTTTCCTTCAGTGGTTGAAACCGTACATCAGCCTGGATAACATCTGAAATAGAATAAGTTTCATACATTTGTTATTGTTGTTGTCGTCGTCGTTATTTTTATTATTACGTATCTGAAAAGTACTTAAAAATAATCTATTAAGTTCTAACCTCAAAAGTAACAAAAAAATAAAAAATACTGCTATAAATATTAATTGATGAAGAAGCCCTTAGACTCCCCTATTTATACTAAACCTGATGATCTTGTGAGCTGTCATCCATTAACTCCAATGGTTGAAAGTTTGTTTTCTCCAATACCGTATAGCATCCCCTCATTCAACCTTTTTCTTGTTTTACCAATAAGGGTATCATCACACTTCTGACAATATATTAATATCATTGGTAACTTGGAGTAAATACCACTTAACCTTCATTGTTGTTCTTGTTGTTATCGACTATTTGATGTTGAGGGGAGTATTTGGAAATGGATTTAGAGTGCATTTCTCCAATTACTGTGTGTGTGCGCGGCTGGCTAGAGAAAGTGACAACAAACAGCATAAGCCCGTTCCGGTTTTAAAAAGGGCTATCCGCTCTCTGTCTGAAAATGTTAGAAGTGGTAATAACCTTCATATATATATGTATAAATATATAAGATATATTATCAATAAATAGAGTTGAAAGAGAGGCGTTGGTATATTGAAGTCTCCTTTTTTTATATGTGTATTTACTGTAACTTAGTGGCATCTATTAGGGCATCTGCCACTACATCTGGGATACCTGGACCCTTGGAGAAACCCATCCCACCTAATGAAACTTTGGAAGAGTAATCATTGATGACGTCTTCTTCGATCGATTTTGTTAAATCGTTATAACCGATCTTGAATTGTGGTAAACAATCTTTAGCAACTGTGTAAACCCATTGACCTGCATCTAGATCCTCTCTGGAGGTTCCAAGATGTTTCTGTAAGGCACTCTTGACATTCTCTATAGTTTGTTCCTCGTTTGGAATATGTTGTTTGCCATTGGCATCATTGTACAGAGAACCGCCAACCATAGCTGTCAGTTTTGTATAATTTTGGGCTTGTGATTGTAACGTAGTTGTTGGTGACTTCGTTTCGATGAATGGTTTGAAACTCTTCTCAATAACAGAATCAAAGATTACACCTAGGACTTTTTCAGGGTTGTTATTACTCTCAGGGATTAAGTAACCAAATCCATTATTCTTTTGAGGGATAATATCTTTATCTGGGATAAATAAATTAACCAATGTTACGGTATTAGTATTGATCATATCGAGTTTTTCTTTTATTTTTGGATTTGTCCTGGAAATTAATTTTGAAATTTTGTTTGGAGCTATGGCTAATCTAACATGATCAAATTCTTTAATCGAATTTTTGGATGAGGACGATTTGTTACCGTTGGTTGTCATGTATTCAAGAACCATTTTATCCTTCTTAACTGATTGATTCATTGATGTAACATTATCTGTCAATAAAGAAACATTAGGTAATTTTACAATCGCTTCTTTAAAAGCATTTGGAAATTGTGATAATCCACCTTTCAAACCAAGCATTGGAAATTGAGCTAATCTTTTAGATAATGCACGAATCTTATTCTCATCTTTATTAAAGACCCGAGTATATAATGCAACACTTTCACTTAATTTATCTTTATTTTCATCTTCTTTCTTTGATTTATTTCTCCATCTAGAAATGGACCCTTTAGTGATTGAACCATATTTCCTTTCATCATAATATAACTTTCCGACAACTTTTTGAGCACTAAGGTTACCAACATCATCAGCATATATACCACGATATAGAGCACTGAATAAATTGCGACCAATTGCGGAACTACCATATCTTCTTGTTAGTAATGATAACACACTTTCATCTTTAATCTGAGGATCAATAGGTTTCCTTGTCCATTCAGTGATCATACCACTGAATAATCCTTTACTTAAAGGATTGAAAAAAAATTTCATTAGTGTGGGGAATGAATTAGGTACCTGAACTAACTTATTCTTTGGATCCACTATAAACTTCTTATCCGCATTAGAATCTTTGCTGATACTTCTTATTAGATCACCTTTATTCATCTCTAGCATAGAATCCATGATCATAACAGTACCATCTGAAACCCCCCTAAATGTACGAGGGCCTCTTTCAATCATGACAGGTTGGTTATTCTTGTCATGTGTATCCCACGAATTGATCCAGCCACCAGGACGACTCTCTGGGTTGAATAAAGTGATTTCAACATCTGGCCTTAACTTCCCAAGAAAGTAAGTGAACGTTAGACCTGATATACCGCCACCAACAACACCGACTTTTGCGTTTGTCGGTAATTTTATCAATTGACTCAACATATCTGTCTGTTTCTACTTACACAAATAGTTCCCTCTAATTGCAAAAAAAGTATTTGATAAAACTAATAACGATTTAAGCTTACCTCAATTGCTCTGCCCCCTTTATAAATGAGAAATGAAATAGAATAATTATCTCTCTTTCTGCATATATGTCAAGCAAGAAGAAGTCCTTGCTATCCTTCCTTTGTTAAAAGAACGAATTTCTCGGTGAATTTTTCGCTTTCGTGCCTTCAAATAGAAAATGTCGTAGAAGTATATATAAATTAATTATCAAATACCATCGATTATGTCATCAATCTAAGAATAATACGTACAGATTTGTATATCGATGTCTTTAATTATACGGAGAGGGGCAAGTTTTTCAAATCATATTTTCTTAAACGAGTCATTGTTAATTGGAACATTTATAAATATATATATATGTATATATATATAAAGGTATATTGATTATATCTCAACGCTTAATACCTAATGCTTTCTCTCTGGACTGTCTAATAGAACTTAATCTCCATGAGTTTTGGTTCTTGGCGTATCTATCATGTAAAGGAGCAAGTTTTAATTTTTTACGTGATTTACTATTATTATCAATTGCCTTATAATAATGAGGAGCAAATTCAAGAAGCCATTCAGCTTCAATGCTAGTCACTTGTGACATAAACTCCCTACTGGTTAGCACCAAAGAATTGTAGATAACATATTCATATTCTTTACCAAATAATGAACTGGATGGGTGGATACCTACAGCTGTATTACCTACGATTGTCTTATAACCAATACCTGGTTCTCTCTTAGCCGCATTCATAAAGAAACCAGTCACTAAAGTCTTACGAATAATATCTACATCACCTCGACAACTGACAATAGGTAAATGGAGTTGATTAATAATAGATAAGATCTGATCCTTGACATCCCTGGCACGTTTCAAATGTCTTCCATGTAAGAAGTTAATTTCACAGAATTGTAAAGCGCCACCAGCTTTCTCCCATTGCGTAAAGACGTTTAGTAACGTTAAATGGTCTCCATATGGGTGATTGAAACGTGCTTTTTGACGATCAGCTTGTTGTTGTTTATCTCTTGGCCTAGAGAATACATTTTGAACAGACAGCATTGCAATAATAGTAGATATCTCATCAGAACATTCATTGGTAACAGATGATAATAATACCCTGGAAAGAGTTGGATCCATTGGGAATTGTGACATTCTTTGACCTAATTTTGTTAGGTATCCATCTTCGTCTAATGCTTCTAAATTGTAAAGTTCCGTAAGTGCAGATAGAAGAAGATTTCTTGGAGGTGGATCCATGAAATCAAAATTTAACAGGTCATTGATTCCCATAGCTTTTAACATAAGGATTGTATTGGAAAGGTTTTGTCTTTGTATTTCGGGAATAGAATTTGGTAACATTTCATTGTAAAAGGCAGATTCCGTATAAAGTCTATAACATTTTCCTGGTCCTGTTCTACCGGCTCTACCTTTTCTTTGATTAGCTTGGGCTTTAGAGATGGGGGATACGATCAATTGTTCCATACCAGCCCTGGGATTATAAGAATTTACTTTGGAGAATCCAGGATCAACAACGTAATAAATACCATCGATTGTAATGGATGTCTCTGCAATATTGGTGGCAAATACTACTTTTCTACTTCCCTTAGGGGTCGGTTCAAAGATCTTTGATTGAACTTCACTGGGTAATGCAGAATATATTGGAAGAATTATTAATTCCCCGATAGCATCCCCTAACGTCTTAACCTTTTCATATAATATTTCACAACAAGAATCAATTTCTTCTTGACCTGTGAGAAAAACTAAAATATCACCAATATCGTTGTTAATGTGAATATCCATAACACAATCTAATGTGGCTTCGATATAATCCATTTGAGGTGTCTGTGAATACATTACCTCCACAGGAAAGGTCTTACCAGGTATATGGATCACTGGACAATCATTGAAGTATTTTGAAAATTTCTCAGAATCAAGAGTTGCCGAAGTAATGATAATTTTAAGTTCAGGTCTTGCCTTAGCGGCTTCTTTTAATAAGGCAAATAGGATATCAGTTGCTACAGTACGTTCATGTGCCTCGTCCAGCATAATTACAGAATATTTAGACATCATTGGGTCCAAAAGGGTCTCTCTTTGTAACATACCATCAGTCATATATTTGATTTTTGTCTTTCGGGATGTTCGGTCATCAAAACGCACATTATAACCAACTTCTCCCCCTAATTCACATCCTACTTCCTCTGATACTCTTTTTGCAACGGAAATAGCGGCAACTCTACGAGGTTGGGTACAACCTATCATACCATTTGCGCTGAATCCTTCTTCATTTAAATATTGTGTGATTTGTGTTGTCTTACCAGAACCTGTTTCCCCAACTATCACAATAAATTGATTTGCTCCTATAGCTTCTATTAATTTTGATTTCATGTTGTACACAGGTAATTCCTTCCGTTGCTGACTTATAGGTAAAGAGGTTCTCTTACCGAATGACACTTTTTCTTGAATTCTATTCTTTTCCCATGCTGTCACAACAAGCTCCTTCTTTAGCATGTCAATATCTTGTTTATATTCTCTTCTTGTTTTAGTAGGATCATTCATTGAACTTAACTGTCTAATCTGTTGTTCAATATTCTTTTTCTTCTCTAACTTTTCTTCTCTATGTTCCTTCATTGTAAGAGATCCATTCATTGCAACTCTATTCATTGAACCCCGTGGCATTTTCACAATTTTTGTTGGTTCAAATCCCTTATCCTTTGACGGAAGTTCATTCTTCAAAAAATTAGGTTTAGCATCCGTATTTAACTCAACATCAAGCACCTCCATATCTTCATCGAACCCAGATCCACCGGTTATAATTTGACTATCATCTCCATCTTTTTTTGTCTTCTCAGTTTCAGGTTGTTCATTAAGTTCTGGGTAGTCTTCAATAGAAGCAGCTCCACTTGCGATCAGTTGCCGTATTTCCCATCTCTCTGGAGAGGTTAATTTTCTTTTTTTAATCTTAACCGATGGAACTTCCTTCCTTATAGAAGTTCTTCCACGTTCGTTACCATCTGTCTCTCGTTGCACGTTATCGATATCCCTTCCTGTCACTTGATCGACTCTTTTCATACTTAATGAAATTCTACCATCATCACCTAGTTTAATAACTTTAATATATACTTGCTGTCCTTCCACCACGCAATCTTTAGGTTCTTTTATACGCCTCTTAGACATCTCTGATATATGAACCAGCCCTTCACATTTTTTGACCTTAACCCCCATAATAGATACAAAACAACCAAATGGCATTAGTCTTTTCACTATTCCTTTATATATATGATTTAGTGTTGGATATGAATCCAACTTTTGTGTCTCATTTCTAGATTTGCATGGTACTAAGTCTTTTGTATCTTTCATTGCCTTCCAATCAACAGCTTTGTTAGGCATATTCAGGCCATCATATTGTTCAGTTTTTGAAATAAATGGATTACTTTTAGTCTCAGCGGTAATTTTTTTAATTTTCGTAACATTATATATTTCATTCAATGCATCATCATTTAGACCACTATCTAATTCCTTCATTTTCTCTTTGAACATATTTAAAGTATCACATTTTTTGAGTAGTCCTTCTGTAAAATCCTTCAAGAGTACCACATCGGATTCTGACGTTATGCCCAGATTCTCTTTTAAGTAACTTCCTAGTTCAAATTCCGGTCGTTTAGGTAAGAGATGGTATATCTTATGGATCATATCATGCTGTAATCCAACTTCTAATTCATTAATTTTCTGCTCAAATTGTATCTCACTTTTCGCTTTGCATTTTATATCCTTCAGAAACTCTAAAATTGCCGTATCATCAGTACCAAGTAGAGCAAATATTTCATCATCTTTATTACTCATTAGGACTATCACTAACTTATTTCACGTGCGTTCAAAAACAAGACTGTGTTTGATTTTCTGTATATTAATAATGCAACTACTTTATATAGTTTTGCGATGAGTTTAAGGTTTCCTTAATATAAATTTTCTTTTATGTAATAATATGTCAATTTTGAAATTTTTTCGAAACCACTATGCGATTTATTAGAGAGCAAACAAATTAGACAAACGAAGCCAATTTATCTCTATGAAGAATCTTTGAGTGGATTAGAGAAAAGACAAAGATTACAAAATTAGTTCAGCATTTAGCAAAAGCTATTTAAATTTGTTTTTTGATATTTCAATCAATTTTCATGATTGCAAAAACGACTCAGTTTTCGTACGATTGTTTTCGAACAATTTTACAAATCAGTAACACTACAAAGGGAAGGAACATGGAAGATTTTCATTTGAAAGTAATTTAATATATTCAAGGAACATAAGATATTCAATTTGTATTAATATCCCAAATATAACTTCAAAATCTTACTGAACTATCAAGTATTTTTGCGGTAAATAGGGGAAGCTAGTAAACTCATATCTCAAGAATGAACACACATCAAGAAAACCTAATTGATATAACAAATATAACTTAAAGATTACATAGGATGATTGGTGATACTAAATTGAGATGTATGATTGTGAAATATGATACTGGATGTGACAAAAAAAAAAAATTGAATCTGAAGTCTGTCACGTAGAGGTTCTAAAGATCCCTCATGTTATGTGATAATCCAAATTTTGGGGTTGTTTGCTAAGAGAAAATTATTATCGGCTCAGAGTATAATATCCCGTCGATACCGACGGGCATCGATGTCCTATAAATATGGTATACATGAGAAGCTAAGAAGTTTTCGATGAATTAAATGTATTTCAGAAGATTCAATAAGAGGAGACTAAGGGACGTGGAGTTTAATACAGAACATAATAACGTCGACGTTAACTTTGTGACATTATCAATCAATAATCTACCACGTTAGATCCACTATATTATAATCATCTTCAATTTATCTCATTCGATTGGGTATCCATACCTTATTCAATCGAATTACAATAATTAACTTTCTACAACACCTTCTTGTAAATCAAATAGCCATATCTCCTTAAATTGGCAACAGTCTTGTACTTCATTTAATAACTGGGAAAAGATCATTTATTTTCCCTAACGCATCCAAAAAAAGAGAAAAAGAAGAAATACTCCGATACGGGGAGTCGAACCCCGGTCTCCACGGTGAAAGCGTGATGTGATAGCCGTTACACTATATCGGACCTTATTGTACAATTTAGGAAAAATGGGTTCACTAAGTTGTAATTAAAATATCCGGGTAACACTATTTCAAATTTGTTTAAATATGAACTTTTGGGGGGATTTTTGTAAACGTAGGTTGGATATCGAGAAGGTACGATTATTGTTTGGGTTTATAACGTCGGACATAGAGATAGATTATCAAATGTATTCTTGTACTTTATTATATGCTATATAAAGTAGATATAAGAAAAGGAAATAATATACATATGTATTAGAATATGTGACCCTTTCATAGTATTGAAAAGGGTGGCAAAGCTATCAATTACTGAGAGTGTAATTGCTAATCATCTCAAAGAATGTTCTGGAGCATCATGGAAAAATCTCCGAAAGTTCTAGAATGTTATGAAGTATTATTACTAAATGTTCCACAAGGTTCTAGAACTTATTAGTAATAATCCTAATAAATGTAAAATGTTAAATAACTAAGTATTGCCACTTAATATATTATAACCGTATCTAAGTGTTCACAGGATTTAACTTTTAATATCTAATTGTTGCCAAAGATTGGAGTAAATTAAGTCCAAAAGTAGATGAAAGTAGGACAATATGGTTGGTACTATAAAATATGAGTGTTAATGATGATCACCAAGCTTCTTATACCTGAGACTGTATTCTAAGTAAGACTTAAGATAAACTTAAATAAATTAAAGTTTCCCCTAAGAAAACACTAGCAAAGAGAAGAATTTTGAGCATATAATCGATGGGTACCATGCGTAATAAATTACATTTCAAAACTTCAAAAATCTAATAGAGAACACTGTTAATAAATATAAATTATCAACTAGAGATGGTAATTAGCACTGAAGAATCAAATTAAACTAGACAATATTACATTATTGAAAATTATTTTAACTTTATATTTATTTTTATCATTTAGTAGCCGTGTCAATAATATCACGATACCTCACCTCTAGTAAACAAAAAAACAATAGTGATATTGTTCTCCTTCCTGATTTTTTTATTTTTTTCTTTTGCTAATTAAGCAATTATTCCTTCTAACCCAAATAAAATCAATACCATGCCCACCACAGCCTAATTGGGAATCCAACCGCCCACTCCCCTTTTTTACCCTCACGTAGAAAGCAAAGCAAACTGTGGGCACCTGACATCACGTTACACGACGGGCTTCCACTATACAAAACAAAGAAAAGAAGATTTCAATTTTTTTGATTCATTTTTTTGCATATTTTATGCGCTTAACTAACTAATTGACCGGCATCGCCTTTTTTCAATATTTTTCAACTTTTTTTGGATAAATTATGAAATTTTCAGTATAATTATGCATTTATACAGAGAACATTGTAGGTTGCCTCTACTAGATTGGGTGGGACCCCATTACATAAGATGTTTTGAAAATTATACGTATATATATATATATATCTAGACAAGATTGGTAAAGCATACAGAAAAAGTAAATCCTTAGGAAATTAGGTTTTTAAAGATATCGTCATTGAATTTAAATGAGAAATATCGTTTGCAGAAAATTAATTACTATCGGGAGCTATTAAAAAGGGAAAAGAGAAACAATTGATTGATAATTAGAATAAACAAAATGTCGAAGATAGAATTAGGTCGTTATTTATTTGAAAGATTAAAACAAGTCGGTGTACGTACCATCTTTGGTTTACCTGGTGATTTCAATTTAGTATTACTTGACAAATTATATGAAGTTGAAGGTATGAGATGGGCAGGTGACACCAATGAATTGAATGCAGCATATGCTGCAGACGGGTATGCTCGTGTCAAAGGTATGGCTTGTATGGTGACTACATTTGGTGTAGGTGAACTTTCTGCGTTAAATGGTATTGCAGGTTCATATTCTGAACATGTTGGTGTTTTACATGTTGTAGGTGTACCATCAACTTCATCACAAGCAAAACAATTATTATTACATCATACGTTAGGTAATGGTGATTTTACAGTATTTCATAGAATGTCAGCAAATATTTCTCAAACAACTAGTGTAATTACAGATGTTACTACTGCAGCATCAGAAATTGATAGATGTATTAGATCAACTTATATATATCAAAGACCTGTTTATTTAGGAATTCCAGCTAATTTTTTCGAATTAAACTTACCTGCATCATTATTAGATACACCAATTGATTTATCATTAAGACCAAATGACTTAGAAGCAGAAAATGAATGTGTTGATGAAATTATAAGAATGATTCATAAAGCCAAGAGTCCAATAATTATATCCGATGCATGTGCCTCCAGACATAATGTTAAACGTGAAACACAAAATTTAATCGATGTAACACAGTTCCCTGCATTTAATACGCCAATGGGGAAAGGTACCATTGATGAGAATCATCCAAGGTATGGTGGGATATATGTTGGTTCATTATCAAAACAAGATATTAAACAAACTGTTGAATCTGCAGATTTGATTCTTTCCATTGGTGCATTATTATCTGATTATAATACAGGTTCATTTAGTTATTCATATAAGACAAAAAATATGGTAGAATTTCATTCGGATCATATGAAAATAAAGAATGCTACATTTCCAGGTGTTCAAATGAAATTTGTTTTACAAAAATTAGTTGAAAATATTCCACAAGCAAATATAAATTATAAACCAATTCCAATTCCACAACCATTACCACCTAATAATGAAAATATACCAGATTCAACACCGTTGAAACAAGAATGGTTGTGGAGAGAATTGAGTAAATTCTTAATAGAAGGTGATATTGTAATCACAGAGACCGGTACTTCATCATTTGGTATAAATTCTACAATATTTCCCGCAAATACTTTAGGGATCTCCCAAGTGTTATGGGGGTCCATTGGTTATGCTGGAGGTGCTGTATGTGGTGCAACATTTGCAGCTGAAGAACTTGACCCAAACAAGAGAGTTATCTTATTCATTGGGGACGGTTCTTTACAATTGACAGTACAAGAAATATCTACCATGATTAGATGGAATTTACATCCATATTTATTTGTTTTGAATAATGATGGTTATACAATTGAAAGATTAATTCACGGACCTGAAGCTTCATATAATGCAATTCAAAGTTGGGATCATTTACAACTATTACCTGTGTTTGGTGCAACAGATTATGAAACGTATAGAGTCTCTACTGTTGGTGAATGGAGGAAATTAACTAATGACAAATCTTTCCAGATGAACTCTACAATTAGAATGATAGAGATAATGTTACCAGTGATGGATGCACCTGTAGCATTAATAGCACAAGGGAAACTATCGGAACAACTGAATGCTGCAAGTTAGAAGCAGAAAACAAACAAACAAACCTCCATGCATCTTTTTCTTTGCTTACAATAAACTTTCATTAGCATCATCATCATAATACCTACTTATAGACATACATACACTACATACAGATTCATTAATTATTAAAATAAACTAACATAATATTATTAATTCTTCAAGAACAAAAAAGATAAACAAACATATCAAAACGTCTCATAGCAGAAAGTCACATCATCAAAAAAATAATAGAAGTATTTCGTTTTTTGATTATAATATTTAAAAATATAAATATGCATATATATGAAAGTATTTTCGTCAAAATAATATTATTACTCATCAAATGATCGGGTGTTTTAATTAATACGGCACATTACCTACCATTTTCTTTCTTTAAAACCCATTCAACAATAGAATTTGGTGGAATTCAGCAGTTTTATCAGAACCTTTGTTGTACATCCTTTTATTTTTATAGTGAATATATATATATATATGTATATGTATACTTTAAATAATTGTATAGTATTATTCCCAAGAACACCAAAAAAGAGGAAAATGTAACAGGTTAAGAGAGAAAATTATATCAAGATTAATCTCGAAGAAAAAGTGTCATTAACAACATCAACATTTTATATCAACTACCAATGTGAACGGCTGTTTATCGAAACCGAAAATTTTTTCTTCATCTCCTCATCGTAATTGCCTGCATTATATCTTTGAATAAAACAAATTTGGTGGGATTACTTAAACAATTTTTTTTTCATTTGGCTCTGCCAGGAAAACTGAGCGACAGGTGTTCTCCGATTCAAATTTTTGAGTACTGCCCCGCACCCCCACGCCCAGAAATGGCCGCAGTAAAGACGGAATGAAAGAGATAAATCGTAATTTCTTTTTTTCTTTCGTTCGTTAGTTCCTGTTTTGCCGCCGTCGTTTCTTTTTGGCACTGTATATTGCCGCAGGACGGCTGACGGGAGGAAATTGATTTCCTGATTTGAGGGGGGAAAGGAAAAGCGACGCGTTGTTTCTTTTTTGAAGTCCGAAATGAAGTTTTCAGTTCGAAATTCTTTCAGTGCCAATTATTTAGTCACTGTTGTAACGTGAGGGATGAAGGGTAATAAAGGTTTTAAATATTACTGATTAATCGTTCTTCAATCGGGTAAGAACCACGGGAATAAACTTTATTGATGTTGTTAGAGAATTACAATTGGTTCATTACCTTTCTTTTGTTTTGGCTACTTTAATATTTTATTTACTTCTTGCCTATCCAAATTTAATTGATAGATGGTAATAGCTTTTTTTAATAATATTCCTGGTGACTACTAACTGATTGTTTTCTTGAAATATGTGATATTCTGTAGTTTTTCAACCCCCTTTTTTTTAAAAACTACCCCGGAGATCACAGTGTCCATATCTGATAATCAAACAATTGTTTATTGATATACTATGATAATAAATAAATGAATCAATAGAATAAAAAGAAGATGCTTTGTTCGATTGAATTTCTTAATGATAAGATGAATGGACAATCATATTACCACTATATATGTTTAAAGATAGTGAAATTATTCAAAAACATTTTTGAATAGATTTTGAGAGAACTTGAAACGATGAGTAACATTCAATTGTGAAAAAAACACAACTCCATATTTGGAAGTGATATAAAACAATGTCTCAACTTATTTGTATCATTTCTCTCTTCATAATAATGGGAACTCTACAGGAGGCATTTATGTAGTTCTTATCTCGAAGCAGAACCTTTAATTTCTTATTTATTCATTTCAGATATTTGTATAAAAAAAGCGATGTACTACGTAATTGAAGATTTACTTAGAGCACGATAACGCTCGTTTGGTTCCAAGCAAACTGATGTGTAGGTTAGAAGAATTTTATCAGTGACTAAAGGTAACTTATTGCGATACTTAGCCGGAAAACGTTGTAAATATTTCGTAATAAGGAAGAGGCAACATATAAAACAAGAAAAAACAAGAATGAATTCAGTTAGAATACTCAAAAACAATTACGAAAAACATAAAGTCAACACTGAAAATAACAAATAATCACATTTAAATAATTTGTAGATTATATAATGTAAAATAAGTGATCGGTAATCATACTAAGAAATGAGTACATAAAAGTATATTAAGAAACCAGAAACTGACTAACATAAAGAATAAAATCTCTTGACCTGGAATTTCACTATTACTAGGATAGGGTATTTTTGTATCAAATACAATAATGTGATAGTAAGTTAAGTTACAATATATTATGAAACCTAAGAACATTAACCGTCCTTCTGTTTCAAATTTTCAAAGACAGCCTAAAGGAATGACCCAACGAGATATAATTATGTATTTAACAGGTTAAAAGTCTTTATATAAAAGGTTTAATGTTAAAATAGTGAATATTTACTATTATTCTAAAATTAACTAAATTTTGTTACCCGGATATCTTTTAGTTAAGACATAAAAATTAGTTTAACTTTTCAACTAATTATTAGCGCAAGTGGTTTAGTGGTAAAATCCAACGTTGCCATCGTTGGGCCCCCGGTTCGATTCCGGGCTTGCGCATTCCTTTTTTTTTATTTTTTTTTATCGATTTTTTAATGGTTTCAACAACGCATATAACTATAACATGAAACTAACAAATACTCCTCTTTACTTTTACAATTATTGGAATTTATTATCTTACACTCTTGCAAAATAAGAGACTTTCATCAAGCTAAATCTTTCATGATTATTTAATGCGCTGAGCGAACTTTTAAGCACAGTCAAAAATAATATAACAAAAAGGTGGAATAATCATCAAAGAATTTCTACAGGTAACTGGTGCTCTGCTTTAGACATTACATCCATCAATCAATAATGAGTAATCAAGCTCTGTTCGAGAAACTGTCTCAAACTTCTGAATTACTGAGTGTAAAACTTGCACAACTGATTAGGCTCTCATCCTTGGAGAATATCGATGATAATGACGACGATACAAACAGCCCTAATGAGGGTTCAACGTTGGGAAATACATTGACATCAGAGACCGACATATCGGTTGCTACGTCTGGTGTTATGCTGGTAAATAGCCAAACAATGCAACTGGTCAAGGGTGTTCAAGATTTGTTGCTCCTGACAAGAAACATTAGGGAAAAATGGATACTGAATCAAATTCCTGAAAAAACGGAAACTGAGGTTCCAGCTATTAATTACGAAGAATTGGATGGTTTACTTGAGAAATGTATGGAAGAGATAATTGGTGAAGCAAATTTATAAGTGTAACAACACCATATGAATAATTGTAATATATATTTAATAAATTAGGTCATTTAAATAGACTACAATACTATGTTTTTTAGAATATGATGTCTACAGTCAACAAGTGTTTCTTTATTTCTGTATTTATTTACTTATTTAGATATTTACGTGCTAATGATCGTACTCTGGAATCAAATACCGGACTTGAAATTGGATCACCTGCTTTATAAAATGGGTTCATTAAGGACTTAATGTATAGTTCATGGATTTCTTGGTAGAAAGATCTACATGCAGCATCATCTATAACAACGCTAGTGGAAGTATTAGAACCACTACTGCTGGAGGTTCCATGAACCATGACAAATTTCATACCACCATACGATATATAAGCTGTAATAGCCAATCCATAAAAATGATCAACTTTACCTAGGTAGCAATTATCTGTATTGTTGACATTTTTGGATCTTAAAAAACCTCCTGTACTCGATATACTGAAATTACTCCCACTTCCACTGGTATTATCATTCGTATACTGGGAATTAGATGGTACTACCTGCCATTGTAGATCTTCAATAATATCAAGAGAGGCATGTAATATGAATGGATTCATTTCTTTCAATTCTTGAGAGAATCCAAGGTTCTTTTGGTTTCCTTGTTGAATAGAGAATTCTGCTTCATATATGGGATTGTCCTTATGGCCAATGATTGCAAAATATTGAGGCATAGTGAAAGTTCTCTTTGTATGCGAGTGATTGATAACTTAAAATAACGATCAGGGTATAACTATCGTCCTTGATGTTCTCTTAATTGTTATTAAGCCTTTTGGTTCCTGTTGTTTTATGGTTTCTTGCGTTTATCATGACGTGTATGATTCATTTCCTTTGTATTGCGGCGGTGCTTTTTTAAATGGATCTTAGCTAAGGAAAAATGTCGATATTAAAGAAAGTTCAAATATTTTCACCAAGGGAGAGATGACTTAAGTGGGATTTTTCAACGCAGTTATTAAAGAAGTTGAAATCAACAATTTACAAGATTTGTATAGTAACTGAGACTCATTAAGATTTAATAAACCATTAAGTTAATATAAAGAGTTCCTATAATTCCATACGTAGAGAGCTTCAAAGGGGTGAATCAACATCCATAATAGCAGGTATGAACACAACATCAGGAAAAGATTCCAAATCTATCAGGAAAGATGTCAAAACAACACTAAACCAAAACAATATATCGGATCATAACTTATCTAACCAAAATAGTAACACTATGGTCGAATCATATGAGTCAGATTCTGAGAGTTTAGAAGGTAAAAAAAAGACTGAACAATCAACAAATAATAATAGTCGTAGAGTGAAGTTAGTAACAAAATTATTTTTAGATATGAATTCAGGGTTGATGGATGATTTAAATTATGATAGAGATGTGGACAAGAAATATGATGGTGAAACGAATAACGATAGAAGGAGTAGTAGGGGTAATGATGCTGATAGTTCTATATATGACGATGAGAATAACGAAAACCGCGAGTATGGAAGCCTCATACCTATGGCAGAGCAACACACAGTACCCAAAATATCAAAGACCACTAGATTAAGAGCAGAAAGAGTACGAATATACCTTGATTATTATTATAACGTAATAGAAGGGACACTTCGATCAGGTGAAGATGAGAATGGAAATGAAAGGAAGAACATACATAAAAACGTTGAAGGTATTTACAATCCTCTTCAAATAATAAGAAACAGAAAACTAAAGAAGAAATATCGTGGAGAAACAGCAAGTTCGGGATTTTTATTCTACAAAGCTCCTATTATCGCAGTCATTCAATTTTCTAAAATTCCAAACAGAAAGAACTACAAATGGTTTGTTGATGTCAATGAGAAGTATGCAGACATAACATTCAGATCTCAGCATTGGGATGAATTAGTAGACCCTACAGGACATAAATGGTTTGGAACGCAGAAGACTCACAGATTTAGATCGGAAGCTCATAAAATAAAGAAAAATCGTGGTAGCACACATATTAATGGTCACCTACACCATAATCATAAAAAGAATAACGGAAAAAGTTTGTTGTTAAGGGATAGCGATCAATCCTCAGATTCCATTTTAAACAAAGTGCCAAAATTAATAGTGACAACAGATCATTCCGATCCTAACCTTGGGTCAAGAACGTCTAGTAATAGCAACGGTATCAGTAGTTATTCATCTGACGGTGATAAAGTCAACTACAATGAGAGATTAATGCAGACAGTATCTGATTCCGAGATTGAGGATGGGAGTTCAAAAGAAAAAGATGGTGGTCATTTGAATAAATTTGAAAAGATTCTCAATAAGACAAAGAACTCCAAAAGGTGGTCTAGATCCAAATCTCCAAGCAAGATACGAAGTGAGGAGAATAACAATGGTAGTCATGAATCCAAGAAAGATATTACGAAAATAGTCCCACAGGAGTTCGAATTAGGACAAGATGATCCCAATAGTAATGAAGCAGCCCATCGAGGCAGCGTAAGTGGGCCTAGTGGTAAAGATAACTACAATACCTACCAGACACCAGTTGAAGGTACAGCTGTTAAGAAACTATCTCTATTAGATGATATCCCTATCCGTACAGTGAAGGGTCACTCAGCCAAGAAGCTAAATGTAGAATCTCCAGAATTGACCGCAGTTTCCAGTGGTAGTTATAAGTACGATAACGAGATCAAAAGTATCGAGAACAAGAGAGGAATTAAAGATGATGATATACAAAAAAGATTAACAGTTGAAAATACGGAAACTGTTATTAAGAATAAGAATCTTAATGTATTATCTAACAATTGGGATAATTCAAAGAGTGGTTCTAGTAAAGAAGCGACACCTTTCTCCAAGAGAAGCAGTACAAATGCTTTTGATGAATTACCTGTAGATATTCAATTACAGAAATATTGGCAAGATACAAGATATGTTATTAGTACTATTGCTATCATGGAACATCGGAGACAATCACATGATTTAGTTAGGCAAAGGGCTATTCATCGTAGAAACTTGATAAAAGTAGATGAAAATACTGAAAAGAATATGGCAGATACAGAAAAAATTATCAAAGAATATGATGAAGGATTAGATAGGGTGTTAAAAATTGGTAACAATTGGACCTCGAAATTATTGAATGATTACTCTATCAGGGTCGAAACCTTGATCTCCGCAAGTGATAGAATTCTGAGTGATATTAATACCACCTTGACATTAAAGTTAAAATTGTTTCAAGAAAATACAGATAGGTTTGGTACTATACGTACTATGCAATCACAAAAAATGACTAAATCTATTTATAAGATATTAGAATTTTTTATCGTGTTAGTGCTGTGGAGTATCTGGCTTGTTGTAAGCATAGTGAGAGAAATCAAGTTTTCAATTATGCTAGTATTGAGATTTATAAAATGGGTATTATGGTGAAAGTATGACTTTTTAAGAATATATATAGTGAATTACCGAAATATATACAAAAACATTAAGGGCTTTTTTGCTATTATAAATTTTATTGTTTTCAACTTTGAATATATAAATATTGGAAAAGAACATAGAGTTTCAAACCTTCTTCTCCATCCATTCTTCTTTTTTTTTTACAAATTAATATAAAACTAGAATAAAACGGGTCCTTAATTATAAACATGGTTTAAACCCGTTCTTAGATAATAGCAACTCCTTCATCCAACAAAGAGCAACCAAAATATATTGTTCATTAGCTTTTGGTACGTGTGATACCATCTGATACAAAATCTTCCTCTAAGAAGATACCTCTGTCTGCAGCTTCATCCAAGATCTGACTTCTTCTTTTCAGTTCGTTTGCGTAATAATTGTTCTGGAAGATCAAAAGTTGTTTATCGGCTCTGAAGACTGCTCCCATTGATATCCATGAGCAATGGTAGAATACACGTACAGGAGTTCTTACATTCCGGTACACTGTTGAAACCCTTCGTAATATCAAACCAGTAGTAATACTAATTAGGGCACCTTGAGCAGCACCAATAACACAAGCCACAGCAATCTAGAAAATTATAATTTGAAATAAACATATCCATAAAATTATTATAATAAATATGTTCAATTTTTCAATACATGTTAGTAAAAATAAAAACCATAACTCTTTATTCAAAAGATCTTATTCCTTTTTACCAATATAGTAAAATACATACTTCTCTTGTTAATTGTTTGACTGTAGCAGGATCATAATGAACCGGTTGTACATGTTCACGCATTATTATTAAATATTTATGGAGTATCTCTTTGTTAAATTGATCCTTCCCGTTACTTCATGAGTATCCAGGTTCCATTCAACTGGTTACGACTAATATATGAACTGATTACCTCTATCCTTTAAAAATATATATATATATATATATATATCGGTTACATAATTGAAGCGGAAAACGCGGAGAGATCTGTCTCTGTTTTGATTGAAAAGAGAGCAAATAGGCAACAATTATTGAGCTGAAAGAGAGAGAAATGGAGCAATCTGGGATAATTACTGAATAAGACCAGGTTGATCATGTATGTTTGTATGTGTGCAAAGAAGATAGTATTTAAATATAAATATATGAGTGTATGTATGGAATAGGTTGGAGGGAGGGGGAGATGCTTCATTAGAATGTATTTTTGTTGTTTGTGGTGAGTATATCACTTAAACTATTGTTATTATTACTGTTTCTATGTTGTGATGTGCTATTTTCAGAATGTATATTCATCATATGCTTGAGTAATTGTAAAGGGCGTGATAATAAGTTGTTAGCGCTTTCATTATATTGGTTTAATTTATCATATAGATTACTAATAATAGCATCTTTACTATTACCTCCTACCCACATCCCATTCAAAGTATCATCTTCTTGAGCTAAATGTTGAATCAAAGTACACCATATATATGACAATTGTTCTAAACATTTATCGTAATAATAATTGTTACTAGGTAATGTAAACCTTGGTAACTCACAAACCATTTGAGTACATGAACCCAAAAACAACAGAGATTCTTGTAAATTTGTTGAACGTGGTGGAATATTGTTAAGGATATAATCTGTTAGACAATTTAAAAATTCTAGTACTAAAGGTTTTAGTCTAACAAATGCATAATCATCTAATCTCGGTATATTATTGTTCATATAATCTTTATTGTAGGGGATAGTTGAATAAATTTCTTGAAATTTTTCCTTAAGAGAAACTAATCTACGATCATTTGAGAAAGAATATTGTGACAAAGAAGATTGTAAATGTTGGGTCACTTGAGGATGTACTTGTAAAAGATCCATTATTACGTTTTGAAGTTGTGATTTATCCATTAGATCCAAACTTCGTTCTAAAGGTAATGGTTGTCCTTCTATCATTGCAATATAATTAGGTGTTACTATACCATCTAAAGATGTATTTCCTGTAACTCTTGCGGCGACGGCAGCAGCAGCAGCAGCAGCAGATGCAGTAGTTGTTGTTGAAATATGAGCGATGGAATTTGGTCTCTTCTTAGCCACCATATATTTCCTTAATAACATATTATTGTTGTTATTACCATTACCACCACCTAAACTATTAGCGGATCTTGGGATACTTGAATCCATATCACTATCGTTATCATACTGTCTCTTATGGCGAGTAGGTATAGGTGCTATATTATCTTGTTTTCTTTCAGATGTCATCACCTGTTGTTGTTCTTGTTGTTTGTTTTGAAGGCTGTAACCCCAAGAAAAGCCTAACATCTGAGTTTCGCTGTTATTCTTGTGTTCGTTATACATCGGAGATACACACTATGTTTGGTATAGACGTCTCTCTTATCTGACTTTTCCTTCTTCTTTCTCCTGTGTAAGGTAATAAATTAGTTTCTTATATATTTACATGTATATTTAGTCTCAAGCAGTGGTAAGAAAATTTACAGAATGGCAAAGAAAGGAAAAGAAAAATTATTTGGAAAAAAAAAAATTCCAAAAAACAGAGAAAATCTAGCGAAATTGGGTCATCGGTCGTATTTGTACGGATGTTTCTGAGTTAAAAAAGAAAGTTGAATGAATGAAAGAGGGAGAGATGGAACAATTTTCATAAATATATATATATATAAACTTATTTAATTATTTTGTTGATAGATATTTTTGAACTTTCTCATCTATGATTTGTTCGATCAGCTTATTTAAAGTTGAATGAGAATCATCAAACTGATTTTGTAATGCAACAGAAATTTGTTTTTCAATAAGTTTACCTGTAAGATCAACTTCAATGTTTACTAAACTTCCAATCTTCTTTAAAGGCATTACTACAACATCTTGAGTATGTGCAATCATTGCAATATAAAATGTACCATCGGCATCAACTTGTGTGACTGTTAAAGAAGTACCATCAATACAAATAAATCCCTTCTCTACAATAAATTTTTCATATTGTGAATCTCTTAATTTGAAACCAAATACTAAAGAATTACCTTCGGGCGTTACAGAGACAATATTAGCCACTGTATCAACATGTCCTTGAACGTAATGTCCACCAAATCTAACCTCTTGCGATACTGCACGTTCTAAATTTATTCTTGTACCAGTAACCCAATCAGAAACATCTGTACGTACAATAGTCTCTGGGGAGATCCCAACTTTGAAAGTGTCTTTGTCGAATTCAGTAACTGTTAAACATATCCCATTACAAGCAATACTGTCTCCAATATGACAGTCATTTAAAATAGCAGATGCACCTTTAATAGTCACTGAAACACCTTGGCCACCCGATGCACTATTGTCTTGAGGATTGTACTCCGCGACAGTACCCATTAGCTCTACTATTCCTGTAAACATGATCAACCTATATTATCTATTACCGTGGATATATAGATACAGATATAGATATATATTCACTGTGTTACTGTTATTGGCTAAAAGAACTTTCTTTCATTGCTCATTTTCCCCTTTTTATAGTTAAAAAATTTCGAATTCCAAATTTCAGTTTTTTCTTCCGTTCCGCTTTTTGTTTTATTTTGCTTAGTGATGATAAAGACGGAAGACGGAAGAGGGAGGTTGGCGGTTAAATCTTATAAATCTGATAAAACCTTTTGCCACCTGTTATTTCAGTTAATAATTCTTCAGGGATACGATATAACTATTTGATACCATATTCTCAGCGTTGATCCAACATCGGTGGTTATGATACCATTGGTTTTGTTCTTTACAAGAAGCATTCAATTGTTAGCTATCACCTAGTGAGGTTTTTGTTCAGTTGTTTGAAGATGTGGAATCCAAAACGGACACGTCTTAGTTATCTGTTTATATATCCACGTATGGTGATTTCGGAACTGATGGTGAATGGTAATGTACCGATAGGAAGACAGAGAGAGGGATTTCATTGGGTAAGATAGGCATGTGCACATGTAATATATATTTTAATTTTTTAAAACCCTAACATTAGGGTTTCAATTTTCAATTTTTGAAATTTTTTTTAGAATTTCCGCTCACGTGACACACAACGGCACGTGACTCGTCACTGCACGTGATTTTAACTCCGCAATTTTTCACTTTCTTTGTTTCTTTTCTAGCTGAGTATTGCCGTTTTGACATCGCCACGGCCAAGAGTCATAATAATATTACCATTAAACACTACATTTTCACTAAGTGTCTCTGTCCTACATTCTAGGAAGTGTGGCATACTTTAGTTTTGATTATTTAAAATTTATTTGGTACTATAGTATTGAAAAACTGTAAACTTTGGTTAATTTCGTGATATATATAAATATATATATATATCTGAGAGATCGATGAAGTGAACAAAATACAGCACATTCACTCTTTTAAACATTTTGATGCTTTTTTTTTTCCAAATTATTAAAGGTAAGAGAAGATTAAACAACAAAATAGTTCGATAAAACAAACCTTTTGACATTTCAATTAAAACTTATAAAGAAAAAAAGGAATGTCTTCTGTAGAAACTATCACGAATCCATTTGTTGGTGTCAATACTGACTCTAAAAATCAATATCGTACTCCAGTTGATTTAATTAATAACACTATCGCTCCAAATGTCTCTGCCATCTTTGGTTACAAAACTTATTCTCAAGCAGACCTTTTGTATTCAAATTTACCATCATCTGTTAAATTCTTTCAAGAATCTGATATCAGAGCAGGTGCAGGTCTAGCTCCATTAGGTTATTCTGCAGCTCGTCAATCTTCAATTGCCAATAAACCTATTGGTATTATTACTCCAGGTTATGGTCTACCATATTTTGCCTCTTCTTTAAGCAATTCAACCACTAGCTTCATTTTTAATGTTGCTGCACTAGCTTACCAAGAAAAAGAAAGTACTCTTGGTTCTGACTACGTTACTCCATTATCTGTTGCCAAACAACTAGGTTATAACGTTATCACACCTATTTCTACTAAAGAATTGGAATTGACCTCATTATTATCTGTTATTCTAGCCACAGTTTCCAATGCTAGATCCACTATTCATCTTTTTGATGGGCTGAATACCACTCGTACTTATGCTTCATTAAAAGCAACCATTGGAAACTCTGAATCCATTGTTACTTCTTTAACTAAAACTTTAGGCAACGAACCTTCTTTAGATACTATTCTAAAGGGTTTCAATGAAATTACTGGTAGTAACTTGGATAACTTCAATTACTCCGGTCCAAGTGATCCAGAAACTTTGTTTGTCACTTATGGTACTACTGAATCCGAATTATTTAGTGCTGTAGTTCCAACTTTGTCTGTTAGAATTCCACTACCATTTGATACTGTCAAGTTTATCAATGCTATTCCAAAGAGCGTCAAGAAGATTGTTGTTATTGGTCAATCATTAAATGATAACCATGCTGCTCCATCATTATTGAGACTAGATGTTTCATCAGCTTTGTTTTATCATAACCGTAGAGAAATCTCTGTTCAAGAACATGTTTACAAACCAGATTTTGTTTGGACTACACGTGAGGTTGCTAACTTGGTTACCGAATTTGGTTCTACCATTGCAAATACCCCATCCTATGATGGCAAACGTGCTTTATTCTATCTACCAGATAACTCCGAGGCCATCTCTATTCCTGCATTATTAGCAAGAGCTTTAGCCTCTAGTAATGATAATATTACCTTCTCAACTAAATACAATAATTTGGTTCATAGTGGAGCCATTGAAGCTGACTTATCCATTGGAGTTACTGAATCAGGAGCGGCAACTGCTGACTTCGTCTTAGTTCAAGATATTAACTTATTAAACCACTTGGATGTTGTTAATTCTGTTAAGTCTAATGGTACAATTGTTTACCTAGCTACCCGTGAAGTCGAGAAATATCCACAACAATTCATTGCTGATATCATTTCTAAAGAAATTAAATTGATCACAATTGATCCAACTGAGTTCGAAGAAGATATCGATTCTTTGGTTGCTATTATCCAAGCTACTTTCTACGAGACTGCTCTAAAGATCCCAAGAAATGAAATTAATAAAAAGGTTGTCTCTAATTTAAGTCAAGAACAAATCCATGATTTAATTCACATTGATGAAGATTCCGAAGAAAATAGAGTATCTATTTACACTACTGATAAACTACCAAAACCTGAATTCTCAGATGAAGTTCTTGAGCAATTACCATCTTTCTTCCAAGCAAACTCATTCGTTGCTAACAATATCAAAGAACAACAAGAAAAGATCAATGAAGCACCATCTGTTACTTCAACTATTACCGAATTAACAAAGAGATTGGCATTCAAGGAAGCTTATCATGTTGAAAAGAAACTAAGACCTGACTTACCATTAATTAAAAATCACATCATTAAAGTCAAGGAAAACAGACGTCTTACCCCAGCTGATTACGATAGAAATATCTTCCATATTGAATTTGATATCTCTGGTACCGACCTTACTTATGACATTGGTGAAGCTCTTGGTATTCATGCTAGAAACAATGAAAAGCAAGTACTGGGATTCTTGGAAGCATATGGCTTAAACCCTGAACAAATTGTTCAAATTCCAAATAAAGATCAACCTCAGTATATTGAATCTAGAACTGTTTTGCAAATTTTTGTTGAAAATCTAGATATATTTGGTAAACCACCTAAGAAGTTCTACGAATCTTTAATTCCATTCGCAAAGGATGAAGATGAGAAGAAATTTTTAGAAGATTTAATTACACCAGGTGGTGCATTAGAGTTAAAAAATTTCCAAGAAATCGAATTTTACTCTTATGCTGATATATTCGACCGCTTCAAATCTGCCAGACCAGAACTTGATGATTTAATTAATATCGTTGCACCACTAAAGAGAAGAGAATATTCTATTGCCTCTTCTCAAAAGATGCACCCTAATGAAATCCACTTGTTGATTGTTGTTGTTGATTGGGTTGACAAACAAGGTAGAAAGAGATATGGTCAAGCTTCTAAATATATTTCTGATTTACAAATTGGTCAAGAGTTAGTTGTCAGTGTTAAACCATCTGTCATGAAGCTTCCAGCTGACACTAAGGCACCTGTTGTTATGAGTGGTCTAGGTACTGGTTTGGCTCCATTTAAGGCCATTGTCGAAGAAAAACTATGGCAAAAGCAACAAGGTTATGAAATTGGTGACATTTTCTTGTACTTAGGTTCTAGACATTGTAGACAAGAATACTTATACGGTGAAATTTGGGAAGCTTACAAGGATGCAGGAATTATTACTCATATTGGTGCCGCTTTCTCTAGAGATCAAACCAAGAAGATTTACATCCAAGATCGTATTAGAGAAAACTTGGACGACTTGAAGGTTGCCATGATTGACCAAAAGGGTTCCTTCTTCCTTTGTGGTCCAACCTGGCCTGTTCCAGATATTACTTCAGCTTTGGAAGATATTATTTCAGCTGACGCTAAAGAAAGGAATGTTAAAGTTGACTTGAATGAAGCAATCGAAGAACTAAAGGAAACTTCCAGATATATTCTAGAAGTCTATTAGTGAAATCATGTTTATAAAGATTATTTATATAAATTATATTTTCCTTGTATACATAATTAATATTATTTATTATTACCTTTTCTACGTTGAAATGATAAATTCTAAGTTTCCAATCCATATTACATTAGACTCACAACAGAGGTACCATCCTGGAATCTGGTTCTAAACACCCTATTAGCATTTGTAAACATACCTTCTTTCAATGACACAACAATAAATTGAGATCCCTTGAATCTTGTCTTTATTAAATGTCCAATATTCTGTGTATGACTTAAGTCAAGAGCAGCATCAACTTCATCAAGAATATACATTGGTGCAGGTCTGAATTGTAATAATGCCATAATGAGTGATAATGCGATTAAGGACCTTTGACCACCCGATAATTCGACTAAACTCTCTTTCCATATACTACCTAGTTTCACTTTAACTTCAAGACCTTCTGTAACATCTTTATCCTCTTGTGGGACCAACTTTGCGAAAGAGTTTGGAAGTAAATCAGCGAATATATTACCAAAATCCGTATTGACTATTTCCCAAGTCTTGACCAATGTTTCCCTTTTAAATTCATTCAGTTTAGATATGGTTTCCTTAATTTTTAATTTATCTTTCTCAATGGTATTGATCATTGTTTTCAACGCAGTTTCTTTCTTCTCTACATTTTCAATCATACTCATAATATTTGGATTAACTTTGGGTCTAAGAACTTTATAATTTTCCTCTAACCGAGTGGCTCTTTCTTTATATTGCGACAAATTAATACCTTCATGTTGTGAAACTATGCTTTTGACCATATCAAAATCTTTTAACCAAGCAAATTCTTTAGTTAATTCATCAAGCTTCGTTTGCAGATGTTTCGAGTTATTTCTGTAATCATTAATATCATTTTTAATCTTTTGTGCTTCTAGGTCATTCTTTGAAATCAATTCTCTTTTACTTTTAATGAAGGCTTCCAACTCTTTCACCTCCTCGTCAATTTCAAATAAACGACTCTTTTCGTCAGCTAATTCATTCTGAGTCACCGTCAAGTCTCCCTTTCGGGAACCTACACTAGATTCGATTTCAGTTTTCTTTTGTCTAAGGGTTTCTAAAGAGTCCTTAGTTTGCTCAATCAAAGCTGTGTTTGTTTTAATATCACTCTCCAATTGTTCTGTATCTAATTGCATATTTTGGTAGGTGTCATATTTTTCTTCCAGTGTTGTGTTTAACTGAGTAATATCATCGGAAAGACTGTTTACTTCTTTCTTTAGTTCATCCAGTTTTGCACCTTTATTGCTTGCAAATTCATTTGCATCTCTTTGAATTTTTTGTATCTCTATATTTAAAGCATTCATTTTACCCTCTGTTCTTTCAATATCAACATTACATGATTGAATATCAACATCTAACTCTTCGTTTCTTGCTACAAGTTGTGTTGCACTATTCGAAGAAAAACTTTTCTTAGCAAGATCAAGTTTATGCTGAGCTATATTCAATTCGTTTTGTAAAGCTTTCGTCTTTTGAGATATTTTAATTTGTTCTTGAATTTGTTCTTTTATATTCAAGAGCTGGTTCTCCAAAGTTGCAAGCTTAGAATTTGTTTCATTATATTTTTGAATGTCCAATAGCAGAGAATTTGAGACGTTCCTACTACCTCCCGATAATGTACCTTCTGGGTCATAAACATCTCCATCAAGTGTGATACTTCTTGTTCTCACATTTGGATTAAAGGTTACTTTCTTAGCTGTCTCCGCATCTTTGCAAATTAAGCTACCACCAAAAATGAATTTCATTGCTTTAGAAACTTCTTCTTCGTACCCAATCAGATTCAGTGCAAGATCAACGGAACCTGGTGCAATTGATTTTGCTGTCTTCAAAACCTTATCATTAACAACTCTTGTGGCAATTTTATTCAGCGGAATAATTGTTACACGCTTACGAAGACGACCTCGTTGTAGTAATTCCGATGCTGTCTTTTCGTCTTCAACAACAACGTTGTATAACCTACCACCAGCACATACTTGCAATGCTGTTGCACAATCCAAATTATCGTTTTTAATTGTGAAAAGCTGGGCAGCAACACCTTTCACAGAATCTGTATTAAAATTTTCTGAGGGTTTTGTGTATTGAAAGTCCAAATTATTCATTCTCCTTCTTAGGTTTTCCATCGAACTTGAAACTTTATATATTTCATTTTGTAAATTTGTCTCTTTCACTTTTAGTTCCTGTTGAAGGCTTGGATTAAAACCAAACTTGGCCAGATTGTTTGTTAGGTCACCACACCCTGTTTCCAATTGTGCAATATGCGATTCCAGCTCAGTGTATTCACGTTTAGCCTCAGCCAACCTTGGCGCGTTTGTGGTTAGTTCTCTATTCATAATTTCAATTCTCATCTTTTTCTTCTTTATATCTACCTGATATTCATTTAGTTTGTGCTTTGCCGCTACTAACTGTTCGGTGTAACCATTATCTGTTCCACCACTCGATGAAATACCGGTAGATAATGTAGATAATAATTCACTTTTCGTTTTATGGTAAGATTTTAGTTTTTCAAGTTTTTCGTTCAATTCATTATATTCTTTCTCTATCAACTTATATTTATCTGATTTATTTGTTAGATCCTTTGAAATTTTGTCGGTGCTGGACATTAGGCTTTTCACTTTTTTGTCAGCATCTACCACATCAGTATTGCAAATAGATAATGTAGTATTTAATCTGGATATTTGGTCCAACAAGTCTCCTTCTTTCTTTTCCAGTTGTGAAAGCTTTCCATCTTTCTCTATATCAGATTTTTTTCTGTTTTTTATGTCTTCTAAATCTTCATTTAATGATTCGATCTCACCTTTAGTCTTCTCGAGTAAAGTTGCAATAGCATCCATACGTTTTTCACCGTTTTCCATTGTATCTTTTGCAGTTTCATATCTTTGTTTGGTATTATAGTAGTCAAAAGCACGAACTATTCTTGATATTTTCTCTAGATCTGATTGAGTAGTTTGAAACTCTAAAAACATTCTCTTTTCTTGTTTTAGCTTCTCTAATTTAGGACCAATTTCTTCTACTAATAAAGATCTATTTTCTTGTAATTTTTCTTCTTTTTTAGCCATTGTTCTTTCTGCTTTCTCTCTTCTATCTTCATACATTTTAGTACCTGCAGCCTCCTCGATTAATGATAGTATTTCTGTTGGTTTCATATTCAAAACTTTTGTGATTTTACCTTGCATAATCAAGAAATTAGGATTATTAATATTAAGTTGAACAGATTGAAATAATTGCAAAATCGTTTGTTGAGGAGCTCTATGACCATTAATTAGATATTTTGATGTACCACCTAATACAATTTGTCTCGTTACAGAAATTTTTGGTGAATCCTTAAAACCGATCGGGGAATTGGTCTTGTCACTGTTATCGAACACAATAGTTACACTAGCCTTTGTTACACCAGCTTGCCCCCTCTTATAGATCAGATCTTGAAGATTGGAGGCTCTCACCGTGCTCATCGAAGAAATACCAAGGACAAAACATATTGCATCCAAAATATTTGATTTACCTGAACCATTCAACCCAGTAATGGCATTGAATTGGGGATCCCAATCAGAGATAACGGTTCTTGTCGCATACGACTTAAAACCGTCAATAATTAATTCTTCAACTTTCATGTATAAATTTAGCGCCTATTATTGGATCAGGATCTTCGAGAAAATGTTCTGGCGAATCAACTTTTTTTATGTCTGAACCTACACTATCAGTTTAGCACCCAATTATAATTATAAATAATATCTTTATTCGTATCCAATACCTATAAGAGAGATATCTAACAAAACCACATTAAATTACTTAGACTATATGTTTGATATATTTTATCGTTATATCTTTTAATATTTTAATGTAAACAAACAAACACACATTTTATTTTTTGATGCGAAAAACTATTATTACCCGCATAATAAAAAAACATTCAACAAGAACTACCGTACAAGATACATTATTCTATACAATTAAAAATATTAAATCATACCAAAGAATATAATAATATTAATAATAGAGACTATAAAAGGATATCAGTAATAAATTAATAAATTGAATTATCTATTAGGAATGACTAGGTGATTTTAAATATACAACGGAAAATGAACATGACATAACATAAAAAGATACATTATATATTCTAATCTTGGGTCTTTTGAGAACCACGTAGTAGACCAGTTCTTCTAGCGGCGATCAAACCAGCCTTTTGACCAGAAACAGCACCTCTGGAGATGGTAGAAGCCTTACCAATATGTTGATGGTTACCACCACCGTGAGGGTGATCAACCGGGTTCATGGCAACACCACGAGTCTTTGGCCAAGAGTTTCTCTTTAATCTGTACTTGTGGAAAGCACGACCAGCCTTCAACAATGGCTTGTCAACTCTACCACCACCAGCAATAACACCGATGACACCTCTAGCGTCAGAAGAGATAACCTTCTTAGCACCAGATGGTAATCTGACTCTAGTCTTGTTTTCATCTGGGTTGTGACCGATGACGATAACGTAGTTACCAGAAGCTCTAGCAATAGCACCTCTGTCACCTGGTCTCTCTTCGACGTTGGAAATGATGGTACCTTCTGGGACGGAACCTAGAGGTAGAACGTTACCAACACTTAGAGCGGCCTTCTTACCAGCGTAGATGAATTGACCAGTGTGGACACCTTCATTAGCAATGAAGATTTCTTCACGTAACTTGTACTTGTATGGGTCACGGAAAACAACCTTGGCTAGAGGAGCACCTCTACCAGAGTCGTGGACGATTTGCTTAACAACACCACGAATGTAACCGTGACGTTCAGCGTAATCCAAAGTTCTTAACTTGGCAGCACCTTGTCTCAATCTGGTGTGAGAGGTGAAGATGGAACCAGCACCCTTTCTTTGGTTTCTAATAACTCTACCTGTGTAAAACAATTTAAACCATCCACAAAATAAAAACAAATTTTACAAAAAAAATTTGAATTCATTACATGCACGATGAGAATTAAAAAAAATATTGTTAGTAAAAATGGTTCCATCAGTAACCGAAGTTTTTTCGAAACCTATAAAATATCATTGCAATCTTAATCAAGGGTTCTAAGACTATCCCGATACCATTCTAAAGAAGTTTAAAATGATTCAGAAAAATGCCCACTTGACTGTCACATTAAAAAAATTAATGTAACCAGAGTTGCCTCCTAGAGCCTTTAACCATTAGCCATTACTCAAATATATTATATTTGAAGTCGCCTATATGAATTTTCGTAATGAAGAACATTTTCAAAGAAAACAAGTTGTTCTTACGTAAAAAAATGGTAAGGATAGGGATAATTGACTACTAGAAATAGCAAAAGACCGAAACGATCTATTGTTATTAGTGTCATACAAATATATTCTTCAATTCAAAGTTTATTAACTAACTTATCATGTAAATATTGATGCTTATTATTGCATTTGTATTATATTTTTGGAAAATATCAATTTCACTTAAGAATTATCACATTGATATTCTATGATTTCTAGAAATGTTATTAGAACATACCCATTCTGAATTGACTGTTTGGTTTCTTTTAAGTTGAATACAAGTTAGAACTAAAATCTCAATTTTAATTACTTATTTTATATATCTTTAAGATTTTTTTTTTAGTTAAACAGTCGTAATTTCAAAACCAACGCCTATTGCCAACGATTTACTGTTGAGGCTTTCCCATATTACCTGGTTCAAATTAGGCGAACTTCCAGGAACTCAGTTGAAAAATTCCGCATTGCGTTTGTTCAAAAATGGTAAAAAAGGGAAAATTGAAATTTTTGAAAATTTCACCCCCAAAAATGAAAAATGATATTTCAAATGCCAAGAATGTACGGATGTTAGAATGTGGTATGCAGTCACAAAGAATATTTATATGGCAATACTAATAAATAGGAAAGCCCACGACTTAGACAGATATATATACACCCTAAATGAATTAAAGCTAAATTCTGCCAGTATTATTTTGATTATTATTGATTTAGTTTATTTTGTTTTTATAAATATCTAAAGAGCACATCTATCAGACCCCCAAAATCGTACATTTTATTTCAAATGTATTAGCCTTATATTTCTTCACTAAGTCGAAACGAATGATGTTGGCCCTTCTTCAGAAACAACAACTGCATTACCTATTCTAGGTTCATAATCAACAATTATTTCATCCGAAACTAAAGGAACACTTGCTGGTTCAATTGGTGTTTGCAGATTTACTGATTCAGAGCTAGTACTAACTGGTAATATTCCTTGTTGAATATTTTGGATTGCACTATCAAGTTCCTCTTGTTCTGCAATTCTTCTAACTTCTTCAATTTTTGTGAGGTATGCAGGTCTTACAATCACTTTATTGTCCAATAATTTCTTCTTAGACATTATCTTAGCTACTTTTTTCAATGACTCCTCTGTCTCTAAAGTAATCAAGGCTGAAGTAAAAGATTGACGCTTCGATCCAAAACACATTTTACTCCTAGTTGGAGATGATTTGAATATCCAAATTTCCTTTGGACGGAAGGCTTTAAAATGTTGCCTTAAATGTAAATCTGTAGTTCCTTCTGGCAATATCTTACAATAAACTGTCTCTGTAGAAACTGCTTTTCTTTTTACATTTAGTTTACTTGGAGCCATAGCAGGTGCAACTAATTCTTCATCTGTTAACTCTAAAGGCTGTGAAGAGTCATCAACAACAGTAACTGGTTGAGCTAAATCAGATTCTGTTGAATCTAATTCAATACCTCTACCAACAGGACAAATTTCCTTTGAATTCTTTCTAGTCTTTTGTCTTGGTACATAAGGTTGATGATATCTTACTTTCAAAGGCCTTCCTTTATATATCTGATTGAACAAATGGTCGATTGCATAAGTTGCTTTTTCTTTAGTTTCAAACTCAGCATACGCAATACCCAATGGATGTGGTCGATTCTTTCTAAAACCATATAGCGATTGAACTGGAATAATTACCCAAATTGCACCAAAATCTTTCAGATAGGTGTATAATTCTTTTTCACTGACCAAATAACTTAAATTCCAAATCAAAACTCTCTCTGATGGTTCAGCTCTATAGACTGGAGAATCGTCAGGTTGATGTCTAAAACGTAACATTGTAAATAGAAAACCAATATATTATTTGAACTAGAGTTTATTTGTCACACCTAATAAACTTAGTAACGAGGTTTAAACTTCAAAAGGCTGATAAATAACAATGAAACCAATTTAAATTATAATGTTTTTATCTTTATTTTTAATTTGTTTTTGATTTTATTGTCATTTCTATCATTTGTGGCGCGACGTCAAAAAGTAGCAAATACCCGCCGATCTAAAAATAAAAGGAAAACATACAAGCTTTTAAATTATTAAAGACCGACAGGACATACTCTTATGAATCAATCCTGAAGTGACCTATAATTTACCATTTATACGTAAACAACTTGAAAAAGATGGAAAAAAAATATTCATTCCAAAGAAAAATGAGCCGATGTATTAATTATAATATTATATATTTTATGTAATTATTTTCAAAGAGTTTTAGTTCTTAGCGGCACGCTTAGCAGCAAGAGCCTTAGCAGTACCATGTAGAGCATGCTTGTGGTTTCTCTTGAACTTTGGATCAACACCCTTTAGAGATGGGTACTTGTAGGTCTTTGGTTTCTTGATACCATTTCTGTGAGCCTTCTTGGTTTGGTTGTGAGCGGTATGGTTCTTAGATTTAGCCATTGTCTATAGTGAAAAAGAGGAAGTTTAATATTACATGAATAGATAATAATAAATATCAAACAAATATATTTTTTACGTTAGTAAATTGAAAATTTATCATTAGGTAACAAGGGTAAAAACAAACATGTTATGTATAAAATATGTTCTTAACAAGGATCAATTGTAATATACGTGCTCCTCTATATTGTTAAATTCATAACATCATAATAAATATTTAACTTATACCACTTTATTTTATTTTCCCGGTATATTTGCGTTTTGAACATGTAGAATATCGTTCTTCATAAGTTAATTGAATATCCTTTGTAGTTTCTCTTTCATAATTTCAACATTTCCTAATTTAATCAAAAATTATCTGTGACTATCACGTATTTACTTGATTTGCAATTTTAATTTCATTGTTTTTTAGAATAAATGCATGTATACCGTTGTTCTTAACCCTGGTTGTTAACTGCATCATATTATACATACTATTAACCTTATGTGTTCCAAATATCTTTATAAATGACAAGAAAGAAAAAATTCAAGACAACGACAACAACAACAACAACAACAACAACACTAACTAAGAATAAATACAAACTTACTACTAATTATTATAAGGCTTCATCTATTTCAATATATGTTTACTATACTGTAGATAGGTGATAGACACATCATACTACTTTGCCCTAACTTGGGTGACTTAGAGAATAAACTAGTAAACGATAATAATTCGTACAAAAACACCCGAAGGATCACGGAACCATACATAATAAAATCGAGCATTCATCAATTATGGTGTATTCCTCTACCTACATACGTACAATATCACTTTACTCTCTCTTCGCACCAAACACTGTTATTATCATTATCGTTACTACTACCATCGATCCATCAATTTCAAAATTTCAGAAATTTCAAAAATTCTGAAACTTTTCCAAAAACTATAAAAAATTATGAATAATTATTTCAGCCAAGTTAAGCCTTTTCTTTTAGAAGTCTATGAAAAGCCCGTATAAATTACAGATATTTCTCTTTCAAATATATACATTCGGTTAAAAACTGATTCTTTTTTCAAAAATATTAACGGGTCTTCTTTCAGAATGTAAGGATGTTTGGGGTGTACGGATGGACAAATTTAGTAGTCCTAAAGAGGCTTAAGATTTAGTCACTTAATAAATAATATTGATTGAATATAAAATGTATACAAGTATTAATGACAGATTTATATTAATCATTCGAACACATAATGTGATGTTTGTATATTCGAATATTGAGGAGTAGCTTGGTTGGAAAATTTTATACATAATAAATAATTTTATTTTATTTTTTTTTAAATTTGATTAAAGGTTTAGGCGATTAAGTTCAAAGACTGTACAATGTTTAGTAATGATTGATAAAATCAATTAGTTGATTCAGTAATGCCTTAAGAATATTTAGAAAATGGAAAACAGAGTGGAACACAATAAATAAATAATTAAATCAAGTGATGGATATTTCAAAATTTAGTCATATTTCCCCCCCTCTGATGTAATTAAGTATTCTTCTCACTTCAGCTTACTAAACAGTCTTGGGGCAGCACAACTGTCCATATAATGTTGTAGATGGAAGAATTCTTCGACACAATCTTCTTTATTTTCTAAATCTTCGTAACCTGGTTGTTCCTTTTGCATTTGAACCCTGGCGACACATTCATCATAATGGTGTTTTAATGCCTTACCTTTATCCGTCTGTAGACACTCTTCTCTTAGTTCATCATATTGATCCTTAGCTTCCTCTTCCTCTTCATCTTCATCTTCATCTTCGTCTTCATCTTCGTCGTCATCATCGTCACCATCGTTAGCTTCCTAAAGAGATAAAATACCACTACAAGTGATAGCTGTTTGTTAGTAAAATGATATCCAAAATAATAATATAAGTTCAAACAAAGGTTCTTTTCAACATACTTCAACTTCATCTTCAGCTTTTGCGATGATTGGAACAAATTGATCCTTAATTTCTTCTATATAATCAACAATAGTACTCAACATATTCCTTCTTATTTAATATGTATGATGTGTATTTCTGATAGTGTATAATGTTGTAAATCCCTTTATTATGGTATTTTACAATTGTTAATCCTTTAATATATATAGATGTATATTGCTAAATTGAAGGCTTCAAGATTTTATATATTATTAACTCTACCAGAATCTTTTATAGTAAGTAATAGACACTTTTCACTATTTGGGTTTATCGGATGGCGCGCTTTCTTAAAAATACCAAGGGGGGCCTAGCGGTCTACGGAGTTTCCTGGGCAATTCTTTGGGCCATCATCAGATACGATGCGGGACTAAATTCTTTGATATCATTGGTTGTTACCGCAGTATATAGAGACATGTATTTATAAAACTTTTAGACTTTAAGCAATAGATAAAACAATAAAATCTATAATGTCTAATGGAATATCTATATTGCGATTGAAGAAAATGTATAAACATGTAACGAATTGCCCAATGCAATTCATCAATTATATAGTAGATAACTTATTATATACTTGCGATGGTGGTTAAGGTGAACGAAATCGTTATGGTTATTGTTGTTCTTGTCCTTACATTTTCTCTATGTTTCTTATTAATGATTGCGATCCTGTTCTAATTCTTGTACTCTCTTTTGAAGTGAACGTATATATACACACGCTAGTTCGGCCGTGGTTGCTTTTGATGGTATACTTATCATCTCCTTTAGATCTTCTGGTATCAAACCACTTAATTCATTCAGTGCTGAGTTTAGCCTGTTACGACGTTCTTGTTCTGCTACCTTATGTACTTCTTTCTTTGTATCATCTTTTTTACCCGATCTAGATTCAGAAGATCTGGACTTTGTTCTTGTTAAACTTGTAGTTGAACCGGTATCTCCATTAGTCTTTGATGACTTTCTAGCTTTCATTAGAGGAGATATTCCAACATTATTAATTCCATTTTTTCCATTCTTAGGTGAGGTACCATTACTTGACAATGAATTAGATGATCTACTTCTATCAGAATTTGCCTTTTGTTTCCATGATTCTGTTGTTTCAATACTTGTTTGTAAAGGTATTTCAATTCTCTTAGAAACCGCGTTCCCTTCAGTACCAATACCATTAGGTAGACCTTGACCAGGGTATGATGAAGATGGTAAAATCTTACTAGCTACAGCAAATTGACTAGCAGTTAATGAGGATTCTTTAGATCCACTATCAGGAGCATCACTATTTGTACCATCACTGATGGACATAGCTGTTGTACTACTTTCTGGTAACTTGAATACCATATCATCCCAAGATGCATTCGTTGGTGTGGTGGAATTATTTCCTATTGGAGTATTACCTGCACTATCATTATTACCATTATTAACAGTTGTACCGTTTTTTGTCTTTAATTCTTGATAATTTCTCCTAGATCTATTAGCACTCATGTAGGGACTATTCTTTCGTACTTTAGAAGATGATCCATTAAATGTTTGTTTTGCAGAATTACCATTAGAACTTGAAAAAGAAATACGTTTACTTCTAGATGAACTTGAGGTTCTTTTACCCTTTGAAGTTTTAGAACCATTACCAGAGTTAGTAGATGTATTACCACCGTTAGCAATAGGTTCTTCTACTGCCGAGGCTGGTAAAGTAAAATTTGTTGAAGAATATGATTGATTATGTTCATTCACCGCAGGAGAACTTAAAGGAGAATAATGTGACACATGAGGTGTTGTTGTTGCCGAGCTATTATGTAATACAGCATTATTATTATTAGTAGTAGTATTACTATTCGAACTACCACTTGGAACCGCCGATTCTCTCAAATATGGTGTATTCATGTTAGAGACATTATTTGAATTTGTTCCAATCAATACTTGTGGATTCATAAATGGTGTGACTTGTAAACCAATAGCAGATTGTCCTGGCGCTACTAAAGGTGATGCAGATGGTGAAAAGACCAAGTCCGATTGAATATTGGAAAAATGTGAATTTTTATTAAGTAAATTAGTTGTATTATCATTTTGTTTCATCGAATGTTCCATTAAGGTAAAGCCTCCATTCATTTCTGGATCATTAACTTTCCCTATACTAGAATGTTGATTATCTATATTACCATGAATACCTCCCATACTACTATGAGAATTTAAATGAAGATCATGACCGTTCATTCGATTAGTACTGTTATTACTATTACTATTACTGTTGTTATTATTACCATTGTTGAAAAAAGTTTCGCCAATATGATCTAAATCTAATTGAATATCATCAGTCAACCAATTATTTGAATATAACTGAACATTATTCATTGGTTCTTTTTCTGATTCCATAAATGTGATATGAGTACTATGAGGATCATTATTATCATGAAGATATTCATCCACTTGATCTAATATACTTTTTGAATGATTCATATTCATAAATTGCATATGTTTAAAATGGGGTTCAAAAAGGGGAGAAGGGAGGGAAAGACAGTTTTTTTTATTAATTATTTATTCAATTTTTCCCACGAAATGTTAAACTGTTCTTAAATATATTAAGATAAAAGATGATGAAGAATGTGGATAGAAAGGAAAACCTAAAAACAAACCAGCAAAATTATATATATAGATAGAAAAAAATAATATTTCTGATAGAAGTTTGTAATATATTATTTTTGTGTGTTGTCCTTAATAAAATAAACTGAGATAAAAATTTCACCAAAATGAAATAAAAAATCAGTAATAATAAATGTTAGCAATACTGAAACTCAACTAATAAAAAAAATGAACCAAACAGGATAATAAAAAAAAAATGTTGCAGGTATATGTGATAGTCTCCAATACCAAATATAATAAAAAGTTTATATCGAGAAAATAACGAATTGTAATTCCCAAATAAAAAAAAAGTTCTGTTTAAGAAATATTATCAATAACAAAAGTAAGACTCTAATAAACGAATAGATTCGAAGAAAAAAAAATCACTTGAGAACTGTATTCAGAAAATAAAAGTACCTGAGTAACAAATAGAAAAAACGGTTGTATTGTTATAATTTCGGTATAAAATATTGCTTATTATTATTATTATAACAATAAATATTGTCTTTTATTTCGGTTTCTAAGAATGTATCTAAAATAAAAGAGAGATAGTAACCTCAAAGTTAGACTATTAATAACGTCTTTTGTCTCAGAAAACAATTACTCTTTTATTAGAATCACACTCTATTTCTTAATTATCAGAAATATATGTAACACTTAAATAACAAAACAAAAACAATGTACAACGCCAAATTAAAGTATCTTTATTATGTTCTAATATTGGTTGTTTTCTTGCTTTAAAATTATTCCCTTTGGATAATAACACATATACAAATACGCAAAATTTCAATTATCTCTGTTGCTTTAAATGGAGGGATAGTAAATCGAATTTGACATACATACAATTTATCAGGGGAAGCTTGAATTACTTCCTTCAAAACAGGCTTAATAAAGACAACAAATGTAAATGGAAAAAAAAAGATGAATGATAATAATGCCAAATAATCTATCTTAACGTTAACTGTCAAAGATCGTCCAATTTCTTGTCCATTTCACCATTTACCAAACTAAATTTATTGCTATTATCGCTAACTGTTATAGTTAATAGTAAAAAGTTTTGACTTCTTCTTCGTCTAAGTTATCCATCCATCACCTTATGAATCACGACAGATTTTATCGTTAACTGCTATTGTTAACGTCTTGCATTTTTCTCTCACAAATAAAAATTTCAATTCTTTTTTTTTCTTCTTTCCCACTTTATTTCCAACCCCTCAGACAACGCCGCACATCGCTTGCACATATTGCTAGCTGTTTCCGGTCATCTCACGTAATTTCTGCAGCGTAGAGACAAAGACGATACTTCCTCTTTGGGACATACACACTGATAACGCCGTACAACTGTGGGGCCCACGGGCAGCACGGCTGTAGCAACCGGTCCTCTAATGTCGTGCAGAGTGATGAATGCCGTCTGCTACACGTATATATACACGAACCGTATAACGTGATAGGTTTGGTGTAATAAGTAAATGCCACAAAATAAAACAATTTATCATTAAAATGTCACACGATAAAAGTTGTCATCAAACCAATATGCACAACTTGTTTACGTACATACTGGATGGGAAAGATGTGAAAGTTTATATAATTATTGACTCTTTTTAGAACTCAGTGTTTTGAACTCTGGATCTCGTAGAGTACAAGTTTTAGAAAATCTCTAATAATAATAGTAGATTGCACTCAGTAAGTGTTTTGATATATAGTAATTGAAACTGAAGAAAGTATAGTGTATAACTTAGTCTATATATCTAAACACATATTTGAGTCGTGGTTCTAAATACAATAAAAAGGGCTAATAAAACAACTTAAATAGTAAAACATGCAAAGCAATTTGGAAATTTTGGTTCAAAGACAAATATCTCGATTAGTCTTACCTCTCAACTGAAATCAAAAAAAAAAAAATGAACTAAATGCGTAACTATATATATTATGTCTCTTCTAGAGAATTATGTATCAAGTATACAGACATGAAAATAAAACTGTTGGTTTGATCAACAGAAGTACTGATTTATCTATTTATGGTTCTTATTGATATATGCTGTAAAATTTATATTTGTAAAATGCTGAATTTGTAACATTTTGTTGTTTGGTTTGCTTCGGTTTTCTGTTCTAGTTAACGTCGACCTTTATGTGGTTTGTTACTATTCCACTTTCTCTTGTGGTTATTTACAGTACCACCAATCCTAGAGATATCATCTTTAGATATAATAAGACCATTACGAGTACTACGGCCCACAGATTGAATCTTAAGACCTCTTTGTCTCTTTGTTTGTTTCTCTTTATCTTGACTTTTAATACTTTGACCTATACGTCTTTCAATGTCTTTCTTATAAGTAGCTTCAATTTTTCTAAATTGTCCCTTTTTAACTTTTGATAAAATAATACCACCATCTGCTGCATCTTGTTCATATTGTTTAATACGTTTAACATGTTTCTTAACCATCCCACGTCTAATATTCATTGGTACTTTCTCCAATTTATTTATCTTATTCGAATGACCATTAGTTTGGGATAATTGATCTAATCTCATCTCTAATGTTCTCATACGAGATTTACCTGATACTTGGTCATCCTGATAAACAACATTAGTATCATTCATACTCTTTAAAGTTAAATCAACACCACTTGATCCATCATTATTACCATCACCACCAGATTGATTAAATGCACTTAAAAGATGTGATTCCTTAAGAAATCGTTGTAATTCAATATCGTTCTCAAGATTTTGTTCTTCTTCTTCTTCATCTGATTTTGAGTTTTGTCTCTTTTGTTCTTCTAATAATTGCTTACGTTGTTCAGCAATATTCAATTGACGTAATGTCTTCCCACTTCTAATCATTTTTTGTTCTTGTTTACTTGGTTCAATATATGTATCGCTTGGTCCATTGAATTTAATCACACGAGGCCCTTTACTCGAACTCTTTTCTTCAAATATTGGAATTGCAGTATTAACTTCTTCATCTTCTTCATCACTTTCTTCAGAAGATCCTGTTTCTATTTCTTCTTCGCTCTCATCTTCTTCAGATATACTGGATTCGGCATTCTCAACACCTTCTTTCACTTTATCATCAAATCCCATTGATTCTAAGGATCCGAACTGTGCTTCGAATGCCTTTCTTTGCTCTTCTAATTGTTTCATATATTCATCATCTTCAGTTTTACCCATTATGAACAGATGTCTATGTAATCAAAAACAAATATTAAAATTATTGTATGTTTATTTTATGTTCCTTGTATACTCGTTAAACGTTTCTTACAAGTATACAGTCCTAGATACTATTCTCTATGTTATGCTGTTTATATCGTAATAGCTTGACATAATACGGTTTTTCTTTTATTTACAATTTGAAACTGAAAATTTTCAATTCTTAAGCGATGAGCATCGGCAAATTTGAAAAATTCAGTTGAGATTTGCCCTGCGCTACTAGTTAACAAGAAGTATTGGTATGCATATAAATATATAAATATATGTGAAAGCTTGCCTGTATGATTGTATGAGGGAAATGCACTATGGACTCTGTGTGAAGTTACTTGAAAAAGATTCAAGTATTAATGCTTAATATTATATACGAGTGCGCCTATTTAAGTTAAACTGTCATTATTAACAGTGGTAACCAACTCTTATATTTCAATGAAGATATTAGTCTGATGGTATGGTAGCTAGATTGGTTTATTATTAAGTGTATTATAGACACATATTAAATAACGAACATCTCACTTGCGTTTTCTTTGCAGTTTATTTTTACTATTTTTCTATATATGTATGTATTTTTTTTATTTTTCAATCTTATTTTTGTTAATTTGTTTCGCTATACGAAAAATACAATATTAAATCTAAAAGTTTATCAGTCAGACAAAAAAACAAAGATACTCCTGAGCTCCACAGAAGAGACCCAAATAGCTATATGAGTTTGATCACATTGAAAGGAATACGTTAATCTCGGTCAAACCACTAATGTCACATAATAAACTACCATCTTTCCCAATACCTGACCTTAGGTTTTCTAATGTAATTTACAATGCATTGGCTAAAGAAACCAAAAGACAAAATTTAACGGACCCAAATCTGAAAATAATTGCAAAAGTATTATTGAGAGATGTTATTCTAATGCCATTTATACAAAGTATTGTTTGGACAGGATTTATTATATCGTTAAGGCCAACTTTAAAGAATTTAGTTCAATTAGGTAAATCATTCAATTCATCTGTTTATAATCTAATTATAGGTGCTGACCTTCGTAAAGAAAGAAATACTTTCGGTAAGCTATGAAATATATACTAAAGTCTTGATATATTTGAATCGTTGACTCCCATACAGGGTGGGATTAATGATCCAGTTACTTTATGCCCAGAAATCCTGATTTGTTCCTATCAGCACACAGCATCCCCTAAGAAACAGAATACTTCAAAAAAAGTTTTATAATGTGAGGTTGAACCTAATAAGACATATTTTACTTCGACAGCAGAACTCTTTTTTTTTGGCACTATTTCTTTTTTTTTTGTCTTGAATATATAAGCCTGGTAGCTATTTAAAAATAAGGGTACAAAAACAAATTATGTCGCAATTATATACAACTTTAATTTTTTATTAAATTCAAAAATAATAAATAAATAGCATATAAATTAATAATAATGATGGATAGTTCAAGAATAAAACTGACAATTGATGAAATTAACGAGAGCTTGGGTCCTGTATGTACCCAGACAGAGAAACCTAAAAAGATGAATTCAATATGTTACCTAAGAAGCTCCACAAAAATTGATGCACCATATACATCACTTTTAATAGATGAACCATCTCCAATTGAGCAAACAAACTCACCATTGATTCTTAATGGAGGACTAACTGTGTGTACACCAAAGAGGTCCTTAAGAAATGACACCTTATCAGATATAAACTCTTCTGATAGAATTCGTAACTAGTATTCAATAATTTTTTACCAACCTCGAAACTTTTTATTAGCTAATGATATATTTAATTTTTTATACTACATCCATAGATAACTATCTAAAACCAATACCATAATTTTACCTTATGAAGCATCCCACAATAAATGAAGATTTTTTGAGTTGTTTTCTTTTAGTCAACATCTAATTCTTCCGAATTTTCTTCAATTATATTTAAATCCATCAATTGCTTGCTCCTTCTATTAGAATTAGTATTGGAATTTGATGAAATAGACGAATCGGATTCATTTTGATCAGATAATCTATCTGAAGTCTGAGCAATATTTGAGGTTTCACGACTTAGAAGCGGTTCAGGTGAAGTTATCAACTGTGCAGCATTATTCTTGAGACTTCTAGTGGTACCATTATTAGCATCATCAAAGATTGAATCGTCAATAACACTTTTAAAAAGAGGACCAAGGATCTCTTTGTTTAATGACACTCTAGTACTTGTTTTGTCATCTAAAAGTTCTAGCTTCTTTAATCCTATTAGTTTGATTGTAAATACAAGTAAATCTCTTTCCGAAGTCATGTTTTCACTGTCTAAAGCAACTTCATTTAGCGTAACATCTTCATCATGACTCCTGTCAAGTTGAATACCTTGATCTCTTGCATATATACTTTCAAAATATAAGAAGGTATCTAACAAAGCATTGTAAACTTCTTCATTCAGATAAGAATCGTGTATAACATCGTGTAACATTTCTTTCCAGTTTATTTCATCCTCTGGTAGTTGAAGTTCAAAGCATTTAGTAGCTACCAATACGTCGATCAGAGAAGACGCTAGTGATGATCTCAACTTATGAACAACTACTTCATCAACCCCAGTTAGATTATTGATTTGGATTAATACAGATTCCATGTTTACAATTATACTTGACATGTATGACAAAGCATTTCTAACGGAACTGACATTTGTCATATTTGAACTTCTTTCAGGGTCATCCGATGGCAATCCAGGTACGGAATTCGATTTTTCCAAAATATCTATCCATTTTTGTAATTCCCATGTAACGAGAATAACTGGTAATTTAAAATTAATAACTTCAATATTCTCAATACTACCCAATCCAACTTCATATATTAGTTTTGACATAAATTTGTCAATAAAGAGTTTCAATAAGTCCGAAGAGAATTCAATGGGATACTCTTTTCCTAATAGTACCAATCTGTTAACATACTGTGAATAAATAGAGTTTGTATATTCTCCAAAATCAAGATCAGCCTGATAATTATTCTTTTCAGTTATATATTTTTCAAACTGCAATTTGATCATAGAAATTTCGTTTAACCATACTTCATCTATATCCTTTAAATGAAATTCTTTAATGTGATGAACTGTCTTTGAGAAAGTTTCATACGTAATATCGTTTGAGTCGGTATGCATTAGAACTACACCACTGAACCCCTTTAAGATCATTGAGTTAATGCCCTTTATATCCTTTTCACATCCTGAATGAACCCATTCATCAAAATTAAACAAATTAAAAATGCTTAGTATCTGCAAAAAGATGCTAGTAGAATTAATAGATAGATTTTTTAATAAATTTTCTAAATGGGGTAGTACCGAAGTCGCAATTGAATATTTGTTTTGGTTTCTTCCATTCATACCACCGTCGCAGAGACCACTTAAAACTATAATATAAAATGTAACGTTTTCATTCTCAGTAGGGAATAAAGGTGCCCTATCAATTCTTGTTTGGGACAATGGTTCATTGTTATCAATGTTCATCTCATCATTATCATCGTCATCATCGGACACCTTGGTAATTTCTTGATAAACTTGTGAAAACTGATCGTCATCTGCTAACAGTCGACAAATACTGTCAACCTGGGAACCAAAAAATGGATATAAGAACTCAGCTGCTTGAAACAATATCTGAGAACGAGAAACCAAAGAAGGATCATAGTTTTTATTATTGTCTATGAAATACAAAAGGGAACAATTTAGAATTCTCATAATGGTTCCAATTTTAATTATGACAGACGTCTTTATGGTAGAGCTATTTTCATTCAATTTGATGCTATTTATAAATGCTTCATATTTCTGGTTGCTTACACGTGCCAGGAATTTTGCAACGGTTGCCATTAATCTAGAATTCTTACTTGTGGAAGAAACCTTTGTATCCTCGTTGTTAAATATTAAACTAGATATCATTAGGATTTCAGAATCTTCCAAGTAATCCAGGGATGAGGCCTCGATCAATACATTAATTGCATTAATCGACACCTCCATGTCAATATCCATTGTAGCAATTTCTAATATTCTGCTCTTAAATCTTTCAAAAAACTGTCTTATTGCGGCATTGTCTACCATTGCAGAATGATGACTTGACTTAATGATATCTGGTAACGACTTTAGGATTTGTAATCTGACATTTACGGATGAATCACTCAAGAGCCAGCCGAAGTATTTCAAAAATGTAACTTTCATAAAGTACTCTGGGTTATTTTCAATCCAAATGGCCAAGTGCGACATTGATTCAGAGCGAATAGCTTCATCTACATCTTTGAATCTATGGACAAAGCACAGCTTTACAATATTGTCAATAATATTGTCGATTATAGCTTTATTGCTTTGGATTTCTTCCACGTTTTCCTCTAATTTTTCTATCGTTTTTTTGTTGGGTCTCTTTTTCTTATTTTCCATCTTTAGTTGTTTTGTTAACTTTGCCAAATAATCCTTCTCCAGGCTAACAGCATGTGCTGATAAATAATCTTGAAATGTATATAGCGTCAAAGTGGAAACATATCTGAAACACCTTATTTTTGAAACAGAAAAAGCAGATAGCCATGTCAACAAATCCAATATTAGAGGTCCCATTTTCATTCCTCTAAAATTTGCTTCATCATCCGTATTATCTTGGTCGCCGTCTTCGTTGTATAGTAGTTGCAGATCATCAGCGATTTCCAAAAATTGGAACATGAACTCTTCAAAATTTTGATATAAAGGCTTAATTTGGGTATTCCTTCTTTTAGTTTTACTTATTAATAAGTTGAATTCGTGAATTTTTTGATTTTGAAACGATAATTGCAATTCAGAAAGGGTATCACTTGCAGATTCATTACTATGGATATCATGATTTTGTACGTGAATCATCGCTCCACAACAGTCTAGTAAGAGATTAATAAACTTTTGAATAACTTCATCTCTATTTTCTGAGTATTGTTCCAATAATTCTCGAACTATTTCAGAAATTGAAATTTCATCAGATGATGCCAAAATAGAGAATAATTCGGAATGTTCAAACTCCTTGACAATCTCCAAATATTGTTCTTGTTCTTCCCTAGTTTCGTCGGAAGCTGCACTAGTAGCCGTCCTAGAAGAATACGATAGAGTTTTACGTTTCTTGTTAACTCTTTCTTGTTGTCTTTTTTTAGATACTGCCTTTCTTTTACCTTCTTTAGTTGGGAAGTAGTCATCGTCTTTGGTATTATCATTGTCATCTTCACTAGACTCTTCAGAATCGAACATTTCCTCGTCATTCAATCCTGTTTCCTCATCTTCATGAATATAACGAATGTTATTTTCGTTACTGTCGCTGTTTGATTCTTCATCAGATTCGTACGATGGTTTAGTTCTAGTTCTTCTATGTTTTGGCGGCATGTTCTATTATCTTTTTTCTAGTTCAATTCTAAATCAAATACTATAATAAAATAAATGGCAATTGTCAGAAGTAGGTTAGAAAATGAATATTTAAGTAATACTTTTATTTTTGGTTTTCGAATAGGTGGGTTGTTTATTTATTATTGTTTATATTCCTCGAATTATAAACAAATAAATTTTTGGTGTAGCGACGCGTCTCGAATATTTTTTTCAACTTCAGCTTAACAATTATAAAGAATATCATTATTAAGGGTAATCGATTCAGTTTGATTATTTACTCTTCAAATGAGTGATTATTCAGATTATTTATATAATAATATATGTATGTATATATATAAGAATGGTTAGTATACTAAAATTACAATCATAAAGACCAGGACTTATAAGTTTGTGGTTCTTTAATAGATATAGCTTCAATCTCAGCTTCTGTTCTTTTCTTTAAGTCATCTTCAGTCTTTTTATCAGTGGAATCATTATCATCTTCAACAAGTTTTATACCAGAATCGACTTGGTCGGAGATTAGGACGAATTTCTTGGAGATATTTAGATTCGTCAATTCACCATTCATTTCAGTGACTTGTTTACTTAACGATATTCTATCTGATATCAATTTTTCGGATTCTGTAATTAATTTTGTCTTCTCTTTTTCTAATGTTTCCTCTAATTTAGTTAGTTTATCGAATTTAGTATCCAATTTATTTAAGGTTAATTTTACCAATTCTTGAATTACACTTTGTGTTTCCTTAATATATTTTTCAGCAGTCTTTGAAGCAGATTCAGGAATATCTTTTTCCAAAGTTTCCTTATGTAAACCTTCTAATAATGCTTTGATTGTTAAATCTACTGCCTGTACAGTTGATGTAGAATCATCTGTTACATTTTCTGTAATTTTATCTTTTTCAGTTTTTGATTTATTTAAAATATCGTTGATATAACTGTCTTCAATTGGTAACGTTAAGAATTTTTCAACAACATCTTCAATAGATTTTTGTCCTCCAACATGTTCTACAATTTTTTCCCATTGATCTTCATAAATTTCTATACCTTCCAACAATAATAACAATTCTTGATCAGACCATTCTTTACCATTTTTTTTATTATTATTTTCTAATCTAATAAAATCAGATGCTTGGAAATTAGCACCAAAATGACCTTCTTGAAAACATCTTGAACATAAGTTTGCACCTTTAGCACGCAAATTATGATAACGAACCAATACAGCATCATTACCACAAGTATGGCATACAAAAGTTTTTTGGATTTGTTTTGAAATTTTATTTTTGGATTGTAAAGCATTGAAATCATTAGAAGAATCATAAATATTAGTTCTTAATGATAAATTAACAGGGAATGGTTTAGGTTCTTTAGTTTCAATATTGGATTCATCATCTACATCCATTTCATTTGCATCTCTCTTTACAGGTAGGGCTTCAGTAATTGAATCTGTTGGAACGAAAGGTTTTAAACCTTGTGGGGTATCCAATATAACTTGGAAATGGCCCGTAAAACTTGGTCCTACTAAAGCTGGTTTTGATCTTGGATCAATTTGATAATTGATAATCCCCCATTTCTCTAAAAATCCATGGATTTTCATAATAGAAGCTACGTCCATTGCTAAATTTCTTCTCACTGCAGTAATAGTTAAATATTCAAATGGAGATAATCTATAAGTATTAATCATAAAATTTCTTGTTTCCCTGTATGATTTAGCAGACTTATAACGAGATGAATCATCGAAAAAATCAGGTAAAGATCTCTTTTCAATTTCATGAATAGATGAAATATCAAACCATGAGGCAAAAGATGGAAGAACGATAGGGTGAGTCTGTTTAGCTAAGAAACGGAATGCTTTATCTTCTAATTTGTGTGCTTCATCTTCATAGTTAATAGTCTTAGTCTCTTCGGTAGTTGGTTCAGCAACCGCACTTACACCTTCAGTTGCAATTGTCTCTGTAGATTCTGTTGGAACGGTCTCGTTGGTCTCAACGACATCTGTAACGGTTTCCACTACTGGGGTGTTGGCAGCGTCTTCTTCAGTACTCATTATTAATAATATATTTCCAACGCTGTATGTGTTCGTTCTACTGCTAAGCAATGTATACACAATTAAGATATTGTAAACTACACTTCAATGAAAAAAAAAATGTCCCTTTAGTGGAGCCTCTCTTTTCTCATCCTTTAAGTCTTCTCAACTTCTCAAAAAAAATACGTGTTACAGGTCTCTGTTGTTACAAGAAGAGTTTTGTTTATTCGAAATTTTAATTTTTTTTTTGAATTTTTTGGATTTTTTTTGAAAATATTTTGGGTTACCCGGGTCGGATTTTTCAATTTTAATTACTATTAGCAACCGAGAAGTTGAGTAATTGGTATCAGATATATATGAACAAGATATCTCGAGTGTTCGGTTGAATTGGCTGCCAGTTCTTGTATGTGACTTTATTATTATTTGTCTCAAGATTTGTGTGATGTGCTCTAGTTTTTTTGTAGTGTTCTTTTTAGTGTTGTAAGTGTACAGAGGACGAAGAATGTTTTGGACTCCACTTCACAATGATATATGAGCCTGGTAGGGATAGTAGTTACGAAATGATGATATTAAGAGTGAGAGGTAGAATAAAAATGTTTGGTGAATAAACGGGAAGTATGTAAGTTGATGTTTTCCGTTATTTTTTTTTTTTATCAAGGTACTTAACACACCTGGATCCATCAAACTTTCTTCTTGAATGTAGATGTAATAGATATCATATTGATGGCTTTAGGTATCTCCTTTTATACATATATTTGCCTTGCTTTAATAAATTTCAATAGAAAACGCGTCAAGCACTGAAATTCTTATGTTAGTTTCTATTACGCGTTGCGATGAGCTTATCTAACGATTATTAATTGAAAAAATCCATATTCTTGGATGAGTTCAATTAAATAAATATACTCAGAGAACAGTTAAATATATATATTTACAGTTCAATATACCTGACTGACTATTAATGTTTTTAATTTAACATTTGGAAAGATTTAGTGTACATTTTTTTTTCCAGATGAGTAGTATTGGTAGTAGATTAGCAAGAACAACAAGAACGAAAAATGTTCTAAATTATAAAGAAAAAGAGGAATATGACCTAAAACCAGATATTATTCCATCTGATGATGAAGATGAAAGTTTAACAACAGTTATACAGGAGAACTCTGTAGCACCTATCTGGTTACAGGATGATATTAAGGAAAGTTCCGATGTCGAACTAGATTCTGATAATGATGAACAAAATAATGACGATGAACAAATCAATACTTTGATTGATGGTAATCATGAAGAAGATAATAAAGAAGTAGAGTCCTTGAAGGATCTTGATGAAGAGGATTCTCGTATAGTTAGAGAAAAATTAAAGAAGTTGGATGAGTTTGTCAATCAAAGTAAAGTTTATTCTGGTATTATTGCAGATACTTTATTAAAGAGAAGTACTGAACTTGTTGAGGAAAAAGAAGAAGAAAAGAATGAGAAGAAACAAAAGCAAAGAAAGGATGATAAAGAATCTGACTTACCAGTAACTAAGAAGCAAAAACAAAACAAAAAAAAGAGATCTATTGTTGATTTTTTCAAACCCGTTAAGAAAACAGAAGATAAACCAAAGATCGACGAACAAAATGAAAAAAGCTCTAATCCAGAAAGCTCTGAAGCTGATGTTGATGCAGGAATAAAAGAAGAACAGCCTTCATTGTTGGAAAATTGTATTTTGAAACCATATCAGATGGAAGGTTTGAGTTGGTTAATTACTTTATACGAAAATGGTCTGAATGGGATCTTAGCAGATGAAATGGGTTTGGGTAAGACGCTCCAAAGTATTGCTTTATTGGCATTTGTATATGAAATGGATACAAAGGGACCGTTCTTAATTGCTGCTCCTCTGAGCACGGTTGATAATTGGATGAATGAATTCGAGAAATTTGCACCATCTTTACCAGTTTTAAAATATTATCATCAAGCTGGATTTCAAGAGCGTTCCAAGTTGTTAAGTAAATTCTTTAAAAAAACAAAAGGAACAGGGATTGTTGTAACATCCTATGAAATAATTATGAGGGATGCTGATTATATAATGTCTCAAGAATGGAAATTCTTAATAGTAGATGAAGGTCATCGTTTGAAAAATATTAATTCAAAATTAATCAGAGAATTGAAAAGAATAAATACTAATAATAGACTGCTACTGACTGGAACACCATTACAAAACAATTTAGCAGAGCTTTGGTCATTATTGAATTTTATAATGCCTGATATATTTTCAGATTTTGAGATGTTTAATAAATGGTTTGATTTTAAAAACTTAGACTTACAAAGTAATTCTCAAAGTCTAAACAAAGTAATTAATGATGAATTAGAAAAAAATTTAATTACAAATTTACATACAATCTTAAAGCCTTTTTTGCTAAGAAGATTGAAAAAGAATGTGCTGGTTGGTCTTCTACCACCGAAAAGAGAATATATTGTTAACTGTCCAATGACACCAATTCAAAAGAAGTTTTATACCAAAGCCTTGAATAGTAAGTTAAAATTAACTATTTTTAAGGAACTTGTCAAAGAATTTTTTACAATTAACCAGGAATATATCGGTCGCGTCTCAAACAAATCCATTAGAGAATATATTGATTATAAATTGAACACTGAGAATGGTAATAAGATAGAAGATAACGAATATCCTAATAATATTATAAAGGATATGGACAAACTTTATAAAGAACACTTGCATGGTGAATTGATAAATAAAAGGTTACAAAACATGATGATGCAATTGAGACAAATAGTAGATTCCACATATCTTTTCTATTTCCCATATTTACATCCCGAGGAATTGACATTAGATGATCTTTTGAAAACATCAGGTAAACTACAGACTCTTCAAAAATTGGTAATCCCTTTGATAAAAAAAGGACACAAAATATTAATTTTTTCTCAATTAGTCAAAATGCTTGACCTCTTAGAGGATTGGTGTGATTTAAATTCTTTGAAATGTCTCAGAATTGATGGTTCCGTTGATAACGAAACGAGAAAGGAAGGTATTAAACAATTCAATACTGAAGGTGATGATCATCAAGTCTACTTATTGTCTACTAGAGCAGCAGGTTTGGGTATTAACTTGACAGCTGCAGACACTGTTGTTCTATTTGATAGTGATTGGAACCCACAAGTTGATCTACAAGCAATGGACCGTTGTCATAGAATAGGTCAGGATAAACCTGTCATTATATATAGATTTTGTTGCGATAATACTATTGAACATGTTATTCTTACAAGAGCATCAAATAAAAGAAAACTGGAAAGAATGGTTATTCAAATGGGCCGTTTTAACACATTGAAGAAGTTGGCATTTAATGAGGGCTCGTTTTTGAATCAGCATACTGGTGCAAATAGGTCAACAAACAAGGAACTTGTTAAAGAATTATCACTTTTGTTGATGGCTGGAGAATCAAGTATTGGTTTTACAAAAGGTTCTGAAGATGATGGTCAAATATTAAGTGTAGCAGAAATTAAAGAACTTACTGATAGATCTGATGCAGCATATAAGGAAAACAGAGTCGTTGACTTACCACATGCAAGACTTTTTGAAACAGTTTCCGGGTTTTAAATATATGGTTATTGTGTTAATATCAACTAAGCCAATATTTCATTTAAACATATTCATTAAAAAGAGATGTATATAACAACGTATATAGCATTATAGAAATACAAACATATTAAATATGTGTAAACATAGTTATTTATATTCAATTTTTTTTTTCATTAGATAGAGGTTTTAAATTACCATGGAATACCGGTATAGAATTCTTTTTGATTGTACATCCAAACCAAAGAAGTTGTGGAAACAATTAAAGGACCCATAAAACCTGAGTCAAAGTTACAAGTTCTGTAGATCAATAACTCAGAACCAAAGTGGACTAGGGCAACAACATAAGAGATCATGACAATTTGGAAAATATGAGGCTCAGTTAAAAAGAAAGCACCGTAAAATCTAATAACACAAGAAATAAATGTCCAAGTACCGAAAGTTCTGGCACTCAACTTGGTTGTCTCAGTTGGTTGTCTGGAATAAACTCTACGGGTCAATTCTAAACCAGAAATGTAAGTTTGAACAGAGTTAAAGACAGAAACAATGGAAATAAATAATAGCCATTTTGGTAAATAACCAGGGGGCATAGTTTTTAAGGTGTTTTTGGTACACTCAACGATATCATTGAAGGATAGCATTTTAGATTGAACAGAGTAGTTTAGTTTCTTGTGATATCACTTTTAAAGACTTCAGGTTAACAATAAATCTACAAAATACAAAAAAAGAAAAAAATAACAGACAATGGACTCCATTGAAAATTATTTGTTGATCACATTGTGCCTTTCTTATATACCAAAATTTTAAGGGCCGGCCCTTTTTTATTTTATTTTCACAGTACCATATATCGGATCAAAGGTATTACCAAATCTATAATGGCAGATGCTCGTATAATACATCATCCTCGGAGACTTAATATTAAGCGAGGTTCGTTCCGCGTCGTTTCTCTGTCATTTTAATTATATACTCGAAGCTAAAAAAGGAGATGCTCAGTTAATTTTGTCAGATTTATCATACGGAATCGCGAGCATAAATCTAAATCACCTATAACCAGGAGAGCAGCCTGTATGTACTTCCCCATGTGTTGTATGGTCTCAGAGTCGTTCGATACAGTTTCCATGTTGTCAGGAACGTAACGAACCTCGGACCAACAAATCATCTCTATTGTATCAAGCATCGAATATAATGCATGCTTTGCATTTTGTGACCAACGTATATCGCCCGAAAGAGCTTTAATCCGATCAATAAAGAAGGAAGGAATACTTTCTTTACGTTTTTCAAATATTGAGATATAGGCAGGTTGATGGGTCTTTCCAAAAGAATGTTTTTTAGTTTTTATGATATTAATTGCCATAATATGACATACGCTTTCTATAAGAAGTAAAAAATCATGGATGTCTTTGTTTATCTCTTGCCATTCTTTAATTTCAATAGAATTCTTGTTACATGTACTTAATTTAATATTAATTATTGTTGCAATTATTGATATTTGAAAAGAGCAATAATTTTGAAATGCAGCAGGGTGGTCTTGTAATTTTATCTTATATATCTTGGAGATAAATGGGGCTCTTTCTTGAATTCTCAATTTCAATACAAAGGGTGGTTGTGTAGCTGAGGGAAATAATACTCTTGTGATGACACCAAATATCCAATAGACTGGAGGTGACATACCTGCTGAAGCTCTGATTGTTGTTTCTTGGTTAAAACAAAAATAGGATGTAATAACCCATCTAAGAGATCGGTATAACAAATATATATCATCAATAGTCATTACCTTTTGAAAATATTTTTGATAATTGTAAAGGCACAACATTCTAACGCTTAGATCGTAGCGTGGAGTTATATCTCTTGTATATGATACTTTGCATAAACTACTCGCAATGTTTTTGAGTTCAATCAGATCACTAGTTGAGAAGTTGTTAACTTTATCATTATTTAAGGTTTGGAATTTGTATCCTAGATTGATATTCTTCCAAAATATTGTTCTTTTAACAAAAAGTGGTTTTAACACTTTTGGAACTTTTGTTGCGTAATCTTCAATGTTTTCCAACTTCACAGAAAATATATTGTTATTAACTAAAGATAATTTGTACCATAGTAATGGATTTCTTTGTTTTATTATTGCCATGCACTATTCATTAATTAGTTAGTCATGATAGTTCTTAAAAAAAAATGTTTTTCTTAATCATACTAAAATCCAGTCCTCATTATCGAACGGCATCTTACTGGACGTTATGTTATTGTGCTTTTCCATTCGTAAGCTGTTTTGATTTGTGTTTTCTTTTGAATTTATAAATATTCCATTATTGAGATGTTCTTTAGCCGCCGATGTCTTTAGCTAAAGAAAATAAAAACTAAGTAATGAAAGGACTGACTATAATTTTTTTTTGGAACAAAGAAATGTTGCACCAGTTTTAAAAATACAGACGTTAGAATGTAACTACAATATGACAGATCATTCTAAACTTATGAGAAACTTCAAAGTGGATATATCCAATGATATAGTCATTGAAAATCAAAGAGGAATAACTTTAATAGGCTATACTTTGTACTCTCCTCATTTGTTAATCCCCAGAATAGATCCTCCTCAGTACCAAATAATTTATTTTGATGGTAAAGAGGGAGATGATAGAGAACAGGCAAAAATCACTTTTACATCGTTGTCAAATAAGATTCTTCATTCATTTGAACAATTGTACCCTATGGATTTTCAATTAAATGAGACTGCCTCCAAGCAACATAAGTGGTATGTCTTAATGTCAGTTGAGGATACAGATGATGATGGCTGGGATTATAGTTGGTCATTTCGAAGCAAGAGATGGAAGTATAAAAATGGATTAGTACGGAGACGAGTGTGGGTAAGGTTACCAGAAGTAGCATAAGAAGCACTATCTCAAAAAAATCAATAAATCATTGAAGTTTCTAACTTAGAGTTGCTTGTCTATATTTCCGAGTTATATATTTCATTATATATGAAGAAAAGAAAATATTGTTTTCACTGTTGTTAATACTATTACTAATGTAACTTTTATATGAATATAATTATATGCCTGAAGAACCAAATTTTGCAGCCCATTCTTCGTATTTTTCAAGACCTTCCTTCGATACAGATGGCTTAATATATTCTAAACTATTCTTAAAATCGATTAACCCCATAGGTCTAATATTTTCTCTATCCATGAAAAGAAGTTGATCTCCAAGCTCTCTTAGAGGGCCCATTGCTGCATCTTTAGCTAGTGAGGTTATGTCACTACCCGAATAACCATCTGTTAAACGCATTAGTTCATCAAATTCATCATCAGTCAAAGTATGTTTTTGGTGGGATAAAAGTCTCTTAATTTGAACAAGACGTGTCTCATCTTCCGGGAGAGGAATATACTGTCTTCTAACAAATCTTCTTCTTGCAGCTTCATCGATAGACCAAGGTAAATTTGTTGCAGCTAGTACTAAAACTCTTGTATCGTCTCCATCACTGGTATTCCCAGTTAGTTGTTCTCTACCATTTGTGCCCGATCCCTCACTTTTCTTCTCGTTACCGGCAGCAGCACTAGATAGCGATGACCATTGTATTAAGAACTCATTTTTTATCCTTCTACTACTTTCATTTTCACCATCATTGTTTCTACTACCTAAGATAGAGTCAATTTCATCAACAAAAATAATTGAGGGTGCAAGTTTCTTTGCTACCAAAAATAAGGCACGAACTAATTTTTCACTCTCTCCAAGATATTTAGATGTCAAACTTGAGGCACTGATAGAAAAGAAAGTTGATTTAGATTCATGCGCTACAGCTCTTGCAAGCATGGTCTTACCGGTACCTGGTGGACCAAAAAGAAGCATCCCTGTAATTGGCTCTCTTAACCCCTTGAATAAATCAGGTCTCAGAAATGGGTAAACAACAGCCTCTTTCAAAGAATTTTTGGCTGTGTTTAGGCCTGCAATATCATCCCACTGAACTTCATCACCTTGGACAACGATCTCTTGAAAGATTTGTTTGGCCGCTGTTTTATCAATACCTGAGATAGAGTCAATAATTTGTTCCTCTAATGATTCCTTTAAAGAATTCTTGTCATCCGAGTCTCTGTTTAAACCAGAATTGGTTCTAGAAGTCTCTTCGCTGTTTGGGGAACTTTTGTTATTGGTATTGCTACTCATACTCCTAGTAGGATCTGTATCCACTGAACTCAAGGACTCCAATGTTAATGATTTCGATTTTTTAGCTGTTTTTGAAGTTGGTCTTTTAATAGGGGCGTGTTTTACAGGCGAAGTTTTTTTAGTAGTCCTTAATTTATTCCCATTGTTTTTGCTTGAAGGATCTGTTTGGATTTTAGTTTTGGTTTTGAGGTTTGATGACTTCGGTGATAATTTCGTTGTTGATGATGAGGATGATTTACTAGTCGAGGTTTCTTTAGATCTTGTTGTGCGCTTCTTTTGTTTGTGATTCAATACCATCCTTGCAGCCTGTTGTGATGCCTCTAATTGTTCGGTTTTTAATGCTCTTGTGCCAATATTCCTGTTTTCACTGGATGGTCTTGAACCTAATGAGAGTGTTGAAGGTGACTTCAAATTTTTTTGCATGGATGTTTTTGATGAGAGTAGATGGCGTGGTCTTGAAGTTGGTAAAGATGGAGTTGATTTTGTTTGTTTCAATGAAGTTGCCGGTTTAGACGGTCTTTTATGATTTGAAGTGTGCATTGTTTTAGAAGTATAGGATTCTTTTTCATTGCTGCTCTTTTTCTTTAGGCTCAATTGTTTAGGTAAGCTTTCTTCTTCTTTTATTAATACAGGAGCTTGTGGAATCGGAGGAATATAATGAGGCATAGGTGGAAGTTTTGGTAAATCAATCACTGGAACTTGGTTTGTAAGTTGATTTTTGTTTTTTTCGAAGGATATTTCTGGTCTATCATTACTATCTATTGTTTGTAAAATATTATCTTGACTGTTATTTGTTTCATTGTTTTCAGTCATTGATTCCTCACCAGTAGAGTCAACTTCTAAGTAATCATCATAATAGTCTGTTACATCAAAGTCAGGATCTCCTTCTGATTCAGATTCTATACCGGTTTCACGATTTGTGGAAGTCAGATTATCTGTACTTATTACAGAGATTGGTTCTGTTTCATATACAATTTCATCTTGGGATGGAATGTCATCCGCATTGTTTGTTATTCTTTCAGAGTGTATCGATCTAGAATCATTTGATCTATTGGATATGACTGACGATGTTACACTTTCTAGATCTGAATCGGATTTTCTATAACCGATTTTTTCAACATCCCTTGGATAAGGATCTAATGATTTAGATGTTGTGAAATTAATACGTCTCTCTTTCTCTTTTGTATTATCTATATGATTCGAGCTTCTATGGGGAGCATCATGTGATGATCCAGTAGGTAAATCATAATTAACAAATGGAAAGCGTGGTTCTTTACTTCTAGAATGTTGATCTCGGAGTGTCATTCTTGGAAACCCAGCGGACATTGTTCTTGCTGTCATAGGTCGTGACGGTACAGATGATGAAGATGAAAAAGACCCATTCCTCTGTGAACTCTCATTATTATTTATATTTCCAGCTTTCGATTCATTTATTAATTCTTTAGTTCTTTCCATATTTCTTAAGGCTTTATGATATAATTCCTTAATACCTGTTTCAATACTCAGTTCATCCTTAGTATATGATTCTCTATTTCGATTACAATGTTCTATCCTTGTAAGTTGGAAAATTGTATCTGTAGTAAGCATTTTCCAACCTTGTAATGCTCTCTGATATTGTTTCTGATTTTCAAGTTTTAAATAGAAAATGGATTCGTTTGCGATTTTACTATAGAGATCCGTTAGATCCGTTAACGGTTGTTGAGGTTTTTTCCTCAGTTTAGTAAACTTTGTAAGTATACTATGACTACCACTTGAATATGTTTCCATGTTTTTGTGTTTTTCCAAGGTATGGATATGGTTAATAATGCAGATATGATCCAAAGGAAGTATACTTTAATACAATGCCAAAAAAAAAAAATGTGAAAACTATAAATGCTGTATCTTTTCTCTAAATGATATGAGATATAATGTATTTATATCCAAAAAGAATAGTTAACAAATGGTGGTATCAGGTGTATTCTGTATTATCTACACCACCGATAAAGTTATTCTTGTCCTCATCATCGATTGAAGATATAAGCTTGTATGCAGGAAACCCATCTAACAGTTTAAATTTAATTTTTATTTTTATTTTTTTTATTTTTTCGTGCCAGAAGCTCCGTGAAAAGCAATGAAAAATAGATGTTGCTTAGAAAGAGGTTTATAATGGGGAGGTGGTGCGGCATTACTGTTGATTAGATTTCTTGAGAGAAGGTTAAGAGGTGATGATATGAAATTGCTTGTTTGTGAACTACTTTTGTAAAATTTATGTAAAGGACACTAATGAGGTTACCTGCTGCGAAGTTCAGTCGTCGTGATTACTGTTGTTTTCGAAGTCAGTTTTAGTAATTTAATTTGATTATGTGCTGCGACAGCGGTGTGTTTATTAATATTAGGTACATAAGTATACATAAGTCTTTTTTTGGGGGTCTTAATAGTTTATAATATAAAAGTGTTGTTTTCTACAATTGAAGTTGAAATGGGTACAGTAATCCATTCATGAGTGAGTTATGAGAAGATAATGATTTGTTAGTACATGATAATAATAATAATAATAATAATAATGATAATAGGAGTAATAGTACAATGAAATGCAGTATATCAATATCTCTTAGTTCCAATTTCTCTATAATACGCTATGTTTCTTATTTTGTTTCTCTTGTGCACCTAGAATCAATTCTTCAAATACTCTGGCTTCTTCAGCCTCTTCAGGAGATCTTCTTGCTTTAGAAAATTTCTCTGCTATAAATAACATAGCTTTAGCTTTTGCAAGACGTTCTTTCTTTGAAGCAGATTTATCATTAAGAATTTTATTACAAACTTCTTTCAATTTTCTTTCTAATTCAAATTTTGACATTGCCCACATTACACCAAGAGCTTTTCCTGCCATATTTGATTCAAATTTAGCACGTTCATATTGATCTAATTCATCAGGATTTACTTTACTCATTTGTTCCATTGTCTTTTGTGCTTCTAATCCAGTAGATAATAAATTATATGCAGATTTTACAGTCCTAGCATTATCCCTAGTACCTGTAAATACTTTTGAAAAACCAAAAGTTTTCTTTGACATAATGAAATTATTTGCTTTTGTCTTATAGACTCTTGCAATTAAATATAATAATTCTAAACCAAAACTTTCTAATTTTAAATCTTCAATTTCTTGATCCAATTTTCTTGTAAATTCATCTAAGTGGTTACCATTAAGAGCAAGAATATATTGATCTACCTTTTCATTTAATTTAATTGCTAATTCGTCAACTTGTTTCATCATATCTTCTCTTCTCTTTTGTTCCATTTCTAAAAGTTTTTGTCTTTGTTCTTTAGTCATTTTCTTTGATGATGATGAATCGGATTTTTTTTCACCATCATGTTTCATCATATCAGTTTCATCAGTTGTTGTTCCATTTTCTTCTTCATTCATTTTTTCAGTAGCTTCAGATAATTCTTTGAATAAAGAAAATTCACCAATCCAATCTTTAAAGCCATCACCACCAAAAATAGCACTAAAATATTCATTAGCATCTTCAAAACCTTGTTGTGGAACAGCATCATCTTTACCAAATTCATCATAACGTTTTCTTAAACTTTCATCACTTAAAACTTGATAAGCTTCACCAACTTCTTGAAATTTACGTTGAGCGTCTGGATCATCAGGATGTTTATCAGGATGTGTTTGCATAGCTTTTCTACGATAAGCTTTTTTAATTTCAGTAGAAGTAGCTTCAGGTTGAATCCCTAAGATATCATAATATTCAGTATCTTTCACCATTTCTGTTTTTGTATATGTTGTGGGTTTTTTTTATCAGAGGAGTAAATGGAATTATATATGTACCACTTTTATAATTGTTTGTTTGTTTGTTTGTTATAATAAAATATATTATAATGAATTAACTATTTCTTCCTTTTTCTTAAAAAAAAGTTATGTATCAATATTGTGAAATTTAAATAAATATGATCTTCAACAAAAATAAAAGGGAAAAGAATGAAAACCTCCTTTTAAAGACTCAATGGTTTCAAAGATTTGAGTTCTTATTATTTTCGATATATATATTTATACGTATGGTATTGAATCTAACTCAACTATACTACTACTACTACTACTACTACTACAAGAATATATAAAAAAAAAAACACTTCAGTAATTATTCATCACTTATTCTTTTGCTTTGTTTTCATTTTATTTTTCCATTATTGATTGTGTCGAAGTTCCACATTATTATTACCATCGTCTCTCGCTTTCTCTCCTTTTAGTTTTCATTTTTTTAAATCTCGCTCTGTCTTGTTGTCCTACCATCCACCACGGAGAAACCCGCGCAGAGAGAGGCAGAGAGAGAGGCATTTGACCAAATGGATACTGAAACTTCGCCCCGTCCGATTTCTTCAATTTCCCGCTGGCGGCGTTTCACTTGCTCAGATTGTTAATCACACCAAGACGGTTGTGACACACACAGTGAACAGAAAGTGATGAGATTGAGACGTTGTATGTTGAAGACAAGTCCCAGTATGGTAATGTTATCTGTTCTCTAACATTACCATACTTGTAGTTAGTTGGTCTTTATATGTTTGGCGCACTTGTATTACAAAACAAATAAAAATGAAGGGCTTCGTGGTGCTGATAATGAACCAAGTTTTGTAGATATATAGAAAGTTAAATAGAAATACCATTCAAACATCTGATATTTCCGTTCTTGCTTTGTTAATTGTGATGCATGTTGTATCTGTGGAACTGTGCTCAGGGTTGTTTGTATAAATTTCATTATGGTAAATGATATACGGCTTTAAATTTTACTTCCGTAGATTATCACTTTTATCGTTTTGTTTACTTTAAACTAATTTTATCAACTTTTTTTTTTGATTGATAGACAGTAAAGCTATAAATATATATATATTATTTGTAAAAATTTTAAGAAAATTGTTGGAACACTATTCTATGTGTATTAACGTATGAGAGCTTTTACCATACAGAAACCAATTTATTAATATACACACAACAATTTGTGGAAATAGTCTAATATGTTAATATATACATAATGTATTTTTATTTGAATGAATGAACTACAAACACAATCAAATAAAAACTTACTGAAACAACAGCATTTACACACCCACCTTGTTATATATTATATTTAAACCATTATTGTGACATTTTAGGTGCTTTATCGCTCGCTGTAAAGATTCTCATACTAGCACGTGATAAAACCCGATTTTGCCATAGTCAAATTAAATTACGAGTGAAGACGGAGACATTTCACAATGCGAGTTTTCTGATTCAATTACTAATGCGAAAATTATTGCATTTTCACAGCGATTTCTTACTGGTTGCACCCTGATTTATATATATATATATATATATATATATAAATAAGTGATAGAATCGATGAGCAAATATATAGGTAACTCTTGTTAAGAACTATTAGATACACTTTGGTAGTACCACAACTAATCAACGACATTTACCCACATCCCAGTTGTTTTTATTATTATTGGAAAGATGGCAACCGCTCCAACAAGATTACAAGTATTAGCTTTATACAAACAGTTTATTAAGAATTCAAAACAATTCAATAATTATAACTTTAGAGAATACTTTCTAAGAAGATCAAGAGATTCATTTAAACAAAATATGGCATTACAAAAACCTGAAGAAGTAAGTAGAGCTTATTCAGATGCTAAAGAAGAACTAGGAATATTAAAACGTCAAGCTGTTATTTCTCAAATGTATACATTCGATAAACTAGTGGTGGAACCATTAAACAATAAACATCATCATTAATTTTCCCGGCTCCAACCTCCAAAAACATAATAATAATATATACATATATATATTAAAAAAGAAGAAGAAAAAAAGGATTGATAAATGCTTACTCGACTTTCCCTCTACATTCGATATTCCAAGAAATGAGTAATAAGACAACATCGAACATCTCAACGCATTATATATATACAACTCTATAATATACATGCGTTCTGTCTCTACCTTTGCTGCACTTAATTTATCTTCTATTTTCAAAGTTTGTACATAAAAAAATTTTTAATAAAAACACATAATATAATTATTTTTCTAACTAATCACTCACTAGCTATTCACTAACTAATAACAGTACCATTTAGCTATTCATTCATCGACGATAGCCTTGCAATGACTAGAATATTACGTACACATTGTTTCGTAGTCACAAGATACGCCCATCGAAGAACCCTAACTTGTCTCACTTCTAACCCTACAGACATAGATTGACTAAAATGGCGTAGAAACAAAGAAAAATGGCTACATCAATTAGTTTTCGCTCGCTGCGAGATATATCGGATATTTTTTATGATGTTTTCTATCATTTGGTGAGATGCCCGTAATTCTTTCTTTGATGAGTTAAGCAGGAAAATTTTTCAGTTTCAGGTACTATTTTCCAGTTAAATTCTAATTACTCAGCATCTCTCTCTCTCTCTCTATATATATATATATATGTGAATATGATTGCTGACTTATAGATCATTTAAAGTCATCAAGAACTCTTATATATAGATATATATTTATATTACAAATAGAATTCAAAATAGAATTAAACATATAACAGCATTCTATTTAACAATGTCACAATATAAGAGAAAGAATGATGGTAATGAGGCAAGCCATATCGAAGATGGTCCAGCTACAAAACATTTAGCAATGGAAGAAGATAAGATGAAATCTTTATTCAATCAAAAGATCTGGGATCCTAAATTTCAAGATGATTTAGAAAAGACAATTGCCAAATCTGAACCTTATAATTGGGGGTCTATTACTGATTTAGTTGATGATGATTTATTAAGATCCGTTCGTAAAGAAATTGAAAATGAAATTCATTTCACTCTAAAAGAAACTGATATTTATAAAGTTAACCAAAGTGGTGATTTAGCTAATTTATCTGGGTTAGATTGGGCCGATCTTTCAAGATTACCAAATATGTATAAGTTACGTCAAATCTTATACTCTGAACCATATAGAAAATTTATCGCTAAAATTACTAATAGTAAATATCTTTCAGGGTCTAAGATGGATATGAGTGTCAACACATACACAAAGGGTTGTCATTTATTGACTCATGATGATGTGATTGGTTCTAGACGTGTTAGTTTCATCCTATATTTACCTGAACCTGATAGAAAATGGAAAGAACATTATGGTGGTGGTTTAAGATTATTCCCAAGTGTAGCAAATAATATCCCTTATACTGATCCATGTGCTAAATTGGTTCCACAATTTAATCAAATCGCATTTTTTAAAGTTAAACCAGGTTATTCCTTCCACGACGTTGAAGAAGTTAAAGTTGATAAACATAGATTATCAATCCAAGGTTGGTACCATATTCCACAAGAAGGTGAAGAAGGGTACATTCCAGGTGAAGAAGAAGCTTGGGTAAATAACAACAATTCTACTCTATCTCAACTAGAGTTTAACTTATTACAAGAATTCGAATATCCAAAGGATGATAGAAAACTTGTTGTTAAGGAACCATCTCAAGAAGAACAATTAACGAAATTAGCTGAAGATATTACAAAATTATCTACAGATGAAATAAAAGAATTATCTAAATATATTGCAGAAGAACATTTAACTGAAGAAGGTTTACAAGTTCTTCAAAAAAATTTCCTTGAAAACTCCGCACTATCAATTGATAACTTCTTAAATGAAGAAACTTCTCAACTTCTTTCGAAATTGATTAAATATAGAGAGTTGAATGAAAAATGCCCAACTACTGTTAAAGAAAATAAAAAACCATGGGAAACTGCTAAACCACCACACAAATGGAGATTCTTGTACCTCGACGAAAATGAATTCAATGAAGAATCCCAAAATGAAAAGAATGAATTGGATTCCAAACTTTATGACTTGTCTCAATTTATACAATCATTTGTTTTTAAGAAATTTATCGCAGCCATTACTTGTCTAGTCCCATTGACTCAATCCGTTATAGTTAGAAGATTCAGACCAGGGAACGATTTCACTCTAGCAGATAGATTACAACTAAATAAAAACTTCGATAACTTAATGGATTGTATCCTAGAAGGTACTCTTTCATTAAGTGTATTTGATGATTGGGAAAATGGTAACATTGGTGGTTATCAAATTTACATGTTAAACGAAGAAGATAATGGTGACGATCAAGCTGTTGTCCATGACGATAACGGTGAATCAGTTTTAATTAACAAAGCTGCATCTTGGAATTCTTTCAACTTGGTTCTAAGAGATGAAAATGTCCTTGAATTTATTAAGTACGTCAGTTGGGGTGCTAAAGGTAGTAGATGGGATATTAAAATGTTGTGGGACGTTAAGGATACTGGTGACGACGATGAAGAATAATTATAGTAATTATTTAATTTTGTATTCAATAGAAATAATAAAAGTATAATAGAAGTAATATTAATGATAAACAAAAAGAATAATTAAATATTAAATATTTACAAAAAATTATATACGGCTCATGTTAGCCTATTTACGCCAATATTAGTATATATGAGTGATTTTATAACCGTTAAGGAAGCTTTAAACTACCTAAATTTGAACTTTTTACGCGATTTAGTTTATATATTTCATTTCCAATCATCGAAACTAGCAGGAAACTGGACGGATTATCTGGATATAACGTTCAACTTATAACCCGTTCTACCACCTTAGTTGTGTGTTTTCGACAATAAACCAATCGCTTGTGCCCTTCTGATTGCCTTGGCCAATCTTCTTTGATTTTTGGCTGATAAACCAGTAACATCACTATGTAAGATCTTACCAGTGGATGACATGTATTGTGAAAGGATTTCTGGAGATGTATATAGATCTAGTGGATTGATATTATTGCCAAATAGTTTAAATTTCGACTTGTGCTTACGATCTAAATTAATTCTAGCCATAGAAAAGTCAAAGGGATCATAAATTGTAGAGTATTCGAAACTTTTAATCAATTTTGGTTCCAAGGTCTTTATATTTTGCCTATTTTCAATTCCATTGGCAGATTCACCTTTAAGTTTTTGTTTATCCGAACCTTTTATTGCTTCAAATATATTTACATTTGTTGTACCAGTTGGAGGGAAATTAAAACCCTTTAAATTGGTTTTTATTGTGGTACTAAAGAGTCTAGTATTGCTCCTCAAAGCAACTCTATATTGTGATAACATCCTTAAATAACTTAATTATCCCTTGATATCTCTGCTGATTAGTAGCTGATAGTTAACTCGTTAATGAAGTATTTTGGGATAGCTAGACGTATATGTGGCTATGAATGACCGCGACGACTTGGGGTTTTGCCTTCTTGGTTATTCTTAGAAATCATTGGAAATTACTATTACTCGTCTTGTTCTTTAACTAAACCCATTTCAATTGTTTCGCTCTTAATCTCTTCTTTCGCCATTTTTACTAAGTTTTATGCACGTATAACGCGATAAAAAAAAAGTACAATCAATTAATAAAGTGCCAGCTTAAGAAAAGAGCAGTTTCTATGAGCAAAAGTTCGTTGATCACTATGAATGAATCATTAAAATAATTATTGAACAAGATTTAGACTAATATATTTATATGGCTATGTTAATTTATTTTGTTACATAATACGTAAATCCTTCGTATCAATATGAAAAAGAAAGTTTGTTTTCCTAACCTTGTAAATTCATGCATACAAACCAACAAAAAAAGAATTACCTATCTTTTCAAAGTTAGGAGGTCAAAGAAGAATATTATGATTGAAAAGGCCAGTAAACAATCTTCTGATCTCTATAAGTCCAATCTCTTGATTTGTTCTAGTCTTTCATCAACGGCGTGTTCAAAGGATGCAGTACTCTGAGAATGTTCCAATTCGGCTTGTTTCCTTTCATCTAATAATTTAGCATGAATAGATTGTAATGCTTTAATAGAATCTTCTTCATCAATAACACAAGAAATATTTATTTCATTAGCACCTTGAGAAATCATTTCAATATTGATACCTTGTTCAGCTAATGTAGTAAACATAGTACCTGCAATACCAATAAATTGTTTCATTTGCTTACCAACCAATGATACAATGGCCATCTTTTTTATAATATCAACAGTACCCAACGCTCTCAATTGTTCTACTGCTTTTCTTAGGGCCTTCAAAGAATCATTATCTGGGATAGGTAAAGCCATTGAGACATGAACTTCAGATGTAGAGATTAAATCAACTACCAATTTAAATTTATCTAATATGGTAAAGATTTGAGCTAAGAAACCATGTGATAGTGTTTTCTTATTGGAATGTATATTCAGTACTACAATATCATTCTTTGTAGTAATCGCAGTAGCACCTCTTCTCTTCTTTTCAAAAAATGATGAAGATAAAGCCTCAGGAGGATGTGGTGGTGTCAATTCACCTCTCTTAGCAATGTTATCAGGATAAATAATGGTACCATCACCCTTTGGATTTTGAACATTTTTAATTCTAATTGGAATTTGAGCCCGAATGACTTGTTCCATGGTGAAAGGATGAATAACTTCTGAACCGTAATAGGTTAATTCTGAAGCTTCTTCTGGAGTGACAGATGATAATAATCTAGCATCTGGAACTTTTCTTGGATCTGCGGTAAAAATCCCATCAACTTCTTTCCAAACTTGTAATTCATCAGCATTAATTGCTACGGCAACTAAAGCAGCACAAAGATCAGTATAACCACGACCAACACCATTCAATAGACCCATGGGTACTAAACCGAAAAACCCAGTAATAACAGGAACGATTTTATCATCAGGGTGTGCAATATTATTAGATACAATTGGTTGTAATTTATCCTTCAAAGCTTGAACCAAAAATACATAGAATGAATTATCTAATACGGTAACATTATAATCTGATGGAATAATATGAGATAAATCAATATATTTAGCTTTTATACCACGATCATTACATAATGCGGTCATAAACAAACAACTCAATTTTTCACCGACGGACATAACTAAATCGATGGTTCTTGTAGAGACTTCACCTAATACTTTTGAAGCTTCTAAATATTTACCAATTAAATTTAATTCATTCTTAGTATCTTCTATTAATTTAGTTTGTAAAACAGGATTTTGAATAAATCTTTCTGCATTATCAATATGATCCTGAGAGATGATTTCAATGATATCATGAAATTCAGATTCTTGTGCAGCTAAATCACAACATTTTAATAATCTTGAAGTAGTACCTTCAGCTTTAGTATAAGAAGAACGAGCTGAACATACAACAGCAACGTTATTATTTAATACTTGAGAATAAAATTTAATAATCTCATCGACAATCTGAGTTGGAAACTTACCCACAGAAGTACCACCAAATTTCTGAATGACCCAATCAGTCTTTTGTAACATATTAAATATAAATAAGTAATAATAATATTATATCCAAGTAAATATCCCGTTGAGGCACCTTTATCTTTAGCAATATATGTATACTCGGACTAAGAATAAAAATACTACTGTAGCATGTAAACAAAATAAATTCATATCCATATATATATATATATATATATATAAATGATGTGAATTGGTGAACTTCCCAGCAAAACTGGGAGAAGGAAGGAGAAGAGGGAGGGACTCATCAACCCAATCCAACTCAAACCCACTTTGAAGTTCAATACCCACCATCAACCTTTGGCTAATGCAATGTGACTAATTGAGAGAAATCTGCCTTCACCAGACTGACAATACATTTTTCACTCAACTCATCCATCGCCTCACTGTCCTGTCTGCGTGAAAACGCCATATATGGGAGCAAAAATCAAAGAAAAAGAAACTGAAAAATTTCACCGCAAACGGCGCGCATTTTTCTTTGTTTTTGCTTTTTTCTCTTCTCACCGCCATGGAAATCTCGAGAAGTTCTCTCGCTCTTGTTACACACGTAATAAATAGGAAAAGACGCCACAGTTTTATTGCATATTTCTTGTGGTTGGCTGTATTGAAGCCGTCGCGGTCATGTGACTTTTGGAATTGAAAGAAGGGATCTCTCTCACACTTTCCTTTTTTCAGTCACATCATCACTACGTCACATTATCAATGAAGTATACAGAATATTTGATACATTATATATATATATATATATTTAGTTATGTGTATTATAAACTAGGGTAATTAACCTGTAGTTGGTAAACCAACAGTAACTTTGAATGAATCGTAAATTAACCATTGGAAACTTGTTAAAGTACCAATCATAAAGATTCTTACTGGTAAACCTACCCATAAACCCATAAATCCAATTTGTTGATAAATTCTCTTTGATGCTTGAGCCATACTTTGACCCATTTTCTTTTCATTATTAATCTTTGAAACCATTACATCAGCAGGATGTGATATGATTGCACAAAGAATACCTGCTAAATAACCACCAGTAAAACTAACACCAATTTGTTGTAATGTTGACATTTCTGATTTTTTTGTAGGTAAATAAGAATAAATACTTTCAACGATTCTTTCAAATGATGTAAATTTAACCATTGTATATGGAATTTGTCTACACCATAATGGTACTAAACCTTTATATAATGAAGCAAACCCATCTGATTTAATTGTCTTTTGAAGACCTTCAAATAAATTTTTTGAAAACGATGGCATTGTAGTTTGTTGCTTAACCTTAATTGCTTCAAATGGACATAACATTAAATCAGCTAAAAATTCTGCCGTTGCTGATGCCATTAAATAAATCCCAATTCTATGTTTATGAAATTTTTCAATATTATCACCACAAATTGCTTTAGAATAAGTATGTTTAAAAAATTCATAACCACCATATTTACCTGCACCTTGTAAAGAATAACCAATAAATGTTGCACCAACACCTGTAAATAATTTAGAAAACCCTTCCTTTGTATAAATTTGTTTAATACCAGCTAAGTTACCCGAATATAATTTTGGATTGACTTGTAATCTACATTTAATTAAATCTAATGGTGTAACAGATGAATGTGTTGGACCACATGCAACTATACCACCAAGTGTACATGCTGCGTAAAATTCTGGAGTATATAATTTAATACCAGTTGGAGGAATTGCCTTTGTTGTAGACATGATGTTGTTTGTTCTAATGTAGTTGAACTATATTGAATGATTTTTAATAATTGAAAGCAATATTATATAATATTAATCAAAATGGTAACCAAAGAAAAAGATCGTATACTTACTTATATATCGAGAATAATCCTTAGAATAAATAAACTAAGATATATATATATATGTATGTATATTTGTAAAATGCGATAACTGCATCAATAAAAGAGCAATAAAAAATGTCAAATTACCAAGTAAGTATTACCACTCCCCCTTATAACAAAAACGAACAAATTAATGAATAAACTTCGATACCATTGCAAGTATCGGTTAGTAAATGGCTCTAACAAACTCTGCTCTATTATTATTATTATTTTTATTATTACCATGTCTTTATCCTGAGTTCTTGTCTATCTCTCTAAGCTTGGTAAATATACATAATTTACTTAAAATTATATAACGCAGATCGCTTATTTTGGTGAATAACTTAAGGAGGGGCCAAAATAATAACGCAGAACTTATTGTTTTAATTTGGTCTTTGGGCTTCTGCCGTGTTTTCACTGCCTTTATTTAATCCCCCCCTTGCCGTCCTTCAAATTTTTAGGCAAAAGAATCTTTCAAAATGCGACAATCGCAGAACTCCGTTGGTTATTGAAGGTATTTAAAGAAAAAAGGGGCACACTGGTCGTATATGGTGATGCCCGTCGGATAAATTATAAATTATATATAATTTATATATTGGGCGGCTAAATATGATTGAAAATAATTTAATGTAATTTAATAATTATAATCGTAACATATATATTAGAGGTTTGTGGCTAATAGGATACATATTGTATACTCTTTCATGTAGATTGTTTTAATTCTATGTAATGGTACATATAATAAATACTTACTCTGGCAATAATCGTGGTATATACTCTTGTAACCTCTTTATTACACGAAGATGTACTATTATATATAATGATGAAAACAATAACAATATAGTACCAAATAATTGTAAATCGGAATGCATAGTAGATAATATATATATTATAATAGTTGTTTCTTGGAACAATTACCTTGAATATAATTTAAACGAAGTAAAATATGTACAATCTGGTATTCTGTTTTAACTTGTTTAAAACAAACTGTTGCCCACTTTCACATCTCTTCGATAATAATTTAAAATTTCCTTACTGTGTAAAATTAATCAACCGTCATCAAATGTTTTTTCTTTCTAATGCCACATAAGGAGATAAGAAGCGTCAGCGGCTATGTTTTTTTGTTTTTAATTTCGCTCCCTCTTTTTCTTTATATATATTCATCATGATGGACAATTTCATCTTTTGATTGATTATTTATCATTATGTCATAATTAAGAATAAAAATAATTTATATATGTGTATATATAGATAGATTTACGTTGAATATTCTCAGGGACTTCTATAGTAGTTATTTAGGTAACTCATAAACTGAATGGATTATTAAAACCTTTTAATACAACATCAACTTTATAATTTTGATCATCATTATTATCCCAATATTCTTCTCTGATTGTATCATTTCTTGTAGTATATTGTATACAAAATTCTAATTTACCAATATTATACTCATTTCTTGCATTATCATCAATTAAAAAATGGAAAATATCCATATCTGTACCAGGCAAAATTGAATCACTATTACTTAACCAAATTGCTTCAACTTCACTTACTGTTTTCCATTTATCCCATGTATATCTAATAATAATTCTTTTATCATAGTAAATATTTTTAACAAGAACTTTACCGATAATATATCGCGATATTGTATTATGTGGTTCAGTTTGGGTAATACCATTTGATAAATTTTGTCGTGTTTGAATATGTAATGTTAATTCTTGTAAAAAACATTTTTTACCTCTTGATAAGTTAATGAATATGTTTAATTTTAATGATTTAGGATTTTTATTGCTTAATATTGGAAAATTTTCATTATATAATCCAACAACTTTTTGTGAACGTCCTGATCTAACAATTGCCTTCTTTTTATTTTTAGCTTCAGTAGTTGAATTAATTAAATTTTTGGCATTTGCTTCTTCTTTAGCTTTTTTATTTAATTCTTCAACAGAATTGTTAAATTCCTGACTTACTGATGATATTGTAAATGGATTTGAAATTGGTTTACTAATAATATTTCTGGTTGTTGATAGTTTTGAAGTATTTGATATATTTTCATTTTCACTTTCATTTTCTTTTTCAATAGATTTTTGAAATCGTCTACTTTTACGTAATTTTTTTGGTTCATTATTACCGTTCTTTTTATTTGATAGATTATCTAAACTAATAAATCTATCTCTAAGACCCATATTTTTTAAACCTGACAATAAACCATTATCATCTTCAACACCAAGTTCCGAATCCATTAGATTTACAGGTTTATGAATAAAATTTAAAATATTATTTTGTTCATTTGTTGTATTTACATTAATTGGACTTTCATCTTTACTGAAATATTTTACAGGTGTCTTATGATCAAAATGAACACTTTTACTTCTTGCTAATAATAAAGGATTTTCACCAATATCATCATCATCATCATCATAATGACTTGAAACCAAAGGTGTTGCAGGTAAAGATTTTGATCTTTTCTTCAAAGAACTTTTAACTAATTCCCCGGATTTTTTATATACAGGTGTTGGAAATGGTATTATACTTTCATTTGAAGTATTATTAAAAATATAATTAATTGATTGAATATTTCTTTCTTCAACAACAGAATTTGGTGACAATTCAGGTAATCCATTACTTGTTGTTAATTTTTTATTCATATCAGTATTTCTTTGTAATTCTTCTTCAGGAAATCTATCTTCATTTAAATGTGCAACACGTTGTGGTTTATGTAAAAATTTTAATGATGATAAATTTGAATCACCATGTAATACATGATATTTTTTATCATTATATGGCGAATTTAAATTTGTTTGATATTTATCTAATTCTTCTTTAATTCCACTTGGTGTCATTACTCTTGGTAATTGTTGTAATTTTGAATGAAAATTATTTCTATGATCTCGAACTCTTTCATGTAATGGTTTTTGTTCTTGTTCCAAATTTGGATTGGGACCCAATTTCTTACAATCTGCTTTAATATACATTTAATAGTTAAAAAAAAGGATGAGAAAAGGGGGTATATGCGAGACAGACAGATTGAGTAGTTAGAGAAAGAGTATCCATGAACAATTGATATTAATATACAAACACACACACACGTAGAATATATATATATATATATATATATATATGTCAGGGATATCGAAAGGAAAGGAAAAAAAAAGAAAAGGATGAATAGAAAGAGAGTATGAGGGTGTTTGAAACCAATCGAATAGTATATTAAACTAGTGACAAATTATATTTTTCTTTTATTGTGTCTTACCTGTGTGTATGTATTTAGTTTCTTAGTTTTTGAAAAAACTAAACAAATAATATTTGTTTTTTTAAATTAACTGTCAAATTTTTTTTTTGACAGGTACTAAAATTGTATTTATATCAATTTATTGTTTAAGGAAGAGAGGTTAATACTTTATATATAAATATATCTTATTAGTTGATTAATTATTTGCAGCTAAATTGTTATATCAATCTATCCCCTTAAAAAAAATTAAAAAAAGAAGGAGAAAACTGAACCGCGGAGTGAAGAAGCCAAAAAAACAACAAAAAAACAAAGCCAACAATTTAATATTAACAAATCATTTTATGTGGGGACGGAGGGGGGATGATGAGAAACATAATTTTGTAATAGTTTATTAATAAAATACAAGAGATAGATAATACTAGGGGTAGAAGAATATCAATGAAATTAGATAATTTTTGAAATTATTAATCGGGGAGATAATGGAATGTTTACAGATCATTAACCCGATTATTTACTTCAAACGACTACATTCATAAGATTAAAGTTGTATCATTGCAAGCATGTATATATATATATGTGTATTACGTACATTTTGTTCTACCTATTTTAACGTAACATTTAAAGGATTATTTAATATATAAGTAACTTGTTTCAATTCTAAAGGTTCCACGCATTACATAAATATATATAGATATATTTATAATGTCTGACCAGTCACTTTCCCTTATACTTACATGCTACGGGTTTCGGCGATAATAATTTGTTCAAGGCAAGAGCAAGGAAAAAAAGACACTGAGAGAATAATACGGACATACTCTCTTCCCTTACATGTTATATAATTATGGAAGGATACAATGTGCAGTAGGTATATTATTTGAATTATACCTTAGAATTACCGATTAATAACCAATTAAGATTATGAAAGGAAACAGATAGCGACATAAATATATATATATATATATATATAGAGAGAGAAATGTTATATGTATATGTACATCAATGTCTGTTTTTGCAAAAACAGAAAAACAAGCGGAGTTGTGAACATATTAACTATTTTTGACTCTTCGATAATAACATTTATTATGAGATCAGTTTTTATCCCATCATCGAGTATCAATCATATTTGATGAAAAATGTAATTTATTCTTGTGGTGCTTTTTTATTTTTAAAAATACACGGGACAGAGACTCGTGGTCGTGAGACAGTTAATTATCAAATTTATGAATTTATTATGCATTTATGCATTTATTCAAAATAAACAAGATAAAATCATGTCTGTTGCATTTTTTTTGTCATCTGATGGTGCGCAAATTTTGGTTTCACCTAACAGCGGGAGGCCCCAAATTACTGTTGAAAGACAGTTATATGCAGGAAGCCAAATCAAAAATATTTCTCGTTCTTTTTTTAATACCATAAGCATCGGTTTGTACAAATCACTGTATATTGCAGCAGAGAGTAGCAACAGCGTACGGAATTTTCTTCGGGATGCCTGTTTTTTTCTTACCTTCCGTCTCCTTCTTGATTTTCCTGTCCGAGACGCAACAGAATAAAAGTACAAACTTTTGCCCGGGGAGCGAACTCCAATTAAAAAAAGCTCCTACTCTTATTTCCTATGGGCATCGTGTTCTTTTTTTACTTTTTTCTTTTTGAAAAATTTAAAGGGTCGTCGTTCCAGCACGGGCTTTCACGGCATCTTATCTGCCTCGTATTGAAATATCTGTTATTCATTACAATTAATTTTTGAATAAATTATGCATTTTGTTTCTGATTTTTTTGTTTAACTGAAAGCAAAGAATAAAAAGGAAAGAGCGTAGGTGAGAGAGGTATCCATATATTAATATATTATGTATTTTAGGGTACTACTGTTATATAGTAGTAGGAACCAGTATTAATACTAACGTAATATAATATTTTTACCTGTATATTTTTTCTGGTTTTGAACTGGTGAAATTTATTAATTTTTCAGCTGAAGGATCAAATATTTGTTTTGTTTTTGATGTGAAATTGATTTGATTTTGATTTTCTTTAACGGTTGAAGCGAAAGAACAGGATTTCTCTAAAGTCTCTCTGTGCATTTCGACTGGTGATTAATTATCGTCATTCATCAATTACTTCAAGGTTAGTGTAATTCTGCATCTTAATTTTTTTTTATTCATTTATTCATTTTCTTATCTTCTTTGTATTTCAATTACCTCTCTCTCTCTCTTTTAAATGCTTGAATCAATTAATTCATGCTGGTAACAGAGAAAAATTTTTTTTTTCTTTTTGCAAGAATATTTCATATATAAGTAACATCATATCAATCGTTTATTTTTAAATTTATACATTTCCTTTGATTGTATTTAATTATTATATAGTCCTCTTATTTCTTTTATATTTATTCTTCTTTTTCTTATTTTACGTTTTCATTCTAAAGAAACCATCCTAAAAAAATTTATATATCCAATCATGGCTGAAGTTCAATTAGGTCGTTACTTATTCGAAAGATTAAAGCAAGTTAACTGTACTACCGTTTTCGGTTTACCAGGTGATTTCAACTTGGTCCTATTGGACAAGTTGTACGAAGTCGAAGGTATGAGATGGTCCGGTGACACTAACGAATTAAACGCTGCTTACGCTGCTGATGGTTACGCTAGAGTTAAGGGTATGGCCGCTATGATCACCACTTTCGGTGTCGGTGAACTATCTGCCTTAAACGGTATTGCCGGTTCTTACTCTGAACACGTCGGTGTTTTACACATTGTCGGTTGTCCATCCACTCTACTACAAGCTAAGGGTCTATTACTTCACCACACTCTAGCTGATGGTGATTTCGATGTTTTCCACAGAATGTCTGCTAACATTTCTTGTACTACTTCCATGATCACTGACATTGCTACTGCTCCAAGTGAAATTGACAGATGTATCAGAGCTACTTACATTAACCAAAGACCAGTTTACTTAGGTTTCCCATCTGACTACTTTGAAAAGACTGTTCCAGCTTCTCTTCTACAAACTCCAATTGATCTATCTTTGAAGCCAAACAACGCTGCTTCCGAAGATGAAGTCATTGCTGACATTCTATCTATGGTCAAGGCTGCCAAGAACCCAATCATCATCGCTGATGCTTGTTCTTCCAGACACAACGTCAAGGCTGAAACTAAGAAGCTTGTTGATGTCACCAACTTCCCAGCTTTCGCTACTCCTCTAGGTAAGGCCGTCATTGACGAAACTCACCCAAGATTCGGTGGTATCTACGTTGGTTCTCTATCTAGACCAGCTGTCAAGGAAGCCGTTGAATCCGCTGATTTGATTCTATCTGTCGGTGCTCTATTGTCCGATTACAACACTGCTTCTTTCACTTACGGTTACAACACCAAGAACATTGTTGAATTCCACTCTGACCACATGAAGATCAGAAACGCTACCTACCCAGGTGTCCAAATGAAATTCGTTCTACAAAGATTACTAAAGGTTATCGGTGAAGCTGCTAAGGGTTACAAGACTGTTGCTATCCCACCAAAGGCTCCAGCTAACGCTGAGGTTGCTGCTTCCACTCCATTGAAGCAAGAATGGTTATGGAACGAAGTTTCTAACTTCTTCCAAGAAGGTGATATTATCATCACTGAAACTGGTACCTCTTCCTTCGGTATCAACTCCTCTGTCTTCCCAGCCAACACTATTGGTATCTCTCAAGTCTTATGGGGTTCCATTGGTTACGCTGGTGGTGCTGTTGCCGGTGCTGCTTTCGCCGCTGAAGAAATTGACCCAGCTAAGAGAGTCATCTTATTCATCGGTGACGGTTCTCTACAATTGACTGTTCAAGAAATCTCCACTATCATTAGATGGGGTCTAAAGCCATACTTGTTCGTCTTGAACAACGATGGTTACACCATTGAAAGATTGATTCACGGTCCAAAGGCTCAATACAACGAAATTCAAAACTGGGATAACTTACAAATTCTACCAGTCTTCGGTGCTAAGGACTACGAAACTCACAGAGTTGCTACCACTGGTGAATGGAAGAAGTTGGTTGCTGACAAGGCTTTCAACATCCCATCCAAGATCAGAATGATCGAAATTATGCTACCAGTCATGGATGGTCCACCAGCTTTGATTGCTCAAGGTAAGCTATCTGAAGAGATGAACGCTGCTATGTAAATTAATTAAAGATCAAAAAATTTGAATATCCTTTTTAAAGCATTTTTTACGTAATTATTTTATAAAAACAACAACAAATAAATCTGTTAAACGTTTCATGTTAGAAATATTTTCTTTTTCTCTTTTCTCTCTCTCTCTATATATATATTTGTAATTATTATAACATAATGATGTCGTTAATAGAACCTTTTTTCATAATTATTTCGTTGTGTTACCTGTGTATAGTATATTTATCTACATATTAATAGTATTATGTATGAAAAAATTACGTACAGTTGTTACATATAATTAGTCTCTTTATTTTCTTAAACACGACAATTTGAAATGTCAAAGACAATAATATCTGTAGCACCATTCTTTTTCAATTCATCCATGATAGCACCTTTCTTGTTCTTTTCAATCATAGCCGCAACAGCAACCCATTCACCATCATCACCAACATTTGTTAAAGTTGGAGCTTTTCTACCTGGTGTAATTGCTAATAATGTAGGTAGTGATACTTTAGCAGCATTATAAGTACAATAAACATATCTTTGTGCGGTCATAACACCTTCAATTCTAGATTTGATTGTTTCAATCAAATCTGCGTCACCTTTAGGATGTTTGGATTGAATCAAATGAGCACTAGTGTCCAATACAGTAGCAATATCAATCAAACCAGCAGCACGCATAGTTTCACCGCTTTCAACTAAATCGACAATAGCATCGGCAACACCAAGAGCACAAGATGCTTCAACAGAACCACCAACATATTTAACTTTAGTAGTCATTTGACTCTCTGGAACACCTTCTAATTTAGCAAAATATTTTTTTGTTAAGTTAGTGAAAGTTGATACAATAGTTTTACCTACTAATTGTTCAGGTTTAGTATATTCACCATTATTTGGGACTTGTACTTGTAATTTACAAGAACCAAATTTTAAATCAATTGGTAAATCCACATCAATATCAGCTTCTCTAACTTGATCGACACCAGTAATACCAAGATCACATTTACCTTCACCAACAAACATAGGAATATCTGCAGCAGGTAAGAAGATCAATGCTACCGGTAAATTTGTAGAAAGGGCAATATCTAGCCTTTGTGACCTGTGAAATTTAATATCAGAACCATTCAGTATCTCTACACTCTTTTGATAAAGTCTACCTTTCTTTGGAATGGCAAATAATAGTCTATCGGTTAGGTGGTTAACTAATTCCATTGTATGGGATATATATATGTGTGATGTGCTTGTGTATTTTGTAAATGTATGAATATGTTAAATATATTCAAATATGTATGTGTATCTGAAAAATTTCTTACTTTTTCTTATTTATGAAAAAAATTACTTTGCTTATTCGTAAAAATAAGAGAACTGAAAAAAATTGCAAGAAAGTGTAAAGTGTTATAATAAAGACATTTGTTTAACTAGGTATATGTTTATATATGTATCTAGAGGGAGCTTATTTTCTTCAACATGAGTTTATCAAGAGAGAAACTCACAACTTTGCTTACTCAATGAGTCAAAAATTCCTCCAGTATGTTCAAAGTGAAAAATTTCATTATTATAGTATCCGCAGTACTACTAAATTGGGGAGAACAAATTATTACAAGAGCCGATTTCCTTAAAGAACTTCATATCTTACAATATGTAGTATATAACATATAACATAATTAACTAATTAGACACTAACTTCTATAAAGTTCCCTCAGTGATCTTGTCCCGATTTGTTAGAGAGGGACCTCCACTTTGACTCATTTTGATTTTTACTACGTGTTGTTGTGGTAAACAATTCACATTTTAATATATTATATGCACGTAGAGTTAGCAATCAAATATTTTATGCCTTCGCTTCAAATAGTGGAAAATCAGTATTTTTGCCCAGTAATTTAATTTTTAATTGAAGGAGTCAAATGACGCGGAATTTTAAAAGCGCGCGCCTAAGGGAGCTTCGTGTGGAGTGATGAGCAGTATGTCAGTAAATCAAAACATACTTTATTTAATTCATGTGTCAAGTAGCAGAGATATGATAATGATTACGATTTGGAAGTCTCAAAATTTGGAAGGCACCATAGGTCGAAAATCTACGAGATATTCTCTGGAAAGCACAACCAATTCCGTAAAAGAAAAATGAACAATTTATTACAATATATGTATTGTATTTATATATAATTAGACCGGAAAATGTTTGATAGTATTATTAGTTGATATTTATGTATGAATTTTAAAAATGTAAATGGTAAGACCTATAGTAAAAAAATATTGTATTTTAACGACCGAAATATTTTATTTCAAATGGTCGTATTATGTTGTAAGTTATGAATGCCCAAGAAGCACCTAATTCAAAACCGATATCACCACCATAATCACCAATCAATCTTGAGATTTCACCAACCCAGTAAGTTTGGCACATCCCTAAAGCAACACCGAAGGCAGCCACTATTAATGCAGCCGTTCCTGCAATACCAATAGGCAATTTACTACTATCATTCCAATCCTCAATATTATAATTTCTGAAAGAATTTTTTCTGTAAATGAAATGTTCCGATAATGCAATGGCTGTGTAAATAGCTAAATAATAACCGATAGAATCCATAAAATTTTGCATAAAGCCTTCAAAATAGTAACATGCTGGAATGGCAATACCAACGGTTGCTGCATTACCAGCTAGGGTCCACAACACTCTTGGAACCTTAGCAAATGGTTCCCACATAGCTTGTGCAGATAATGCAATCGTATACATATTTGGAACATTATTAGCAACAGTAGACATAGCTAATAGAACACAACAGAATTGACCAAAACCATGTAAAGAGTTTGGAACAAGGATAGCATAAGTTAAACCACCCATAGAATTAGTTTGATAGTATTGGTTCCAGGTTGGATCATTAACGGCACCCATAGCAGAGGCAGCACCTAGAATCATACAAAAGAATAATGGGAAAGATAAACCAGCTACTAGAGAAAAGAAAACCTTATATTTATTAGTATTCTTTGGCATGTAGACAGTATAATCGGATGCATAAGTGGTCCAGCCAGTAGCAAACCCATAAACGGTACAACCAAATGAAAGAACATTACCAGCAGTAGTTGGGCCTGAAGTCCATTCACCATTACTGAAATTATGAGATTTTGCAAGACGTGCAATAATGACTAAAAAGACAGCAAAATTTGGAACCCATGACCATTTTTCATATGCGTGAATAACACGATAACCAAAAAATGTTACAGCTACTGTACAACCAACGATAATAATACAACCTGCCCATAGAGGACATTCATGTCCAGAAGCATGGTTAACCATATTTAATAATTGAGCTGATACCACAGTATTAACAATACCCCAACCGACACAAGCAACCACGTTAATCAAAGCAAAGATTCTTGCAGTTAAATTACCTAGTAAGAATCTAGATAAAACCATTTGTCTTAAACCTAGTTCACAACCAAATAATGAAAAATAAGCAACAGGTAGTAAACCTAAGATATTGAAAAAGATAATAACTAGAACAGAAGTACCAAAATTTAACTGATAAATCATTGGTCCCAAACCACCTAATGCATAAGCTGCAATAACCATATTTGCTGAAAACCACATTGATGCAGCGTTAACTACTGATTCATCAGGATTTCTTTCTTCTTCACCAACAGGTTCGATACCTTTAGTTTCTGCATTTAAATATATGGCTAATCTATTAAACCATGACAATTTAGTTTCAATGGCTGATTCAATAGCATAAAGATCATTTGTGTCATCATCATTACTGATAGATTCATATATAGCATGTTTTTCATTGCCTGTATTTTTTTCATCAGTTACAATTGGGTAGTTTTGTTGTTCAATATCCGATGAAATATCAGTGCTACCATTTTCTTCAGATTGGTGTTTAACCAATTTTTTAATTGAAAACCCCATATCTACTAATATATATAGATGCGTATGTGTATATCTGTTATAATATATTTATATATGAAATGTATTTACAAGAAAAAAAGAGAAACTAGAAACTACTTTAGTTTTCCTGTTGTATTATATTATTTCAGAAATCAAACTTCATTCCCTCTCCTTTATATATATATACAAAAGTTTGATAAAAACCAATAACACCTATTTTAATTATTATCAGTTTTTAGAGAGAGAGAGAGAATCTGCAATCAGATATGGGTAAATGTGACAAAGTCATCACTGTTGGCAAATGAACAATATAATTACATCTACTTTAATTAAAAAACTAATTAAAAAAAAAGAAAGAAAAATGAAAAAAACGAAGGTAAGACTAACGATAGTAGTAGATCACCCTTTTGCAAAAAAAACAAACTTTCATTATCACTTTAATTTAATAGATATACCTTTTATCCACTAGTGATTCATTATCAACAAAAGAGAGGGGGGCATAATGAATGGCTGTAGATTGGATTGTACTAAGAATCGATGTATTGCATTGCAGTAAATAACGGTTAAGAGAAGTACGAGTAAAATGATGAAAGAAGAGTGTGCAACTGGCAGTAACGGTAAGTACGGCAACTGCCAGAAATGCAGAGTATCTAATCCATTGTCACGCCCACTCCAGAAGAAGTAACAAAAGACAAAAAAATTAAGACTCAAAGTAATTAAAATTAATGAAAAAAAAAGAGCACTTTCCCTCTGTTTAATTACTTTGTGGCTTGTTCCCTCTCAAATTCTATTCTTTTTCATCTTTTTTTTTAACTCCGTCGTGAAAAAGTGTTTTTTTAACCTCTTTTCATTTCAAGAGCAGCCTTGGCAGTACATTCGCGCAGAAATTTCAAATTCTGGTAAAACAAAAATTTCACTTCTTTTTTTTTGCCATTCAGATAAAGAGAAGTCATATCGTTTTTTTCATTTTATTAGATATCTGATTGAATGGGATTGTTCTTGCATGGGAGAAAACAATATTATTTATCTGACATTCTCACTTTGCATTGTATAATTATGGACAACACCCACACACACAGCAGAATGAAGCTATATCAGTGATTGCTATCTGATATGAAGAGAAATTACCTTTACTATACGTATTGATAATCTTGTATCGAGAATGAATGAATATTTAATTTTATAACTATTATCAGTTTTCAATGCTACGAAACTGTATACATGCCATATAACATAAGATTATGAAACACGGCGTTTATTTCTTTTCTTATTCTTTGGATACAAAATTTTTGTAATCATATCATATCATCTCTCATATTTTGCTATATACCATATATCAAAGGGGAAAAAAGGTATCCGCAAAGTCTAAATATGATAGATACCTTCAGGGTATGATATCAAAATGACTATACCCTATTTTTTCCTCTCATTCTTACTCATCGACTAAATCTGACAGGAAATTTTTACCTTCTTTTTATAATTTCTGACATTTTGTTTCCTATTAGCGACCAAAATATTTTAATTCTAATGGTCTTACTATAACATAAACCACTGCCCCCCATGCTGCACCTAATTCAAATCCAATATCACCACCATCTTTACCGATCCTTTTAGCAATTTCACCTACCCAGTACGTTTGACACATTCCTAAAGCAACACCGAACGCAGCAACAATAAACGCAGTGGTTCCTGCTATACCAATAGGCATCTTCTTATAATCTTGCCAATCTTGAATATTATATGATTGATAATTTTTTCTAAATAATAAATGTTCACAAAGTCCCAATGCAATGTATATTGCACCATAATATGCAATTGTGTTCATAAAATTTTCAAGAAATGATTTAAAAAAATAACATGCAAGGATTGAAATTGTTAAAGCAGCTGCATTCCCAGCTAATGTCCAACATGGTCTTGGAATCTTTGCTAATGGTGACCAAAGTGCTTGAACCGAAAGTGACACTGTGTACATATTTGGTAAATTATTTGCAATGGTAGATAATGCCAAGACAACACAACAGAATTGACCAAAACCATGAACTGAATCAGGTACTAATACAGCATAGGTTAATCCACCTATTGAATTTTCGTCATATAATTTCCCCCAAGTTGGATCATTTACACCACCCATACCACATGCAGCACCAAGTATCATAACAAAACACAATGGAATATAAATACCTAGGGATAATGCAATACAAATTTTCCAACTACTTGTACTTCTTGGCATAAATACTGTATAATCTGAAGCATATGTTGCCCACGCACCGGAATAACCAAAGACTGCACAACCAAATGATAAAACATTTCCTGCAGTAGTGGGACCTTTGGTCCACTCACCATCATTCCATTTACCTGACATTTTTAATCTAGCAATAATTACAAGAAATATTGCAAGGTTTGGAATCCATGACCATTTTTCAAATTGGTGAATGGCTGTATAACCGAAAAATGAAATAATGACAGTACCACAAATAATAACTAGACAACCAGCCCATAACGGTAACTGGTGCGAAGAACCGGAATTGACCATATTTAACAATTGAGCAGAACAAATTGTATTTAAAACACACCAACCAACACATGCGATAACATTAATTAATGAGAAAAAACGACCCGTAATATTACCCATCCAATACCGAGATAAGATCATCTGTCTAATACCCAATTTAGCACCAAAAATAGAAAAGTAACCGACTGGAATACATCCGATAATATTGAAAAAGATTACCGTTAGTGCACAAGTACCAAAATTTAAACCGTAGACCATGGGACCTAACGCACCAATTGCATATGCAGAAAGGACAAAATTGGCAGAAAACCAAACAATTGTAGGATTTAATAATGATGGGTCAGTTTTCTTGTCATCCCCAATTGGTTCAATACCACTACTTTCAACATTCATTTGATTAAACCATTTTTCATAAAATGAAGATGTGTCTGAAAAATCATCTGAAGTTTCTGTGACAAAATTATCATGACTTTCTCCTTTCTCAGAGGAAGAATTTTTCGAAGACACTATAGAATCATGGTCCCCTGATATAGTACCCTTTTCGACATCCGTAGCGAAATGGCCTTTATAATTATTATCAAAAATTTCCTCTTTCATAATAAAAAAAATAATTGTATTTTTAGGGAAAATAAATATATATACATATATTAACTAATGTCGAAAAGTTCCTTTATGCTATTTTATATAATTAAATTTAGTAATAACAATAATAAAATTATATCTTTAAATGAAAAAGCGTAACTAGCGATAACGATTTAGCAGAAATTTATATTGTTCCGGCTGAGTGTAATAGTTATTTCCCTCAACTCTCGAAAAAAAAAAAATTAAGATGTCCAAAAATTAGTTAATTAATGAAAGGAAAAATCAGAAAAAGAATTATGATACAACAAAAATATAAAAAAAATTAAATGACAAAAATCAGACATTTCAGGTCTATATATATACGTTTTGATATCATGAATTAATGTATGACCAGACGTATCAAATAATTATTTAAATATATATTTCAAAATTAAGTCAGTGAGACCGAAAGGAGACACTTAACTGGCATGACACGTTCTTAGACATTACAGCAGAACAAATTCTGTAAAGAAACTTTGAAATTGAAAGTAAATGGGTTTCCGTGAAAGAAAACAATAGAACCTTTGTCCAAAGTAGGAATTTATAAAATAAATATCCAAAGTTCTTAATAGATTATCTTGACTAAGAATAGGAAGAGGAGGGCAAGTTAAAACACTATGTGATGCCAATGAGTTCGCTCCGAGTAACTCTTCGGTGAGCAGAGCTCTCGCTCGGTCCCAAACAAGAAAGAGAAAAAAAGACATAGCAATTACAATCGATTTCTGAGAGAACTAAACCAGGAGAAAAACAAATATATCACTGAGATATCGAGAAGAGTAATTATATCTGCAAGTTAAAATACTGTGTAAATTTATAATAAAGTAAAAAATCAAAAATGACTAACTAAATCTTACTTAGTTCTCTGGCGTCCGTTGAATGATTATAATAGTATCCGGACAGCGATATGAGGATATTACACTTGTTAGATAATAAAGATGAAAAAAAAGGCATAAAATTATTTTCCTAAAGAAAAAGTGGATGCCAACAGTTAAATAGATGTAATATATAGCCTCTGTCACAATTCAAAAAACTCCAAAGAGAATATGATATCTTACATATAATTAAATATAGTATATATTGCCCCTGACACTCATTGAAGGGTACCATTACCTAAGTTGAGAAGACAGGAATTTTTTTTTGACAAAAAAACAAACTGAACTGATGTGCCGGTATCTACTGTGATCTGACCTTATAGGTTGGAAAGCTGATGATATAAACCTTTTCTTTATATATATTTTTTTATAAACATTTTTGGCAGTTGTAAAGGTAATCATCTTAAAGATACTCTGTAAAATATTCTGGAGGGTCTAAACGTATAATGATAAATTAAAAACATTATCGCCAATCTTATAGATTGTAAAAACATTGACCAAGCAATATGAGAATATATACTTGGAACTGACTGTAATATCAGGTTGGTTATTGCTGTTGATTTCTTCTTTTACCTATCGATTTTATCTTTTATCATTGTTCCACAGTGGCGGAGCGCTCAACGCAAAAAATACATATATATATTAATTTTAAATATTTTTTAAACAAATTATGTATTTTTTGCTGTCGCGACAGGATTTCCTAAAACGGATATACACCCATACATATTCTATCCCAAAACTGGAAGCCACAAACGAATAATTACACAGAAATTGTTGAACAACTTAAAAGTTCCATAGAATATTTAAGATGACAGAGTGCATGCTATCAGTTATAATTGAAGAAATAGGAACAGAAATAATACACACGCTCAATAACAACTGTGTGTAACATTTTTATTAGTCAATTATACAAAGCAAATATGAATGTTCTATGTAAATTGACTCTTGACGAAGTTGATAAATTAAGTCTAAAGATATTAAATACTATCACAAATATTTGTACACATTAAGAGACTAAAAATACATCATTTAGTGTTTTCTAGTTTTAGTAATTTTATAAATACAGAAACTAGTTTGTGCTTTCTTTCTTTGTCCAAAACAATGAATTCTTAATAAAAGTGAAATATAGGAATGTAACTACAGTAACTATGAATAAAAAAATGAAAGTTAAAGTCGTAGAATAAAATAATTAAGAACTATGTTTCGTTTACCAGGAGCTCTCTAAACTATTCTAGAGTATTAAATTTCCTTCGGTACAAATCACGTCCCTTATAGAACTTCAATGGATATTTCAACGAATGATATGTTATATATGTTACAATAATGATCATAGGCATATAATAACGACAATTTTAAATATTATTAATAGAATTTCGATAAAATTTGAATTTGACTATATCATGTTACAAGTTAAAAGTGTATATATGTGATATATATGTGCTAAATATTTAGAAAATTAAGAGGTAAATGGAATTTGGTAAATAAAAAAATATGTTCCGAGTCATGTAGTTTAATGATTATATTAAAATTATGGAAGTATTGATTTTTTGTTTAATACAAAATTTATTTCTTACCCTTCTTTTCAGCCTTTTGAGCAGCGGCAGTTTGTTCCTTGACGACCTTCTTGACGATCTTTTGTTCTTCAATCAAGAAAGCTCTGACAATTCTTTCCTTAACACAGTTGGCACATCTGGAACCACCGTAAACTCTGGAGACAGTCTTGTGAGTCTTGGAGACAGAAGCGTATTGTCTTGGTCTTAGAGTAGAAACACCTGGTAGAGCAATACCACAGTCACCACACTTTGGTCTGGAAGCTAGCTTCTTAACGTGTTGAGCACGTAGAATACCACCTGGGGTCTTAACAACCTTGATTTTGTTAGAACGGGTGTTGTCTGTATAAAAAATACGTCATTTTAAAATACTTTATTCCAATATGCGAAATATTGTAAATAATAATAATAATGAATTTTAAATTGTTAGTAAAACATTGTTTCTTTAAATAACAAATCATATAAGGTGAGATTATAGGTATAATGGATATATGAAAGTTTATCTTTTGAATATATTAAAGCCATAGGTCAGAGTTGGTAATGTTGTGGTCAAAAAGATTTGGTATTTCGACATAATTCATCAATACACGCCGTCTTCGATATTTCTCGGATAAGTGGTCAACAAATATATTATATCTGATTGCAACAGTATCATAAGATATACACATAAATATCAAATATTTTGTTTTTCTTTTTAGTTCAGTAATATACTCTATAACTCTATTTTAATTGTCCATAAGAATTTCTAAGTTTCTGTCCATGGGTTTATCGTATATCATAATCAATTCTCATCGATTTCTTTAAATATCAATACATCTTTTCAATATATCCTGGTACATTTCTAGTCTTGTCTAATATCAAAAGGTTATACTCTGATTCCATTCATTTATCCTGTTAGGTCCTATTTCCTCATTAATTATCTCTAATATCTTTAAACATACATGGATTATTTCTTCTGTAGGTAACACGTTGAGCCATTTTTGGTTGATTTATCGATTTGGTTATTTCTAGCAAATAATCCTTTAACTTTTAATAACTTTAAAAAGCTTTATGTTTTTATCTACAAGGTCCACCTTTTCGTAGTGTATACATTGAAAATTTGAATAAAATTTTGGTGGTAAAATTCACTATGCTCTCTCTGGAAAGAGATGATGACGCTGTGAATATTACTAGCTTTACCAACTACCGAATACCAGGTAATCGATAGTACATAGACTGATCATCAATACTTACTGAGCCCCACAACAAAGAAGGAGAAGAATTCATTCAATTTTGTTCCAGTAGTAACTCATTGAATTTTGTTCATTTCGACGCGTCCCTACTAAATTCTGAAATTTTTCAAGAAAAAAAATTCAAAATTTCAAAATTACCAAGAAAAAAAAGGAGTAACATCCGTACATTTGCACCCATACACCAACAGGCAGTCCAAACAAAATTGAAAAAACTAGTTTGACTCATTCACTTCCATCCCTACATTTAATAATAATGAGACATATACATAGTCTAGAATTGGAAGATAATAAGATAGTTGAATATGGTTGTTGTTTCATTTCAATCAAAGAACAATTTAAATTGAATTATTACTATCTATATACATATACACACATATATATATATTATCCAAATAACCTTTAGTATATATGTATTTACTCGTTTTCAACAGCGACAACTTCAACCTCAACAGTTTCACCTAATGGTAAAGCTGCAACAGCGACACATGATCTAGCAGGCTTGTGAGTGTTAAAGTAGGAACCGTAGACCTTGTTAAATTCAGCAAAATCATTGATATCAGTTAAGAAGATGTTTACTTTGACAATTCTTTCCAAAGAAGAGTTACAATCAGCTAGAACGGTCTTGATATTTTCAAAAATTTGAGTAGCTCTTTGACCGATTGGTCCACCAAGTTGTTTGTTATCTGGAGTTAAAGCAACTTGACCAGATAAATAAATGAAATCACCAGCTTTCATAGCATGGGAGTATGGGGCAGCTGGTGCTGGAGCATTGGAAGCATTAATAGGAGTAAGTTTGACAGCCATGTTTCCTTCGTCTATAGTTGGATTAGATATCTATATGTATATATTTATATGTTGTGTATTAAATAAAGAATACATAATTAAAAAAAAACATAAATCAATTGATAAGAAATTTTAATTAATTATTAACTTCTATAGCCACCCCATTTTATATAAAGTCAAATGTAGGATAAATTAAATATCTCTGTGCGCACTGATTACGTAACTGATGACAAAACAAACTGAAAAATCTTTATCATCTACTAATCATAAGGGGATTTTTTTTTAAAACGCCCTTCCGCCCCATTTTGATTAAAAGTTAAACCATGAAAACCCTTGAAAAACGCCATTGGAAAACCTCTCGAGTGGAAATTTTCAATTATCTTACTAGGTGTCAGTCATACATAAAATAATTCATGCTTGGCGGCCTTTCTGTAGCCCCCCAAACTTTTAAAAAAATAGATTGACAAAACCACCCAACCCAAACATAAATTTTTCCAATCCCCCCCAAACGATACCTCCCCCCTCGATAGCAGAAGATTGTCCTGGTTTTCTCTCACTATCGGCGTCTGTCTGTAATTTGCTCGTGCAGTTGAAAAATTTACAATATATAATTTCAGACAAACTAATATTATACAGATATAATGTACGCAGTTAACTATCCCTGAGCAATAACAGAGAAATTAATTAGTAGATAGTGTAACAGTTAGCAACTAAATCAAGAAGAATAAAACTATCTTTTAACCAGAAAGCTTATCCATACAAAATAATAATTATTTATAGGAAGTTTTATCTTTAAAATATATAGAAATAGCGAAATTCATCCCTTTAAACCCTTTTCCCCTAATAGGTTACGGAGTTGTCACCTCAATCGATATATTCAGAATTAGTTTATCAATAAAATGAGTAGAGCTAGTAAAATAACATTTGCACTATCTTGTGTCTTTTGTGTCACTACAGTGATTGGTGTTCATATTGTTCAAGATATGGAGAGAGATACATTACATCAAGGTCCGATTAAAGATGCAAAGAGAGTCGCTGAAAAGAAAGCAGCAAAAGAGAAAGAAGAACAAAAAACACAAAAGGGTTCACCAATTGATAATCTAAATGATGCTGCCAAGCAAAAGAAACGAGATTTTAATAGAAATGATCATGAATTTCAACAAGCGTTGAAAGAAAAATATACAGCAATTCAACCTTTAACTGGTGAGATCATAACGCAGGACGGTGAGATAGTTAAGAGTAAGAAATGAATTCTGTTTTAGGATTACAAATATTTCAAATGAAAACTTTTCGTGGTTTTAGAAACTAATAAGAAAATAAAAGAATGAATCCAACTTTTTTTTTTACATGTAAATAACAGTAATGACAGCACATGGTTACGAACAACAAAAGAATACATATAGTAAACCTCTAACTTGGAGTGATCTTAAATTTAGTATATACGTGTATGTACCAATTTAAATTAATGTCGAATTTTTAAAGTTAATTTCTTATTCTTTAAAAAGTGTAATGCCAAGAATTTCAAATTTATGACACTGTAAATCATACTAAGATTATATACTAGAGAAAGAAAGAAAAAAAGACACTGACAATACCTTTTTACATACATACATATGCAAACGCGATAAGTTGAAAGTTCGTGATGAGTTTGCAAGTTGTACCTTCCCCTGTGCTATTTCACATGGTAACAAGGGTAAAGAAGGTATTTAGGGGTACAGTTCGCCCACTATAATAAAAGACAGACACCTAATTTCAATGTAGCATTAACTTAATTATCGATCTTCTCTTCTATGGTATTTAATACAATATATACTCTCGAGCAATGAAAAGACTTCATGACCTACATCTCTTTACAGAATCAATCTAACTCTGCTATTGTGGTGTCATTGCCATTCATCTGTAGATTATTAATAATCGCGTTAACTGTTTACGTTACTTGCCATTCTCACTCGGCAATTTTGAAATAGAGGGAGGGGTCTTTTATAAAACTATCTTATACGTAATATTAATGGAGTGCCAAACAAAGCAAACAAGAAAAAAAAATCAAAAATTTAATGAGAGAAGACGAAAAACAACAAAGCAAAAGCAGAAAGAGAGAGCAAAAAAATAAAAAAAGGAGAATGCAACTATAATAACATTACCTACCCCTACAAAAGTAAAAAAACACACATATATTTAGTAAGACACAGACAACAAGCATACATATGTATATAAAGCAATATTAGATATTATTAAAGAAATAAACAAATACATATTAATAATTTAGGTATAAAGAAATAATAATAATAATAAAGGATATGAGCAGTATAGTATCATCCTCGACAAGTATGAGAAGTACTCCTACGCAGTTTGCATATGACGCAGAACCAACAGAATGTGTAAATGATACAAGTAATAATATTAATAAAGAAGTTGGAAGAGAAAGAAGTAATAGCAATCGACAGCAAATATCTGCAGCTACAGTGGAATCTATAAATGGAACTACTTCTGTGGTGACAACAAAAGTTTCAACTGATGATACATTAAGTAGCTCACCGGGATCATTTATATCAACAAACAACAACAATAATAATAATATAATAGCGTCTAACTCAATATCAGGTTCAAGAATTAATGATAAAAGATCTGTAGTAATACAAACCCCTAAGAAAGAAAAAGAAAATCAAACAGTATCACCGACACAAATAAAATGGGAAGATCAAGAACCTAGTAATAACGATGAAGAAGAAGAGACGGACAATGAAGCACAACATTCAGACACTGTAGAACCAGATTTCGATTATAAATTTGATTCGAATAAAATTGTAACATTATCAACAGACAAATTAATTCAAATGTTAACTGCATTATTAGAAAAAATTATAAATTCAAATGACAGATTAAATCATAATGGCTCGCCGACAGATTCATTAGTTGATAGTAATAATGATAGCATTAGTAATAATAAAAATGGCAATAATATAATAGATTTAGGAAAAAATTCAGAAAACACATCATTAATTAATTCAATAATCAGTTTTAAAGGTAAACATGTACCACAAATTGGTCTTGAGCAATACTTTCATAGAATTCAAAAATATTGTCCAACAACAAATGATGTCTTTTTATCATTATTAATATATTTTGATAGAATTTCTAAAAAATGTAATAGTAAACTACAAGAAGCAGTGATGTTAAAGGAAAATGAAAAATCTTGTGATGAACAAGAACAAGATTTTGAAAATGATAGTCTAGTAGAAACCGAAGATAAAGAATTACTTCAGAATGGTGAAAAATGTATGGAAGAAGGACAACAATCTTTAAAAGAAAAGGAAGAACATCATCAACAACAAACATTCGTAATGGATTCATTTAATATCCATAGATTGATAATTGCAGGTATTACAGTTAGTACAAAATTCTTTAGTGATTTCTTTTATAGTAATTCAAGATACGCTAGAGTTGGTGGTATTTCCTTAAAAGAAATGAATCATTTAGAATTACAATTTCTTGTATTATGTGATTTTGAGATGCTAATTTCTGTTGAAGAAATGGAAAGATATGCAAATTTACTTTATAGATTTTGGGATAATGATAATCAAAATACATCGGTTGATGTTGAATAAAGTAAATCAACTAACACTATCAATTAAGAAATATTCATATACCATAATGCATAGATACACAAACAATTATAATAATATATGTATGTCATTAGTATCTCTGATATTTTTTTTCAAATTGCATAAAAAATTAATAAATCTTTCATTTATTGAAGAGGAAAAACAAGAAAAAAGACAATAAAGACAGTGTAACTATTATATTATAACTTCCAAATATTGATTTACTCTCAGTTGATTCACTTTCTCCTTTTTATATAGTAACAATAGATGAAATATTAGAATCAACCATACATAGAGTTAAGTATATATATCATTCATATTATTCAATAGATAGCTTGACATTAGGACACTTAACTCCATACTCGGTTGTTATTTACATGAAACAAGAAAGAAATTATAGAAACTCTTAGATATATATATATATTACCAAACCCTAGTTACTATTCTTATTCTAATTCCTGATCTCATCTCATCTCATCCCATCTCGGTATATTTTATTTACCCCGGCCATTCGATCAAATCAATCTAAACATCATCATTTTTCATTGTTAGTTAACTAAGTTCTCATCGTCAATGTTTGTTCTTGGCTTTGACTTCTTCCATATTTTGCTTTTCTTTCTTCGGAGACAAAACGCGCGGTCCTTCCAAATTTGTTGTTTTAATTAATTGTTTTAATTAATTATTTAATTAAAATTCTTTATATTGTGAATATCTTCGTGGTAACTTCTTCAAATTTAATGGGATCTTCAAGATAATAAAAGGTATATGAAGATGTGTCAATGAGCGTATGTTTGACACAATCATATTACTAAATCAATCTCCGAAAACAACTTATTAATTTGGATTATTTTAACGTTTTCTACCGCTATATAAGTGTAAAATAGAGTCAAAATAGTAAAATATCCTCTCTTTGTAGCTCTACTCACAGAACCATCCGCACAAAAAATAACAGATCGAGTCATTTTTTGAATTCTTCTTTTTGTTCTCTTCAGAAAACCAAGAAATGCCCGTACGAGAGACAACATTTCATTATTTTATCTCACTGGAGGGGAGGGGATTCAAAGATCTAACAGAACAAGCTAACTCTTCGGAATACATTGCTTTTCCAGTGAGGGGCATTCAAGTTAGTGAGTGACATAAACCAGAAAGGAAACAGAAGAATACCAAGATAAGAAAGTTGGAATATCATATATTTGAAAATGTTTTCGTGATGGTTAGAATTTCGTGATTGTTTGTAATTTATTTTGATATATAAAGAGATTGGAAAAGTCAATTCCTGGAGATATATTTTTGCTTCTATCATTAATCTTCTTTTAATTTTATTTAATTCATTTTACAAGCAATAACAAATAAAGAAATAAAGAAATAATAATTAATAAACCTTCTCTTATATATTCTTTTCTACTATTATTATTATGTCTTGTCTTGAATAATATTTCGGTTTTTAGGTGTTGGGCGTGTGTGTCGGTCGGTTGTTCAACTCATTTTGTATTAATCGTTATTATTGTTTAACTTCAGAATTAAAAAAAATGCCTTCTGATACTACTAATACAGATTACGATATCGAATCCTTACAAAAACAAGGTGGCATTGTATCTGATAAAAAACTTTACAATACTCAATCACAAGAATTTTTTGTTGATGACACATCTAGTCATGGTTCAAATGACGATATTCTCATTGAAACTAAATTAGGTTTTATCAATAGATTTGCTGCAAAATTAAATACTGAGACAAAAGGTATCGAACCTGTCACAGAAGAAGAACAAAATGATTCATCTTTATTGAATGCAGCCTCTATGTGGTTTTCTGCAAATATGGTTCTTGCAGCTTATTCCATTGGTGGGTTAGGTCCAATGGTTTTCAATTTAAATTTTGGTACTTCTGTTCTAGTTATAGTTTTCTTTAACATTTTAGGATTACTGCCAGTAGCATTTTTTTCATTATTTGGTTCAGAATTCGGTTTAAGACAAATGGTCCTATCTAGATACTTAATCGGTAATGTTACTGCAAGAATATTTGCTTTAATTAACGTCATTGCCTGTGTTGGTTGGGGTATTGTCAATACTGTTGCATCTGCTCAACTATTTAATCTATTAGGGGAAAACTCTGGTCATAGGTGTCCATTATGGGCCGGGTGTATCATCATCATCGGTGCTACCGTCATGGTTACTTTCTTCGGTTATAGAATCATCCATACTTATGAAAAATATTCTTGGATTCCAAATTTTGCTGTATTTTTAGTTATTATTGCTAGATTGAAAATGTCAGGTAATTTCAGTCAAGGTGAATGGACTTCAGGTCCAACTACAGCTGGTAATGTTCTTTCATTCGGTTCTTCAGTATTCGGCTTTGCTGCTGGATGGACCACGTATGCATCAGATTATACTGTCTACATGCCAAAGAAGACTAATAAATATAAGATTTTCTTTTCTCTAGTGGCTGGTCTATCTTTCCCATTATTCTTCTGTATGATTCTAGGTGCTGCCTCTGCTATGGGTGCCGTTAATGATCCAACCTGGAACCAATACTATCAAACTAATTCTATGGGTGGTTTAACTTATGCTATCCTAGTTCCAAACTCTTTACATGGATTTGGTGAATTTTGTTGTGTTATCCTAGCGTTATCTACTGTTGCTAATAATGTTCCAAATATGTATACTATTGCATTATCTGCACAAGCAATGTGGGAACCATTTTCTAAGATTCCAAGAATTTTGTGGACTTTGGCAGGTAATGGTGCTGCTTTAGGTATCTCTATTGCAGCTGTCTACTATTTTGACGCATTTATGGAATACTTTATGGATTCTATTGGTTATTACTTGGCTATTTATATTTCTATTGCGCTTTCAGAACATTTAATCTATAGAAAAAATTCCTACAGTAATTATAATGTTGCTGATTGGAATGACAACAGTAAATTGCCTATTGGTATTGCAGGAACTGCTGCATTAATAGTGGCTGCTTTTGGTGTTGCTTTGGGGATGTGTCAATCCTATTGGGTTGGAGAAATTTCTCGCTTAATTGGTGATTATGGTGGTGATATTGGGTTTGAATTAGGTGCTTCTTGGGCATTCATAACGTACAACATAATACGTCCTTTTGAACTTAAATATTATGGTCGTTAAAAGTATTTTGATAAACAAAAAATATCAACTTAATTACTAACTATTATTTTCACCTCAGTATATATATTCCTAAACCATAACAAAAAAAGAATAAAACACTTCATTAGCATCTGCATTCATAGTCTCTCTTTATAAAAATTTTCATATACTTTAATATACTTTAATATTATTAACTTTATAGATAAGATATAAAGCACAATGTTCACATTTTTTTATACTAATAATTACAGGTATATGACTTTGTGTTGATGCTATTTATTGTATTATTCCCATTTTTTAAATAGTAAGGATGTATTTACACCACCAAAGCCAAAACTATTTGAGATTGCATACTTCATATTATTATCTTCAATTGGCTTATCCTTAACTAAAGTAATTCTGGGTGATACGGAATCATTTGGGAGTTCTAGTTCATCCTCAAGGTTTAATGTATGAGGTATTATGTTTGTTTGTAATGATAGAATTGTAAAGATAGATTCCACTAATCCTGATGCACCCAATAGATGACCCATAGCTCCTTTATTACTTGATATGTATAATGGTTTATTACCTGGCGCCGTTGTATTAGATATGATCTTAGAAAGAGCTTTCAATTCAGCCAGATCACCAACTGGTGTAGAGGTAGCATGTGCGTTAACGTAGTTTATTTCGTTTGCATTCACATTAGCATTTTTTAATGCCATTCCGATGGATAATTGTGCCCCTTCACCGTTTTCCATTGGGGAAGTTATATGGTATGCATCACTGGATAACCCACATCCGACTAATTCTGCTAGAATTTTGACATTTGTTTGTCCATTCTGCATTCTTCGTTTTGCATGTTCCAACTCTTCCAAGATTATCACACCAGTTCCTTCACTAATTACAAATCCATCACGTCTAGTATCAAAGGGTCTTGAATTTGATGTTGTTGAAAGACTCTTAAGCCTATGAAACCCTGCAATGGTTAATGGATGTAATGAATCTTCTGTTGCACCAACAATTGCCACATCTGAATAATTATTTTTAATGTTGTGATATCCATCCATTATAGAGTTATTACCTGTTGCACATGCAGTAGATATTGTTTGAGAGGGGCCCCTTGCATTAAATTTGATCGAAACTGCCCCTGCAATCATATTTGCGAGTACTTTCGGTATGAACATTGGTGAAGGTTTCTTATTATTCAATGCCATAAATATAGATTCCTCATAAATATCATGTATTGCCGGAAGTCCTGTTCCAACTGAAGTGGAGACTCTGCACGAGTCAATTTTCTTTAACAAATGGTTATCTATATCTAATAGTTGGGCTTGCTTCAATGCATGATATGTTACCGCTATGGTCGTTTTCATTGTGGGTGATAACCTTCTATGATCCTGACTAGTAAATAGATTATTAACTGAATTCCAATTGTATGGTTTACATTTACCAACTCTTAGTCCTACTGGTAAATGTTTAATGTGAGGTTTGAATAAAGTTTCATAATTTGGTAAGTTTATCACTTCTGTGAGGCATTGTTTTGAATTTAATAGATTTGACCATGATTCCTTAACAGAATTACCTAGTGGTGTAATACAATCAACACCAGTAACAACCACTCGTCTCGACATCTATTTGCAATTGAGTTTTAATATCAAAATATATTTGTATTTGTTTTTGGGCTCAATGGAGAAATTCAATTTCAAGGTTGTAAATAGATAAGAAATAAGGGCGTGTTGATTCTTTCAAATTTTAAAGACTAAAAAAATAAAAATAAAAATAAAAATAGAAGTGATTCATTATAATTTTAAATTATATACATTTATATATATATAATTATATAAGATGGTGTCGTAAAGTAGAAGGACGATGGGAGTAATTCTAAGAAATAAATGTCTCGAAATCTTGTCGTATAAGATTCATATGTGTGTGTGTATCTTTTTTTTTTTAGAAATAATTAAAGAAAAAAAAATGTTTACCAATTCAAAAGGTCATCCTTAGCGTATATATAATCGTTGAAAATCAATTCAACTTCATCTGTAGTCGAATCATATCCACCCACTGTAATTGATTCGAAATTCTTGATAATAATGTCACATCCTTTTTCTTTTAAAGTATCAGCGTCAAATGTAGTTGCAATACCAACAATTTTACAACCTGCAGCTTTCCCAGCTGCAATACCAGCGGGAGCATCTTCAAATACAAATACTTTAGATTTATTTGGAAATTCTTTATTAACGGGATAACCAAGACCATTTCTACCTTTTAAATAACATTCAGGAGCAGGCTTACCTTGTTTAACACTCGAAGCAGTAATAAAATTGTCGGGTCTTTTAATACCTAAAAATTTAAACCATTGAGATGCCATTTCAAAAGTACCTGATGTAGCCACAGCCCATTTTTCCTTTGGTAAATTATTTAAATCATTACAAAATTTGACAGAACCAGGAACTTGAACAGCAAATTTACCAAATTTTTCAGGGATTGCACCTTCAAGTTTAGCAACATAATCATGAGAAGCAAAATCTGGTGCAAATTTTGCAATTGCATCATATGTACGCCAACCATGAGAAATTTTAATTACATATTCAGAATCAAAATATGGTTTATCTTTACCGAAATCTCTCCACATTTCAGCAATGGCAGGTTGAGAAATAATAATTGTACCATCAACATCTAATAGACAGGCATTAACTTTGACTGATAGAGGTTTTTGTGTTAGAGTCATTTTCCCTTTTGTATGTTTTTTGTTTAGAATATTTTGTTATTAAGATATATTACAGGTATAGATGTATGTATATATAGTAATAGTATAACCAAGAAATAGATTTCAAGACGTTAATAATAAAAAAACAAACCCTCCTTAAAAAGATAAATCAATGTAAAGTTTCTGTATCTTTTAGTTATATCAGTTCTTTGTATTATATATATAGCTATATAATACAAAGGCATATAATGCAAGTAAAAGATAAAAAACCTCACATCAAGAAGGGGTGGGGTGTAAGCAGTAATATCAATTAGTGTTTCTGTGTATATTCCTAGTAAGCAAAAACACAACTACGCACTGTAATAGTAAATAATAGTAGTACTGTTTTTACTAAGGGATAGATACAGTATTACTATGGTATTTACGAAATATATAAAATTAACGAATGGTTTAGAAGCGATATCCGCTAACAGTCTATGTGTCTGTGTCAGACAGAGTGCAAGGTTAATAGTAATAATGATAATAAGGATTATCCATGGTTTTTGTAATGGAAAAAACCGCAAAAAGTTGAGAAACTCCGAAGGGAAATTAAATCTTATTTAAAAAGGTGTCTGGCTCTATACGTACAGAGAATGTCAAAGTAGTTTACGTATATAGGTTTTCTTTTATTCTATTTTAAGAATATTCTTACCGTAGCACAATATCCATCGTTGTCTTTTTCATTCAAACAGTAAAAACTAATTAATATATTAGAGTATTCAAGATTGGATTATAGTTACACTGACAAAATACATAACTTGATTGTTTAATGTATCTCTATATCATGTACGATTAAACTACTATGAACCTCACAGAAATAACAATTCCACTTCAATTTTAATTGCATACAAGCCTGTATATATTAAACGAAAGAAGGACTTGAATTACCACATCGTTACAATAGCATTATTCTTAATCTAACATTCTAACGAAAGTCTCAATAACAATTGAAAAAAAGGACAAAAAAGACGAAAAAAATTCGGGAAATTCAAAATGGACAAAGAAACAAAACAAAGAAACTGATTTTTTCCAACGAAGCGACGGATTGTGGAAAGGAGAAAAATATGGAAATTCAGTAGAGTGAATTTTCTTAGGGACAACAATACACACATAATAATAATATAATACCACCTACTCAACAACAACAACAACAACAACAACAACAACAACAACAACAACAATTCAACTATATAAGAAAGGAAGACCTCAGCTTAGTATCATTTGTCACAGCGAGTGTTATTAGTCTGTAATAGAAAAGAATAAAAAAAACGAACCATAACATACCATCAGAATGAGTCAGTACGCTAAATCCACCGTTGCACAATTGAAGGAGATCTTAACGCAGAGAGGCCTTCCCTTGGATGGTTTAAAACAGGATTTAATTGTTAGATTAGAAGAAAATGATAAAACCAATTCCAATGCTGCTACTGAACAAGTCGCTAATACTCCAGTAATTGAACCTGTTGAAACTCCAGTTGCTGCAGCTGTTGCTCCAGCCGTTGGTCAAGCTGCCCCTGTCTCAGAAATTATCGAAACTACTACTACTACTATTAGTGTTGATAATACCAAAGAACCTGTAGGGGAAATTGCTACTACAGAAACTATTGTTGAAACTGTTACTCCAAAACCTGAATTAACTAAAGAGGAAATTACTAAATTAGCATTAGAACATTTAGGTAAAAAAGTTCATAGAGCTAAAAAATTCGGTTTAGAACAAACTGAAATTGATGAACTTGAGAGATCTATTGCACGTATTGAAAAATTTGGTGTTGATTTACAATCTCCTTTAGCAGTAGAATTAGGTTTAGTTAAAAAACCAATACATCGTAATCAAAATAATAATAATAAAAACAATATGAAAAAGAAGAAAAATAAGAATAATAACAAGGGTAGAGTTAACAAGGGTAACAACAACAACAGAAACAGACAATATAATGGGGAACGTAGACCAAGATATTGAAATGAAATGAAATGAAATAAAATAAAGAATTTTTTTATTTTTAACCTAAATATATATATTTGTCTTTGTAACTGTAGTATAGTATAAGATTTATACAAGAATTAAACGATAAAAACATTTAAAAAGAATAGTACTTTCATTACATCTTCATATATATAAATCGTTGTCTTTCATTTTAGAGGTACATGGTATTAATAAGTCAATTTAAAAGGATGCAACTATTAATTGCTTGTTAGTAAACACAATTTCTCTTATTTTTAACTTTTGTTGTTTTTAAAATGCAAAGATGATATCAATTCATACAGTCTATAAAAAGAATATAATATATATAAGTGAATATATGTATAGATTTATTTTAAGCAAAATGACAGAATGAAATGAAAGAATCGAATTTTATATGCGGCTCTTTTCATCTTTCTATCAATTAAAATTGATGGATAGGTTGTGGTAAATTACCATTTTCAAAAGAACTTTTCATTGATAAATTAGTCTTTGGTAATATGTTTAATGGTGTGATTGAATTAATCTTTGGTCCATCATTCTTTGTTGAAATTCTCTTAATAATATCATCAAATAATGCTACACTTGGTAATTTTTCATTTGATTGCAAAGAATTTGATTGAATTTTTGTAATAGGTGTAGATTCTAAGGTTTGCGTATCATTAACTTGAAGAGATACAGAACTTAACATATTAAGACCATTTAAATTATTATTACTATTATTTTGTAAATCTTGATATTCTAATTTAATTAAAATTTGAATAATATCATTTAATGGTGATAAAACAGAATCAAAGCCAAAATCTTTAACTAAAGAACCAATAATTAAATTAAATATTTTAATTTTATTTGATATTGGTTGAATTGACGATGTTGATAAATTTGGATCGATTGATTGTAAGATTTCAATAACAATATCATTAAATAAATTTTCTGTTATTTTATTAATATAATCTTGTGAAGAAGATTTAACTCTTAACATGCCTAATAAAGAATCTTTTAGAGTCATTGCAAAATATCTTTCAATTACAAGAGATATTGAAGCTTTGATTGACGTTTGACCTAAATTTTCTAAATTTGCAAATTGTTGTGCATTTTGTAAATCATATGATTCAATTGTTGATAATAATGATGTAGATTGTTGAATATTGGATAGTAAATTTTTTTTCAAATTTATTGGAATCCTTGATTGATTTAAATCCTTTGTTATACAATCGGATAAATTAATCTTTATTAGGGCTCTTAACATAGATTTGATTGGCTCGTGAATATTAGTATTATTATTGTTGCTGTTGTCATTATTATTTTTGTTACTTAAAGAATTAGTAACAGAAGGTAAAGGTAAATTAACTAACCCATTAGAATTAGAACCAATACGATTTAAAGATTGTTGTTTTGGTAAAATGAAAGTTGTTCCAACTGATGAATTTGTCTTTGAAATCAATTGAGGTGGAGATAACATTGGAGAAAATGTCGTAGATGCAGAATTTGTAATATTTTCATCATTATCTGAAGAAGATTCTGATGATGATGATGATGAAGATGATGATAATGTTGAACCATTACCAATTAATAAAGAAGCAATTTTATTTTGTGTAGTTGGTTTATTAATAATATTATCTTTTGAAGAAATTAAACTATATGATGGTGAAGGTGAAATACTAGTAGTAGTAGTAGTAGTAGTAGTAGTAGTAGTTGAATTACTTGTAATTCTACTTAAAGTTTTCTTCTTTGAACGTTTTCTATTTCTTCTAACAGATTGAACAGCAGCAGTAACTAATTTTTCAAAATCTGAAGCAGAATCTAATGGATAATTAAATTCATTTCTTAAAATTTGAGCAATCTGTTTAATATTATCATCTTGTTCGGATGCTTTTCTTTCACTCAAACCAAAATGATCAATTAAAGCTAATCTTCTACTTGAAAATTTTTTCCATTTTTTTGAATCTGTAAAATTTAAAGCATCTCTAATTTTATGAGTTGTACCATGACCTGAATTTTTTGAAATTTTAAATTTATTATCGTCATCCATGACTAAAATTTATTTGTATGTGTATAAATGGGGGGGGGATAGTATCACTATTTATAAAATTGTTCAAAAATAATTAAATTTTAATTAGTAAAGGAAACAAAAGCTTAGTGCTTGCGAAAAAAAAAACAGAGGAAATACTCGAGTAAAAATTAATAATATGTGATTTGATTTAAAAAGTATCTCTTATATATAGATGATGTAAGGCAAAAAGAATATATTAATTTATAATAATCTTATGTAAAAAATGATTTAAAAATATTTATGTATAAACACATATAGCATTCCTTCCATCATCATCGATCAACTAATCGTTTTGTTTAACAACAATGAAATGAATGGGGAGGTGGTTACAAAGATAGATAGAGAGGGGGGGCACAGGAAACGTATATAATTTTCACCGTACGCTTCTCTTTGTCATATTATTCGCAAAAGGTTATAGTAATAATAACATAATACAAAAAAATTATGGGTGACTAAAGGAAATGGATAGAGAGAGAGAGAGAGAGACACTGGGGTTTAACAAAGGAAGCACAAGAAGAGAAAAAAAGAAAGAAAAAGAATCTATTTACTATGACGAGTGGCAAAACCCGAAAAAGATTTCAGAATTTTCAAGAAGAAAGAAAACAAAATAGTCTTAATAATTACAAATAATAGTAATAAACTCATTTTTAATTTTTACTGCTCGAGGGGACAAAAAAACCAAATCAAAGTCATCTAATAATAATTTTATGATCCATCTCCGTTTAATTCTGCAAGGATTTCTTAGAATACTAAGCGTGTGTGGCTTTTAAAAAAATTAAATTATCCATGTTTTTTGAGTATTTAAATTTGCCACCCCCCTCCATTCTGTGTGTAAAAAATTGAGTCCATTCATTTCAATATCCGAAGTACGCAGACTAGCAATAACCGCAAAAACATATGTAATTATTAGTAATGAATGAGTCGTTTCATTTTTTGTGAAAAGCTTTTGTCATATTCAAAAAGCAAAACAGCGGGACAAATATATACATATTTATTTCTTTTTTTCTCTTTGTACCGCTGTTTCTGTTAACTTTCCTATCAAAAAAGAATACACCAATGCTATTAATATTGCGCATGTACGTATTATTGTTATATCCGTGGTTTATTCATGCCGACGGAGACCGGAACTCTCAATAATTTTTAGTGGGCTTTTTTTTCCCTCTTAATAAGATGCGGTTATGTAACTACGAAGCGGGGCAACAACACAAAAAGATAGATTTTTTGTATGAGAGAAAAAAAAAATATTCAAGTCTTTTTTAGACACATAATAAATAATTCTACTAACCGACTCTTTGTACGTACGTTTTATTAAGATTAAAGACTAATTTTGACTATGACGATATTATTTCGTAATGTTTTTTGTTTTTTTGTCCGCATTTCTCTCTTCAAAGATCTTCAATTATTTGCAGTAGTCTTCCGAACTGATCCGATATCAAAATATAATCAATTTTTTTTTTGGACACATATTACTGATAATACTCACTAAAATTTTAAAGACGGAAATAATAAGAACCTAAGCTCGGCATTAAATCATATATTATTTTTTTATTAGTGATTTATCTGGTTGTTTACACCTCAATATATTGAGTCCTTTTTTTTTAAGTCAATATTATTACTGTCAGTTAGTCTGTTGCGTACCTTTTGAAAGTTTTTCACATTTTGTGCTTTTTTTATTGTTAGGGAAAAGGATTCACATCACATCTTCAACTCCTATTTTGTAATGATTGAATATTATTAAGAATTTTATTGAATCAGAAAAAAGCACTAGAGCGTATATTATAGAAACTGCACCCAACCGCTACGATAAAATGAGTACGGAGGCAATAATACGATAAAAAGAGAACTGATTCCTTTTGTTTTACACAGAATATCACGTAGCGATATGAATACAGAGAAATGAATCAGCATTTTGGCTTCTTTTTTTCTTCTTGTTGTCCCTATGCCGATGAGTCTTTACCACGCAAGATTCTGGGAAAAAAGACTCAATTTTATCTTATTTAAATTCTCATCTCTTAGAGACCGTAAATATTGTTTTAATATTATATTGTAAGAAAGTTGTTTGAATCACTTGTTTTGTCTTTATGGAAACAAATATAAAACAATAGTAAAGAATGGTTACTAGATTTTAAATAAAATATAATCAACACATGTCTCCTGAAAAAAATGAATAACCGTATTATACAAAGCCATGCCTTTGTCCTTGTCAAAAATAATTTCTTGTATTAACATTTAATTTTTGAAAGTGTAATTGTATTGAATTCGTTAAGAAATAATAATAATAATTGAAAAAAGGTCATGATAATCAAATTACAGAAGAATAAAAAAGCAACTTATCCTTGACACATAATAACACTTACACGGTTCTTCGAGGTTTACGTGATACATTTAGATTTTATGTCTTTTTTTCATATGCACCATTTTATCTCTTTCTCTGAGAATTCTCTTGTTTTCATGTATGACTTTCTGCAATCCAGTTCTTTCACGAACTTGTGTCTCATTAAATCTGGTAATAGATATTCCTATTTGAGAACTAGAATACCTCGTAGAAATAATATTTTCATAAACTCTTTTTTAAATCATCCCTCATATTTCAATCCCTTCTTCTCTCTTTCTCTCCTTGAGTTTAATGATTCAATGGATATAGTGCGGCGTTTGCCCCCTCCTCCTCTTTCCAAACTCTCATCATCATCGTTAGACTTTTTTTTCGTGTTTCTGAATACTCAACGGGATCCTTTCTACAGGCATTGCACTCTCTATGGGTCTTTAAAAAAAATTAGAATAGCCACACATACCCTACTAGAAGGAATGGACGATAAAAACTTGATGCCTTGTGTTTTTTGGGGTTCGGGTTTTTTGCTTGGATTGCCCCGCACATTTGAATAGGCAGATGAATTCCATTTTACATTTTTTTTGGTTGAATCGGCCGAAACAGTTTTATTCATCCCGTGCTCATAATTATTTTATTTCCGAGGAAATCGTACAATAGAAAATCACCTTTATTTTGAAAAACAAAATAAATATTCGGAATATATGCCTGCCGGGATAGAATCAATCATCCTCGCATGCTTTACGATCAAAATATATCTCTTCCGCGGGTTGGATGTCTCTTTTTTTTCTCTTCATTTTTTTACGTGTGTTAACTTTGTCTGTTCCTTTTTCACATTCTTTTTTTGTTTATAAGATATTATCACTATTGATCGGATCATCAATATCAGCCGTGGCAATAATAGTAATATTAGGAATCAAAAGGGGAGAGAGGCTAAAGGATATTCGAATCTCAAATAATAGTAATTTTAATTTAACGTTTAAAAATTCTTGTATATACAGAAGACTAAATGACAAGTTTTTTTTCATAGATCTTAAATTCCATATTTTAGACTAAAAAGAAAATATTTGAATTTTCTAAACCTTGTTACTTTTTGTTTGCACTGCAATGGAAAAAAAAATGAATTAATAATATTATTTTATAATAGAAAAAGTAAGGAATATATATATATACGTATATAGAATAGCATTTTATTTATTTATTTGAATTTAGAGAAGAGAAAATAAATAATTTGACTTCAAAATATTTAAAGTTATAATTTACTCTTTTCTTTAAATTGATCTTCTGTGACACCTTCACCCATTGCAGCTGTTGCACTAACACCACCTTGGGCAAGTTTTAAAATACCATCAATATATTCTGCACCGGACCATTTTTGATGTTTTAAAACATCAACACCTTCATCCATTTCTCTTTGTTGAATATTTTGTGCATATGCTTTCATACCATCTTGTTTAAAATCTCTTGCAAATGCATTAATTGACAATGCTGTTGTATGAATACCAGCTAATGTAATAAATTGCCAAACATAACCTAATTTACCTAATCTATCAATAAATGTAAATTGTTCATCAACTGACATTGCCTTTTGCCAATTAAATGATGGGGATAGATTGTAAGCTAACCATTTATTTGGAAATTTTTCTCTAACACCTTCAGCAAATTCAACAGCTTGTTCATAATCTGGATAATTGGATTCCATCCAGACTAAATCAGCATATGGTGCAAAAGCACGAGCTCTCATTACAGCACATTGTGTACCACCTCTGTAACGATATAAACCTTCACGAACTCTTGGTAATTCCCAGTTAAAATATAATTCATACCCTAATAATTCTTTAGCTAATTGACGAGCTTCACGATTTGATGTTTCAGTTAAAGGACCAATTTTTGAATTAAATTGTTCAATTATTGCTTGTTTATTAGTAATTTTACTATCATTTGTTACAGCATCAGCAAATGCTTCATGAAATAATTTTAATCCAGCTTTTTCACTCCATTCTTTTTCAATTTGAGAAAGTTTATTACCATCTGTACCTTGACTAATAGCTAATTCTAAAGTTTCAGAAAGTGAATATTCTAAATCTGGATTAGTTGCACCAACAATAAAATAATGATCTCTAACATCAATAGTTGAACTAATTAAAGTAGCAGCTTCAGAATCAGAACGAGCAACAATAATTAAATTAGAATTCATTACGTCAGCACACATTCTAATAGTAACTAATCTATTGATATGTTCCTGAACTGGGATAACACAACGACCGGCCATATGACCACATTTTTTATTTGTTGAAGTTTGATCTTCCATGTGAATACCTGCTGCACCACGTTCAATAAACATTTTAGTTAATTTGTATACAGCAGTTAACCCACCATGACCTGCATCTGCATCTGCAACAATGGGTGTTAAATAGTCAATAGCTGGACCCATTTCATTTAATTGAGATTGTGAAGTAGCATTACCTCTAACTTCAAATTGTTTTCTATCATGAAATTGTTGAGCTTTAAATAAATGATCAACTTTATTTGGAACAGTATCCATTGGATAATCTGCTAAATCTGGACCTGGCTCATTTGAAGTAGATGCAGTTGAAGAACATTGCCAACCAGAAATATAGATAGTATCTAAATATTTGGCCATTTGAGTAATTTGAACAGGATCCATTGCACCAAAAGTTCTTGAAGCAGTACCATCATTATTATGTTTGTCTAACACTTTAAATAATTTATCAGCCATAATTGAAGATGGATAAGTAACAGGTTCAAAAGTACCACGTCTTAAAGCAATATCTTTTGCAGAATAATTTCTACGGGTTTGATTCCAACGTGGTTCTGACCACCAATTTTCAATTTCGGTAACTTCTTTCTGAAGTTGATTTTGAAGTTGTTCAAATTCATCAGTTTGATTATTTGTTGAAATTGGCATATTTGTTTTGTTTTGATTTACTTTATTTTACGTCTTTTTCTTATATCTATTGATATTGACTTTTATTATTTTATATAGAAGAGAAAGTTAATTAAAAAATGTAAAGAAACGAAACTTCAACAGTTGATTGATTTAAAAAGAATTTAACCTCCTTTTTATATTAAAAGATATTCAAGATTTACTTCAAAAAAACTAAAAATTAAATCAATCAAATGTTTGTCATAAGTTCAAACAATTTTTGAGTCATGACATCCACTATTCCTCAAAAAATAAAGATTTTTTTAAAATAAAAAAAAGGTCGTAATTTTATCATTACTCGAAGTAGGCATAGTGTTGATAGAAACTTCTTTTGAAAGGATTAAAGAATTAAACTAAAGAATTATTTCTTACGTGATATAAATTATATCTGAAGACCAGTACAAACTATATTACGCTGATTTTATTCATGGTATTAAGGAAATAATGCAAAACAGAGAATAATCTACTACTACGACTACAGTCATAATCGCCGTCAATTTTTATTGATAAAATTAACCTTTAATTTTCAAGACACAAAATAAACTTCAACATCTCCTCATTAACCATCATAATAATCTTAAATTCGTCATATAAGTTTGAATAATAACCACAATTAAGGTCTTTCACATATCATTAAAACCGTTTGTTTTTCATCTTTTGTCAGTCTTAATAAAAGATTAAGATTTTAAACAGAATAATTTCGGATTAATGGCAATACCATTTTATTAGTTTTCGCATTAATGGAAAGTAATATCCATAAGGGACCAAAAACCGCTAAAACTGAATAAAATTAGCGGTAACGCTGTTAGGGGTTTGCTGGCTATAAAATAAATATTTAATTGCTAAAATGACATTTTAGTTCTTATCATTCCTTGTGTGACGCTTTTACGGACTAACGGGATATTAAATTCTTTTTAAGGGACGAATGACTTTCACTTAATTTTGCTTTTTGTTTGTCCAGGGAAAACGGGGAGAAAGAAATGGACAAAAAAAATAATTAAGCATTTTTGGTCACGTGATGCCAGAAATGAAATTCAAAAATAACGACACCAGCAGGATTTGAACCAGCGCGGGCAGAGCCCAACAGATTTCAAGTCTGTCGCCTTAACCACTCGGCCATAGTGCCTAATTAAAAAAACTTAAAATAATAACTAGTATTTAATGAGAAACCCTTATCAGGGTAACTGTATTGATTGCTCTATATAAAATGTTTAATAGTGATTATTATTATGTATATTAACTACAACAATATGTTGGTCGTTCTGTTCGTTAATAAGTAAATGTATTAATAGTAAGTACTATATTTGTTATCTATATTTCTGTATATTCTATTCTTTATGTTACAAGGTATATTATATAGTTGTATGTTACATGTGCTATCTTTGACTTAATTTCATCTTATATTTGTTGTTCTCGCATCGACCTTTGTTGATGTCCGTACACGATGATAATTATTATAATCGTGCGGCTGGACCTTAAAGTCCCAATTAATACATAACCACTTTCATTATTATGCCTTCACATCAATAATACCTCTTCTAATTCTTTCAGACATATGTATTTTCAATTTAATAATTATGAAGTACTGACATTTTAGTTTAGATACTTGCTAGAACTTTCTCTCTTCCAAAATGGAAACAATAGCTCGAAACTAATGTATATAATATTATATTTAATATTAATTGTAAGTTTTCCTCGTGTTCAACGAGAATGCATTTACTAAACCTAGCATTTACCCTATTTTGTTACTGTACTAATGTTAAACTATCCTGAATTGTAAAACACTTTAAAAATAATATATTAAATTTCTGTCGAATGTATTTAATTGAAAACATCTCAAAATAGAAAGTCAGGTCATTACTATCTCACTATAGCGGCCCGTCGTGTCTCTCTTTGAGGTGGAACGAAAGATTGTTATTTGTTAACTCAATTTCTCATTATATCGTTTGTTTGTATTTTATGAAGGAACAATGTACTGCAACCAAGAGTTTGGATAATTTTGAAAATAAATAATTGTCGGAAATAATAAGGTAATAGAGTTTTATGACTACACGATGGATTATAGTAGCTGTTGATAATGACAGAGATCAAAAGCTCAGATTGTTAACCGTAACTATGTTTTTGAGGCACTATAATAAATCAAACTCTTTCTTAAAAAGGAAACCTTTAAAGACCGAAAATTTTTCAACCTGACATCGTTGGGTAAGTGTCATAATCATGACAACAACAGATCCAGGCGAATATATAAAGAATGATAATCCAGAATTAAATTAAATAATTTTCATTATTTAAATGTATAATATTAACGCAAATTAGAATAAAAAGAAAGGAACGACAAATTTCGGTCTAAACCTTTCAGAATAAAATAACTGTATATTAATTAATCAACAATGAGCAGTCAAGATAATACTAATTATCGATAATAATAAGGACCTTTCTCGTTTTTGTCCCTTTACGTTTTACTCTCACTACCCTCGATTTTGTTTATTGAGATATTAATTGCTTTGGGAAATGTCACGACCGATGGAAGTATAATATAATGGTGTATAGTTAAGAAATAAAAGAAATCGAGAGAATATTGTCATATATTTGACGTATCTTCTAAGAATTCAAACTTCATAATAGATAATTAAGAGTCTACGAAACCCATTCTGAAGCTAATAAGAGAAAAAGAAATAATAATAGTGAGATAAATAATAAACCGCCTTAAACTAAAGAAACAGGAAGCTGATTATTTTTCTCTTTTGAAAACCCTGCAGAGAACGAGAACTGGGAGAAAGGTAATAGTTCAAGAGAGATTTTTTTTAATTGATTTACGTACAAAAAAAGGTTATTAGTGGGGGAAATAAGATAATGGTACCAATTAAGATAAGTTATTACATCAAAGGAAGACATTATATTGAACTACCAAGATTTTTGCTAGTAACGTGAGTGTAATAATTTTCTGTTTAGAAATTGTTAGATAACTTTGGTATACCTGAATGAGTGTCAATATGTGATGGTTAGTATCATAATTGCTGGCATTGAATCTGATATTGAGTACATAAATTGGTCTTTTATCTGAACTCATACTTGCAAGAATAACACATTATCCAACTATTGATCTGCTAAGGTTTAAGTTTAATCTAATTGATAAAAGAAAATACCAAAATTCTTTCACATAATGATAAACTTAGAATTTATGTGAAGATCGCTAAAATAATAACAGACAAACGAAAAAAATAGGGGATGGAAAAGGATGAGGTTTCAAGACCGATATTCAAAAATACGAAGGGCCACTGCCGCCTGCATCCTCTTTTTTGATTCTTGGTTTCTTTTTGAGTCCGGGGTGAAACTATGCGCACTAAAATACACGCGGCCTTGTTACCAAGGGGGGGAGCGAGGCGAGAATGAAGGGATGGCCATTAAATGACAAAAGACATATATGTATATTTTAACAAAGCGTGGGGAACAGCATCCCAATAGTATTTGTTGGTAAAGGACGGAAGCCCCCGGTTCAGTTTAGCGGAAACTAATAAGGGGGGAAGCGACGAAAGAACTGTATAAGGTAAGAAAACTGCACTACGCAAGCTCTCACTTTCAATATTTTCATTTTGTCATGATCCGTTCGCACTCTATAACTCTTTGGCTCCCGGAAGGAGGTTATTTACAATATTTGACTGGCTGAATTCTTCAACAAACTTTTCATCGTATATTCCGTGGGGCATAATGTGATAATGACGGTTATATTTTTTTATAATTAAGTACATTTGAAGTTTCTTATTTTTAACAAGGAACGCGGGGTGGGTTTGCTAAGAGTAATATTAATGAGGTTCCCACTTCTTGCGCTGTCAGCTCTCTTTTTCGTCGTTTGGGGGGGGGAGGAGAGCTGGGTGGGGTGCGTGGGTTATATAATAACTTCACCAGTCGCCCCAGCAGTAACTTTATTTGATTATTATAATAATATATTGGTTGATTCAGTTAGCCAATTTAATGATGATTTTAGGGGATGTCGATATTATCTTCACTTTCTTCTTTGTAAAATTCAATTTAGTTCGTAACCTGACCATATAATATATCCCTTCCCCGGAAATTTCTTTCTTACAGAATAATACTAGTAATGAATCTACTCATACTTCAAGGGGTGCACGAGAAGAACTGATATATTCTACTTGAAAAAAATAAGATGATCATATTAGTAGCGAGAAAATGATAACAAGTCGTAGCCGTCTACTATTAAGATGGCTTGGTGTTTTGTTGTTTCCTGTCTCTTTATGTTATCTCTTTTTTCATCTTGAAGGACAAGGGATGGAAAACGTATATAAAGGTATGATATCTTGATCAATTGAAATAAATTTTTGTTTCTGTTTTGTTAATTTTTTGTTACATTATATCTTTACTTCATCTTTTTCTTTATTTATTTTCATAGATAACCAAGGATATTACACATACGTATTACACATATTATACTATTACTAATATCTTTAAAATTTTTCTTACAAAGAAATAAAACATTTACTAAATTTTACAACTGTATTCCAATAAAATATGACTAAGCACGAAAAGAAGGTTAAGGTTTCTACTATCACCGATAAGAATGGTGACAAAGTTAAGGTCTTTGAAGATTTAGATAGTTTTGAAAATTTCGTAAAGAACAGTGCGGAAGATAATGAATTTGAAAATGTACATTGTCAATTAAATTATTATCCACCTTTCATCATGCATGAAACTCATGACGATCCAGATAAGATTAAGGATACAGAAAATTCACATTCTAAGAAGTTTGTTCGTCATTTACATCAACATGTTGAAAAACATTTATTGAAGGATATTGGTAATTATTTCCATCAACCTTTGAAATTTAAGGATCATCACAAGGAAGAAGATTTCGAACATATTACTTGGTCTTACAATGATGAAGCTACTTTGAATGATAAACATTTCAATTTAAATATTGAAGTTACTTGTCATCATGATGATGCAATGGTTGCTGTTGATTATAAGACTTCTCCAGTAGTCTAATCCTTAAAAAATATTTCTGTTTTTTAATTAATGAATTCCTTTAATGATGAATGAAGACCCCCACTACAATCTTCATAATAATGATATGAATTATTACTTCTTCTTATATACATTATGATCAATGTTTGTTTATTTTTTCTCCTTTTTTGTAAAGATAAGTAAATAATTTTGTAAATAATTTTTAATTTATATTTATAAAGATTGATATATTACGCTTTAGAATGATAGAAGAGAAGCAAGTAGTAGTTCTCTTCACAAAGTTATTACTTTGACACATTAAAAATTTGATTATTGTCCTTAAATAAATCGTCTTCATTTTTTTGTTTACTTCGTTTCCCTTGTTTATACATCTTTATATTCGTTGCAAAGGCAACAAAATATAAAATTTTTAATTAAAATTATAAAAGAAACACGTCGCACTCTGACCCTATACTAAATTTATTCTATTACGTTTTTATTTAGATGTAGAATACTCCTCGTTAATTAAACAACAGTAAATTAGTTATAAATATATATTTATTTAGCGTGTCTCAAGTGCTACATAAAATTAATTGGGAAATTCTCTAGTTCCTCATCACAAATACACAATAAAAAGTAACGCTTGCGCATGTAATTCATATTATCCTTACTAAATAGGATACATTTCAATTCACTTTGAATGAACCCATCATTAAGACATCTCAACTCTCTCTCTTTCTCCCTCTTTTCTGTCTTTAACTACAGAGAAGAATTTGTGACACATTGACGAAGTAATAATTGCTAACTGAAAAAAGAATCCCAATCAAGTAATCTAACTATCTTTTATTATAATTACCCAAAGAGGAAATAATACCGCATTTTTTCTTTGGAAAATTTTCCAGAATTTTCTTTAAAAAAATATGTAAACATAATCGTTCAAAGTGATAAACAGATTGAATTAAATAAGAATTTCTTTCTTTTCGGGGGACTTCTTTTTTCTTCCAAATTTTTTTGTTTTTTTTTGGTGTAATTTCTATCTAGTGGGAAAAATTAAAGCTAGACTAGAGACATACACACAAATATATATATCTATCTGAGATTAGTAACTATTTTCACACATCAAGGATAAATTCATTTAGTTTCATAACTAGTTCACTTTTCAATAAATAGTTGATATAAATTCAAGCATATATTAAGTTTAAAGTTATTAGAAATTCAACAGTTTGAACATTTCTAATTTTCCTTAATAAGTCTACCCTCCTTTTTAATACAACCGAACAGTATTTTTGTCATATTATTAAGAATCACCTAAGTTTCAATTTAGCACTTAATAAAAAACAAAGCAAAATAAAAAAAATAGATTCTATAAAACCACACAATCATGGCTACTCACGCACAAGAAACATTCCATGCATTTCAAAATGCAGTGGCTCATAATATGAGTAATTTTGATGAAGCTTTAATGTCTGACGATGAAGAAGAAGATTATTGTCCATTATGTATTGAACCATTAGATATTACGGATAAGAATTTTTTCCCATGTCCTTGTGGTTATCAAATTTGTCAATTTTGTTATAATAATATTAGACAAAATCCTGAATTAAATGGTAGATGTCCAGCATGTCGTAGAAAATATGATGATGAAGGTGTACGATACGTAGTATTAACCGCTGAAGAGATTAAAATGGAAAGATCTAATCAAGCTAAAAAAGATCGTGAAAGAAAACAGAGAGAGAAAGAACGTAAAGAAAATGAATTTAGTAATAGAAAACATCTAGCTGGTGTTAGAGTAATTCAAAAAAATTTAGTTTATGTTGTTGGTGTTAATCCACAAGTTCCTTATGATGAAGTTTCAACTACTTTAAGATCAGATAAATATTTTGGTCAATATGGTAGAATTAATAAAATCGTAGTCAATAGGAAAAATCCACACGGTGGTGATAATTCTCATCATCATACACCGGGGTATGGTGTTTATATTACATTTGCATCAAAGGATGACGCTGCTAAATGTATTGCTAAAGTAGATGGTACTTACATGGATGGAAGATTAATCAAAGCTGCCTATGGTACAACAAAATATTGTTCTTCATATTTAAGAGGTTTATCATGCCCAAACCCAAATTGTATGTTCTTACATGAACCTGGTGAAGAAGCTGATTCATTTAATAAAAGAGAAATGCATGGTAAGCAACAACAACAACAGCAACAACAGCAGCATAGCGCTCCTGTTGGAAGTGGTTCCTCCGCTGGTAATATTTATGGCAAACCTTCTTCAGGAAATATTATTAACAATGGTTTATCCTCACTGAATACTTATACATCTGCATCACCTTCTCCTGCATTAGCAAAAGCTCAGTTACATAATGATGGTAATCTCGGTAATGCTGTATTGACTCCTGCTCCAAAACCAAGTGGTGCAAACCCATGGGGTGTAAGTCAATCATCTACACCAGTGACATCATTGAATTTATCCAAGAACATTAGTGGTAATCATCTACCAACATTAGCCGATACTTTAGCATCTCATAATAATTCTCAAACAGCTTTACAATCTAATCTTCAAAGCAATGATATTGAAAACAATGCTACAAATAATACTACTTCTACCACTACTAGCTCTACTACAACTAATGAAAAATCTCATGGTAAGAAGAAAAATAACAATACAACAACTGAACAAAATTATGTTGATCCATATGATTCTCTTGGTAGTGCAGTTAAGTTTATGGATGAAACTATTAAGAAATTTTCATCATATGAAAATTGTAATATTAAATTAAAATCAAGTGTCACAAAGAATCCAACGTACCATAATTATCCTTCATTATTTACATGGAAGAACGTTGAACCATCTAAGAAATGTGATAAAATATTAACCAAAAAATTGATAGATATCTTAGCCATAAAACCAACTGATTACTCTACCTCAGTATTACAATTCTTACAATCAGTTAGTAACAGTAATGCTAATAACCCTAATACAACTCCATTACCATTACCATTAGATGGTGAATTAAGTTCAAGTTCTGGTACACCATTACCTCAAAGTAATATTAATTTACAAATCCAACCACCCCAAGGTATCAATGTGGGTAGAACTATGCCAACATCCCCACCTGGAATGTTTTCCAATGGTAATACACCAGATGGTCTTGGTAAAGACAATAGTACTCCAACTAACAATTCTTCTGATCTATTAAATCAATTAATCAATGGCAGAAGTGTTGCAGCAAACAACTAATAGTTTATTGATCTAATGAGAAATCAAAAATCAAAAATCAATAAAAGTCTTCAGGAATGGGTAACAGTATATAATATATATATATAAAATATAAAAAACAAGAAAAAAAATTATTAAATATTTAAAATTCAAACGGATTTGAACCATGAACATTATTTCAATTGTTGAACTGAACATCTCTATCAAGGGTTATATGAGGCCATTAAGTTTCCTTTACAAGAGATACGTGGGACTGCGCTAGCACAGCGGAAGCACCCAAAAAACAGCCAAAAATATATAGACAAAAAAACATTGTCAGCAAATTTAATATGTAAGTAAACTAACAACAGTGTTTCTATATATAACGTGAGTTCGAATATACATAAACCAACCAACAAAAAGGGTGCTTCAAAGAGACACGGAAAAATAAAATAAAATGTATAATCTTTCTAAATATCCAAACGATGTTGCCCAATTATTTGCACCACCGCCTCCATTACCATATAAGAAACCAATAGATTATCCCCAAAAGGAGAGGCGTACAGTACCAAATATTACACCAGTAAGTCAGACTTTAAAGCAACATCTATCTATATATTGTAAACAGTTTCCAAAGGGAACACCTAATTGTCAATTTCAACCACAAACAAATATAAAACAACGACTACGTCAAAATAATAGACTTATACAAGAAAGACTTCGTCAATGGGATCCTACTAATGATATTCATATGGCACAAACAGATCCATTCCGTACTATATTCGTTGGAAGATTACCATATAATATTACGGAAGTTGATTTACAAAAAGCGTTTGGTAATTATGGATCTATTGAAAAATTACGTGTAGTAAGAGATAGAGAATCAAAATCTAAAGGGTATGGATTTGTTGTATTTGTTGATCCCATGGCTGCCAAGACTGTTACAAGAGAATGTGGTGTACATAGAGGTATTGAAATTGGAGGACGTCGATGTATTGTTGATATCGAACGTGGACGTACGACAAAATATTTTACACCACGTAGGTTAGGTGGTGGACTTGGTGGTAGAGGTTATACACAACAAAATCAATTATTATCTCAGAGTCGATTCTCATCTCAACACTCAAGAATACCGTTCAGTAGACCTAGTAGATTTGCAAGAGATTCCATACCTCAACATCAACCATATCAGGATGAGTTACCTGATAATACTGTTCCAACAACTAGTTATAAGTCTCGTACTACAAGAACTCGTGATAATAATGATAATTCAGAACAAGATAGAATGCCCGATTATTAGCACCTAATAATTGTTGAAATATATATACATACATACACTTTATATATATATATATATATATTTGTTGCTGTACAATTAAGATATAATTCTTATAAAGATCTTATATGAAATTAAATATTTGATTTGAACCACGGTCGCTTCTTTTATCACTTAGGGTCACGCGCTATGATATATGAGGTGTACCGTTAAGTGAATGACTCAGCGATCATTGGACTGTTTGCAATATTTTTCATCTCTCTCTCTCTGTGGGTTTTACTATGGGAAGAAAAAGAACGGTGCCGCTGCTGCTGCGTTCAAAAGGCCAAAGCCAAAAAAGTTTTTTTTCTTCTTCAACAAGAAAATGAACTGAAATTATTTTTGTATTTTGGGAAGAGTATTTAAACGTTAGACCTCATCGATGGTCGCTATTTTTTTCCATTAGCTACACTTTGTCTTTCTAAAGCTTTCTATTTTTTTGGTCTTTTTCTTCTATTAAATCTGATTTGTTAATATTAAAATAATAATATTATTAGTATTATTTGATTAACTTTTGATTAAAGGAAAAGGGATCAGCATTAATCATTACCCTTATTTTATATCAATTTGGAATTTTTTTTTTTGATTTTTTGATATTTTCGAAACAAAGACCAATCAATCATCAACATAAGAATAATGCCTTCTGCTAGTCTGCTAGTCTCTGCAAAGAGAATTAGCACTATGCAATCCTTAAGACAAATTAATTTGAATTTAGCAAGATCTTTATCAACTATCACAACACGTGCCGGTCAATCTACTTTTAATAATAACAAAAGATTATTAGATTCATCAAAGAGAGTTGTTTACTCCAAGAGAACTATATCTTCTGTTAATGGTGTTGGTACTTCAGGTACTAGATCTACTGTTGTACAATTATTAAATAATATTAGTACTAAAAGAGAAGTTGAACAATATTTAAAATATTTTACTTCTGTCTCTCAACAACAATTTGCTATTATTAAAGTTGGTGGTGCCATTATTTCTGATAATTTACAAGAATTAGCTTCATGTTTAGCATTCTTATATCATGTCGGTTTATATCCAATCGTTCTTCATGGTACTGGTCCACAAGTTAATGGTAGATTAGAAGCTGAAGGTATTGAACCTGACTATATTGATGGGATTAGAATAACTGACGAACATACTATGGCTGTTGTTAGACAATGTTTCCTTGAACAAAATTTAAAATTAGTTAATGCACTTGAAAAATTAGGTGTTAGAGCAAGACCAATTACATCTGGTGTCTTTACAGCAAATTATTTAGATAAAGATAAATATAAATTAGTTGGTGATATTAGTGGTGTTAATAAAAATGCTATTGAATCATCAATTAAAGCTGGTGCTTTACCAATTTTAACCTCTTTAGCTGAAACTCCATCCGGTCAAATGTTAAATGTTAATGCTGATGTTGCCGCTGGTGAATTAGCTCGTGTCTTTGAACCATTGAAAATTGTTTATCTAAATGAAAAGGGTGGGATTATTAATGGTGAAACTCATGAAAAAATTTCTATGATTAATTTAGATGAAGAATATGAAGATTTATTAAAACAAAGTTGGGTTAAGTATGGTACTAAATTAAAGATTAAAGAAATCAAAGAGTTACTAGATTATTTACCACGCTCTTCTTCTGTTGCTATTATTAATGTTCAAGATTTACAAAAAGAATTGTTTACAGATTCAGGTGCTGGTACAATGATCAGAAGAGGTTATAAACTATTAAAAAGATCATCTCTTGATGAATTCCCATCTACTGATTTGTTAAGACAAACTTTAGAGAAGGATGCAGATGTCGTCTCTGGTAAAGAATCTGTCTCTACTTACTTAAGATCTCTTGAGACTGCCAAATTCGTTTCTTATTCAGATGAACCACTAGAAGCACTAGCCATTGTTAAAGAAAATGATAATATTGTTCCTGTACTAGATAAATTTGTTTGTACTAATGCAGCTTGGTTAAATAACGTTACTGATAATGTCTTTAACGCTTTAAATCGTGACTTCCCATCTTTACAATGGGTTGTTAGTGAGGACGATCCAAACATTGCTTGGCATTTTGATAAATCCCAAGGTTCTTATTTGAAGAATGGTAAAGTCTTATTCTGGTATGGTGTTCAAGATATTAACACTGTATCACAATTAGTTAGTGATTTTGTCAAGAAGACAACTGCAGAAACTAATGGTTACAGTACTTCTAGTTCAAGTGGTGTATTCAAGAATGGTAAATCCACTAGAGCTTATTCAACAAGATCTACTCCGAAGCCAAATGGTACCAACACAAAACCAGGGCGTATTGGTCTAATTGGTGCCAGAGGTTTCACTGGTCAAAATATTTTAGCTTTAGTTGATAACCATCCTCATTTTGAAATTGCTCACGTTTCATCTCGTGAATTGAAAGGTCAAAAATTAAAGGGTTATAACAAAGCTGAAATTATCTATGAAAACTTACAAGCTGAAGATATTAAACGTTTAGAGGCTAAAGGGGATATCGACTTTTGGATTATGGCTTTACCAAACAATATCTCTGAGCCAATCGTACAAGCTATTGAAAGTGTCAATGGCAAGTCTAAGATCCTTGATTTATCAGCCGATCACAGATTTGTCCCAGAAACTGAATGGGTTTATGGTTTACCTGAATTGAATGATAGAGAAAGATTAGCCAATGCTAGAAAGATCTCTAATCCAGGTTGTTATGCTACTGGTTCTCAAATGTCGATTGCCCCATTATTGGATCACATTGATGGTTTACCTACCGTATTTGGTGTCTCTGGTTATTCTGGTGCTGGTGCCAAACCAACTCCAAAGAATGATCCGAAGTTTTTGAACAACAATTTAATCCCATATGCTTTGACCAATCACATTCATGAACGTGAAATTTCTACTCGTATGGGTCACGAAGTTGCATTCATGCCTCATGTAGGTCAATGGTTCCAAGGTATCACATTGACTGTTTCTATTCCAATCAAAAAGGGTTCTTTAACCTCCGAACAAGTTGAAAACATCTACAAGAAATTTTATGATGGTGAGAAATTAGTTCATGTTCAAAAGGATATTCCTTTGGTTAAGGATATTTCTGGTACTCATGGTGTTGCCATTGGTGGATTTAAAGTCAATGATGCCGGAGATCGTGTTGTTGTTTGCACAACCATTGATAATTTATTGAAGGGTGCTGCTACTCAAGCTGTTCAAAATATGAACTTAGCCATGGGTTACGGTGAATATGCTGGTATTCCAGAAGACAAAATCGTCCAATAAGTAAAAGAAAAACAGTATATATATACACACATATAATTTATAATACATTAATAATAATTTGATACATTGTTTGTTAAAGAACTATTATATAACTGTTTTTGCTTTAAGAAACCAAAAAAAACAACAACTCATGGCGTTACCCTCATCTTCATTTTTTTCTTCCTTTCGAACCGGGTCCCTTTTTTCTCTCCATCTCGCTCAATCACGGAGCCTCCTATTATCTCACTTAAGTAAATGTTAAGTAATATATACCTACATATATAAATACAAAGAGTAAGCATTTCCAATATAAGCACACAGCGAAGTAAACAATAAATAGTTTGTCGTGAGCTAATCGAAGAAGCAATAAATAAGAACAACAACAAGAAGAAGGAGAAGAGCCATGTCTGATTGGAGAAGAATTGATATTGATGCATTTGACCCAGAGAGCGGAAGATTAACGTCGAAGGATATTGAACCACCATATCCTTCTCAAGTTACATTACAAGAGCTTTCTACAAAGATCTCTCAATTACGCTCTTTAGCTAGTAGTGGTGACGCCAAGTCAGCTGTAGCGCTAGCGGTTAGTGATCCACCATATAGTGGTGATGAATCTACTAAGAATGAATATTTTAAAGTTGTCCTTGAGACATTATCAAATGTAAGACAAGCTGATATTTCTGGAATTGTTAGCGGATTAACTCCAATTCAACAGGATGTGCTAGTGAAGTATTTGTATAAAGGAATGTCTATTCCAGAGGGACAAAAACAAGGTGGTATCTTATTAGCATGGTTTGAAAGAGTAACACAAGTAGCTGGTGTACGTCCAGTATCACATTTTATCAATGATAGAAACACAGTTTAAATAAATAATAAAAAGAAACATTTATATATATATATAAATATATAAAATATTCATATAAAATATGTCGATATCAATAGGTATATATTATCCATAATGACAATGCAAAAAAAAAAGAAAAATAATAATAATAATGAAATAGAGTAATTAATTATTATTCTCATCAATAAACAATTATTACAATCAAAGAATGAACAATCAAGAAATTGGGGAAATCAAAAGAAGAATATTTAAGATAACGGTTGCTAAGGTCACGAAAAAAAACTATAACAAATTACAATACATATTTAATAGGAAACCAATATTGTTGGACGCGTATCCTAGGAAACGAACTAAACCAGTAATAAAAAACTTTATACATAACTATCACGAAAAATAATAGATTTCCTTGGTAACCAAGACACCTCTTTTTTGTTCTTTTCAAAAAAATAATGATAGTATTACTTTGTTAGGTTTAATAAACTTATGAATATACTATAGATACGAAAACGGGTACCATAGTAATATATTTCAATCTGTAATCACTATGGAGACGAATAAAAAAAACAAACAAAACACCAAAACCCAAACCAACACGAATTATTTATTAACTTGAATAAAAAGTACGTATGGAAAATATTTAATACAGTACTTCTAGTACTTCTATTTTTTTTTTGTTGGAAAAAGGCTGGGTTTGAGAGACGTTTACGCATTAAGAAAAGGCAAGAATACAATCGCAATAAAAAAAAATTATTGACGGTAACGCGTAGTTACCATAACTATCAAGAAATCCAGAGAGAATAAAAAAAAAATAGAAAAGAACCACGTAAATTTACTAGGGCAATAAGAATATATTATTAAAAAAATAAGTAATAATACATCGAACATCGTTTACCCCTTCTTGTTTCAAATGTAATTGCTAAGTAATTTCAGCCAAAAGCCATTCCGTAAATGGCTAAGTGTTTAATTTAGTCTTGGTAGAACAACTTTTCCACGGATCCTAAATTTCTTGATTAACTAATCACACAATTAAGAAGAATAATAATAATAATAAGAAATTGATAGGGAGAAAGTTTACGCGCGTTAAAATAATTAAATTAAATAATAATAATATAACGTTTGGCGATCGAACATGTTTCTCTGGGGGGAGGAAGCGGGTGAAGATCAACGGTGTTATACTCTCTTCGTACTACGTAATAAAAAAATAATAAAATAAATCTACATTGCACACATACTATGAAGGTAATTATTCATTACTAATGAAATAAATTATACTTACTATCAAAAAGAAACAGCCACAATAGATAATCTATATAGTTCTTTTTATCCGTTGAACCCTTAAGAGATTCTTAGTACTACTATCTGTGAGTTACTTAGTTATTGTAGTTCTACATATGTTAACTTTCAAGTTTCTTGATAATAATAATAATGAAGAAGAAAAAGAGGATGATCTTTCCGCCTTACTTCCGCTGTAGAGGAAACCTAATATGATTTGAAATGTAAACAAATGAGACGCGTAACATTCACCTACACCTTTTTTTATCCATAGTAATTAAAAAGTATTCCCTCAATTAGTAATATTAATTAACTTATTATTACGCGTTAAATTTAAATATTTGCATATATTTGCAAAAATCACAACAAATAAAGACGCGTCTCATTTTCAAATTATAAATAAATTATATATGTTTTGAAGTCACCTCTTTTTTTCGTCGGTACGGTGTTTTCTTAAGCATCGGATAGCAACGACAAAAAAATTCCACCCCAAGCCATAAATTAGTTTATAAAATAAAATATATATAATAATTCTTTTTTATTCATGCCACCCAGAATAACCAGCACAACAGACATGAATTGAGACGCGTAAAAAAAATTATTCAAGAAAGAAAAGAACTCCAAACAGAAAGTTCTGCACTATTAATTAATTATATCTCTCCATTGAAACCCTTTTTTTTTCTTTCTTGCATCACCTCTTTTTTCATGCCTTTGATTCTTCGTGACAATTTAATTAACCATTGATTGACATAATAGTTTCAATTTGTCCATCCATTTCAGTAAGAATCAAATTGCAAAAATAAAATTGATAGATATAAAATTTTGATCTATTACTATTAGTAGAACAACTCATCTTTTATTTACATTTTCTAGATATCATTTGTTTACGCGTTTCGTATTTCTCTCCCACCCCCAGTTTGATCACTTTTGCTCTATGAATCCTCTGTAGAAACGTCCCCAATTCCATTTAATTTAATTATTATTTTTTTTGCAGTTTTGGCGTTTTTTTTATTTTGCTTGTCTGCCTGTAGTAAAGTAAAGCAAGAAAAAAAAGCAGTTCATCTATACCCCTCCCTTTGTAATCAATGTAGTAAGACTTTTTCTTAATTAAAAGACAGAAGAAACTTTTTCCAATTATTTTTTTAGTATAGGTATATTATTAATAATACACACAGAGAAGAGAAAAGAATAAATAAACAAACAAACAAACTTATGAAATAGTTTTTGATCTAAACTTCATATATAAGGAAGTGATATAAACTAATATCTACTTGAATCCAAAAAATTAATAATTATTCCCTCTTTATATTTTATTATTATTAAGTATTTTTTTATTTGTCATTAAATTATATAATAATAATAAAGACATCAAAAATAAATATATTATTATAACCATCTCAAATACAATGTATGTTATTAAGAGAGACGGTCATAAAGAACCTGTCAAGTTCGACAAAATTACCGCTAGAATTTCTCGTTTATGTTACGGTTTAGATCCAAAGCGTATAGATGCTGTTAAAGTAACTCAACGTATTATTTCTGGTGTTTATGAAGGTGTTACTACTTCTGAATTAGATAATTTAGCTGCTGAAACTTGTGCTTACATGACTACTGTTCATCCAGATTATGCTACCTTAGCCGCTAGATTAGCCATTTCTAATTTACATAAACAAACAACAAAACAATTTTCTCAAGTTGTTGATGATCTTTATCATTATGTTAACCCAGCTACCGGTAAAGCTGCTCCAATGATTTCTGATGATGTTTATAATATCGTTATGGAAAATAAAGATTTTATTAACTCTTCCATTGTCTACGATAGAGATTTCCAATTTAACTATTTTGGTTTCAAGACTTTGGAACGTTCTTATTTATTAAGAATTAATGGTAAAGTCGCTGAACGTCCACAACATTTAATTATGAGAGTTGCCATTGGTATTCATGGTAGAGATTTGGAAGGTGCTTTAGAAACTTATAATTTAATGTCTCTAAGATATTTCACTCATGCTTCTCCAACTTTATTCAATGCTGGTACTCCAAAGCCTCAAATGTCTTCTTGTTTCTTAGTTGCTATGAAAGAAGATTCTATTGAAGGTATTTACGATACTCTAAAAGAATGTGCTATGATTTCCAAGACTGCTGGTGGTATTGGTTTACATATTCATAACATTCGTTCCACCGGTTCTTATATTGCTGGTACTAATGGTACTTCTAACGGTATTATTCCAATGGTTAGAGTTTTCAATAACACTGCTCGTTATGTCGATCAAGGTGGTAACAAGAGACCTGGTGCTTTTGCTTTATACATTGAACCATGGCACGCTGATATCTTTGATTTCATTGAAATCAGAAAGAATCACGGTAAAGAAGAAATTCGTGCTAGAGATTTATTCCCAGCTTTATGGATTCCAGATTTATTCATGGAACGTGTTGAATCTAATGGTGATTGGACTTTATTCTCTCCAAGTTCTGCTCCAGGTCTATCTGATGTTTACGGTGAAAAATTCAAGGAACTTTACACTCGTTACGAAAGAGAAGGTCGTGGTAAGACCATCAAGGCTCAAAAGTTATGGTATTCTATCCTTGAAGCTCAAACTGAAACTGGTACTCCATTCGTTGTCTACAAGGATGCTTGTAACGAAAAGAGTAACCAAAAGAATTTAGGTACTATTAAATCTTCTAACTTATGTTGTGAAATTGTTGAATATTCTGCTCCAGATGAAACTGCTGTTTGTAACTTAGCCTCCATTGCTTTACCAGCTTTCATTGAAACTACCGAAGATGGTAAGACTTCTACTTATGATTTCAAGAAATTACACGATGTTACTAAGGTTATCACTAGAAACTTGAACAAGGTTATTGACCGTAACTACTATCCAGTTCCAGAAGCTAGAAACTCTAATATGAGACATAGACCTATTGCTTTAGGTGTTCAAGGTCTAGCTGATACTTTCATGTTACTACGTCTACCATTCGAATGTGAAGAAGCTCAAATTTTGAATAAGCAAATCTTCGAAACTATTTATCACGCATCTTTAGAAGCTTCCTGTGAACTTGCTCAAAAGGATGGTACTTATCAAAGTTTCATCGGTTCTCCATCTTCTAGAGGTATTCTTCAAATGGATATGTGGGACCAAAAGGCTTACGGTATGTGGGACTGGGAAACTTTAAGAGCTGATATTATCAAGCATGGTCTAAGAAACTCTTTAACTATGGCCCCAATGCCAACTGCTTCTACTTCTCAAATTCTAGGTTACAATGAATGTTTCGAACCAATTACATCTAATATGTACCAACGTCGTGTTTTATCTGGTGAATTCCAAATTGTTAACCCATACTTACTACGTGATTTGGTTGATATGGGTATCTGGAATGAAAGTATGAAACAACATTTAATTACTGCAAATGGTTCTATCCAAGGTCTACCAAATGTTCCACAAGAACTAAAAGAACTATACAAGACTGTCTGGGAAATCTCTCAAAAGAAAATCATCGACATGGCTGCTGATCGTTCTATCTACATTGATCAATCTCACTCTTTAAATCTTTTCTTACGTGCTCCAACTATGGGTAAGATTACCAGTATGCATTTCTACGGTTGGAAGAAGGGTTTGAAGACCGGTATGTACTACCTAAGAACTCAAGCTGCTTCTGCTGCTATTCAATTCACTATTGATCAAAAGGTTGCTGACCAAGCTGGTGAAACCACTGCTGATCTAGAAAATCTACATCGTCCAACTTTCGTTGTTACTCCAGCTTCTTTCACCCCAGCTGATTTTGTTCCATCTGAAATCTCTACTGCTAAGCCAGGTGCTATCGATGTTCCATTAGCACCAGCTCCAAAGCCAATCGAAGTTGCTGAGATCAGAGAAGAAGTTACTGTCGAAAGAACCAGAAGTAGCTCTCCAACTCCATCTGATGACTCTAACAAATCTGTTGGTCAACCAGAAACTCCAGTTGTAGCTATCCAAGAAACTAATGCCAGTGAAGAAAAGTCTGCTGCTCTTGATGCCGAGGAAGAAGAATTCGATATCTACAACTCCAAGGTCATTGCATGTGCTATCGACAATCCAGAAGCCTGTGAAATGTGCTCTGGTTAGTCTTTACATTTCCACATCTCTTCTGATGATAAATTTTCAATTTGGGTCATTTTTTTTTCAATCTTAATTTCATATCGGTATATTCACAATCCTTATTTTATATAATCTTACAAACATAAATAAACTTACGTAATCGAATCAATAAAAAGTATTACAAATTTTAAAACGTATTAAAGCTACTTTCACAATTATTAATTACTGTACTTATTATCTAGATAGTATTTCAAAGCTTTTTTCCTTGTAATTTATCATTGGCTCGGTAAAAAAAAAAAAACAGGTAAACTAGGATGTTTTTATAAATAACCAAAACTGCGCTAGGAAACAAAATAAGTGGTTGAAAATAACAATCGTTAACAGTACGTTAGCCAAACGTACAATTCACTGACATTTTAATAGAACTAGGGACTCACACTTCGAAGGTTCAAATACATATTATTATTTACATTCATCATTACCAATGCCAACCAATGCCGAGAGTCTCTCTAGTCTTCTGAAGAATGATATATCGTTAGAGAAGATCAGGGAAATCAAAAATCAATTGATCAAACAAAGGTCGACGGTTGATTACAGATTAAGTAAAGTCTCTGAAAAATACTTTGAGGATCTCCAAGATAGTTTAAAATTACTTAACCTTTCTCAAAAGTCAGTGGGCTCTATCAGAGATGAGATATCAGACATTAATAAATTAAGCGAGGAGAATAGAACATCAATAGAGAGATACAACGTAATATTTGATGCCACCAAAATCTACGAAATGATTAATTCTACTTCCACTATATATGAAAAGATTGTTCAGTTTAGTCAATTGGTGGAAAATATTGATGCTATGTTAACAGATGCGTTGTCTCGAGATGCATTAGATACAGGCTGTCCTGACTTACTTCAAATTCATTACCTACTGACGATGACTCGTGACTTCCAAGATCAAGCAACTGTGATGGCTCAGATGTCAACTGACGATGTACAGAGAACGATCCATAAATTATTTGGGAATATGCAACAGTTGGTTGAAAAGTTTGATCAACTTTTAGAGTCTCTTATTTATGACATCGTAGAGATTGTACGTTCGGAACAAAAGTCGTTGGCAATTAGACTTTTCAAGATATTGGATTTAGAAGAAAGGGAAGATCTTAAGATTTCTGCCGTGAGAAATATCATTAAAAAGAAAGAAATTGAACTGGAGAGATCTTCCATTAAGAAACTACCTAACAAAAATGCAGCACGCCTGGCTGGGAGAACTAGTAAAGGGGTGATTGAATATCCAACTAACGAAGGTTTGTATGCAGAACTTCTGAATGGTACCATTTCAACAAGAACTACAACAAGGGGTTACAAGAATTTCTTTTTAAACAAACTAAGACAATCAATAGAGGATATGTTTGTTGAAGTTAGGAAAACTTACCAAGGTGAGAAGACTTTTGAAGTGCTAGAAAACATGGATTGGGTATTTAATGAACTAATGGTGGTGAAAGAACATCTATCCAAATACTGTCCCGAAGATTGGAAAGTTTTCAAAACATTTTACGAATTATATTACGAAGAATTGCACTTGCTCATTAACGAGTTGGTGGAGTCTGAACCAGAAACTATTGTTATATTAGATATCTTAGATTTTGACAAAACTTTCCAGGATACAACGGTCAGTGATTTCGGTTTATCAAAAGGAGATTTAAAAAGTATCATTGGACCCGAACAGAAAGAGACGCTGTTTAAAGACTACTTGAATTTGATCATTGCCAAAATGACCGAATGGATTAAGAATCTGGAGAAGGCGGAATTCGATGTTTTCTTGGAGAGATCTACACCACCTCATACTGATGTCGATGGGTTACTATTCCTTGATGGTACTAAAACTTGTTTCCAGATGTTTACCCAACAAGTAGAAGTTGCTGCAGGGTCCAACCAAGCAAAAATATTAGTTGGTGTAATAGAACAATTTTGTGATTTATTGATCAAAAGACAAAATGATTGGGATAATACAATATCAAGTGAGGTAAACAAACTGTTAAGATACAATATGCTATATGATGAAGATCCCCAAAACGTTCCGGCGGATGCAGAATGCCCAGGTGGTTTACTAGAATACTTAATTGCAGCAGCTAATGACCAAATGAGAGCGGCCGATTATACAATGGCTATTTCAAACAAATATGGTGCATTGGTGAGTAAAGTTTATACAAAGGAGATTTCGAAACACATGGAATCTGCATTGGATGGATTTGCAGATGTGGTCAAGAGCAGTTTACAGGGGTTACTTTCAATTATGTTTGATGATATGAAGGGACCATACTCGGAAATATTTAGTAAGACGTGGTATAGTGGGACTCAGGCTAAATTGATATGTGATACTTTATCTGAATATCTAACAGATATAAGGCCACAAATGAGTGTGGTTGTATTCAATATTTTCATCGGTAATGTTATCGATGAAGCCTTTTTGAGGTTTGTAGATGCAATGAACGAGGGTCATTCTTTTAAGACTAAGAAGAACAAATTTTTGGATGCCATGAAAAGAGATTTCGAGGTATTTTTCAGTTTGTTTAATAAGTTTGCAAATCCTGATCAGAAGGAAGAAATAATACATCGTAGATTCAGGGTCATGGAATATTTTATGGACTTTAGTTGCGAGCCGGTAGATGAAATAAACGAAACCTGGAAAGAGTTTATGATTGAGTATCCTGAAGGTACAATCGATTTTCTGACGGCTATTCTATATAGTAGAAAGGACATTGACAGTTCTGCAAGGAAGAGCTTAATACAATCTGCTCTTGTTTATATAAATGATCCTGATAGAGTCTTACGTTTGAGTGAGTTAACCACGGATTTGTCATTCATTTCAAGATTCAAGTATGAAGCCAAATGATAGTTACATATTAGGTTTTTGTTATTTAAATGGTTTCTTCAAGTCCACATAGAGTTGAAAACGGATGATATTTCAGTACTCTGTTTTTATTTTGCCATCGTAATAAATACATGCATTAAACAAATAAATTATTTTATTTAAAAATATAGAAAACCGTAATAAAATATTGAGTTTTGGTGATATCATTAAGTAGCTGAAAGTTTAATAGACCATCTTTTTTTGGGCTCCACAATGCACCCACATCATTCGTTATCGTAATATCATTTGCATCACCTTTGTTGGCTAAAGTTGTAATTGATATTATATATTTATATTGTGAAGAGTTTTGATTTAATTTAGAAAGAATAGTATTTTTTAACTCTTTCTTTATTGTTTCGTCGTTTTCCTTATTTTTTATATTTTCCATAGTTTCTTGTAAAAGTTTGGACAATTCAGTTGAATCAAATGGGCTTAATTCCACTTTACCGTCTTGTATGGTAATATTGGAAGTCATTTTCTCAGAATTTTTTTGTTCAGTAGGAGAGTATATTCTTTGTTTAGAGTTCAAAATTGTTACTGGTTTTAGTATTGCTTAATTGATTGAATTTTACTTTTTTTATTTACTGGTAATTTTATTGGGTGTTTGTTCATGCTCCTCAAGTAAGTAACAGAAAGCATCCCTTTGAAATCTAATAAATGTACGTATTTATTTTTTTCAACACTGCCGTGGAATATTAAGTACGATCGTTTCTTTCCGCGAAAAAAGTCAATCATAAAGTAAGTAAGCCTGAGTCTAAATCTTGGTTGCATTTGACACTGATTACCTAAATGTTGAGTTATATATACCATTTTTATATAGGTGAAAACATCCAGAAGAGTACCCAGTTCCTTAAAAAGATTGCAGTAAAAATTTGAGATCGTTGAGGAATTAAAGAAGATCTCCTCTTCATGTATTACTCACATTCTTCTATTACGTTAATTACTTGCAAGTAAGCACGGGGAATCTACCTTTTGCTGGGATAGAATTATGCCAACTTTTTAAGCTAAATTTCGTTATGTTACTTTGAAAAATTTATTCAAGATCAAGTAAATATTCTTAAAGTAGATTTGTCGAGGTATTTCACATTATTTCTTACAAGAAGATTACTGCTTTTCAAACTGTATATTTAGTTTTGAAACGCATCCTTACTTTTGTTCTTTATGGCTGAAATTATGGCCAGATAATAGGGTCATATAGGCATCGTTAAATACTGAAGTTTGCTGACATCTAATTTCTCGCCCCAAAAAAAAAGAATTCCGAATAGCCTGTCAAAGGGATGAAAACATCATCTAATTCATAATTGATCTAGAGAAAATGTACAATGAAGCTTAAAGTACGAATAGATTCCGAATATATTTGCTCTTCTAATAGCTTTCGTTAGCGAAAAATCTTTATTCAAAACATTTTTTGTTCTCTTTTATAACGACTTTTTTGCAACAAGAACACCTTCAAACAATGCTGCACCTAAGGATGCGTTATATATTTGTTAGTGTCCTTGTCGTTACGATAGCTATTGCTTATAGACACGAATGGTTATCATCTGCTCTAATTATGGGCTCATACATTACGTACAATGTAACCAATTACTTGGGAACTTTGATTACAAGGAAATGTGAGGCATATGCGCTGCTTAACGCTACATCGGGTAGGTTCAACTGGGAAGAGAATAAATTACCAGCTGCTATATGTGCAACATGTTGGGCAATAAATACGATGGTATGGTCTACAAGTATATTAGCTGGATTATCCGAGATTTTAGATCGTCTGGCAAATAATTTGAGAAAGAATTAAATTGCTGGAATATGTATAAAGGGAGGGAGAGCAAGTTCAAATGATGAAGCCATTTATTTTCAATAAAATATCTTCTGATTATAAAAAAATAAATAAAAAGGAGTACATTTTATTGATCTTTATTGTAATGAATCTTAATTGGCAGTCTGGAATTTAGAAATTGAAACCCCAAAAGATGCGATTGCCAGATTTACTGGTCATTTTGGTAATATTTATGAGACTAGAATATTAAGATAAAAATAAGAATTGGGTTTTTATATGTAGATAAGCTAATATATTGTGCTAGCACCTGTAAAATATTCCTACGCATCATCACTTAAAAGAAGAAATTACTCAAAGGCGTTGCAGTTAATACTTAGAGAATGTCTGGCAGATGATTGTATTTTTAAAATTATATATGATCTCAATTTGATGGACCATGCATGTTTTCCACCCATTTTTAATTGCGTGGATATTAAAATATGCTAGTGAAGTCTTGAGCTGCGATACTTTTATCCTTTCGACTGTGTTGGGTACTTTTCCTTTAAGTAACCCATCTTGGACTATATTTTTACTGCATGCCGAGAAATGATTTCATAAAAGGAAATTGGTCACATTCTCTTTATTAAGGGAACGCAACCAGCTAAAAAGAGGATAAGATACAACCAGACGGTATACTAATGTACTGATTCTAAGTGGTAAACTATATAACATGTTTCTATATTTCCATATCTTTTTTAGTTGTCGTGATCTCTTCGTCTAAGTAGTTTTTTTTAGTTCTGTTTCAGCACAACCAAGTAAATATTTAAATACTTTCCAAATATGGTTCTCTTAATTTGATGGAGTTACTAAGATATTGGTGCTCTGCTGTCTCTTGCTGAGAGTTACATTTTGTGAATATTACAGACCGAATATTGTGTTATTAAAGAATCCATATCAAATGGTGCTAGTGCAGAATCGATTATTCATTGATAATAGGTTATACATAGCATTGGTGCCCACTAAACTTATAAAAACACAACTCCTACAACTACACCAATCATTATCCCCTAATTTTTATAAGCTGGCTACCGTTTCCCAAGCAATATGACATTTGAGCTAACAATCATTTTACGTGGGCTATTTGTTAATGTGAAGAGAGAATATTAAGAAACGTGGTACTAATAAGTATTAAAATAATAAACCAAGAAGGCTGTAAATGTAATATTACAAGTTTGTTCTGAGACCGGACTGACGAAAGTGGTCATTGAATTGCAAATAGTGGTAAGATGTAAACTATTTACTTCGCATTGAAATGTATAAATGTTCCTAAAATTATGGCAATATAGTTTCCGTTACCGGCCAAACTCAAAAACAAACAAAACTATATTTCAAGATTTTGTATTATTTTATTTATAACAAATTACCGGAGAGAAAAAATTCTAACTATCAAATATTGAATAAAGGATAACAAAAATAGTGTCGTCGTACGGCTCAGAAAATTTTTCATTTTGTTAAGAAAAAGAAAGTACAGTGCCACTTCATACCTTGAATAATAATTGTTTCTTCACCTTTTATTCTGGATAAATAAAATATTACTTTCGCTGAAATCAACGAATTTTGTAACTCCTGTATTTTATCTTATTTTGCATAAAATAGTTTGAAGGTGTTCATATGACAAATACAATGTTTGGGGCCTTTCATTGTATAAAATTTCAAAATAGCCTTCGAAGTATTACTCATCTGCTATGTCTTTCCCTTCTTTCTTGGTTGAAATTTTTCAATATTTAGCGGGGCGGTCCACCTTTTTTTATTTTATTTTTTGATAGATGAGCTTATTGACTCATAAGGAAATGACATTCAACCAAAGAACAAGAGATTAGGTAATTCTTGAAGGAAAAAGGTACTTGTAAATCAATAGCAAAGTAGAAACCCTTATATAACTATTATTTGCATTTTTTTTTTTTTTGATGGGCTGGCGAAAACTGTTTGATAATCAATCATACATGTATATAAAGGTAAATTAATGCGTTCCTTCTTTTATTTTCTAAAAGTTGATACGTTATCTTGTGATATATATTAAATATAATAAAAATAACAAACACTTTTCTTTTGATTTGTTGAAGAAGATACAATAAAAGAAAGGTTCTCATATCTAAGTAAAGTTTTTCATTTAAACTAGGTAGATATCTATAAAATAAAATAAATTTTTCAGCATTTTTAAAAATTTATTTTCTTAAACTATAACCCAAAATGATGTCACAAACAGCTTCTTTAAGAAGCATTGCGTTTAGAAACATAACAAAGAGAACGATCCGTCTCTATTCTAATTTACCATTGACTGTTCCGATTACTTTACCAAACGGTAAGATCTATGAACAACCTACCGGTTTATTTATTAACGGTAATTTTGTTCCTTCCTTTAATAAGAAGACCACACCTGTCATTGATCCATCTACGGAAGAAGTGATCACAAACGTTTACAAAGCTGATAATGACGATGTGAATATTGCTGTGAAAGCAGCTAAAGCTGCATTTGAAAATAACTGGGCAACTTCAGATCCTGAATTACGTGCCAAAGTTCTTTTCAAATTAGCTGATTTAATTGAACAAAACTCCGAGACACTTGCTGCAATCGAATCCATGGATAATGGTAAATCTTTACTTTGTTCCCGTGGTGATGTTGATTTAGTGTCTAAATATTTAAGATCTTGTGGTGGTTGGGCTGATAAATTATACGGTAATGTTATTGATACCGGTAAAGAACATTTTGCTTACTCAGTTAGAGAACCATTGGGTGTCTGTGGTCAAATTATTCCATGGAATTTCCCATTATTAATGTGGTCATGGAAGATTGGTCCAGCTATTGTTACTGGTAATACAGTTGTCTTAAAACCTGCAGAAACTACCCCATTATCTGCATTGTTTGCCGCTCAATTATGTAAAGAAGCTGGTATCCCAGACGGTGTTGTGAATATCATTCCAGGTTCTGGTAGGGTCATCGGTGAAGGTTTATGTAAACATCCAGACGTTAAAAAGATTGCATTCACTGGTTCTACAGCTACTGGTCGTACGATCATGAAGAATGCTGCTGATACGGTCAAGAAAGTTACCCTTGAACTTGGTGGTAAATCTCCAAATATTGTTTTCGCTGACGCCGATTTGGATAAGGCTGTTAAGAACATTGCACATGGTATTTTCTTCAATTCTGGTGAAGTTTGTTGTGCAGGTTCCAGAATCTACGTTCAAGATTCTGTTTACGATGAAGTTCTAGAAAAATTCCAACAATATACTGCTTCTTTGAAGGTTGGTAACCCATTCGATGAGGATACATTCCAAGGTGCCCAAACTTCACAAAAACAACTTGAGAAGATTCTTGGATACGTCAAGAAAGGTGAAGAAGAAGGTGCTCGTGTTATTATCGGTGGTAAGAGACGTGGTAGTAAGGGTTATTTCGTTGAACCAACAATTTTCGCAGATGTTAAGGAAGATATGAAGATTGTCAAGGATGAAATCTTTGGTCCAATTGTTACTGTTTCTAAGTTCTCTACAGTCGATGATGTCGTTGCCAAGGCAAATGACTCTCAATATGGTTTAGCAGCTGGTATCCACACTAAAGATGTCAATAAAGCTGTTAATGTTTCTAGAAGAATAAAGGCTGGTACCATTTGGATCAATACTTACAATGCATTCCATCAGAGTGTTCCATTCGGTGGTTTCGGTCAGTCTGGTATTGGTCGTGAGATGGGTTCTGCTGCTCTTGACAACTATACACAAGTCAAGTCTATTAGAATGGCTCTTGATAATCCAACATTATAGAACAAATATATCATTGATAATGAACATTAACAAAAAAATCCAAAAAAAGAAATACCTCACATTGGTAACATTAACCACAATATTCAAACCCCAACCCACATATATGCATAACCTGAATGTTTACGAAGTAAAGTCAGGTACTTTATGAATAGTCGTAGGTATCATTAACGAACAATGTATTTACATTCCAATTATATAGCTTTTTTATTAATAATTTAAATATCTAATAAAAGGCACATTTTAGAAATTAATTAGCAAATAGTCATTTTTTTAATTTATATAAAAATTAACATAAAATTATAATAATTTTATCTCATGCTCCTCCTAGATTTCAGATCATACCGTAGAGATGTCAAACAAGAGACCCTAAAATAAACCCAATGTGTATGAAAGTATTCTTTGTGACTGTTTTTCATTGCACCCACACACCAATAAAATTGAAAAAATAATTCTTAAAAAATTTCGTTTTTCGGAAACATTTTGAAAAACATTCAAAAAATTCATTTTCCAATCGAAGCGCACAACAACATTTGCGATGCATACTAACAGTCCCACCGGGGGGAAGGAACCAGTGTGTGTAAGGAAAGCTCTTCCTACTCTTCTGGCAAAAGTATGATCGTGGTGCTAAGCAGTAAACCCTCCCAGCCTTTGCTTTCCCTTCTAAACTCTATCTGCCGAAAGTGTTGAACTCGCCTAACCTTTACAAACCCAATACTAAATGTTTCAGTATAGTAATTTATGAATGCAATTTAGTAATAAAAGAAGGTATACTAAAAGAAGATCATATTTTTCAACAACAAAGGTCATTGAAACCGTAACAAAAAAAGTAGCCAATATGGTATGTAGAAGCAAGATGATATAGTTATGACTAGAGAGTTTTGAACAAATGAATGGGGCAGTAACAGATTTTGAAAAATTATTATTTGAGGAAATATATTAATAAGATGAATAATGAAGATACAAGGTTGTGAACTATGAATGTTACGAAAAATCAGTGCTAAAGTACAAACGCGTGTATAACCTGAACTCTACAAGGATACTTAAAACCAAAGCGTAATGATAGAATGAATACAACCGTTATGAAATATGTTGGCGCAATTTAATACACGAATATGATATCTAAGGACAAGATCAAGAAGGATATTTGAGATTAGAATGTTAGAATTCATAAATAACCGGAATCTATTATATTTTGAAACTAAAAGTCATCACGAATTTGAATAATTTTTTAAGGAAATTGCAATATATACTAACAATTATGTGTTTATGATAATAATACACTCTAAATATTTACAGTCTGACGCCGTCACTATCCGTACTAGAAAGGTTATCTCTAACCCACTATTAGCTAGAAAGCAATTTGTCATTGACGTTCTACACCCAAACAGAGCTAACGTCTCCAAGGATGAACTACGTGAAAAATTAGCTGAAGTTTACAAGGCTGAAAAGGATGCTGTTTCCGTCTTCGGTTTCAGAACTCAATACGGTGGTGGTAAGTCCACTGGTTTCGGTCTAGTCTACAACTCTGCTGCCGATGCCAAGAAGTTCGAACCAACCTACAGACTAGTCAGATACGGTCTAGCTGAAAAGATCGAAAAGGCTTCTAGACAACAAAGAAAGCAAAAGAAGAACAGAGACAAGAAGGTCTTTGGTACCGGTAAGAGAAGAGCTAAGAAGGTTGCTCGTCGTAACGCTGATTAAACAGGTTGATCTCATTATAATTTTACATATAAAATTTGACATTAATTTATTTTCTCTAATATATCATTAACAATCTTTAATGTTCTGTGTTTTTCTAATTAGTATATATACAAATCTTTGGATTATAATTTAAAAAATAAGCACTACATATCTATTCTAATCTTTTAGAGGCGGACCTTTATTATCTTATGTCTAGCCTTTCGATTGTGCAATTTTGCATCACAGTTCTATGTATATTTCTATATTTTTACGTAACACCGCGAAGTCTTGTTAAAGTAGTAAGGATGTTTGCGACATAGCGATATTTAACATGAAGATGGATTGATTTAAAAATATAAGTCGAGGTTGATTTTAATATTTAAATATCTGCTGCTATTGTTATTTTATATAAACACTGAAACAGGCCCTTCATAATGGTTTTGTTTGGTTTAGGGAAACTATTCTACGTTATCTTACTGCTAATAAATGCCGTTGCAGTGTTGAGTGAGGAACGTTTCCTTGGAAGAAGTATGTTAAGAATAAATGTATTTTAAAGATTGTTTACTGGCGATAAATTACTAACTGTTATATTGAATGTTCATGTGAACAACTCCTATCATTTTTTTTTGTAAAGTTGGTTTCGGTAAGAATGCAAATGAGGCACCAGCGTTTGGTCAAGAAGAAAGTACAGCAAAGTCTAAAGTTATTAAATTAATTGGTGCTGTACAAACACTTTTAAGAAGTATGTATATTTTTTGAGACATTTCCTATGAAATGTTGAACTATTAGGATTTTTTTACTAACAAAATAGCTATATGACTCTTAGAGTCAAATCCTTTCCACTAGTCCCTCTGATCGGTATAAACATTCTCGTAATTATATATGAATTATTATTGGGTTGATCAAGTAATAACGTATTTTGTTGGTGTGTTCGATAAAATAAAATAGGCATTATAATCTCCCCTCTTTGCATACTTATTTCCGATTCGAAATTTTAATATATTAACTATATAAAATGTACAATAAATAATACAAAAGGAAATTTTTTCAGATTAAAGATGTTATTAACGTGTTCTTTCTTAATTAAATATATAATGTATTATATGTTATATATGAATGACCCGTAATTAAAAGAATTAAAAATATTATGGGTATTATGCAGTAGTTTCGATTTCATTAAGTTTACCTTCAGCGAATCTTTTTATTATTGCTGTTTTTCTTATATCTGATTTAACAGACGCTAGTGAATTTGGAGATCTTTCAAATCTCATCTTAGAACGGTCCCTGAGTTGAAATTTGAAGTAATACAATAGACAATCGTAGATAAATAAGAATTGGTTTATGTTCTGGACCATGGAAATCCGTTGTTTTCTAAACATGTTAATAGTCCAAGCAACAGGATCATATTGCTTATCTGTTGCCTCATTTTTTTCTTTGAATTCGTATGAAAATAAGTCAAAATTTTCTAAATTCGACAAAATAGAATCTATTGTACACCAAGTACCAGTTCTACCACAACCAGCAGAACAGTGAACGAGAATGGTAGGTGTAATATCAGGAGCAATGATATGATTTTTTAGTAGCTTCTTTATCAAGATATTCTTAAAACAGATGGAATGGACAATTTCAATAGGATCAGATAAAGTACTTAGATCTAGCCAATTCTTTATTTGGTACTGTATGACATCATACGTTTTAGTATCGTTGTCATAAAACAACCTTATTCTTCTGATTACAACATTTTTGTTCAACTCGGGAGGGTTGATCTCGTCAATAATGTTAACCTTGATACCGTTATAATTGTTCGATTTCCAATATTGGAAACATTTTTCAACACCATTCTCTATATCATTGGTTAAAGACAATATTAATGGAACCTTGTCATTAATTATACAACTGTAAAAATCATGAACTGTGGACCGTAAAGGAGCTTGTGTTGCAATATAACGCACTTTTTGAGAGACAGATGGTAAAATAGTTTGGGATGCAGTCTGGGCCTTCATTAATAACTCTTTCGAATTATCCAATTCCGGTAATGTGATGTAGTTTGCATTAATATAATTATCTATAATGTCCATATCTTTTTCTTTAGTAATTTCCTGATTTACTAGCGTATTATAATGTGTAAATGGGGTAGATGAAAATGACGATAGGGAATGTTTCTTTAATCTAACCCTTGTATGTTCATATGGGAAGATATCCTTGTATCTATTCTTGGAACCTAATTCAACACCAGATGATATTACAATTTTTTCGTTATCATTGTCCACATTTGTCAAGTCGGTGTCAATGTCATTTATCCATTTTTGATTAGTGGATATCAGACAGTCCGGTTGTGAATAAGAACGTGTTTGTTTAAACACCAGTGGTCTAGAAAATGGTGGTAATGGCGGTGATTTTATGGAAAATGGAGATGATGAAAGTTGTGAATGTATCGACATACCGAACGATATATCGGAATTATTTGGTTTGTGGAGTGTATTGGAATCGCATGATGAACCCGAATGACTATTAGGTTTGGAGTAACAGGTTGGTAGTGCCTTCTGAAGGTCTTCGGTAGAGAATACAATAGATGATTGATTACTATGAGTATCCATTGAAGAAATAGAACTATTCAATCGTCTCTTTTCTAAAATATCTAATTTTTGAAATTGCGATGCAAATTGAATTTTTGTTCTGCTCATTAACTCTTGAAACCATTGGGGAATATTTCTATCGATATCTTTTTGAGGGTATTTAGAATGTAATTTTGAATATTTTATTTGGACCGTCAATTTATCCTTATATTTTTCATCATTACTAAGGTTTGAACAAGAACTTGCGCTTCTCTTTGGAAATTGGAAAGATGTGAGACTTATAGAATCCTCATTATCTTCCTCTGAAAATTTTTCACGATCCAAATTCAAAGAATTTCTATATTTTTTCTTTTCTATATGTTCTTGAATTCTATTTTGTTTTTCATTGATATTTACAGCACTGATATATGATTCTAAATTCATTGTTTCTTCATTTTGTGGGAATTTAAATAGTTGTGATGGCATTGTCTTTTGTGATGGTAATTGAAATTTCAATAATGCAGATATTGGAGATGAAGAAGAAAGTGGAGAATCAGTAATAGTATGTTGGGGACTTGGTGAATTTAGAAAATTTGAAGATGTTGATGTATTAGTATCTGAAACATTTAACCTCAAATTAATATTATCTAGGATGCTTGGACTATGATGACTATCTGTTGATGAACTAGCATCCAGTTTTGGTTGTGTTGTATTGGCCATTAATAAAGATTCGTCATTAGTTTTAGGATTTGTAATATCATCTGGGAACATATTTTTGAATTGTGGAAAGCCACATGATAATATACCAATTTTAATTTGATTCTCGGGACTAATACAAGGAGCATAATTTAATAATTTAACCAATATACCATGGCAACCTTGCGATATTGATCTTTCAGTTTGATGTCCATTATTATCATATAGATATATTCTTAAATTTGGATTCTTGAATTTATTGAGTATTTGTTGTTGTTCATTAAATGGTAAACTTTCTACCAATTTTTCAAATGTGAAATTTTTTCTTCTTAATAATGTAGATGGTAAACAAACATGAATAGAACTTTTGATTGCTTCCTTCGAATGTTCAGAAAACGATCTAATATCAAATATAATATAATCATCCGTATTATGTTCACTTAAAAATTTTCCAAGTTCAACAGCTGTTATTAAATGCACATTTTTAGGTTTTGGAAAAGTTTGCTCTTGGGGTTTATAACTTGGGAAATTTGGTAAAGTCATTGATTTAAATGTGAGTGGTACGGGATGTCTAATGTTTGAATTTCGGGTTGGTGAAGAACCATTTGTTGTTGTTGTCGTTGAGTTCGATGTATACATAATTTTATTTGACGTGGATGGAGTGTTTAAAGTAGAACCTTTCTTTGATGTATTATTAGATGATTGGTTTGAGTTTAATGCTGCCATTGTATTTATATTAGCAAATGGATTTGATGTATGTTTTATAGAATATACACCAGTCATATTTAAACACAAAGGAATCGATTATAATGGAACAACGTTGACGTAGTTTTTTTTTTGCTTTGTTTGTTGTTATAGGTTGATACGAAATCTTGAATATTTTATTGTAAACAAAGTTGCAAATAGGTACTAGTTGTCATGAGTTTGTTTCTTGTATTGTATAAACAAAAAAAGGAAAAGGTCAAATATCAACGATGCATACAATTTAAAGTAATAATAACAATAACAATACCGATAAATAGAAGTGATAATGTTTGTTAGTCTGATTATATTGTTAACTTCAGTAAAAAAAATGGTAAAAGAATAGGCTGACTAAAGAAATAGATATATCTGGAACAATGTTTAATTAATTTTTTTTTATTGTTATGTTAAAGTATAATCTCTTTATTTTTTACCCTAGTAACGAAGTGTATTATATTGTATCACTAGTTTACTGGGGTTTTTTTTTATAAAAAAATATTCAAATTAATCAAATCTAATTTGTTTATCAGATGTTTCTCACTGTTTGACCGACGATCAATTTCGATGCTTGTGTTTGATGTGAATAGCGATGACGGAAAATAAACATCGTCATATTCAAATTTTTAATTTTCGCCTTCATAATTTTCTTCATCGAAAAACCGAAAAAAAATTAAAAATTCCACAAATTATTAAAAGAGAAAAGAATAGAAAAATTCGGCTCTTGTACGGAACTTTCTTTGTTGATTATGTGATATAAATGATCTCTATATTGAAAAATCCTCTCTCAACTCCATTAAATTGTCCCCAGCAAAGCCGTGCGGCATAGAACGGAAATATGGAAATATACCGAAAGTCGTACACAAATTAATAATAAATAATTTACTACGTAGTTTGATAGTTAGATATGGATGTACACATATTTTCCAAAACAGGAATAATCATTTGTGGAAGACGAACGACAGTACGTAGATAAAATAGAGAAGAGAGAATAGTTACCATAAATATTAAAATATTCTGGATTTTTGGTCAAAGGGAGTGAGGTACCAAGAAAATCACTGATTTTCTATGTAAGGAGAAGTACATTTAGTCCCCTTTTTTTCAGTGTAGAATAAATTTCAACCGATAGAATAACATCTTGGCATTCAACGACTATTGACTGTAGTTTTTGTTGCTATCTTAATGTCCTATCATGAGAACAGATTAATTCATGAATGTATGTCTTACTCTGATGTTTATTGCTGCTGTATGAAAGTACAATGTATGCATTAATTATGGTGTCTTTTGTTTTGTTTTGTTTTGTTTTGTTTTGTTTTGTTGTCTTGTATAATAATAATACCCAGTATGCGATGTCAAGAATGTCGCAATTTAAAAGAGAGACGCAATTAAGTATATGAATATGTATAAAATAAAGAGTGTACATAAAGGTATCTACTATGTCTGTTCTATGCCAAGAATCAATGAATTAGCTTTGTTAGTACTTTTAAATCTCCATTCTACCTTTTCTTCAAAATATATCTATTTGAAACAGATGATATCGATGTAAATATGTTTTCACTTGAGTCTATATAATAATCGCAGATTCATTCACACCCTTAAATGTAACAAAAATGATAACCGTACTTCGTTTCTTTTCCTAAATGAATGCTTAAAAAAGATATTTAAGTTTCGAACTTGGAATAACCGATAGTGGAGAATCTATCAACTCTTAAAATCAGTTATTTTATTTCACAAATTTTATGTAGGATTCTCAAAAAGAGGTACTCGAAATAAATATCGTTCACAGCTTGATTTTATTGTTTTAACCAAAAAAAAGAATTTAGTACTGCAATTTGTCTGGTGTCTCTCCAATGTTGATATCTTTATTTGGCTCGACGTTCATTTCTTTGGGGGGGATTTACGGCTTTTTTGTTTTTCTTTACTTTGACGCACCCAAGAAAATCCTAAACTCCAAAAATGGGGGGGGGAGATCTTCAACTAATTCGTTGCTGTTCGATATTGGTCATTTACTATTCAAGATATTAAAAGATAAAATATGGAAACAACGGCTGAAATGGTAATTAATTAATATGTAGAATAAGGATACGGTATAATTTATCTTAATTGCTTAGGTATCAAGAATTGAAGGACGTCCTTAATTACTGAAATGTAATAACTAACACATATATTGTCATCAACAAGATAAAAATGTTATCACATAAGGTGAAATAACTATTAGTATCTATCAGCTTTAGTTTCGTTTCAAGATATTTGTTTTCGAATGAGTACAATTTGCTATTTAATGAAGTGTATTTATTGTCGAATTCTATTGAGTATATTGAAAGCTATCTTATTTGTGATATTTACAGATAGATAACTTTAAAAAATAAGAACATTAGTTTGAATATATTGCGTTCTAGGGATTTGTGTATATATCTTGTATGTAGCAAATTATTTTGTGAGTTTTAAAATTTGAAGCCTTGATTTTATCTTGTATAACAGTACATACTTACAGTAGAAAGTCGAGTATTAAGAAGAGCATTGGCAAAAATCAAATATAAAGATATTCAGTTAAAACTAGAAAATTATTATCATTTTTTTATTTGGTTCACAGTTTGAGGATCTGATATTTGTAATGTTTCTAGGAAAATTACACTTTTAATTTTAATGTGTTCGGTTTTGTGCTGCAAACTACATTGCACAGATAAACAAATTACAATACTTTCAAGATAAAAAATACTTAGCATATCGTATAAACAAAACATATCTTAAATAGACTGGAAAAAAAATATGAAAATAGTACCGGATTATCTGAAATTTCGAAATCTTCTGGAATTAAAAATTCAGCGGCTAAATCCATTAAAAAAATAACAAAAATGGACGCGACCGGAATTGAACCGATGACCTCTTCCTTGCAAGGGAAGCGCGCTACCAACTGCGCCACGTGCCCAGAAATTATACAAAACTTTTGTTTATTAATTCATTTCTGTCACACAGAATTTTTAAATTTTGTATGGTGGATTGTTTATTTATCGTTTTATTGGTCTCCATTTCCACTCTAAATTGATACTTTCTTATTCATCACTTATAAAATGTAACTTAATTGGTTCTTATAAGTTTTATGGACCCATCTCGGAGAATACTCTAAGTTTACGCATTTTTATCATTTCGTCTTCAGAGGTCTGATACTATAATTAAAGCATTCCTTTTCTCTGGGACAAAAAAAATGATATTTATATAGTTGCTAATTAAAATTAGGTTGTAAAGATACTATCGTATGTTTAGCAGTTACAAATTGCCATTTTAAAAAGATAGTTGGAAACATCACTTGGTCATGGTTAATAAATATTTTGTTTTATGTACCTTTTTGAACAAATTGTGAAACGTCTATTCAACATTTGACATTTTATCCTATATTTTTAGATGCTGAGTTTTAAAGAGAATCTTCAAAATTCCATTTAATACCACTTAAAGAGACATTGACCGTTCCTTATTAAATGTAAAATTATAATGTATAAAGGAAATGGCTGTATTTGTTGAAGGGGAGTTCTAATTTAATTTGTCTACACTACTGAACATATATCAATTTATTGAGCTGAAGAATTAATGATGTATAGTATAGGGTACTCGCATGAGTGTAATAATTAATGATTAGGGACAACAATCTTGCCATTAATTAAATAGCAAATAGAATATTGTGCACAATTATTATAATTGAACAGGCTTATACGACGATAGTTAAATAAGAAGTTCATGAATGTGAAGATTAACTAATACACCACCAAAGTTGTAATATATAAAGAAAGATATTTGGAATACATAGTTTGTATATTAAATAATTCCTTCCGAGATAAATCATGAAGAATTATCTTGACGGAAATAAGATGATATAAGTATATCTAGAATGTTTTACCAATAACATGGAAAAATCACGAGAAAATTACGTAATCACATTACTAATACAAAAATAGATGCGTATTACTAATGAACCATTACGTAAGAAAGATTACCTAATAGATGAGAAGGTAATCAAAAGAAATTAAAATTATATAAATACGAGTCATTCTGAACTTACAATCTGAGTTAGAATTTATTCGTTCTGTATATTAAATAAGAAATAAAAGATCACTTACAAATTTAGAACAAAAGTAACACGTACGTTTGCTTTACAACCTACTATCACCGTAATAATCTTCATTACCCATCAACACTTATTTAATATGCAAAACCAATCCGAATCTAACATCAATTTGTCTGCTTCAGCTCATATCTGTATAAAAAAGAAACTAATGAAAATATAAACGAAATGAATATTCAACAAGATAGAAGCATGTATTTCTTTCACAATTAAATAATTAATTAAAATGTCTTATAAAGTTATTTATTTAATATTAATTAAATATTTGTTTAAATTTCTCAAAATTCAGTCTGTCACGTCAGAAAAAAAAAAAGACGAAATCGTTTGAAATATTTTTACTTTTTTATCCTATTTCAAAGTGATTAAACTTTCCAAATTAAAACTACACATGAATTTTAGTAAATATCCGTCCAAAGTGATAACTAATCGAAGGTTTTCTATATTACACTAAACTTTGTTTATATTTAATAAAAATACTTACTAATAATGATAGGCGTTTGCATTACTGCTTATGTTATCTTGTAGAGCGTAATCCATTTTGTCAATTTTATTTTTATTATAAGTTATTTAGTAATATTATACAATTTATTCTTCGTGTTCTCTTTCAAACCCGAAATTTCATGTACATAAGATTTAGGACATAGATATTTTTTACTTCCATAATTCATGCTCTTTATATATGTTTGGTATTGCGTTATTTTCTTGTTCATACAAGAATCCCTTCATCTCAGACCAAGTCGGATAAGCCTATTTTATTATCTTTGATTACTGACTTTCGTCGTATCACTTATTATTTCTTTGCTCTTAATAAGCTTATGCTATTGCTCTATGGAGAATTAGGATTCATCAAATAGTATAAATACACACCAATACTGTCACATTGCTACAATATTATAAAATCAATTCAATTAATAAATAAATAAACTATAGCAAGCATTTCTCAATAATTTAAACTTAATAAGAAATAAGGCTCAATCAAACCTTGATTACTGTTGTATTTTTTTGAATAAAACTGTAAAAGAAAACTAATTTCAATCTGATGTGAATGAATTTATCTACAAAGAAAACAAGAATATCCCTTTAATTTATATATATGTGTATAACCAAAAAACGCACTGTTTTTTCTAAAATTGTCAGAATATAAGATATAGAAGGAATTCCTCACAACAACTTCCTAAATCCAGGGTCAAGGATCAGCCGTTCAAAATACATTGAATCATACGTTTATATAAGCTAATTTTTACCAACAAATAGGCTATCCAATTTTTTTTCGGAGTGTTATTATTCCGTTACAAGTTGAGCAGACTATTCAGAATTAAAACAAGGGAAGTAGACTCAATCAAGTTTGAATTACGTTGTAAAAATAAATACTTAGTATGAAGAATAATTATCTTCCTTAGTTTATAAGTATTACTTGTATCCATAATACCTTGTAAAAATTGTTAGTAAACTGTTATAATTCTACTTACATCAAGTAAAATTTATTGATGCTATTATCCATTTTCTTCTAAAGCTAACAGATCAACAATATAGGTAATGGGCTTACGTCCTTTTACGCCGTTCCTGTAGCTTCGTCTTTGACCAACAATAAATAAAAAACCAAAAAACCAAAAAATCCTTCGTTTCTTCTTTTTAGTATTTTGAGAGAGAGAGAGAGAGAGTAAGAGAAAGAACCCAGCATCCACAATTAATTTCTTTTTCAACATAATTGCGCGTTCACCAGATATAGGAATCCGGTATATGCATATTTTATGCAAATATTCATTTTTTCTTAGATATATATATATTTCATCACAAAAAAAGATTAGGCAATTAAAATTAATTCGCTCTCATTTTGCAAGCGCATGCGCTCGCTGTTTGAAACACACGTTACACGCCTAAAAACTGTTTGAAAGAAGAAAGAAAAAACACGAACAGAGTGTGTTTTGCTCTTTGATAGTGTCCACGTTTAGTTCTTCGCGCTTTATAAAAAAACAAAACAAACCAAGTTTCAATTTTTATATTTTTGCATAATTTATGCAAATAATTAAATAAGCGCAAGATGGATTAATCCCACGTCGTCAGGCAAATTCTCAAGCTGTCTTTAATATTTGTGATATTCTCAATACCTTGAGAGAGAGAGAGTTCGATTATTATTATCACTTCATCTTTATTAAACAATTTTTGCTCTCTTTGTTTAGTAGGAAATAAGTGGGCAAATTGTTCTCTTGTTATGTATTAATTACTTTGATGCATTCAACTAAATTTTTCATCTGACAAGTAAAAGAAAATAGTGCAAAAATTAGGAAAATTTTTTTTTTTTTCGTTTCAATTTGATTTTCATGTTGGATCAATAACTATTGAAAATTTAATATATAAGGAACCTCTTGTTTCCTAATTCTTTAATCAATTGATGTTTTAATTTTTTTACTTTTCCCATATTTCTTATTCATACTTATTTCTTAGCATTTTTTTGTTTGTTTTCATTCTAAAGAAACCATCCTAAAAAAATTTATATAACCAATCATGGCTGAAGTTCAATTAGGTCGTTACTTATTCGAAAGATTAAAGCAAGTCAAGTGTACTACCGTTTTCGGTTTACCAGGTGATTTCAACTTGGTCCTATTGGACAAGTTATACGAAGTCGAAGGTATGAGATGGTCCGGTGACACTAACGAATTAAACGCTGCTTACGCTGCTGATGGTTACGCTAGAGTTAAGGGTATGGCCGCTATGATCACCACTTTCGGTGTCGGTGAACTATCTGCCTTAAACGGTATTGCCGGTTCTTACTCCGAACACGTCGGTGTTTTACACATTGTCGGTTGTCCATCCACTCTACTACAAGCTAAGGGTCTATTACTTCACCACACTCTAGCTGATGGTGATTTCGATGTTTTCCACAGAATGTCTGCTAACATTTCTTGTACTACTTCCATGATCACTGACATTGCTACTGCTCCAAGTGAAATTGACAGATGTATCAGAGCTACTTACATTAACCAAAGACCAGTTTACTTAGGTTTCCCATCTGACTACTTTGAAAAGACTGTTCCAGCTTCTCTTCTACAAACTCCAATTGATCTATCTTTGAAGCCAAACAACGCTGCTTCCGAAGATGAAGTCATTGCTGACATTCTATCTATGGTCAAGGCTGCCAAGAACCCAATCATCATCGCTGATGCTTGTTCTTCCAGACACAACGTCAAGGCTGAAACTAAGAAGCTTGTTGATGTCACCAACTTCCCAGCTTTCGCTACTCCTCTAGGTAAGGCCGTCATTGACGAAACTCACCCAAGATTCGGTGGTATCTACGTTGGTTCTCTATCTAGACCAGCTGTCAAGGAAGCCGTTGAATCCGCTGATTTGATTCTATCTGTCGGTGCTCTATTGTCCGATTACAACACTGCTTCTTTCACTTACGGTTACAACACCAAGAACATTGTTGAATTCCACTCTGACCACATGAAGATCAGAAACGCTACCTACCCAGGTGTCCAAATGAAATTCGTTCTACAAAAGCTTCTTTCTGTTATCGGTGAAGCTGCTAAGGGTTACAAGACTGTTGCTATCCCACCAAAGGCTCCAGCTAACGCTGAGGTTGCTGCTTCCACTCCATTGAAGCAAGAATGGTTATGGAACGAAGTTTCTAACTTCTTCCAAGAAGGTGATATTATCATCACTGAAACTGGTACCTCTTCCTTCGGTATTAACTCCTCTGTCTTCCCAGCCAACACTATTGGTATCTCTCAAGTCTTATGGGGTTCCATTGGTTACGCTGGTGGTGCCGTTGCCGGTGCTGCTTTCGCCGCTGAAGAAATTGACCCAGCTAAGAGAGTCATCTTATTCATCGGTGACGGTTCTCTACAATTGACCGTCCAAGAAATCTCCACTATTGTTAGATGGGGTCTAAAGCCATACTTGTTCGTCTTGAACAACGATGGTTACACCATTGAAAGATTGATTCACGGTCCAAAGGCTCAATACAACGAAATTCAAAACTGGGATAACTTGAAGTTGCTACCTCTATTCGGTGCTAAGGACTACGAAACTCACAGAGTTGCTACCACTGGTGAATGGAAGAAGTTGGTTGCTGACAAGGCTTTCAACGTTCCATCCAAGATCAGAATGATCGAAATTATGCTACCAGTCATGGATGGTCCACCAGCTTTGATTGCTCAAGGTAAGCTATCTGAAGAGATGAACGCTGCTATGTAAATTTCTTGATCTGATTACCTTTGTTTTCACGTCATCTATTTACCTAACTACATACAATTTATAAACTTTAATGAAATGGAATGTTTATTCTTTACAAATTTTTCTTTTTTTCTTTTTTTCTTTTTTTCTTTGTTATTTTATATAATGCTATTTATTAAATGCTGAAGTGTTTGTATATTATTTACATGGTGTACTTATTAGTTATTTTTTGTGTTTAAACTATTTCTCTCTTCATAGATTACAGCTTCATTGCCCCCGTAATTCTTATCCGCGATTCTAGTCGCAAGCTGTTTTATAGACCATTGGGAATTCGTTGGCTCTATTTTGGTTCCTTTTTGTAATGCATTCTCTAACTCCTTTATATGAAGTAATAACCTTCCTTTAAGTCGTAATATAAGTCTTCTACGTAAGAAATTGTCATCTTTCATAACAGTTATATCGAGATCATCATCATTTTTAATCTTAAGGTCTTCTGCAATACTACTTAATAACCTAACTGCTTCTAATTGAAGGTATATTTCCTTTGAATAATCCTCACTCTGTAGATTCTTTGTATCGAACTCACCTGCACGAACTGTCTTTAAATATTGTTCTAAAATAAATTCTTTAGATTCCAAAATAAATCCATCTTTTGAATTTAATTCCCTTACAATTTGAAACAAATACAACCAAGATTCTCTTGAGTAAACGTTACATTGTAAATCTTTAGAATACTTGCTATCGTAATGAGAAACGAAACTGTCACATTTCTGGAATAGATCAGCCACGCGCTCAGGTGAAGTATTAAATCTAGCTTTTCTTGCACCTTTCTTCAATGCCATATATCCTAAAGTAATAGTATGCTTGGAAATATAATTTAAATTCTTTTGATCCGCTTCTTTTATTGCTTCTAAAAGTTTATCCACACAATCTGCAGATGAGGATTCTATGACCAGGTTCAAGTAGGAATGAAATATATCAATATCAATTAAATTGGCGTTTGACTCTTTGACTTCTTCATATAGAGAAACCCCCAAGTTATATGACCTAGTTTTAACAGAGTTTTTAAGAAGCAAACCAATTATATGCTTATTAAGTGGAAATCTTCTTTTGATATTCCATTTTTCAAGTTCTGGTAATTTTAAATCTCCGGATAAAGAAGAAGTACGTTTCAATGCATTATTCCAAGCATCACTCGCTGGTATCTCAAAATATTTATTCACAGCCATTAATAGTGATGAGTTATATTTATCCTTATTGTGAAGCGTCTTACAAATTTCGAAAAGAAGTTTATCATCAACTTGGTTTTTGTTTATTAATGATACCAACTCATTAAATACTTCTGTGAATAATGAACTTGTTCTAACTTTAGAAGATGTCCTAACCATCCACATCATAGAAATAGCATCGTAATGGATACCTTTCACTAAATGCTTCCTCTGAAATAACTTAAATGCATAAGAAACATCCACACAGTTACATAATGCACCCAAAGCAGCATTATACTCAGTCTGATTAAGTTTATTATCTATGATTAGTCTATCCACAATGTTATAAACAGACATACCAAGAGTTTTGGAAAATGGTTTCTTTTGCTTGGCTAGACCACTAAACAGAATTGTGTTGGAATATTCATTAAGTGGTACATCGACCTTTTTCCTCCAATTATATATTTGCAAAGCCGATCTGGGTGAGTTTAGATCTTCAAGATAATGTTTCATTATGACGTTCATGGCAGCTGCTCCTTTATGTTTTGCCAATTTTGCCAAAAATATCGCCTTTTCTAACTGACCTCTTCTAATAAATTTTGCAACATCATTGCTTACAAGCACAGAATCTCGCAGTTGTTCACCGGTAATACCAAGTACTGTATATATCAACCTTTTATCATTAGTCTTTGCCAATACCTGCAAATTATCATCACTTGTGGGTCCTAAATTAGGTGTAGATCCTGTTGTTACCAAGTCAGATTCTAAATTATACTTCTTTATCTTTTTGTATGCTATTGGCTTGGAATATGCTGTTTTCAGTTTCTTCTTAGTCTGGACACTCCGCTGCTTTTCTAGTCTACTCAAATCTTTGGAAGTTTTTCTAAGTACAACGTCATGTTTTCTAAGTTCATCAAGCTTTGCCTTAACGTTAGAACCTAAGTTGGTGCTAGTGCCATGTATTGATCTACTAATTTGAGGGAAGAGATACGCTTGTTGTGTCGTCACATATTTAACCCGTATCAAAGACATATTCCTTTCAACCCTGAAAATACTCTAGATTCAGTATGATGTGCGGTTGGTTTTATGATTTAACAAATCCTGGAGGTCAAAACACTTGTGTATTGTAGCCCTTTAAATATTCGACTTTCTATGAATTTTATCTATTTCTTTCTTCAACAAATCCATTTTCACGTGACCTTAAAATTTGGAAATAAAAAATTGCGCAAGCCCGGAATCGAACCGGGGGCCCAACGATGGCAACGTTGGATTTTACCACTAAACCACTTGCGCGTTTAATTTACAAGAAAACCCTCAAAAATATATAGGAAAAATCAAATAAAATTTATATCGAAAAGTTTTTAAAAGCGGTTATTTCTAAATGTAAGTTGGAAATTGAGAAGGTACGAGTAGTATTTGGGTTTACAGTATATAACATAGAGTGTTACATTTTGAAACATGTTACATTATGAAACAGACCACGTTACACTATGAAACAGTGTGCGGTTGTGTCATGAAACAAAAATGTAAGATATGTTTACAAAATGAGACTAATCTTCAACTGTCAGACGGTAAGTATATAAATGGGACTTTTATCCAAAGGTTAATTTATATATTTCTATGTACAATAGAAAAGAAACACACAAAATATTATATAATTGTATACGTATAATATGTCTCTCACTAACACTTCCAATTTAGAGATACCTCGACAATTTGAGATCTCTAAACTGCGTCAACATAGAGATATATTTTCAAATATGGTCTTGTTACGTCACGACTAACAATGAAAGATGCGTTTCGAAATGAGACTAATACTCAGCCGTAACATAATGACATTTGGTGCACATTGTTACATTACGTAACATGCTCCAACTTGAACTGTGATGTGCGATTCTATGAAACAGAACGTAATGATATTTTACATACAAGTGTAACTTACGTCAACAACAATTATATCTCCACATATATAAAGTTAAGCTATATTCCATAGTTGATAGTTTCTATGCCAAAATATAATTTTATGCACAATATCAAAAGAAAAAACACAAAAATATTTTGTAATTGTAGATGTATATTATGTCTCTCACTGAAACTTAAAACTTAAAGTTAGGCCGTAATTTCGTGAGCCCTAAACTTCGTTTATATATTTATTCCTGCTTATATTTATAATAATATGTTATAGAAAACAACCCTTAAAGAAATATATCTACTAACTTCATTGATTATGAATCTAAACAAGACGCACTCATCCTTACAAATACTAACAAAACCCACTTGGCAGTCAACTGCTTATTGAGGTATAGTCCCCTTTATTTAATAACAATTCTCTTTAAAGTTTTATTAGGTGGGAAAGGTAAACTCCCATTCTATTATATAATAATATAAAGCTTTTTACAATCAAATACTTTGCTACTCTTGACTATTTACAATTTATCGAAGAGGATAATGCTTTTTTTTAAAAACAGCTGGTACCCAAATTTTATCCTTCCAAAGGACTAATAATATCATCATCAAATGTGCTCAAAGTCTTTCCACGACTCATAACATTTTCTAAATCAGATATTTCCTTTAGTGCCTCAACAGTTAAATTCGTGTAACTATCTTTTCCAATAGCAATATCATCTTCAATTCTAATACCAACGTTTCTAAAATATTCTGGGAATTCTTCGGAATCCGGAATATAGAGACCTGGTTCTATAGTTATCACTTGTCCATCCTTCAAATTCTCATAACGGGATGCCTCTGGTACATCATGAACATCGAGGCCTAAATTATGTCCAATATAATGAGGATACAACCTTTCTACATCCCAATTTTTAACATCATTAATACCAAGATTTTTCAACTCTTGTCTCATATACTTTAAACTTTCTTGGTGAATATCATCTAGTGACATATTATTGATGACCTTACATAAGTCAATACACTGTTTTTGAACATTAAGCACAGCTTGATATAAGTCACGTTGTGCTGTTGAAAATTGACCTGATACTGGCCAAGTACGTGAAATATCTGAACAGTACCCACCCAGTGACCCAGAAGCATCCACAAGAACCATTTCATCGTCAAACATGACATCATCATTTCTTGTGTAATGTATGCACAATGCGTTTGAACCAGTAGCAACAACAGGAATATATGCAGATTTATCACAACCACCAGAAATAAATTTATGATCCAAAAATGATGCTAACGTTCTTTCATTCCGGAACCTCTTCGTAAATGCTTGATTGTATGATTTCCCTGAAATCTGTCCTGCCCTTCTCATAATTTTAAGTTCTGCATCGGACTTAATTTTCCTGGTATCCGCTAAAATGCTCTTATAATTCTTTGTTCTTAGTAATCCTCCTTCAGTAATCATTCTTATAATGCTTTTTTTATTATTTGTTAAAGTTCCTTTGCCACTATCATCAAAATAAACCATTTTACCACGTCTCAAAATATCTGGTAATTTATTATTCAACTGGCCAACACCAAATGCCCGATCTGCATTGAATATATCCTGAACACCTTGAATACCGGTTCTATAACCTTCCCATTGCTCCGCAAATGCATTCTTTTCTTGAACAAACATAGTGAATGTAACGTCATCGTTTTTGTCTGAATGTTTCTCAATAATCATCACAGAGTTTGGCTCATTCCAACCTGTTAAATAAAATAGATCATTATCCTGTTGGAATGGGAAGAATACAGCCCCTGAAGCGAATTGAATGTCATTACCAGCTATGATCATACATGACTCGCCTTGCATTTGTGATGCAATGCTCAATCTTCTTTGGTAGTATTCTAAAGAGGAAATACCGGGAGTTAGTTCTCCAGGATTCAGTAAATATGGCCTGGTTTCATGTATAGGTTGACCTGTGTGGATTGGAAGTCTCTTTCTATCATAAAATTTTTCAGCATTAGTTGTTGTATAACTCCTTGATAGTAAAGGAGGTGATAGTCGAATTGAACACCTATGAGCAAGTCTTCCCGATTTATGGATACACCTCGTTATACAATTCATCGATAATGGTATGCGGTATAATAAAAAATGGGTTACTTGTTATGTTTAAGATGATTTCAAATTTATCCTTTTATTATATCTTAAGGGATTAGATAGTTGAAAGATATGGTTGAAATTTATAATCCCGAAGAGAGTAATTACGTTCAAATTTTAGACGGAAAACTGGAAACAGTGATTCAAGCTCAAATAACTAGACGAAATGAGATTCCGTTTAATGTAACATCACAAGAGTTATATACAGAAGAAGGTTCTAAACCCTGATATCCCTGATGTCTATAAATTCAGTAGATTTTCTTACACTTTTCAAGAGCAGATCGAGTCAAAGATACTTAACATATTCTTAAAACTATTATCTTTTGTTTATGTAGACAGGCAATGACAAATTTCATTAAGGTCAAGATTACGGCTGTGGATTGAATTATGTTAAACTACGAATAATACCAAATTATTACCTAACTATCCGAACCGTTTTATAAGAAACCAGTAGTAAATATGAACTATTCATTTTCTTCATAAATTTCCTCAATTTCATTTATTTTATATAGCTTTTCCTAAATGCGCTTCACTTTCCAAAAGGATGGATGAACGAATCAAGGACCTTTTTTGTGAAGTGACTAAGACCTTATTTTTCCGTTGACACCTCAACGTTTAAAGTAAAAGAAATACACAATTTATAATATATAACCATATTTTTGTATCACACATTGCATTATATTAAAATACCTTCACAATCTAGAATAATCCACTGTAACTAAAAGAATGCTAAGATCTACAACCATTAGAGCAACCAGAGGACTGTTAAGAAGGAATGCTGGTCTTCTAACTAAAATAAATACTGCTAAAATTGCAAATATCGGAACTCTAAAGTCAATTTCTGCTATTAGATATATTTCAGATGAGCCGACTAAAACATTTACCAAATTATCTAACGCTTCAGATAAACAAAGAGACCAAATTTTTAATTATTCGTGGGGGTCTTGGTTAAAGAACGACAAACAGGAGAAAGAAAGAAGATCTACCAAATTCTCTATTGAAGGGCTAAGTAAAATTATTAATAATCTGTACACCGAATCAAAAGTGGGTTCAAAATCTGATTCTAAAGTGCTAGGATCTATTAAAACTCATAACGATTCTACTGTGACTTTAACAAACAATGTTAATATCAAAAATTTGGATGTTTTAAATGCAAATGAAAAGCAAGTCCAAATTAAAACCATCTCCAGTTTCCATGAAGGTAAACACCACAGAATATATAAGATCGATACAAACCTACCCGGAAAATCATTGGTCTTACGTATTCCATACAACATAGAACCATCCAAGACTATCTCTAATAGAATCAAGAGCGAAGTTGCTACTATGGATTTTGTCGCTACAAAATGTGGTATCAAAACTCCTACTGTTTATATGTACTCCGACAATTCTTCTAACCCAGTTGGTGCACCTTTCATTCTTGAGGAATATATTGATGGTGAACTTCTGATGAAGCAATGGGATCCACTTTGTGATGATGGAACAGACAATAAACCACCTGAACAAATAAAGAAAGTCATTGATATAGTTGCCGATTTCCATTTCAAATTGAACTCAATTAAATTCAATACTGTGGGTTCTTTATACTTCAAAGAAGATATTGAACCAAAGATTTTAAATGATAAAAATACTGAGATTATTGATGATAAATGGGTTATCGGTCCAGTAATGGAAAGATCTTTCTGGAGGAAAAAGAACGGATTAAATGGCGAAATTGAGACTTACTTAGGTCCATGGAATGAAAATGACGGTTCAGTTTCAAGTATCATCAAGAATCTAGGTTCAATCGAACATGAGAACGCTAAAGGTCGTGCAAGCCTGATTGACGCCAATTCTTCATCAGAAATTGCAAAGAAGGATGTGATCAATGAACAAATTTTAACATTTGACAGATTAACAAAAATCGCTCCTTACTTATTCAATTTAAATTTAAAAGATAATAAGACAGTTCCAAACTTGGAAGATCTATTAAAACCAAGTATATATGATCCTGATTTGGATCCAATGAACATTGTTATTTCGAAGACTGATGGTACCCCATACTTGTTGGACTTTGAGGGATCTGTTGTTAAGCCATTCATCTTACAAAGTTCTCCAAGATTTGTAGAATACGATGGCCCAAAGATTTACAACATTAGGGATGAAATCCCAGATTTCGACAAATTGAGTGAAAACGAAAAAGTTCAATGTCAGTTCATTTACAAAAGAACCCGTAATCAATATCTATGGGAAAATGCGTTAAATGAAAGAAACCCAAACCTGATCGTTTCAATGGCGCCGCCTATTAAATTGTTAAGAAGTCCATATGCAGCAGCCAACGAAAGAAAAACTGACGAAGATTATTTATTGATTGACGAGAATCTTCTACAATTGAGACAAATCTGGAGTGAATTGTTTAAGAATAAGCTTGTCTCTGAAGAGAAATTCCCATTAGAATACACTGAAGAAGAAATCAAGAAACATGTTGAAGATTTAGCTAAGTTACAAGAAAAATTAATAACCACTCCATTTGCTGCCACCCAAGGTTGGATTCCACAGGATATGTTTGATAACTTAGTCAAGAGCGGCTTATTATTAAAGGAGCAGAATGGCGATTATTCCTTCAAGCCAGCACCAGAACCTACTGAATCAAAAAAGGATGCCTCCACAGGAAAGCACTAATAAAACATCAACCTCGAAGGGAACTGACAGCAATTCTCCCCTTTCTCGATATTTAATTTATTTCGTTATATTAACTAAATATTTGCTCTGTTAGAGTGCCTTACCTTCTGTACATACAAGATTTAATTAACTAATACATACAAAAAATAACAAAAATAGATGCCACAATAATGCCATCATTTGAAGATGCCTTTTACTGTGTACCTATGATTAATACTGTGGAACTTAAAGAGCTTATTGTAGGATCTGTGAATTGAATTATACTGGACAGAGTCACCACCACACCTATTGACAATAATGTATGAGGATTATGTGACTCGGTTAACATTTTGTCTTTGTAACTATATACGACACTAGAGGTGAGAACGATCGTGTAACACGATAATATGTTAGATGTCTGGGTGTTTCATTCAGTATTTTTGAAAAAAATGCGGAAAAGCAATTCCACCTTTGATTGCGGATATGCGTTTCCACCGCATACATATAGTTTTTTCCTCCGCCCATTATTACTTGCTATACAATCTTTTTTTTAATACTGACATAGAAAAGATAGAGCTTTAACATGTATCATTATGGTACAGGACCTCTTGAAAGAAGCCATTCCATCCGTTACTAATTATCAACACTTTAATGAAATTCTAAAAGTGCACCAACTTTGACCTTTATTTGTGAATTTATTTAATTTTTAAAATTGAGCTTAATTACTATGAATAGATGATATAAATTTATTTTTAGTACCTCTAATATGGCAACGTGGCATTTAGCATCACGATTATTTTTCTGCTACGGCATAGAAAAACATTTACACGTGAAAATATTCGCTCACTGTGGTGACCCTCACCCTCTGAATTTTTTTGCCGTGACTGCGGCGTTTTAGTGCGAAATGCGACCGATCTCATAAGATTTGAACAAATGGCACTTTGGAAGAGTCAATAATTTTTTTTTATGAGTAATATCATACTTGTCATGTTGCAAACTGCTCGTATTAATGACCGTCAAAGATATCTTGTCGAAGCTCTCAATAAGCATATATAAACAAACAACTTTTATTTATTTTTCTATCTTGCGTCTCCCTTTTTTTTTTCTTTGGATTTTCTTTCAATTTCAAAATTTTCATTATATAATACTAATATCATCACAAGGAATAAAAACAAAAAGAGGTTAATCTTGAAAGAAGAGACAACATCGTCGGTTAATATCCTATATCAATTGAACTGTCTATCATTAAAAAACATCAAACTAACGCAATGTCTGCTTTAAATATCGAAAACTTACAAAATACATTCCAGAATGCCGTTAACCTAGGTGGTTCTCCAGGTGCCGTTTCTACTTCACCAACCCAATCTTTCATGAACACTCTACCAAGACGCCTGAGTACTTCTAAGCAACAAAAGATTTTGAAGCCATTTTCCACTGGTGACATGAAGATCCTATTATTGGAAAATGTCAACCAAACTGCTATTGAAATTTTTAACAAACAAGGTTACCAAGTTGAATTCCTAAAGGGATCTCTACCAGAAGAAGAACTGATCGAAAAGATCAAGGATGTTCACGCTATTGGTATCAGATCCAAGACTAAATTGACAGCTAAGGTTCTTGAACATGCTAAGAATTTGGTCTGTATTGGTTGTTTCTGTATTGGTACTAATCAAGTTGATTTGAACTTCGCTGCTAAGAAAGGTATTGCTGTCTTCAACTCTCCATTCTCCAATTCCAGATCTGTTGCTGAATTAGTTATTGCTGAAATCATTTCTCTAGCTAGACAACTTGGTGATAGATCCATTGAACTACATACTGGTACTTGGAACAAAGTTTCCAACAAGTGTTGGGAAGTAAGAGGTAAGACATTGGGTATTATCGGTTACGGTCACATTGGTTCTCAATTATCTGTTCTAGCTGAAGCCATGGGTCTACACGTTATTTACTACGATATTGTTACTATTATGGCTCTAGGTACCGCTAAACAAGTTTCTACTCTAGATGAATTATTAAACAACTCTGATTTTGTCTCTCTACATGTTCCAGAAACTCCAGAAACTAAGAATCTATTATCTGCTCCACAATTTGCTGCTATGAAGGATGGTGCTTATATGATTAATGCCTCCAGAGGTACTGTTGTTGACATTCCATCTTTGATTGCTGCTATGAAGGCTAAGAAAATAGCCGGTGCTGCCATTGATGTTTACCCAGCTGAACCACGTAAGAATGGTGTCGGTGCCTTCGCCGATGATTTAAACAAATGGACTTCTGACTTAATTTCTTTACCAAACTTGATTCTAACTCCTCATATCGGTGGTTCTACCGAAGAAGCTCAAAGCGCCATTGGTATTGAAGTTTCTACTGCATTATCTAATTACATCAATGAAGGTAACTCTGTTGGTTCTGTTAACTTCCCAGAAGTTAGTTTGAAGGCTCTAAATTACGACCAAGAAAACACTGTCCGTGTTCTATACATCCATCAAAATATTCCTGGTGTCTTAAGAACTGTTAATAATATTTTATCCAACCATAACATTGATAAACAATTCTCTGACTCTCATGGTGATGTTGCTTATTTGATGGCTGATATTTCTTCAGTTGACCAAAGTGATATTAAGGAAATTTATGAAAAATTGAATCAAACAGATGCTAAGATCTCTATCAGACTATTGTACTGATTTATTTTCAGCATATTGTTTAATCATCTCTTCATATTTTCTTTTTCCCGTATTAAATGTCACCTTTTTTATGTCATAAAATTCAATTAGCCCACAATTTTGTGGTTGTATATACCTATATAAACGTTCGAAACTGGTTTTCAACAAACACATACTCGATAAATTTCAAATTCAACATTTCATAATAAAACAAAAAGTTCTATCTTTTTCCCTCTCATTACATGACATACAGCATATATTGCAAGTGTATTCGAGAAAGTCGTTAAACAAACTGAATATATATATATATATATATATATGTGAAAACCTATATATTATGGTTGTTATGATTATTGTTTTTAATGAATGAAGCTCCGTTGAACGATCAAAATTTTATTATTAGACCACTAATCATTATCGCAGCATTTAGCTACTAAAATATCAACTAATTAAAGTGCAATATTATTCATTTCTTGAGAAATTAGGTGAAAATAAGTAAAAACTTCTTGTGCAGAGACCAAAAAAAATGCTCAGAATGTGCTATACCAATACCTGATTCGAATATGAAGAGGTTGAAGATATCAAATTCCTTTGATTTATTGTGTGCAGTTCCTTATAACGTATATAGTATGTATGGCAGAACATAAAAAAACCCTACAAAAAAAATTCAACATTAATACAAGCAAGCAGTTTCTCTCTATTCGATTCACTTACTTCCACTACGTAAAGAATCATTATTAATCACAGAGGTAACCATAAAGAAACCATGTAGCTCATCCATTTGAAATCATCCCCCTCGTCAAATAATTTATTTTCTTCAATAATACGCCGCTTTCTTACAGTGTTCTTACTCTCCTCGAAGAGGGAATACAGAGAGACAGGGAGAGAAAAACCATTAAAAGAAATTAATTATAAAGACGTGTGTTATCTTAAAACGGTAAAAATAAAACATTTCGCGTATTGATTCAACAAGTTATTAGTGCGGTGTGCGGATGGTTGGCTGGTTGATTGTGATCGACTTGCATCTAGATGGAGACATGCTCAATCATTCGAAATTTGTCAACTGGGACCAGAAACAAATCAGAAACAGTTTGGAAAGAGATATGCAAGTCGAAATGCATGTTTGATGCAGTCAAAATAACTTTAAAGGAACGAAATACCCATTTTTGAAAAGAATGGAGTCCCAGAAATTACTCTAGTGAGTTTTTTGATCTATTAAATATCCATACAACATATATTATAACTTAATTTTTATTGAAAATTGCGCACATTTTTAGTTCAAGAGAATAATAATTGATATCTCATAACAAATTGAATTCCTCACCATAGTAAGTGAACTGGAGCTCATTATTTTTTTCATATTAATTACAAGATTATCATTGTGTTGTTATTATTTTACTATACATTTTACATGATTTATGAAAATCTACCTAATGCTTCATCTACTAGATCCTTATGATCTTCTGAAAGCTCGTTGTTATGTATCTTTGTCTTTCTCAAACGAAGTGCTTTTTCCTTCTCTAATTGCTTTTGTACTCTTACCTTTCTTTCATCTACAATATTTTGAGTTTTCTTACGTAAGAATGAACGAAGACCAGAATTCTTCCCTTTAACATCGACTTTCACTGATGGAATATCCATATTTTCTTTCCTTTGTTTTTCTGCACCAATCGTTACATTAGCCAAGTCCTTTGCAGATAATCTGGTATTCGATGCTGTCTTATCAACAGCACCTAGAGTATTTGGATCTAATGTAATTGTATCAGCAGGTAATTTGTCCAATAAACTTCTGACTTCTTGTTCTTGTCTTTGTTTCGCGGTCTCATATGGATTAACTTCTAATGCATCATAATTAGCTTCACCAGCACCTGGAATAATTAGATTTGTCATACCACTCTCATGTCCAACACCTAACAAATCTTCAAATGGTACAAATTTCATATTATTAATCTTATTACTTGCAAATAGATGTGTCATATATGGTGTATTTCTATTTGGATTACCACCCATAGAACCGAAACATGGTTTAGCAGCATTACCCCTTCTTAATGCATCCTTCCATAACGTTAAATGAGGTCCTCTAGCTACTGCAAGAACACCAGTATCTGATATAGAAACATTCGTACCTGGAGTTGGTAAGTTTTCAATACTATGTAATTCTTGGAAATTTCTAATGTCCCATATTTTCAATGATTTGTCTTTACCAGTAGTTGCCATGTAGTAGCCACTTCTATCGATGGCTATACTATTAATTGGACCTCTGGCAGATAATATCCTGGCTAAAGGATCAGGCATAGATGGAGACCATAGAGTTACAGTACCATTACTATGTCCAAGATGCATCACTGCATTCCAAGGATTTTGAGTCATTGCCGTAGTTGGTCCCAATTTGGTTCTTGTCTCTGTTACTAACGCACCTGTTGAGACATCTTGATATTTTAACCAACCAGTTTCACCAGCAGTAGCCAGCAGAAAATGATAAGGTAAAAATTGTAGATGTCTAACATCAACATGTTGTTTCAAACGATGTAATTCAACACCTTCATGGTCATATATAAATGTGTATCTCTTTTGCGCAACAGCAAAAAATTGTTCATTTTGTAAATATGTAGCTGCATGACAAGTCTCATTCAAAAATAATTCTGCACGTAACTCACCCTTTCTCCAATCCATAGAGGCAACATGCCCTTTACGACCTGCCATCAGTAAATGGGTACCTGTTCTTGAATAATCAACGTAATACGGTCCGAATTCGTTTAATTTTAGATCTAGGGCCTTGTTTGCAGTAGATACATCAACATCCTTAACGATCTCATGTTGCTTCACTTTGAAAGTCTTTTCCATTTCTTCTTCTGTCTCCATATACCCGGATGACTCTGGTAATAGATAATCGGTGGCTGCAGCATCAGAGACAGTTTGAGCGTATACTTTATCCATTCTCTTTAAGTTAGCCTTTAATTTCTTGTCCCTACTCTTCTTGTAGTCCTTTGCATTGTTTTGACTTGGTCTTTCATATTTGTCTTGGTTTTCTCTTGGCTTTCTGACCTTATTCTTTGGAGGTGCCATCTTTAAATATATAGTGCTTGAACTATTATGACTTTAAGTATTGTGATATTACTAATATATAAATCTAATCTAGATCTTTGAAGTATTTTTGTACATTGAGATGTCCATCGATTAATTATATAAGTTTTACTTTGCTCATCGCATTTTGTTCGCCGCAAAAATTTTCAGTAAGTTTCCACGTGATTGAAAATTACTTTCTGGTAAATAGTAGTATATATAGGAAAGACTAAAAGATTCATGATTTAAGTAAAGAAATATGATTTACATATTAAAATAACAGATAATTAAATTACATATTATAATGTCAGTGTAGTTAAAACTTTTGGAATATACCAATTACAATCAGAACTAGGCAAATATCAGAAATAAACATCGCTAAAACATCCCAATATTGCAGTAAAGTGACCACTTTACCCTTTATGTTTTTGATTGGTAAAAGGCCTTCTGGTATCATAGATACCATCTTTACTATCTTACTGTTATTGTCTAGTGTGTTCACTTTATTGTTTCTTTCAATACTCTGAAGTCTTTGGTAGTAGATAGATGTTGCAACTATTTCGAAAGATGTAAATACCATGAAAAAATTAGTAGAATCAGCAAGATTGCTTAATGGACCAAGTACAGATGCACTTTCGAAGCTTTCACCTCTTGTAACTAAGTATAAGAATGGAACTAGCACAATCCATTTTAGTAGGATAGTCCACGCTTTTAATCTATTTACTAAATAATTATGGTAATTTAGCATTGCAGGATCAACTAAAGGTTCCACAGGGATATTACTTGGTAGTTCATCAGTTCCATTAGCAGTAGGCATACCGTTTTTTTGCATAGAACTCAACAGGGAAAATAAATCTGGGGTAGAGTCAGAGCCTTCATTTTGCATTGAGGCCAATTGCTTCAATAATTCTACTTGAGGAATATTTTCAGCTTCTGAAGGTTCTTTTCCGTTAAGAATATCCTCTTGAGAAAGAGTCCTTTCAACTTTTCTTTCTGCTGGAAGAACAGGTTCATTAGTTGGATTGTCCAGGGGTGATTCTGTGTTTAAATGACTGTCTGATTGACCTGTAATTTTGTTTAATCTTGAAGATGCACCGCCATTAGCAAATTTTTTTTGTCTTCTTTCTCTCAAAATTTTACGCTTTTCAGCCTCACTTAGATTGCTCATAACCGTCTATTATACTATTGTGCCAAGTTCGTGATTTTATAACTATTGTTACCTTTGTGTAATTATGTGCACTTTGTATTAAACTGTAGTATCGTTCTTAAGCTTCGTTTGACGTGTTAACGAAAATAAGTACAAATTTTTTCAAAAACAAGAAACCTGCACGTGATTTTTGAGCTATAAAATCCATACTAAAGACTATTTCTTCCGTGCGATGAGCAGAAGTATATCGAAAGGTTTCTTAGTAAAAGATACTTTCCTCAACTGTTACAAAGACTTGGTTGATCTCAAGTTTCATAGAATTAAGTACCAATCTTTTTTAAAAAAGTGTACAATTTGAAACAAGTTACGGGAGCTCCCACCCAACAAATTAGGTTCGCAGTAATTGAAAACTAAATCACGCATATTGAAACAACATAACTAACAAATATGGCTAAAATAGATAAGATTAAAAATAAGGATAGAAGAAAGGGGATACGCACGCATATTAAGACAAGTAAAAAACACTTCAAATGTAAAATTTGCCAAAACAATGAACATCGAACTAAAAATTGCCCCAGAACATTATGTGAGCATTGTGGACAGATGAAAGCTCATCATTCCAATATTACTAGCAACTCTTTATGTTCCAACATTACAGTGTCAACAAAGAAGCAGGAAGCCGATATAGATGAAAGTGCATTTTGTGTAGCATGTGAAAGTAATGGACATGCCGTTGACAGGTGTCCGTCTATTTGGAGGGAATATATAAGAAAACAAGAACGTTCAGAAAAACTAACTAAGCCAACAATACCAATGCATACACTATTCTGTTATAACTGTGGTGAGAAAGGACATTATGGAGATGATTGCCTAGTAGATAAACATGATGAGAAGATGAAATATCAGAGGAGTGCATTTTCAGGAAGAAATCTACCAATTTCGTTAAAAGACATATATTATAATAACTTGAAGTTAATGGATAATGATGTATCATCAGGCCAATTTTTAAGACAGGCACATAAAAAGGTTGGCCATTTTTTCCCGCCGCCATATAAAAATTTACGTGAACCAGAGTTTAGTGAAGAATTTCAATTACTTGGCTAGTTTCATCGTAAACAAAGTACATCATGTCCTACAATTTTATTGCATAAATAAAGACTCACTTATCATTGACAATATATAAATCATTAGCATATTTTTTTCATCAAAAATTCTTTGTGCGACTATCTAATTACCTAACTCAGTTGAGTTAAACTCACTAAGATGACTGTTGGATTATTTCTTGATTATTGACGGCGAAAATTATAAATCCAAATATAATTAGATCCATTGACATTTTACAATATTGTAGCAAGTGTTTTAATTCAAAAATATTATTCAATCGAAATTGTGTTTATTTCTGTCATGACTGGTACCTTTTTTTCCAATATTCCTATATTGGCATTCCGCGCCATTCCTATATTTCATACAGCCAAAATATATACAACTCCATCTGGATGAAATATTCTAAATTGAACTTGAACTGAAACCTTTAAGAACATAGACTTAAAGCCTACTATTATATTTTTCTTGGTTATCATTCCAAACAATTACTAAGATGAGATGAAGCCAGATTTCCAGTTCAATTATCCATGAATGAATAAATTGAGCAAAGTATATAGGTCCTATAGCAACATCATGAGAGTATGGAATGAATCTGAAATATTAATTGATAGAAAATCAAAATTTCAAGGTCGTAGTTGTGCAGTAACTGACCAGTCAGATATCCCGAAGTTATTAAATGAGCTTGTTCAAAGTAATAAGAGTGTATCAAAGGCATCACATATGCATATGTACGCATGGAGGACAGGGGAAATAACGAAAAAGAATGACAAGGAAACCAAGAAGCACTCGAAACAGAATAAGAAACAAAATAAGGAGGAATCCGTAACAATAAAAAACATACAACAAGGGTGTGCAGATTGTGGCGAGGCTGCTGCTGGTCAGCGACTTCTGACATTATTGGAGAGAGCTAACGTAGTTAACGTTTTAGTAATCGTTACTAGATGGTATGGTGGTACTCCATTAGGATCTTCCAGATTCAGACATATCTCATCAGTTGCAGTTGAAAGTTTGAAAAAGGGAGGATTTCTTCCATAGAGGGGAATTCTTCAAAGAGAGGCATTTCATTACTCTGGAATTTTATAGATTTTTTTATTTTTATTTTTATTCGAAAGTGAGAATATTCAATTATGTATATATATATATATGTACAGAAAAAAAGGTTATTCAAAGCAGTCAATTCAAATATCACGCTCTTAAATAAATTTATAAGGATTCATGATACCATTTGGATCATAATGTTTCTTCAAGTCCTTCATCATTTTGATCTCTTGTTCATTCTTGGTATATGAAATGTAATTTTTCTTTTGAAATCCCAGACCGTGTTCTGCACTAATTGAACCATGTTTAGAAGACACATATTCATAAACAAATGGTTCTAAAGCACGTTCAACTTCTTTAGAATAACATCTCGTGGCAACATTCAAGTGCAAGTTCCCATCACCGACATGACCATACCCTACAGCAGCAATGACAGGTTTTGGAGCCTCCCCTAATAAATCTGCGTCGGCCAATTTCTTGTTTACAACTTCAACTAAAGAATACAAATCCTTTAATGGTAAAGAGACATCATATTTATATACACCCCCTTGACATTGACTTGATTCTGGAATCATTTCTCTCCATTTCCATAAATTTTGTAATTCAGTTTCATCTTGAGCAATGGTACCATCAATAACAATTTCTGATTCCATGGCACTCTCTAAGAAAGTTTCCAATTTTGAATCATCATGGGCTTTATTAGATCCCGAGGTTTCAATCAAAATATAAAATGGATATTCGTCTTCTAAGGGGAAAGATGTATCCTTTTCAATATGTTTTTTTGTTAATTGAATTGATCTTTGATCCATAAATTCAAAGGCAGATAAAATTTCAGCTAATTCTTTCTTTGCCTTAACAAAAACTTTTTGAACAGCTTCATAATTTTTTACAGCAAGGAAACTGACATTAATTGCTTGTGGTTTTGGTTGTGTTAAGATAGATACACCAGTGATGATTCCCAAAGTACCTTCGGCACCAATAAATAATTGTTTTAAATCATAACCAGTATTATCCTTACGTAATGAATGCATACTACTAACAATATCACCATTAGGCATAACAACTTCTAAGCCAAGGACAGAACCATGTAATGAACCATATCTTAATAATCTTAGTCCACCTGCATTTGTAGCACATACACCACCAACATGACATGAGCCCTTTGCACCTAAATCTAATGGGAAAATATGATCATGTTCTCTTAAATAATTATCTGCGTTTTCTAATATGACACCAGCATCGCATTTTAATATTCCACTTACTGGATCAAATTGTCTAATTTGGTTAAGATTATTTAAAGAAAGAATAATTTCATCAAATACAGGAACTGAAGCACCAACAAGATCAGTATTACCACCTTGTGGTACAATTGCTAATTTTTCTTCATTACAATAATTTAAAATTAATGAAATTTTTTCAACAGATTTTGGTTTCAATACTAAACGAGACTGACCTTTATATTTTTTCATCCAATCTTCATTAAATAAATCCAGTTCTTGTAAATCATTTTCTATTGCAACATACATAATTTCTTGTTTTGATAAAATTGATTTAAAATATTCTAAATCATCAGAATTTAGTTTTTTATAAATATCATTTCTATGAATATCAGGATAAACTTCAGATGTAAATTTAACAGTGTTTGCATAAGAACGAATAGCCCCAATACCATTAAATAAAGGGGTATCACTTGATTTATAATTGGATAATAAACGATATGACGTTGTTTTAATGATAGGGGAATTTGTTATACATCTCTTAAATAGTAATAATTGTTTGCAATTTTTCACTACAGGTCTTGAAAATTTCAACATTTTGTGAATATAAATCGAAGTGTAGAGATGGATATATTTATATATATTCACCAAATATTGTTTTTATTATTATTATTATTAATAACAATAATAATTATACTATTTACTATCTTTAACATTATAAAATAATAGAAATTAATATTTTTAAGTAGAAAGTTTACTTCAGTTAACCTTTGATCGAGGTTTACCGCAATCTCCAGAGAGGAGTCAAGATACTGCATCCTTATTTACTGAGAAAAAAAAATAAGAGACAACAGCCCTAAATTGAAATGTCCGAACCCAAAATCATATTCCACGAATACTCATCATAAGCTCGAAACTCCTCCATCGAAGTCATCATAACATACTTGTAAATATGTTTAACAGTTTACTAACTATGAATATTTTATTTCATTAAGCTGATCTATACAAGCTCTGAATGTTCAAGAAATACTGAAATCAGAATACTTCAGTTATGTAAATATATTCCATCTCTTGCTATTTCACTCAACTCGGCCGACATACAGACACTCAAATATTCCAATATAATATAAAAATACCAATATATGTATGTGTATATATGCAAACTTTCAATTTAATATATAACATGTAAGATCAACTACAATTGCATCAACAACAATGCTAATCATCGTCACATTGTTAGTTTATCCGTATTACAACAACAGTTACGTTACGTCTTTTGCATTTTGTTAAAATTTCTTACGTAAATTTCTCTGCGAGTATTTTTTCGGGGGGAAAATGAAAGATATTCATTTCAGAAAAGACCACATCCACCATAATTAGCTTCATTCTTTATTTTTTTGGGTGGAGTAAGGTGGCAAATAATTTAAGTGCTTTTTCTATGCACACACACATATATATATACATAAAGGAAATTAATTTAATATATATTCTTCTAAACCAAAGGGAAACCAAGGCTATAAGTTATTTGTATCATTTCAATTAGTGTAAAGGAAAAAAGAACGTTAAACTTAATTAGATAATATTTAATAGCAAGAAATCTAAAAAAAATGGCTGCTGAAGAACATAAACCCCTTTTGGATGCATCTGGTGCAGAACCACATCAAGAAGATGCTACTGCTACTGCTATCTTAAGACGTAAGAAGAAAGATAATATGTTATTAGTAGATGATGCTACTAATGACGATAATTCAGTTATTGCTATCAATTCTAATACTATGGATAAATTAGAATTATTTCGTGGTGATACCGTTTTAGTTAAAGGTAAGAAAAGAAAAGATACTGTATTAATTGTTCTTATTGATGATGAATTAGATGATGGCGCTTGTAGAATTAATAGAGTTGTTAGAAATAATTTACGTATTCGTTTAGGTGATTTAGTTACAATCCATCCATGTCCTGATATTAAATATGCAACAAGAATTTCTGTTTTACCAATTGCTGATACTATTGAAGGTTTAACTGGTAATTTATTTGATGTCTTTTTAAAACCTTATTTTGTTGAAGCTTATAGACCTGTTAGAAAAGGTGATCATTTTGTCGTTAGAGGTGGTATGAGACAAGTTGAATTTAAAGTTGTTGATGTTGAACCTGATGAATACGCTGTTGTTGCGCAAGATACTGTTATTCATTGGGAAGGTGAACCAATTAATAGAGAAGATGAAGAAAATAATATTAATGAAGTTGGTTATGATGATATTGGTGGTTGCCGTAAGCAAATGGCTCAAATCAGAGAAATGGTTGAATTACCATTAAGACATCCTCAGTTATTTAAAGCCATTGGTATTAAACCACCAAGAGGTGTTTTAATGTATGGTCCACCAGGTACAGGTAAAACTTTAATGGCTCGTGCTGTTGCAAATGAAACAGGTGCATTTTTCTTTTTAATTAATGGTCCAGAAGTTATGTCAAAGATGGCAGGTGAATCTGAATCTAATTTAAGAAAAGCATTTGAAGAAGCTGAAAAAAATGCTCCTGCAATTATTTTCATCGATGAAATTGATTCAATTGCTCCAAAGAGAGATAAGACTAATGGTGAAGTTGAAAGAAGAGTTGTTTCTCAATTATTAACTTTAATGGATGGTATGAAAGCAAGATCTAACGTTGTTGTCATTGCCGCTACTAATAGACCAAATTCTATTGATCCAGCTTTAAGAAGATTTGGTAGATTTGATCGTGAAGTTGATATTGGTATTCCAGATGCTACTGGTAGATTAGAAATTCTTCGTATTCATACTAAAAATATGAAATTAGCAGATGATGTTGATTTAGAAACTTTAGCTGCTGAAACTCATGGTTATGTTGGTGCTGATGTTGCTTCTTTATGTTCTGAAGCCGCTATGCAACAAATTCGTGAAAAGATGGATATGATTGATTTAGATGAAGATGAAATTGATGCTGAAGTGTTAAATTCTCTTGGTGTCACCATGGATAATTTTAGATTTGCTCTTGGTAACTCTAATCCATCTGCTTTACGTGAAACTGTTGTTGAAAGTGTTAATGTAACTTGGGATGACGTTGGTGGTCTTGATGAGATTAAAGAAGAATTGAAAGAAACTGTTGAATATCCTGTCTTACATCCAGATCAATATACAAAATTCGGTTTGGCTCCATCAAAGGGTGTTCTATTTTATGGTCCACCAGGTACTGGTAAGACTTTATTAGCTAAAGCTGTTGCCACTGAAGTTTCAGCTAATTTCATATCCGTTAAAGGTCCAGAATTATTAAGTATGTGGTATGGTGAATCAGAATCTAACATTCGTGATATCTTTGATAAAGCTAGAGCTGCTGCACCAACTGTTGTCTTTTTAGATGAATTAGATTCTATTGCTAAAGCAAGAGGTGGTGCTGGTGGTAGTGATGCAGGTGGTGCATCTGATAGAGTCGTTAATCAATTATTAACTGAAATGGATGGTATGAATGCAAAGAAGAATGTCTTTGTTATTGGTGCTACTAATAGACCAGATCAAATCGATCCAGCTATTTTAAGACCAGGTAGATTAGATCAATTGATTTATGTTCCATTACCAGATGAACCAGCTAGACTATCAATCTTAAATGCTCAATTAAGAAAGACTCCATTAGAACCAGGTCTAGAATTATCATCTATTGCCAGAGCCACCCAAGGTTTCTCTGGTGCTGATTTATCATATATTGTTCAAAGAGCCGCTAAATTCGCCATTAAGGATTCTATTGAAGCTAAGAAGTTAATGGAAGCTTCAAAGGTTAAGAATGAAGATGTCGAAATGGGTGATGGTAATGAAGAAGTGAAACAAGAGCAAACAGAAGAACCAGAAGAAGATCCAGTACCATTTATAACAAAAGAACATTTCGCTGAAGCTATGAAGACTGCTAAACGTTCCGTTAGTGATGCTGAATTACGTCGTTATGAAGCTTATTCACAACAAATGAAGGCCTCTAGAGGTCAATTCAGTAATTTCAATTTCGATGAAAATGCCATGGGTACTGATTCTAACACATCTAACGCCCCTGGTGCTTCTGCTTCAAATGGTACTGGTGCTGATTTCAATAATAATGCAGAAGATGATGACGATCTATACAGTTAATCGATTGTATAAAGGATCATTTTTTTTTAAATATCCATTTTCTACATTATATTATATCACATTACTCCTTCTACTGAGAATATATTTATAAATATATACAAACATATACATACACCCTACAATAATTAAAAGTTAAGTTTTGAAAAAAAGAAAAAAAGATAATAAGGAAGATTTATATTATTAAACGGTACATAAAGTTAATTAACTTTTTTTTTCTAAACATATATATATATATATAGTGAATAAAATAAATGGAGAGTATCATACAACTATGCTTGTAAAACTAGGATGAAAACCCCAAGTAAATATCTATGTTTGAAATAACGATCCTTATGCTCCAAAAGTTTCAACGTCAGGATAATAGAAGAATGCTAGAGCAATTAGCAAGTACATTGCTAAAGACATAACACCCTCCATCCAGTTAGATTCACCATCTAAAATCAAATAATTAGATAATAATATTGAAACGAATAGAATGGCAGTTTCAAACGTAGAGAAATTTAATGTCATTGGAACATCAATAACCCAACCAACTAGAACCATAAATGGTGTTACGAATAACGCAATTTGTAAAGAGGAACCAATAGCAACGCCCAATGCAAGATCCATCTTATCCTTGATTGCTACCATCACGGATGTGACATGCTCTGCAGCGTTACCAACAATAGGAATCAAGATCAAACCAATGAATGTCTTAGATAGACCAGTAGATTCAACAATACCATCGATAGTACCAACCAGATAATCAGCACATACAGAGACCAGAATTGTGGCACCTAATAAAAACGAAATTGATGATCTAATAGACAAAGAATGAGGTGGTTTAGAAGATATTTGACCAAGTACTTCTTCAGTCTCTTCAATTTGTTCTTCAAATAGCGCATGATGAGATCCCAATTGGAAGTATAAGAAGAGCACGTAAACAGTTAATAAAATGATTGAAGTACCTCTACTTAGCTCTAAGATCTTTTCATCAATCAAGCCGTCTTCTTTACCGGTCGGTAATGAGGCTTTAAAAGCAGCTGGGATCAGTAGAGAGGCACATGAAATAGCAAGTAATGAGGACATAGTTTGAGCAGCAGTTTGATTAAATGTTTGTTGAATTCTATTCCAACCACCAAATAGGAAACAAAACCCAAGTACTAATAGTAAATTAGATAGTAAACTACCTAGCATAGAGGCTTGAACAATTCTGACTTGACCTTCTTTTAAAGCAATAATAGAGACTATTAATTCAACAGCATTACCAAATGTTGCATTTAGCAGACCACCAACAGTACTACCTGCTTTTTCAGCTAACTCTTCTGTTGCATAAGCTAGAATGGCAGCCAATGGAATAATGGCCAAGAAATTAAAGATAAAAGTCCATGTATGAGACACTTCAAAATAACCCCATACTATACCTAACGGAACGAAAAGTAGAAGTACATTCAGTGGTGAGGAAAGTAGAACATAATGTAAATCGACTTTTAATGCGTCGTATGTAGATAGTGCTGGGGTACTTCTTCTTCCATGAAGGAGATTGTCAGCTGCAATTAATGGCGTAGTAGCATCCATTGTTATTTGTAGCTCTTCAGTTGGTAAAGAAATTGCAAAATAATATGAATATCTTAAGACGATATTAGAACTTAAATATAGTTTGATAGAATATAAAGAATTGTGATATAAACAGAGTAATATACGTGTGTATGTGTATATTTAAGGAATAGCTTCGGAGAGTATAAATAGGGGAAAAGATAGCTTGATTGAAGGGTCTGCTTTTGCTTTTGACTTTTGCCTATCTTCTTCCGATGCGTTCGTTGCTAAGTGAAATTTTACCAAAATAAATAAACTCAAAAAAGATTGACTAAGAGATTATGATAATAATAGAAACAAAAAAAGAGATATTTAGGATAAACAAGAAAATATGAAATCGTGGCCACTCTTTCTTTTACATTCTTTCCCTAGTGTTGGTAATAGCTAATCTATCATCTTGTTGTTGACAGATAAATGCTGGAAGACAATGGGAATTCCAATGGGTATATTCAGGGCTAGAATCGAACATGTTTTATATTCCCTTTTCTTTTTTAGCTTAACATTATTCTGAATATTATTCTATTACTGTCATTACTATTATTTAATATCATTTCTTATATATCTGCAGCTGTATATATTCCTACTATGAACGCTAATAATCCCCAAAGAAATTGCGTTCCGATAATATAAGCACTCTTGACACCAATCCTTTGCCATAACTGAATCAATTTTCTCAATGGACGTTTCTTGTTGGTCTTGTTTGATTCTGGTAATGATATATTACTTAGGCCAAGTAACGAAGGATCGTTTAGGTAGTTTGGTGGGGTGTTAATTAAACTTTCAGTTGTAAAATAATCTGTCAGCAATGTGTTTTGGGGATGAGGAACATTCTCTGAATCAAGGGCTCTAGAATATAAATCAAAGTAGAAATGTTCGGTTTGATATAATGCATTATTTTGTTTATGGGTACGTCCAGCGCTTTCTGTTCTTCCATGATAACCATTTGTGCCATAAACATTCTCCATATCGTTCCAGAATAATATCAGGATATTGACAAAATAATCAAGCATTAAGAAAGGAATGATAATGCATAGGAAGAAGTTGAGTAAACTACGGGACCCAAAATAATTAACTACATCTGTGAATAAATTTTCATGTCCTCGTATGTATATGAAATAAATAGAAAGAATAAAACTTTCCCCAATGGTTAGTAATACATTACCCATAAAAATTAGGTAAGCTCTCAAATATCTGATGATTAAGTATCTGTTCTTCTGTATTTCACAATAATATCTAACTCGGTGTTGTCTCTCAATGAGAGGTCGATTAAGGGTGTCGGAGCTACTATTGTTGTTCTCTAAATCATGAGGGGTTGTTGTTATTTTCTGGGTACTCTTAATATCATCTTTAAAGGTGACCCATACAAATCCATTTTTTCTTTTGAATTTGGGTTGGGACATATTAGTATTAAGCATATCATGTTCCAAATCAAGCGATGTCAATCTCATTGAATTATCTTTTGGATCAATTACAAGAACTGAATTAGAATCTGGTTCTAATTGTGTAGAAATCATATTCTCAGAGTTAGATGTACTACGAGACCTTAAACCATTTCTTTCTCTTGTTATTGATTTATGTTTATTAGAATGGGATCTTTCGGATGTTATTGTTCCATAATTGTTGTTGCCGTTCCTATTCGGAGATACATCCATATCAGAAGAGTAAACATTTGATGATATTGTAGAGGATATTCTTCTTAATCCTACACATCTTGATAAAGTAATGTTATTCCTGTTCAGTAAACTTTCATCATTTTCTGGCGCGTTGATGTAATCATTATCAGGGATGATATTTGGATCTAATGAGCTACCGAGGGTTGAATTCAATGTAATTTCTTTATAATATGGCATGTTATCTAAAATTGACAATATTAACTCTGCTAAAGCCCAGTTTAATCCAAATATGTACGATTGTCTAGGTATGATATGCCATAATGGTGGTGCGGGTTCTAAAGGGTCGCCAACTGTATCTATCTGTGGACGATGAACCTGGTCCTGAAGTTGAGGATATGCTAGACCGATCAAAATGCATAATAAAAATGAATCATTTAATGGGAAATCAAAAAATAGGTTAATTAATAAGAATTTAGGGTTGATATTAAATACAAATGTCTTTAAGAAATAAAATAAAAATGGAGATAAAAATCCTAATAAAGATGTTCTGAAATAGTCTTGTCCATTTGGTGTAAACATATTTGGATCATCATATTCTGTGGGTAATAAATATGATATTCCATATATTAAGACAAATATACTAACTATTATACATATCAATATTGCAACAATTGAGGATCGGTTTGAACAAAATAATGGCATAAAATAGGGTGCGACATGGTCTATTCGAGCCATCTTTTGAATTCTATTTTTTGTTTCCTAGGTATTTTGATGTTGTAAATGAATTTTTCACTCTTCTTGACAAACAGATATGATATATACTTATTTCATTTGGTATAATTGAATGTGTTTTTCAAGAGATTCTCTCGTGATATGTAAATATCATATTATTTCGTTATATCAAAGATTAATTTTCTTTGTTAATCATCAGATTCGTATCAGGAGCGACGGAAAGTCCTTTAAGGAAGAGATGAAGGCAAAAAAAAAAAATACTGACTAAATCGAATAACTGATATGAGAAATAAAATAACAAGTTCTCCGACTAGATCAAATTGATTCAATTTATATCAATTGTCTTCAATTTAAAAGAAAAAAGTTTTATATAAACTTTCAAATACTTGGATATACATGTACATATGTATAATTTTAATGAATGATTAAGTTAGAAGGTTATAACGATACAGAGAAAAATTATGTAATTAAAGATTTTTATATTTTAATTGTTAATTTGTTTAATCGAATAGACCGAAACCCATGTCGTCATCGGATTCTTCAGCAGCTTCTTCTTCAGCGGCTTCACCAGCAGCTTCACCAGAGGCGGCAGCGGCACCACCAGCAGCGGCAGCACCACCGACAGCTGGACCAGCAGCGTGGAAACCAGATAGGATCTCCTTTAGGTCCTTACCTTCTAGAGCCTTAGAGTAGACATCAGCCCAGACCTTTACAAAATGAAAATAGGATTTAACCGGAGAAAACAATATATAAATAAAAACGCAGCATAAAAATGTACATTTATATTATATTTCTCGAAGTTAAATTATTCTTCTTGTTAGTAAAATTATTAAAATTATTGTGTTGTGTGTCATTCCAATTATATATATATACTTTTGAAGGTGGGAAGGGATCATTTATTTGCAAAAACATGAGGGGATTGTACATTGTTTTAACGATGTTCATAATAAAAAATAAATTATGCATTCTATATCCCAGCAGAACCATAATAGTATTCAATCAAAAACTGCTTAAAACATCAACTTTTTTTCCAATACGTTTGAGTTGTCTTACTGGAAGCGATAAATTTATGAGTTCGTATAATTAGTAAAACAAATTATTCAAATATCACAATAAATTCACATTCATAAAATGGTAGTTATCTATATTCTATTAAAAAGTTCAATGAATAGGTTCCACAATTTCATAACCATAATTATATTTTTTCTGTTCAAAAGTTCGTTCGTAATCGGGGGTTCTTTTTTTATTCTATTAAATGATAATACTGTTCAATGGAATATATACATGGAATGACACAAATTTCTAATGTTCGATATGGATTTCTGTTTAACATACGTTTTCAACGTTGGCACCGGCAGCCTTGGTGACAGCTAGTAAGTTGTCAGCAGAGATTTCAACACCAGCATCGGCTAGGATGAAGGCAGCGTATGAGATGATAGCGTCAGACATTGTTATTATATGATTTTTTTGCTTACAGCTCCTTTAAATGTTAAAATTCAATTAAAACTTGTTTTAAGTATTAAAAGTTTCACCTCTTCTTTAACTATTAACTATGTAAATAATATTATCTATGTGATTCAACCTTGCACATAGTAAAATTGGTGATATTTTAGAAAGATTGATATTAATTAGGTGGTGATAGAGCCGAGAGGGAGATTAATTTCTTTAGTCTGCTACGGCATATTCTCTCTACTTGGGAGGTTGAACCGCACTTCCCGAAATCATCCCAAAAAAATTAAAAAAAAAATAAAACAATTTCATGGACAGAAACGACGAATGTGCGCATGTCTGGGTTGTTCATTAAAATGTTTGGGTGTTAGACAGTCACGAAAAAAATAAACATATTTTATTTTCCAAAAAGTTAACCTCTGACGCACGTCAATATAAACAATTCTAAATGAAATGCATAATATCCTCCAACAGTTAGATTCAATTAAGATTAACCAGTATAAAAATAACAGTTAGACCCTTCTTGTATAATTTTCAAGAATTTCAACAATTTACGAGGCTAGATAGTTATATACTGAAGAAGTGTAATGAAATGATGAATATATCTTTAAAAAGGGGCGGAATATATGTATCGATGGTAATAATATATATGTAAATAGAAAACAAAGCAAAAAAGTGAGAAATCGAACTTGACTATCAATAGAAGTAACATAATTTAATAACAACTAAAAAGGAGTACGAAAATTCTCAATTTATATGATTTCATCTTCCGTTGTGATGAATTATTTATTTTGTTTGGAATATTAAGTGAACAACATAAAATTATCTAATTGTTTATTCATGTAACTTGTTTAGAGTATTTTCCATATGATCTAATTTCTCTCTTTGTTCTTTTAATTGTTTTTTCAAAGTCTTTAACAATTCCTTTTCATGTTGTTTCACATAATAATCTTCATTAACTTTTTCTCTTTTTGTGAAGCTGTCACCAGAACCCATAGGTCTCTGAGAACCGACAGAACCATCTGAATAAAATCTACAGGATAATAGACCTCTATTAATTTTAATTGAACGAGTCACTAGAGAACGAGAGAGCATTTTGTTTTTGTTTTCTATATGATGTTCTTTTATTTATGTTTCTTTTGGAGTGATTTCTTTTTATGTAATGAAGAAATGGCGATGAATGTTTTTTTTTAAAAACGTTAGAATATACAGACCTACTGTTTCTGTATATATATATATTTATATGTATATATTTGAATAATTCAATCACTAAGATGTACCCTCTTCTTCTTCTTATTTATTGCTATATCTAGTTGATTTTATCTTTTATCAAATAAAAATTGCTAAACCCACAGCAAACTTTTGTCAAAGGTGTCTTCGAGATGTTGTTGTCTCTTCCCTATAGTTTTCCAACCAATTAGCCAGGTTCTCTCTCCACACAATAAGAATAACAAATTCGATGAATGCTTCATTAGTAGAACTGTATTACTGGCTGTTAACTAAATAAAATTAAAATCATTTTTTTTGTTTTGCCCCAAAATAATTGCCGGACTTTTCGTACTTTGTACGTGAGCTTCTTAGTAAAAAATAAAGGGTTTCGTATTTCAATAACACCGCGAGAGCAATTGCTCTGATTTTTCTATTTTGTATGGAAATGTCACTATTTATTGAAATAACGGCTTGTGATTGGTCCATCGCATTTTTTTTTTTTTATTATATTTCAATTCTACTACTTAATTCAATACTAGAAGAAACATTGAGATGGTTGGTATAATACTTTAAAGGTGAGAAAAATAGTTTCAGCGGTCAGTCTTTGCTTTTTAAAAGAGCAATCGATAACAGTAATGTACTTAAAGTTATGTAGTACAAGCCACAGGTAAAAAGTGCGTTTTTATTTCTTTAATGTTTGAAATTGTTTTTGATATTCGATGTTCTTATAATTATATAATGTTTAAAAGATAAATGGGGAATTTATATGTATGATATTGAAAGAAATAGCGGTTCAACTAATTGAATTAGTCTGACGATGTCTTGGCTTTCTTAGCTGGTGGTTCACTGTCAAGTTTTAAAGATGACTGACTTGGAGAGGTAGCTAAAGCTTTTCCTCTCAGCATTGGTGTTGTAACTTCTTGATGGAAATCTTTAATAATAGAATCTACGTCATCAATATTTAAAGGTCTGATATCACCCATCTTCTTAATCTTAGCAGTAACTTCTTTGACTTGATCATCTGTCAGACTTAAATTCAATTGGTCTACTCTTGATTTAATTGCATTCCAACCTGTCAACCTGTTAGCAAAATGAATATATCTCTTCATACCAAAATCTTGTGGATCTAGAATTTCATATGTAGATGGATTTGCAAGGATAGCCTTGGCATGAATACCTGCTTTATGAGTGAAAGCGCAAAATCCAGTAATTGGATTATTGAATGGAATGTTAACTTCAACAGCTTCAGAGACTAAATTTTCAATGTCTCTGATCTTGTGTAACTTATACTTAGATTTGACATATTCTGGTGCAGCAACAATCATCCGAGCCATTAAACCACCCAATGGGGTAATACCATTTCTTTCACCAATACCTAAAACACAAACATCAATTAATTTGGCGCCACCTTCTAATGCACAATAAGCATTTGCAATGGCACAACCCGTATCATTATGTAAATGACACTCAATATCACAAGAAACAACACTTCTTAAAGTTCTAACCAATTCATAAACTTGTCTTGGATTAGCACAACCAACAGTATCAGCAATACCAATTCTGTTAACACCAATCTTATCCACAGTCTTATATATATTTAATAGATCGACTAGATCACTTCTAAAGGAATCTTCGGAAGAAAATCTAATTTCAATACCTTTTGATTTAACGAATTCTATAACCTCGACAGCACTCTTTGCGATATAATTCATATCTTTACCATGAGAATATTGTCTTAAAAATTTAGAAGTACCAATGACAACATCGACACCATCAACACCAGTCTCTACCGCAACTCTAGCATCATCCATATGACATCTAATATGAGTTAAAATTTTTGCCTTTAAACCTAATTTACAAATAGCTTCACAATCCTTACGAGATTGTTCAGAAGCAACAGGAGAAGTTAATTCAATATAATCAACACCAAAATCATCTAAAGCTTTAGCAATTTCAATTTTTTTTTCAGTGTCAAAGAAAGCATTAGCAAACTGTTCACCTTCTCTCAATGTAGAATCAATCAATTGAAAATTATTGACATTGGATAGGAAATCAGCAGCGTGGGATGCATATGGGTTTTTCTTAACTGTTTCAGTATTAGAAGTAGTAGTATTATTACTAGTAGTCTCGGACATTGTAAATATATATCGGATTTAAAATAACTAAATTAATGTAAGTATGATACTTAATTTATTTTTGGTTCTTACAACTAATTTAAAAGCCAAACAAAAAATTATTTTATAAAATTAATAGAATCAAGAATTTCAGACATTAAGTAAATAACGAATACACTAGTGTATATATATATAAATAATTGATTTAGTTTTGCAATTGAAATTTTTCAATTAATTGGAAGGAAAAAACTTACAAAGAAAAAGAAACCCCATTATTATTAAAGCATCTTACCTATTATGACACATACATAGTATTGTAATAATAATTAGTAATATCGCCCATGGCAAGTTCACTTAAAAATTTGATTTCCGACTATTAGAACATACTGTTAATAGCTCATTTCTCTTAATTGTTTTCATATTTCACGTACTTACCGGTACGCACCTGTAAATATGTTTTCCCAATAAATGAATTATTTTAAGAATGAAAAAATTACGTGTGACTATCACCAAATCGGCAACTTAGAACAAGATGGGATCCAGTATTAATCGGTGGATGAGGATACCCTTTATTGAATATAGTTGGATCGAAATGTTTTAGTACAAGCAAAACAACAACTGTTATGCTTGTATAATTACTTAGCTACAGAATACTATTCTTATTTTATTCAGGTTTATTTAGCATGGAATAACTGAGTCATCTTGTAGTGTGGTTATAGCTATACGTGTATTTTTTTCAATCTTTTCTCTATGATTGTTCCGCACACATATTGTTAAGAGGTAGTTATAATTTTTCAGTTTTTTGACGGATTCCGCGAAAAATGAAAAAACAACAATTCCGCTGGAATTAAGGAATATTGAAAATGGGTGCGAACGAAGATGTGAAAGGGGAAGGGTACACAACTCAAACATATCGGTGCATATGTAAGAATACTCACTCTTTGCATCGCAACTTATTTTTCCCGTTGGAAAAATCAAATGACTTAAGAGATGTATTAAAAGATTCAATTGTCAACATTTTTTTTTGGATGGGAAACCAGCCTAAATTTTTAAAATTTAAATTAATAATCAAATTCATTTGATATGTGAAACTACGTAAAAATTCATATTTGAAGCATTGAGACATCCTTGAGAATGCGAAGGATCGTCTTAGATGATCGACTGATCGATCATTGAGCTAATTTATAAAGTTAGATTGTATTCTCGTCCTCGAATATCTGTCATCTGTTTTTAAAATTAATTTAGGTGAGATAATAGGTAGACAATAGCTAATATGTGCATAAACTTAACGCATTTACTCTATTGGTGGCAAGGTGCTACCTCATTGAAGCATATATTAAGCCTAGGTGACCCCATATCTTATATGTTCTAGCAAGGAAAGAAAGACAATTGGGCAGTAAATATGGATAGATCTAAATAATGGGCCTAGGTAAAGATAGCGACAACTCAATAATTATTTAATGCTTCTATACAGTAAACAAGTGAATTTTCACTTTGACGACAGTAAATATATATATTAATGTGTGTCGCTAAATATATTTTCTATTTGTTGAAATAAGTTGGCTGAACGGCGCTCATGCAGGAACTTTATGCTTATATAAATTTGATTAGCGAAAAAAAATATTGCTCCAAAAATCACTAACCCAAAGAAAGCAGCGGAGAAATAGAAACATTTAAATTTTAGAAGCAAGGCTAAGTGAAGCCGAAAAGCGAGTTAATAAGTGAAGTTCAATGTGGGGGGTGAAAAATGCATTGAGATGATGATGTATACCATAAGATACTATTATTTATATGAGAACGTTACCATTCATTCTAGCAATAAAAGCGAGTTGGTAAACATAGATTTTAACATAAAGTATCCCGTACTTTCTCATAGCATTCACTATTTCAATAAAGACTGAATAAAACAATATTTATAAGTGCACCAAATTCTCGGAGATTATCGGTTTCAATAATGTTGACAAGGAGATTTGCCGGAAATGTGGCAAATATTGCAACAAAGGGTTTATCATTAGAAAGATATTTAAATGATCCTTTAAAACTAGTTATAATACCAATCAATAAAGAAAAATTATTTGTTTATTGTAAACATCATGATAGCTTACAAAATAAGAAATCGAGGATTCAAACAACGGAAAAATGGGTAGTAAACAAGTTTACTTATTTATGGCTTAAATTAGCAAATTCTCCAAAATCTTATAATCAAAAAATTGTTAAATGGGTTAATAAGACAATAGATAAGATTCCATGGCCTGAAGCCTCATTATTGACAATTCCTGGAGAAAGTTATATATTGAAACGATTATTACATGATGAAAATCAATCCATACAACAATCAACACCAACGCATGTCACAAAGAATGAATATAAAAATTTAATACCAAAACCAAGAATTCAACCAATTAACGTATATTTCCCATTAACACATGCATGGAAATCCGATTCAATATTGAAAGAACTAAATGAATTTTCTGAAATAGGGATAAAAAATTATAAAAGGAGAACGCTAGTATATATATCATTGATTCCATTCACTTTACCGATCGCATTACTTCCGATTGTACCCAATATCCCTGGATTTTATTTAGCCTACAGATCATATTGTAGTTATAAAGCATATATCGGTGCAAAACATTTGAAATCTCTACTGGATCATGAAACCAAATTTAAAGGGGACAATAGAATCAAATTGTGTGAATTACCAGATTATACAAGCTTGATCAATAATAAAGCGGATCTAAATGAATCGACGGTAGATGCGGTGGTAGAATTATTAGATATAAAGGAGATTCGTAACGTTCTATTGAAATCTGTCAGACAAGAGGTTACTAAACGGTCATAGCTAAGTCGAATAGTGTACTGATATCAGTACCACAGCGTATTGACATTCTGATGCATTTGAATATAAGCACACCATTTTTTCATTTTGATGACTGCAACATCCGTACATGTTTTTAATAATAGAACACCCGTACATACCCGCATATACATAGATATTATTTATTTAAATTTACGACCCTTTACTTTTTTTCTGAAAAATTGTTCTCTTTTTCGCTTCTTCGAATAAACTAAATTTGTGTAATCTATAATTTTCAAGTCACGTAAGAAAATACCGTAGGATGAAGCTATAATATATTTTATTTTCGAAGTCCCTTTCTTCACTTTTCTCTCCATTTTGTCTTCTCTCCCCTTTCTGATTGAACTGAATCCTCTTATAAATTATATGTGAATTTGTCAATTCTTGATTAGTGCTACATAAGTTAATTAATAGCTTAAAACATATATTTTAAAGGTTCTTTTAATTTCTCATTTTTAATTGTATACATTTTCTTTTCTATTCTTGATCTAAAAGAACCACACTAATCCATAATGAGAGCTAAGTGGAGAAAGAAGAGAACTAGAAGACTTAAGAGAAAGAGACGGAAGGTGAGAGCTAGATCCAAATAAGCGATCGATTGAATAATAACGATCTAGTTTGATTTACTTTTATAGTAAGTCATGACTACCTCGTTTTTTTTATACATTCAATCTTATTTTGATACATCTAGTTCTATAATAAACCAACTGTCAATCCGTTACTCTAAGCTTCTATATGTGTATGACTTTATACGTTTTTATATATATTAAAGTATAGTTTAATAAATTAACAATTTTCGCTTAAAATAATCATACTATAGTATGAGAGTATGTGGTTTTTGTATATCATTTCAATTATATACTAATTGCTATTGTTATCATCATTACTGTTAGCAGTAGGAGAACTGTCACGTAACTGCAAGCATGGGAACACTTCTGTTAGATTATTGCAAGTTATACAGTCGTGAAACACATCTTTTTCAACAGAACCTACATTGTTTTGAACCAAATTACAGTACTCTCTGTTAGTATCAATAGCAATATTTTCGTTATTAGTTTGCATAGTTGCCTCTAAATAGTTAACTGGTATGGGGTTATTGTAATATAATTCATATAAAGCTCTCTCTGTAGCACCTAATGGGTGGGTCATGTACTGTACTTGATTTGTTTCCCCTGTGATCTCTTGCGGTTTTAGCCGTGCGGCGCGAGGATAGATAATGGGAGTCGCTATCATATCTGAATTATTATTATCGCTTGTTGGAAGCATAAAGGATAGACCATCCTGATTAAATGATATGTTGTCATCTAACCCATCACCATTATTATCAAGATATTTGTTTGAATCTTTATCATACACCCATCTTATAAAATTTTGAATAACACTCCCCTTACTCTGAATTGAATTATCTTCTTTCACTCTATAAAAAGAAAAATGAGGTTTTTCTGTGTTCAGCTTTGAATTTTTAGTTCTTTTTGTACCGTTAGGGTCTCCTGTGAGTAATTGGTATGGATGTGTTCCATCAATTGCCATGATTGTACCTCTATGTGACGAAACTGATGGTTTCCATCTGATTAAAGATTCTTCCATTCGCTCCACAAATTTATTTTCTAATCGATGGCTTCTCTTATCTTGTTGAGCAATAACTAATTCTCTAAAAGTAGGAATATCTATTCCAGGAACACTCTCCGATCTTGTAGTCTCCATTGTAAGTATATTTAAGAATATCTATTATAACTTATTATTTTGAGGTTGCTTCCTTGTTGTTTGTCTGAGACAAGTTTTTGATATAAAATTCCTCTCAAAATTATAAATAAATGACAATATTAAGGTACAATGTGATACTGTGGTTTCGTAATTCAAGTAACCTTGTCACTACATATCAATTATTTATTTAAAATTTTGTGACGTTTTGCTGGAATTTTTTGAATTGTGAGACATTGTTGAAAAAATTTACGTTTAGCTGGAATGTGGCAACTCTTTGGGAAGTAAATTATAGTAAACAAATAAAGAAATAAACATGGTATAGAGTCGAACTATTAAAAAAAAAGATATATGCATATTATTAATAATTATTTGAGTTATAAACTATTTATTAGGATAACCGTTTCCTGACGGAGTCCTATTGTCATTACTATAATTTTTTCCTTTTGGTTGGTTCTTGTTTAAGACAGGTGGTGGTACATTGTATGAAGGACCATTATATGGAACTCCGTAACCATTCATTGGGATATTATACCCATTGTAAAAACCTGTTCCTTGTTGAGGTTGGTAATTCATAAATGGAACAGATTTTTGAAAATCATAACCATTGAGTGGAGGCGAAAACCTCATCTGTGGTATATATTGTTGGTATGTCTGCCCCATTGGAAGTGTTGGATACTCACCATATACCGGGTAAGATGGATAAACAGGGTTCGATGGAATCATATTAGAATATCCATCTTCTTGTTTTAAATTATAATTGTTGTACCTAGGATTTTTTAAATCCTTATTTTGCTTGGTAGATTTTGGTTTATAATATCGCGGTGAATCATCGTCACTTATCTTGGGTATGGAACCCTCTATTTGGCCCCATATATGCTCTTCAATATCCCTCTCATTCTTTTTTTCTTTAAAACTTTGATTTTCTGCTTTCAAATTTATATCATCATCCTCAGAATCTTCATTATGGTAATTCACATCTTTATTATCATTAAATATCTTCAGTTTTGTTTCTTCGTATTCTTTTTCCTTTCGAAGTCGTTGTTCTTCGAGGCTGTCAATTGAGTCCTGACTTAAATTATTTGGAGAGATTACCATTGCTTCTTGCTTCTGAATAGTTGGGATACTTGGTTTATCCTTTTCATTTTCTAAATTAGATGTAAGCTTGCCACTTCTTTTCAAAAGTTTCACCTTCTTATTCTTAAGAATCGTGGTTTTCGATGGTAATTGTTTATTAAAACCATCAGGATCATTCAGTGTAATTTTCTCTAAAGTTGAGGATATTAGAACCGTACTATAATCTTCGAGTTTCAAATCTTTAAGTAACGGAAGTTTCAATGTCATTGGTGCAATGGTATCTTTGTAAAGCACAATAGCAGGCGTGTCATCTTTTCGCAACACAGTATGCTTCAACTCATGATAATCTGCAACTTTGTAAGATAAGAATCTATGATATGAGTTCATTGTCTCGAGGTTTACAGTTCTGGCGTCCGAATTAATAAATTTGACAATGTTGCTTTCTAACTCTGTAATAAACTTTCGATCCAGTGGTCTAGTAAACAAAGCAATTATGAGAGCCTTCGTTATACCATTAACACAATCATCAGAATCATTTGAACATGGTTGACTATTTTTAATTTGTGCACAGTCCAGTTGGGTAGTATCACAATTGGACTCGATTATGTTGCTCATATTGATCTAGTAGTTCCTCCACTTTATCAAATAATTGTTATTAAAACTTTAGCAAAAACAAAATTCTTCCTTATATTAAAGTAGGAATTCCAGGAAACGAGGGAACTATAAGCTGTTGCAACTTCTCGATGTTATTATTCAGTAACAATTATCTCTTCTTTTCGAATCCTGAGGCCATATGCACATATAATTTGTATATTTTTCTTCAACTTCTTAAGCCTTCTTCCGATATCAAAAGTGCCCGAGCGAACTCACGTTGAGATTATAAATGACACACATTGAAATAGTTACTATGATATAACACAGAGAAGGTAACATATCCACGAAGCTGTTCTTTACAAATTTACCATCCTAGAGAAGATCTTTTATAAGAGAAAACTCAGTTAAAATCAAATTTAATGACTTCCAATATATTAGCAGATATCTTCCAGATTTCAATCGACCCACAGAGTATTCCAAAGGGTTACTACCTGGTAAATATAACAACAGAAGAAAGTGGTCAATCTTTAGACATTGAAAATATTGATTCAGCTCTTATATACCAATTAACTGAAAACGAATATTTGGAGCAACCTTTCAGTTATTTAAACGAATGTTTTCTACGTTGTCAAAGGCAAAAACGATTGAACAAAAATAATTCTAATTTGGAATCAGTATTCAAAGAAATTGATAGACTTGTAATAGGCTATGGTTTGGTAGCATTCCAAATTCAAGAATTTGCCCTAAATGGTAATATTAGCACCTATATTTCTCACATACTTCTACGCTTCGACTCCTATTCAGATTTTCTATCACAGATAATACAAAGGGCAATAATCGAAGATTCTTTGACTGATCTACTAAATAGCTTTTTCCCAACCCTGCTTCAGTATGTCAACAGACCAAATGCTCTGTTTGATCTAAACGATTCTGTTAACTACAACAACACATTATCAGTGTTTGAATTATTCGTTAATTTTAAGCAAGTGGCAAGTATTTTTACCTCAACAGATGGGTTCCTACCGGATCACGAGCTCTTACCCAACGAATATGAAAAGAAAACAATATTGGGTCCAATTTTGACCCTTTCTCCCTTAAATATCAATGTGGCGTTGAAGAATTATGGTGAGGTAATGGAGCGTTCCACTACACATACAAATATGATTCACGAATCTTTACAAGCAGAGCATAAAGTTGTTCTCGACAGACTGTTCTTCATCTGTGACAAAATTATAAGAGGTTCTGTGGAATCACGTACAGATATGGTATCTTACTGGGGTCAAATCGTCAACAAGAATCATTTAAGGAGAGCAGATCATGCAGCTCAGAATAAATTAGCATCAAATGCATTCATGTCCAATATTACATTAATTTTAATCAAATTTTCACAACCCTTTTTGGATGTATCGTTTAAGAAGATTGACAAAATTGATGTAAACTTTTTCAACACTTTAAATCTGTTCATCGATCTTTCAAATGAAACTCGTCTAAATTCTGACTTTAAGGAAGCTGATAAATTCTACGATGATCACAGAAATGATGTTAAACCAAATTTTATCTCTGACTGTTTCTTTCTAACTTTGACTTACTTACATTACGGTATTGGTGGTACATTACTCTACGACGAAAAGATTACTCCTCAAATCAAAAGAATAAAAGAAGAAATTGAAAAAGTTAAAACTTTTGCCTCTTCTAATTCTCTTTTGTCTAACTTTGTTGGTGCCAAGTTAAAACAACTTGAAAAGACACTTTCGTACACAAAAGCATTAAAAGATGCCCTCAAAGGCTTCTTTTCTAATAAATCTTTACAATTAGAAGTTTTTGATTTTATATGTGGAGCCTCAACTTTTTTATTAAGGGTAATTGACCCTGATCATGAATTTCCTTTCAAGACAATTGAATTACCACTAATTCCAGATCAAGTAGGTGTCGAGAATGTCGACAATGCTGATTATTTAAGGGTACATGCTCCTGTGCCATTTAAGTATTACCCAGAATTCGTTGTGGAAGGTCCAATCAACTATTCATTATACATATCACGTTATGGCAATTCTCCAATATTTAGAAATCCTAGGTTACAATCGTTTGTTGAATTAGGGACTACTATTTTACGTTGCCCAGAATTGGTGTCTAACCCGCACTTGAAAGGTAAGTTAGTTCAGTTATTTAGTGTTGGTGCAATGCCATTGACTGATAACTCACCCGGTTTTATGATGAAGATTTTTGAAGAAAACACCCTGGTGAACAAGAACTTATTATATGCACTACTTGATTTTTATGTTATTGTCGAAAAAACTGGTTCCTCATCTCAATTTTATGATAAATTTAATAGCAGATATAGCATATCCATCATTTTAGAAGAAATGTACAACAAAATTCCAATTTATAAGAATCAACTAATATGGCAATCACAAAAGAATCCTGATTTCTTTATTAGATTTATTGCACGTATGTTAAATGATTTAACGTTTTTATTAGATGAAGGTCTGAGTAATTTATCTGAAGTACATACAATTGGTAATCAACTGAACGATCCAAATCTCATAAATCAACAACAGGACACATCTGATGAATCAACAAATGATTTACAATCAAGATATCAAGCAGCTCAAAGACAGGCCAAATCATCATGTGGGTTAGCTGCCAAATCGATGACTTTGTTTGAAATATATACTAAGGATATTCCTCAGTCTTTCGTCACGGCAGAAGTTGTGGATAGACTTGCTAGTATGTTAAATTATAATCTTGAATCCCTTGTTGGTCCAAAATGTGGTAATCTAAGAGTTAAAGACCCTGAACAATATTCATTTAATCCAAAGGAGTTACTGAAAGCATTATGCTCCATTTACATTAATTTAGCCAATGAGGACGATTTTGTGAAGGCTGTTGCAAGAGATACCAGATCATTCAATGTTGACTTTTTCAAGAGAGCAATTGATATCCTAGGTAGAAGGACAGGCCTTGTATCTGATGAATTTTGTAACAAACTCCTTGAATTTGTAGACCAAGCGGAGAAGACTAGAAAGGAAGAGGAAGAAGAGGATATTGAGTATGAAGATGCTCCTGATGAATTCCTAGATCCGTTAATGTATACTATAATGAAGGATCCTGTTACATTACCCACCTCAAAAGTTAACATTGATAGAAGTACAATTAAAGCACATCTATTAAGTGATTCGACAGATCCATTCAATAGAACTCCATTACGGTTAGAGGAAGTTATCCCCAACGATGAATTGAAACAACGTATTCTAGAATGGAAGGCAAGTAAAAAAGCTCAAAAATAATTTAGCCATTTATTATTTCAGCAATGTATGTAAAGTCTTAGTTAATGTATTAAATGTTTAATGATATTTTATACTTCACAGTTCAAAAGGTTATTAATTTCATATTTATATATATAATGGAACTTCTTTTTAGTCTATTTAAGAGAAGATGATACTGATAGTATTCTATTAAGGAAATAAAAAAGGATGTGTTATACAAAATTTAAAAAAATATATATAAATATTAAGTTTGTTGTAAAAGATTATATCCTTGTTTAAGCCTTGATAGCGTACTTTCTTTGTGGGAAAGCAACTTGCTTCTTCTTTTGCTTTTCAGTGGTTCTGGAAGCTTCGAATTTGGTTAGAGCTCTTCTTAGGGCTCTAGTCTTCTTAGCTCTTAGGTCCTTTGGTTGGTACTTCTTACCCTTGTATAGTTCTCTGACAGCAGCTCTTTGTTGTTCGTTGATGATGGTTAGGACACGAGCAATGTTCTTTCTGACAGTGTTGATCTTTGGTAGAGATGGCTTAGATAGCTTAGCGACCTTTAGCTCAGCTAATTCCTTCTTTAGGTCTAGCAATTGAGATTCTAGTTGTTCCTTAGATTTGGTTCTTAGTTCGTAACTCTTAACACCGGCCTATAATAAAAAAACACATAAAATTAAAATTGATAAATTAATGACATTAATAGTAAAGTTTGTCTTCATTGAGAGTATCCTTACAAACAGAGGAAAAGAAGTCCCAGTTATAAGACGAAACAGAACTGAAAGTAACGCATAATGACATTATTTAAACAAATTTTTTTTTTAATTAATAGTTAGTAAAAATATATTCGTTGGATTTTCATAGTTATGAAGACTATTATTTTCGTAAAAACTTCTATTATTAATCTATAATCTGGACAGTTCTTGTTGTTCCACTGGATAGTTCTCATGTTATTTTGCAATCAAAAAAGAAAAATCCTACACCAATAACCATAATATCATCTTGAAGTTTCTGCTTTTATCCTTGTCTAGTTCATTTTTAACATACCATTTTGAATCGATAATTTGTTGTACGTTTTCTTTTAAAATAACAACTTCTAAAATATAAAATATATTAAATAAACACTTTAAGTATATATATACTAATTAATTATGCAATCAATTAAAGCTTTGAACTAATTTTTCACTATCATGAAAAGAAACTTTGACCACTATGCATATTGTTTCTCTCAATAAATTCTCAGTTAGCGCATCGTTGTTTCCATTTCGGTTCACGAAGTGAAAAAAAAAAGTTGAAAAAATTTTTGGTGTAAAATGTCAGCTCTCCAAGTTTATTTCTCGGAGCGGTGACCGGGCAATTAAATTTGGAAAACGTTTGAGAAAATTTCATACTATCATTTTAACGGAAAATTAGAGATGTATGGGTGTGAAATATTGTAGGTGCACGGGTGCAAAGTACAATGGTAGTCTCATTTAGAATGTCCAGAAGATGACTGTTGCAATTGTTCTAAGAATTGATATTAACCTACTGTTAGAAACTATAGGGATGGTAGTGACGATCTAATCAGACCTACTATGTCTTGTAATAATGCAATTGATGATAAATTTACACGAGGTTTTTTTTAATTTAACTAAAATCATGCCTAATATGCTTATAATATACATACATATTAATATAAATAATAGTGTAGCAGCTTAGTCCGCTAACAAATTTACTTGTTTACGAAACATATGTATATCTGCACATATGCATATTTATTACGGAAATGTGAAACTATCTTCCAATGGAGCGGAGTAACTGTAGCTAGTCATAATATTCGAGTCTCAAGAAACAATTTACATTTGTCTTCTTAAAATATTAGTCTGTTGCATTTTTATCAATCAATATTGCGTAATAGGTCCCATCAACTACAATTCTTCTATTAATAATGATGATTACCGGAGGAGGTTTCATATATAAACTTTACAAACATGATAAAATTTCTTTATTTAATTTTATTTGAGAGAAGAAAGTGGAGGTAATAATAGTAGTAATAATAGTAATAATAATAATATATATATAGTATCATAAAAGTTACGCGATCATGATTGGTTCTTCAAGTTGTTACTCAACCATTCTAGACCTTCATATAGACCTTCACCAGAGGTAGCACAAGTAGATTGAATAAACCAAGGACGGTTCTTGATAGCATGTAAACCTAACTTTTCAGTTATTTCAGCAGCAGACATAGCTTCTGGTAAATCCTGTTTGTTAGCAAATACTAACCAAACGGCATTTCTCAATTCATCTTCATTCAACATTCTTTGCATAACTTCTCTAGCTTCACCAATACGGGATCTATCATTGGAGTCAACAACAAAAATAACACCTTCAGTGTTTCTGTAATAATGTCTCCATAAAGATCTGATTCTATCTTGTCCACCGACATCCCAAACTGTGAAGGAAATGTTCTTGTATTGGACAGTTTCAACATTGAAACCAATGGTTGGAATGGTAGTAATAACTTCACCAAGCTTCAATTTGTACAGGACGGTAGTCTTACCAGCACCATCAAGACCAACCATCAGGATACGCATTTCCCTATTACCGAATAGGTTACTAAACAACTTGGAGGCGAATAGACCCATTTTTCTTTTCTTTCTCTTTTTTTCTTTTTTAAATGCAACACTTAAGGTATGATTGTCTTTTAAAGAGAGACTCTTCTATGCTTAACTTATATAAGATTATGAATAAGTAAAATATAAACAGGTAACTAACAAATTCAATGTTAAATACCGTAAAGAAACCCCTGTTTAAGAATTACAAGAATGAATCAAAAACAACAACAATATTAAGTGTGTTATGTGTATAACGTACATGTATCGAAAACATCTATCAAATTTCCATTAATTATCGCACCTCCAGCCATTTTTTCTCTTTCCGTTCCTCACTTTATTTATTTTTTTTTTCTTCCCACGAAAACTACGCCAATTTTTATTTATTTTTTGCATTTTGATTGAGAAGAAACGTCAGTATAAGTGAAGGAGGTTAAAGAACCACCAAAACAGACAAGTTTTGGGGGTTTACCTTTTAACGATAATATATACTAGTAATTGGCCATATTCTTTTCTTGAAAACGTATACAACCCGTCAAGATGCTTTACTGTATGGCAAATTGTGTCATGCAACTTGCCTTTATTCGATCCCTTTACGTGTCAAAAAAACCGTAAATAATGATAAATAGTAATGATCTAATAATAAATAGACCACGATCATGTATATAGATATATTCGTAATTTAAATATTAGTAGTGTTTTTCTTTTACTTAAGTAGCTAGGATGTATATCATTTGTTAGGAGTGGACTAATGTTTCAAACGATACACTCTATGTATCTATCTAATATATTACATATCGATATAGCAAAAAATAATAGTAGTAATGACGGCAATGTATATGGAAATGATTTCTCTGGTGGGTTTCCAAATCGAAGAGATTTAGACTGGGTATACGAGAAAACTAAAACCAAAAATATGAGTAGCTATGCAAATAATATGTGTGGTGTTTAACCATGCAAAAAAAAAAAATTGGGTTTATAAGAAGAAGAGACAAAAAAAATTATAAGATGAGATGATCAGCAAAAATAGGAAAAAAAAAATGGAACGAAAATTGTAGAAAATGTTGTCTATGAAAGGCAACAAATGGCATGCAAGGATGCACAGTGGGGATAAGTGCAATATTATAAGTAGTTAGAAGTGGGACACAAAAAATTGTATCTCATTACTTACCAACATTAACTTTACAACCAGCATATTGCTTAAGACCTCTGATAAATACGGAGTAAGTCACTTGATTGTTATCTTCCTCCCAGAAAAATTCTGTTAAACGTATATGCCAAGGTGGATAACCTTGTAAATCCAAAGAGGGTCCAAAATATAATAATAAATCAGGTTCTTGTCCAACAAGTTGTTTTAATTCTGTATCTACTAAATCAACCGTAATGTCATTAACATTCAATTCTTTATTGGAACAAAGTTCTGCCATTGTTCTAGTCAAATCAACAATAGTCTCTCTACCGTCTCTATTTGATAATAAAGATACTTCAATGGCAACTTTACTCTTAATATCACCTTTTACTTTTGTATTATATAATATTTTATTAAAATGTGGAATTCTTATGGCAAAATTTGGTACATTTGCAGGTCCATAATAAATAGAAAGATGTTCATAAATGGCATTACGTAATTCATCAGTATTCTTTTGTAAAACACCATCATAGTCATAGAGGGATAAATGTTTAACACCTGCTGATATGGTCCAACATACCAATTCACTAGCATCATTTAATATACCTTTTAAACCACCACCTACATCACCTATTGGTTTCACCTCTAGAATTGCAGCTAATCTTGAAGGAATTTTATTCAATTTCACTACATCTTGTCTTATTAATTGAGGTGTATTTGATGGATTGTATAATAGATCTAATATCTTTAATTTACTTTTATTATATTGTAATTGACAATATCTAAAGATACCAAACATAAAAAATAATACCGCTAGAACAATCTTATAGAAAGTAAATTTAAAATAGTTAGTGTTTTCATTTTTCCAAAAAGTATTAGATGATGATGACGATGCAGCGTTTTTATTATTATTATTATTATCTTGAATAATCTTTGGTGTAGCGTTTATATTACGATTATCAACAAAGATAGAGTTAGAAATAGCATGAACTGTACGTCTCTTAGTGTTTGCACTACCACCTTTCATTCTACTAGCAGCAGGAGGTGGAATATGAAAGTTAGAACCTGTAGAAGTAGTTAAATTAGTTATTTTCTCATCAGTGTCATTTTCAACTATCATTTTTGTATTACCATTTAAATATTTGGTGTCAATAGCTTGAGCTTCCGTCATAGTCATTTTGTGATATTATGTTTTAAAAAAAATTCAACAGAGTCAACAAATAAGAACTACAATTTTTTTATAACCTGCTAAATTTCAAATAGTAATAGTATAATTATCTATCTATATGAATATCGTCAGTCTAGGATCTTAAAAAACTTGGTAGTATGCACTAACAATAATATATATAGATTTAAGTATCTAAAATGGGGAGGGATATAGGGAAAACTCTAGTTATACAAACCACGATCTTCAATATTACCTAGTTAGTTTTAAAAATTCCACCAGTAATACCTTCAACTAAAAACTAGTATATCTATATTTTCCTTTTGTTTCTGTTCTCAAAAATACAAAACGAAGAAAATAACTTTTAATGAAAAACACAGAAAATATATCTTATCTTTATTACTACTAACCACTAGATAATAGTTATACATCTCTGTAAAGATGTGTTTAGTTCTCCGATGACATTTCTTTATATACTTTCCATTTGGGATCGAACACTATTAACGCTTAAGGTACCCACCACCACGCTTCTGACTGTGTGTGGGTGGTGGTCCCTTCTCACTCTGCTCAGAATACCAAAAAACGAAGAGAGTCGCGATTGTCTTTCTATTTCTCGCAGTAAAATTGCTGCAGTTTCGCTGTCCTCTTTCTCTCCTGCTCTGTTTAAGTGCCGCGATCGTAATTGCTACTGGAGGGACAGCTGTCTCTCGGAAGAATGAGCGGAGAAAATGTCAATAAGATACTACCTACAGCTCGTAGAACACGATATGATTTCGTTGACTTCCATCTAATAAGGGAAGGCGATGACCCGGAAGGGAATCGAGAATCACCTCTTTTTACTTGTTTCAAGGTAAATGGGAAAGGTTAAGTTATGAACATGAAGGAATATTGTATTATTATAAAAGTGTATGTATGTTAATGATATGCAATTATGTTGGAAGGGAGTTTCTATTTTTCTTGCTTTAGCCATCAGATATGAATCCAGGAGATTGACTACGATCATAATCATCATCAGCATCATCACTAGAATCAGAAAGAATATCAGGTGGTCCACGACTCATTACATTTAAATTTAATCCATCACCTAGATCAATATATTCTGAGTTGAAATGTTGGGAATGTGTATAACTTTGTGATCTTGCTGATCCACTATTAGTATCATTATACATGATTTGAGCCATATAATCATTGATCTTATCCATTTGTTGACGATCATCACTATAATTTAATGATCCAGGATTATGATCTTCGTTATAATTAGTATTCTCGAGATCTATAGATGATCCAGGAGAAATTGATGGTGGACCTCTCTTATATGTGTTTAAACCAAGCCCATTACCTAGATCTAAATAGTTATTAGCGGGCTTCATGCTATGATTGTTATTATTAATACTCTTTTCTGACGAGATTGGAATATGATTGATGTTTGGTAATGAATCATTATGACCATAATGTTGACTATTACGATCTTTACCTTTAGAATCAGTCATCATATATTTATTAAATGCATTTACTTCAGGTACAGGTCCTCCCCTTAGACTGCTATTCTGTAAAGAACTTTCGTTGAATCCACTAGAATTTAAAGTAGAACTCATTTTCAATTCATAACCTTCTTTACCATAATCTGTATGCATTGAACCACAATTATTCATTCGATAAACAACATTGTTTGTAGACGGTGTACCATTACTACTACCTTGAATAACACTTATTGGATATCCATTATCTAACGTCTCTAATTCTTGCTCAAATGGTAATACTGTTGTAGTTGTTGTAGGTATATAAATCGTTGCACGATCTTCTTCTTCTCTTCTGATTCGTTTATTCCATTTAGTAGATTCCATAGCGGTCTTTGCTTTTTTATATATTTCATCAATGTCTTCTAATACTAAACCTTTAGTTTCATAGACCATAAAATAAACAGCAATAACACCTAATGCATTCAAACTACCCCAAATGAAAAAGATTTTAGATCCAATATTAGAAGTATGATCTTTCACATCAACAATATAAGGTGTAATTAAAGCACAAATAAAATTTACTAACCAATTAGTAGCTGCACAGATAGCAGCACATTTAGCTCTAATACCTAATGGATATAATTCACCTGAAACTACCCAAACAACACCACCCCATGTGGCAGAAAATGCAGCAATAAATACACATATAAATGCAATCATAATCTTATCAGCTGTAATATCATCGGTAGAGACACCCACTATACCAATGATTAAATTAGATATTGTCATAATAATACCACCACACAATAGAATCTTTCTTCTACCAAAATATTCAACGAAAAATAAACCTGGGATATTAAATAATACATTAACAGCATATGTAGTTAATGAAATGATATAACTGTTGTGAACCCCTGTGCTATTGAAAAAATTTACCCCATAATAAAAAATGAAATTAATACCAGAGAATTGTTGAAATGCTTGAATGGCAATTCCTGTAAACATTCTAAGAGTCTGTTGGGGTCTCTTTTCGGTAGTTCTAAAACAATCTAAAACCGAAGATGACTCTACAGAGGCTTCATAATCATATGTAGCCTTAATCTCTACTAATTCTTCCAATAATCCTGAATCATGGACAGGTACACCTCTCAAAAACGAGAGTGATTTAGCTGCACTGGTTAAATCATCCCTAAGGACATAATAACGAGGGGATTCAGGAAGAAACATAACACCGATACCAAGAACTGTATTCCAAATAAATTGAAGACCAATCGGAATCTTATATGATGATGCATCCATTTTGTTCTTAGTTGCTAAAGCAACAGCACACGAAACCAAAAGACCCCATGTAATTGCCCATTGATACATCGAAATTATGGAACCTCTTAAATATCTATTAACAGTTTCTGCTTGATATAATGGAACGACAGCTGACATAATACCAATTCCATATCCTGATATGACTCTTCCAACTGTTAATAAAATTAAATTATTGGAAGCTACTTGCAATGAATTACCAGTGGTAAAAATTATTAAGGAACTAACCACAATCGGCAATTTCCTACCGTGTCTGTCTGCAATGTATGGTGCCGATAAAGCACCAAAAAATGTACCTAATGCTAAAAATGATACCACAATTGATCTTTCTGTGGTACTCAATGAATGATGATTGTGTGTCATATGTGTTAAAACATAAGGCATCTCTGAAATACTATTAATAAGACCTGTATCGTAGCCAAATAAGAATCCAGCCACAGTCACAAATGCACCAACGACAATTGAAACTATATTAGATTGTTGCATTGGTGGTTCTGAAAACATATTTGACAAAGATGATGATGTTCGGTGTAACATTTCACCCATCGGGAGGTCATTATTCTCGATATCATATGCACTATCATCAGGTAATATTTCTTCCACATTATTTTCTATTTCATTATTCTTAACATCTTTATCACTCATATCAACTGGAGCCAATGAATTGACCTGCATATCACTACACTCCACTTGATCTTCTTGACTCGGTTGATCATTTTTATGCCGTATTCTTAATCTACTTCGTACTTTTGTTATTGCATTATTGAGAAGATCCTTCCGCCCATGTAAGCTAGCTATAGTTTCTTGCTCTGTTTCCATTATAGTTTATTCTATTTCCGAATGAAACTCAGCGGGGACCTAATAAATGATCTGGTACTAATTAGTTCTCTGAAATATTTTCTTAAAATCTTATCTTGTGTAATTCTTTTCGGTTTATGTTGCTGCAAAAGTCCTGCTGGCACTTCCTAATAAGATCAGTTTAATCTTAAAAAATGGAGAAGAATTAAAGTAAATCTGTAATCTCAACAACAACTTTCTTCGTATATTGAATATTATGTATTTCGCCTAAATAACTCAAAGACCTAAGTTAAACAGTAATATTTGATCCGTTATTAATAGTTGCTATAACTCACCGATGCACGACTGATAACTACACAATTATTTGCAAATACCCAAAAGAACTATAGGTAATTCTTTACTTCTTCTCTTTCTCTCTCTATTCCTGTTATTCAACAATTATCTATTGTTCTCAGGGTCCCTCACGATATTTGTTTCTTTATATATATTTTATGTATATATGCGTGCACTCCACCCCCCGCAGATCAATAGTTATGTAATGACAATATGGGGAAGGCAAGACACGCATACAATGAAGAACAATACGATAACACGAATTGAAAACTGCTGTAGATAGACAAGTGTTGATTGATATATAGGATTAATAATATTAATACTTTAAGCAAATAAATTAATTTACATGTTTTTACTTTTTCTTTTAATAAGAAGGTAATATCTTATATAAACATATATAACTATGTATATTGTTCTTGTGTTTCTTTTAAATTGTCATTTCATCGAGGATTGATTATCGAATCATGTAGAGGTGGCTTCAGCAATACCAATTAATCTTTTAACACCTGTTAACCAGTTACCACCTTCTTGGGCATGGTTTGTGGCAATATCAACGTGAATCTGTTTAGCTGCTTCATAGTTTTTAGTCTTCAAGAATTCGATTAACTCCTTTAGTTTCTCAATAGTTGGCGCAGTCAACAAATCCCCCTTTTGCAAATGACCAAATAGAATATTTAATCTCTTGTCACAATCCTTCAATTGCTTGGTATAATTTTGTGGTATCAATGGTGTAACACGTTTTAGTTCATCTTGTAAAAAGTCGACAATTGGTTTATATTCTTCTGGCATAACTGTTAGTTCAGATGTAGCAACTGAAGCAATAGGTTGAGATACAGGTGGAGCTGAAGCAACAGGTGCGCTAGTCACCGGAATACCTGCAGCAGGTGGTGCACTACGTTTCATAGAATCTAGGAGATTACTTGCATTTGCAACTGCACCCATATCGTGATTCTTCTTTCTCATGTTTGTTGGAGGTGGACCCACAGGTTGTTGTAACGGAGATTGTGGAACAGATGAACTAGTACCTCTGCTCATTGGTGGGGGTGCGATAAAGGATGATTGTTGTTGTTGTTGTAGACTAGCATTTTGTGGTGGTGCATATGGATTTTGTTGTTGATTGTATGCATTTTGTGGTGGGACGCCGGTAGCATTCATGTTGCTTTGAGGTGGTTCAATACCTCCCATACTCTGACCAACAGTGGGGTTTACTGGTGGAGCGTATGGATTAACCTTTGGTTGGAAGTTTCCTTGTGGAGGTTGGCTCACCATTGGTGGTGCTGTGTTCACAGGTGGTACATTCTCAGAAACCTTTGGTGCATATGGATTAGCCGGAATCTTTGGTAAAGGTGGCGGAGGTGTAGAACTTTCAGGATTACTTAAAGCAGCCTGTGAAGATTTTCTTGAATTTCTACCCATTGGTGGTGGTGCGCTGACAGAAGCGGAAGATGTTACCCTTGACAGTGGTGGAGGTGGCATAGCATTGCTAACAACATGTGGTGATCCACTAGCGGAACCTTGCATCATACCCATAGGTGGTGGTGCTACAGAGACAGCCTTAGCACGACCTTTATCTTTTTCTACCTTCAATGGTAAATCGTTCCAACCATCATTAGCCTTTCTATTCAAATGTGGCGTCTGACCAGATCTCATACCATTCATATTTTGTGGTGGAGGTGGAAGTTCAGATGCTTGAGGGGTGTATGCATTGTTGTTCGAAACAGCTGTTGCTGATGGCGCATAAGGATTTTGTGGTTGAAGGAAAGAGGACACTGGAGCTTGAGTTTGGACTGGAGCCTGAGGCATTGCAATGTTACCCGCAGCAACAGTAGCTGGAGTAACTGGAGCATATCTACCGGCCGGAATGTGCTGTGTGACAGGTGGTTGACCAGGAGTAGTGGTTGTTGGTACTTGATGTTGAACACCGTAACCAGAATGTTGTGGAATAGCGGTAGTCTGAGGCATCTGTTGCTGTTGTAATGGTGGTTGGACACCATACCTAGCTGCTGATTGAGGAGCTTGGTTAACCATTTGTGGGTTAACATAAGCTGTTGTTCTAGCCTTGGATTGTTGCGTTCTACCAGTAACAGTTCTAACTTGTTTACCAGAGGCAATTTGGACACGCTGCTTTTCAGCGGTAACTTCTGGATTTTCACCTGGTAGATTTTCTAAGAAAGCTGCAGCTAAATCGAAATTACCACTGGCAGAAGTTAAGTTGACAAATTCCATGAATTTGGAGATTAATTCTTCACTGTTAATATTCAAATTACCACCTAGGAAACTAGATAGAACAGTGAATTTTTCAATAAATTCAGTTAAACATTCAGAATGAGCTTCGTAAACTGTCTTATTTTGTTCTTTCAAACTATCTTCTACAGATTTGAATTCTTTCAACCAAATTGAAGAGACTTTATCCAGAGAGTTTGCAGCAAAGAAAATAATCAAAGCATCTTGTCTCATATTTTTTTCAACCAATTTATCACCAAGTTTAACCAATAGTTCGTTTCTCTTAGATTCATCAGTCTTGAAATAATTGTATATAGCCTTGACGGTGTATCTCCATTGTTGAATATCCAAATTGTTAATCATATCTTCGATATCTTTCTTTTGAGTAGAATACATGACTCTTGATAAAGATGATTTGTTTGCATACTTGGTGAAATATTTATTTTTCACAATTTCTCTCATTGTAGCATCTGTTGAGTCCAAAGCAATAACTAGAGCCTCAAGTAACATATCATCATCCAAACATTTAGTAATGGCACGATCCAAATTACCTTTAATCAAATCCTTCGAGATGGTAGCTTCTTTACCTTTATTCAATTTGAATTCGCCAGTTGGAGTGAAATCAGTCTCTAATTTATTGAAAAATTTCTCGTCTTCATCTCTTGCTTTTTCATCAGAAACTTCACCATCATTATTAATATTTTCATCTTCATCATCGAATGAAAAGGCATCCTTTAAGAATTCTTCTTTACCATCCATTGATAATTTTTCCAATAGATTCCAATCTTCTTCATTTGTCTTATTAACAGTCTTAACTAATCTAATATTAATTAATGGAACAAAGTCTTTAGTCTTCAATGCATCATTTAGGGCTTCATTAGGTTCTAAACCTTGAATAGTTGGTTTTGTAATGGAGACACCTTTCCCATCTGGTAGAATTTGAACAAGTTTCCCACCAAAGGCCCAATTAGCCGCTGGGGATTGATGTTCACACCATTTTGGAGTTTGTAATTCAAAAATGGTAGGTTTTTGATTTTGACTAGGCTCTTCATTAGATACATTATTCCAAAATTCAGATTCAGATTCTTTAATCTTTTGTTGAGTTTCTTCTTTATCAAAAGTATTTTCTAAATTTTGTAAAGTTTGAACTTGAATCTTTGAATCAAATGAAGCGGATGCAAAAATATCAGGTACAGCAGGTGAAAATTTTGTCTTAAAACACCAATTAGTTCTTGTTGGAAATTGTGACAATAATTTACCTTCTTCAGGATTCCATAATTGTACAGTATTATCACGACCACTTGATAATAATAAACTTGAATCTTGAGAACACCAATCTAAGGATAAAATTCCTTTAGCAAAACCATTATTCATTACTTTTAACGGTTGATTAGCATTTCTTAAATCCCAAGTAACAATAACAGGATCTGTATCACTACCTGATGCAGTCGCAATAGTTGTTGAACTTATTGGGTGCCATTCAACAACTGATAATAAAGGTTTTAACCCTGTTGTTTCAGAAGTATAATTTAAATGTAAAACTTCTTTTTGTACTTTTAAATCCCAAATTGAAGCATATGGACTATTAGCACCTGCAGTTGCAAAGACTCTAGTATTATTTCTATTCCATGCAACAGATTTAATTTCATCCATTGAAGACATCGCAGTACCTGGTGAAGTTGGAGTATATGATTTAGAAGTTTGAGGTGTTGAACATTGATTAACATCCCAAATATACAATTCATTATTATTACCACCTGCAGATAATAATAAATTAGTTTGTTTTGGATTAAATCTTAAAGTACTAACTGGTGAAGTGTGTTTTAAAAGTTTAGTAATTGATGAAACACTTGTCTTTGAATCATTCATTGAAAATAATTCAATATTACCATTATCTAATGCACCAGCAATAAATTTATTATCAAATGACCAATCTAAATCATTAAATTTAGCATCTGTTTTAATTGAACAAACAGGCTTATCGGTTGAAGTTGATAATAAAGACCATAATTCAAGGACACTATCATTAGAAAAATCTGCATCCATTGTACCAGATGCGGTACCAGATGCTAAATAAGGAATCTTATCATGAGACCAAGCAAATGTTGCTGTACGATTATATTCAGCTAATTTAACCATCTTCCTTATATGATTGCCTTCTTGCTAACTCTATAAAACCAATCTTAATCCTCTATCTCTTTTCAAAATGTATAAAGGAAAAAAGACTAACAATTTTGCCTTAATGTAATTAAATCAAATCAAAAAAAAAGGACAACAATTGAAATTTTCAATCAACTTTCTCTGCTTCTTCTGTTAAAAATAAATAATAATAAGAACAGAAATGGATGTGTAAATAACTAAATAAAATAACAATATTTTAATTGGGAAACAACAAGCTAACTATCTATTATTTGTTCAAGATAATTCAATTTTACAAAGTTAAGAGAGAAGTACCTTCAAATGTATATTTATTTTTACATATTTTTGCAATTTCATTTCGCCTTTCGTCCCTCCCTCATTAAAACTTAACGTGTGCAGCGTATGTGGAAAACAAACAAAATTCCCCTTTCACTGTTAAGAAGCCAAAAAGACCCAAAAAATTTCAGTTGAAAAAACAAAAAAACGAAAGTTATCAACGCGTGTCCTCTCCCTTTCTCTGCGTGTCTCGCGTTGAAGGATTAATTTGATGAAGAAGAACCGCGCTTTGTTTATTTTGGTTGACAAATGGTGGAACTTATTCACTGTATGGAAGGTTTCAATGGAGTTATGTATATATATATACTGGTAACAGTTGGATAATAAGCTAGACTTACGTTTGTGTCCTTTTGCTATTATTTACGCTCTGCGTATTGGATTTAATATATTATGGGGAACAGTTCTAAATAAAAGTGGGAATGACACCTTTTGACGCTGTTATGTTAGTAAACTGTCTTATTTTCAGGGTATGTAGAATGTGTGGTTAGTTTCTTTTAATTCTACGTAATTGTCAATCTTGTTTGAGTTCTAGATCTATATTATTGAAGTTGATACTCTATTAACTTGCCTTATGTTATACATATTCAATATTCTATCGTAACGTATATAGACGTATCTGATTATTTTTTGCTGCTATATTTCTTTGATGGCAATTTAATTTGCTCCCGCTTTTATTAGGGTATATGTATTACACACACATGATATATATACATAGATATAGTCAAGAGGCACAGAAACAAGGAGATATTCGAAGATTATTTGATATTAAATATCAATACAATACAAACACAGAGGACTCATTTAACAATATCAATTTACTACAATGAGTGATAAACAAAACGATGAACCTATATCAGAATATTATAAAGAAGCATTAGAAGAATATAAAGAACAACAAGCGGAAAATGATTTAGATGATTGGGATAAAAGAATTAATGATACAGGTTGTTATGTACAGAATATGGCATTACAATTATGTCATGCAGATACCGGCGATTGGGGGAAATGCTTTGGTGAAATGGAAGCCTTTAGGAAATGTTGGGAACAAAATGGTAATAGAGAACGTGTAAATACTGTTGATAGATGAATGTATATAGATATATATATCAATTTCTTTCTGTATAAAAAAAAATTCTATAATATTCTACAAAATTCGATTTTCCTCCTTTTTTTCCCGCTTTGTTTTAAGCATTTCTCACACACCCCTTCGTATTGATATCAAGTAATGATTCAATATACATGTATATATATATACATAAGTGAAATTTGATATTTTCAATTGAACAATTGATTGAATAATACAATTTATTTTTGTATCAAATCTAAGATTTCACCATACAGAGAAAAGTAAATTAACCATGTCTAGACAAAAAACTTTTATCGATATTACCATTGGAGGTCAATCGAAGGGCCGTATTGTATTCGAATTATTCAATGATGTAGTACCAAGAACTACAGATAATTTTTATCATTTATGTGCTGGTGATGAAGGTATGTGTAAAACTGATTCATCAATTCCTTTATCATATAAGAATTCTATCTTTCATCGTGTAATTCCGGATTTTATGTTACAATTTGGTGATTTTACTAAAGGCGATGGAACAGGTGGTGAGAGTATTTATGGTGAAAAATTTGAAGATGAAAATTTTACAATGAAACATGATGAACCATTCTTATTATCTATGGCCAATGCGGGCCCAAACACTAATGGATCTCAAGTGTTCATTACTTGTGTCCCAACTCCACATTTAGATGGGAAACATGTGGTCTTTGGGAAAGTAATTCAAGGTAAAAGAATTGTACGTTTAATTGAAAAAAATCAAACAGATAAGGAAAATGATAAACCTATTAGAGAAGTTAAAATTATTGATTGTGGTGTCTTACCAAATGATTATGTTGTACCAGAAAATATTGAAGCTACACCAATGGATGAATTTGGTGATAATTATGAATCTTCATTGAAGGATGATACTAAAGTTGATTTAAATGATTTTATATCTGTATTGACCGCAATTGAATTTGTTAAGAATATTGGTACTGAACAATTTAAGAAACAAAATTATGCTACCGCTTTGGAAAAATATCAAAAATGTGATAAATTCTTAAAGGAATATTTCCCAGAAGATTTAGCTGAAGAACGTACCAAGAAGATTGAAGGTTTAAAAGTTTCAATCCCATTGAATATAGCTTTAGTCGCCTTAAGATTGAAAGAATATAGTGTCGTATTAACTGCAAGTTCAGAAGTACTATACGCTAATGCAGCAGATGATCTTTCTAAGGCAAAGGCTTTATACCGTAGAGGTCTAGCATATGCCGCTGTGAAGGATACTGATATGGCTTTAGCTGATTTGGAAATGGCAGCTACATTCCATCCTCATGATGCAGGCATTCAAAAGGCTATTAAAGACACAAAGGAACAAAGACGTTCTCAAGTCGCAGAACAAAAGAAATCTCTATCTAAGATGTTCTCATAAGGAAGATTATATACCCATTTATATTATAAAGATATATAAAGGAACCTTCTACTGACTTTTTTAGTATTAGATCATTTCTGTCATTTATGAATCTAGTTCAATCATAATATTGAAAATATATTATATATGCGCTAATTGACCTTTTCTATCGAGAGCTCAGAAAGGGGAGGGAATAAAAAAAAAAGTAGGCTCTGGACTATTTACAGAGAAGAGGACTCAATTGTCCACATCCAAAGATAATATAACCAAAACAAACTAGAAAATTTGTAGCCTCATACATAACCATTGTTACATCAATATCTTAAAACATTCAAGAGTACATTTATCATTATTATAAATCCAAACTATCTTTTTTTTCTTTCCCATTTCAATACCGTATTCATGTATAAGTTCATCGGAACTAGATCTGCAGCCACTACAAGAATTCTCACAAAATGCAATTTAAGAAGTAGCATACACACAACTTCAATAATATTGAATGAACAAAAAACTGTCAAATCTGTACAGTCCAATAAAGTATTAACTATACCGAATGTCTTAACGATGTCAAGAATAGCAGCAACCCCATTTATTGGTCATTTCATCATAACAAGTAACTTAACTCCAGCACTTGGTATATTTGCATATTGTTGTATAACAGATTTCCTTGATGGCTATATAGCAAGAAAATATAAATTAGGATCTATGGCTGGGAGCATATTGGATCCAATGGCCGATAAATTATTGATGCTTGTCACAACGGTTGCAATGACAATGCCGTCTGGACCTGCAATTATCCCATTACCACTTGCATTCTTAATTGTGGGTAGAGATTTTGGACTAGCGGTAGCTGCCTTTGTATTAAGATATACATCATTAAAGAAAGTCTACAAAAGAATTACTTGGAAATCATATTGGAACTTCTTCAAGTATCCTAGCGCGATGGTGAAACCTTCCCAAATTTCCAAATGGAACACTTTCTTACAAATGATATATCTAGGGCTAGGTGTTATAGTGTTAATGAAGGACAAGAAAATAGACATGGAAGGAGAGGAAAATGATGAGAAAGACAAAGAAAATACTCCATTATTGACGAGTTTCAAATGGTTGGGTTTCATAGTGGGTGGTACAACCGTACTAAGTGGTGCATCGTATGCTCTAAGCAGAAACGCCATCAGAGTTCTCAAGATATAAATGCATTAATCTGTATATAAAACAAAATATATTCAATATAACAATTAATTTAGATTTAAAATGTCATATATTCATGAAATATGTCTACTACCACGTGAAAATTAGTCAGAATTGATTTTTAGGAAAGTGTTAAATGCGAAGCGATGAGCTGCGAAATTCTTGAAATTTTGTGTATATAATTGTATTACCTAATAGTATATCTCACAAGAACATTTTCCAAAATAATTTATTTATTTTATAAAGAAACTAACCTCACAAGTAATAAGTTCATCATCATACGTACATAATAAATTCATGACTGAAAATTTTAAATCATTTAGTGATGTACCTGTCACAAGAAGACAAATCGAAAACTGTTCTTTTTCAAACTGGTACCCATTCTTTAAAGATTACACACCTAAAGCTGAAATAATAAAACCTATACCAGAAAAGTTTGTCCAATACTTAGAACAAGACGGTATTTCATTACCTACTGAGCAACATACATCTTCCTTCTATACAGGTCCTATTGAAAAAAACGAAGAAAATGAATATAGTGACTGGGAAGAAGATGAAGAAGATTTGAATGTACAAGATGAAGATTCTAGTGACGAAGAAGATAAAGAATCTCAAACCCCCAAATTAGATCCCGTTATAGACTTTCCTGAATTTCATAATCGGTTGAAAAGTGTATTAGAAAAATTTGGTGCAGTTACACCTAAGTTAAATTGGTCTGCACCACAGGATGCTACTTGGATATTACCAAACAATTCTATGAAATGTACAGAGGTGAACGAGCTTTATTTAATATTGAATGCTTCAAACTATATTATGCATGATTTACAATATGCATTTGATGATTGCTCAGATTCAAATGATACCAAGGAAAAACCAACATATGAACTAATTTTAAGGAAATGGTTTGATATAAATCCGGCATTAGAATTTAGAGTATTTGTCAAAGAAAACCAAGTTGTTGGCGTTTCACAAAGAGACCTAAACTACTACGATTATTTGAAACCACTTGGTGATACATTCAAGGATTTAATAGACGAATTTGTAGAAGATACCGTGATCCCCAAATTCCCTGATGATAGTTTTGTATTAGATATTTATATTCCAAGACCTTTTGACAAAATATTTTTAATTGATATCAATCCATTTGCAAAGAAGACAGATCCATTAATGTTTTCTTGGAACGAACTAATGACGAAGGAGAAAAACGAAGAAGATGATTATGAATTAAGGTTAGTTTTAAAGAATAATACAGGTAGATTTGCTTGTAAAGAACATTCAGAGAATCAAGTTCCTGATGATGTCGTACAAGCCAGTTTGGACCCAAATTCAATAAGGGAACTGGCAGAAAAATGGAAGGAATTATTAGCCATGCAAGATAAGGAGGAAACTAGCCATTGATAATAAATTATTTCTGTTTTTTTTATAGAGGAATTTATATATACATACATATATATATATATATGGAATATTTATAAGCATAATTTAATTAATACATGTGTGGATGTACCTATTTACCAAGTAAAACTTTTCTCATCAAAGTTAACATTTATTGAAACCTCTTTTGCAAGTTCTTGTGTTATATGGTATCTAATTTTATCATTGAAGCTTGAGGGACCACAAGTCAAAATATTCAAATCTCTTGGTTGGGGTGACTGACTTTGAGATTTAACAATCTGAGCACCAATCAACTCTCCTAAGTTAGGTCTAGCTTCAATGTATTGAATTTCATGTTGAAATTTTTTAGAGTCCTCATTAATAGATGTTCTTGTAGAACTGGCAGAATCTGAGGCGGTTACATATTGTAATTTATCAGTAGAACTCTTTGCCTTCTCATTAGTTGAGTTGGTATTGGAGTACTTCCTTGTACAAATTATCTCAATAGTACAATTTAATTGAGACAATAAATACAATTCTTGATGAAACCATTCCACATGAGATGGATTATTAATGATCCAAATTAAATGATGGGAAAAGCTTCCGACTTTCTCAGTTTGCTGTGCTGCATAATATAATTCAGGATACACAGCTGTAATCCCAAGACCCGCACAAATACCTGATTGGTTCTCTGTGATAGGTATAATTTGAGGTAATTGAACACCGTAAGGTCCCTCCAACAAAACTTTACAATTAATACTTTGTTGACCACTATTTTCTAGTCTTGACAATAAACGTTTAGTAATACCCTTATTAACTTTAAAATAAATTATCAAATTCCCTGGTTGCATTTTATCTATCTGTGGTTCACTTAAGATAGTGAACGGATGAGATTGTAAAGAACAGAACCAAGGTTCATTTAAACCCAAGAAATACAAGTATACATACATCCCAGGTTGATATTTGAAAAATTTTGGTTTTGGGATAGATACTTTTATAACACCATTAAAACAATCTGTTAAAGTTGCGTTATGTACACCACCGTTAATAATAATCCAGAACAATCTCAAGACTCTATCGGTAGCCCAAATACCAACCAGAGCCCAAACCCAATTCAACCAGCCAAAAGATACGATGTGATAATATAAACCGACAATAAATATTACATTCATAGCTTTATGGAAAAATAAGAAGAACTCGTAGAATCTATCCCTAAATATCTTTTCACTATGAGAACACAGAACAAACATCATCACGGTGGCAGCAATCCCCCATTGAAAATACTTTTGTGTGATGTAATGGTGATAAGTAGAATACTTTTGTGAATAAACGGTCCATAAAACGGCATGAATCAATACCAAAACTGAAGCCACATATGCACACCATTTATGAAAATAATTGAAAGATCCAATAGATAAACCAGATAATGTAATAAAAGGGTTATTTCTTATACCAAACATATAAATAACTGGGAACAAGGCAAGAGCCATTTGGTCTACTCTGTAATTCAACATTCTTGCATTAAGTCTCCATTGATCTGGGTAATTTGGATGTGGCAAATGAATATCGTAATCCATCCCACAAAAGATAATTGTTAAGATGACAAATACTGTAACAATAAGGGCGTCTAATCTAGTTGGAAAATTAATAGGTATACAACGAAATAAAAGAAAAGTACGTTCTTTATAATGTTTACCCATCGAAGGAATTATGATGTTTCGTTTAACCCAATTATGTTGTAAAGGATTGTTAAGGCCAATCATTTTTTTATTTACGTTGGAAATTGTGGATAATAAAATTATAGTTACCCAATAAAATACCAAACCCCAACCAAACCATTGGGATCTAGTAACAAACAAAGTTGTTTGTTTGTATTTCGTCAAATAATAATCGAAGTTGCTCTCATCAGGGATTAAAGTACCAATAACTCGAGTCGTAGTATCGTTTGAAGTAATTGGTCTAGCATAAGAAGTACCATTTTTATAAATTTCTTGTAACTGTTCTGAAGTATAATCGATATCACCGGATTGACATCTTAATCTCAAATGTCTCATAGCATGTTCAAAAGGTTTTGCATGGTCTGAACCATAATTTACACAATATGTTAAAGTTTGTAGCCAATTAATATCTTTACAAAGACATGAATATTTTTTATTTGAGGAACAATTCCATTTAAATTGTGAATTGTATTTCAAACAAGCTGTAGCAACAGAAGAATCAAGAGACGATAATGCAACGACTCCCGAAATGGAATATATTAACCACAGTATAGATGTAGTTGTAAGTAATTTCATGTCAACGAATTATATAAATATTTTGGATGTAATAATATTATAAATATTCATACATATATATATATTTGTATATATATATATATGTGTGTGTGTATGTGTCTTAGGGTTTTTACTTTTAAGTATTTGTTGAAAAACACAAAGTGAAGTAAAGGGAAATGAAATTTCCAACCTTCGACCTCATTCAAATACAGACTTTATATAACATTGTTTTTTAAAAACTGAAGTATCTTTGGTAACCACGTTCGAACAACTATAAAGAAAATATTTGAAAGAGCTGTATAATTTCAACTAACAATATATTACGATGTCATCATCGACTATTTGTTATTGAGCATATATCGGTCCCGAGACTAGTCAACCTAAACATGGCTAAAATATGCACCCTTCAAAACTGAGATTATAGCCACATATTAACTGTTGAAAATATGCAACGAATGTACTATAAGGCGATGTTACTTTCTTGACTTCACCCTCTGAAATATCACTACGACTTCGAGATATGTATCATTCCAAGTTGTACTGTCTGTCTGTCTCTTTATTACCCAATTCAATGCACTGTGACACTTCTCTCAAAATACGCAGTTGTGCAGTGAAACATATTACTACAAAGTGTGCACCATAATTAGAAAAACAATTTATTTAATTTGCTCAGTTAAGTTAACCAGTAAGAGAGCGAAAAACAAATATTTGCTCACAACTGGACGTAGAGGGAATCGTGAAACATGATGTTGATAGTAGAAAAAACCTATGAAAGATCAAGAATGTATTAAGTTTATTTTTATTATATAAAAGAAAGAAGGCAAAAGTTTAGTAGTAGTCAATATAGTTATATAACATCTAGCCTTTTATTAAGAATGTCTCAACTGACATATGCACTTAAATGTATTAACCTGTGGTTACATACATATTTACACCTTTGTCTTGGTGCAATTCTCATACATTGCACCCTATATTGAAATGAACGCGTTGCACTGTTTTCTTGCTTTCTCTCTTACTCTACAGCTTTCTTTTTTTTTTTGCATGCTTTGGAACGTCGCAAAACTCATTAAAATATGTGACATGACAGGTGCACTACTATAGAAAAATGTCACACACATACACACAAAAAAGATAATCTTTTAATTATATTATTTAATAATTATTTTGTAATTTTCTTATTTTTTTAAGCAATTTGGCTTAGATACACTATACGTTAAAAACAAGGTAGTGTGTAGAATCATTAACCATTTGAATCTGTATAATATCCAAAAATAAAAAGAAAATCGGAAAATTAAAAAACAATATGATACGTGGTTACCTTCTATTATTATCTTTTTTACTATCCTTTGTGTGGTCACTACCGTTAATTAAAGTCAATGAACAGGAGACGTTTAAACCAACAACACCCATATTTTGTTCTAAAAATTTAAATTGCCCCGAAGAATGGCCTTGTTGTTCACCATATGGAGAGTGTGGTTCTGGCCCTACTTGTGTTGGCGGTTGTGATCCACGTTATTCATATGAGGATGATAGTTGTATCCCTTTACCGGTATTAATGTATCCTTTCAATGTTGTGTTTCATCATGATTTTGTATCTAATAAATTTAAATTTGGATCTCAAAATAATGCTAGATATCCAACAGAAAATGAAAATGTTAATCAAATGACACCAAACGATAATTCTTTAAAAAATACACCTTTAGAGGCAGCGATGCATCAAAAGAGATTTATTCATCATTCAAAATTTTTAATTACAAAGAGTGATCGAAAAGCTGAAGAAATGTTATATAATTATAATTTTGTCTATAGTGGTAACACTAATATTGATGATGATACTGGTGAGATTCTGTTAACTATGCCAAAACATAGCACAGGTTCATTAATTGCATCAACTCAAGAATTCTTATATGGTAAAGCAACAGTTTCATTAAAGACTGCTAGATCACAAGGTGTCGTGACTGCAATTGTTTTAATGTCTCAAGTTGGTGATGAAATTGATTTTGAATTCTTAGGTAGTCAAAGGTTTGATGCTCAAACAAATTGGTATTATCAAACTGAATTAGATTATACTAGAATGCAAAAACAACCAATATATACTGATTCATATGAAAATTATCATACTTATGGATTTGATTGGAATGAAGAAAGAATCATTTGGTTAATCGACGGTAGACCTGTTAGAACTTTATTCAAGAGAGACACATGGGATCCTGTTACTCATAATTATAAATATCCACAAACACCTGCTAGATTAGAGATTGCAATTTGGCCAGGTGGAGATGCAGATAATCATCCCGGTACAATAGAATGGGCAGGTGGACCTATTGATTGGGAAAATTCTCCTGATATTCTACAATATGGTCAATTTTATGCTAGAGTGAAAGAAATACATATTGAACCTAAACAAAATGAACATTTTAATGAAATTTATAAATGTATTACAAGGAAGTCATATCAACGTAATTTTGATATTACTGAACTATTGAGAACAACTTGTAGTTATGATCATTATGTGGAACCAAAATTTAGTGAAAGATCATTACAATGGCATTGTGACTATACTCCAAGAGTTAAATCATTAAGGGATTCGGGCTCTACAACACAGAGTAGAAGATCAAGATTTTTCAAGAAAAGGTATCCTTCATCTCTTCCTCTGAAGAAATCACAAATACAAGCTTTTACTAATGATTCAGAAACTGGAAACAGTAACAAAAACATTACTAGATTAGAGGCAATACTTTATGATAGGAAAAGATTACTAGATTTTTCAAAGATTGGATTAGTAAATGACAAGAATAACAGTAACGATAAACTAAACTTCACAAAATCACAAATTCTTCAAAAGATATTACAGAAACGTGATGGAACAGATATAACAAATAGTGCAAGTCAATTGTAACTTTTCTGAAATGAAAAAAAATAAAATTTAATATTCTCCCAAAGTCATCGTTTTAATAAAAATGATTTCCATTCTCCTTCTAAAATTTCGATATTTGTGTTCTTAGCATACGAATCAACATAAATAATTTTGCAACAGTATAATCAGTTTTTATAAACATCGTTCTTCACCTATCTCTCTCTATATATTTAGAAACCTTCTTCACTCATCATTCTGTCTCTATTTAATTATTCGTGTCACATTTTTTCTAAAATGTGTATTACCCTCTCTTAATTTAAGTTTTTTTCATTTTCTCATTTTCTTCTCGAGACGAAACGAGGCGACTTTCTTCCCCCCAAAAAAGACCGCGAAGAATTTCTCGCTGTCGTTTCTGGGGGGCCAGAAGACAGAGAGAGAGACAGCAAACTAAACAGAAAGCAAAATGGAAAAACACGTTGAGAGGAACTGCAAATTCAAACAAATCAAGAGAAAGTTGGAATATACGTGTAAATTTAGAATTTGCAAGATATAGCTTTTACGATAGAGAGAAACATACATACATAAAAGTAATTAGGTAGAAACAGTATAACTAATTAATTTGGCTAGTTTGTTTGGTTCATTTTTTAGTTTCACTATCACATAGTCAATTGATCATATTACTGTTTACTGTGCATTGATACATACCCTGTTTTTTTTATTGAAAATCAAGTATCAACAAGATTACATACAGTATTGTAACTTAGTGAAACAATATCGAACTTTCATTGTATTCGATTAAAATAAACATTGATTGATCTGTCTCTTACTTACGTTTGATATATTGAACACTACTCGTAAATCAAAAAGGCAAAGACGAAGAAATAACTTAAAGGAACCCAAAAGAACATACTTCTATTGAACTTATTATTTCCTTTCTTTTTACCGATTTTTAATTTCAATATAATCAATACAAGATGAAGATGCTAACTAAGTTTGAGTCAAAGTCTACTAGGGCTAAAGGGATTGCATTCCATCCCTCCAGACCATGGGTTCTAGTGGCTTTGTTCTCTTCTACTATTCAATTATGGGATTATAGAATGGGTACTTTACTACATAGATTTGAAGGTCATGAAGGCCCTGTCAGAGGCGTTGATTTCCATCCTACTCAACCTATCTTTGCCTCTACTGGTGATGATACTACTATTAAGATTTGGTCTTTAGATACCAACAAATGTATCCATACTTTCACAGGTCATTTGGATTACGTTCGTACCGTTTTCTTCCATAATGAATTACCATGGTTGATTACTGCTTCCGATGATCAAACTATCAGAATCTGGAACTGGCAAAACCGTAAAGAAATCGCCTGTTTGACTGGTCACAACCATTTTGTCATGTGTGCTCAATTCCATCCAACAGAAGATTTGATTGTCTCTGCCTCCCTTGACGAAACTGTTAGAGTTTGGGATATTTCTGGTCTAAGAAAGAAACATTCTGCTCCAGGGGCTATGTCTGTCGAAGATCAAATGATTGCTCAGCAAAATCTATTAGATGGCGGCTTTGGAGATTACTTAGTTAAATTTATTTTAGAAGGACATACAAGAGGTGTTAATTGGGCTTCTTTCCATCCTACTTTACCATTGATTGTTTCTGGTGGTGATGATCGTCAAGTTAAATTATGGAGAATGAGTGCTACTAAAGCATGGGAAGTAGATACCTGTAGAGGTCACACTAACAACGTTGACTGTGTTACTTTCCATCCACATCAAAATTTGATCTTATCTGCCGGTGAAGATAAAACTTTAAGAATTTGGGATCTAGATAAGAGAGTTCCAGTTAAACAATTCAAGAGAGAAAATGATAGATTCTGGTTAATTGCCTCTCATCCAAACATCAATTTATTTGGTGCTGCCCATGATTCAGGTGTTATGATTTTCAAGTTGGATCGTGAAAGACCATGTAGTACCATCTACCAAAACCAATTATTCTTTGTTAACAAGCAAAAGTTGGTTCAATCCTTCGATTTCCAAAAAGGTGTTTCTTCTTTACCATACGTCTCGTTAAAGAGTATCGGTCAAATTTGGAGTGCTTTCAGAAACATATCATACAATCCATCCCAACATTCTTTATTGGTCAATGAAGCAAATGACAAGTTTGCTTTAGTCTTATTACCAAAGGAACCAACTGGTCAAGTTGATCCAACAGGTGTCATCGAGGACTCCGGTAATTTTGCTACTTTTGTTGCTCGTAATAGATTTGTTGTATACAACAAATATTCTGAATCTATTGAAATCCGTAATTTAGAAAACAAGACTACCAAATCTATTAAAATTGATGACCCAATTAAGGATATTGTTTATGGTGGACCTGGTAATGTCTTATTATTACATCCAAGGGAAGTTGTGTTGTATGATGTTCAACAAGGTAAGAAATTAGCTAGCATCACTGCTAAAAACGTCAAGTATGTCTCATGGTCTAATGATGGACAATATGTTGCTTTAATGAGTAAGCATACTATTACTCTAGCAACAAAGAAATTAGAATTGATTAACTCCATGCATGAAACTATCCGTATTAAGAGTGCTGCTTGGGACGAAACTGGTGTATTGATTTACTCCACATTAAACCATATTAGATATTCTTTACTGAATGGTGACAGAGGTATTATTAAGACTCTCGAGAACACCCTTTATATCACCAGAGTTAAGGATAAATACGTTTATACTTTGAACCGTGACGGTGAAGTTGAAATCTTATCAATTGATCCAACTGAGTACCGTTTTAAGAAAGCTCTTGTAAACAAGAACTTCCCAGAAGTTCTCAGAATCATCAAGAACTCTAATTTAGTTGGTCAAAATATTATTTCCTACTTACAAAAATCTGGTTACCCAGAGATTGCTTTACAATTTGTTCAAGATCCGCAAGTTCGTTTTGATTTAGCTTTAGAATCTGGTAACCTAACTGTTGCCCTCGAAGAGGCCAAAAAATTAAATGAGGCCTCTGTTTGGGAAAGATTAAATAAAGAAGCCCTCTTGCAAGGTAATACCACCATGTCCGAGATGATTTACCAAACTCAAAATGCCTTCGATAGATTGTCTTTCCTATACTTGTTGACAGGTGACAATGGAAAATTATCAAAGATGGAAGCTATCGCTGAGAATCGTGGTGACATGAAGGGCATGATATTAAACTCTATTTATAATAATTCTCCATCTACTAGAGCAAACACATTCTCTGAAGGTGGTTCTCTTTCACTTGCATATGCGATTGCTAAGGCCAATGGTGACGAAACAATGGCTAATGAATACCTAGCTCAAGCCGAAATTAATGAAAATGAAGTCGTTCTACCAGATATTACTTCCCGTACAAGCCATGTTTTAGCTCCAACATCTACAGAGCCATTTACCAAATGGCCATTAAAGGACGCCGAATTATCATACTTTGAAAAGGCGATCTCTGGTCAAATTGATGATTTGGATATTAACGAAGAACCTGCTGAAACGGAAACTACTACTGGCATTGATGCAGCTGCTAACGAAGGCGTATTTATTGACGAGGAATCTGAGAATGAGGAGGCCGGTGCATGGGATATGGGTGATGAAGACCTAGACATTGGTGAAGATACAGAGCAAGTCGAAGATGGAGAAGTAGTTGTTTCAACCACAGAAAGTAGTAGCGAAACTGCTACATGGGTTAAAAATTCCAAATTACCTTCAGTTCTTGTTGCAGCTGGTGCCTTTGGTGCTGCCGGTGAGGCTTTGAACAAGCAAGTCGGTGTTGTTGAATTTGAACCATTGAGAAAATATTTTACCCAAAGGTATGCTAGCTGTAGGACATACTTAGCTTCTACACCTGTTGAACTACCTGCCATCGAAGGTTTTATTCGTTCGAGTGCTGAAGGTGGCGAAAATATCTTACCATTCTCCAGTGATATCTCAACAGTAGTAGAAAAATTACAAGATGGTTTCAAATTGTTCAAGGCTAATAAACTCGAAGAAGCTATCGAAGTATTCCGTGAGATTATCTATCTAATAATGCTTCTAGCTGTTGACAATGAAGAGGACGAGCATACTGCTCAAGAAACATTAAGAGTTGCAAAGGAATACATATTAGGTTTATCCATCGAACTAGAACGTCGTTCGCTAGATCCAAGTAATATCAAACGTAACCTAGAACTGGCCGCTTACTTCACAAAAGCAGATCTTCTACCTCTACATAGAAGTAACGCTTTGCAAGTTGCTATGTCCCAAAATTTCAAACACAAAAATTTCGTCCAAGCATCTTATTTTGCAAGTGAATTCTTAGAAATTGTTCCTACGGGATCCAGAGCAGAACAAGCCCGTAAGATAAAATCAAGAGCAGACGCAAAAGCAAGTGATGATGTTACAATTGATTTTGATCCATATGCTGAATTTCAAGTTTGTGCGGCTACTCATACCCCAATTTACAAAGATACACCTTCTACACAAGATCCATTAACTGGTGCTGTTTACCATGCTTCTGAAAAGGGTAAGATTGACAGTATTACGTTAGTAACGAAAATTGGTGCTCCAGCTTCTGGTTTGAGAATTCGTTTGTGATGAAAGTCACATTAATATGAAATAAATATAATAACTAAGGGCTGTGCTCAGTCACAATCTGATGCGCTCTTAATTATTTTTTCGTACACTCAATTATATAAATTTATATGTACTTATAACCCCATTTTATAATAAACAATTATTACTTAAGAAAATAATAAAACTTCAGAGCATCATAATCAATGGCTGAAGATGATGTTTATTTTTTATATTATCAATATAACTATTTTGCCATAGAAACTTACGAATTTAGCGTGACGCGTTCTTAAAAATATCGAAATTTTTAGAAATTTAATAAAGTAAACAAAGCAAGAAACTAAGAAGTTGAAGAGCTTTCCATTTGAGGAAACCTAATTAGGATATAAAATAATATCCAATTGGCAGTTTTATCTTGTTTAGGTTGTGCAATATATCTACATAAAGCATATTAGGTAAATTATTAACAAATGACAGGAGAAATATTAACCATTCAAGTTGGTCAATGTGGGAACCATGTGGGGAAGCAGTTTTGGGACCAACTTACAAAGGAACATGGTATCGGAAAGGATGGCCAAATTTTAGAAAGCTCAAATGGAAACTCTACAGATCGAATATTTAGGGAAGATGATACGAACCCGTTCTTCAAACAATATCAGGAAAATAAATATACCCCAAGGGCAATAATGATTGATTTAGAACCTAGTGTAATAAATGACAATATTAACTATTTCCCAGATTTTTTTGATCCAAGAGGAACATGGGTATCTAAGGACAGATATGGTGCAGGAAATTCATGGGCCAACGGTTACGATGAAGGACAGAAAAATCAAGATATATTCTTAAACATGATTGATAAACAACTGGATTCAACTGAAAATTTTGAAGGGTTTCAATTACTCCATTCCGTAGCAGGTGGTACAGGTTCAGGATTGGGTTCAAATCTTCTCGAAGCCCTTGCAGATAGATACCAAAAAAAACTCTTAACAACATATTCGGTGTTCCCAAGTGATCAATCAGAAGTCGTTGTACAACCATATAACACCATCTTAACTTTGCGTCGGTTAGCAGAAGATAGTGATGCATCAGTAGTGTTTGATAATAATGCTTTAAGTAACCTTTCTGGAAGGGTATTTCAAAAGAATCAAACTGATTATAACCAAACAAACCAACTAATAGCGTCTGTGCTTTCATCCACCACAAATTCTGTTCGTTTCCCAAGTTACCTATATTCATCTCTCCAGAGTATTTTTTCAACTTTGATACCATCACCAGAATTACATTTTTTAACTCCTGCATTTACTCCGTTTACCTCTGATTATATCACAGGTGGGATGGATTACAAGAGAAACACAGCCTATGATATATTATTGGATTTGATTGATGAACCTAATTCATTAGTTTCTAAGCATTCTAAGAAGCCTATCTACCTTAATGTATTCTGCACAATCATCGGTGATATTGAAAGAAATGACATATCAAGGGGTATCAACAAGATTCAACAAAGGTTACAGTTTGCGGCTTGGTCACCTACAATTATTCATGTAAATAATGGTAGAAGATCGAATTACCTAAAAAATTTACACGGAAACCAAAGTCAGGTTAATGGTATGATGTTAGCTAACAGTTCTGGTATTGTGCCATTATTTGAAAAAGTTTGTGGCTCTTTCGACAAAATTTATTCCAAGAAGGCCTTTTTGAATGCTTTTCAACAGTCTGAAAACTTCGATGCTGATGACTTCATAGAATCAAGAGAGGTGGCAAGAAGTCTAATAGAAGAGTACACTGCCGCAGAGGAGAAGAGTTACTTAGATGAGGTGTTACTAGAAGATGAAAATGTAATTGGTGAATTCAATGAGAACAATAATGAAGTGGATGCCGAGGGTGATAACATCATGTAGATGGCGTATAATTGATTGTCGATAGTTTAATGTCTATCTTAATATATGAATACATAAAATAGTATCACTGAATGCAATATTACTTACAAAAAATGTTTTCTTTTATATATTTCTCCTTTACAAGGTACATGTTTGTTGTCAATAACAAAGTCAGTCAACAGGTTCGACTTATAAAAACACGCCAACCGAAATATGAGTTTTGTTATAAAAAATATAAATAAAGGGAAATTAACTAATGCAGACAAACAAAGAACAGTAATTTACAAGGTTATATAAAAGGAAAAGGATTCACAGGAATAATGCCAACATTATGTAATGTATGTATTTGAAAATATTAGATCTATTTTATGTTCATCGCACTAACATTGAGTTCTTTTCTATGTCGATATGCTAATGGCGGCTACAAGAATATTGCTAGTTAGGTCTATAAATTAATAGAAACTGCAGAGCAAGAAACGAAAAGAGGTAATCTCCAAAATAGTATAATATACTATAAGGAAACCTTAAAGGAAATCAATGAAATCACAGACAAGATAGAAGAAAGTGGCCTGTCAAAAAATGTAATAGAAGCTGTACAATTACTGCGGAAGGATATATCTCAAACGATATATGACATTCAAAATGTATTACCAACTGAAAATGATTTTACCATTCCTTATAGTAACAAAATAGGTGAAAATGCCGATGTATTTCGAAATGAATCAACTAATAATTGTCCTAGCACTGCTGATTCAAATGGAATAAACCAAAATTTTCTTGGGTCAGTATATTTAAGGATGAATCCATCAGTAATGCAACCAGGAGGTGCCAAAATGTGGGAGACTAGTATGAATAACGATAAATTAATCCCTAATAATGACCCACTGTTTCTGGGAATTGTAAATAAACTTCAAAGTAATATTATAATGTCTACTTCTAATCAGTTCAAGAATGGACAACACACCGTACGAGGAACACAAGCCATTGAAGAAGAGATTCAACAGCATGTAGAACAATTCAGAAAAGAAGTAAGTTGGTATGAACAAAAGAGATTCGAGGAATATGAAAATAGAATGAAAGAGCTAGAAATGGAAAATAAGAAATTGAATTTACAAGTTGATCGTTTAAAACAACGTTGGGATAGTTTAGTAGAGAGTGCAAAGGAAAGGAAAAAGAAATATTCGGTTGACTCAACTTAGAATACGATACTCTTAATATATGTTTCATTTCGTTATATTTATTAATGCGATATATGTATGTATGTATGTATGTGTGTGTGTGTGTAGATATGTATAAAACAACATAAATTACAATGCTGTTTATTAGGTGATTACTTTTTTATGTTATTAAAAATCATGACAAACATGTTTTGTGCTGGAGAGGATAATGTATGTTTTATTATTGGGAAGATGAAAAATAAGTAGGGTGGTGTCATATGGGTAATTGTTTACTACTTCCCTCTCCATGCTTCGAATAATTTTACTGTTGATGAATAAGTTTTTTTACAGTATTTCTTTCTGATATTTTTATGTGTGGTTTTCCCATTATCACAGCTTTTTAAAAGATATTTGACTAATGGCACAAGCTGCTCTTTTGTGTAGCCTGAATAAAATACATGTTTCAATGTCCACGAATCATCCGAAGTAACCATATGTTTACTAATGTAATATGCACCTGCAGCTAATAAACTGGGCGGGCATGCGACAAACTTAGATTCTACTAATGATGCCTCCAGAAAATACTTTGCGTGTGTTCGAATTTCATCGTCGTAATCGTCAGCTTTGTTTGTTTTCCTTAAGAAGGACATAGGTCCAGGCCATCCTAACCTGTGTCTTAATGTCACAAGAATAAATCTCTCAGAGTCTATGATTTCTTCTGCAGAATATTGCCCTTCTAACGCCTCTAGAACCTCATCTAATGATGGTACTTTATGTTCTTCCATTTTTGTAGCAATAAATAATGCTGCAATCCCAACTAATCTAAACTTATTCAACGTTATTGATTCCTTGGACAAAAATCTATCCATTAAATTTACTGCCAAAAATAAAGTTTCAGGGATTAAATCGAGATCGAGATGGATATTTACTAACCAATCCACCAAAGTCCGACGAAACTCCCAATCTAAGAAGGTCTGAGCCTCCATATAATCACATTTTGGTTTATATTTAGCTTCTAACTTCTTCATGTACTTATATATACTATCTGAATACTCTGCAACAAGGACAGGATCCATATAATCGGAATCATCAGGGTCTGATGAAATTAGAAAATACTTCTCTTTGGCTTCTTTCAATATAGTACGTGTTTGTTCATTTTCAATTAATTTAAAAGGACTCTCATCGTTGTCATTATCATGTAAAGTTATTTCATCATCGCCAAAGGAGGCTGATAAGGTATCTAAATTAGCGAAATCTGATATACATTTATTAATTTCCTTACTAATGGCATCATACTGCACAGTATATATGGAACTTACTATTTTCTTGTCAGATTCACTTAATGTTGATGTTGACGGATCTAATATTGGAGGTGGAACTTTTCGCCTCGGTTTTAAAGTTTTACTTGGTAATCTGTTAGAGTTTTGTATCGTGATATCACTCAAAACTCTGTTTTGGTCAGGTACTTCCATTTTAATATTTATACAACTTCACTCTTTTCAGTGTTATTTTCTTTTCATAAAGATATTAGTGCACACAGCTGATATTTCTCGACAGTGATTAAAATATTCAATATTCTCACCCTCAGTTCAGTTATATGGTTAGATAATCTGTTGTTATCTTTTTGTAAATCAAGAAATGATTCAACTAGTATTGAGACTGGTGTAACTATAAAGGTTTGGTACAGATTTATATCGAGTATCTTGATTATTGTTTTGTTCAAACAAAAGAAAAATGTACATTCGCGATGATCTATTTTTATACACTTGGCGATCTCTTTCTTCTGCCTCGTCTTAATCATTCAATTAAAGAGAATGGAGTAGTTTAAAAGATAAACTAATAACAACCAAATATACAAGATAAGTCAAGACTATAATCTCAAATTTAATTCGATATGTCTTTGAAATCGATACTTCTTAAAAGGGTACAAGCTCTTAGTTTCTTATATATTTCATATCGAGGAATCCCTTCCATTAAGAAGAGAATATGCAGTCGGGGATCCTGATAGATTCCTCTTCAATACTAACTCTACACTATCTTGACTTGTCCCACAAGTAGCCACTATGGTATATAAAATGTATTACACTGTTGCAATCCTCTATATATAACTTTTGTTTCCATTTTTACATATTCCTTGCACCCGTCGCATGAAATCGAGATGCTCGACGGTTATTTGACTCGAGAATGGATAAGGACTGGAAACAGGGGTACTCAAAACAAGAATTCAATTTGGTTAAAGGAAAGGTGGGATTTGTCTTATTTGTGATCCTTAAAACTCTTAGAAAGGTAATAAAACAATAAAATACTGTTTAATTGTTCCAGATTTTTTAAAATATATATATACACTTCAGAAGCATTTTAGAATGAGCACATTTGATATCGAAGAAGTGAGGAACCATATAAAGGAATCATCATCATTTGTGAGGAACCTACTTGATAATACAAGAACAGAACATCCAGATTTTGATTTTCCTGAGATACTTATAATCTGCGGCTCTGGTTTAGGTGGTATTGCATCTAGAATATCGCCAGATAGTTATTCCTTAGTGCAAAACTACTCAGGTATACCTCATTTCAAAGTTAGTACAGTACCAGGCCATGCTGGTAAGTTTGTCTTTGGTAAGATGAATAGTACTTCAGTGGTTTTGATGGAAGGTAGATTACATAGTTATGAAGGTTATGCAATCCAAGATACTGTATTTCCACTACGTGTTCTCCATGAATTAGGATCCATCAACACTGTAATTGTTACCAATGCTGCTGGTGGTCTTAATAGGACCTTTAAAGCTTGTGACTTGATGTGCATAAATGATCATATCAATTTCCCAGGGTTAGCTGGTTTGCACCCTTTAAAGGGACCGAATTTTGAGGAATATGGCCCAAGATTTTTACCATTAAGTGATGCATATGATCTTGAACTAAGAAAGTTGTTATTTCGTAAAATGAAAGAATTAAATCTGCAAAGAACTCTTCATGAAGGTGTTTATGCATTTGCATCCGGTCCTACCTTTGAAAGTAGAGCTGAAAGTAGAATGTTGCACATGATCGGTGCTGATGCCGTTGGAATGAGTACTGTTCCTGAAGTCATTATTGCAAGGCATTGTGGCTGGAGGGTCTTAGCCTTAAGTTTAATTACAAATGTTTCAGTTTTAGATCCACCTGCATCTGCACTTGATGATAATCCAGTACCTTTGGATAAAGGTATGGCTTCTCACAGTGAAGTACTAGAGAATGGAAAAATTGCCTCTTTGGATGTCGAAAGATTGATAGAAGCAGTAGTCGGAGAACTGTAGTCATCATGTCCTAACGTATCTTTGAATACAAATAATATTAAAATCCGATGAGTATCGATGTTGTCGTAAATTATTATTTTTTAATGTTTGTGGATATATAAATATATATATACCTTATTATACAGAGAGAGATATTTACCTCTTAATAAATTCAATTTTTCATTAATAATGGAGATAAACAAAACCTCAAAGGTTGAAATAAGACTATTCTATATTGTATTGCTAATTTATTTTTCTTCGAAAGAAGTTCTAATACTCATTTCATTTACATCAATTAGAGCCTATTTATTGCTGAACTTCTCCTGCTGGTTCCCAATTACCAGTTAAATTTTCCTTCCATAAAGTGACTTTATTATCACCACCAGATAAAGCTAAGATGTTACCAGAGAGAGACCAGCTAGCCCTCCATAAGACATCCGGAAATTTATCTTGTTGTACTTCAGTTTTCTTCCATGGACCTTTATTGTTTTCTTGAGACCAGATAACACAAGTTCTATCTTGGGAGACACTGGCAATATATGAGCGTAGAAGTACAGATGGAGACCATGATACATCTCTAACCCAATCAGAATGTCCGTTTAGAGTATCTTCCAAAACATACAATTGTGTATCATTATCGTATTTCCAAATCTTAACCAAATTATCAGCACCACCTGTAACAAATCTGCGTAGTTCCTTAGTTGGTTTGCTGGAATCTGATTCAACATCTTGGTAACTAACAGGTGCCCAACAAGCAGAATTAACACCGATGGCATGTGCATCGATAACTATTGGGGTTGAAGTACCAGTTTCCTTAAATTCTATAATTGATACTTTACCATCGGAGGATGCGGCCAGTAGCATAACACCATATTCATGAGGAGCCCATTGAACAGAATTAACAGAAGCTGAATGAACGGCATGTGTAGCAATTTGGGACCATTTACCATTTTCTTCTTTCCAGATTATAACTTTACCATCATAAGAACACGAAGCAAGAATTGTACCAAATTTAGGATGTGCCCAGTCAACTCTCCAGACTGGACCTTCATGGCCAACCAAAGTATCTATTAGCTTGTGGTTTTCACCTTCAACTTCAAATATTTTAATAGTTTTATCTGAAGAACAGGTAGCTAGACGTTTGCCATAATAATCCAATACAGCGTCATGGATCAAATCATTGTGTGCGTTTGTTATAGATACCATTTTATATTTATACTGGTGTACTTGTGAATTGTCTCTCTAAACTAAGGAAATAAGTAAACTATCAATTACTAAATCAGAGATAAAATATGTCAAATTGAATCTGATAGTTTGACCTTACAAAAAAATCAGAATTTGAGACCTGTTAATGAACTATTCGTGTATTAGGTGTAGATAATACCAACTACACACATCAAAGGCCCTCGAACTAACCTTCAAGCTCGCGGATTGTTTGGTTATATTTGGATTCCCTTCAATTTTTTTTCTTTCATTTTCTGTCTTCGTGTCGTTCCCTGAGTTGTTGTTGAGAGAGGGTAACACCCGCAGTTAACAGATACTTATAAAGATAAAGACAATGCCCTCAATTTGTGAAATTTAACCACGAAATCAGTTCGGTGGATGTGTATCATCAATGTGTATTTACTTCTATACTATATGTCATTATATTTTATGTACAATATTTAATTTAAGCGTTTTCGTGGAAGTTTGGAATGCCCAATGCTTTGAGATTTTCAAATGGCGAAGAATTGAACTTCAAAGTTCCAGCCGTTACCACGCATATTCGGATTACCATTTTCGTTGTTCTCATTATCCTCTTGATTTTGTTGACCTATTGGAATGCCATTGACTTGAACGTTCCATCCTCTCCTCTCTGCCATTTGTCTAAGAAAGAAAGAACCAAAGAAAAATATCACAACAAGAACTAGTGTGAAGATATCTTCGTTTACTATGTTGAACCCACTCAAAAATCCACCTTCCTCACCATCACTAGCCAAGTTGCTGTCCCATCCAGATTCTACAGTAATTTTATGCTTGTGACTATCAACATTATCCGCTGGTTTATTTGAAAACGGCCAACTGAAATAATTGTAAAATAATTTTTTGCCATTTTTTAAGGTTCTGATTAGTACCAGTTTTTGTTCTTCTATCATCTTGTATGGAATTCTGTCTCTACCCAGGAGCCATGTTGCAAACGATTTCAATTGTAACTTCATTACATTCAATTTGATCGCCATATATAATTTACCATCACGTTCCAGAACCTGATCATAATATCTTTTGGCTAAATGGAAATCTACTGGGACACCGAGACCGTACTCATACATATAACCAAGGTTCCAAATAGCTTGAGTAGAATATTTCAAAGCTGCACTTTGATATAATGAAAAAGCTTTCTCATAGGTTTCAAGACCATAATAAATATCCCCTGCAATGACACCAGCATCGATATTATTTTGTTTAAATGCCCTAGTATAATAGGTTACTGCTAATAACTTTCTTTCTTCGGTAGTGATTGGGGGATCATCTAACTCCAGTGGAACTTGGTACAATAGATAAGCAGTAGAAACTTGTGCCGTCTCATATCCTTGTTCAGCAGCTTGAGCATATTTCCATAACGCCACTCCTGAGTTCCCTAACAATAACTCATTGAATGCAGACCTTAAGTGAGGCGCCATTTGACCTTCATTTTCTTCTACAAAAGTTTTATAATTATATGCAGTGTTTTCACAACTATAGCGATCATTAACGCCTTTTTCAAGCATATTTGCGTATTCATATCTTGCTGGTATAAAACCCTTGGATTTTGCTTGTTCCATCAACAAGAAGGGATCACCTAATAACAAATCTGGGTATTGGCTTGTCAAAACTGATAGCTGGTACTCAACAATACCATTATTATTCGTCTTTCCTTTACCCTTCTTGTAATATTGAATTGCTTTTGTATCATTAAAATAATAATATTGGTAGATTAAACCAAGATCTACATTTGCACCGCTTTTAACCTTGGAGGAAGATTCAATAATTATCAATGATCGTTTTAAATATTTTTCTGCTTTTGCTATATCTGGTTTTTCAAGATCATCACCAGTGAAATATATATGACCCAATAAATCCAGACATTGGCCATAGAAATATCTCTGCAAATTATCTAAATATGCAACATCTGCATCATATTCATAGTATGTGGCCTCTAAAAGTAACCGGGCTCTTGTGGCATTTTTGACAGATGTGTATGTACCTACATATTCATCGAATGCAGTGTAAAAAATATCAACAATCTGGTCATCAGTTTCATCATTTTCATCTACCAAAAAGGGATTAGAACGATCTGTGTTACCAAATCTCAACACGACATTTCCACCATTTATACTAGTAAGAACGCTTGAAGTAATATCAGGTCTTGCAGACTTCTTTCTAGAGGTACTTGTAGACATATGACTTAATCCTGTACCTAATAACCCATCTTCAAAATCAGGAACTCTGATATTAAAACTTTCCTCCGATGGAAATTGGAAAGACCACTGATCTTCGCTATATTTATCTTTTAATAATTCGGCTATCTCTTTATAAAGAATTAAAGCTCTATTCGAATCCCTTGGGACATTAATTCCACTGTAGTATTTATATGCTAATACCTGTTTGGCCTGAATATTTCCCAATCTGGCTGACCTCTGATAAAAGAGTAGTGCTTTTGCCGAATCAATCGGTATTGTTCCAAATAAACCTGTCGAATATGCGACGGCCTGTTGGAATAGCGTTTTTGAGTTTGTATAATTCGTTAAATGGTTATATTTGTCAAGATAACGGAATGCTAAAGTTTCATTATGGGGTATTCCATATAACGAATCTAAATATATTTGGGCTAAAGTATATGTGGCATTTTTGTTATCATAATTATCACTTGATTCTATCAACCAATTATGAAGGTCAACTTGATATTTTTTAGTTGGCTCTTTCCAGAACGCTTCAAATTCTAATTCTTCACGAGTTTCGTTGTGACTGGTTGGAATATATATACTGATATCTCCATCTTTTATAAGTTCAGGAGATTGCTGCCTTATGGCATCAGGTTTTTCTATCAATTGCGACATCAACTTTCTAGCTTTCCTCCATGGATCATCTTGTTGAGCTCGAATGCATTGGATCCATAACAGACTAGATATATAATTCTTAAATTTCATATTGATAGAGAATATCTAACAAACGAGAAAAAGGTTCCACAATATGTTTAAATAAATGTTAAAAAGTAGAACCAGAAACTGAACGTCTCTATGTGAATAATTTATAATTATTGTTATCAGTTAAACAATGAGTGTAAATTCAAATAATCTTGTTGCCACTTGCTGGTTAGCAAATAATTGAAAGCGATATATATCCTAATTCTTCAATCTAGGGAGGGCTTTTAATCGTCTTATACTCGCAATTCAAAATTCTAAGATATGGTTAACTCGATAGTTTATAATAATTCTTACTCTAAATTCTCTTTATTAATAATATATAATGTACGATTATATTTACGTTGAGCTGTTCTTTTTGCTTAACCGCGCGATGTTAAACCAGAAATAGAAGCAAGCCTTTAAGAAACTTGACCTAAAAGGTGTATCTGAACTAAATACGTTTTTTCCCAATGATACAATTGTCTTAGTTATACAGTCACTGTTATATATATATATATATATATGTATGTATGTATGTATGTATGTGTGTGTTAATATATTTAGCTTTCAAATTATGCAATCGACAATGACCTGTCTCACTTGTATATAAATGTTTTTATGTTTTAACAGGGTAGAAAAAGAACAAATTTGGATCTCCATAAAACTTGAAAAAATTCTTGAAGATATGACAAAGATCGTCTTACAGATCAATCAAACTAATACCTTGATCAGGAGCACTGCCATTGTTGTTTTGTTGTTGATATTGGTTTTGTGTTTGGAACTGTGGAGGCTGTGGAAAATTGTTTTGTTGTTGATTATATTGGTTAGTTTGATTTTGTTGTTGTTGTTGTTGTTGTTGAGTAGGTTGGTTATCTTGTGGCCCTTGGTTACCGAACCCATAACCGGTATGTAAAGGTACTATACCAGAACTTGGTAATCCTGTGTATTGACTATTTAAGAATGGATTATTTTTTGGTTCATTTGTTTCTTGGCGGTATCCGGTACCTTGAGAATTAATAAATGTACCTGTAGCAGTATGCTGAGCGGGGATACGTTGTTCACCGGTGTTACCAAAGGTATCAATACCTGTTCCATTTGCGAGCATTGTATTCAATTGACTATATTTCTGAGTAATTTCCTCATTACCAGTTCTTGTTTGTTTTAATGGTTGTTGTTGTTGAGGAGGAGGCGAAACTTGGTTTTGCATTGATTGTGGAGGCGGAATTTGGGTTTGTTGCATATTCTGTTGATTTAACGTTAAATCTGGTCTATCATTAAAGGAAGGTTGAACAATATTTTGTTGCTGGTTTGATATATTGTTATTATTTGCCAGGACAGGTGTGTTTAAATTATCCAAAGCAAATGGATTATTTGACCCTGTAACCAAAGGTTGTTGATAAGCAGCATTAGCTTGTTGTTGTTGCATTTGTTGCATTTGTTGCATTTGTTGCTGTTGTTGAAATTGTAGTTGTTGTTGATGGGCCATATACTGTTCTTGAGCAATTTTTTGTTGTTCTTGTTCTTGTTGTTGAGCCATATACTGTTCATGTGCAATTCTTTGTTGTTCTTGTTGTTGTTGTTCCCATAGATTTTGTTGTTGTTGATATTGATTATATTCATCTGCAGAAATTGGATTACCAAAAATATCAAAATAACCATTTGCCATTATTGTATTATTATTATTTGTTGTTTGTTGTTGTTGTAATTGATATTGTTGTTGGTGTAATTTTTGCATATCTTGTAAATTTTTTAATTCCTCTTCTTCTTTACTTAATTGTAAAGCAGCTTGAAATTCTGGATCTTCATCATCGTAAGATGCTAATTGTCTTCTACGTTCTTCATCTTCTTGAACAGTTAATTTACTTTCTTCAATAGCTTTTCTTAAATCATCATCCATGTTATTGTTATTATTATTGTTATTGTCGTTATTATTCGATCTTCTTGAACGTGAATTACCTCTACTTCTATTTCTTCTTTCGTTATTTCTATTTGGATTATTATAATTTCTTGATTGATTCAATCTTCTTTCATCTCTTAATCTTTCATCGTCAGCCAACAAATCTGCCAAATCTTTTGCTTTAACTCTAATAATTTGACCTTGATCAATATTATTTTCATCATCATATCTAAATTCTTTTAAAGTCTTAATAATGTATAAATTTTCTTTACACCAAAGTACACAATTTTCCGAACCAAATCTAACAAGATAATCTAAAACAGTTAAAGATTTAACAACATGTTTCCAATATTTACCTTTATCATTTAATCTTTTATCTAACATTTCCATAATTTCAAAAAATTCAACAGAATCATAAGTTCTAGCGGCAATTTCTTGCATTAATCCAATATTTGTCGATCTCATATCATTTGATGTAGCATCACGAACTAATACTTGAGCTGATGAATAGCCCTTAAAAGCATTCTTGGCAGAGCGTACAAATTGTTTCGACATCTATAGTTTATTTATAAGTTCTATATTTTGTTGAGTAGGTGGAGGGGATGTAAAACTTACACTATCGATACAGTTTCAAACACTTTTAATTTAATACAATCCTGTTGTTTCTTAGCTTCATTATCTACTAAGAGGAGTGTCTATCTATATATCAAATATACAACTTACACAGCAAAAAAAAAAAAAATATTAATTGTTCCTTGAGAGCCGTCTCTCTCTCAAAGTAAATTTTTAACCCCTTTTTGCGGATTAATAGTATGAGTTCGCTGTGTGTCTTCGGATTGTTTGACTGATCGCGCGAGTGTATGGGTGAATCTCTCTTTCGTTCTCACTGTTGTTGCAATGTAAAGAGAGAGAGAGAGAGAGAGAGTGTGTGTGTGTGTGTGACATCGGCTGCCTGCTAGATGGATAGTTGTATGTAGAGAGTTTCAGTGTATTAAGATCAAGAAAGCTACTGTTATAGTTAAAATATTGCATGTGTCTGTGTGTATATAACACTTGGTAGCCATAAACGGTGTATAAGAGTTATGAACGGTTTGATAGATGTCACAGATGGTTAACTTTCATATATATATATATAAGACTTGTTTGTAAAGCTATGTACTTTACATAGTGTCATCACCCCGTTTGTTTGTTTTTACAGTCAAAATATATCTTTTCTTGTTCAGCTTCTTGTCTTCTCTGTATATACTTATCCAATATATGAATTATGTGTATCGCTGCTGTGTGCAGTTAGGTGTATATCATCGGCGATATCGGGGCATCTATGAATGGCGGTGTAAAAAAATTGATTCAATTCTTTAACATACACAAATGAACTAAACAAAAAGGTTCACTCTATTGGTAATGAGGTGCAAATGTGAAACATATATTCTGGTTAGTTTATTTTTAATTCTAATTCTCTGAGATCAATAAGTTGTCGGTGTATATATATATATATATATATATGTGCATGGACATGGTAATGAGTATTTGTCGATTGTAATTTTAGTATCTTAATGATTATATGCTGAGTCTTGGTTTATATTAATTAAAATAGTATATACACACATACATACATACACAGAATGTCTGAAACTATTCCTTCACCAACCGATATTGGTGCCCTTGCAAACAGAATTAATTTACATACGAGAGATGCCCATAATAAAATTGATAAAGCAATGTCATTAAATATTGCATTTGCTTTAAGACATAGATTTATTTATGAAGATATAATTAAAACTTATTTTGTTGTATTTTCAACTATTGAAGATAATGTTGATAATATTTTAATTAATGATCCAAATAGTCAAACTGCAATAATATTAAAAAGTTTTTATGTTGATGAATTTAGAAGAAAACCACAATTATTGAAAGATTTAAAAATTCTAAGAATTGATCCAAGCTATGTTAATAATCAATGGCTAAATACAAGACCTGAGTTAATTAATTTTATTAATTTTATTAATGAAAATATTAAAGAATCACCAATATCAATTTTAGCTTATTGTCATGTACTGTATTTAGCTTTATTTGCTGGTGGTAGAATTATTAGATCATCATTATATAAAAATTTAGGTTTTTTACCCAATTTTGATCATTTAACAAAACAAGAAATGATTGATCAAGGAACAAATTTTTTCAGATTTGCTAAAACGACAGATGCTGAAAATAAATTGAGATGGTCTTATAAAAAAAATTATGAATTAAATACAAGAAATCAATTAACTGAATTACAAAAATTAAAAATTATTGACACAGCGGGTAAGATTTTTGATTATAATACGGCAACGTTATTTGAAATTAAAGATGTTAATAAAAATGAATTGATGCATAAATTTAGTTTTAAATTAATCACTTTTTTAATTGAAGAATGGAAATTTAATGATACTGTCATTACTCAAACTACTAAAAAAAATATTTTATTCAGTATTGCCTTTATTCAATCCGTTTTAGTTTATTTCATTCTTAAAAGATTAGTTGTATCGTATCTTCTTTAAGATCCACATTTCATAAATTATATATTTATATAGTCTTTTTTTATTAAATCATATTCTCATCTGTTGTTAGCACGTTGTTGTTTTTTGTATTTAATGGACTAAATTGTATTATTTTGTATGTAGTAATATATATTTACATGTTGAAGTAGACGATTGCTTCGTTGAATATATGTATGTCTTATTTTTTTTTTTTTGCCTGTTATTTTTGGTACCTCGAATATAAGGCTTGAGTTTATTTCAAATGACTGATCACATTTTACTTTCTTTTATCTACCTTGAGATAATTTTCTCTTTTCAGCTCTTTCCTTTCTTCTTCTCTTTCTTAATTTATGCTTCTTCATCTTCTTCCTTCTCTTTCTAAGCACAGAGTCTAATAACATACCATTATCTTCCACAGTTGGTAAAATATCTCCAATTTGTGTAATCGAACGTATTAAATCCTTTTCATTAACAAATTGGATCTCTGGAACACAATTCTTTATTTTATTCAAATTTTGGAAATTATTCATACTCGATCCACCCGTAACTATATTACCATTTATTAATGGAAATCGATTAAGTTTAATGCTGTTATTAACTTGGTGACTCAGTTGTCTTACGTGATTGATTCGCAACTGGGCCATATGAGATGTCATTCTCTGCCATCCACTTTTCAACATATTGAAAAGCTAGTTTATTTTTTCAAGCAAAGAGTTAGACCAAATACTATGATTACGTATATCTTAATAGAAAACTTAATTACAAACAATACAACGTATACCTTAAAATGAACAGCTTATATAGGTAGGCGATCATGGGTTTATTCTTGCAGAGTATGTTTATAAGTTTGTATATTGTTTCCAAACATTTGTTTCTCCCTTTCTTCCTCTCGGTGTTGAGAGCTCAAATTTTGAAGCTTTAAAAATGAGCGTATCGGCGAGAAAGGATTCTTAGCTACACGTGATTCTTAGCTATTTTTCTTTATTATTGAGAGAGGACCTTTGGTAATTTGCAAAACTTAATGAATGTAATAAAACATTGAAACAAATAAGTAAAATGATTCGAGAATGTGTTTGGTAATATATTGCTAGTTCAAGTGTCATTGAACTAACTAATCTCTGGAGTGTTTATTTTGATTTCATTTTATTTTTTTTGTATATATATAATTAATCATATCGCTGGATAGCTCGAGATAATAAAATCTGAATTTATGAGGAAAACGTTTTGAAATAGTTCGAATATAATTTTAACGATGATTTATTCAACAGCAATAAAACGTTCCAGGGTATCCTATTACCAATTCAGTCGACTCAAACCAACATCGTATTTGTTACCTATAAATCAACGTCGAAATATTATGGGATTTGTAAGGAATGCCCTTGGTTTAGAACCACCTTCAGTAGAAACTGATCCCACGCCAGAGAATAGATATCACCCTTGGGATCAATCACCTTATCCACAGATACGAGAAAGGGCTAAAAGAATAATGGAAGTAGCCAAATGTCCAGTGACAGGTAAAAATATTCAATATATATGTCCTTTGTCAGGTATTCCTACTCATCACTCTAAAGAAGCCTGGGAAATGGATAAAAATTATCATGATAATAAAATTTATGAAAAATTAAAGAAAGTTAATATATATGAACATGATTTGAGAAGTGGAAGACCGTTTCCTGAATTTGAATTTCCTTTGAGTCAAGGTAGAGATAGAGTCATCAATATGACCAATTGGGATTTATTTTTTTATACAAGAGGTTTCTATTCAATGGATACAGAATTCCAATTAGCTGCTATGACTAAAATGTTAAGTTATCCATTAACTATTGCATCTGTCCTATCTCAATTTTCTCCATATTTTTTAAACCCTAAGGGCCCTGTAACATTAGAAGGTTTAAAATCATTGGCAGCTCTTCGTTATACCCTTTATTCAAATCAATCCGGTAATGGTAATGCTAGTGGTAATTTATTGACAAGAGCTATGGATCCAAAAATTGATAGTAAGGTCAAAGAAGTATCGTTAAAGAATAGACCTATACGATTATTCATTCTAGGTGCAAGAGCCGAGACACAACTTCCTGGGTATGTATGGAAACAATTACAATATTTATTTCCTTTACAAACATTCGAAATTTATTTTATTGGTCCCGAATCTTATTATGATAATCAACAAAAAAAATACGTCAGAAGACATGATGGGAAACCATTTATACGAAAAGTTGATGAAACTTTAAAGTTAATCCATTATACTGATTATTTTAATGTATTTCATAAAATGGAAGAGTTTTATCCTTATGATCCATTCTTTGATTGTTTTTTCACTTTCCATCCAGGATTTTCTTCACCAGGTAGCACATCAATTGCCAAAGGTAAAGATACATGGATTAACAGTGGTACAATGAAAGCATTACTGGACACCAAATGTGCAATTTTCACCACCGGGTTTAATGAAACAGATATTATCAATGATATGACTCTTTTACAAAATAAATTTAATTCTGAAATTGATATCTTGATGAATCCAATTGAAAATGTATTCAAGAGTACAAAATGGGAATTGAATGATTTTAACCCTCAAGAAGTATATCAATTTAACATGTATATAGCTGGTTTTAGAGGTAAACGTTACCACACTACAGAAGGGTCGAGGTCATCCTTTAGAAGATCTCTCAGGGGTCAGTAAGGCACTATTGGATTATAAACATTAAAAATTAATCTTTTACCCTTAATTAAATCAACGACAGTAAAATATTCTTAAATTTAGCATAGCATAACATATTAGCATTATTTATTCAGAACTGTATATAAGTAACTCTAATAAAAGAAAATACATTCTTCTCGGAAACAATGACAAGATGATGCATTCAAATAAAATAAAATCATAGAACTTTCATTCCAGTTGAAAAATACGTATCCTTTTTTATTACCATTTTGAGAAATACCTTTAATGATAGTGTAGTCAGCGAATGTATAATTTATGCTTCATGTCGTTGTGTGTTTCGTTGTTTTTTTAATATGCAGAGAAAGAAAAAAGTAAAGTAAGATTTTGCATACTCGAAGGGAAGGGGGGGTGCATATACAGATGCAGAAAGCTTAGTCGAAATAAATTGTAAGCAGCAGCATTGAACATATTTGTGACTAGTTTGTTTTAAATACACAACATCAACAAGGTACTAACAGGATAATAAAGAAAATGTCTCGTTTGATTGCGAAGAAGTTGCTTCAAGGTAAGATTACAACCCCATCCAAGATTTGTGTGCGGTCCTATCACCCGATTGCAAAGGATTATATCAAGCCTATTACTATTGAACCATTGACTTATACAACAGATTCGTTGCAAAGTAAAGTGCTTGGCCATTGTCTTGCTAATAACGTCCCTAAACATGGGTTTAAGGAAAAAGCTATTGTACAATCAATTAATCAATTAGGTCTCTCACCATCACTAATATCAGTGTTAGGTTCATCTAACTCCCCATCGTTTTTTCATTCATCGCCAGCAGTTTTAGAATTGATAAAATACCATTTGGTAACTAAAAGACATGAATTGACAAAGGATATTCCACAAGATAATATTGATCACAACAACGGATTGCCATCATTAGAAGAATTGATGATCAAACGTTTACAAATGGATATTCCTGTTGGTGGCCAACTGACAGATCTTTTTGCCCAATTATCAATTCCAAGCCAATATTTGATGGACACTGCTTTACCAGAACTATTTAATTTAGCAGATGATATGATATATTTCTCGAACGAGAAGGACCATTTCGATATGGCTTGGTACACAAAGAGATTAGGTGTTTCATTTACATATGTTACAAGTAAATTATTTATGGCTCAGGATAAATCCCCAAATTTTTCAGAAACTATGCAATTTGCTCATGATAAATTGTACAATGTTATGAAACTTGGTGATTATTACAATAATGCGGAAGAATTCGCATGGTACACTTTGATGGTTTCTACAAACCTGATCAAATCTCAACTGGCTAGAAAATAATGAAATTTTTGATTAATTGAATTACGATATATATATATATATATGACATTTCCATGTAGATAGACTGTCATTTAAACAAAAACCATTTGTAAATTTGAAACTTAAGATTAATGACGTATATAAGTATTTTGAATTTTTTTTCTTTTAAAATTATATGAATTTATAACCCTATGACTCTATAAATATATGAAAGGTGAAAGGGAGGACGAATTATATGTATTGATTCATATATTGGGGATGAGGGCGTGTTGGTTGTACGTTTATGTGATATATAATATCTGATTTTGTAACTATTAGATTTAAAGCAAAAATCTATGTTTCATGGTGGTAATACATAATTTACAATAAAGGGAAATTATCCTAGAGTCACCTTATTTTGTTTGATTCATCAAGGCACCTCTCAATTTATCCAATTCACCTTGTTTATCCTTGATATTTTTCTCACATCTGTCAATTTCATTATTTATGAATTCCAATCTTTTATTAACGTTACCACGCGCTTCATCCTGCTCTACAGGAAGAAGAACATTACCAGTTAATTTATAAATCGGCGTATCATCTTGTAACGTTTCAAACTCCTCCGTGACGATCTTATTTTCTTGTAATTGTGTTTCTAGTTTTTGTCTGTTCATAATCAGATCTTCTAGATCACCCTGAACTTTTTGATATTGTGCACCTAGGTCTGACATAATTGAAAGTAAATAGTATTGGTAAGTCGCTACTCGAGATGATGGAGATTATTATAATTATAGTATTAAACTTCCTTTTGATATATTTCTATTGTTTTAAGTGGTTTTATCACTTCATTGAATAATAATAAAATTTCAAACTGGAAATTTTCTTCTTTCGATGATGCGCTTAGTTAACAAAACAAAAGAAGTGTAACATTTAGGGTGATGTGCAAAGTAAGATATTTTAAATGGATGACATGGTTACTAATAACCTTCAATCCGAAATGGTAAAAGGAAGCTGATCATAATAGCAACCGATCAGTAGGTGTTTATCCATAATCTATTTACAAATTTTTATCATGCTTGTATGTCAAAATACCCGATTCCCAGTTATATGTTAGATTCAACCCTAAATAAAGTAGTTGAATCAAGAAGGTGTTAAAAGTCCCTTAACTTTTTTTCTTCACTTTTTACTAACAATTTCTATGCTGCCCTAATAATATCCATTAATGTTTCTAAAAAATAAAAATGTGAATATTATTACCACTATCTAATTTTATAGTTCAAACAATGGAATGAGTTGTCTATACCTAGACATGAGTTGGATTACCCAATTCTGACATCAAAGGAAGAATCCCTACAAAGTTTGCCATTACCAACTGTTTCCATACCTATAAATTTAAATTTAAAAGATTACGATGCAGTTTATATAACAACCAAGCTTATGAATCCTTTGTTTCCTAAAAAATTCCTTAACATTAAAGAAGTCGGTTCCATTAAAATGGCATTATCCTTTGAAGAAACAGGTCTGAATGAAGGTAACTATTCTTGGAATTTTAATGAAAATTTCCCAGAAGAATTTGACCCAGCATCTCAAGAAGAAAATGAAGAAATAAAGAAATCCTTCAGTTTTGAATTCCCACTCTTCCATATCCCTAATAATAATAGTCTGTTGATTTCAATAGACGAAAATTTTTTGAAGCTATCACCTATCTTTGACAATGTTCTTGCTAAAGAACTTGCGAACCTTCTTGTTGATTGCAAATATATATTTGTAATTGGGACATCGGATAGAGTCATGGATTCTAAAAGCATTACATGCTCTGTCTGTAATCTGAATCCACCGGAATTCGTTAGTGGCTTCATTGGTTCATTGATATCGAATTTGGCTATTCAACCTGTCTCGAATTTTAGTAGTATTATTGTGCCAAGTGAAGGACCTACTGGCTTTGAAAAGATTTCATTGGAAACTATGAACGAATTAGTGCATACTTTCATGGATCAATGGAATAATGAAATTGATACTCAGAAATATTACGAAGAATGTAACAAATATTGGAGATTTGATGGATCTGCAATGAGTACCCAATCGGGGTTATATATTTAGTGGATAACGACGTTTAATTATTACATAAAACACACAGCATATTACATATTGTTTATAAAATGATACTAGTTAATTATTTAGTAATTGCCACCAGGAGATTCCAATTAAAATAACACATGAACTAAATTTAATATTGACTCCAATATCTATTTTCAAAAAATAATAAAGCTAAATATACAGTACATAGATATATGGGAGGTAGTTACGGATAATCGTCTATCCTTGATTTGGATGTAAAAAGAGGTTCAGTTTTGGGTTCGCTTTCTAAAACGATGAAATGACGAGTTGCTAAAATGAAAATAAATGGAAATATAAGATGAAGGGGCATAGAATAAATATTAATCAATCAGATAATATCATTTCTTGCTCTTCTTTTCCTTCTTAGATTTCTTATCCTTCTTTTCCTTCTTATCTTTCTTTTCTTTCTTTTCCTTTTTGTCTTTCTTTTCCTTCTTTTCCTTCTTGGACTTCTTCTTTTCTTCTTGTTCTTCTTCTTCATCATCAGATTCAGCCTTTCTCTTCTTGGATGAAGTTTCCTCTACCTTAGTAGAAGCTTCTTCTGGGTGGTCCTTGTGATACAAATCCATAGCTTCTTTGATAGCAACTTCGTTTTTCAAAGTTGGCTTACCTGTGTTGTAGAATTCCAATCTTTGTTCAACTTGCTTCTTTAGAACGGTACCAAAAGCGTTGGTTGGTTCATCAGAGTAGTTATCAATTCTAGAAGCAATGGAACACTTGTTAGCAAGATATCTAGAGATTCTACCCTTGTTCTTGGCGGAAGCCTTAGCAATGAAACCACTGTGGTAGATTAAACCGTACTTTGGAGTGTTACCCTTAGTCTTTAGAGCTCTGAAAAGAGCCTTTTCAGCACCTAGAATTTGGACAGTTGATGCAGCTTGCTTGGATAGGTTGGTTAGAGAACCTGCGTGAGAAATCAATCTAGCACCAATAACTTCACCGATCAATTCAGACAAATTTGGAGCAACAGTGTGCATCTTGTCACACAAGTATTCGTATAATTGTCTTCTATAGTCAACAAGGTTAACAACTCTTTGAGCGAATGTACAAACGTTGTCCATATCGGTTTCAGAAATATCTTGACCCATGGAAATACGAGCATTGTCAATAACTCTTTGAGCAATACCAGCATCTTCGTTCAACAAAGCAGCAAGGTCATGTAAAGATTCATCATCTAGGGAGGCCTTGTCCTTAATAAACAAAACTAATTTGGCAAATGTGTAGTTATCTGGAACTAGCTTAGCTAATTCCGGGAAATGCCAACCATACCATTCCTTAACTCTCATAGCAAAAGTGTTGATATCCTTGTCTAGTTGATCGACCAAAGCAATAGCTTGGATGATGTGGTTATCGTTCTTTTGAACAGAGAACTTCACCTTGGCTCTGGAGTAAGCATGACCTAGACCAAGTTGGGCTCTGTCCAAATCACCTGGTTGCAAACCCTTGAATAGTTTTTCACCGTGTAATCTAACACCACGCAGTAAATCTTGAGCCAATTCATTGGCAATACAGTCAACATATGGGAAAACTTCCTTAATGGATGGACCTAGATTCTTGTCAGAAATAGCTAGAGTGATGGTTTTACTCTTAGAACCCTTTGGTAAGTTTAGTTCTAGGATAGATTTCAAGCTCTCAGAGACTAGACCTTCAGAAATATCGTTGGCATTTTCTAAAGCTTCAGCTGCACCTTTGAATGGGGCAAATGATTCTAGTTCAACCAACTTGGTGAAGGAACCAAAGTCATTGATTTCTTTTTGAACTTCAGCAAGTTTAGCACCAATGTTGTCTTGTTGTAGCTTTACCTTGAAGACAGCATAACCAGTAGGTTCTTCATATAACAGATATTCGATAGGAGCCATGATTATCACTTCGTCTATAACAATTTCGCTCTTGATTAAGTATAGATGCAAATTTAGTTAATAAATATAAACAAAATAAAAACTTTAATGTATAAAATAAAACTCTTGTAATAAATATATTAAACAATTATATTATAGTTATTGATAGTTCGAGTGTGCATCTCACTAAAGAAAGGTTCCATTGCTCAGTGTATGTAAGATGGGGTTTAGAATCAGTCGAGGTCTCAGAAACTCATCGCAAAATTTGAAGAAAAAAAATTTCACTGCGAAAAATTTTCAATCGCTTTGCACGGCCCATCTCATCGAAAATAAGTGGAAGAAAAAATCTTTGAAAGATGGCCTTAGTCTCTCTCTGGTCGTCGTCGTTTGTGACAGATTTCGGTACATTCCTTTCTCTTTAAATCATGATGATTTATATATTCTCTATTTAATACTGTACATGGTTGGTGGGCAATCTTTATGTTGCATCTTTTGGCAATATTATAAGTAATTGCATTTATTATATAGTTAAAGAATAGACATAACTCCATAGGTAGTTAGACAAATGAAGAAATGAAAATTGATGACGAAGTTAATATGGGCATAGATAAATTATTTTGGTTTAATCCTCTTCGGAGTTCTGTTCTTCACCATCTCTCTCTTCCTCATCTTCACCTTGATCTTCAATTTGCATTACAGTGTCTGGATTATCATTCTTTATGTACTTTCTTGCTATTCTCGAACTTCTACCAAGCTTCTTGGCTTCTTCTCTAGCTAATTGTTGGACACCTTGTAATTCATCAGCAAAACTCTTACGGACAGTTCTGTTAGAAAAGACATCCCATAGTTTTAGACCCTTGTTAACACCTCCGATAACCATAGTACCTGATATTTCAATATCAGGAGCAAAAGATGTGGTTAAGACATTACCAACATCAAAATCACGAGATAAAACCATATTTGGACCTTTATTTGAAGTTTCTTCACCTGTAGGGAATTTCCATAATTTGACAGTTTTTTCACCCATGGCACCTGTACTCATTAGACCAGGGATAAAGTTATTGACAGAAAGTGTTGAGATACCGGAATCGTGAGCTTTTAGAGTCCACACAGGCTTAGATTCAGCATTGTTTCTAATATCGAATGAATAAACATTACCAGAGTCAGTACCACATAATATTATGTTTTCATCGGCAAAGACTGCAGTTTCAATTTCTTCACCTCTAGAGACAGACCAATATTTTGACATTTCAGATTCCTTGGAGATTCTGACATCAGATAGGGCCACACGAGAGTCGTAACCAGCAGTTAATAAGATAGAACCGTTAGTTTGATGCCATTGAGATGCAGAGACATTTTTATCACTGTGGATTGATGCAAGAGAACGGACGGCGTTACCGTTATTTAGATCCCACAATTTTACGGTGTGATCAGCGGAAGTGGATGCTAAAACAGAACGGAATAATTTATTATGGGCCATGGATAACACAGCATCTGTATGATGAGTTGTAATATGTTGACCTTTACTCTTTTTCTTATTCTTCTTTTTTTGGCCTTGTAAAGATGCAATAGAATTGTCTGTAGGTTCTCCTAAAATCATATCTGGGAAAGCTTTTTCAACACTATCTAAGTTCCAAATTTCAATTTGTGGATCAAATGTACCGATTGCAGCAAAGTTAGCAACATTGTCGTTATCATTGCTACCTGGTCTGTAATTAATCCATTCAGTACATAACGGGAAAGCTGGTAACATCAAATCATGGTGCACATATAAAGATGAATCTCTTACAAGACCCTTTGCAACATCAGGATCGATTTCGTCACCTTGTTCTTGAGGTATTTCAGTACTGTGGAAACCAGCACCATCATCATAGACGTATACATCCAAATAGGAAACATCATCTTCAGTTCTTGTTGCCAAAACCATGTTATCACTTGGGTATACTTGTAATTCTTGTTTTTCTTCGGTATTTTCTGTTTCTGTAGGTAAGGATAGATATGGATCCTCACCATTTTCACCTTCATGATATTTCACATTATCATTTGCCAAACCAGGGAACATTGTAACGTCTTCACCTTCATCGGTAGATTCAGTAAATTGAGCTTCTTCAATTTCATATTCTTTCATATCGTTATCTATATCAGTTTGATCTCTTAGTGCATTCTGGTTATTATAAGCTGATTCAATAGCAGCATCTTCACCTTCTTCTTTCACGTTTTCGTCACCATTGTTTTGATCTCTATTGATATTGGCTTCTTCAGCTGCCATTCGTTCGACTTCCTCGACGTCAATTTCATTTAGGTTCAAGTTTGCCATATTCTCGATTCTCTTAATTTCATCGTCGTCTAACTCATACTTTTCTGGAAATTCAGATGCATATCCTCTAGGGACCCAAGCTGTAGCAGAAATCATTGTTAATCAAAGCTGGTATTGCTGTAGTTTCTTTCTTACTTTTTCCTTAATCAAAAACAAAATATATATATATATAACTCAATCAAACATAAAAATATAGTTTTACCTAAAAGTACTATTCCTTACTCAAGTTGATTGTAATTACCTATTACATATTACTCTTCCTGCAATGGTTTCGATGGACTTCAGTACTAACCTAAGTCAGCGCATCGCACAAATCTCTACAGACCAGGGCATCGCCAACTTCACAAAGTATTTCAAGAAGCAAAAAAAAAAAATTTTCAATGTTTCGTAGACCGTGATCTTGCAGAAGCAGTTTGAATAATGGGAGGCTGAGAGATCTGTTCACCTGGAACGATCAACGTAGTCCAATGAGAGGGAGTGTTCCTAGGTTATTGAAGGAAAATGTTCTCTTGAAAAGTCATTAAAGATATTGAAGTTGTTAGAAAATTAATTGTTGAATCTTGGCTACTGTTAATCTGTTATAAACTTGATAGACAAGAGTAATAACTCAAAAAATAATAGAACTAAAATGGACCAGAAGAAATTAGAGGACCTCTTGAAATTGCTTCAGGTTAACCAAGGTGACCTGTCCAAATTGACAGAGCAACAAAGAAAGGATATGAAGGATTATAAATTTTGGAAGACTCAACCTGTTCAAAAATTCGATGAAGCAATTGACCAAGAAGGTCCAATTGACGCTACGAAAACACCTGCAGATGTTAGAGATGAGCCTTATCCAATGTTGGCAGAATTCGAATGGAGCACTGTCGATATCAATGACGCACAGCAGATGGAAGATGTTTTCATTTTGTTGAATGAGAACTATGTTGAGGATAAAGATGCTTCATTTAGATTCAATTATACCAAAGAATTTTTCCATTGGGCTCTGAAACCACCTGGATGGAGAGAAGAATGGAATGTAGGTGTTAGAGTTAAAAGTACAGGTAAACTTATTGCTTTCATTTCAGCAATTCCAATTAATCTAGCTGTTAGAGGTAAAGATGTACCAAGTGTAGAGATTAATTTCCTATGTGTTCACAAACAACTGAGATCAAAGAGAATGACCCCTGTCCTTATCAAGGAAATCACTAGAAGGGTCAATAAGCAAAATATCTGGCAAGCTCTATATACTGCTGGTGTCGTGCTACCATCACCTGTAACTACATGCCGTTATGCCCATCGTCCTATTAATTGGAATAAATTGCAAGAAGTTGGATTTACAGATGTTCCAGCTGGTAAAACCGCAGCAGAAATGGTAGCATTATATACTCTACCAAAGGATACTAAAACTAAAGGTCTGAGACCTATGGAATTGAAGGATATCGGTCAAATGATGACTTTATTTGAAAAATACGAATCTCGTTTCGAATTGGTGCAAGCATTTAACGAAAGTGAATTCACTCATTGGTTCTTAGGTGGTAATGGTAAAGAAGAGATTCCAGATGATAAAAAAGTGATCTTCACCTATGTAGTGGAGAATGAGGAAGGTAAGATAACCGATTTTTTTTCATTTTATTCTTTACCATTCACAGTACTAGAACACGATGTACATTCAGAATTAGGTATAGGTTACCTATTCTATTATGCTTCTGATGCAGATTTGAAATTCAGTGATAGATTTTCCGAGGATGCTACTAAAGCTCTCAAGACCAGATTAAATAGTTTGATAAGTGATGCCACTATATTGGCTAAGCGTGCAAAGATGGATGTTTTCAACGCCTTAACATCTCAAGATAATACATTGTTTTTAGATGATTTGAAATTTGGTCCAGGTGACGGTTTCTTAAATTTCTATTTATTCAATTATAAGGCGTTCCCAATTGGAGGTGGTCTTAAGGATGATAAGAGCTACGACATCGAAAAGCGTAGTAATGTAGGTGTCGTCATGCTATAGGACATGTAAATTTCTTTAAGTTAGATACATAAGATATTAAACTTCAACAGCATATAGAAATGGCACTATATTTCATTGTGTAGCGTATATTTATAATGGATTTATTAAATTTCAATAGTGTCACTCTTTTTAGTGATATGTCAAGATTTTTCTTATTCCGCGTATTTTGAAATTATTTTGAAACAATTTAAAGGGATGATTAAAGTCATTTGAACATTTCTAGAACAGGATTTCATTTAGGATTTTCTATATATTTAGTTTAAATGCCCCAGAATATAGAATCGATCGTCTGTTTCACTGGATTCGAATCTAAAGATGGCACCAAATCAAATCCCTTACCAAGTATGTACCTAGTTGAACTTTTCTTTTTCTACATTCAGTTAGGAAATTTATATGATTAATCACATAGACACAATTAAAACTAACAAAATATTCAAATAGGTAAAATTGAAAACATGTCTGAGAATGTGTATACAATATCTGAGGTATGCTCAGGATAAACAACAGGCTCTGGCCAAACAATATAGAAGAGATGTGGCACAGTTATTAATGAGTAATAAAGAACAAAAGGCCCATTATCGTGTTGAATCACTGATCAATGATGACATTCATGTTGAACTTCTGGAAATACTGGAATTATACTGTGAGCTATTGTTGGCAAGAGTATCGATACTGACTAGTATTCAAGATGAGGTTGATCTTTTAACGAATCATATAGAAGACGGTATAAATGAAGCAGTAAGGGCATTAGTTTATGCCTCACTCCATGCTAGTGAAGTTAAAGAGTTGGGTCAATTACGTGACTTATTAACTTATAAATTTGGGCAAGATTTTTTGAAAGTCATTTTGGAGGAAAAAGTCGGTGTTCCTGATAAAGTTCTAAAGAAATGTTCACCAAACCTTCCACAAGATGATCTTGTAATGCTCTATTTGAAGGAAATTGCTCGCACATATGATGCGCCATATAGTCAATTATCTGATGAGGAGGAGGAAGAGGAGGAAGAGAGGGACGTTGAGACTTCTGATGAGGAAGAGGAAGAAGGTGAGGATAAAAGTGAAGGAGATGATGTTCATTCAGATGACAAAAATGGGAACAATAGCAAGACTTCCCCAAAGAAAAAAAAGATTACATCCAAGAAGGATGATGATAAAAAGGCTATTGTTGCAGTAGATAATGATGTGGCACTAGATGAAGACGACGAGCACACTCCTATAACTGTGCGTAAACCCAGACAAAATAGTGAGACTATGAAAAAGGATCTAGTGATTCCGAAAGAAATAAAGAAGGATATTAAAATTGTTCATCAAAAGAAAAAATTGGATAATAAAAATGAGGATACGGAGCTCGAGGATCTTAAGAAGAGATTTGCTGCCCTGCGTAGATAGTGAACTTTTCCAATATTGTGATAGCTTTAATTATTAGTAAGTGATCAAGATTCGCATTTTGGAGAAAAACTTATTTTTCCATTCTAGAACTTTTTGTAATACCACAGCATGTTTAATTGATCAGGAAGACATATCTTACCTTGCTAGTGGATATTCATAATGCATTGGTATTTCCTTTACTAATATTTTTAAGCATTGCATTTCATTATATAAATAACTAATAGTATAATTCGACGTTACATGATTTAACTTTTATTAGGGCGTGAATTAAATGTATTTCATTCATATAGATTTAAAAATGTATATTATTTTTTCTTTTAATGCTCTTAAGACCAGTTTTTATTATTTTTCTTTTTTGAATGTTACTGAAACATTTAGAAACTTAAATTTGACAGATACCGAAAGCCAACAATAGCGCAAAAATAGTAATTTAGTAAAAGAACAAACCTAAGAATAATAGTTTAAACAAACTATTTCTTCAAATAATTGAAATACGAAATTGCCAACGGTTTTGACTATAACACATTATTATAGTCAAAAATATTTACAAGTGAGTAGAGAATACTTTCTTTCCTTTTTTTTTACAACTATTATTATGTATATATGAATGATGCTCCAACGCCAAATTCGCAAATGCTTCTATTTGATTTCATTAATTAATTGTATATATGTATATATGTATATATGCTGTTTTTGTTACATACTTTTTATAACTATTATGTTCGTTATTAGTGTCATTCGTCTTAACTGTAAATACCCTGGGTTATCAGTTGGAATTGGTCATATAATCTTGTGTAAACACTACCCAATGACTTACCGATTAAGAAATTCTCAACAAAACTGTCGACTTCTTCATCATTAACATCTAGATGGAAACGTTGTCTCAACTGAACACTAGTTTGATCGCCTGCTTCAAAACACGGTTGCATGTTATCCTTTTGCATAATTTCACACATAGATACGATCTGGTTAGCCTGTTTCCTTAATGCTCTGAAACCTTCTTGCATCAATCTAACATATTTTTTGTATGCATCACCTTGTAGGCCTCCAAGAACATCAACATACTCGTAGGTAAATTTAAATGGAGCGGCTTCAAAACCGACTGAACCCGGTGAATTGGATAACATAAACCCAAAATCAATATGGATTACATGACCCTCATTGTCGATCATAATATTACCATTATGTCTATCTTTAACTCTAAGGATATAGCAAATTAAAGAATATGCTGCTAATGAACATGCAAAATTATCCTGAGCTCTTCTAAATTTGAAACCATTTGGATCACCAAATGCACGAATAAAATGATCTCTTATACTTGCAATTCCGCCACGCTCATCTAATTCACCATCTTCAATCATTTTCTTGGTTAAGGATTTCTTGATACTATGAACAGAAACGGCATTAGTAATTGTTTCAACAAGACCTGTTGTAGCACTTGTAATTAAAATCCTCATTTTTTTGACCCAAATGTCACTTTTCTCTTTATTCCATATTTGTGCCATAGCTTGAATAATTTGACAGGCAAAAGCTTCTTGTCTCAAATCATCACCCGATTTAGCAATAACAGAGCAAAGATCCCAATTTTCCAAATGACCGTATTCGGATGTCTTTCTAATTCTCTCCTTTCTTGTGTTCCAATCTTCACCCAAATAAGAAGTGTCGATACCACCTGTCTTCAAATCGTTCTCCAATTTACGTTCACCTGCATCACCATGCATTGCTTCTAAATCACGATAACCAAATTTATCTTGAACTTCCTTCATTGAAGCAATAATCTGAGCACGTATTTGATTTGTAGAGTCTGATAACTGTTGAGGAGAACTATCTAATTGAGCCAACATTAGGGCTGATATTCTCATTTGATCAGCAAGATCATCTGTTTCACGATGAAATTCCTTAGAATCAGCGCTTCTCTTATCTATCACTTCATCCATATTTTGGGCAAAAGCAAGATCTGGACTTCTGTCCTGAGTATCATCCGGTAATACTGGTACCTTCGAGGCTGCCTTAAGAACAATAGAACTTCTATAAGCTTCTGCATCTGTTTGATTCTTTACACGAACCATTGACAAGTCCCCAAGATCCATTTCACGATGTTGAACTTCTGGAAGACTAGACGTATGTTGTAGTGGATTAGTGCTAGATCTACTGGCACCATCAGATAATATTTCATCATCGACAAGGACATCCGTTGAATCATTTAAGGAAAACATTCCAGTTTCTCTATCTCTTTTCTTACTTAAATAGTTTAGATCGAAAAGAGGTGTACTTTTGGAACAATTAGATTTTTTCAAAACGGTTATATTTTCATCTGTAGTAGGGTCAAAATCAAATTCATCTCTCAAATACTCGATTAATAATAAGTATGGAACTTTCTCGGCAGAATTTAATACTTGGGCTTCACTAGCCGTAATGGTTACTAATTTATGAAGCCTACCCTTTTTATTTGCGGGTAATAATGTCGGAATATCAACTTCTGCAGGCAAATCCCTATTAATTAATGATAATTCCGCTCTTAATGCACTCAACCGTGCCTCAGTTGGTACTTGAGCAAGACGTTGGGAAATAGATTCCAAAGCAATTGCAAACTGAGTAGCACAACGGAAATAATTGGCCTTTAGAATTTTAATTCTCTTAGATATTGGAATTCTATTTATATCTATCTCTGGTTGACTAGAATTACGTGTTATTGTTCCTCTTCTCGCTAGTGTATTTTCCGTCGGTGGTTGAGAATTGGAACGTATAAACTTTGGTGGTTTCCGTTCTGGGGATCCATATGTTGCAGATGACCTTACAGGATCAACCTTGTGTAAATTTGGCATTGAACTAGTATATTGATCTTTTGCTTTCAATATTTCAATTCCTGTTTTCTTCTTGTAAGATTTAGGGCTATTAACTAAATCTTCTTCTTTACTAATGACAGCATTGTCCATGATAACAGTATTATCTGTAAGTGTAAGTTCGTGACGTTCATTATCACTAACATATTTGTTTTCATAAACTTTATGAACATATGAATTATCAATAAATTTAGTTTTCCTCTTTGGTAATTTAATTGATCCTGAAATCTTTTCTGAGAACATTTGTTCTCCTACATCATCAATAATATCAAAATTCAAAGAATGTTCTTTTTCTTCATCCTTCTTTCTTGGTTTTCTGAAATTAGTATCTTCTTTCGTAGTAACTGCATCAACAATATCTACTGGAGTGTCTGGTAAGGATATAGCATTAACGTCTTTTTTCTTTCCTTTGGAAGATGATCTATAAAAAGTCTGTTTATTAAGTTTTGTATTCTTCAATGTAATATTTTTAGTAAAATCTCTCATTGCACTCTTAGCTAACTTAAAGACATATGCCTTTTGTCGTCTACCTTGAGATTCAACCATTGGTTTTGCCATAGATGCCATTTCAGGTAAAGCCATACATGACATCATCATCGATGCTAACACTAATGCAGGTGCAACATTTTCATGAATCTTCTGTACTTTCTTTTCATCCTCTAGAGAATTAATATTAAATAAACTACTTTGTAATTCATTTAATACTCTTCTTGCGACTTGAAATCCATAAGATTCTGGATCTAAGGATAAGTCAGCTAAAAGAGCTTGTAATTGCCAGAATGTCAACAATGCAAAATGTGGATTTTCATTCTTTAATTTTAATATTAAATCTTCTAAAGCCATAGATTCTGTTTCAATAGTTAATAATACTTGAACTAATTGTGGAATATAAAATTGTAATTCTGAATGAGGGAATGATAATAACTTTTGACATAAATAATAATGAATCCCCACATTATTTGAATAAGTACATATCAATTCAATACAATCATATAAACTAAATTGAGGTGAATTAATAAACTCTAACAATTTTTCATTCTCATTAAGTTGTACAGTACTTTCTCTCTTTGGGAGACTCTCTGTAGACATCTGAACTTCGGTATCCAATACAGGACTCTCTACACCCATTGTCGTATTATATTTGTAACTAGTATCAAATGGGTAGAGTTATATGTTGATTCCTTTATGCTAATAAGTATATTGGGACAGATAACAAAGGGAGAGTGAAATTTTAACCATAAACGTAGCCAGATAATATCTCTTATAACTGTAACTTTCACTCAAAGGAGAATGTTAAATGCTGAGCCTAATAGTTCTTTTCAATAGACAGATTAAACAAATGGTAACCTTAGTTGATCTTTGTTTCTAATAATGTCAGTTTTTATTTTGAATACCAATGGCCTTGTCTCTCTGCCTCTGAAATTGTTTGTTTTTTTTCCCTCTCCCTTTCTACGTAAGAAGATGCCAACAACAACAAACAAGATGACAAAAATATACAATATGAGAGAGAGAGAGGAGGCGAACAAAGCAAAAAATAGAAAAAAAAAAAAATAATAATAATATGGACACATACCTTTTAAACCAACAATAGATGAAAAACATTAAATAGAAGACATACTTTCTGCATGCAATTAATGCAAAGAAAAGACTTATTTAAACAAAAACAAGTTCTAAACGTAAGAAGTACAACTGTTATAGATTATTGTTAATATTATTTTAAATGTTTGTAGTACTAGTATATATTTTATGTATATGACATGGTGGGAGGAGGAATGAGGTGGTAGTTGTGATACTATGTAACTTGAATATCAAACTCTGCCTTCACTTTATATTGTTCATTAATATTATTAAAATGTAGTAGTATTATGAAAAAAATAATGCTCTTTTAAAGAAGAACTAAATCATTACAATATCTGGAATACCCAGTTCTTGTGACATTCTTTCTTTCGAAATATGTAAGGATGTTATTATCATTAGTTGTTATACTAGGACCAATACTAAATACATCTTTGTTCATAAAATAAACAAAGATAGGATGATAGTAATTGTAATATGCTTATGCGACTGCTGCCCAGAATTTTTCCCAAGCAGTCTTTGGTTCATCATCTTCCCAGACAATGGCCTCAATTTCTCTTCTATCGGTATCGATATCAATGTCTTCAACTTTCCATATGAATCTACATCTATAATATAATTGACAACCTGTGAATAAAACCACAAGGATAATTAATGAAATATATGATGTGAAGAAATCTGCAACTTTAAAAGTTGGTGAAAATGCTTGGAAACCTTGAATGAAAATAATAACGGTAACGAAAAATGTAGCATAATAAGCACCCCATGGCATGAATTTAGCCTTAAATGGTAAATCATCTCTAGAGATACCACGATATTTCAAAGCAGCCATAAATCTGATATGGGATAAAGAAATAAAGACCCAAGCACATAACCCAGCTAAAGTTGAAATATTAACTAACCAATTGAATGCAACATTAGCATTATTATTGACAACTAAGAAAGCTAATAAACCTAAAGCAGCTGTAGTTAAGACACCCATATATGGAACACCATAACGTGTAACATAAGAATAAATCTTTGGAGCATTACCAGTTTGAGCTAAAGAATAAAGGACACGAGATCCAACATAAACATTAGAATTAGCTGCAGACATAACAGTAATCATAACAACTGCATTAAAAATATGTGGTAAAGCTCTGGTACCTGCATTAGAAATAGAAATAACAAATGGAGAAGATGCAATAACAGCAGTATCAGAATTAAGACGATCTTCATTATATGGAACTAATAAACCAATGAAAAATAAGGACATAATATAGAATAAAACAATTCTAAAGACGACTTTATTAATAGCACGAGGAACAGCCTTTCTTGGATTAGCAGCTTCACCAGCTGTAATACCAACTAATTCAGTACCTTGATAAGTGAAAGCAGCGTTAATTAAGGATGCAACCCAACCAAGGAATCTAGCTTCATTTTTATTATCTGAAATAATACCTGGACCCCAAGCACCTGGATTTCTCCAATAACGGAAACCAATTGGACCTTGATGGGAACCACCACAAACAATAATTAAAGCATAAATTAAATACCCAATAATTGCAAGAACTTTAACAGCTGCAACCCAAAATTCAATTTCACCATAAACTTTAACAGGGAAAAAATTCATTAAAGTAATGAAAGTCCAAAAGATTGCAATCCATGCAGCTAAAGGTACAGTTGTTGTCCAATATTGAATAACTTGACCGACAACAGAGACTTCAACAGCATAAGTAATAGCCCAGTTAAACCAGTACATATAACCATTAGCAACACCAAATGCAGGTGATAAAAATCTCTTTGAAAAGACAGTAATTGAAGAAGTAACAGGAATAAAAGTTGCCATTTCACCTAAAGATTGTGTAACGAAATAAATAATTGATCCCATAAAAATATAAGCAATTAATGAACCGACTGGACCTGATGAAGCTAAAGGTGTTGCAATACCAACAAATAAACCTGTACCAATAGTACCACCAAGTGCAATCATACTAGTATGACGTTCTTTTAAAGCACGTTTAACCTGAGTATCATGTATTTCAGCTTCTTCGGTATCATCTTCATCCATATTAGTACCTCTATGAGCCAAAGAATCACTTATTGAATGAATATCAAATCCATTAGTTTGGAATTTTTTTTTCTTTAAAGATTTTATATCTTGTGAATCATTAATAGCGGATTCTGTTTGTAATATTTCAATTTTATCATTAGAATATTCTAGTTGAGGTGATCCATTTTCATGAATGGAAGATATATCTTCATCTGAATCCATTTCTTTCTTGGACCTTATTAGATTCCTGAATCTGCCCATATTTATAATTTTGTGTATGTGTATGTATCAAAAATAATGTTAAATTATTATGAATTATCTTTCTATATTATTAGTAATACCAAAATAAAAAAAGATAAATAAATGTAATAATAATTATTTTAACTTTCCAAAAAAAAAATAACAACAAATAAATAAACTTTGTTCACTTATATATGCTTTCTAAAAGAAATTAATAAAACCCAGAATGTTAAAAGATAATAAAATGACTAATTCTTCTATGTACTTCAAATGAAGATTAAAAAAATACTAGGGAATTAACAATTAAAAAGAACACAAAGGAATGACTAAAAAAATTAAAATAACAACCTAAGTTTAAAGGTGTGTTGTATGTATGTATATCTTTTCTTAAAGCTTCTGTATGTAGATATAGTTAAACTATATTGTAAATTAAAAGAATTGAACAATAAATAGTGTGAAAAAAGAGGGTGTCTCAAATATTTATATGAAAGTGATTATTAAAACTATATACATCATATTTCTTATATAGCAAGGATCATTAAATTATTTGAAAGCAAAAAAAAAAATATGTATGACCCATCCATTGAGCAAGCAATTAAGCAATGGGTAAGTTCATTAGGTGAAGAGAGATTAAGCTGAAAGTAAGAAAATTTTTCAGTTTTGCAAGGTAATTTAAAAAGAAAATACGATGTTCTTCTACGCGGTAGTACCAAGAGAGAGAACCTCCTCACAGGACGAGCATCAAATTGCTATAAGAAAATGGGCGCATTATTTAATTAAATTGCTTGCTTGCTCGCTCTGTTTGTGCGTGAAGTGTATTTCCCGCTGATCTGCTAATAAAACCGTTCTTTCTTTTCCCGCTCAGAAAGCAAAAGAGCTTTTTTCGCCACGCAACTTTGTGCGATGGGGGGCGCTAATTTCAATTTCCAATTTTTTATGTGTCTTTCTCAATTCCACGGGCTACTCTCTTTCATCTTTGGCCGCGGTGTGTGGGTGCACCCCAGCTTATTTTACTGTTTCCTTTCCCAGTGGAGGTCCCGGGCGACAAAGATTTCCGTCTCTACGGCTGTACTCATCATTTCCGTCGGCAAAGAAGCCGTGACGTTGTTTTGAGATGTAGTCTCCGCCGTAAAGTAGCGAAAATGGTGTAGTAATTCCACTGCTACTACTACCACGCCCCCAAAGAAAATGCATGGGGAAAGAAGAAGGAAAGGAGGATTCCATCGCTTTTTAGTATATTTTTGTGCCAAACCCTGCGCATCTTTCGTGGTTCGTGATGAGCCAGGGAAAAAGGGTAATTCTTTTCAATTGCCTATTTTATTATGATGTAATTTTAGACACATTTAATATGTGTCTATATATATTATACTGGCCATACTATATGCCAGTTATCAGTCTCATTTGAAAATAGTTGTTTATATATATATATACATTGAAGTTTTCTTAACTTTGGTTAATTTTGAACTCAGTGACTGTGGCGTGGCCCTCGATTATTCCACAGCTTTAATTTTTGTTTCACACGGGCACTTTTTTCTCCGTCTGCTAAATGAAACTCAAGAAATTCTTAAATAAGAGATGGAATGAATAGGTTAGAGTATGGTCCGTGGAAAGTGACGCCCAATGCAATAAACTATAATAGGTTAAATATATATATATATATGATTTTAGGTAACACTAAACTACGTCATCTTAAAATTACGAACATGACTATTTTTTTTTAGTTTTTTCCTCTTTCTTAATATGTAATCCAGGATATTTATCATTCCAATATTGTTCACCTTGTTTTTCATAAACTTTTCTTGCTTTTCTAAATGATTTATGTAAAATCTTATTATCTAATGGATTTTTACTTAAGTCTAACCAATATTTACCAACGTAGTACGGCTGTGAACTTATTGATGATGAGGGTTGTTGTACAGACGATGATCTATTGTTACAACCATTATTATTACTATTGTTGTTATTTGAATTTGAACTTGTTTGAACATTAGAATGCCTCATTTGAGGTGTCGGTATTGTCACACAAATTTCCTCCTGTTTAAAATTATATTTTTTAATCAATTTAGCTTTAAATTTCTCTCTTGCTTTCCGGTTCTTATAATAAGATTCTTTCTCAATCAACGAAATAAAGTAATCTTGACAAGCTTTATCATCATAAAATAAATACCTTGTTCTTGTCAATTTATTCTCTTTAACAAATTGATTCATTGTGATAGCGATATCATGCCATGATTTAGAATCCATCGAAGGTTTCCTTTCCACTATCTCTAAAAAAAATTTTATATGACCTTCAATACCAAGGATATCATGTGGTTCATATCTATCAAATAATGGCACACAAATACCGAAACAAGCAATGACAGTACCTATTATACTCATTGGGATGTAACCGTCTTCAATATCTACCGCATAAAATAAACACGCTGCAAAATAAAAAAATGATGCAACACCTAAAATTCCTCTTAATGGTAATGAATATTTACATTCATTTAAATAATATCTGAAATATCCATTGAATCGATCAATTGGTAATTGGTCTGTTTCCATCCTATCTCAAAAATAAAATAAAGAAAAGATGAAATTTATTCTACTGTATTACTTTCAATACATATAAGTAAAACAAGAAATTACAACATTATTAATAAAAATACTTATCTTCTTAGAAACATAAATGTATATAAATATAGAAACACACACACACGTATATATACAAAGGGTCTACACTGTGCCTCCCTCTACCAACCTTTACTGGCTGCATCTATCTAGTATACTATGGAACAACGACTGCAAATCGCGAAGAATAATTACTTAGCATTATATAATAAAAACCTTTGAGAAACCAAAACTTTAACTACTGCTCTATATCACACGTACGCACGCAAATTAAACCATATTTTAATGCAAGAAAACCATTCAAATTCTGTCTGTCTCTAATTGTTTTAATGTGACGGGGGACCCAGCAAGTTTTTTTTGGATATATTTATTTTTTTGGTGTCGCTCGCCGGCTCTCTCTCTCTCGATATTAAATGCTGACGAAGTGTCGTTTTTCGTGAGTTTTTGGTGGTCCACTTTTAATACCAACAATAATAATATTAAGCAAAAAAAAATTAAAAAAAAGGTAGTTTCTTAATATATACGTAAAGTAAACATCTATTTCTCTCTCTGTTTATACATTAGCTACCATTGATTTGTATCTAGGTATACTATATATTTATTTATATAGAGACAACATCAACCTGTGTTCGATTGTGTATCATATCCCGTCGTTTAATCTAGTGGTTTCCCTTATTACCATATCCTTTCAATAATACCATTAACAAATTAGATTCAAACTTAAACACACACACACACACACACACACACAACAATGTTGAGGAATTTGAATTCTAAGGATTCAAATTCTAGTGGATCCAATGGATCTAGTCAAAGTTCTAGTCAAATTACAGGGTCTGGGTCTGGTTCTGGTTCTGGATCTAGATTATTTCAAAACTTGAAAAGATTTGCAAATTCAAATAGTGCAAATTCTAATAATCAAATTACTACTAGTATGATAAGTAGTCCCAAAGCAATACCATCAACTTCTCCAAGTAGAGATACAACACATAATTATCATCGTAAATTTTCTTCAAGTCCCAATAGAAGATCAAACGATAATTTTTCAATAATGACTAATAATGGAACAATAGATCTTAAACAACCATTGAGTAAAAAAAATAGTCTAAATACACAAAATTTAGGACAATACATGAATAATTCAAATAGTAATAAAATAAATACAATAAGTCCAGAATCTGATTCTTATCATAGAAGAAATCAATCAATACAATCATCTTCAAAATATTCCTATTCTCGTAGATCTTCTCAACTTTCATCTGTTGATAATACTATGAACAAACTCTCTAGAGAACATACTAATCAAAGTTCATCTGCAAGTATATTATCTCAAGGTTCATTTGTTAATTTATCAAAATTTGTTACTTCAGATGGTAAGATACATTTAGAGATGCCAAGTGATCCATATGAAGTTGAAACTTTATTTGAAGATATTATGTTAAAGAGAAATATTTTACAAAATTTACCACCTTTAAAACAAAAAGAATTAATGAGTTATGATATTAAAAAAAAATGGCTAATTGTTAAACAAGATTTACAAAATGAATTCAAACGTATGAAATCAAAGAAACCATCAGCATCATCTGAAGCAATATCAATGAATTCAATACAACCAAGTCAATCTAGTTCTATGCAAGCATTAGATAAATCTCCTTCCTCTTATGTACCAGAAAGTACAAGACTTACAAAATTAAGAACAACATCCACTAAGAATGGTTTAGCCAATGAAGCATTATATCTACAAACTGAACGTAATGTAAGTACATCATCAGTAACATCAGATAAGACAAATAGACCACCAATATATTACGTTAAGAAAATCTTGGCGGAACAATTATCAATAGATGAAATTAATGATTTATGGGTTACATTAAGAACAGAACAACTTGATTGGGTTGATGCATTTCTAGAACATCAAGGTCATATTGCAATGGCTAATTCATTAATGAATACACTATATAGAACATCACCGACAGAACATTTGACTGAAAAACTATTAGATAAAGAAAATGCATTTTTTAAATGTTTTAGAGTACTAATAATGCTAAGACAAGGTCTAACTGAATTTACCACACATAATCTTATGTCAGATACTATTGCAAGAGGGTTATTTTCAGCCAGATTAAATACAAAGAAAATGGCTACTGAAATATATGTAGTTATACTCCAAACGAAAAATACTAGAAACTTTGAAGTTGTTCTTCAGTCAATGGATCAAAACTTCAAAATAGACCAGAATGCTCATATGATGTTATATTTTAAGAAATATCCACAATATTTTAGCCATCTTACAGCTGATAGTCAATTGAAAGTGATACAAGCATGGAGATTTTCCGTTGAGCAAACCCTGGATGGACGTGGTAAAATGGGATCTATGGTGGGTGCATCTGATGAATATAAATTAGCTGGAGGTGAAAATACTATTCTTGAATATTGTCAACTGACAATGATTTTAATTAACAGTATATGCGTGGGTTCTGATAATATTGAACAACGTATGCATTTGAGAACGAAGTTAGAGAATTCTGGTTTCGTTAGGGTCATTAGTAGGTTCAAATTATTTGATTATGACAAAATTATGCAAGAAATAGAATCTTACGAAAATTATAAGTTAGATGATTTTAACACTATGCTTGAGAGGAATAACAATAACACAGATGTGAATTTACAGGACCCTGTTTCTTTATTAGGTAACTTATGGGATTCTTGTAAAGGTACAGATAACGAAAAGACTCTAGTATCTCTTATTCAACATATCTTCTTATCAAGTTCCAGACTCATTGAAAATCAAACCGATACTACACAACTTTCCAAGCAACTAAAATTAATGGATTCTTTAATTACAAATATAAGTGCATCAACCTCTGATGAAGAATCTACAATGAATATGGCTATTCAGAGATTGTATGATTCCATGCAAACAGATGAAGTTGCTCGTCGTGCAATCCTAGAAAGTAGATCCTTAACGAAACAACTAGAGGAGTCACAAGCGGAAAAAGAAATTTTATCCCAGAAACTATCCAAGGCTGAGAATGGTTTAGTCGGACAATTAGAAAATGATCTAAAAGAACGTGATACTATACTGGCAAAGAATCAACGTGTAACAGTTCAATTGCAAAATGAACTTGAAGAGCTAAAGAAAAAGCACTTACTCGAGAAACATGAACAAGAAGTTGAATTACGTAAAATGTTGACAATAATGAATTCCAGGCCAGATAATGAAAAGAAAAGCCACCATAAGGGAAGTAAGTCAGAGGCGGGAGGTGAGCATAAGATATTTAATGAAGAAAAACAGAGAAATATCCAACGAGCACTTCAAGACGGTTTAAGACGTGCAAACAACGATTATACTGCTGATTCCAAAAAATTCGGAATGACTATTCAACCAAACAAAAGACTGAAATTCCTTAGAACGCAAATGGAGAGTCTTGAAAATGAGGCTAGGAAGTTGGAAATGACAAATTTTACTGATTATGAGAAATCAAACCTGAAGGCACCTGTCGAAATAAAAAAGAAACACAAATCTTCAAAGCATAGACCAAGTTCCAAACTTCCTAATTTCGGTAAAAAAGATGACAACGATGCTCAGATTAAAAAATTAAATGAATTAAGAATGACATTAGCCCAAATACAGTCCGAATCGAATGATATATCTAAGTTTAATGTTGAAGAGCGTGTTAATGAAATGTTCAATGATAAGAGGTTGCTAGCTCTCCAGAGACTAAAGGAATTAGAAACGAAATATAAAGATTTTGGTATCGATTTCAATGTTGAGGAAATATTAGGAAATTCATCCGATAATGTTGGTGTTCAAGGTACGGAAAAGGAAAGGAAAGGGAATTATTCCAGCTTGGATCCTAAAATGTATGAAAGCCAATTAGATGAAATCAATAAAATCACGAATGAGTTGATAAGTATGAAAAACAAATTAAAGGAACAAGAGGATAATAATGATGAGAGTTCTGCAAGTTCAGCCGAATCATCAGATTCGGAAACTGAATCCTCAGTGAATGATATGAATTATGATATGTTTAGTCAGAATTCTGAGAGATCGACAGGCTCAGGGTCGTTCTTAGATGTATTAACTCAAAAATATGGTACAGGTGCAAGAGAACCGACTTATCAAGCAACTAGAAACGAAAAATCGTTTTTAAATCGTGTTAGAAAATCTTCTATCCCTGCTCCTTACCTACAGGAACTTAACCAAAGGGTCAGTATAGCACCTTCAATAGAAGAGGTTAACAAGGCATTGGATGATAGTAGTTCGGATAAGGAACCAGATTACAACAAAACATTTGAACTTGGTGATAGTGAAGAGCAATCGATATCAGATGACGAAAAGCGAGACGAGACACTTGAAGAGACAAGTACCGATACTGGTGATAAAGAAGAGAATAAGGAAGCTACAGTCTCTAATACAGAATCAGCTGCTCCACCTCCTCCTCCGCCTCCGCCTCCACCTCCGCTAGATCTATTTAAACTAAATAGCACGGCGTCCGGAAATTCAATCCCACCACCTCCACCACCTCCGCCACCTCCAATGGCCGTTTCTAGTTCGACTTCTGTCAGCTCTATGAGCCCACCCCCACCTCCGCCTGCACCTCCAATTCCTACGCCAGGTTCTATTAAACAGAATGTCTCATCACCACTTCTTACTCAATCGCCTTCGTTATTTGAAAGATACCCACGCCCTCAAAAGAAATTGAAACAGCTGCATTGGGAAAAGATTGAACCAGCTGATAACTCTGTTTGGAATGCTGGAAAAGCTGAACGTTTTGCTGATGATTTATACGAAAAGGGTGTCCTATCCAATTTAGAAAAGGCATTTGCTGCTAGAGAGGTAAAGTCTCTTGCATCTAAAAAGAAGGAAGACATGAATAAAATTACTTATTTATCTCGAGATATTTCCCAACAATTCGGTATTAACCTCCATATGTATAGTTCACTTTCAGTTGAGGATTTAATCTCGAAAGTACTAAAGTGTGACAGGGAATTTCTTAATAACCCAAGTGTTATTGAATTTTTATCTAAGTCAGAGATTATTGAAGTGTCAATTAATTTAGCCAAAAATTATGCACCATATACCACAGAATGGGAAGGTATTAGAAAAATTGAAGATGCAAAGGCCCCAGATAAGGATCCTAATGAGTTACAAAGAGCAGATCAAATATACCTGCAACTTATGGTTAATCTTCAATCGTACTGGGGATCTCGTATGAGGGCTTTGACAGTAGTAACATCATATGAAAGAGAATATAACGAACTATTGGCGAAATTAAGAAAAGTTGATAAGGCGGTTGGTTCTCTACAAGATTCTGAAAACATCCATAATGTATTCAATGTTATCTTAGCTGTAGGTAACTATATGAATGACACATCGAAACAAGCACAAGGTTTCAAACTAACTACTCTCCAAAGGTTGACATTTATAAAGGATTCTACAAATAGCATGACTTTCTTAAACTATGTTGAAAAAATAGTAAGGACCAATTATCCATCTTTCAATGATTTCATAAAGGAGTTAGAACCACTTACTGATGTCGTGAAGGTATCCATAGATCAATTAATCAATGATTGTCAGGCATTTAGTCAATCGATAGTTAACGTACAAAGATCCGTTGAAATTGGTAATTTGAGTGATTCTTCGAAATTCCATCCCCAAGATAGAGTGTTAGCAAAGGTGCTACCTGTATTACAAGAAGCACGGAAGAAGGCTGATTTATTAGAGAATGAAGTGAAATTAACAATGCTAGAGTTTTCAGGGTTATTACAAATATATGGTGAGGACCCTGGAGACAAATTTGCCAAGAACTCTTTCTTCAGAAAATTTGTGGATTTCATAAATGAGTATAAAAAGGCTCAGATCCAGAATTTAAAGGGTGAAGAAGAGGAGAAATTATACGAGAAACACAAAAAAATGGTCGAAGATCAACAAAGGAAACAGCAAGAAGAAGAGGAAGAGAGACGTAAAAGAATCGAAGGTGGTACTTCTGAAAATAGCGGTGATGGTAGTAACTCTGGCGAGGATGACAGACGTGCTGTTATGGACAAATTGTTAGAACAACTAAAGAATGCAGGACCTCAAAAGACTGATCCAACGTCTGCCAGAAAGAGAGCCATGGTTAGGAAGAAACTCACAACTGAAAAAGATGCAAATGAAACCACACAGGATTTAGAAACAGATGAAGAATCACTAGTATATTCCCCTGATAATAGTGGAATAACGAAAACACCTTTGGGAATCAACTCTCCTGCCTCATCTTTCAATTCTGCTAATAAGCATGTGGTATCCCCTTCGAAGCATTCAAGATTTAGAAGTGTAGATCCTGATATCGACGAAGAAGAGTCAGAAATCCATGATAGGGCTACGACCCTATTAATGGAATTAAGAGGAGCTTCTGCATTGTCCTCCTCATCCTCTCCAAAAAAGAGTTCTTCCCTAGATGAACATAAGGAAAAACTGCGTGCACGCAGAAAGAAATCCAGTAGAAGTATCGATGGAGGTAATAAACTAAAATTTTTCGATACAAATGAAAATTCCATTCCTGAAAATTCAGAAGTTCTTCAAGATGATGAAATAGAAAAAGAACATAAGAAACCTGTAGAACCAGATACCTTAATTTTACCGGGTGCTCAATGACCACCAAATGAAGTTGCTGAAAAGAATGATGAGTTAGATAAGTCTGACAATGGACAATAAATGTACTCATTTCCATCTCTTGGAGTATACATATTTAATATATAAAGAAATATACATTGCATTTTTTTTTTCATTAATGCTTGCCTGATGCAGGTTGATATGAGGTACTAACCAAGTATCAATTACTAATGATGACGTAAACCATCACATATTGAATACATACTTGGAATCTATGAGTTACTAAATAAGTCCATTCGTAACATTAAACTATAGAGTTAGATATCTATTCTATGTATATTCTTTACTAGGGTACCTGTTTCGCTTCACATTAAAAACAATAAATAAATAACTTCAAACAAAGTCAAGACAAATAATCATAAAAACTGTCCTCCACGGTCGTTTAGGCGGTGAAGGAAGAAAACAGATTTCAAGAAAAACAAACACACAACTAACAGATATACATCAAATAGAATGTCACAAGAAATTCAATATTTCCAACAATAACTCTAACGTAATCGATAGTTATATAATAAGCCATCATTTATATATAGAGGCGTTTCAGTTGTATATACAAATATACGAAAAGATTAAATCATTACTTAATTGTAACAATACCAGAAATTAATTGTTTTCCTCACATAATTATGGATGAGGTAAATGAAGAAACCCTAAGAATCAGGGAACAGGTTTCATCCCTTTCTACTCAATTGATGGAAAGTGTTGATAGACAATCTCAACTGGAGGATAAATTAAGACAGGCAAACAAATTAATACAATCCCAAAGTGCATCTGTAGCAACTCTCGAATCAATACAAATAGAACATGATTCTTTGAAACAAAAAGTTATCGAAAAGGATGCAACGATCAAGGGTTTACAAGGTGACTTGAAGTCAGAAAATGACTTACGTACCCAAGCAGAAACAGAAGTAGATAAATTGAGCCAGGAGGTGGAAGATCTGACAGCATCTTTATTTGCTGAAGCGAACAACATGGTAGCCGATGCCAGGAAAGAGAAACACACAACTGAGATACTTAATACTAAATTAGTAGAACAGCTAAGGGATAAAGATAATATGCTAGAGACATTGAATTTACAATTAAAGAATCTAAAAATTGTTCTTCAAAATGTCGAAAAGGAAACTGTCTCAAATCAATCCAGTAGGTATTCCACTGTCTTAAACGACTCAGATACAATTTCTGGTAGGTCTTTAAACAAGGTTACGACTTCAAGCTCCTCGATTACCAAGGATGCTGACAATGTAGTGCTTTACTCTCCCTATGTAACAACTATTCGTTATGATTTAACACTATTCAACGAATTTTTGAAATTTATTGCTGTTCTACCATATTGTAAAACTATACGAGAAACTGCTTCTGAATCAAAACTTTTGAGAAGATTAATCAATGATGAAGTGCAACCGGTACTTAGAATTGATAATGCACCAGGCGTAGGATGGCTAGCTAAAAAATCCCTAATGCAAAAAATGATAGATGGTTTAGTTATCTTAGAACCATTAAGTGGGGTTAATGAAACATATCAGATTGGATATCGTAACGCTGATGGGAACACCTCCAAACCCTTGAAACAAGATGCAAACTCAAAAGAATCACATATGTTTAATTATCCTGCTAATTCACCCCCAGTAGCAGTTCATGGCCCTTGTGCTTTTTGTGGAGAGAGTAGGGATGATATTATTGAACATGCAAGAATGCACGTCCTAAAAGTTCAAAGTAAAGCTGACGATGGTACTCTAACAGTTACTAGTACATACTCTTTATGTTATAGTTGTGTTAACAAAGTTAGACAAACGGGACAAATATTTGCGTTTTTAAGATCACTTAAATTGGGGACCTGGCATTTGGAAAGGGTTACATTAAAAACAATCGAAAAGGGGGACTGGAACAAAATGGGCAATGTCCAGAAAGTAGGGAAACCTGTTGTACCTCTAGATAAAAAGTCTAAAAGAATGAGCTTCATGGAAGGTTTAGGAATTTCTCAGAGTAAAATGGCTGCTCAGGTAGAAACTGCAAATGCAGTGGTTGAACGTGCTGGTTTTCCAACTACTAACATACAAAGAGCTTGGTTACACTTATGCCAATTGCGTTCGATGCTTTTCTGGACGCATATTGGTATTTGGTCAGTCGATGACTCTATTACAAGCAAAATTGGACCAATAATAAAATCTAAAGAGGAAACTGTAGAAACACAACTCCCAAGTGCTATAGAAAGTTGGAAACTTTCACAAAGTCAGGAATCTCTAACATCTCATAAAGATCCAATGCAAGAAAAGGATGATATGTTTGATTTTGAAAGTAAAAGTGATTTAGATCAGGATATCAAATCCGAGACCTTGGATAATAAAACAGCGGAACAAACAGAAATGAATAAAGAAAAAACCTACACAGAACAAGAACAAGAACAAGCACAGGAACAAGATGAGACGTTTACTAAAGAAGAACAAAAACCGTCTATTGTCCAAGAAACGACGGATGTTATAGAAGCTGCTGCAACATTAGAGTTGAAGGACAACAATGAGGCAAAAGGAAATATTGATGACAATGGTGCCCAAGATTTGAATGCAGACAGTATACAGGACCTCACAACGGACCAAACGGTTTCTATACCCGAGGAGAATGACGTGAATGAAAATTCTCCTGAGGGAGGTGATGAGAACAATTATACTCCCGATCTCAATAGTGAGGATGATCATAGCATTGATATTCTGAATGATTACACAGAAAATGCACAGAGTAAAGAAGGTACCTCATCACTTTCAAATGAAGAAGAATTCGATGATGCACAGGAACATGTGTAAATTTTTCAATAATATAGACGTATGTTATGTAGACACAGGTAAATATATTTTTAAGGGTAAAATATACATTTTCTGTATGATTATCTCTAGTAAGAGGTCAGCATTAAAAATATCAATTGAAAAAGATTCTCTCGGAATTGTTGTGTTTATGATAAATATAGAATTTTTAGAATCTAATTCCTTCTGCAATTGAATATTTTGAAACATTGGTTAAGCCCACGGTACAAAAATCGTATAAAATAGAGATATTTCCAAAAACCCAGACCTAAAAACTTAACAAATTTGTTTGGATAATGTTGTTTATTATGAATATGGAAGATGCTCAATTGTTTCAAAAAGGATATGTTAATGGATATGTACATCAGAAAAAGATTACACCAGCATGAGTTAAAGCAATAGTCCAAAAATTAATCAATCACTTTTCGAAATATTGCAGTTTTTCAAGTGTAAATAGCCGATGCATATAGCCATTTATTTGTATAAAGACCATTTAAGGTTAATAATTTTGTTTTCCCGAATAAACCTTTTTCGTTATAAAATTTCGATATAAATATGACTCTTTTAAAGAAAAAAAATATTTTAACAAATGCTCACTTAGTATAATTCTATAGTTCCCTTACTATAATCAATTCAAATATATAATAAGTACAAAAGTATCTGTCTAGGTAGATATTGATAATTTAACTTATACAATAAAGAAACAACCAACGATTAATAATTCTCCTGGTCATTTTCCTCTATATTTTTCATAATAGCGTCATACATATTTTCTCTGCTTGTTATATTCGATTCGTCCATATGCGTAGATCCTGATATGTCTTCTACATTTGGTTTATCACTATTAGAAATAGCACCACCTGGTACCTCATCATCACTATCACTCTCGATCTCAGAAATTTTTCTTTTCCTATTTCTGGGTCTTTTAGAATTATCATCGGTCTCTTCGTCATCATCGTTATTGTCGCCATCGACTTCATTACTTCCATGGTCGTTGTCCGTAGATTTCCGAATGCTTTCAGTGTCACCATTTTGAGTGTTTGAGCTTCCATCATCATCAGAATTTCCGTCAGATGATTTAAATGTATCCTCCATTCTTTTTGTTGATAAATTGTGCAAAACCATGTTTGGACCTGTAGATCCAATCGAGGAATTCTTTAGCTCTTCTAAAGAAGGTATCGAACCACCAAACAATTCTGTGTATTTGTTTACATTAATAATATTACCATTATTCGAAACACGTTCATTTCTAAATTTCGCATACATTGAAGATTGTTCAGACGTCAGAGTTTTGTTATACTTTTCCAATAAATATCTCAAGTATATTTCATTTTCATAGAAAACTGATGACATCTCTTCTTCATCATCCGAGTCTGAAATGTACTCTTTACTAGCGAATGCACTATGTGTACTCGGCTTTTGAGAATCAAGAGAGTCATCATCAACATCGAACATTGGCAAATTATTTCTTCCACGTTTTGAACGTGGTTTTTTTGAACGATTAAATTTCTTGGATTTTGCTAAGCCTCTTGCCACTTTTTTACCCTTCAATCTATCCTCCATATTCTGATCTAATGATTTGAAATATTCATCATCATCTCGCACAATTGAGGGGTCATCGTAGTCATATTCATCATGACCATTCCACCCATCTTCGTCAACATAAGTACTTCCAGTGTCCTCGGATGTTCTGATTAAGTAAGATGAAGATGATTTGCCATTTGGTGCTTCAAAAGGAGTCGTTAAATATTTTTTCAGGGAGTCAAGGTCTGTCAATAACTGAGAATATTTACAGCCCTCATTCAGAACACATTTATCATTTTCAGTATGAGGTATGCTGTAATCCAAAAGAACTAAAAGTGCTCTAAAATCTTTATTTGTAAGCAAATGTTTCTTAGATTCCGGCGTGAGTGTCAATGTTTCTTTTTCAACTCCATTAGGAATGGTATCTGTGTTTTCTGATATTTGTAATGCAGCATCATAAAATGCAAAACATATTTCCATGTTCTTTTTTAAGAGTTCTAAAATCTCTATATCACCGTTATCTATTATTGTGGATACCAGAATACCCACTTTCATATCTCTAACAATTGCGACCGGTAGAGTTTCTTCATCTTCGATTGATTTGAATGTACTTGGAATGACACCGAAACGGTTCTTAGTCGATGTACTCCTCATTTCTCCATATCTTTGGTAATATCCAATTTGACTATCATGCAAGGATGGGAATAATAACCCTACAAACCACGCTGGTGATACTTTTAATCTCTTTTTCAATCGATATAATAAATAATCTGAAAACTCTTCAACGTATTTTCTGCTTCTTGAATTTTTTGCCAGATAACTACTGTCTAGAATGTCTCGTAATAATACAATCAGATCTAAACGAAATAGATAAGTTTCCTCTTTAGCTTTTGTTAATACCCTATGAAAGAAAGAAATGGTCTCCTTTATTGACTGGTGATCAAGCTCACGAAAACGTTCCAAGAAATTAATATACGTATCTAGTGTTGCATCGTTGATAAATCTACCCTGAACTCTAGTAAAATCGACTTCGATCTCTTTGTTTTGAGGAGCAAGAATTTCAATGGCAACATCTCTATCAATATTATGTTGCTCCATCAATTTCTTAATATCATTCTCGGATAAATTTTGAGTCTTAGCACCTCTTCTATTCTTACCTTCAATGACAAATGGATTGGCAGTATTCTTTTCTAATATTTTCAGGACTGAATGAGTTAAATGAATACATGTCTTCATGTAGTGTTCTGAATGTCTAAATGCAGTTCTGGGTAAATTAGACAGTAGTTGAATTCTTTCATCACTAAATAATCGGCTGAGAATGAATTGGATATCAAATTTTTGATTAGTTTGAACAGTTCTATCATTCAGCAGTAGTAGTAACTCATTGAATGCAATCATAGATGCATGTACAACAGGCCAGTTTTTCATATCAAAGGCATTACGTAGTAATTGACAAATAAGAATATAAGATGTTTCATTTAATGTTTCGGAGATCATTGTAATATCTGCTGTAGGATCTTCATTACATCTCTTAACTTGGTATTTGATAAACCATGCGTTAAATAGCAAATATTCGATTTGCTCCAATGTTACAATCTTATCTTGTTCAGTCGTGAAGTAATTATTGATACTATGCAAAAGAATATTGAAACTTGAATCAATAAAGTTGTTCAAGAATTTCACAAATACTTTACTAGTAGAGTCTATCAAAGGGAATGCATTTCTTTGTGAATTCAAGAACCCGTCAGGTAAACCTTCTTCCATTGGATCTTGTCTCTTTTGTAACTGTCTTTTATTCCATTTCTTTCTTGCATCAATTTTATCCATGGCTGACGATTCATCTAAAAGATTTTGTCCTCCAGAGACAGTTAGTCTACCACCATTTGGTGTTTGAATAGATAACATGGCACCAAATCTCGAATGTCTGGATGAAGTATGTTTAATTAAGTTTTTCTTCATTTCTGTTTCCTTCTTCAAAAGGTCTGTCAATTCCATATTTGGTCTCGATAAATAAACACTTTTCAAACGATCATTCTTATGTGTACCAGAAATTTCATTCACATTACCATGAGATGGTTCAATTAAAAAATCTTGATTCATGTCCTTTGTTAAATATGTCATTATTTCTAATAATGGCACGTTTATAAAATCTTGATCGAATTCTTTTGTCATGGAACTACTTAGAGTCAACAATAATTTAAACACTTTATTCTTATTGAAACTGGTTATAACTGAGTTCAACGATATATCATCATGACTTACTCCAGGAGGTAACGTATCTACCGCATTAATTCCCTTCGGAGTCTTTTTCTTATTTGTTATTGTTAACTCTCCAGGTTCAATAGCTATCACATTTCTGAAAAAATTTAAAGCTAATTTTATTATCATGTTATCATGTGGCGTTCTTTGCATTCTATCAATTCTCATTACGTTGGTTACTATTCTAACAATTGCTTTAAGTACTTTCCCATCTTCCATTGAAAGGATTGCTTTCTTGTATGTAAGTTGAAATTTCTTTACTTCTGCATAATTATTGACTTGACTTATGCTAGACTGATCTGTTAGAATCAATGGCCATGTCATCAAAACCATCAGTTGCAAACATTGTAAAGCAATCTTATCATAGTAGGTCTTACCAACAGTTCCACCTTGCCCCATAGTCTTATGTTGGGCAGCTTTCGTTTCCCATTCAATTAATATTGGTATCAAATCATCAATTAAAATTTTATATTCAGCAGTAGCCATTGCTACATCTAGTCTATTTTGTTCATCATCAACTAACTTAAACCATCTCTTTAAATCTTTCAAACATAAAAGAGCCTCATCACCTAATTTATATTTTGGTGCCGTTTCGTTGGATGAATAATCTGGTCCACCGATGGATGTAGAGAGTAATGCAATTCTTGCCTTCAACACAATGGAAGGATTGACATCGGACATAGTATCGAATTTGGTATGGATATCTTTAATTGAATTGATTATCCTTTCAATTAAGTATTGTGGAGTTGCGTAACTACAATGTTATAAGCAAAAATAAAAACCCGTTTGATTAATATATTCATCTATAAATTAATTCATCGAGTTAATCTGTTATTACTGTTTGAATTTCTTCTATGTGAAGACGCGTTTATTTAATTGCTAGCCTTTCCCAATAAAGAAACCAAAGCCGAAAATTTGGCGTCTTCTTCCTTGTGCACTGAATTACGCGCAGCTAACAAGAACAAAATACAACTATGACATGTATATGTCATTGCGTAATGAAAAAGACTGATATTATAACTCCTCAATGATATGTTGTTGAGAATATACAAATTATTACTTATACTCCCACAATGACAATTGCAAGATTCTGCGACGTGATCAGTTTACAGTTTCAGTTAGTAAGCTATCTTATCAATCAATCAGCACTATGGATGCACACATGCGGTCTTATATTCAATTAATGTTTTTGTCGTTTTACCAAAATCTGTCTAACACAAACAAGCAATAATTGCATGTTTCCAAGAACCACAGGAGGTGTTTGAACATGATCTAATATTACTCAGTCTGGTCACTCCTTGACTCATCACCTGTCCGTTATGCTGTCAGTCTCCCTTTCTTCCTCTTTCTGTTTGTGTGGACGGGGTTTAGACGACCGAAAATTTCAGACGGAGCGGAGTTAAAAAAAGATGTCTAGAAATATTTCACTTTGCTGAACTAACCATGTCTCTTCCAATGATTTTTGATAATAAGGAAGCAGAAATCCTAGACAGTTTGGTGACGTAGAGATAATGCTTAACGCTCTTGGAATTTGCTAAAGTTTAAGATTTAAGTCCCACATTAATGAAATATATAATAGTTATAGTCTTTCTCTTGCATATATATATATATAAATACATTCTTATTATATTTTTATTCTCAGCTTTTGGTTATTGCTGTTCCCCTTGGTTTTATAGTCATCTACTTATCAAATACATATAACCTCGAGAAACAAAAAGGTAAAAAAAGCTACCATATACTAAGTATTTCCTCAACTACTTAGATTACGTTTATATTTATTATTAACCGACTAATATATCAATCAAGAAAAAATGTCAGAAAAACCTGTTCTGCTTTGCCTGGGAGGAGTCTCATTCCCAGATGGTGATTTTGCAGAGTTATCTAAAGTTGCACAGGTTGTTAAATTAGAACCTACCACTACAAGAGAACAATTCATTAACAGACTAGGTGATTCTAATGATATCCTTTCAAGAACCAAAGTAATTACAAGAACGTTTAGCAGTATTAAGAATACTGGGAGATTTGATGAAGAGATAGCTAATGCATTACCTGACTCCGTTATTGCTATTTGCCATAATGGTGCAGGTTATGATCAGATTGATGTCCAATATTTCTCAAAGAGACATATTCAAGTTTCTAATACCCCAGATGTAGTTAGTAACGCTACTGCTGATACTCATGTTTTCTTACTATTGAGTGCATTGAGATATTTCTCATATGGGGTTCGTGAGTTATTGAAAGAAGGTAATTCAAAAATTGCAGCTAACAATACACCATTTGGTAATGATCCCGAAGGGAAAACTGTTGGTGTATTAGGTTTAGGTGGTATTGGTCATCAGATCGTGAAAAGATTAAAACCATTTGGATTTGCCAAGTTTATCTATCATAATAGACATAGATTAAGTCCAGAATTGGAAAATGGTTGCGAATATGTCTCCTTTGATGAACTGATTTCTCAGAGTGATATAATTTCAATTAATATTCCATTAAATGAAAATACTAGACATACAATTAATGCTGATACAATTGCAAACATGAAAGATAATGTGATACTTGTCAATACTGCCCGTGGTGCTGTTATGGATGAACAAGCTTTAGTAGATGCATTGAAGTCAGGGAAAGTTAAATCTGCTGGGTTGGACGTCTTTGAATTTGAGCCAGAAGTTACTAAAGAACTATTAGAAATGAAACAAGTTGTCTGTACTCCACATTTAGGTACTCAATGTATCGAAACAAGACAAAAGATGGAAGAGTTAGTCTACACCAATGCCTTGCAAGCGGTAACTAACGGCAAAGTCAAAACTATTGTCCCTGAGATTGCTCATGAAGGATGGTTCACTAAATTATGATATATATCACTTTTTCATATATTTTTATGAAATATTATTACTGTCATTATATATATATATATATATATCTAAAGTACTATTGTGAATCAGAATTTTTAGACTTAATATGGTGATTATCATCACATAAATTCTCTAAGAGTAGATTTTTAATCGTGAACCGTTTCGCAACATGTGGATCAAGAATCTCAAGTTCTTGTTTAGTAAATATATATGGGAACACAAACGATACTATTACCGTTAATAACAACACCAAAGGAAAACCAATTGCAGCAATTGTATCTGTGATTGCAAACTCTCCAACAAATCCTGCGAGACTGAAAGCGAGAAATATGATTAATGTTTTAATTCGAATATTAAACAAAGGTGCTGATGGATCTTTCCTCTTGGGATCTGTAAATAGCCACATGATTCTTGATATAATAACATTTTCACTTAATCCACCAATACCCATAATGAAAAATAATCCCGACAACACAGCTTGTGGAATCTGGTGTAAACATATCAACAAAGGTCTTGACATTGTTCCCAATAATAATAAACCCTGAACCGTATTTGTGAATCTTTGTTCCACACATCGTATCACACTTCCATCGATATCTCTCACTAAAAGTGATTCAGTATGAAGAGGTGCTTGAGGGATTAACCCATTAGGCGCAGGTATCCCTAGGACACCAGACACACCAGTTGTGATCCCTAATAATAGAAAATCATAATGAAATGAAGAAGGCTTTGTAAGTTTATATTGATGACGTTGTGCCATTAGTGAAGAAACATTATGATCAAAATAAAATAAAATTGTTAGGATGATACCAAAGGGTAATGCAATAAAAACATCTCCAGTACTTATTGAATGATATGCTAACCAAGTTGATGGATCTCTCATTGTTTTAGATGTTGGGTAAAACGACTTTGTGATGGGTAATTTTGCAAAATGTATGTCGTTTAGATAACCCCCAAAATGCGTAAAAGCAGACCAAAATAGAACAGAAAGTGCTGTAGAATAATCTGATATAAATGTCCTCAATGTATGGTTTAAAAATGGAGTTCTAGTAAATTGTTTGAATAATACCCCGAATATCATCATTAATAAAGCAACGACAATGCTTGCGAAGCCGGATGATAGATTTTCTTCACCTTCCACAGTAAATTGTCGTTTCAATATCTGGATTCCCTTTTGGAGATACACTATATTAATAAACAACCCAAATATATCACATGGGAAGGTGGTTACAAATTGTAGTAGACCTACTAGATTAGTCAATGCAATAATGAAGTGAAATATCATTGACCAGATGCAAACCCAAAACATAAACCCAAAATAGTCAATGTCTAATGGTTTTATAATATCATACACAGTATAATTAAAAATGGAAATAGGACCTGTAACGCCAACAATACATAACGGTTGCCCAGATAATATTCCAAACACTATGCCTGCCATTGCACTCGAGAGTAGAACTTCATTCACACCATATGCGTTATTGGTCCTGTCAAACATATCTTGAGCGAAGGCCAATGCAGGTAAAAGATTATTAAAAAAGGTTTCAATCACAGCTGGAATAACACGATAATCCCACGAGTCTAACCAGTCTTTCTTGTAAAGCGGGAGTCTATCTTTTAAGTCAAGATAAATCCCCTTCCCAGGTATGGGTATTCTTCTGCGTTTTCTAGCATTAAATGTATCTTCAGATGAACCATCATCGCTAACACTATCTGGCGATACATTATTTGAGTCATATGACGGTTGTACTGTTTGGTTATTACTTGTTATAGATATCATTGTAGTTAATTTCGTTGGATCTGGATATGTATCCGTAACTGAGTGAATCATTATTCTAGGATTATATATTTTGAATATTATTATTAGTTTCGAGGTATTATTGAACTTGCATTTATATGGTGAAATCTTACTTCAACGGGGAAGTAATAACCAATAAAAACACAGTAAAGGATTGTAAAATAAAAATATGGTGAGTTCTTTCTATTATTATCTTTGACCCCTCAAACCGTGAGCCGCATATGAATAATGGTAGAATTGTTCATACAATATGTCATCGAATGATCGGCAAGGCAAAGGAAGCTTGAGCTTTTTTTTTTCAAATACCGGATTTTTTTTACAAACAGTAATAACAAGGCTTACCTTGAACAATCATTGAGAATACATATATACTTCTACTTGTGATATTTTTTGTTTATTAATGAGAGTATTTTTTAAATGAGTATTTATGATGTTATAAATAATGTTATAAAATGAGGTTGAGTTGGTTCATGACCTTCGTGAATGGTGAAAAAATATAGGTTAAAGTATAATACGTGAAAAGTATATTTTTTCACCAATTAGTTACTTCTTCGGCTTCACCAAATACTGAGTCCTTAGGGTATGCAGTTTCTATATCTTCATCGTTTTCACAAATTAATGGTTTGGCATTCATGATATCTGGAATATTCTTTTTCATAAATTGTAGCATTAACTTATTAATCAACTCGAATTCAAGCAAGAATGCATCATGACCTTCCGGAGACTCTATCTTTTCTAATTTAGCATTTGGGATATGTTCAGCTAAGAATTCTTGTTCACTATAAGTAAACAGACCATCAGAGCTGATACCTATCACTAAAGTTGGTTGTTCAATAGAATCTAGGATTTTTTCCATATCTTCTTCATAACCGTTCACAGAACGATCACGAGCTAAATCATGAGTATCTAATTTTCTAGTGATAGCGATGTAACAATTAGCATCAAATCTATTAACGAATTTTGTACCTTGATAACGTAAATAACTTTGAGCTGAGAAATACGTTTGTGCAGGTTTTAAATCTGTCACTTCTCCACTAATTGAACTAACAGATGAAACTGAATGTAATGAATCAGCTGAGGAAGTTGTTGAAGATGCTTGAGACTCATTTGAATGTGTACTAACCACACTACCCATTCTACTACTATTACCATGTATTATATTACCAGATAACGAATTACCATAATTTCTCATACCGTCGTTATGAATATGAAGAGATCTTTCACTTATTGTGAAAGGTTGTTTATTAATTTCCGTGATGTTACTATTTGAAACATTTTGACCTTCTGTCGTTTTACTTTTATTTTCTTGTTGTTTTGAGGGTTGTCTTCTAGAAAATTTTTTTTCAAAACTATTTCTAGATCTATATGTTAATAAAGCAGCCATTCTAGCAGCAGACAACCCTGCCGTTGGTGGATCATCTAATGAATAAAATCCATCTAAATATTTTGGATCAGAATAAATTGATTGTCTTTGAGCTTCAGACCATGAAATACACCAAGCTGAATGTCTTGCCGAAGTTGCTAAAGCTACTAAATTTCTCACGTATGATTTATTAAACATTGTTGTCCATTCTAATGCCAGCATTCCACCCATGGAACCACCGATAACACAAGCAATAGATTTAACATCTAATGAATCTAAAACCATTTTATGTGCACGAACATCATCTCTTACAGTGCATAAAGGAAATTCTGGACCATATGGTCTACCTGTATTTTCATTTATAGATAATGGTGAAAATGAACCATATGGTGAACCCATAGAATTTAAACAAATAATAAAATATCTAGTTGGATCAAATGCTTTATCCTTTCCAAGTAAAGGACCCCACCAATCTGCAACATCTGATGAACCTGTTAAAGCATGGCAAATTACTAAACAGTTATCACGATTTGCATTTAATTTCCCCCACGTTTTATAAGCAATAGGAAAATTATTTAAAGTCAGTCCTGATTCTAATACTAATTCTGGTATTTGAATAATTTTTTGATTATGTACTAATTTGACGAAAGGATTATATTCACCAATTTCTTTAGGATCTAATTCAGCTAAATTTTTTGAAAATAATGTTTGTGACATAGCGTAATATTGTGATTTTTTATAATATGTTTTTATTCAGAATATTCTGGAATTATTTTGTGAGTATTGTTTTTTTATAATAAATCTTGTTGAAAAGTTGATTGATTAAGTTAATTAAAATTCGAATGAATTTCAATTTATATATATATATATGTTAAGATATATATATATTTGTCTTAAAGGGTAAAACGAAAATGTCGAATCGTTGAAATAAAGTCAGTTAACAGTTTGTTACTTCAAATTTATTGAAGAATATTAAAAATGTTTGTATGTTTAATAAAAGGTTTACCAAGTTCTTACTTTATATATATTACGCCATTGCACATCAACTTTCGAAGTTGCATTTTGCCACATTTCTGTCTGTTCTTTATTGTTTCTCTGATTAAAAGAGAACAGTAAAAAATATTGGACCCCAGAATTTAACAATGAAAATTGATGCCTAATTCAATCTCTTAGTCAGGGAAGCTGCTAATTAATGTGGCATTTCAAGATTTGTAAATAATGAGTGATCAAAACACTAACTTTATCTGTCTAATTTTTCAATATACAAATTTTTGTTACTTTGTCTCTGTCTCTTTTCAATGAAGAGACTCATTTTGTTTGTACGTAATATAAAACGGAGAAATCTATCAAAGTCACGGGATTTGTAAAAGAAACAAGTTCGTTTAAGGGGGGAGGGAAATTGATATTATTGCTGTTTCGACATAGAATATGCAGCACAAATGTTACTCCTGTGGAAATATATATCCCCTTTTTAAATTTTGTGAGGACATCAGAACTGTGGCGCTTCTCATTCTGTCTTCCATGCAATTGGATGTTATTTTCGCTCTGCGGAGTTTTTTGTTGCTGAGTGTTTTTTTTACACATTCGGCATTTTTGGATCTTGGCTCCAGGAGACACCACAGTTACTGCATTAGGTATCAACGCCTCACTTTTTTCACTGGATCACTTCTCCGAGAGAATTAAAAAATTAAAAAAACGGAAAATAGTCACGTGCAGATGTCGGTTGGTATATAAAATTGAAATTCACCGATTTTTATTACTAACCGACTTTTATACAGGGTTTAGCGTATTTGTTTTTTTTTGATTCATATGCATGTAATGTACGTGACGTAAAGTTATTTTGAATACAAAGGAGCAAAAAGTTAATGTAATTTACCGATTTAGGTGAACTCAGTAGTATTGTTATTATGTAATGTCTTTGTTAATACCTTATAAATGATTTATTTATGTAAAATTTAAATAAAAAAAACGAATATTACAACTATCTTGGATAATTGTTTCTAGGATATTTCTGATTTGCATATCCTTGATTAGCGTAACCATAGTTTGGATATCCTTGGTTCATATTACCTTGAGATGGTGGATAATTTTGGTTCTGTGGGTAGCCTTGATTGTTGAAGTTTTGATTGCGCTGACCATATCCTTGATTAAAAAAATTGTGTTGTTGCATATACATCTGCTGTTGTTGTGGATGCATATACTGTTGTGGTTGTGACTGAGAATAATAACTCTGTGGTTGTGGTTGTGGTTGTGGTTGTTGTGGATAATAACCTTGTGGCTGAGATTGGCCTCGAATATTTTTGTTATTGTTATTACCATTACTCTGATGATTCAAATTAGTTGGCATTTGTTGTTGTTGTTGCCCTTGTTGTGAATAATACTGATTGTAATGCTGGTTATTCATATTTTGTTGTGAAGTACTTGAGTATTGTTGTGTTGATCTACTTTTATCACTTGTAATATACGATGTACTGTTATTCCCATTAGTATTTCCTTTATCATTATTTGTATTCATACTATTATTTGAATAATTCGAACTTGTATTGGAATGTTGTCTTGAACCATCATTTATATTCTGTATCGGCTGTAACAACTCATCTGCAACTGGTGGTTTTCTTCTTTGAAGTCTACCATTGCTAATAACACTTTGACGGTTACTATCATTGGCTTGAAAATTACTATTTCTGTTTAATGTAGTCCTGTCTGGAGATGTCTGAATAGGTCTAGTATTATCCTCTTGTTGATGCCTTTCTTGTTTCTTAACTTTATCATTTTTACTTGGATTATTCTCTTTTGCAAAAGGATTATATTTAGGTTTACTAGTCATTGTGTCATTCTTCTTGGAATCATTCACATCTATTGCGGAATGATAAACTTCATTCTTACTATCACGATCAGATAAATTTGATGTAGAACTAGTATTACTCTTTGAAGGGGAACTTCTCCATGAGTTATTTTGAAGAGTCTTTTCATGAATACTACTTGCAACACTTCTAGAGTTTAATTCATTATCATATTCAACCATTCTATTCTGTTCCATAAATGATGGATCAAATGGATCCGGATCATCAGCTATCGCAGGGGGGTATGGTTGTTTCCTTATTGGAGAATGATGATGTGCAGACTTATTCGTGTTAGTATCCTGGTGTGGTCTTTGCATGGAAATATTCTTAATACCTGCTCCTAGTTTTTCAATCTCTGAAGAGACCCTGAGATTATCCGGTTTGGTTTTAGGTCCACCCATATGTACAAATGAATTATATATATCGCTTTGACTATTATTTGAACTCACGGATTTTGACGGTATAGAACTTTCATCTGCATCATTCGTATCATACATATTGAATATCGATGAAATACTTTCTGTACTTTGTTCTGGGATATGACCTTTTTGTTTCACAGATGAAATATTATTACGACCACCATTATTTATATTTCCTTGGTCATTATAATCTCTTAAGTTGGTATTATCCCGATCAGAGTTAATTGCATTGATGTTTCGGTTTGTTTCAACGTTATTAAATCGAGTAGGTGAATGAGTTCTATTAAGGGAATCATTACTCCTGTTGTATTTATCCATCCGTTTCTGAACAATAATAGATTCAGCTTGAGAATTGATTCTTTCTGGAGACTTCATATATTGTCTTTCTGGAGATTTCATATATTTTCTTTCTGGAGATTCCAATGAGATTCCATGTTTAGCTCTATTAGCTGGCGACGATACCGATGATGATGATGATTTTACCAAAGTATCGGATTTTGGTGAACCTGATGTTGATTTAGCATTAAGTTTTGGAGATAAAATTGTCCCAGCAGCATCAAATAATTCACCAGACTCTAAGAATGAAGAATTCAATGAATTTTTCAAGTCTTTACTACTACCACACCCAGTATAACCACTTCTATTCTTCATTAACATAATTTCATTTATTCTTTCTTTCCAATTAGCATTGGTCCAATGAAGACTCTCTGTAGATGTGGCAAGTTTCATAATATCATCTACTAGTAAATAATAAATGTGAGGTAATGTAGGTAAACCAAATAATAATGACTCTGGATCTTCTTTATTAGCAATTAATCTCTTGGGTCTACCATAAAGTTTAAAAGCATTCATAGCAGGGATTAAGAAACGAATAATTGTATCATAACCTTGAACAGCCATATGTTTCTCTGGCATTATAAAAATGTTAGTCGATGTAGGGTTATCAATTTTTTCAAAACTTATTGTCCCTTCAACTTTAATAATTGTTGAAGTATCAATTAATTTAGCAGATGATGGATATACAGCATATACTTCACTTGCGCTAGTAATAACCGCCATAGTATCTGCTTTCTTAGTTTTCTTTTCATTTTCATAGAATTTAATTTGACCATATGGTGATTTCTTTGTACTTAGTTGTGTGATAACTGCATAGCATCGTCTCCATGGCATACCTGTTCCAAAACGAACACTAACCCAATCTTCATAATCATATTTTGTAGATCCCAATATAACTTTAATATCACTTAATCTTGCACCTCTACTTGATAAGAAAGCACCTGTATAACCTTCTTGTAATGCTACATTTTCATATATACTTAAATGAATAGCAGCGTTCCATTTGAAAAATGATTCTTTATCATTAAATTGTAAAAAATATCTATTCTTCAACGTTGTTGAAATAACAATTGCATTCTCTAATTTCTTATTACTTGCCGTAGAGACACCTTCAACTGCATCAATAGGCTTTAATATAGCATCGTTTAAATTCAGGTATGTTGGTTTAGATGCAAATTTTCTAAAATCGATCTCGTTTGTATCAACAAGTTCTTTAGTATCCCAAAATGCTACTTGGGTACCTATAAGCACACCATAAACTTCTTTCCATTTCCTTACTGCTGGTGATCCATCATTCTTCAAATCATGTAGGATCAGCAGTATACCTTCATGGTAACGTCTATGAGTATGTGCAGTTAACAAAGTGACGATAGGAACCAATTCACTTGATAATGATTCCTCTTCCCTAAGGGATGGTGGGCTTTCTCGATTACCATTGGAGATTCCACGATATTCAGTTGGGGATGTCGTGTATAAATCAGAATCAGATTCATTTGATTTGTTTCCTGAAAAGAAACGCTTCATAATTTCAGATTATAGGCGTTGGTTGATCTTCTTGTAAAAACAACTTTGGTTTTCTGATTTGAGGAATGATTTACCAACAAAAATAAATATCATGAAATATATTACTGTATATAAACAAAAATACGCATCTATGTCCTCACTGAGCATAAGTAAACATCTTTCATCAGATGGTTATTTTGGTATCTTTAGATTACAATCATCCTCATACCTTTTTCCCAATGTTTTGCTCTAACACTTTTCCCCGTACTTCCAAAATTCCCTTTCATCGCTATCTGAAAATTTGAACCCCTCCATTCATCATAATAAACTTCTTCCTCTTTAGTTCCCATTATTACTATCGATGTAAAGGCGCGCACCGTACAAACAAATTTACCTACAGAAACCGCGTTCATTCGACTATTTATGAATCAGAAACGGCTTGGCTTTTACTGTTTCAGGTAGAGGTGATCTGCAGCAGTGTGGACCACTAGGGAAACTGATGACCCAAAACGGTCACAACGTTTAACGCTCTCCTATGACAACCGTGTATGGTACTTTGAATTACGTATAAGGCAACTGCATTTGGGAATAATACGAGGTTGAAGTGGGATAACTATGTGAGTGCTAAATGTTCGGAACCTGAGCCCCAGATTATGACCTTTTTTTTTTTTGTTGTTCAATGAATGCGTGGTTGGTAGAACGACTATGAACAATATACTGCGCCACATGACAATAAACACGAGGTCGGTCTTGACGGTTTCAATTGTAACTTGAACTTTGTTGTTATTAATATCATACGAGTAGATTTAGTGTTCCTGTTGAAGAAAAAATATAGTTAAAAAGTATTGAATATATGTATATATATGTGTGTGTGTATAGAATAACTTACTTTAACATCGTACACCTATTTAACTGTTGTTCCTTGATCAAAAGTATAACGAATCCGATTGGAATTTGGATCATCCAGACACCCAAGATGGCTAACGATATGTAAAGTTCCGTCATAGCTGTATGATGGAAAGCATGTAAAATCTTTATAAGACCAGTTTTCATTTCATCAGTTAACTCGTTTACAATCTGTGAAATTTTACTAGTGGAGGTCGATGTCTCATTTGACAAAGAGGATTGCATTTCTGTCATATTTATCCTTGGTATACTCAAATGTGCTTTATTATTTATCCAAGTCATTGCTTTTTCAACTGCATATAATTTATCCTCAATAACACACTTTACAACAGTTTTCATTGGCTTATAAAGTAATGTACCATTAAACATATCTCCTAAGGCTGTGTCAATATCCCATATCATAGTTGCCACAGTCTTATTAATAGATGACGTGGTGGTATCAATCCAACCAAATGCTTCTTGGTTAATGTACGATTCAGTAGAATTGATATATAAGTTTGTTTGAGACCCCCAGGTAGCCAAGTCTTGTTTTAAGGTGTCACTACTGTTTAATGACGACTTCATTTTGCTCGTCATGGAGACTCCACTTGTTGAAGTGAGTTTTTTGTTTAATACAGCTATTATTATTAATTGAAATACACATACTACTAGAGCTAATAGTCCTATTCCCAATATTATTAGTGCTCGTTCAGATGTAATATATGCCACAAACCAGTCTAATTTGGCGCTTTGTAACCTTGATATTTTTGTTCTATTCCCCAAGGTAATTAAGTATTTAAACATATTGGCAATTCTTGTTTGCCACCTATTAAAGACAGTGTGGTAAGTTGATATTATATCTGGTGTATCCTCTAATGAACCTTTCAAAGTAGAAATAGCAGACATATCATCCGACATATAGTATGGTTCCTTTAATGAATAAGTATCATTCAATTCTTTTAATCTTGACCATTTACGGTATTCATCATACCCAATGGGGATAAGAACAACAACTGCTGCAATTGACATTAATATGATGAAAATAGTAGTGATAACCTTGACACTTTTTATTAAATCCTTGTATATCAATTGAATCTCAGGTTTATTTGATGAACAAATTCCAGTGCCATTGGTATTAATATCTGTGAGTTGGGGTGTATATAACAAAGTTTTATTTTTAAAGATATTTGTCACATTTACTTTTTTAATCTCATTTCTTGCATAAACAAATGGGATGGAAAGTTCATTCTTTGTTTTGTTCTTTAAAGTGTCAAAACTAGGTGTCTTTGCAGCTAATGATTCTAATTTTTCATTTATTGATGATGGAATGTATACATTTCGTAAACTAGAAATAGTTAAGTTGACCGTTTTAATTTTATTAGTTGCACTATCACTATCATCGTCGTCATCATCATCTGTGAAAAAATCCTCTACTTTTGAAGCGGCACTTAATATTTTATTAATTATCTTTGATAAATCATCTAAACCATCATCAAGGTCATTAGCAATGTCATGTACAGTTCCATTAACTGCCCCCAATAATTTTTCTGTAGTGTTTGTTGCTACATCCACAGTACCATCGATTGCGCTTACAATCAAACAAGCATAAGTACCTAAGTATAAATCAACCACAAAGGTGAGTAATTCTTCACTTGCATAAACCAAAAGAGATAAAGTCTCTAAGGAAGCCTTCACTGTTGCAATCATTGATTTCTCAACCATATAATTCCCCATTAATCCTAAATAATGAGGAGTATTTTCAATGATGTTGTTATACATTTTATCAATTGTAGAACAGTTTGAAAGAATATATGATTCTGAATTATTCAACGCCAAAGTTAAAGACTTAGTGAAAAATGTAAGCTTTAAAATTGCTAGAATTAGCACTAATGTATATCTATTAATCCATATTTGAGTCAATGCTTCGCCAAGTTTTAAATAATTTGTAAAGACACGCATGCTAAAGTATCATTGGTGTGTAAAGAATAACTTTTATAAAATATAAAATGAATGACATTTATTTCAGCCATATTAGGGAAGTTGATAAAAAAAGTCATCATTTTATATATCGTTAATGTTGAAAAAAATGGCAGCTCAGCTTCCTATTAAGTATTAAGAGATAAAACAGTTGTTAAACTATGTTTTAGATTTGAAGGATATAAATATTGACGATTGTCGTATCCCTTTCAATGCAGTATTCTCTAATTAATTGTCAAATTTGATTTTGCTACTTAAGTTTCAAATGTTCAAGTGTGTCGCCGCACATAAACACGCGGAGAGATGAGAAAATAAAACCGAGTTTCAAAATTGTCACACGTTTACCTCATCGCTATCATTTATAAAAACTATTTCAGAAAATACCTAAAATTAATAAATAAATTAAAAAAGAGGCTTTATCTACTTGAAATTCTATTAATCATACATATAATGAAAGAAAGAAATATATATACATATATATATATAATTTTTAGGTTGGTGGAAACTTATAGAATCCCCCATGCATCTTCTGCACCATGACAGAATTTTGAACACGCAACAGATGCTGATAATGGATAATTAGATAAACCAATCTTTTCATCAACAAATTCGTCAGCAAAATTATCTCTACCACGAGCCATTGCACCAACGAATACACAAACAGATTCATCATCATCTAATTTATTAATATAGTCTTGCACACGAACTACTGGAGAGTCAAATGATAATGTTACTTTGCGACATTTTGTTGGTAAATGATCTGTAATTGGATTTTTAATAACTTTCAAAAGTTTTTCTTCTGAGTTTACTGATCTGATTGATAATTTATGCAATAATTGTACCATTAACCCAGAGAATCTTTTAAAAGTTCTAGGTATACGTACTGATGGATTCACTTCAACTAAGACACCACGACTTGTATGGATATAAACTTGTAATTTACCAGCTTTATTAATTGGAGAATCTAACAATGTTAATAAACATTGATGAGTAATATCCGGTCTTGCTTCACTAATATCTCTACCCATTTTTTTCAAGATACCTTGATGATCGTCACAATTCAATAATGCATATTTATCACCTCCGGGTCCCGAAGAAAGCTTATGTGTCTCTAAAGAGGCCTCTGACAATACGACTATTAGTCTTTTGGTGTTCTTATCACGAGATGTCAGCACAGGTGGTGCTTCTGGAACTAAAGATGCAGGTAATGCACGTTCTTCACCATTTCTTTTAGCGTCTCTAACTCTTGAATCCTCAACCATATCTGTTGTGTACTTGTGTGTATGGAGGTGTATAAGTTATATTCAACGATCTGGAAATATATATATATATAGACTTAGAAAAGATAAATATTTTATTTCTCAATCAAAAGTAAATAATTGTTATATGTAATAAGTTTTTCATATTACATGTCAATATGCGATGACTTAACGGAATCGTTTTGTTGCTATGTCATTGCAAAATGAAAAATTTAATTTATTTTGCTTTTTCTCATCGCCGAGATCAGAGAAGCAAACAAAGAAAGTTTAACAATCTTAAAAAATTTTCAATCGTCGCATGTGATATCGGCAAACAGATCAAGTCACATTAACTATATATATATATACACTTTATGTCTGTGTCGAGTTAGATTTCACATTGAATAATCTGTCCCCTTTGTATAATAAGTGAACTCTGTGTACTTATCAAGATATAGCTTAACCAAGTGTTACGTCTATAATATATACCTGTAAATTAAACAACTTATATAATAACAGCAGTCAAATAAATTCAACTCGTACAGTCTGTGGAGAGTTTTTACTTCCTCTCCTCAGAATATATTGATTTTGATTGTAACTATTTGCCACCACTTGCGTTATAGATGTTATTATTGTTATTGTTGTTATTGTTGCTTATTGTATGGGTAAGAGGGTAACTTGCCACAGTATCACTTTCGACGAATTGTTTCTTGATGGTATTTTTCCCATTTTGTTTTTGTTTACAAATTTAACCAAAATTTCGCTTTGCTGCTTTGCTCGTTGTGTCAATATTAACCGTATTATTACTATTATTATTATTGGGACACAGTCTTCTTTTGGGTACATAATTAGTTTAGATCTTACATAAGATCTAAAGAGATACATAAATTTATGTGAAAACTTATATTACAATTAGTAGAATAGAGAGAGAGAGAGAGAGAATAACCAAAGATTATCTAAGTAAACAATGTCCAGAGCTAAGAGAATTATGAAAGAGATGCAAGCGGTCCAAGATGATCCAGAAGCTCATATCACTTTAGAATTTGTTAGTGAATCGGATATCCATCATTTAAAGGGTTCATTTTTAGGTCCACCTGGAACACCATATGAAAATGGTACATTTATTGTAGATATTGAAGTTCCAATGGAATATCCATTTAAACCACCAAAGATGAAATTTGATACAAAAGTTTATCATCCAAATATTTCATCTGTTACAGGTGCAATTTGTTTAGATATTTTGAAAAATGCTTGGTCTCCTGTTATTACACTTAAGAGTGCATTAATATCGTTACAAGCATTATTACAATCCCCTGAACCTAGCGATCCACAAGATGCTGAAGTTGCACAACATTATTTAAAAGATAGAGAATCTTTTAATAAGACAGCCGCTCTTTGGACACAATTATATGCAGGTGGAAATAACAATGGTAATAATGATGGTATTAATGCAAGTAACGCTGATGAAGCTGATTTGTATGGTATTAGTCAGGAATTAGTACAGGAATTTGAGTCTCAAGGATTTCAAAAGGATAGAATCATTGAAGTACTCAGGAGACTAGGTATAAAATCTTTGGATCCTAACGATAATGATAGCATCAATAGAGTCATTGAGGAACTTTTGAAATAGAAAGTTTGTACATAATAATAATAATGAAGTTCTAATACCCATATATATGCATATATATGGGTATGTATATTTACATTTTTATCTATTTCATATCTTTATTGCAAAATAGTACTGAATATATTGCCTATTAACAAGAGTAATGTTTCAATGGTTAACGTTCCTTCTTTATTCACGAAGGATCAGTTCTTAAAATTTGTCGTAAATAGTGAATCTCATCCATTTATCCGTAGTCAGCCAATAAGATCGAAGGACAACGCGAACTCCGTCAATCGGGGAATCCGAAATAATTAAATGGTAAAGGGAACAGAAGAAAGACTTTCCCCATATATATATATATATATATATATATGCATATTAGAGGGGTGAAGACTAGTTGGTAAGGTTCTTGTTATTTAATGAACACCATTTAAATCAGTTTTAAGTGAAATATAGTTACTAAGGTATATATTTAAACATAAACGTATTAAAATATTACTTGTTCAAATTCCACATAATGTTGCCCAGAACAAGTTTTGCTCCATTAAATAGATCTATTGGTCTGGTATCTCGTAGGACATTCCAAAGTTCAGCAAAAAGATGTCTGACTATTCCATTTTTACCTGTTCTACCACAAAAGCCAGGTGGCGTTGTTGGTACTCCAAATGATGCATATATCCCACCTCCAATTTCAAAGATGGAAGGACAAGTTCATTGGTGGTTAGAAAAGGCATTTGCAGTTACTACTTTACCATTAGCTGCTACTGCCATAATTTCAGGTCCGTTATCGACTACATATGACTCGATATTTTCTGTTGCGTTATTAGGTTATTGTTACATGGAATTCCATTCTTGTATTACAGATTATATTTCAAAAAGAGTATATGGTAAGTTCCATAATTATGCGTTATATTTGTTAGGTGGTGGTTCTTTAATCTCTTTATTCGGAATTTATAAATTAGAGAATGAAGGTGAAGGTGTCACAGGATTAATTCATTCTTTATGGACTGGTAAAACCACCGTTAAGGAAACTGTTGAACCTGTCAAATAAATTTTGAAAAAACCAGTCATTTAATCATATTTTATTATGTTAACCTCTATTTATTTTTGTTTCTTCCTATTTAGTAAGGAAAGAGACAGAGTATTATATTATGCACATTTATTGTTTTAAATATTAAGCAATGATAACCATAATATAATATAACCTTTTATTATATATATTTATATATTCCCAGAATTACTATTTAAAAAAAAAAAGTAAAGATAATTTTCATTTAATGTGGATCTTTGATCTGTCCGGTAAGCTTATTTTGCCAATGTTTCAATTTCTCTATGAGTTGAGTCTTATTTTCTCTGGGTATAGAAACATATTGTAATGGTATTTCATTATCATACACATCTCGGCAATCCAATAATGTGTTAATTTGTGCAACTTGTCTTACAGAATCTAGTGTTACTTTAAAGAAAGGTCGAAGTTCAATCAAATATCGTTCAATCGTATCTATGGAAAATATTTTACACTGTTCCATAATGAATGTGTATGATAATTCTCTGTGAGTCTGAACCAACGACACAATAGTCAATAATTGTAATTTTTTAAGCATTTCTGGTGAAAGTCTCAAGTTTAATGGTACATCTTCTATGGTACCAAATGAAAACAGTTCAAATATATCCCTAGATTCGAGTGTATCAGACTCCAACCATTCTTGTTTGTAGTGAAATTTTGAAGGATCTTCAAGGATAGTATGTATATGGTTCGGTATCCCTGTCATGGTCACCTGTTTTTGCTTGTTTGGGTTAATAGAGAGAATATTATTATAGTCCTTTATGATAATCCTTCGATTGGTAATGGTTATTATATATCTATCTTAAATTTCTGAGAGCATAATACTTCGGTTTTTCCACCATATGATCTTTCAACACTGATAGTATATTCAACTAATTAGAATGTACCGGTATTATTATTAATAGTTTTAACGTATTCTAATACTAATCCATTATTGTTTAATTTATAAACTTCTATCCCATTTTGATATTATTATATAAATTTCAAATTGACCTTAAAAGTGTTGTGCGGGCCCACTGAAGCGCTAAGTGGAAAAGTATATATATATATCATTATTCGAAACAAAATAATAAATGATGCATTGTATAAAATCACATATAAATTGAAAATGTTAGTTTATATATTTAGGATAGACTTAATATGTATACTTCTTTTATAAAAGAGCAAATGAACCTCTTCAAAAATGTAAATATGGCTGTGTTGTATGATTATTGAGAAGTTTTACGGAACTCTGAATGTTTTATCCGATGTAACCTCAATTGAGTGGTCAAAATCGTTTAAATCTATTCTTTCCAGAAGATTGCTAACTGTTACATAGTGTACATGTTTTTTCCTTTTCAAAACTAGTCGTATTTCTTGTTCATTTATTTCTCTTTTATTCTCTATTCGTTGGACATACAGTAGTGTGGGTTTTGTTTTTATTGGACTGTCTCTATAGCTGTCAATTATTTGAAATTTATATATTATAAGTTACCTGATGACTCAACTTAGTTGAAATTAAACACAATAATTTGTAGTTGGGTTTCTACAATCAATCTCACATCTTTCCTTATAGTTTAACTCAATACTGTGTTAGTTACGAATTGTTTACAGCTTACTTAAATGACAAATCTAATGCCATAAGATATATATCTTATTCCTTTAAATCTCTTTGGACTCAGACATATAAAATATATTGTATTTTTTTATATAGGTTTCGTAGTTCAACAGTTAAAAAAATGCAAATGCTCAGTTAATTGATTAAAGTTATAGTATGTAAGTAAACAGTATTCAATATATTAATTTAAACATTATTATTGATTGGTTTCTTTTCTTTTCATATGATGTATAATTTTAACTACAAGAAATTAATACTTTACTAAACAATGCTCTTTTTTTATAATTGGTATTCACTGAACTTATATCCATTCAAGAATTACATCATCTCACAAAAAAAATATAGGCCTACCTTATTTTCATTATTAAGTAGCATGTTATTGTATAGTTTGCACTCTTTTGCTCATTAATAAGTTCATGTTATTCTCCACTTAGAAAACTTAGATTCAATAATATTAAGAATTCTGAAACGGAACATACATCATGATTGAATAATAACTAGATATTACAACATATATAAGAAAACTCTTGACAACTTATGTTCATTAGTAGTAAACGAATATGGTGTTAGTCATAAAGTAACAGTATTCACAATTTCTCAAAGGGAAAAATTAATACGTTTTTGTTTTTATTTTTCACGTTTAGTAAATAATATTATATAACAGTACTTAAGAAAAAAAAAATTGAAACATAAAACTATAAAGAACAACCATTCCAAATTTACTTAAATACATCTTCAATATAATATACCAACAAACGTTTGTTTTATTCTTTAGGACTACTGGTTACATGTCAACCGTACTATACAACACAAATTCCACGTTCATACAACGATACCAAAGGAATAGTCTTCGACAGAATAAAAATTCTTCAATTGGAAAAGATGGGACAACAACTGCTGCGATTGCTTCACAAATAGACGACGATCCCTTTGTTTCCAAACACATCAAAGACTCCCCAGAATATTTACAGCAATTGTGTTGTTCATGTCTGCCATCATCATTGCATCAAAGAATAAGGAACCTTAAGGTCACACCCGATTTAGAAATTGTAGCGCTAGTGGCATTGATTTACAAGAATTTCATTAGTCATTGGTACGGTGTCAAAATACCCACCAATGATACTCAATTTGCTACAGAGATATATAATATTGTTGAAAGGTTGATCTCGTACCTTCGTGAGAAGTCAAATTTGAATACTAAGTTAATACTTTTGGATGAATTCCCCGTATTATTGTCAATTCACATATGTGCTCTTCGTTCGATTAATACAAAACAAACTATGGGCTCTGGCGATATTTATAAACAATACACTAAACTAACTTTATACGAAGAGGATACATATCCTTACATCATTACAGCCCTTATACAACAATCTCTGGATAACACTTCGCTTCTTCAAGGGACATTTATTGATGCACTTTTCAACCAATTGTTACTGGGAAGAGTCTTTGACAGTATCACTGAGCCTTATTATGTCTTAAGAGGTATTTCTAAATTATGTAATAAAATAATTGAACGAAACAACACAAAAATTTCCTCGAACACTGTATCATACTGGTCTATGATAAAGGCAAAACTGTCAAAAATAAGGAAAATGGTAACTTATGTTTCATCATACGAAGACAGTAGTAAGGATAAGAATTATGATTCTTTGATGAACAAATATATTACCCATACATTCTTCGTCGATTTGCTTCAATTAGAGATAAAAAAACCTTTACTCTATTCAACGTTAAAATTTATACAGAATTTATGCTCAAGATCTAATACGATCAATAAGATTTTTAACAATACTCTGGATACGCTTATCAATAAAAAAGTAATGAACTCCACCACCGTAGGTTCATTAACAAGACTTGTGCGACATACATTGTTTCCAAATGATAATTTTATGGGACCACGTACCGTAATACCCACAGGGGTACACTTTGAGGAGTTTAAGAATGATAGAATAGAGGAACTGTGGCAAGTATGCACTATTTACAAAGCTTCTCTTGTATTAAACATAACAAAAGATGATGTTAAAACTTTTATCGATTCTATTTGTATTAGTAAAGAATGCAACAAATTATTGATGTTTAGGCTGATTGACTGCATGCTAGCCCATATCATAGATAACAATAAAGAGACACATGAAATTTCTGAGAGTCAGTAAAAAACTTGAATTTTAATTGAAATAGAAAACCACAAAACCATACACTGTTCCACTTACTATCTCTTGAAACATACACTTTAAATGATATATTTTATATATTTACATAAATGAAATAGACCAATGCTTACTGCGATACATAACGCGTTATTTACATTTTCCTCTTTACACGGTGCGCAGGGAAACGAAAAACCAAAAAGGTCATCTCTGTTTTAAAAGTTTACTCTATAAAATTAACTTAAGTTAGGTGGGATACTTGACACATACTAATAATCTTTATCATTTTCAATATAATATAATAAGATCAGATCATTATTGGATCATTAACTCTGTTTTATTGAGTACCTGAATACCTGAATAACTGAAAGTATTTTTAAAGGTTTTCTTAAATAGATACGCTGTTTATATATTTGGCGGCTATGGCAAACTTTCCCGGTGAAGATAATAACGATGTTCCTAAAAGAATAGTTAACGCCATTAGTATGCGTCCTATAAATCACTTGATACCCAAGGACGACATTATTATGTTGAATAATTCACACATGCGTGCATCGATAAACCTTAAGAAGGAAATTTCTAAAGATATATTCGAACAGGATGAGATGACTAATATGATAAAATCTGAAATATCTGAAACGGCTGAAATATCTAACAGTAGTCCTTTAGAGATGAAATTCAGATATCCCCAAAATATTAAATTAGATGAAGAGACGGACTTAAAAGGTCAACTCAATTTATTGAAGGATCTTTCACCTATAACTTTACAATACATGAACTCAAGGAAAACCTATGTTGATCCCTCACAGATTGTCCAGACACCTATGGTGTCTGACAGAACATTTAAAAGAATTACACACCCGGAAGAAGAGACTTCAATAGTTGAGGATATTGTGACTGAACAGCAGTCAAAAAAGACTAAGATATCCACAAATGTTTCCTTGAATCAAGAAAACATCGGTTTACAATATATGAAGGACTTCAAAGAACTGCTAAGAACGATAGATACTGATAACAATAACGATATTGTAGGAAATACCGAATTGTGGTATCCATTAGGTGACGATCATTATATTTTAACCGAATTTTGCTTAAATAAAATTATAACTATATTACAAAACATATCAAAGATTCCACAAATATGGCCCAAATTAAATGTCCAGGATTTAATTAAACTTTTGAACTTAGCAACAGAAAACATACGGCTCTCTAGAGAATACAGCAACCTAGATTTTGACAACTCTATGTTAAAAATAATTGGGTTTTTATCAATAAATGTAACATTTTCAATATTTTTGTTTAACATCGAGGAAAAAAGATTATATCTCGAAGAGTTTGTATTGGAACCGATAGAGTTTCTTACGGAAAATTCTGATTTTTCTCAAGATACTCAAAATAAAGATAATGATCAAATTATACAATTGTTTGATAATACCCTATCATTAATACCGAAATATATTCTTTTAAGACCCCATATAGATGATAGGTTAGTTACAAGGCTAATTTATGGTTTCTCTGGAATATTAACGGATGAGGTCTCACAACAGGGGTCAAATACTATAATAAATAGTACACTCGGGCATATCAAGTTAACCTGTTCGAAAGTGTTCATTTCCTTGTTTGAGAAAATACCAAATCAAAGAGAATTTATATTAGATGAATTGCTATCGCAAATGGAAAAACTGCCACAAAAACGATTACAGAAAAGACTAATGAGATTAGGTAACAACACGTTCATTACCCACTTTACTTTAACAATTCTTGAAATGTTGGAAAAAATTAACTACTATGACTACATTCAGTCTATAGTAACAGTCGATAAAAACATTATTGACGTGTTGAATTATCATAAAAAAGTTTCATCTGAACAAATCTTGCAATATATTGATCATATTGTTGATTTTATTTTCAATAAGTTAATAGATCACTTGGCTAAATATCGCCATTGTCTAGATAATATTGTTCAAGACCTAACCAATGCTTTATTATATGGTACATATCCTGTTTCAGAGAGTTTACTTAGTGCAATTGTTAATAAGATGCTAGAAATCTTTGGGTCCTCCAAGAAATATAATGCCAATGTCGAAACTACATGTCTCCAACAGTTAGGACATATAGCAGGAACGATGTTTGATATCAAAAGGCAAACCAAACTCCATGAAGCAAATAATCTGATTAAAATTTGCAATTATCCAGATATGCTACCCCAATGGCTTGGGTCATTTTCCAAATATGTTACTTATATCAAAAAATATACGTCAAGATCATCCGCATTCTATTTTGCTTACTGTATGGAAATGAATTCTCTATTGAAACTATATGATTTAATGAAAGATACAACATCCGATCAACAAGAAACCAAAGAAACTATATTCAATGCTGTAAACACCTTAATCAACGATACAATCGAAGAACATAATATTGTAACTCCAGAAACTGTCAAATATCATTACTACTCAATATTACATAGTTTTGAGTTAATTAATTTATACGAACCATATCTTAAACTGGTATTATCTATCTTAGACGAAGATAAAATTAAATTAAGATCTGTTGCTATCAAAAGTCTCTCTACTCTAATTACAAAGGATAACAATGTATTGTCAAGTCCGATGGTCAAAACAACAGTAACAGACTTATTGAGGAATCCATCAGCAGCTTCCATTAAAGATGCGATCCTCGATTTAGTATCGATAGGTTCTGCATATATTGGTTTCTATAAGGAAATCAATATCAACTATGATTCAGATAGCCTCCAGGTTAGAAGACACATCCTTCGCATAAATGAAAAAATATATGATGAAACAACTGATCAACAAATAAAAGTGTTTGTTTTTTCAAGAGTTTTAATGAAAATTGAAGACGAGGAAGATAGCATCATTGACTTGGCAAGAGGGACCATATTGAAGAAATGGATAACAGTTTTGACTGACTTAAAAGATCTACCAGAAAAGGAATATGAAACTTGCTATGAAATTATACAGATTATGTCTGGTGTTATTTCGTTAAGCGAAAAATGCTCTGATTTGTTCAGTTGGTTTTTGAACTTCTACCTACTGAATAATGAATATCATCCGATCTCTCGTTACACAGAGATTAAGGATAACTTAAAAATCATCACTAATAATCTTGTACAAATGATAATTGAATTACAAGCAAAAGATATAGATGATATTGATACAAAATCACAGAAACAAAAATTATTAAATTTGTTATCATTATTTTCAGATTCGATTGTTCCATTCATTAGTAAGGATCACATAATTGGACTTTATCCGTATATGGTAACTGATGCTAAGAGCAATCTGTATTTCCATATATTGCATACTTACAAAAATTCAATGGAAAAATTGAACAACTTTAAACCAAAATTTTTATTTGAATTGGAAACGACAATACTCACCGCCCTTCCAAAAATGACTGTAAAGGAAATTGATGAGGCTATCCCATTAGCATGGTGCGTCGCAAACCAGCGAAGTGACTTTGGGAGACTTCTAAAGGCATGTTCTTCATGCTTCACACTTCTCAATCCGTATATTAATCTCGCTAATAATAATCCGAATAAACTTTCATTAGATAGCAAATTACAAAGATTATTATACCTAGCTACTGGTTTTGCGAGATTTAGCAATTTCGATACCTCAGTCACTCATATATCATATGTCCCTGATGGCGAACCAGTCTACGAATATGTCGCAAAATGTATGTTGATTTTTTCAAAGGGAAACACTGATCATGTAATTCGAAGAATTGCGATAAAAAATCTAACTAAACTTTGTGGGAATCATCCCAGACTCTTCAATTCGAAACATATCCTTAAGGTACTTGATACAGAATTCAGAAGCAAAAATCTTGATATTCAATTAGTTATTTTAGAGAGTTTTTATGATTTTTTCGTACAAGAAGAAAAACATAGTTTAAGACAAACCGGTGAATCGTCTTATATGTCTTCAGATAAACAAAGGAAAAAATATGCAAAAATGAATCAAAAAACAGAATTTCTAAATGATGGTATTTGTGCCGCATTGGTAGCTCGTTACATTCAAAATATTCTCAGGATATGCTTATTAACAGACTTCAAAAATGCTCTAGTAGGAATTAGGCTACTAAAATTAATCCTCGAATACGGTTATACTAATCCATCTTTATGTGTGCCTACTGTAATTGCGTTGTTGTCATCAACAAATGTCTACATAAGAAAAATATCAGTTGATCTATTCACTAAGTTGATGGAAAAATACGAAACTATGGTTTACAGTGGATTACCAAAAGGTATTTTACTTGCTATCAAGTATGCGAGAGATTGTGACTCTACAGAGTATTATCAAAATGAGCAATTCATATCATTACTCCAGAGCAACATGACCACATCTAAAGGATCTGTAGCAAAGTTTAACAAACGTCTTTTTAACACGATTGATATGCTTCTTGAAGCATCTTTGAATGAGTCAACAATGGAGGAAAATGTGCATATAATTTTATTTATTGCTTCCAATATTTCCAATATGAGATTTCAGGACCAATATGAATTACTAGTATTTATCAGAAAAGTTGATATCAAATACGAACAAATGAAGGAAATTGCGTACTCACATGGAAAAATGACTATGGGAACGTCAGAGTTACTAGGAAATTCTGTAGCAAAATCCAAAATTCGAAACATAATTGTCGCAAGTGCGGTATTTGAAAAGCTAAAGTTACACTTGATCAATTTGTATTCTTTAAAGGAGGATATATTATTATATGATGAATTGCAAGAGGAGGAACTTAAAGGGAGACCTGCCATTTTGAATAAAACTATTTCGCAGCCGCTACAAAATATTATTAGAGACGTAATATCGAAATTTGGAGATGATGAGGAATTGATCGATTATTTGGATAATCTAGATTAAATATTATATATATACATATATTGTGCTTCTCTTATTATGTATTACGAAAAGTAAACGCTAATTACATATGATTGTCCTTTTAACATATGTCTATATTCTATGTCAATTATTACCAAAATGAGTTTACTGGAAAAGGTGTACAACGTTTGAGAAATCCACTAACAAAATAAATATTTTCATAATATAAAATGCGTATCATTCTCTCCATTTGTACACCAACCTCATAAACTGAGGTTTCTCAATCAATAAGATAACTAAGGCTTCTGGATCTTCACTTTTTTATGTGGAATTAAGATATTTGGTTGCTGTTTCCCTGGAATACCTCTTATAGAAGGCGTTATATTGGTTGAGTGTGACTTATTCAAAATCGAACTTCCATTACATACATGTAAATAAGGTTGGTGTTGGAACGAGTTTATATGCTGTTGGTTTAAAATTTGTTTATCATCTATTCCATTAGTTTTCGACGAATAAAATTGGGTTTTAAGTTGTTCCTGCAATTTTGACAACCCAGGTTTATTTCCGGTCAATACTTGTTGGTTATGAACTTTAATTTGTAATTGGTTATGAGATGTTTCAGGTTGGGGTTTAACTTTGGAAGGATTTTTTAGAACAGGTAGGACCTGTTGTGAAACCCGAACTGCTTGTGGTTGTTGTTGACTTGAAAATATAGGTCCTGGTTTTATTTGATCTTCCAACTGAATATATTGTACCTGTTGTGTAGTTGAGGTACGCACTGTATTGAACGTTTCATTTATCCTTGAATTAGTTTCTGAAGTTGATGGTGTATGTATAATGTGGTGTAATGGTGGATCTATTTCTGTAACAATATCTTCAATACCATTTTCAATATTATATTGATTAATCAATGATTTTCTTTTTTTTTCATTAACTGTCATAGTCACTGGAATTGCTTCACGATGTTTTAATTTCGCCAAACTATTTTTTAAAGTCCTGGAATATTTAAAAACTCTTCTTAAGGGTTGATTAGCAGATAATTGGTCTCTCTCCTTTGTTGTTAATTTAATAACATAAGGTGTCTTCAAAGGTTGTGCTATTATTGCGAATTGCTCTCTTAATTCTCTTGTTTTTAAACCTATTGTGATAACTCCACCACAAGTTTTTGTCCTCTTTTTAAGTCTATGAGCTCGTATTTGTTCAGTTGTAAGCTCTTCCTCATCTTCATCTGAAGAACTTTCATAATTGTCTAAAAGTAAATGATCAACAGTTCTGTATATTTTTGAATAATCAATCAATGGGTTAATTTTAAATTTAGATTTATGTTTTTGTAATATGGATGCATGTTCATTCATTAAATTATATTTATCTAACATATTCATGATCTTATCCATCGTCATTTGTCTCTTTTCATTTAATTCACCCATATCAGTTGGATCATTAATCTTAGTCATCTTAGCTAAAGCTGTAGGCCATGTTACAATTTCTAATTTATTATACAATTGTTCCAAATGTTCTGCCGTCTCATAACTTTCATTAATATCCGATTCAATCATTCGATTTTCTTGTCGTAACATTTTTTTATGAAATGCATAATAAAGAGTATCCGGAAGTGAATCCACTGTCACTATTTTGTCAGCATCATTTTTTTTAGTTATAACATTATCTTCAATCTTTAAAACCATCTTGGAAATAGACGTTCTGGTATTTTGTATGCTAGTATCATTAGGAGATGAAGAGTTTCTTTGCAAACCACGAGACAAACATTGCAATCCTCTATCAGGATCAATCTCATGTGAAAAATCAAATTCAAACGTAGGAGGGATCTGATTATCAATGGAGGCAGAAGATCTCGTAGACCTAGCCTTCGTTTCTGTTTCAATATTCATTCCTTAAATAACGCCTTCTTTATCGAAAAAAATAATAGATCAAATAGAAAAACAACTTAATGATCACGTATGGACCCTAATAGAAATTATGCAATGCAAAGTATAAATGGACTACCTGTTCCAATGTACGATATTGAAACAAGAAAAACGCTAAATTATTTTATCAAATGTTCAAACCCTAAGAACAAGACACCTGTTAAACAGTTATTCCTTTTACCCGCCTCTGGGAACTACTTCTTTTAGAATAGTTCTCATCATAAGTGTTTATCCGTCTGTTATTTATTTCAACTGCTTTTTGGTGACGGTTCTCATCGCAAAAAAGCCATCAATTTTCACGTGACCGTTGGAACTAAAATATCAACAAATTCCGCGAATTTTATTTACAATTTTTGTTTGCGGTGACAAAATGCGATGAGAAGAGAAGGGAAAAACTGGAAAGGAGTAAACAGAGAAAGCTGGGTATGCTGGGTGTTGTTTTAGCAGAATACATATAGAGAGATAGATAAGAACAATAAATAGGTACATTTTGCGAGAAGGGACAGTTACAGTGAATATAATTTTTGATTTGTGGTGTGGTATATCAAAAGAGATATTTAAGAGTTCTAATTTTGCATATAATTTTTATTTTGGTTTGTTGTTGAAAGTAAACAATAATCTGATTTATTAAACCACCTCTCTAAGCCATCCCAGAAGGAATTTGAAAGTGGGACAAAATTATTTCATAAAGAAATACGTATTCTGACAATATGATGAAACGTACTGTCAAAGGCAGACTCTCTGCTAAAGGTAAAGGTAAAGATAAAAAGAAAAAGAAAACACATAAGCCACTGATTAACAGAAGACATAAAGGTATCATTCAAATTAATGTTCCTTATTTTAAATGGAAGTTGAGAATATTTTGGAAATTCGTTCTATTATCTTTATTTGGTTGGTTTATTGTAATTAATCATTTCGAACATTATTCTGTAAAGAATACATTACAAAAATGTGATTGGCAAAGATGGGAAACTTGGTCAAATGATAATAACGGTAATCCCGTAGATAGCCATAAAGTGGCTTTATTTGCTGATCCTCAAATTCTAGACAATTATTCTTATCCAAATAGACCATGGATTGTGAATTATATAACTAAGGTTCTTGTTGATCATTATCATATTAGAAATTGGAAATATGTTCAATATCATTTAAATCCACAAACCAATTTTTTCCTTGGTGATTTATTTGATGGTGGTAGAAATTGGGATGATGAATATTGGTTACAAGAATATAAAAGATTTAATCAAATATTTCCAAAGAAACCAAACACAAAGACAGTAATGTCTTTACCAGGAAATCATGATATTGGTTTTGGTGATACCGTTGTAGAATCCAGTCTAAAGAGATTCGCTACATATTTTGGTCCAACTTCATCTTCAATAGATGTAGGTAACCATACATTTGTACTTGTAGATACAATATCTTTATCTGATAGAACTAACCCTAATGTATCCTCCGTTCCACAAGAATTTCTAGATAATTGGGTTAAAGAGCCTCATCCATATCCAAGAATTATGTTAACCCATGTTCCGTTACATCGTGACCCTGCTGTTCAAACTTGTGGTCCCGAAAGAGAATCAAATAAGTTATTCCCAATGCAAAAGGGTCTTCAATACCAAACTGTCATCGATAGTGACATTTCACAAATGGTTTTATCAAAAGTGCAACCAGATTTTGTTTTCTCTGGTGATGATCATGATTATTGCCATGTTAAACATTCTTACAACACACCAATCAATACTATTGGTCAATCAGAAGAAATTACCGTCAAGTCATGTGCAATGAATATGGGTATATCCAAACCTGCTATTCAATTGGTTTCATTATATAACGATGGAAGAAATACGGGTAAACCAACAATACAGACTCAAATATGTTATCTTCCTGATCCATTTCAACCAATTTGGGCGTATATTATTACTGCTATTATCAATTTTGTTGCCTTAATATGGTATTTGATTAAATTTGATAAAGTCAAAGGCTCAAGATTACATGGCTCATACAATGATAAAGATGAATTACCATTACCTGTAAGTGCAGATGATAAGAGTGAAAAATCTAAGAACCGTAAGAAACAATTAAAACTTTTAATGAATGATGTCAATGTCAATTTGAACGTTATTGTCAATTTATTAGGGTTCATCTTTATGTATTATTATAAATATATCTAACTAGAAGACAACTGCAAAGCACATAAAATATAAATAAAATTGTATAAATATTAAATTTTTAAAGACAAGCCTATTCTTATTTACTAATATAATGCTTGCTTGACCTCTCTCAAGTTATTAACTGTATTGAAAAATAAACCTTAGTTGTTGGTGCTTTACATGAAAAACGCGTTGCCCTACGAGATATTTATATTTAAAAAGGTTTAGTAAAACAAATACCAATGACCTGAATACAAATTATTCTCTGACAAACATTCTTAGTTTATCATTCAAAATATATGAGGCTCTGACTGTTTGATATTACGAATCAAACAATAACAACTATATCGCATTTTTCATGTCAAACCAAATAGAAAAATTTGAAAAGCAGGCCTTTTCTCAAAATAATGAATATAATAATGATCGTAACTCCGATGAGAGTGATGTTGACATAGATGAGTTGATGGATGAATTGGATAATGACGAAGAAATTCAGCAGATTATGTCAAGGCAAAGGGAAGCAAGGTTACAACAGATATCGGATCATTTAAAGAATGTATCCAAGAAGACTTCCGAAGATGAAAATTTTGGTAACCTCGAGACTATAGAGGATGAATCAAAATTGATCAAATTAACAAGTTCATCTACTAAACCAGTAATAATTCATTTCCAATTGCCACATTTCAAAAAATGCCAATATATGGATAAGCAATTGAGTAAACTAGCAAGAAAATACCTTAATACAAAATTTATTAGGGCCAATGTAGAAGATTGCCCATTCTTGGTGGATAAACTTGAAATAAAAGTGCTACCGTTTGTTGTAGGATACATAAATGGACTCGAAAGGACTAGAATTATTGGATTTTCAAAATTAGGTAGTGACCCAAATTCATTTGATTCAAGCGCATTAGAGAGATATCTTTTATCAGAAAGAATGATAAAATCGAATACATCTGGACTTCTAAAGTCTACTAGGGGTACTTCTGGTCATGACAGTGATAGTAGTTTAGATCTTTAGGTTGGATCAAACTATATATTTCAAGAGAAGCATTATTTAAATGTGACGCAGAGATATTTATTTTTATGTGATAATATGTACGCAAAGATTATGTATATTATTTATAGATTCTATTATTATGAGAACCCTCTTTGGGGTATTTTATTTGTAATAATGAAGTTACAGAATTCTTTATTGAAAAATTCAAACTTCATTATAATGCAAAATGTTGAGGTTGGAAGATGAGGCAAAAACAAAAGTTCTAATTTAGCAAAACGATGATCTTAATAGTATACTGTTCCAATTATGTTTTTGTTGCTCAGTTAATTTCCCAGTTTAATGTATTAACTGTCATCTTCTTCCTTAACTGTAGATTTAAGAGCTGCAAGTTCTTTCTTTAATTGTTCATTTTCAGTTAATAAATGTGCTCTATGAATTTCACTATCCTTCAAACACATCATGGCCTTCTTTAACTCGACACATGTTCTTGCATAGCCGTCTTTTAAGAAGTTAAAATTTAGAATTAGTTTATGAGTACTAACGATTCTCTTCTTAATGTCCGTAACTTGTGTCATAGTAAACTCATTGGTATATTTATCAGGAATGGGTGTATCCGCTTTTAAAGTCTCAGATGTCAAAGTCTTACCTTTACCAATAATTTTTTTTTGTTTCTTTTTATTGTATGAAGTGATTGGTAAAGATTCTAATTTTATTTGAGTTTCATTATTTTCAGAAGATAATGTTGAAGACGGCGATAATGATGCTGGCGATAAAAATGGTTCATCTGTGGTTTTATAAATGCGTATATCTTTAATATTTTTTTCAGTCTTTGTCTTCTTTTGCTTTTGTAACTCTGAATGGTCTTTTTCTTCTGTCACACCATCAATCGATCTTTTCTTTGTATTATTAGTGCCTAACAAATCTGTTAAATGCATATCCATATCTGTTGTATGGGTGTTTTCGCCAAGTATAGTATCCAAAGAGAGTTGTTTATCATTCAAAAGGGATGCATCTATTATATCGGTATTATTCATATTAGTGATAGCAGATTCAATTGCCCTTTCAATATCTGTCTCGCTAGTACTATGTTCACGATCAGTATCCTCTTGGTTAAAATCCAATGCAGAGTCGTTAGTGAAAGGATTGGAAGGATCTTCTTTGAATGGGTCATCTGAATCTGTCAGGAGTTGATGAAGGGCAGACTCCAACATATGCTCCTGGGTGTCTTCAATAATAGTAGTTCCTGATTGGATTTCTGTCATTTTCTTTCTATATCCTTTTGGCTTAATTTTTTTCTGTTTCCAACAATGTGTAGGGAATGATATGTCCTCAATTCGGTGATAGAAATCTGAGTTATAATTTGCAATATAAAATTTTTATTCGCCAACTATATGATAATCTTATTTTAAGGAAAAATAACTAATATGGTGGTGATGTGCCAGCAATGTGTGTTCTTTCAAGTTTCAGATATCCTAGCCTTTATTTCTAAAATATTTATTTGTTTTACCAGGTTAACCTCACTGAAAAATTTACGCAACATCGCAGAAAACGAAGCAAAGAAAAAAAAATTTAATTAAAAAAAAAATCGATGAGCTGAAACTTTTCGATGCGATGAGCTTTTGCGCTGTTTCGAGATATTGAGGTAAAAAAAGAAAAGAGAAGTGATTGGGTAGTGATACAAAGAACAATAAATTCCGTTAACGATGACATCAAGTCAAGCTATAATTAAATAAAAGAGTGAAACTGAACGTTTTAATGTGATCAATTCTGTTATATGATATATTAAATGATATGTGTTATGTATGATTAGGTATTAAGAATAGTAGTGATAAAATGCAGTTACCAAAATGCAATGATAGTCCTAGATATCCAGTTCATATCGGAAATATCTCAGGACTTTTAGTACGGTAGAATGCTATGTTTATATATGGTAAAAAATAAATGGAATTGTAATATGAGGTTGGAAGAAAGTATCAGGGATATGTTACGAGATCATCTTGTGAATAATATTAAGTGCTTTTTTCTTGTTTTGTTTTTTTGATTTCCTGTCGGATATATTTGTGGAAAAGTTAATTGTTAATCTAGGATGTTTAAAAAATGTAAATCTGCTTCTAATAAACTTTCGGCTTTACTTTTTTCATTAAAGACTGATCATACGTCTTTATGAATTGTGTCCTAACATCCAGAACTTATCTCCATCTTTATCGTTATCACCGTAAAGATCAAATGAGAGTATTTTCTTAAATTTTGAACTTAAATCTTGTTTTAATTCATCATTTGTTTCAGATCTGTGTTCTTCTTGACTAAAATTTTTATTTGATCCTAAGGCAATTTCATTCGAAGATGTGGTAGAACTTGTTACAGCACCTTCAGTGTCATTATCATCCTCACCATATAAGTTTAGATTTAAAAATCCAGGTTTGGTATCAATTTGGACAGGAGTGTTGTAACGTTTTTGTTCTTGTTCTTGGTCTTCCTGTGGATCGATATCAGTAGATAATAATTCATTAAATGAGATTGTCTTGATTTTAGATGGGAGGACTTGTATATTTTCATCACGTTCTTGGATTTGAGCAGAAGGTTCTCCCATCATTAATCTATCTTCCTCATCCATTGATAAGAAATTTGATTGTGGTTTATTAAACATTAAAGCAAATGCATTTCTATGTGGAAATTTGTATGGGTTTGAATCATTATGAAATAAAGCATTTGATTTTGGAAGAGTGCTATTAGAGGAATTATTATCGTTATTAATCTTTCTTATTTCATCTAATGAATTATTAATTAAACTCTTCTCAAATAATTTTACTGTAGATGTGCTTCCATTAGAATTATTGTTATTACTCTTTGGTGTAGCAAACATATTGACTAATGATGCATTCGAACTATTGTTACTAGTAGAAGGCGATGACATCTTGGAATAAAATTCAGGTGGGATCAGCCCAGTCGGTGGGTTTGGAATATTATTCAAATTACCGTTAAGTGTATATTTCCTTTTTCTCTTCATTGGTTTTGGATATGTATCGTTTTGGGGATCACCATCATGAATATAAATATTTGAGAAACTCCTACTACTGATATTATTTCTCAGTGAGCTAAATGGGACCAAATTATTTTGATTAAAAGGAGCCTTTTGAGCTGGATCCATTAAACTTAATGATCTGAATCTTCCCTTTTTCATTGTCGTAGAAGAGGAGGTTGCTGTAGATGTTGAAGATGATCCGTCTTCAGTAGTATCTGCTGAGACGTCTGGTACATGTTGACTAGAGGCAGTTCTAGAGAGAAGACTTGGTACGTAAAAACTAATACCATCATCTTCTTCCTCCTCCTCATCTTCTTCTTCGTCATCTTCATCTTCATCTTCGTCTTCATCTTCAGCAATACTGTTATCCTCGACTTCATTGAGATCAGAACTAATTTGTTCTTGTCCTTTAGTATTGTTTTGTTCCGAAGTATCCTGGTCAATTATTGTATTTGTAAGTTTTGGCGATTGAGATACTCTAATTGAAGGTATTGTTAAATTTGTATTTGAGGATGAGTTTCTAATAGGGATAGAGTTCAATATTACTTTATTTGTATGATGATAAGGTTTTGTACTAATAGATTGTGATCTTACTCTCACTGATTTATCTTTATTTGAAGTAAGGATGTTATTTTGAAAATGCATTAATGATAATGATTCTCTTTTAATCGATTCCTTTGAATCTGTTCTTTTATGTGTCTTAATTGTTGGAGAAATCGGTATTGTTTGCGATTGTAATAGTGGTGACGATGGTGAAGAATTTTCTTGTAATGACATTGTTGAATCATCAAATATTTGATCAATTGAATCCTGTGAAATAAAATTTGTTAAAGGCTTATCAGATAAAATTGTTAAGAGAGCTTTAATCCCAGTACTATTCACAATAATAACAATTGATTCAATAGTCTTTAAATCAATATTTTTATTATTATCAAGGAATTTTTTATTCAATTTTGTAAAATAATCTTTAAATGGTGATTCAACTAATGATTTTTTATCAATTAATAAATTTTTTGAAGTATAATGATGATAACCTAAATGAATAAAATTAATAATTTTTGATTCTAAGATATCATTATTTAGAAAAGTATTGAACCATTTTAAAGTTAAACTTGAAACATTAAGATTAATCTTTAAAGTAACATTTGATAAATCATTAATTCTTTTAAATAAAGTTTCGATTAAAAATTTAATTGTTTCCACGTATCTTATTGAACCTGATGTATTAATTGTTAAATTACAATGAATTAAATCATGTTTAACAGTAGCTAATTGTGACCAAAATTCTTGATTATTATCAACAAAACTATCCCAAATTAATTTTTTAAAAAGGTTTAATTTAAATTTTTTATTAAATTTTGATAATTTTGTATCATTTAATTCATCATTATAATAATCAATTGTGGGTATATCAATATAAAATAAAATATTAAATTTATTACATTTTTGTAATCTTTCTGCATTATAAGATGGATTCTTCCCATCAATTTCAGAATATCGTAATAAATACAATGAATTTTGTGAAATTACCGATATTTTCGGCCGGTAATAAATTGAACCGGATTCCATTTGGTAATATATGACTCTATAATAATGCTTTTATATTCTTCTTTTTCTTTTTCTTTTCTAATCCTAGTATTTGTTGTAAATAAAATATAATGTTATAATATAAAATAAAATAAAAGTGTACTTGATAAGCAGATGTAATGTAGATATAAATATCAGCTAATCGTAATGTTTCTGTGTGTGTGTGTGTGTATACGTTGTTTAGTTTTTTTATACAAATTAATTTATTGGAGTGATGAGTAATCTTTCCATCATCGTTCATTCTCTTAACATATATATATATATATATATCTGATTTATTATTAATCAAGCCCAGAAGATAGAAAAATAAAGAATATAACGGAATAACAGAAAAAACACTAAGCGAGAAGAGGCAAATCCGTGCGCTAATCTCCCATACATACATACACACACAATTATAAGAGAAACCCCAAAAAAAGAGTCACAACCTCAGTATAAACTACATCTCTTCAAATTTGATAAAGGAAACAATGTATATACACCTTCATTAGTAAAGTATCTGTTTGTTGAACTACTGTATTTACAGACACGCTCACTTACTACTTGATCGCACTTTCTCTCTCACACCCCTCTTCCCAACAGCAGGAACCTACCATTGAATAATACGTACTCTATTACGGAGTATTATGCAAAATCTTCCCCCAATTGTAGCTATATACAGGGCACTCAACCGAAAATGACCCAACCACAACTTTACTATTATTATCCACACTAAGGAAAACCAGATGAAGTTCCTATTTCTTGTTGAAACGATGCCCTGATCGCTTGTCGTTTATCACTCATAATTCCATTACATAACAATAATGCTACTATTACGCGCGTGAACAGTGAAAGCACCGCACAACCGATTGTGGTTATCACATAAAAAAGAGAAGAAAATACACGTAGCACAACAACAATACAATGACTTAAGTTAAACGAGTTGTTGGGTGTATGAGCAACTAAGCAATGAATTAAAGGCATACAGTAGCATCTCGGCCTAACTGAATACCCCTATCACAAACACACTATATATATATATATATATATGTATATATTTATCTATCTATATATATGATAAGGTGTTAACAGTAACGATTACAACTATGTACACTAAACGGGCACGTGCAACATCGCGTTACACGAACTCAGAAGAATAAATTCAGAAGGCGGGTCTCTGTGCGTTTCGGCTTTCAACGCGAAATACTTTTTTCAATGTTACCACAAAACCAGTGAAAGAGTGCAATATAGCAGGTTATGGAACTGTTTTTTCGGGTATTGGAAAATATCAATTACTTATCCTAATTAGGTAGGAGATGAGTTAGTGAAATTAGTTAGTGTATCATACGTTGCTGTATCTGGAACCAAATAATAATCAGAGTAAAAAGGTATATATACATACATACATATATATTGGTAAGTTTGTATATTTTATAACCTATTATTGATAATCTTACTTAAGGGATCCAACAGTATACTTAGAACAGATCGCGTCAATACCAATACGTACATTGTGAATATGGCGTCATCAACATCGAATTCTTCATCGACAGTACCTTTAACTCCTCCTAATACTTTAAAGAGAAAACAACAACATAATGTTGAATCATTAAATGTATCCCCATTAAAACCAAAATTATTATTACATGATTTATTACAATATGAGAAATTGACCCCTACTTCATCTCCTGAAAAGAAATCACATAAATTGACCTCATCAAAAAATAAACGTAAGCTAAATGGTAGTATACGTCGACCTATACCAAATTCAACACTTTCATTGGATTGTTATCCAATGATTAAACCAAATGAAAAATCTCATAATAAATATTTACATTGTATTTTAAATGAATGTCAAAATATTGTTGTTGTAGCAGGTGCAGGTATTTCAACTTATGCAGGTATACCAGATTTTAGATCAAAAAATTCAGGTCTTTATTCAAAGAATAAGTGTAATAAATCTTTAATGGATCTAAATATGATTTATTCAAATGAATCAATGACATTAAAATTTAATGAATTAATGGTCTCTTTATATTCAAAATCAATTAATGCTAAAATAACACCATTTCATCAATTATTAGACAAATTAGCTGAACAGAAAAGATTAAAAAGAGTTTATACACAGAATATTGATTCGTTAGAAACAAAATTACCACATGTAATGGAAACTCAAATTAATAAAACTAAAGGGAATTATCCAATTTTAGTTCAATTACATGGTAACATTTCAGAAACAAGATGTAATAAATGTAATAATATTAGAAAATTTGATCCAAACAGATTACAAACATCTGAAAATCCAAAGGGTCGTTTAATCCCAAGTTGTCTTGAATGTGAGGAATTAGAATCAGTTAGATCTATTGCAGGTTTAAGATCAAAGGGTGTTGGAACAATTCGTCCAACCATTACCCTCTATAACGAAGTCCATAATAAGGGTGATGCAATCGCCGATATAATTAATTATGATACAAAATTAAAATCAATAGATTTATTAATTATTGTAGGGACAATGTTATCAATACCACATGTTAAAAAATTATGTCAAAATATGGCACATTCTTTAAAAAATGGAAGGCGAAGAAAAGGTCATGTAATTTTTGTTTCAAATGAACCACCAACACAATCAATATTGAATACATTTAAGGATACATTAGATATGATTGTTATTGGTGATTGTCAAACGTTATATAATTATATAGATTAAAAAAAATTATATATTAAACAGAATGAGCATGATTGTAACAATGAAAGATATCGTCCGCTTATTTATGATATTAATGCAATTGGAGGTGGTAAATCTGGTACTTTGCCAATTGTAAAATTTGTCGCTTTAAAGGCGGCTAGGATTTCCTCACTCAATTCAACATCAGTTATATTGTTGTTCACATTGTTTACAGGAGTTGCAATTATTGATGTGGTTGCTCCTGTAGCTTCCTTAGGTTTGCTGGTGCCAAAGAGTGAATTCGTACTTGAAACTGTCGTACTGTTATTATTCGCTGTGTTTGTTTGACCTCCAAATGCACTTGTAGTACTATTGGGCGTATTAGACGTTACACTACCAAATGGACTTCGATTATTAGGAACCGCCTGTCCAAACGTGGAACTTGTATTTCCAGATTGACCGAAAGGTGACTGGCCCGTGGTATTTCCATTTTGAATGGCCCCAGTAGTTGTAGAGGGAGCTCCAAATGGGCTACTGTTTGCAACTGTAGTGTTACTACCACCAAATCCACCTGAAGGAGAGGCATTGTTAATTGCACCAAAGGGACTTTTTGAATTTGTATTTGGAACTGCACCAAAGGAACCCACATTATTATTTACTGATCCAAATGGATTTGCCGTCGTAGTTGTGCTAACATTACCAAATGCTCCTGTACCCGTTGTTGTACTAGTGGTACCGAAGGGTGATGATGATGTGTTAGTATTGTTAACAGCTCCAAATGGGCTACTTTGAGGTTTACTAACATTATTTGTCATAGCGCCAAAAGGTGACGCATTGTTTGTAGTTGTTCCAAACGCACTATTTTGATTGTTGTTACTACCAAAGGCTGGAGCACCGAATGCTGATCCTGTACTCAAAGATGTATTATTTGTTGTTCCAAACCCTGAACTTCCAAAGGTATTGCCAGATTTGGCAGCAGGGTTTTGAATACTTGAAAAGGGAGAATTATTCGCTGCAGTTGTATTATTGGTAGATCCAAAGGGTGATGAACCGAATGCAGACGACGCAGAAGAGTTATTGGTGTTTCCGAATGTTGAACTACTAAATGCAGGTTTTCCAAAAGCGTTGGAAGCATTGGTATTATTGTTATTATTATTTGGTATGCTTGATGCACCAAACGCACCAGGTCCAGAGGAATTTGAATTATTTTGAATTGATGAAAAGGGAGATGCACCTGCGGTAGCACCCATAGATCCAAAAGCTGGTTGTCCAAAGGAATTACTTCCACTAGTTTGTCCAAATGCAGGTTGTCCAAAGGAATTTGTTGAAATTTGTCCAGTGACACTCTGGTTGTTATTATTTATAGAGCCGAATGGATTTGCGTTGGGATTACCGAATCCACTAGATCCAAATGCTGGTTGACCGAAACTTCCACCATTATTATTAGTATTACCAGCAGCAAATGCATTGCCCTGATTATTAAAAGTGTTGTTATTGTTGTTGTTGTTATTATTGTTGGCACTATTATTGTTGGCATATACATGAGCAAATCGACATGAAGCCCCATTTTTACAATAACCTTGTTGAAAAAATTTACACGGTATTTGTTTTGTGTTACTATTGTATGCCATTATAATGTGTTATTGCTGTGGAAGTGCATATATGATAATCCTCACACTGCTCTTTCGTAATATTGGACTATGATATTTTATCCATATTGTTGCTTTAAACATAATTATTATTAGGATTCTTTTTTTTTTATAAACATCTCTGAAGTGCATGAAATAAGAGTTGAGACTAAGCGATGAGAATATATATAGAGAAAGAAAAAATAAAAACATGAATGAATTAATTTAAATATGAACTTTATAGAAGTAAATGCAGATATATTATATATAAGTGATAATGGAGATATGTATATTTACAAGTAGTCGAATAACTCCTTTCTATGTATATTCTACTTTTCGTTTGTTTCAGAATCTAAGATTCAGAGTCTTAATTTTTTTTTGGCTTGTCAATATTATTTTACAATTTTTTTCTTTTTTTAGTCTTTTAATGATGATCTTTCAATGCAATTTGAATGTCTTTTTATAAGTTTAGTTACCAAATCTATTGAATCTTTGACCTCTTGCATTATTCTTTGAGTATCTATTGTATTGATTGTCGTTGTGGTTGTTGTGGTTGCTGCTGTTATTATCATCATCGTAATTTCTGTTTCTGAAATTTCTATTTCTTTCTGGTTCGTAGTCATTGTCGTCATTGAAACGTCTTGATGATTCAATGTTAAACATCTTCTTAGCAACAGGATTATTTGTCAAACCTAATCTTTCTAATTGATGTCTACCAATCGATATCTTTTCTTCAGGATCATTTAACAATTCACCGTAAGATGCAGCCAATTGAGGTAACAATTTTCTAGTGTCGAATCCGTATTCTTTAATAACAGATCTGTAGAAAGAAATTAAACTTAGTAATGTATCGGATAATTCGAACGTATCATCAATCTTAGAGGCAAATTCTTTTGATATCTTTTCATTAGTTTTATAATCTAATTTATTCTTAATGATGATATTTTTCCTTTCTTCCAATGTCTCAATAAATGGTAATTCATCCTTACATAAGAAAATTGTAGATTTACCTTCTTTACCACTACGGGCAGTTCTACCAATTCTATGAATATAGTTGGCTAGTTCTGATGGGACACCAATTTGTAAGACTTCTGCGACATTTGGGAAATCCATACCACGAGCACCAACATCGGTACAAATCAAAATACCCTTTTGATGTTGTTTGAATTCTTTAACAAGGTTAGTTCTTCTTCTTTGTTCGATTTTCCCGTGGAATTCTAAGACAGGTAATTCTCTTCCGATTTCTCTTCTTAGGATATGAGAAATAAATTTAGTAAATTTCACAGTTGGAGTAAAAAGAATTGCTTTATAATCAGGAGATTGTTCTAATTGTGTTCTAATATGTTGAATTGCAGCATAGATATTATCAGAAAATTTCTCTGAGATAACAAGAGATTGATCAATCTTTTCATGAGCTTCTGGTTCATTCTTATCGACCGTATCAATGAAAAGACAACTTTCTTTATTCATAATTGAATTTGATAGTTTTTGAACTTTTTCATCTAATGTAGCAGAAAATAGTAAAGTTCTAATATGATCATTACCTTTCCCATTCAAATTATTTAAAATGTTTGATATTTCTTCTAAATCTTCTTTAAAACCAATTTCTAATAATCTGTCAGCTTCATCTAATACTTTAAAATCAACATATTTGAAAAAACGGTCACCTTGTTTCGCTAATACATCTAATAATCTACCTGGTGTAGCGATAACAATATTTGGTCTTAATTTATTCATTCTTCTCATTGAGGAATCAAAATTTGTACCACCAACTAATGATACAGCTTCAAATTTTTTCAAACCATAATTATGTTTATGTATCTTTTTCACTTCACTTTCAATTTGTAATGCAAGGTCTCTTGTTGGTGCAACGATAACAGCTTTAACCATATATTGAGAATCTCTTGCAGTATTAATTAAATGTTGAAAAATTGGAATTAAAAATGCAAAAGTTTTACCAGTACCTGTTTTAGCTCTTGCAATAACATCATTTTCTTCATCTTTTACAATAGGTTTAATAGTCTTTTGTTGCACAGGTGTTAAACCATCAAACCCCATACGAGATATAGATTTATGTAACATTGTATCCATTAATTTTTCTTCTAGCATTTGATCTAAAGTCACTTCTTCAGCGGTTGCATCCTTTGGTACATGAATCAACTTTGCTAAAGTAGTTTCATCGAATTCTAACTCATCTTCATCCTTTCTAACAGGTTTACGAAATTGTTTCCGATTATTATTGAAACCATCACGTTTATGACGATTATAACGAGATCCGCTAGCATTATTAAAATTATAACCACCGGTTCTACCACTACCTCTATCATTAGTACGCCCGAATGAACGTTGAGCACCAGATTGTACTACGACATTAGTATGAAACGATTTTTCAAATGAAGGAACTGATGATTGTACAGGAACAATAAATCTTGATATACCTGTCGTGGATCGAGCCTGGCTCAGTACTTGTATTGGAAGTCTCAATATACGCAACATATTTTTCTCTTACTGTTCGGTCTACGTAACTTAAATACGAGGTTCTTGTAGCAACTGTTTCCAATATTATAAAAGCTATTAAACTGTTGCATCTAAATATATTGATGTAGGTGTCCATTCCCTTTATTTGGAAATATTGTTTAAAAGAAACTTTCCGCTAGCGATTTCTCTCTTTCTCGAGAGACAGACAGAGAGAGCGATAGAACAATGAAAAAAATACCTTTCTGTTGTCACTTTCAACGAGGTGTAAATGTCGGTTACCTCACTACAAATATTTGCCCACTCAAAAAAAAAATTAACAGAAACGGAGACAGTCATCAGCTATTAAACAGAGAGAGAGCCAGGTTGATCATTGATAAGATATTCAAAGTTTTAACAAAGTTACATGGTAAGAGGAAGTTAGTTAGTAGAGGATATATATCAGTGGTGAATTATACTGTTTAGTTATAGAACACGAGAGAAAATAAAGGAAAGGTTAGTTTTACTTTTCATAATATATTATTTTAATATCAGTTTTTTTTTATTTCATTTTATTTGTTTTGTTTGGTAGACCAAACTATATTTATAAGAGAAAATTCTTACATTTAGTAATTACTTAAAAGGTAAGATTTCCTATATTTTTGTCTAAATTTAGTTTCTTTGTTTTAGTTTGTAATAAGGTAAACATTGAACCTTTTCTTCTTCTTCATATTTAATAGTTATAATAACTTTTGTTTTCAAAAGAGAGAGAATAAGGAAAATAGACAACTGAAAGAACAATATCCCATTCGAGTTAGATATAGTATTAGAAAGAAACAAATAAACCTTTGTAGAACTTATCATATTCATCTTTGCCCTTTGTTTTCGTTTTTTTTTGCAATAAATAGTGTATACTTTTTACCAATTCATTAAGCAGAAGAAGAAGAATTTTACAAGTAGAGCCTACAAAATAGAGAAGTATTCAAGAAGAACCCACCCCCCTAATAACTACATTTTTGTTGGTTTGTTTTATAAATTTCAAATATGTCAGCGAATCCGGTACCACAATCAGTAAATGTCTCACATGCCTTGCCAGCTACAATTATTCAAGAGATGCGTAATACGTTAGATAATCTAGAAGAAAAGGATATTCAGTTAAATGGATCGCAAATATCTTTATTATCATCATATGTGGCACAATTGAATCAAGCGTTAATTACATTCAAAGAAGATAATAAACATGTACAACCAGGCAATGAAGGTGTTACATCTGGTGATTTAGATTTAATTAATGGATTAACTACATTATATAAGAACTATTTGGATAAATTTATTAGTATAAAGGAAAGAAACAACTTAACAATAGACACAGTTTCAAGTGAGGCTAAATCATTAAATGTAAATTTAGATGAAGGCATTCGTGCATTAAAGGAAAATAAATCATCTGTAATTAAACAATCTAGTAAAACTAAAGCTACATCCTCACCAAAGAGAGAAATATATATTGCTGATAGTACCAAAAAAAATAAAACTGTGGACAATACTATTGCTAAGGATGAAAATATTAAAGAAGATCAACCAAATAAGAAGAAGATTTCATTCACTAAATACAAAAAGAAAGATGATTCACCTGTAAATTCAACAGATGAAACACTAGTTAACGATAAAAGATCTATATCTAATGATGATGATGATGAGAATAATAAATCAAGTTCTAAAAAATTAAAATTAGATCAAAATTCTACAAAGATACGATCGATCTTAAAGAATGGTGAAACAAAAGATGTAACAACGAAGAGTAAGAAAAAGGTTGGAATTAGTTTCCCATTAGAAGTTGATTTAGTTAGGGTGTATGGTGATGATCTTCCTTCTACTGGTTTAAAAGTTACTCCAAATGAATTGAAAAAGATTTTAAGACCATTTAAAGAGGGTGAACCAAAGGAGAAAGTACTAGTTGAGGGCTTTAATTCAAAGCCAAAATTATTAAATATACAAATAGTTGTAAAAGATTCAGATATAACACAATTGAGAAATGGTCCAATAAAATTTGATACTAGAACACCGATCTTATATAGAGATAATTTTAAAAATTTCAGTAAAGATTTGAAAAAACCAGCAAGAGAACCAATCCCCGAGATGGGATTACAAAATGATAATACAACTCCATTAGTTGCTCAAGCTTATGGCCGTAATAGTTTATTATTAAGAAATGATAGAGGAGGTATCCCTTATAAACGTGTTCCTGGAGTAAGAAGAAATAAATATCCACCAAGATACCAATAAGATGAATCACATATAGGTGCCATCATTTCTACATGTGTTTTTTTTTTGATCATTTTTTTTTTGGAATTGTTATATTGAATTAATTAATCATACTGCAAAATAGGATAACATGTTTTTTTGTACATATATAAAAGGATATCTATTTTAATTAAAACAAGTTCGCATAATGATATCATAATCACGATTAAGCTCTACTCATACTCCGCAACATATGAGTGATTAACCTGATCGTTGATAACTCACTTGTCTACAAATTATCTTTAATCAATATTAGTTTTATAAGCCTCTCTCTCTCTCTCTGACTGTTTACGTGCTCATCCCAAACTAAAGCGAGGCGCAACTGAAATGAAAAAAAATGTTTCGAAAATGTTGCTCTCTCACCACTCTTCTCTGTGCAGTTGACAGGGAGAGAGAGAACCATACTTTAAGAAGATTGATGATCCCCCACTCTATTGGGGGGTGAATGAATAAACCTTTTTATGGTTTTGGGTAGTAACTTCTACAACAATACATGTAATGCATTGTGTATATTTATAAATAAATAAGTTAAAGGTCTTTCACTTCCTAATTTGCCCGCTGTCTCATAGTAATTGAATATATAGCACAGTTTATTTTGAATTTGGGTCTGTGTTTTTCGCCTTGTCTTATCCGGCAAGTATCCTAAAAATCTTTGATTTTTGTTAATATTTTTCAATTACCTATTACTACACTTTTATTTTAACCTCATTAGGACCTTGACCTATTTTTACTTTAGTCTACATTGTCTTAGCTTGTGTTAATATATTCATTTGTTTTGTGATAATACTTTATATATACTTATTATTTATAAAGATCTCTACATTATAAATATTCTATTTTAGAAATTTGTGTTTTGAATAATTTGTTTATTTATCAAATAGGAAAATAAATAAATATATATCTATCCACATATTACAAACAAAATGTCACAACAAGCTAATAGTATTAGAAGAAAGTTGGTTATCGTAGGTGATGGTGCCTGTGGTAAGACCTGTTTATTAATTGTCTTCTCAAAGGGACAATTTCCAGAAGTATATGTTCCAACCGTTTTTGAAAATTATGTAGCTGATGTCGAAGTTGATGGTCGTCGTGTAGAATTGGCTTTATGGGATACAGCAGGCCAAGAAGATTATGATAGATTAAGACCTTTATCTTATCCGGATTCTAATGTTGTTTTGATTTGTTTCTCTATTGATTTACCAGATTCCTTGGAGAATGTTCAAGAAAAATGGATCGCTGAAGTATTACATTTTTGTCAAGGTGTTCCAATTATTTTAGTTGGTTGTAAAGTAGATTTAAGAAATGACGGACAAGTAATGGAAGCATTAAGGGAAGTTGGCCAACAACCTGTATCCACTTCAGATGGTCAAGCTGTAGCTGAACAAATTGGTGCTACTGGATATTATGAATGTTCTGCAAAGACAGGATTTGGTGTTAGAGAAGTCTTTGAAGCTGCCACAAGAGCTTCTTTAATGGGTAAGTCTAAGACTAATGGAAAGACAAAGAAAAATTCTAATTCTGATAAGACAAAGAAGAAGAGAAAATGTACTTTATTATAAGTGTATGTATAATATAAATTGGAAAATATAATAATGACTGCTGTTGTTTTTATCATACAGTTAATGTAAAGGTAACAAACACAGAGAGATAGTACATAAATATGTAAATTCATTGTAATAACAATAGTAATAAAAATGTAACTAAGTAAGGTTATAATAATAATAATAAAAGATATATTTAATGAAATAGAGTAATTGTACTAAATTTTCTAAAAACAATTCAGATTTGCTATTATATATGTTGCATTAGAATTATACATTATAGATCAATTTTATATGTACATGAAGACAATGAGTCTTTTTTTTTTTTTTACAATGATGAATGAGATAAAATTGTCAGAAGTATCAGTTAAGGAATGATATTACAAAAAGGGATTTTGGAAATTGAATTTACCTGGTAAAAGAATAATTGGTCTACCATACACCTTTCTTGACCCCTGGTAATTCACCAGCACGAGCCTTTTCTCTAAACTGAGTTCTGCATAATCTAAAATCACTAATAACAGCTCTAGCTGTACCAGATGCAATACATCTGTTCTTTACTTGAGTCATCTTTGTATATTTCGGCATGGTATTCAATTGTAATTGAGCTTGTAGACGGCTCTTTGGAGGTAATACAGAGTTTCTAGCAATAAATTTTAAGGCTTTCACAGTAACCTCATTCTCCGCTGCTTGTTGTCTTTTAAAATTATCTCTTATGATTCTAGCATTTAGAAATCCAGGAGGAAGTTTCGTCTTTATAGGGAATCTAAAATTACCCATTTTTGATCTATCTCTATTCGTTGTTTTCTTAGTTTTCTCCGTTTGTTACTTCCACTTAAAGTAAGAAAATCCAGAATATATTGTATGGTATACTCTAGCCTCTTTGGTTTCTCCTTTTTATGTTTACACAATGAATGTATAATTAGGTCTCCCCTTCTAACTTTATTTTTATACGTATATATTTTTCGATAGTTGCTTCTCTTTTATTTTTCTTGGTTTATTTTCTTAGAAGCGGTGATCGAGGGAGGATATACCGTTCTTTAGAAAGTTAATAACTAGAATATATACGTGTATAACGATCAAAGAACATTAGTTTATATAACAAAACAAAAAAAGTTGTGTTGTCTATTAGTTTGAAGTCGTTATTATAAATTTGTTTATATATGATTGAAGTATATCGATCTATTTTTATGAGTGAGCGGTATTTGCATTTTTCTCCTTTAAAAATTGAGCAAATCTACTTGTTTCATGGATACCACATTCAGTTTTTGTTTTACCTTTCCATCTTCCACTTCTTTCATCCTCGCCTTCTTTAACTGGTTGTGTGGAATGATAATCACCTATAGATTTATAACCTAATTTCAATAATTCATTTGTTGGTACATTTTTTTCATTAATATATGATTGTACTTCATTAAATGTCCAATTCATTAAGGGATTAATCTTAATAATTTGATTTAGTTCATCAATCTCGACAAATTTTAAATCAGATCTTGCTGCACCTTGAGATTTTCTTCTACCTGTGAAAACAGCAGTAACATTTAATTCCTTGTAAGCTTTACTTGCAGGTTCAACTTTTGCTAAAAAATCATATCTATCCTCATCTTTCTCCCATAATAAATCACCATATTTACTAGCAAAATCAGTCTCATCTGCACAACCTGTAGGTTTAAATACATTAATTGATTGATTTAATGGTTTATAATATTTAGTCTCGACTATTTTCAAAAGATCTAATGTTTGTGGGAAATTATGTAGTGTATCGATAAAGATCAATGGTACTAATGGGTATTGTTCATCTTGCAAATGAATCTTAGATAACATATCGATGGTAGCTAACCCCGTTAAACCACAAGCAGTAGTTTGGAAAAGATTTGGGAATGTAATGATTGCCCATCTTAGAATTTCTTGTGGTGTACTTAAAGTACCTAAGAACTTATTCCAATGATTAAGTTGTTCTTCCGTTACGGTAATATTATTATTCAATTGATATACTTTAGACATAATGTTCTATGGAGAGGGTGATATTTTTACTGCAAAAAATATGTGTATAAAGGTATATTAATTGAATTATATTCAATATGGTGGGTAGACACTGCATTTCATTTAAATAAAATAGGTCTGTCTTTTTTATATATGGAAAACTATACACTTCAAGAAAACAAGAAAAAAACATGTTGCGTACTTCTGTTTACTTTCTCTCTTTGTCTGTGTCTCTTGCTTAGTCATTAACAACATAACAAGAAGGCATTGATGCATCTAACCATAGCTGTCATTTCTTTCTTATATGGCAAACTGTTTATGTTCATAGTGAAGCAGAAAAAAAGTCCACATGCCTAACAGAATATCGCGGAAACACGTGAAATTGTTCATTTTTTGCAGTATACCGAATATAGAAAATATTAGTGACACCCTGAGTGATAGCTTGAGTATTATCAGTAGATGGAGTTATAAACATAGTTTATGACAGTTTTGATTCTATTTTAATATACCGTATTGGTCTGAAACTGGATAATCTTTGAAAAAACTGATTAATAGAATGAGAAGGCTATATATCATAGTTATCTTTTTGTCATTGGTGTTATTTGAATGGGTTTTCATAGTTTGAAGATTAATATGTTAAATTAGTATACAGTCTCGAGCCACTTTGGATATAAAGGGAAAGGAGTTCACTGTACGGTTCAATATACAAATATGGGTTTTTGTCCTTTTCTGAAATATGTTAAAGTTCTCAATGTGTCGATTTATTTCATTACTGTTCGCTGACATGTTATTGCATATACCTCGTAACACACGATATTCGGGGAAAAGAAAATACTGGAAAAAAAATTGAAAATTTCCAAAATATTTATTTTAACGTATATTTTTGCGATGAGATGAGATGAGGTGGATCAATTTGTAGGGAATTAAAATTCATTTTATATATAAGAAGGTTACATATAATATTAATTTAAGAGATAGTGGAACCATACAGGAACAATGGCTAAAAAAAACTATAAAAATAAAAAGAATGAAGTTCTAAAGGAATCTGATGCGTTACCTTTATTGGAATTCAAATTCGATGAACCATTATTTCAAATGGCTTCTCATCCAGAAGAACCAATTATAGCTACAGGTTTATCCAATGGTTACATATACTGTTACAGATATAATCCTCAAGGATTAATGAAATATTTGAAGGAACAGAAGAAAGCTTTTAAATTGACAGATGAAAAGACTGGTGAAAAAAATGAAGTCTTTTGGAAAATGGTTAATGTACCACAGGATAAAGGCACTGGACAAACAAATGATGGTGATGACGACAATACAGTTACTCTTATGTGGAAAACTAGACGTCACAAAGGTAGTGTCAGATGTATTGCAATGGATCCCAAGGGGAAATTTATTTATTCTATTGGTACTGATAATATTTTGAAAAAAGCTGACGTTATGTCTGGTAAAGTTATACAAAAGACTAATATTCAAAATGATAATCATAAGTTTAGTAAAATGACGGTATCTTCAACACATCCAATTCTTTTGTTAGGTGATGAAGTAGGTAATGTTTTTACAATAGACACAAAAACATTCAAATTACTTAATGTAATTAAAGGAATTCATGGAGGTGATTCTATTAATGATATTTTCCATTTTGCTAAGAGATCTGTATATAAATTTATTTCAGCAGGTGAAACAACTTTAGCATATTGGGATTGTAGAAGTAGTAATGAAAACGATTCTACAGAGACAGATGAATTGAAAAGAACAGTGGTTTACAGTGATGACCAAGAAGATGAAATTTTATGTGGGACTTTTCTTGATCCTGAAGAAGGTGAAACTGTTGTTTGTGGTATGGGTGAAGGGGTAGTCACAATATGGAAACCAGAAAAGAATGATTTGGAAGATCAAATGTCAAGAATTAAAATCACTAAGGATGAAAGTGTCGAATGTATCGTCCCAACATTACAGGATGACAATTGTGTATGGTGTGGTTGTTCTAATGGTAAATTATATAAAGTTGATATCAAGGGTAGTAGAATATCAGAGATTAGAACTCATAATTCAGTCGATGAAGTTCAATTTTTGGATATAGATTATGATTATAGATTAGTATCAGGTGGTATGGACAACATCAAAATTTGGGAATCTCAGAATAGAGAAGAAAATGATTTCGATCCTGAACCAAGTGAAAATGAATCTAACTCAGAATCCAATTCGGATCCAGATTCTGACTTGGAAGATAGTTCTGATGATGAGGGCGAACTATCTGGTCTATCTAGAGAAGAACTTATAGCAGAACTTGATAAAGATTTGGTAGGTGAAGATAATAGCGACAGTGAAGAAACGCCAGATGTAAATAGGGACGATTCTGGCTCAAAGTCACAAAAAAGAAAATCAAAATCTTTGAACAGCAAACAAAACAAAAAGATAAAACAAGAAAAGAGGACATACAACGACTCTCATGGTATAACTAAATTTGAAGATTTATGAAGGATGTTACGCCACGTTTATAGCTTGCTACAGGCAGTATAATATTGTACAAAATACATGTTCTCTATATTTGCTCATTCTTAACGTAGTGAACTATACTCTCCCTGATATTTTCAGCAAAAATTGTAAGATATAATTACTAAACCATTTCAATTCGTCTAATGAGTTATTTGTTCTTAAGATATATATTTCATTTCTACTATATACAACTTATATAAGTAAATTACAATTACAGTCACTCATCGCATTAATAAAGTCTAGAAGCAAATTATTTTCTAACCTGTGATATTTTAGTTTCGTTCTATGACATAACATATTTAGACAAGCAATATTAAACATAATCAATAACGTTAAACGTAATGCCTATATACTTTTGGAATTATTAAATTCTTTACAACAATACTGAATCATGAAAGACAAATTGCAACGCATTAATCCTCAGTTTAAATGACGTTAGTGTCATTTTTACCACAACTAAAAATAAATGTATATTTCCGGGGAAACTCTTGATCACCACCATCGATTTATTTTATCACGAGCACAGTATACCTAGCAATGGCCAACTTATATTGTTACAGTCAAAGAAATGCAACTTCACTAAAATAATTGCGAAAGGTGATAAAAAATTAAATTATTTTGGAAACAAAAAATGGTCCCTAGCGGGATCGAACCGCTGATCTTGGCGTTATTAGCACCACGCCTTAACCAACTGGGCCAAGGGACCTATTTTCTTGTATTTTGTGGTACTTTGATACTCAGATCGGAATCTTAAAATTATATATTGGTTTTTTCTATTTCTATATAAATTCATTATATAAGCGAGAGACTCATAATCTGAGATAAGCTCTCTTTATATAAGATATAGATTTATATACTCAATATAGTTAATCTCGTTAACTCCTCTAATTCCGTGTTATGTCTACCTTGTTTCATATTTCTTAGTCATTGTAAATCATTCCTTTTTAGTTCATTGTTAGGTTTTAGATATGCTTCAACCTAATTGGTTGATTCTTTTGAGTCGTCATTCTTTAGCACGTGACAAAGTGTCACTTGACTTTTAGTCTGTTTCAAATACAATATATTTTCGTGTTTTTATGATAGTTAAATTGTCAAAGTAATTTCAATTTTTGGCGGATTGTATTGTTGGCTTCTATATAAGTTGTTTAATAGGGGTGATTATTGTTGGAAATTATATAACAGTGTGACACACAGTGATCTTCGTACAATGCGATATTGCTGTGAAAATTTCTGTATATAAAGGAACCCGTTTTCCAAATTATATAGAATTATATATTACACTTTCTCACATCTCTCTCTGATAGGAGGGAGAGGAGCTCTGCTGCTGGCAACGGACACCTAGTCCTGACCTACAGTAAATATATATACTATTATTATTCTCTAATTCCCAGTTTTCCGACAATTAAACAATGGAATATTACATAATAAGATGTTGCGAAATCACATTATGTAAGAAAGATTATCTAATAAATGAGAAGGTAATTAAAAGAAATTAAAATTATATAAATACGGGTCATTCTGACCTTACAATGTAGGTTAGAATTCATTCGTTCTGTATATTAAATAAAAAATAAAAAATCGCTTACAAATTTAGAAGAAAAGTAACACATACGTTTGCTTTACAACCTACTATCACCGTAATAATCGTTATTACCCATCGATACTTATTTAATATGCAAAATCAATCCGAATGTTGACGGAAATAATATGATATAAGTATATCTAGAATGTTTTACCAATAACATGGAAAGATCACGAGAAAATTACGTAATAGAATATTACATAACAAGATGTTACGTAATCACATTACTAATACAAAAATAGATGCGTATTACTAATGAACTATTACGTAAGGAAGATTACCTAATAGATGAGAAGGTAATCAAGAGAAATTAAAACTATATAAATACGAGTCATTCTGAACTTACAATCTGAGTTAGAATTCATTCGTTATGTATATTAAATAAAAAATAGAAAATCACTTACAAATTTAGAAGAAAAGTAACACATACGTTTGCTTTACAACCTACTATCACCGTAATAATCTTCATTACCCATCAACACTTATTTAATATGCAAAACCAATCCGAATCTAACATCGATATGTCTGCTTCAGCTCAAATGTAACATCAATATGCCTGCTTCAGCTCAATTATGTATTTCAAACCTCTGTCTTTATATATTACGAATTTAGTGGCGTAATTGTTAACCTTCAAATTCATGAACTTCTTATTCAATATTGTCGTATAAACCTATTCAATTATAATAATTGCACACAATATTCTATGTGTTATTTAATTAATATTAATTTTTATGCTCATGTGAATATCTCATACTAGGTACCTTAGAATATTCAACTCAGTAAAATGAATTAATATTTACAATTAGTAAAAAAAATATAAAATTCTATAAAATGATACAAAAAATGAAAAAAAAAAATAGACGTCTTAAAATCTCTATTATCTGACAATATTGTAGCATATTAAAGGTATAAAATGTATTATTATTCATCCTTTTCATGTTGTGTAGACATTGTTTTCATCGCTACCGCAAAATCCTCTAACATTTTAGTAGGTGCTGTCTTTCTTCGAAGTGATCTACCGTGCATTAACCTATCAAAAATTATTGACTCGGATATTAAGAGGTATACACCTCCTAGAACACAGAATACTCCAAATGACCAAATCCAAACTCTCACAACTGTTATTATATCATTCCAATTTTGTGACCACCAACCGAATAAACAAAACATTGTTGCAATAATATCTACAACAAAAACAGCACCTGCTAACTGCCAAGATGGCAAAGATGACCAGAATGGACCAACAGCTCTCGTTATAAATATCAACCAATTTTCAGTAAGGGAAATCTGAAGAAACATAACTCCATCAATGGAACCAAAATTCTGAATTATTCCTCCTTTTGGAAAAAACATAGTAGTGACACAAATCCAACTACCAATCGCTAAAATTATACCTAAGATAACTGACATACCCCATAATCGAGGAAGATTCCACTTAACCGGAGACTGCGAATATTGGGCTTTATCATAAGCAACTGCTAATGTTGCTACATCGGCAAATATGGCTATAAATACTATAAGTTCAATGCTAAGAGAATTATCAAGTATTGCAATCCATAAACCAAAAAAAATCTCCAAATGGATAGAAAGTGCGATACGGTACACAATATATGCATACATTCTGTGAAATATTTGTCTAGACGTTTTCAAAGCATCGATTATCGCAGATAGACCAGGAGCCAAAAAAACAATATCAGCAGCTGATCTAGCAGCATCAGTGGCACCTTCTACCGCAATACCAGTGTCTGCTTTTTTCAAAGATGGTGCATCATTTACACCATCACCGGTCATCGCCACCAAATAACCTCTGTTTTGCAAAATACTAACGACTTTATATTTATGTTGTGGGAATACCTCAGCAAAACCATCTGCATTCTCAACGAAATCTGCTAGTTGAGAACCAGGCATACTTACCTCACCATCACCAAGTCCTAGTTTTTCGGCATTATATATGTTATCTCCCAGACCTAATCGTCTGCATGTTTCTTTCGCAATTCCAACTGCATCACCTGTTAACATCTTGACTCGCAAACCTAATTGTTTAGCCTCTGCAATTGTGCTACTTGTATCATTTCTAGGTGGGTCCATGCATGGCATGACGCCTAGTATTTCCCAATGTTGGTTTTCTTTCTTTCTAGCAACACCCAAAGACCGAAACCCTCTTGCTGCCAATTCAGCCACTTTACTTTGGTACTCTTCTATTGTCGTCTCTGGAACTTCAATATCATCCTCGACTGCCTTTAGAACAAATAATGGAGCTCCTTTCATACATAATATTTTCTCACCCGAGGGGGATTCAACCATTGCTGTTACCTTCTTTGAAACAGGATCAAATGGATGGAACTCTAGAATTTTGTATTTAATTAGCAAATTTTTAACTGTTGGATATCGAACTAACGCCTTTAAAAATGCTCTATCTATAGCATCCAAACCTTTCCTTTTCCTTGAGGATGCTAGACATGCAGTTAACATCAAATCATCGGATGAAACATTATTCACTGTATATGGGTGCTGTAACGTTAATTTATTTTTAGTTAAAGTACCTGTCTTGTCAGAACATAAAATTTCAACTCCTGCTAAAGACTCAATAGCTGATAATTTTTGAACTATGGCTTGTTTCTTGGCCAAATAGGCGGCTCCAACAGCCATCGTAGTCGTCACAACTGCTGGCAAACCTACTGGGACCCCAATAATAGTAATACCAAGGGTATATCTTAATATTGAAACGATAGGTTTGGTTCTATAAAGACAGGCTGTCCATACCAATAATAATGTGACAACAACTAAGACTAAGAGAATGACGCCAATACCATTCAACACTTGTGTAAAATGTCCCTCACCGATAGACGCCCTATTAACTAATGCTGCTGCCCTTCCAACAAAAGTATTATCGCCAATTGCGGTAACAATCATAAACGCTTCACCTCGTTTCACAGTTGAAGACGAAAAGACTCGATCTCCATAATGTTTATCCGCAGCTAATGATTCACCTGTAATTGATGACTGATCAATTTGCAAATAGCAATCTTCGGTGACTAAACGTCCATCAGCAGGAACGATTATACCATCCTCTAATTGAGTCAGGTCACCTGGAACAATCTCATTTACCGGGATTTCCATTAGATCACCTTCTCTTAATACGATGGCACTATTTGCCAAAGTCTTTTTCAGTTCGTCTACAATAGAACCAGCTTGGAATTCCTGTATAAAACCAACGCATGCATTCAACATGAGTAACCCACAAATGACCCCAAAATCAACCCAGTCTGAGAGACCTGCTGCTAAAATTGCAGCAGCTTCCATGACAAACTGAATAGGTCCCACAAAGAAGGTCAAAAATTTAATAATAGAGGATTCATTTTCTTCTGTCATTTGGTTAATTCCAAATTTTCTTCTTCTTTGAAATACCTGATCCATCGTTAAGCCAGTGTTAATATCTGTCTGTAGCAGTTCTTCAGGAACAAATGTTGTACCAATAGTAGTAGAATTACGTTTATCGTCAATGTCTGAATCTTCTTCAGAGTCTTGATTAGATTGTAATTCATCAACTAAAACTTTGATATCATCCTCCTCTTCAGAAGAAGGAGACAAACAGGATAATGATGTCGAAGAAGAAGATGTCAAACCAATGTGAGCTTGATTATCCTCATTTCCTAACAAAAATGCGTTAGATACTTCTTCAGTGAATGATTCAATGGGAGAAGGCTCATCTTCTTCCTTTTCATGATGATCAGAAGTACGTGGGGTTAAAGTTGAACCGGTTGGAGTAATTAAAGCACCAATTCGACGAGATTCTGATTCAATAAGATATGGAGTATTTTGATTATCCACCATTTTTTTTTGCGTTTCTTAAACTAATAAAATATACAACTTGCAAAAAGATGCCGCTATAATGATATTTACAGAGTGACTAATCGTAATGAAAAAATACTAAATATAAATGATACATCCAAAAAAGGTTTAATAGTGTTTACTGTATTATCTCAAAATATAAAGTTAACATCCTTTTTATATTATCGTCGACCAATCTAACGAACATGAAGTTTTCTATCACTACACAATGAACCATTTTACCCACATTAGAAATTCAAAGAAATTGGTACCTGCCTCAAATATCAGAAAAATTAGCTAAATTATTATCAAACAACAATACGAGTCTAATACCACTGACAGCGATACCAGGAAGTAGAAAACAAAGAAAAGAAAACTTTGGTAATAACATATGTATTTCAACTGATATTTTTCAAAAATGGGTAAAAAGAGGTATTCGGTAACAGATAATACAAAATTATATCAAAGATTATGAAGTAAAATTTTGCATTTTTATTTCAATTTTTTCTTTCTTGAATTACTGACACATTTTACCTTTTATAGGAGTTAAATAGAGACCACTGTGAAAAAAGACGATGTTTATAAAGCAAACACCTGATATATAGCGGAGAGAAAGAAGGTGAGCATAACCAGAAAATCTAAAAAAGCTCATCTTGGTTAATTCTTGCTATCACGCAGTATAAGACAACATTTAATCGCCATAATAAATTTGGATGAATTACTTTTCCACATTATCGCTAAGATACCTAGATATATCCAATACACTGACTTTTTGTACATAGAATAAAACGAAACATAGCATCCTGAATCGAATAATATCTTTTATCTTAGAACTACCCTTAAACCTAATAAATGCAATGAAAGTGGGTATTCAGAAGATTCATTATAACTAAGCTTCCCTAAACATATTATAGCAACAAGACGTCTAAACAATGTACCAATTGATTTCATAAGTCATTATAATGGATACAATATCTAAAGTTGCGCAATATGGCTTATTCTTTGTTCTTAAAAGATAGAAGTGTCAATAGTCATTGAAGTTCAGAAACCACCTTTTTAAACAAACTGTAAACATTAAAATTTGTACGGGGTTTGCTCTACTACACCAAAACTAAAAAACAAGTACATTAATTAATTAAATGCGGTGCAGCCATTAAAGATATTTTTAAAAAAAAAAGTGCTGCAAGAAATGAAAAATGATGAATTTGCTAGGAATCTCTTCGCAATATTAATTAATATACATATGTTGAGATAGTTTCAAAACGTTTAAAGATATCATATTTGTATTTATTTTAAACAACATTTGGTAGACAGCGAAAACAGTTAATTTATTGTTCTAAGTGGAAAGCTTTTGAACTGCCATCTGTATTATAACTATAAACTAGCGCATCTTTTATCGCAAGGATTTCAAAGAAACTACACAAACTAATAAATATAATGAGACCTGTTGTTTCTGTATGTCAATAAACCTGATATGATAAATCATCTCATTGTTAGTGGAGGTTATTACTATTTTTTTTATATTTCGAATAACGTTTTCCTCATAACAATGACATGTAGCTGCTTTATATTTTATTATTAGCATTCTTTTTGAATGATATTTTTTTACTAACAGAATAATACTATAACTGGATGATTTATACTCAATTGTATAAGTCGTAATAAACGGTTACTTACTATTATTAATATTTGCAGGGTGGAAAAGCTTGGTTTTGTACCATATTGTCTGCATTCGGTGTAGTAATTTTATCCGTGATAGCTCACTTGTTTAACACCAACCATGAATCATTCGTCGGTTCCATAAATGATCCAGTTGATGGACCTGCAGTTGCACACACCGTTTACTTGGCTGCATTAGTGTATTTAGGGTTCTTCATATTCTGTGGGTTCCAAGCATACCTAATCGCTAAACAACCTTCCATAGAACTGAGGTGAAATGAAAACGCAAAAGAAAAGATTTTACTTATTTAAAAGATATTTGACAAAAAATAAAAGATTTGGATATGCATCAGTATTTATTTGTCAATTTAACAGTTATTCAAATCAATTATTTTATTACTCACTTGAAAACTTTATTCTGTTTTTTATCAGTCAATCTTAGTACTGTTGCAAGAAATACATTTATATTATACTACATTACATCATTTTAACATCATAATTATATACAAATAAATAAATAATAAAAAAGAAAAATATAATCATACTGATCATCTTTCGTTACCCTTTTGTTACATATATGGAAGTTGTAAATACGTTGTTTTCTATATGTTTTCTTTATGTATTTCCTTATTTTTATTTTTCAGTTTCTTACAAGGGAAAAAAACAAAAGCAATGACAACATTGATTACCTAGTATATTTACTAATGGTTATGTAAACAAAGTTTACCTTGTGATAACAGTACATCATTCAATAGAGTTAATAATTGTAAAATAAGAAGACATATATCTTGGAATCAGTACATTAATTGTACATTGTTGCTGGTATATTGAAAATGGGCAATACCAAAATACACAATGATCCAGAGCTGGATGATTTCTTAAGGAGGACTCATGAAATTGATAATGAAAGAAAGCAAAAGAGGAGTAATAAACCACCTGCTCCAAAACCTAAACCCAAATATGTATCTCAAAGAAATCAATTCAATGAAAATGATCTAGAGGAAGCTAGGAAGATTCTTCAAAGTAGTGATATACTTGAGTTCAATGAGGAGATGGTTGTTGATGGATCAGAATATGATGACAATAACAATCATGACGATTTAACTTTTAAATCTGCATACAATTATGAAAAGACATTTTCTCCTAAGAAGAAGAACTATTCTTTGGATGAATTGGATCTTGAACATGATGAATCAAATTTAGATCCTGCGTCAAGAAAGCCTCAAAATAATGATTCCAATATGGAATTTTCTGTATCAAAGGAAGATTTTTTACTATTACAAAGAATAAAGAAGAATAGAGAGTCAAAAATAGATGAGATCAAACCAAAAGGAGAGATACCGCCAAAAATTAATAAATTTACAGATAAAAACGTGCCCAAAGAAACACTATCTCCAAGGAAGAAAACAATGCCAACAAGAGGTAAACCGAGAGCTCAAAATGTGAAAATACAATATGATATCGAAATTGATATGGATGCACCATCGCTTCCTTTGAGAAAATCTCAAAGGAATGTACGAGATGAAGAACCAGAAGACCATACCACTGAAAATGGTGTGTACATGAGACGATTCAATAGAATCAATAATGAACGGAGTTCTTCACCACGACCACAGTTACCAAGTAGGCCTGCAAGTAACCATCCGTATACACCAACTTCTCGTGATGTTGAAAGTGAAGGTGGTTCTTCTGAAGATGAACAGGATAAGCCATCATTGCCTTCTAGGGGTCATGCAAGACATACTAATTCAGCCAAAAGGGATCTGAAAGAATACCCACCAGCTACTAAACCAAAACCGAATTTTAATAAATCTACAAAGGAGATTGTCACAAGTAAAATACTTAAAAAGGACGAGCCGGTCGTAATTAGGAATGTTATGCCTGAACCGATGTCTACAATTGAATTAATTGATGAGGAAGCAGATCTCTTATCATTTTCTGATAGTGTAACTCCACCTTCAACAAATAACAAAAAAATAGATTCAAACATTTCAAACAATTCATTAAGTGATATAAGAATACCGTCAACAAGAAATACCAATTCATCATTACCGCCTGCACCTCCGACATCTAGAAAGTCAAATGAGACAACTACATTTATAGAGTCTTTAAATCACAACAAATTAACAGAAACTCATAAAACATCACCAGAGACCCCGAAGAAAAAAGTAGAATTACAAGGAATTGATTATTTGGATTCAGTTCAACTGAAATCTCCTTCACCACATGTATCTCCAAGTAACAGTCAAAAACCTTCTCCCATTAAGCCTAGAGTCAGTAAATTACCAAGATCGGAAAGTTTTATTCATTCTGCCTTGAATTGTAATTTAGAAACTGGAAAGAAAGTTAGTCCGCCTATTGGTAAGGATAAACCGGCATTGCCCACAAAACCTTTGAAATTCACAAATAAAGAAACTGTTATTTCTGATACTGAAGATGATAACGAAATGACAGACCTGAAAACTTTCAGAATTAAGAATGGCCAAAATGATGAAGCCTCAACCAAAATTCCTCCTAAAGTGCCAAAGAAAAATAGTAATATCAAACTCCCAATATTAAAACCTGTAGAAATTAAACCTGTTTCAACAAAAGCTAAGAAATCATTAAATGATGAGCATAAATTGGAACTACCAAAATTGAGATCCGTAAATGGTAAGGAATCAAATCTTATGGTTAATGGCAAGAAAGGTAATAAACCAGATGTACCTAAACGGAAACCAACCATTCCGGAAGCATTGGTAAATGCTAAACTGTTAAAGAAAACTAATATTGATCACAAAGATTCTAGCGCTGAAACTCAGATAGAACCAACTCCGGAAGCATTAACGAAAAAAAACACTTTATCGAGTATCAAAGTTGCACCTGCAATCCCGGAAAGGAAAATATCCCTACCAGAAGCTTTAAAAAGGGCTAATCAACTTAAATCACAAACTAATCAATCGAAAGTACTAGAAAATACGACCAATCAACCAATCAATGTTCGGCTGGAGTCTGTGATGGCATTGCATCAAAGAAAGACATTTAATGGTTATAAAACGCCTAGTGAACCTACTCCAATTAGACGTATAAGCACAACAGTGTCATCATCATCATCATCATCATCATCATCTACTCCACTAGTACATGTAACTAAAGGTCGTGCAAAAGGTCCAAGAAGAAAGTTACCTTCAAAAATATAATTAGAGTGATGGTTAAACAAAAATTATAACAATCCCTTTCGATATATATATGCATGTATGGGGTGAACAACATACTTTTCACTATAATTTTATACATAATATAAATCTTTTTCAAATCAAGAACTATATTACATAAAATATCGTCCAGAATCTGTAAAAATCCTATCCAAAACGTCTATTACGGTGATCGTATATTGCTCAATTCTGTTCCCACCATAATATTTGCTTACAATTCTTTTACAAACTTAATTAAATTTTCTAATAAATAAATGAAAAAAAAGGGCATCGCTCTTACAAAATAATTTTTCAACTATTTTACGTGCACAGACAAGAAGAAAAAGACCCCCCTTCCCTTGCAATAAGCACTTACAATGTCTCGGATCGGTTCTAGTTCTTAAAACTACTATTACATAAGGAAAGGAAAGAAAATTTAAATATGACAATTTATATATATATATATCAAGAAAGTTTTGGATACATAGTATTTCTTTATTACAATAACTTCAACGCCAAGAGTTTCTGTTATAATATTACCAAGAAACTTACGTTGCAAAATGTCGTGCACAGAAAAATTTCCTAACCATTTAATAGATCTTATCAAGACATCTAAATATGTCCATCTAGCTACAGCTTCAACAGATTGTGTTCCATCTGTCTCGTTGATGAATTATACTTATATCCCGGCCGACAAGACCTTTAAGAGTTCGCCTAATCAAAAGGATTGTTTTATAATTTTTGCTACTTTCAATAACACTGAAAAATATATTAATATTTTAAGTAATCCAACCGTGTCATTATTATTCCATGATTGGGTAACTGCAAATAATCTTTCAGTTAAAAAGAATAGTTTATCTCGTTCTGGAACACCAATGCAAGAAGGAACATCGACCCCTTCTGCTATTACTTCGGCTCCACAACATCCAAGTAAATTGTTGAATCTTTTGCAACAATTAAATCAAGCAGAACTAAATGAAATGAGTGCAACCATTAGAGGCCACGCCATACCTATTGAACCTGGTAATGAGGAATCTAACTATTATAAAGATATTTTATTAAAGACGAATCCAGATGCTAAAGTTTTCATCGATAGTGAAAAAACTGTCATTGTTAAAGTGAAGATCGAAAGTGCAAAAGTCACCGATAATGAAAATAACACAAATATATACAAATAAGTTTCATAGTAAAATATATATTTTTTGATTTAATTCATATATCTCTATGCATTTACTAGTTTAATAATAATAATAATAATAATAATAATAATAATAATAATAATAATAATAATAATAATAATAATAATAACGTAAGAGGTACGCTGAATAGATATTTGATATGATTTCGATAATGTATCGAAAATATATACATATTGACTGCATATTTTGATATATCGCAGGGAAACTTCGTTATTAGTTATTCTTGTTTTTTAAGCTTCGTTATATATATTTATACGTTACAATTACATAAGGTTAATCTCAAAGTAACAACATCAGTTACCTTCTTGACCGAAGTCTCTTGTGAATTCTTCTTGTTTATGTAAATCTTCTTCATTGACAGTTGGTCTAGTCGTCTTAATAGCCTTCAAGAAATCTTTTATGGTTAATTCAGGCTCTTTTAATTCATCAGCTTCTATACTTACCCAACTCATTTCTTCTGCATCTGAATCACCAGGGGAACATGGTGTAAATAATTTGTTGTCAGGATCCTCCGAAACATTCTTAAAGTGGGTTGCACCTTGGATCTTTCTAATAGGTTGCATTAGGGCATCTTTTACGGCTACTGCAATATCACTACCAGAATAACCATCTGTCATTTGACCTAAGGATCTATAATCTTCCTTAGTAAGAGTACACGGGGTATCTCCAACATTAATTTCAAACATTTTTGTTCTTGCAGCTACATCTGGTAACGGAATGTATATTCTCTTTTCGAATCTTCTTCTAATGGCACTATCTAATTGCCATGGGATATTAGTAGCTCCCAGTACAAGAACACCTTGAGAGTCATTTCCAACACCGTTCATCTGGACTAATAATTCTGTTTTAATTCTTCGACTGGCTTCACTTTCACCTTCACCTCTTTGACCTGTAAGGGCATCTACTTCATCAATAAAAATAATGGATGGTTTATTTTCTCTGGCCATCGCAAATAACTGTTTAACTAATTTTTCAGATTCACCCATCCACTTGGAGACTAAATCACTAGAACTAACACTGAAAAAAGTAGAATTTGCCTCCGTGGCAACTGCTTTAGCCAAATATGATTTACCTGTACCTGGAGGACCATATAATAATATACCTGATGTTGGTTTACGATTACCTTTAAATAAATGTGGAAATTTGACAGGTAAAATTACTGCTTCCTTTAGGGCCTCCTTGGCACCTTCTAAACCTGCAACATCTTCCCATTTAACGTTAGGTTTTTCACTTAAAATAGCACCAGACAACGCTCCTCGTAGCTTTTTACTATCTTCAGCTTCATCATCATTATTATTTGAAATTTTTTTCCCAGTAGAATCATCATTACTTTTATCTCCACTACCATTATTACCACTATTATTATTTTGAGTTTCCTTTTCCAAATGTTCTTTCAATTGTTCGGCACGGTTTAGATATTCACTGAATTTTGCCCTTATAAGATCTTTAGATTTTGGATTCTTTTCATATTTAAGTGCCAGCATCAAATAATCAAGACCATTATAATATGCTGTATAGGCTTCTTCATATTTTGTACTGCTGTCTAGATCAATGGCTTTTTGTACTAAATCTATACCCTTTGCAAGAAAATCGCCGGTACTCATTTGCTCAGGTAATTTATTATATTATTAGATTATATATTCGATAATGATTGTGTAAAACTATGTGGTATCTCTTAAATGGTGACAAAATAGCGACGATATTGGACTTTGTATTAAAAAGGGGTCCGAGTAATAAATAGCTAACAATTTATAGATATTGTGAATGGGGTCGACCAGATAAAAAAAAAAAGAGATATAAAAACAATTTTCCTGTGTGTTCTAACTCTATTACAATCGGATAAAACCTTTCTTAAATCTACTTACGTTCGCAGAAATCATTCATGTACTTTCAAGCATCTAGCTTGACTGTCAAAGCATGGTCTACTAAATTTTTACGATATTAAATGACCCGCAAAGTTCGAAGAATTTTTCAATTTTTGATACGAAGTAGGGTAATTTTAGAGAGATGTTGAATGATCATGAACAATCATCGAAAGGAAAACGTTACAAATCATATTGAAATTACCCTCGATTTCAATTAGCTCAGTTAATTGGTTATTGTCATTTATGTATTTAATTATATAGTGATATCATGTATTTAAAAATGTTATTACACTTGCTCATTATTATTTTCAGTATTGTCTGTTATATGGTTTGGTTCTAGAGTTTGATTCGCACCCATCGCCAAGGATTCGGTTTGTGGAATAGTAGGATATTTACTGTAGAAATTGATCTTTGGTGGAGCTAACTTTGAGTTTCTGTTTTCGGCATGATCAGTTGAAAGTCTATGAATGGGACTTGATGTCACTAAAGGATTAACTTTTCTTTCTGGTGAAGGAGGTAGTTCATCTTGTGGTTTAATATTATGCTTCTCCAAGTTTCGTATATCCCTTCTTGATTTAACATACGATCTATCAACATTTGCATCATCTAATAGCTTTTCAAATAGTACATTTTTCTCTCTAGCAAATTTCAAGTCTTCACTTACAGCATTTAATTGTTTTTGTAATAAATTAACTTTACTTGATAATGAATCATTAGTTAAAGTCAATTGTCTTTGGATATCAAGTGGAGAAACAAAGTTACCCGATTGAATCATATTTCTATTTTGTCTTTCTCTTTGAAGAACTTGCTCCCTCATAGATTTCATATCTCTTATAGTAGACATATTATTATCTAACCTACGTTTCAATCCTTTTGGAGAGTGTAGATGTCTACTTTGAGGGTCTTTAGAGTAATATTTACGTTTTTTTCTTAATTTTCTCTTCTTTGATAAATCTGGTTCAGCAGTTGTAAAGAAAAATGATTTAATTGAATTGTACAATGTATGAAATCTTCCATGATTTCTACGCATTCTTTTTTTAGGACTTGACCCAGGTTCGATAGAATCTGAAGTACTATCAATAGAATTACAACTTTCGTCGTACATATCATGATTTCTACCACGTTTTCTATTCGAATCACTTCTCCCATGATACATTCCACTGTTAGAACTCGTACCAGTTAAGTAGCTATTATCCACTTCAGAAGTATTTAATGGGTGTATACCAGATTGAGAAATCTCGATGTTACTATTGCCAACATCCATACTTGCATCTTGTGTTGCCTCAATGTTCGATATATCGGTTATAATACTTTGATCTATTGTGCTGTTGTTTGCACTCTGTAACCTTTTGCCCCTTGTTAAAGCCATTTTAAAAATTAATAAACAACAAACAAATAAACAATTGTAGTCTAACAACTAAAACACGAGTAAATATATATAAATATATGTATTATTTTTTGTACAATTTATCTCCCACTATTTACTTATATTTAGAGCTTGTTGATCCCTATCAACCCCCATAAATAAACAAAGAAAATCATTTAAACGTGGTTTTAAATTCTGATTTCACTTTGTTGATTTGTTTATTTTGTATTGTTTTAGGCGCTTCACTAAACATTTCCCAGCGAAAAACAAATGAAAAATTTCGATCTGTTCTAATTGAAAGTGTTTGGATTAAACGCGTAAACGCCAAATAATTTAATATTCAGATTTTATCCGATGACATTTTTTTGAATGTGAATTAGAATTAAGTCTCGAGCAAAGAGGTCCCTTTAACATATACTCCAGACTGTGTAGTTGTGAATTTTGACAATTTGAGTGTGCAATTAAAAGGAAAACACTCTTTGCAAGGCATCTTTTTTATCCTGTTTATCTTACTAGTGAAAGTATTGCAAAACAGAAGTACCTCAACTTGCGTGGCATTTAAGGAGTATTTAAGGATACATATACACGTTCCCATTTTATATTATAGTTCCGAAATGTTCCATACAAGTCAGTCTTTGCCGGTTCAGATACAACCTGCACATTTAAGACCCCTAGCATATCGTACATTATCGAAAAAATTCGGTCTTAGTATTAAATCTGATGGGTTAACTGCATTGGCTCAATTTATTGGGCAGAACTTTAGTATTGATTGGAAAAAGAACCCAGAGACAATAAAATTTCTGGAAAATTTTGCTACTGTGTGGAAACAACAGGAAAGAGGTCTATTTGTGGATAGTGAAGGTGTTCAACAAGTTATTAATGAAATTCAAGAGAGACAAAAGACATTATCTCAAAATATTACTAAAAATATTACAAATTCAAGAATTAATAACAAAAATAAATTAGACAAATTTTTAATTAATAACAATAATGAGAATGACAATACCCCAGCATTGCATAGCGAAAAAACACCTGAACAGCTCATAGAGACATCTGAATCTAATTCCTCCTCAGGGGAGCATAATAATCTGTCCCAATCTGCGCTTCCAGATGATAAAGATAACAATAATGATAGTGCTAGCGATGAAGACATGGATGCGTCCATGATGGCAAATACTTCAATGGTTATTCCTGATTTATCGCAAGAAATCAATAATGATCTTGATGATATACCTATGGGTGATGATGATCCCTCCATTGGAATACTAAATAACGACCATAGTGGTCTCGCAAATATACAAGGTTCAAGTGAGGAATTGAATTGGAGGGATTATTTCAAATTTATTAATGCTACTGAATTGCAAAAGTTCTCATATGATCCATTAAAAATGCATTTTATTTTCACACCATCAAATAGAGTAAACTCCACACAAAATTTTAATTTGAGACTCCCTACTGTCAAGGCTAATACAACGATGTTTTCAACTAGATACCATTTAGTGAGAGATAGAATTATGCGTAATGAAGCGTTCCAAAGTACAGAATCTTATAATCCTCTATCATCCATGATATCCTTAAAGAAAGAATTGACGCCAGGCTACGAACCGTCTAGCAATACAGGCTCATCGATGTCGATAACACCAGTCAAAAATTTACTTGGTAGAGATGGTCAAAACTTTTTGATTTTGGGACTCCTAAGGAAAAATTCTAAAGGAAATTGGACTATTGAGGACCCTTCTGGGGTTACAGAAATTGATATCTCACAGGCAATTCCTACAGAGGGTCTATACTATGTACCTGGGTGTATTGTATTGGCTGAAGGTATTTATTTTACAGTCGGAAATAGATTTCATGTTACATCTATGACACAGCCACCTGGCGAAAGAAGAGAAGCCACGTTGGAATCTATCGGTAATATTGATTTACTAGGTATTAATGGTTTATCAAACCCAAACTATATATCCAGATTGAGTAGAGATTTAAAGATTAGACTTCATTATCTTGAACAAGATCTAGCTCATCACAGATGTATAATATTGGGTGGTGATATATTCCTAAATGAGATGGCAACTATGGATGCATTAAGAAAAGTGTTTACCAAAATTAATGAGGATCCACCAATAATGATCTTGTTATATGGTTCTTTTTCATCTGTGCCTGTGTATTCTTCCATGACAAGTAAAATGATTAGTTCAACAACTCAATATAAGAATAATTTTGACACCCTCGCATTACTACTATCAGAATTTAAAAACTTAACTGAAGAAACAACATTTGTATTTATTCCAGGTGTTAATGACCCATGGAGCTCAACTAGTTCCTTAGGTAGTGCTAATCTCTTACCACAAAGACCTATACCAAGTGATTTCCAACAAAAGATGAATAGAGTTTGTAAAAATATTATATGGGGCTCTAATCCATTGAGAATTGCATATATGTCACAAGAAATAATAACAATGAGAGATGACTTAGACGATAGATTTAAGAGACATAGTGTGATATTCCCAATGGTTGAAGAACAAAAAGAAGAAAACGTTGAAGAATTAGAAAGACAACTTGAGGATGTGTCTATTAATGACTCTACTATCATTCATCAACTGATTAAGGACACACATCAACTGCCAACTGAAATAGAACAATCGAGAAAATATGTCAAAACTTTGCTGGATCAAGGTAACCTTTCACCATTTTTAACTACAATTCGTTCAATCGTATGGGACCTGGACCATTCTTTAGCAATGCATCCTATTCCATCAACCTTGATAGTATGCGATACTTCTGCACCACGTTTTGATGTTACATATAACGGTTGTAAGACGCTGAATCCTGGTAAGTTTTTATTAAAAAGATGCGCAAGATATATAGAATACACACCCTCCTTGAAAAGAGCAACACAAGAGGAGGTTTATTTTTAGACTTCCCACTAATACAACATATTTGAAAATCTTATGAATTAAGCATATATAATAATGTATATAAAAAAGTTTAATTGATAACAAAGGTTTTCTTCTTTTTTTTCTGAAGTTACAGATATGCAAAAAAATGGACCACAAAGTAATATTCTATATTATTGGTTATTAATTATTGGACTCATAAGGATATTTCTTAAACTTTTTGGTAATTGAAAGAGGCATACAATAGGTAGGATCAATGGGTACTAAATTATAAAATCCCATTAAACTTAACCCTGCGAGGCCGAAGACAGTATGATAAACATCCACTTCATTATCTGGTCGGTCACTTATACCACCTTTTATTTTATCTTGGGCCTCTAAAATAAATTTTCGTAAACCTTCGTAATCAATCCAGTCTAGTTTCCCAATTATAGCTAATGAGGACAGTACCCACCAACTGTAGCAAACATCTGGTAATTTACTAGGTCTACCATTTAGACCACCGCCTGGGATTTGCCTTTCTGATAGCCACCATCCAGTTTCCTCTATCTGTTTTGGAGTTAATGCATCGAGTTTATTGGCAATTTTCAAAGCACCCAGACAAGTAAATGCTTGTGCAGCATGACTCTCTGCACCAGGGCATAATCCAAACCCACCATCAAAGTTGTAACATTTTAAGATAAAATCTACAGCTGGGTCTACTATTTCTGGGGTTAGTTTACCCAATATTGATAATGCATTCAGGGCTGTATAAACGAATCTCGTATCAACCTCTCCAAATCTATCACCTTGAAAACTACCATCTTGTAATTGATTTGCTATGATAAACTCTGTACATTTATCAAGTTTTTCGGTTTCCTCCAAAATATTTAAACTGTCATATGTAGCCAAAATTTGTATTGCTGATAATGTCGTCAATAAGTGGGAATCATGACGAGGGAAAGGACCAAATCCTCCCCTATTAGAATCCCAGCAACTCATAACAAATTCTATTACAGAATCCTTTGTAAACGCATCCTTAGCATCCATAATACAAAGTGCAGTTAGACCCCAGTAGACACCATTCAATCTTAAATGTTCAGACAGCCAATACTCGTAGTCATCTTTTTTTTTATCTAACGATTCTATATATTTGATATGCTTCTCTCTCAATAAACTTAAATCAGCCATTATGCAACTAGTCAAAATATGTTTTAAACAAATATAAGTTAACAGGTTCTGTTAAGAACTTATATTGGTAGCTGATTTTATAACGCTTGAGCAACCTGTTATTGGTAATTGGTTTTTATTAATTAAACACTCTAAAGAAATGTTGATCTAAATAAGGCAATTTTTAAAAATGAAAAATATTATAAATTTAATATATATATTGCGCTTCTCATTAATGAACAAAGCATACTCCATCAAGTTTTATTACAGCACAGGATCTACCTTAAGACTCCCCTAAGGAATTGTAGAATATTTAAATATGGTCAAGGAGGAAATATTATTAGAAAGTTTACCTGTTGATAACAATCATAAAAAGGACGATAGTACCGATGAAACGGTTCAAGAGACACTAAATAAATTAGAAGAAAAGAAACAAAATTACTTAAAAATAGCACCAGAGAAGGATAGCGATGTAATAAGAATACTGGAATTGATAGAGGAACCTATTATTTTACGTGGAGAGACTGTAGAGGATAGAAGGAAGCGCTTAGCCACTATATTATTTGTTAATAAAGATAGCCTGAAGAAGTATTATAACTCTGAACTATATTCAAAATATACATCTGGTAATTCAGCTACAAATGAGTCAGATATTTTATTGGATGAGGGTGGGGAAGACGAGAGTGGTGATGACGAGAGTGATGAGGGTGAGTTTTACACACCTGCGAGTAATCAATTACGTGCAGTGAGGAGATTTCTAGTTAAGGATTCCATTGCAAGAGCCCGCAAAAGAATTAAGCATGAAAGAAGAACTGTTTCTCTAGCATTACAATCAAATATAATTAAAAATCGAAGAGAAAGAGCCGAGGTTATTCAGAAGTACGAATTAGAGGGTTCTCAAGTAATCTCAAAAAGACCAATTTCTCGAGTTTCAATTTCACCGGAGTCCATGTATTTTGCTGCAGGAAGTTGGGGTGGTGATATATCCATTCATCATGTGAGTGCATTAGAAAAGGTAGTAAATATCGAGGAAGATTCTAGGGGTAAAATTGGAGGATTGGATTGGAATAGCAAGGGGAATTTATTGGTTAGCGGGTCAGAAGACTCGGTTATTAAATTACATGATTTCGATCAATCTAATGGTGACCTTAATGAAGTCGCAACATTGAAGGGACATGAAGGGAGAGTATCTCATGTTAAATTTCATCCAACTGATAATTATGTTGCTAGTGCATCATTTGATAACACATGGAGATTATGGGATGTTCAAACTGGAACAGAATTGTTATTACAGGAAGGCCACAATAAAGAGGTGTACAGTATAGATATTCAAAGTGATGGATCGCTGTTATGCTCAGGTGGGTTGGATAATATTGGGCTTGTGTGGGATATAAGAGCTGGGAAATCAATTATGGAACTAAAGGGACACACAAAACCTGTTTATGCTGTTAAATGGTGTCCTAATGCCTACCAAGTGGCCACCGGTGGTGGTGATGGTTTAATCAACATATGGGATATCAGAAAAACAAATAAAGCTAGTGAAATATTATCTCATAAGAATATTGTTACAGATATAAGCGTTTCGTATGGTGATGTTCCTATCTTAATATCCAGTGGCTATGATAAAGCTATCAATATTTATTCTGTCGATAACTGGGTGAAAATTAAAACATTGGTGGGACACGCTGATAAAGTTCTAACTGCAAATATCTCGAGGGATGGAGATTGTATAATAAGTGGTGGTTGGGACCGTTCGGTTAAGTTATGGGAAAATCATGCATAGTTGTCCTTCTTTTCGTTTACATAATGAGCTACATAGTATTACATAGAAAAGATAAATTTCAAAATCACAGAAATGCTATTTCCGTCTACCTTTGTTTTTTGTGGTATTTGTAGATCGTACTCGTGTAGTTGGTACTTGATGCAGTTTTTTTATTAAATTAGAGAGCTTACCTTCTAATTCATCATGGTATTTCTCTTCTTCCTTCAGTTCTTCCTTCAATTTATCGATTCTAATATTTACATCTGATTCGGTTATAGAATCTTTTTCAAATTTAGCCCGTATGGTATTCTGAATAGTCTCAGATTCAGTTTTTAAATTATTTATCTCTACAATTGATGTAGTAACAGCTTCGTTGGCTCTTTTAATTTCTAAAGTCATGTATTCTTTTTCTTTCAATTTAGATTCCTTCTGTCTTTCTTCTCTCTCCAGTTCTTCTAATAAAGATTTCTTCTCTATGATGAGATGTTTCAATTTTCTATCTAAGTCGCTTTTACATTCAAAATTGGCCAAAGATGTTGCGTATGTTCCTTCCATTTTCTGGACTGTATCAAAATTCTTATTATTGGATAATTCTAAATTTTTTGAATCCTCATTAAATTTTTCAATCAATTTATTGAAATCTTGTAATTTAATATTTATTGAATCGCGTTCTTTAGTATAAAAGTTAACGTGATCATCTTCAATTAAACTCATACTGTCATAATCATTCAATTCATCAACTTGTCTTTCAATATCGTAATATACTTGACCGATAGATTGAATTAATTTATGTGTCAGAATACCACTTACCAAATGATAATTAACAGAATCTTCTTCACCAGCTGTGGTGATACCAGTAAGTTGTTTCATACCTTGTTTTGTTGGATTCGTTGAATAATCATTCTTTAATCTCTTTAATTCATAATAGGATTTATTCTTATGGTTATAAGAACCATCTCCATGACGATCTTTATGTCTACCACGTTTCTTAGAATTTGTATTAAATATAGCATCCAAATCTTCCACTTGGTTAAACTTAACTTCACTTAATAATGAACGTTCTACATCCATTGGATTATATTTTTTGATTGGATATACATCAGGTAATGGCCAAGGTAAATTTGAATCTTCTAACCATTCTACAAGATAGTTTAAATGTTGAGAGTATATAGGTCTCAAATCTGGAGGTAAAGTTCCAACTCTATCTCTAAGAACCACAACACCTGCCGTGATTTTAGATAGTAACTCAGTAGAATCCTTAGGGTATCTTTTACTGAAATAAATATTACAATGATCGACAGAATTGATACTAATCAGTCTGACAATAGGTGCTCTTGCATCGGGACCCTTACCAGATCTGGAATGTTTTAAAATCTTTTGAATATGTGTTGCATCTGTATCAACTGACGGATCAACACTTATTACCATATCAAATTGATCAGATATAGTTATTTGAAAATTTTTCCCATTAACCAATGAAGATGGGAATAAATGACACGTACATGCATAAGTCTTTGGTTTTTTTTGTTTAGATTTAATTGAAGATCCATCATATCTTTTAATATTAACTTTATTACCTAATAGTAATGCTTCAACTAAGTCCATAGTTCTACCTGGCCTACATATAATAGCTGTGTTTGTTTCATATTTTTGAACTAAATTCATTAAATCTCTTAATACAACAAATTTCCCACTAGTTTCAGCTAAATGAGCAGGAATATCTCTTGTAATTAGAGATTTTGGCATATAATGGTTAATTAATAAATATGGATGTGTTGCCACATATTCACTATTTAAACACATTGTTCTCATAGATTCTAGAACCACATCTGCTTTATAATCCATAGTTTCAAAATATCTTAAAATATCAGAATAATGTAATGATACAATTTGATCTGTTAATTCTTTTTGATATAAGCACATTGTAGTTGGTAACCAATAATCACCAGAGACATTTCCTGATGCTCCTAAAGTTTGAGAATCAACAATCGTTGGAACTGGTTTTGTATCTAAAATCTTTAACAAATCCATAATTATAATTTCACTTTGGTCTCTCTTTCTTTCAATGTATGAGGTATAAAACGGAGTTTATATGTATTGATATATTTGTACTATTCCTTAGGTATAATAAAAATAATAAAAGTTCACCTCAATCAATATTCTATAGTAGTATCTAAGACCAAAAAAATATTAATATTATTTCAGCTTTATCCTCCTGTGTGTATTCTTCCCACTCAATTGAAACAATTACTCTGTTCTGATATATGTATATTTTCTAGTGGATAGTTAATGTCGGAATACTATTATTCCCTTATAGAGTATGCCCAGATTGCAGAATCAAAAGAAATGTATAAATGTAATTGTGAAACAAGGTAAATCTACTAATAAAATAAAATTAAATCGAATAGGAATACAGGTACAATCTGTCATGTAAATCAACGTGAACCATGCTTATTTAATTGAAATGCAAAAGAAAAAACAAATTTCAATTAATTAATTTTCTTCTGCAAATGGCAAAAAATGGTGAAATATTTTTTGAGATATATAATAGACAAAGCGAAGAAATGGCCGAAGAAGAGAAACAAAGACCTTCTTCACAACTCTTTACGTTCTTTATCGTTCAAGCATGTTTGTATGTATCTTACTTACTTCATATTGTTAATAGAAACTCTCTGGCGGTTTGAACGTTATGTAGAAAATATATATATATATATATATAAGGAGCATATGGTTTGGACACCCGCATTGCTATTAGATGTATACCTTGTAACTTATAAAAAAGAGAATGGATTTACCTCAGGACTTTATCAAGGCCATGCATGATATTACTTCATTATCAATGTTTTTGTCGTAGATCTTGTAAATCTTAGTCTGGAGCAATCCGACAGGTGTGTAGATATGTTTTTTTCTTGAATGCGACTACTGTATTCCCACTAATTGATATCCCAAGATTGGAAAAGATCCACTACGACTTGATTGTTCTTGATCTTGTTTCTTGTTCTTTTTACTGCAGTTATAATATTGAGACGATGCGAGGAGAAAGCCCGTTAAACCAACAATTTCAAAATAACGTGAATATTTTCAAGTATTTCAATGTTACGATAATAAACTTGTAAGTTGTGTTGCTTCTTGACAAATAAATGAATGTAGGAATAAAGTTAGCTTGGTGAATATATTTGGTTTCGTATTTTTAAGTTACTTCTTTGGAGCCGTTCACAACTAACATTGATTCGTTCTTTCTACAAATATGTCACAAGCTGTTCAGACTGGTAAACTAAGTGCCGATGAAATTGCACTATATGATAGACAAATTAGACTATGGGGGATGGCTGCTCAAGCTAATATGCGTTCTGCTAAAGTATTATTGATTAATATTGGATCAATAGGTACCGAAATTGCTAAAAATATTGTCTTGAGCGGGATAGGTAATTTATGTGTCTTAGACGACAATGTTGTTCGTGAAGAAGATTTAGGTTGTCAGTTTTTCTTGGAAAAGAAAGATGTTGGGAAATTGAAAGTAGACGTATGTTCTCCAAAGATTAAAGATTTGAATCCTCGTGTAAACTTGACTGTTGATAGTGATTCTTTAGCAAATAAAGAAGAAACGTTTTTTAAAGAATTTGATTTAATTGTGGCAACAGAATTAAATAGAGATCAAATTATTGAAGTGAATAAAATCTCAAGAAAATTGAATATTGCACTGTATGTTACTGGATCAAATGGTTTGTTTTCTTATATATTTGTGGATTTAATTGAATTCGTTTCAGAAGAAGAAAAGTTGAAAACAGGTAGAGCTACTATTGTAGGTGAAATTTCCTCAAATAAGACTATTGTTGAAGTAGATACACGAGTAGATGATGATGATCCAAAGAAAATCTTTGAAATGATTAAAACAAAAAATACTTATAAACCATTTAAAGAAATGCTACAATCTGCTACTTTAGAAGGAAAATTGACCAAGAGGCAAACTAAAAGAGTTAATAGTATTTTACCATTAACGATATCATATTTAACAACTATTCCATCCTCTGTGGAAGAATTGCAAAAAAATACAATCGCAACATGTAACAAATTAGGGCTTTTACCCTCAATTTTGAAAGAAGAATACATTCAACAATTTTATAAACAAGTTAATGTTGAATTTGCACCAGTGGCGGCTATCATTGGAGGTGCAGTCGCTCAGGATGTCATTAATATTCTTGGCAAAAGACAATCTCCATTAAACAATTTCATTGTGTTTGATGGTATAACGTTGGAAATGCCTATATATGAATTATAAATATCATTTGCGAGCATAATATATATTATTAGTGTATGTACCACTCTTTATTTATGTATATATATATATGTATATTTGTCTTTCTTTTAATGAAGGACCATCTACATTTGATACACATAAAAGAAAAGAAAAAGGTTTATTTATAGGGTTTACAATACTCTTTTTTTTTCATGTCGTTGTCTGAAGAAAAGAAAATTTTACTAATTTAAACAGAAAAAGGCTCTGATAAATGCACCAAATCCAGTTGTTTGTTTAGGTTTTATTTGATGTTTTGTCTTCTGCTAGTTTTGGATACCAACAGTAACTTGTCTTAGATGTTGCATGAAGCTTTGTAAGGAGATATCATCAGTTAGAACAATAGTACCTCTAGCAGCATTTGCGTTTTGATAACTATCAGATGGGTTCAACTTAGATAATAAGAATCTAGCTTGGGAACCACCATGTTCAGTGTCAATGAATCTTGGTAATGGGAATCTATCGACTAACAATTCAGCAGCTTCAACCTTTGGTTCTTCCAATAGACTCTTGAAAGCAGCATAATCTGGATTATCTTGGTAACCAGCTTTTCTCCATTGAGCAATTTGTTCACCATGGTAAATCAAAATAAAGAAGAATGTATCTAATAACAGGATAGTATTTGGTTGCACAGAAATGGAATCCAATAGAACTGCATGTGGGTCCTCTTCCATTGAGAATGATGTTAAAGTTGGTTGAATCATAATCAAAGAATTTGTAGTATCTTCTCTGGTGAAAATGTGTCTATAGAAGGCAGTTTCATCAGGGGAATTATTGAAGACACTTAAAAATTGAGATCTTCTCAAGTAATAAGTAAATTGTGGATATAGCTTGAAACTCTCAACCAAAGTAAATGATTCTGGTAAGTCCTTATCATAATTAGCGTATCTTTGACATAATTTGATTAATGTTCTGTCAATCCATCTGATAACATCAGCACCATCGTCAGCTTCGGCCTTGGAAACTGCAATTCTTGCCATCAATACAGCTGCAGCTTCTTGGTCAAATGAGTTAGCATAATCTTGGTTTCCATTACCCATAACAATATTACCGACAGTAGTAACTCTGACACGGTTTGTACCAGAGGAATGTTGATAAGTTGTAATAAATTGAGTGTAGGCAGTAGCAGCTTGACCTGATCCTGGAGGAGGATTGGTAGCTGTGGTAGGGAAATCATAGTAAATAGCGTATGTATGGTTTGGAGATAAAGAAGCCATCTTCCAAGTAGATGTACCACCAATACCAATTTCGGTTTCACTAACATTGGTAGCATCAGCCTTCTTCATGGCTGTTGCGTGACCAATTAGACCTTGGATTTTAACATTCTTACTGGTCTTTACAGCCATGACACCATTAAAGGCCATTCTTAAGAATCCATCTTCATCGGTAGAGAATAATCTAATATAAGATTGTTTAAAGATAGCAGTAGAGAATGCATCAGTCAATAATAGAACACCACCTGTAGAGTCAGTTAATTGTTGCATTTCAGACATACCAACTTGATCGTAACAACCAGCGAAGATATCGACAGTATGTCCATTATCCGCAACTCTGGTAGCAATTTGGTTGTAGAACTTAGATGCCTTCTTGTAATGTACTGCACGGTCGGAATCAATATCGTTATGGGATCTTAATGGATCCTTTAACTCGGTACTGACAATCATACCTGGTGCAATGGTACCTGGACCAGATGCAAATAAGATGACTCTAGCAGCTGTATTTTTGTAACAACCTTGTAACAATAAGGAAGCAATGTTCAAAGCAGAACCTGTGGCTCTAGTTGGTCTATGACCTGCTGGGATGGACCATTGATCTGGTGTTAAATTTTCTAACAGTTGATTTAATTTGAACTCAATGTTTTCTAAAGGTAAGAAGAATCTATTTAGAGAAGTTGGAGTGATCTTCATGTTGTTACCTTGTAGAGAAGCATTTCCAGCTCTTTGGCCAGTTAACATCTCGACTAATTGTTCAAATTGATATTCTCTGTCACCTCTAAAGACGTTACATCTGTCAATAGTTTCACTTGATAAATCATGTAATTGAACAACGTTACCATAAGTTATTAACCCAATTAAGGCATTTGGTGGTAGTAGAGTCAAGGAGGTAATGATAGATTGTTTTAAAGCATCTAAATTTTCTTGTTCAGCAGTAATATCAATGACAAAAAAGAAAATAGGTGGTACATTGACTGGCTTGTTGGTGATATATTCCATAGTGGTATATTGTAACTCCATTGGTTTAGTGTCTGGAGATAAGTTACTGTAGTGTACTGGAAGGGCATTTCTTGAGTAACAAATGTTACAAATCCACGCTTTGGTACCCATGTCGATTTGACAGTAAGGATTCAAAATAGATCTACAGTGGTTACCAGAACACATAACAGGGTTATAATCAGCGATTGGTAAATTCTCGTACTCAGCCAATGGTGTATATAGACAACCAACTGGGACAACATTCATACTGGCATCAGCCTTGGTAGGTGGAAATACGTTCCAGGAGAACCGAACCCCATTGATTTCTTCGTTCAGACTGAAATCCATCTTTTATGGTACTTTAATGTTTAAAAAGGTTGGAGGATTTAGTGATATACTACTTTAGTCTCAGCTGAAATATTAGTTATACTTTTAAAATAAGTTAATTGAAACCGGTATTTTATTAAGAACAATAAAGTTTCAAATATATTTTTAGCGAAGTTAGATGTATAATTCACTTAAAATCAGTTTTCGATTCTATAACACTATTGCCCAATTTTCCTCGATTCTCTGCAGGTTTGCGCGATCCTCTGTTTATTTGGAAATCTTCCATACTGTGAACAATTTTCGTTCTATCATTCATTTACTATTATTATTATTAATGTTATTGTTTGTTTGTTTGTTTTTTTGTGCGGAATTCTCAATTTTTCGAAATAACGAAAAAATCATATGAACACGGTGGTGTATGTCACTGCGCATCGTTCAACATGATATGTTGTCATACTTATTTATTTGATTTTTGTTACGAAATTTGATGATGCTCTTTTTTCGATACAGTTGAGAGAGATGCTCGAATGGTTCATTATATTTGGAGATTAAGGGTATAATATGACAATGGTACAGCATTTTGAATAAAAAATTTAACGCATTTTATAACAGACCATCTTAATTCAAATAAAAAGTTAAAACTAATCTCAAAATAGAATGGAGTTTACCTCTGTGACAATATGTGCAATATGTGCAACAATACGTTTATTAGGTTTATGGGCATTCCCCTCCATTGGAAATCTACTCGACAAGAGTGTCGAGTTCTCTACACCAGTGACATCATATAGGTCCTTAAAGGAGGCACTCGTGTTAGGCATGGGATCATCGAATACAATCACATTTAATAATGGATATTATGACGGAGGTGTGGTACATCATCCACCATTGTTGTTACAAGCATTACAAGGAATACCGATTGCATATCATGACTATTTATTTATACTATTTGATTGCTTAATCTTATTGCAATTTGTTAAATTGACAGAACAAGTGAAAAGACAGAACAAAATGTTTATTAATATTCCAACATGGTTACCAGCGTTAGTATACGCAATTAATCCATTGAGTTTAATGAGTTGTTTGAGTAAATCGTCAGTTATATTTACCAATTGGTGTATAATAAATGCCGTTGTCCAAGCGATCAACGGTAACATTCCAATAACGGCCATGTTTATATCTCTATCCGGTTATTTATCATTATACCCTATTCTTTTAATATTTCCGTTGATTAATTTAATAAACTTGAATTCATCAAATCCACAAAAAGTTAATAATACCATCAGATTGATTCTTTATACCATTTATTATTGTGGTTTCTTAATTTTTATATCATATAAAATTAATGGTAATAATTGGAATTTCTTGAGAGCAAATTATATGGTTTTATTAAATTTCGAGATAGTTACACCAAATCTTGGAATATGGTGGTATTTCTTCATCGAAATGTTCACAGAATTCATTCCTTTTTTCAAAGGTACATTTGGTTTATTCCTTTTATCATTTGTAATTCCATTGGCCATTAGATTCTGTGCACAACCATTTTGCGCTTCAATTACCATACTTGGATGGTTAATTCTGACAAAACCATATCCAGTCCTTGGCGACTATGGTTTTTGGTTCTCATTTTTAGCTTATTTCGTACCAATAGCCGGATATATGCGTTATAAAGTGTTTTCCATGTTATTATTTATCCATGGGATCATGTTATCTCCGATCTTTTATCACTTATGGATTGGTTCAGGTTCCGGTAACAGTAATTTCTTCTATGCGGTATCGTTGGTCAATGCTCTGGCAATAGGTACCATTCTATCAGATTTAATCTGGGCCATGTTGAGACATGAGTACGATGGGGAAACACCAAATTATGAAATAAAACTTGCTCAAGTCTAATAGTATGCAGAGCTTATATATGTATATATAATTTTAGCCGCCCAGCGTATTTATTTTAGAAATTATTACAGTTTATAACGTTACCCTCTAGAACGTTTTCATTTCCTTTAATTTCTTCTCTTTGCGCTGCACGAAGTAAAATTTCAAAATTTAATTATCATTTTTTTAAATGTGAAGAAAAAGAATAAGAGAAGTCAACAGAAATGTGTTTGAAGAGAATACTTTATAACAGAACATAAAAGACTTCAGGAATAATAAAAATAGAAAATATAAATTGTGAGCTAAATTATGTCAGATGTATGTATTTGCTGTGTTTTTTGCTATGAAATTTAGTGGTGTTTTCATAATGTAAAGCTTTTCTTTCGAGAATCAATATACTAACATATATCATATGAGTTTAATGCGATGAGATGAGATCAAACTTAGAAATTTAGTTGTGTCTTTTATTGCATATTATATTTATGTGTGTGTGTTCTAAATATAGTTTGTACCAGTGAACCCAAAACCATTTTTGAAAGATCTAATAGATAAGCGTGTTGTAGTAACGTTGAAGTTTAATAATACAAAATATAAAGGAACGTTAGTATCATCTGATAATTATTTTAATGTACAATTGAAGGATACTGAGGAATTTGTTAATGATAAATCAGCAGGTAAAATTGGAGAAGTATTTATAAGATGCAATAATGTATTATGGATAGGACAAGACTTGGAAGCTATATAGGGCTCATGAAATGAATAATAATGATGATAATAGTACTATTGGTAAACAAGATCGATAAGTAGCACATTTATATGGATTCATGATCTTATGAGTTATAGAGTAGGATAGTGTAGTGCAAACCTGAACTAATTCATACATCTGTTACAAATGGAGAGGCCTAGAGAGTACGCTAACACTTGTGTGCGTCAACATGCAAGAGGCACCGACCTAAGAACTGATACAATAGATAAGAACTTTTATTCTTTTATAAATATATAAACACATTTCGAATTTAATGTAAAAATAGAACTGAACTTTATTAGTAATTCCTGAAAATTCATTAATTTGTGTCTCTGTCCCTTATAGTAATTATAGATAGAACTTGAAAAAAAAAATATTTTATTATTATCAAGGTACGCGCGAAACTTTTGCAACGTTGTCACAATTTCAGAAAAATATTTCAATTAATTATATAAACAATGAAATTACGTGGTTAGATCTTAGTATTTTATTGATCTACAAACGAGGGATTCTTTCGTTTTCGTACTTCTGATTTGCGTTTTTTTACTATTTGTTTTAATTTCAAATCAATACTATAATATACCATCAACATAATTAATAAAAGAATGTCTGTAACTCAATCTGTTATTGTTCCTGCTTACAAGGAAAAGCTAAACATTAAACCTCTAACCACTAGATTATTTGCTGCTCTAGGAAACGATGGTGCCAAAGCTACTGAATTGATCTTCGTTGATGATAATTCTCAAGATGGTTCTGTTGAAGAAGTTGAAGAACTAAAGAAACAAGGTTACAATGTTAGAATCATTGTTAGAACCACTGAACGTGGTCTATCTTCTGCTGTTCTAAGAGGTTTCTACGAAGCTGAAGGTGATTACCTAATCTGTATGGATGCTGATTTACAACATCCTCCAGAGAGTGTTCCATCTTTATTCGACAACTTGAAGACACATCCTTTCGTCATTGGTACTAGATATGCTCCAGGTGTTGGTATCGATAAGGATTGGCCTTTATACCGTAGAGTTATCTCTTCTACCGCAAGAATGATGGCTAGACCATTGACTACTGCTTCTGATCCAATGAGTGGGTTCTTTGGTTTACAAAAGAAATACCTATTGGAGGCTAAGGATGGTGATATTGACTCTAAGGGTTTCAAAATTGCTTTGGAATTATTAGCTAAGTTACCATTACCAGCTGATAAGCCAATTGGTGAAATCCCATTCTCCTTTGGTGTTAGAACTGAAGGTGAATCTAAGTTATCTGGTAAGGTTATCATCCAATATTTGGAACAATTGAAGGAACTTTATGTTTTCAGATTCGGTGCTAACAATTTGGTCTTATTCCTATTGTTCTCTATCATTTTAGTTCTTTACATCCTTTACCAATTCTACTCTTTGCTATTTTAAAAAAATAAGCTTAGAATTGTAGCATAATCTAACTATTTGTACGGATGTATGGTATGTGTTTGTAATATTTTCTAATCTTCTGTACATGCTTTCAATAAAATAACAATAATAACAATAATAATGATGATGATGATGATGATGATAGTAATAATAATGATAATAATGACGATGAATTTTTATAACGATAAATAGAAGAATGTTTAGCTTACAGCAAAAATATAATTAATTACTAATTACGTATTTAATAAAACACCAATAAAGGTATTATTTTTTTTTATATTGTATTTTATAATGTATAATATATAATATATATACCTAGGAAGGTGAAAGAGGTTCTGCAGTAAGGACAGCTTAGTTTTTTCAATTTGACCCATAAAGATCTAATAATATGAGACCAATGTCACCATACTCAAAGATACTAAAGGTATGAAAAATTAAATATTTAAATTACTGTCCTAAACAGCCTCTACTAGAAATGAATGAAAAAATTCAAAAGAAGATTTAAGAACAAAATGATCTCTCGTTATATTAAACTACGACAATCGTGTTTTTTTTGTTGCAGTTAATAAGGAAATGGTAAAATTAATGAATTATTGATAATAAGTTAATAATATTGAAAATAAAAAATGAGGATTAATAAAAAAATTGGAATTGGGTATTTGAATAAAAAAAATATTCGAACCAATAATTTTGTCATTTTTTACACTTAATTCAATAAGTTGGCAATAGATGTGGAATCAGCAACATCGTTGGCGATAGCAATACCTAAGAAGACTTGAGCTTTAACTGGAGTCAAAGAACCACCACCAATAGCACCCTCTGGAACATCACCTTCAGAGACAATGTTTAATGGAGAAGTTTCAGTGTAAACAACTGGGATGCTTTGAGCAGCCAATTGAGAAGTAGATGAGTTGGTAGAAGCACCTGAGGAGATGACGACTAGACCAGAGATAGTAGAAGCAACAGAGTTAATTAAATCTTCACTGTAACCACCATCGTAGACAATTGGAACTAATGGAGTGACAATAGAGTATTCTAGAGGGTTAGTGTTGGTAAAGTTGGTGTAGTTGGTTCTTAAGATAGAGTCTTCAGCAATGAAGGATGGTAGAGATGGTTGGAAGAACCAAGTAACGGAATCTTTATCATCAATGGTACCAACTGGGATAGAAGAAGCAGCTTGATCTAGAGATGGAGAGTAAACACCGGAGTAAATAACACCATCAACATCAACAACCAAAGCACCTCTATTAGCAGCACCAGTATTGTTGGCGACTAAATAAGCTTGAGCAGCATCAGTACCGACGACAACTGGAGCAGAAGAGTTGAAGACAACGGCAGCAAAGAAACCTAGAGCTTCTAAGTTCTTTTCGGATGTAATGATGACAGTACCCTTAGTTTCATTGGCAGCTAGAGTAGAGTTAACAGCAGTAGCAACATCGTATAATTGAGTGATGTTTAGAGCACTAGTTTGGTTTAATAGAGTAGTGTAGTTAGAAGAGCTCTTAGTAGAGTTTTCTAAAGAAACGTGACCACCGGTAACATAAACTTGAATAGTTTCATGTAATTTGACAGAAGATGTACTGTTATGAGTAGAATTAGTCAAATTACTAGAGTTGGAGACAACAGTGGAGTTAGAACTGTTGTAGAAACTAGTAGAATTACTAGAATTAGCAATCACTTGTGTAGAGGTAGTGGAAGAGGCCTTAGCAGAATGCTTCTTTCTTAGGAAACTGATTGGAGAGGCATCGACGGCAGATGAGGCGGCTAGTAAAGCAGTTAGAGCAACACTGAACTTCATTTTATTTTATATTTTTATTATAATAAATATTTAGAGTAGTTGGTTAGTTACAACACAGAAAGTAATTAATAAAAAGAAGGATAGAAGCAAAAAAAAAAGATTGATATTAAGCCAAAGAAGTGGTAATTCTTATGGATTAATTAGTTCAGCTTATATATATAGAAATAAGTTTTCAATTACACAATTATTTTTTTAAATAATTAAGCAATTAAAGTAATAACAAAAAATGTAATTAATTTAAGGGATTTAATTAAATTCCTCAATTAATTCAAAGTAAGAAAGAAAAATCGAAGAGAGAAAGGATAAACATAACTTCCCTGTTTCCTCATCTATCAATAAGAAGACATAATATTAAAGTTAAAGTGGATGAGGAGGACTTACTAAGAAACGTTGGCTACAGGGTGTGCTATTTTTTTTTGAACTGAACAAGTTAATTAAAGTAGGCTTAAGTGACACACACACAGAAAATTAAGTATCTAATAGCTTCAGAGAAAAAGAAATATCCTAAATAAGTATCGAATCAAGAAATAGAAAGAAAAAGAAATGAAGTTATGACAAGTTTCTGTAAGAAAAAGGTGTGGGGGATGATTTTAATTTTTATCTATGAAATAAGAAATTTATTACTAAATTCGTATAAATTGTATACAAACATTAAGTAACGTAAAATGGAACGATAATTTAAGGCTTTTAAGAAAGAAAAAATAGTAATTTTAAACAGGGACCTCAGTTCGTAAATTAGTTAACAAAAAATAGGGGGGGGAGGATAGATCACATGAACAATGAAATAACATTCGGTTAGTTGTTAGCATGAGTTACCCAATTTCGGAGAACGAATTACTATTATGAACCGAGCCGAAGGAATAGAACTCTTTAAATGACAGTAACCAGAATCATCCTTCTTTTTTACTCAAAAAATGTAAAATGAATAACAAAATGTACTCAAAAATGTGAAGCAAATCTTGTCGCTCTTCACTTTGTCGTAATGAATTTATTACCGTTTGTGAAGGGTTTTCATTTCAGTGGGAGAAAGACAAAAAATACTGTCACATCTTGCTACGTACTGAAAAGTGTAGAAGCCACAGATGTGAAGTAGGCTTTGCACTATTCTAAACTAAAAGAAAACGACTATCAACTTCATCAATTGAGGAACAAACAAGATAGAGAGGAAGTTAGGAATATGCAGAAATTTACATTCTATTCTCTCCACGTTAATTGTATCAATTAAGGACGTGGACTTGCTCATCGGAATAAAATTAATTAATTTGAAGAAAAAGATATAACTGTTAGTTATTCACTGTTCTTTCTATATTTACTGACGAAATTTGCTTATTTTCCCCTCATCTTTTAAGCTCAATCAAGAGAGAGACCAAAATCAATTTGCGGTAAAAAAAAACACAGAGACTTCCTAATACGGTAATAACAATAGCTCTCTTTTGTGCGGTTACTTTTTTACAAATGAAGTTAAGATAAATTATTGAATTTTGACCCGGGCAAAGTTCATTTATTGGTACTAAGAGCACTCTATGTGGTAAAAAAAAAACAGTGTAAGGTCATCATCAAAACGGAAAAGTTAAACTTACAGGTCTCCCCTAATTACTGTTCCAAATTAGGAAATCCCCAGTAACAAAACAGTACAAGACATAAATAAATAAGAAGGAGAATTCTCCCTAAATTGGAAAATGAGTAGGATGCTTTAGGCAACAGGTATCTATTTTCGGACTGTTTACGTTTTCCTAGTACGTTGTCTGTGTCGTCAAGAAAAATGTTCAAGACAAAATAGAAGAATGGAAACCCGTAGGGCACAGAAAACATTGTAATTGTTGTATTTTTGAGTTAATTTTGTTTTTCTGTTTCTTTCCTTCGCTATTTTTCTGTGGGTTTTCTAATTGTTCCGTTTTTTTTTTAATTCATTGCTTCGGATAAGATTGATACTTAATTGGCATTACTGGCGGAGAATAAAAAAAAGTAACAAGGCATCGTCACTTAGTGAAGAGAAATAGATACTATTATCGATCTTAGTAAGTGGTCCAAATCGTGACACCAACCTGGTATGTAAGATTTTACGGAAGGTTACTATAGATCACATCAGATTAAAGACACTGAAGTTCTTGGTAAATTACTTTTTATTAGGTAAATGCCCCTTATGGGGTTAATCATGGGCATATCTGAGTATATCTGTGAAATGAATACAATCTTGTTTTATAACATTGACAGAAGAACATTTGTTGAACTAAAGAAAAAACTTACCATTAAGATGTATCCGTTTCTTGAATCTAGATTCCCTCGAATTTCATGTTATTTTGTTTGGAATTAACTTTATATATGGAATATATTAATAGGTAATCAGGCCCTGTTACAGTAATCTGTACTTAGAACTCTGGTCATCTCTTTATGTTTGTTTGTTTTTTATTTTTTTGCTTTGCTTGAGAATAAGGGATAGCGCTTACTTTGACGAATTTTGGCGCAGGGCCTTATTAGTTTATGAATACATAAATTTTTACATCAAATGACAGCAATTCTTTGAAGAATTTTTTCTCTTGTTATATTTCTATTTGAACACCCATGTAAAGTACATGAGGGGATGATACATATGTAGTTCTAATAATTTATCAATGCTTAATAATATTGTTCTAAATACTTCTTGCCCCTTTTTTGTAATGCCTTCAACTATTTGACATATTCCCTAGAAAGCATATACCTTAAAACGAAGTTTCTAACTTAATTTTTTCATTCTTTTAGATGCTTCTAACAGATGTTGTGAGTTTCTTTTTGTTGTTGTCGTTGTTAAGCTACGGAATTGTTTTTGCTACTACTTTTGGTTACTTTTTGATTTATCTTGCATATCCTTAAAAGTTTTACTTGTATATGGAAGAGAAAATGAGAAAAAGTATCTTAATTCTTTAGAGATTTCATTCACCATTAGACTTTTTTCGATTAATTTAATATTTTGGTCAGCTTTAGATTTTTTTGTTTCAATTCGCGTCACAATCAATTATTTTCTATTGAAGACATTCTTAAACCAAATCCTAATCAAAAAGGAGGAAGAAGATACTAGACATAAGTAGTAATAAATTTTATTAATTATATTTATTGCAACAGTTTAGATATATATATATATACGTGTACTAAAGAGCGTTCTTTTTTGTTAAATAATCAAATCTAGAATAAGTGTAACCAATAAATGGTAAATCTTCCTTAATTGGAGCATTGTTATTACCTTGTTTCATCATTTGTTCTCTTTGTAATGCAGCTTGAGCCATCGCTGGTGAGTCAGGTACATTTTCTAATTCATCTGTTGGGAAGAATCTAGTGTCTGTAATAGAACTTAATTTTGGAATATAAGGTGCTTCCACTTGTCTAATTGTATTCCAATCAACACCACGAAAGAAAGGATGACTCTTGATCTCATCGGCTCCTCCATGTCTGCCAAGTCTTTGATCAGCATGTGTTAATAAACGACGAATTAAATCTTCAGCTTCATATGAAATATGAATATCATCAGGAAATTGTAACGTTTGTTCAAAATTCATAATCTTACGATATGTCTCCTGAGGTGTCTCCGAACAGAATGGTGGCCACCCAATTAAACATTCATACATGATAGTACCTAATGACCACCAATCACACTCTTGACCATAACCTTGGTATAAAAATATTTCTGGGGCAATATAATCTGGTGTACCTACTGTTGAATACGCCATCAAACGACGAGATTTACGCCATGTTTGGATTTGTTGTCTACTAGACATGGTTAAGTTAATAGAATCAACAACCATAGTTTGCCTATTACTCTTTTTATCTGTACCATTATTCTCGCCTGGCTGTCCAGGTTTAGTTAACCCAGTTGTGGTGCCAGAACCTTGCGGTTTTGTTTCATCTTGTTGTAATAATTTCTTATAGTAATTAGAATCATGAGTCTTATGGAAACCGGTAGATAAACCAAAATCAGAAAGTTTGATGTGTCCTCTAATATCAATCAAAATATTATCGGGTTTGATATCTCTATGGATGAAACCCAACTTATGAACGGTCTCGATCGCAAGGATACATTCAGCCATATAAAACCTAGTAACATCTTCTGTAAATAATTGCCATCTGATTAACATAGTCATTAAATCACCACCTGGCAAAAATTCCATGATTAGATATAAATATTGTGGATCCTGGAAAGAATAGTATAATGAAACAATCCATGGGGAATCTGTACCGGCAAGAACATCTCTTTCAGCCTTCACGTGAGCCAGTTGATCTTTCTTGTACATTTCGGATTTTAATAGAGTCTTCATTGCATATATCTTACCAGTATCACGTTTCTGAACAAGACGAACTTCACCAAATGCACCTTTACCAATAACTTTAACAGTTTGAAAATCTTCTAGAGACAACCTCGTTCTTCTTAACCTTAAAAATTGAGATTCCTTTTTCCCTAGAGATGATAATTGTCTGTTCTTTCTCTCTTCTGACCAGTCGTGTGAATTTAAACCAGCTTCAAGCTCAACTCTCCTCTCATTACGTTCAATTGCATATTTGACAGAAGACTGGTAAAAATTCTCAATTTTCAATTTGACAGCAGCTGCTTTATCTTGAGTAGATTTAGACAATAAGTCAGGTCGCCTTTCAAAATACATGTAGTTTCCGTTAGGTTGTCCTTGCTTATCATTATATTGTCCTTGTTGTTGTTGTTGTTGCTGTATTTGAATGTTTTGTTGTTGTTGCATTTGTTGCTGTTGTACTTGTCCTTGCTGTATTTGTTGATGCTGCATTTGTTGTTGCTGTTGTTGCTGTTGCATCTGTTGTTGTTGTATTTGCTGTTGTTGCTGTTGTTGCAACTGTTGTTGTGTCATTTGTTGTTGTTGCATCTGCTGTTGTTGAATTGGCATATTCTTAACACTCCTAATAGGACTATCTTGTTGAGGCGACTGTGAATGAGAATGATCATCATTGTATAAAAATTGTGGTTGATGGTTATATTGATTACTATGAATACTAGTATTACTTTGTAAGTTAGGATGATTATAATCAGAATCGTTTGAATAAACACTTGGCGAAAATGGTGCAGCAGGTTGATCCATAATAACGCCATTATTAGAATTATTGTTAATATTGGAATTATATTGACTCATATTGCTAATACTACCATTACTACCTCCATTATTCTGTACCATACTATTCGAATTATTGTTATGTTTATACAAATTGGCCATTGCTGGTGGTGGTGTATTTGTAATTTGGTTCGGTATTACGTAACTGTTTTGATGAGTTGGTGTGGATGGGAAATTCAAGGATGGAACGTCAGTAAACCCACCATTATGCATCATATTGCTGTTGTTGTTGCCATTTTTTCTATCTATATCATCGGCTAAGGATTGATTCGAACCTTGTTGTCTCATATAATTATTACTAAAATTAGCGGCAGGTGGTCTTGGCATTTGTTGATTTTGATCTATATTCCGCATCTGATTCGGTTGTTGATAATTCATCTGTTGTTGTTGTTGTAAATTACTGCCTTGGGAGCCAAAGTCGTTACTATTACTAAACATAACGAAATTACTTTATATCTTTCAAATAATAATGTTGGTTTTTTTTCCTTATTCAATCACCCGTGATTCAATCACCTTCTTTGAATGTAAATAAACAATAAATGAAACTGTTAAAGATATAATATGGAGAAATCTCTTCTATAAAATATATATATATATATTCTTAAACAAATCAACTAATGACGCGTTCACAGTGAGATTACCTCCTTTGTAATAAAATATATATATGTAGGGATCTTCGATTTTTTATGAAACGTTCTTCCTTTTATTTGGTGTTCCATTAAATTTCAAAGATTAATTTTTGATCCATGGAATGTATCGCTGATGTGTTTTTTTTTCTGTCTCTGTCTTCCTTCCGTTTTTTCCTCTCTCTCGCCTTCACTCTGAGTGAAATGTTCATAATAATTATAGATCAGGGCAAACAGACAAATAGAAGAGAACAATCAATACATCAATTATTAATATCATAGGCCTTCGACATAATGATAAATCATGGAATACCAATAAAAAAATAATTTATAACTTTGTAAATAAAATAATGATTTTACTGATTGACTAATTGAAGTTTAAGTATTTATTATTATAAAATGTTTAATACATACTGGACAATAAAAACCGTTAATGGAGAGTTAAAAAATGATTAAAAATAGAAGATATATAACATAATTTTTTTTCCATAAAAGCTTAAAATTGTAGAGCAGCACCCTTTTGCTTTCTTTCACCACCAAGTTCGAAGTGCTTACATCTCTTTAGGACTAATTGAGCCTTAGTCTTACAAGCAACACATTCCAATCTTAGAACAACCTTCTTGGTAGTCTTAGCCTTCTTGTGGAAAACAGGCTTAGTTTGACCACCGAAACCAGATTGTTTACGGTCATAACGTCTCTTACCTTGAGCGAACAAGGAAGCCTTACCGGCCTTGTATTGGGTAACCTTATGTTGGGTGTGCTTACGGCAGTTCTTACCCTTACAGTAGGTCTTTCTAGTCTTTGGAACGTTAACTGTTAAAAAAATAATAAAATAAAATCTTACAATTGTTCTTAAGAATCGAATACAATGAAAAAATCCTATCATTGAATTTGATTATCGAGATGAAATTATAATGTGTTTATTTTGAAGTTTGTTAGTAAAATAGATTCATTTAAGAAAAGTTTTTAAACTTGATGTTTTGTGCATGAAGGTTTTGAAAATGCCATAAATAGAACGATGTTAGATGTATCTCAAACCCTCTGTGTGGAAATGACTCTAATGGGAAAGATTCTATGAAGATTGGTAATATATCTATTGCTATCATCTTATTATTAATAAATCGTTGTAAATCCTTTCATTTGATTGATATTAAAATTTCAATTGTTGTTTATGTATCATCATTGGAGAATGCTATCTCATCCATGCCTTTTTCACTATGTTATCATAAATAAGTTGTGAGATTCTTCTTGAATTCTCTTTAAAAAGTGAAAAAAACCCTAATCACGTCAATAATATCATATTAATTCTTGTGCTAATGTCATTCTACACAGAGTGATTATTATCCATGCCACTGTTTTCTTACTTTATTTGATAAATTTTCTATTTCATTCTATTTAATTAATCAATTAATAAAAACAAATATGTCCATATCAGGTTCTTTGGAAAAAGTATCCTCTTAATCTATATTTAATGCCCAAACATATATTAACATCTCTTCATTTTCAATAATAGCTTATCTAACTCATCGATATCATTCTTTATTCATATTTATCAGTTTCATAACTCTACACTATCAAAATTAAATTTCTAATCATGTTATAACATACCCATTGTGCCTATTCGATTAGTTTGTATTGGTTTCTTTGTCAAAAGATAATATTAATTAAAAATTAGTATACTATTTAAGTATATATGCTACTTGTATTAGCTAGTTTACATATATTCAACGTATTAACCTCTCGCTAACCCCATGCTAAGGTTTGCGTGGAAGGAAGTAGCATACATTACAGAGACGATGAAAGAGAAAATTGGATTACCCAACAGGAATTTTCCAGGCAGAGGTGAACTTTACCAAGGCCAATCCAATCTAACGATAGACTACGGCTGAGTGTAGCACAAAAGATTTAAAGACTGAAAGAATTTCAAAACTTTTGACTGCGCGAGACTCTTTTTCATTTCGAAAAGTACGTTTGATTCCCAAAAAAAATCAAAAATAATCAGTTCTACGGCATATACTCTGCATCAATTGAGATAATTTCGCACGTGACCGAAGTTTGAAAGAAGCATGCCGACTCCTACAAGTTTTATTTTTTTTATTCCGTCTGTGAAGAAAACAAAAACCGAATTCGTGGCCATGAACTCAGAATGTAAGGTTGTTGTGAGCTAAATTAAATTATTCGGATGTAAGGATGCACAAATTGAAAACAGTCAAATATTCCTCTTAAAAATCTTTGGATTTCAGTTTTTTTTGACAAAAAAAATAATTTAATCTGTTCAGCCGTTCCCTCTGACAAACGAAGCCATTTTTTTGGAGGGTTTTGTCTTTTGCATCGATTGTATTAAATGTCATGATTTTTGAGCATTGGGAGAGAAGCATATACCAATATTTGAATATGTCATTAGTGAGATAGGTATCTTTGGCACCTTGGATAAAACTTTGCCATTAGATGAAGTACAGTCTTTTGGACATGTTATAGAAATAGCTTGTTGTTCTCTTGATCTATTCTGGATTTAAAGACAGTCTTTGCTGGGCGACTTCCAACATTTCTTTTTCATCAATATATGAAATGTTATCTATATTTTGTTCTTGATCAAATGGGTAATTACAATCCTCCTTTGGGCACATCACAAGGGAATAGTTTTGTTGGATTAAAAACTTTTGTAAAGGGGTCTTGCAGATTGGACAGTGTGTGTAGTCTTCTGGTACATTCTTAACTTCTTTAGGAACATTCTTTTCCGATGATTTGACTGCTTCAATATTTAAATTTGATTCTTTGTCATGGTTCTTTGTCATCTCTTGCTTCAGATTGGGTTGTTCCTTTAAGTTTTCGCTTTCTGTTGACATTATAGTGGTATAATATGCTAATGACTACACTCAAAAGAAATTCAAGTTATACTTCGGTAAGATGTATATTCTTGCTATGATTATGAGACTAATCGATACTCAAGGTTATTAATATTTTCAAATTTGAAATATAGTTAACGTTTTTAATACCTTTGTAGTTTCACTTTTTACATGTTAAAACTGAAATTTTTTTTTTTTAGATTTTTTGCTCATCGCGGTTGTTCGAAAAGAGAAAAATAAGGAGAAATTCATTACGGTAATTAATAGATTTGCAATATTAACACACAGTGGTATATCTAAATTAATACTGCAATAGGTAATAAGTTAAGGAGTATCAAATAAACAAAGAAGTACAAAATAAATCAATTAGTCGTAACTCCATTAACTATATTTTGTTTACTTAATTTTTTATTGCAAAATGGTTAGAGTTGGTCCGGACACTTATAAACGATTACAAAATGATGCGTCCTGTATCAGGAATATCTGTATTGTTGCACATGTTGATCATGGTAAAACATCACTTTCAGATTCTCTATTAGCGTCAAATGGTATTATTTCTCAAAGATTAGCAGGTAAAATACGTTATTTGGACTCTAGACCAGATGAACAAGTACGTGGTATCACAATGGAATCATCTGCTATTTCATTATATTTTAGAGTTTTGCATAAGCAAGAAGGTACAGATGAACCACTTGTTAATGAACATTTAATCAATTTAATTGATTCTCCAGGGCATATTGATTTTTCGAGTGAAGTGAGTGCAGCATCCAGATTATGTGATGGGGCCGTAGTCCTTGTTGATGTAGTTGAAGGTGTTTGCTCTCAAACAATTACTGTTTTGAGACAATGTTGGGTCGAGAAATTAAAGCCAGTATTAGTTTTAAACAAGATAGATAGATTAATAACTGAATTACAAATGACTCCTCAAGAGACTTATATCCATTTGAACAAGATAATAGAACAAGTCAATTCCGTCTTAGGTTCTTTTTTCGCTGGTGAAAGACAATTAGATGATTACTCTTGGAGAGAACAATTGAAGGAGAATGAAAATGCTGAGTTTACTGAAAGAGACGATTCAGATATATATTTCCATCCAAAGAATAATAATGTTATTTTTGCATCTGCCGTCGATGGATGGGGTTTTAATATTGGACAATTAGCCAAATTTTATGAACAAAAATTAGGTGCCAAGAGAGAAAATCTTCAAAAGGTTCTATGGGGTGATTTTTACTTAGATCCTAAAACTAAGAAAATTATTAATAATAAAGGTTTGAAAGGTAGAAACTTGAAACCTTTATTTACATCTTTAATCCTTGATAACATTTGGAAAATTTATGAAAACGTTGTCATTGCAAGAGATGATGATAAGATCAGTAAGATTACAGAAGCATTGAATATAAAATTGTTACCTCGTGACCTTAGATCAAGAGATGACAAGCAATTATTAAGAAATGTAATGGGACAATGGTTGCCAGTTAGTACAGCAGTTCTATTGACTGTTATTGAGAAGTTACCATCTCCTGTAGAGTCTCAGAAAAATAGATTGGACACTATCTTGAAAATAGAGACTGATACAGAAAATGTTGATAAACATTTACTTGACTCTATGAGCACTTGTGATAGAAATGGACCTTCATGCGCTTACGTTTCCAAAATTCTTTCTATCCCAAGAGAAGAATTACCTATTTCCAGTTCCAAAGAAGTCTCACCTGATCAAATCATGGAAAGAAATAGAAAGGCAAGAGAAGAAGCATTGAAGGCAGCTAAGAGAGCTGAGATGCTAGAAAATATGGGTAAACTAGATGTTAAAGAAACTGAAGATGAAGAGGTAGATCTTTACAAGAGAGCTAAAGATACTGCCATTACTCCAGATATTGGTGACAATAAGCAACCTGTACCTAAACTTAATGATACGTTTGAAATTGTCACAGAAGCGGCACCAGCAATGAATATAGATCTTGGCTTTGAATATGAGGAAGATGAAGACGAGGATAATAATCTAGATGATGACCTAAGTTTTGTTCCTACCGATATCGATCCTAACGATCCTTTGAGCGCTATGTTTGAATACGAGGAGGAGGATCCTTTAGATGATGTCAAGGGTTTAGATACATCTGCTTATGACGATGAGAATGTCGAGGATTTATTCGACGAAAAAGATGAAGTATTGATTGGTTTTTCAAGAATATATAGTGGTTCTCTAGAAGTCGGTCAAGAAATTTGTGTGCTTGGTCCAAAATACGATCCCAAGTATCCGACAGAACATATTCAGACCACTACAATTACAAGTCTATACCTATTTATGGGAAAAGAATTGGTTCCTTTGGACTATTGTCCAGCCGGTAACATTGTTGGTATTGGTGGTTTAGCAGGTAAAATTTTGAAGAATGGTACTTTAATTGAGAAGGGAATTAACGGTATTAACCTTGCTGGTGTAAACATCAATAGTTCTCCGATTGTTCGTGTGGCTGTTGAACCAGCAAACCCAACAGAAATGGGTAAACTAGTTAGGGGACTAAAACTACTTGATCAAGCAGACCCATGTGTGGAAATATATATTTCTGATACTGGTGAACATATCTTATGTACTGCTGGTGAATTACATTTGGAAAGATGTCTAAATGACTTACGCGATAGATTTGCTGGTATTGAAATTACACATTCTGAACCTGCCATTCCTTACAGAGAAACTTTTATATCAGAAAGTGATATGGGATCCCCACAGAATGAAATACTAGGAAGAGGGGTTGTAGAATCAGTGATAGGTAAGTATAAGATGAGATTAAAAACTGTACCACTGAATAATAGTATTACAACTTTCCTAGATAGACATGAGACCTCGATTAGACATATATTTGGAAACAATGCTGATGACTCTGCTCCAAAGGCTATCGAAGGCTCTATTTTAGATAGACCTACATTCATTAATAAGTTAGAAGGTTTAATTTCCAAGCAGGATAACTTAGCAGGCGTATTTGGCGATCAATTACTAAAACTGGCTGCATTAGGTCCGAAGAGAGTTGGTTGTAATTTATTGGTATCCGAAAATGATTTACTGGGAAGTTTGTTAAATAAAACAAGCGGAAAATTCGAATTCGCTGATCCTATTATGAATGGTTTCCAGATATCGGTCAATGAAGGTCCGTTAGCTAAAGAGCCTGTTCAAGGTATGGTGGTCGTTGTTGAAGATATCCACGAAATGACAACTGATGAGATATCTGCAATTGAGGATGAACACTATCAGATTGAAATACCAAACATATCCGGTAGATTTATTAACCACACTAGAGATCAAATTCATGAATCATTCTTAGATTGGTCACCAAGAATCATGTGGGCTATCTACACCTGTGATATTCAAACATCTGTTGAGGTTCTTGGTAAAGTTTATGCTGTGGTTCAACAAAGACATGGTAAAATTGTTTCAGAAGAAATGAAAGAAGGTACACCCTTTTTCCAAATTGAAGCAGAAATACCTGTGGTTGAAGCATTTGGTCTGAGTGAAGATATAAGAAAGAAAACGTCAGGTGCCGCCCAACCTCAGCTTGTGTTCTCCGGTTTCGAGTGTATCGATATAGATCCATTCTGGGTTCCAACTACAGAAGAGGAACTGGAGGAACTAGGTGATACTGCTGATAAAGAAAATATTGCTCGTAGACATATGAACAATATTAGAAGACGTAAAGGTCTATTTGTCGACGAGAAAGTTATCCAGAACGCTGAGAAGCAACGTACTTTAAAGAGAAATTAGTCTTCTTAAGATTCTATTTAATTACTCTTTTTATTGTCTTTTTAAAATATGAATAATATATAATGATATGTAATATCTCCTTATCTTTTATCGGCACCCATTAATCAATTTTCTATTTTATTTTTGGATCTTCTTGTCTTTAAGGTGTTCTCATAGCCTTATTATTCAAGTATTGATGCATCTGATTAACATCGATAATAATTAAAATTTTTAAACGGTGCGCAATGAGACAAAGAGTGAACAAAAACAAAACGGTATTACATATTTTACTTTAAAAACGATGGGATTATGAACAACTGAAAAGAGGATCCTCTCAGAACGTTAATAGAATAAGGATAAGTATTAATCTAGTTTCCGGTTAACTATTTCATTAAGACATTTTTTTAAGAACAAGAGATACCAAGATAGCATTATAAGCACTTGTTGTAGTTGAGTAATAGCTATTCCGACAAGAACAGAAGAAGATGGCAAAAGGGCACCCTGCAAATATTGAAAACGGGAACACATCCATAGAATTAGTGTCCAAGGATGGTCCTATTCCGATAAATATTATGATGCAAGAGGGTGTTAAAGCACTTACTAAGATATTATCCAACCAATTACAAGATGGTAAGGGATTTGAAAGCGGTGATCATTCCATGCAATTCGTCATAAGAAATAAAACAGATAAAAAAACTCCACAAAGTAATAAAGGTGAAAAGGTTGAAGAGCTTGAGGATGAAGATATTGTAGAAATAGACAATCATAGTAATTATCATGTACATTCAAACGTGACAGGCCGTGACCTAGTACTCGACGAAAATGAAGTTGATAAATTTTTAGAAGAAAAGTTTCCAGACCCTGAATTGCATATAAATGGTGAAGAAGCAGAGATAATATTCGATTATGAGAGACAAGGTCTCGAAGATGTTCCTGAGGGTATAGGCAAGAAAATATCAGAAATGATAGAATCTGTACTACCTGGAAGTTTTTCTACTGATGCCCATGGTCGTTTACATGCAGTTGTAAATGGGAATGAATTAAACATAACAGAGGAGGGTGCTAGTGACATAGAGCCACATGATTTATTAATGGATGGTCATGCTGATAATGGTGCAGCTCCTACTTATCGTATGACATTAGATGATGAAAGAGGGGAAGACCCTGGTGAAAGAGTGGATATGATACAGGAACGTATGAATAGATTACAGGATCCCAACGAAGCATATTATGACCATGATCATGATCACAACCATGAAGACGGATATTGTCCGCACCATTATCGTCAACACCACCATTTATTAAACGATCAGCAGGGTCCATCTGCATTTAGGAACCAGCATTATTTAGATTATGATTATGGTGAATCACAACATCGCACAACGGGTAACGGTGTACAGGAACCTCCAAATTTTGCAATGTTATTGGATGCGAAGCAACCAATGTGTATGTTCTGTGAATATTATATGGTCTTTGGTGAACCACCTAAAAATATGATAAAATGGTACAACAAAACATACGGTTATCGACGAATGCCAATGAATGGGAACGCTAATAATGAGCATCACCATCATCATAACCATATGGAGCATCAACAAAATTCGCATCGAAAGAGAAGTCGTTAAGATGGACATATTAATAGTTATATATTTATTCTCAATTGTTGTTAGTATGATACTATTATATATTAATGCATAATAAGGATTAACCTCCATTTTATATAAAGACAGAATGTGTTTTTTCTTGAATGTTTATGTAATTGTTAAGTTTTTTGGAATGTATTTGAATTTAGAAGATTATGCAGGAACGTGTGTACTATTATGTCGCCTCTCTTTTCTTGATTCGTAATCATGAAGTAACATGCACATGCAAGTTAGAACTTGGGTATTGTATGGGATTTTTATTACTCCAGGATTTTGAAAACCATTTGCAATTTCCTTTATTTCTAGATTTGCTAAGAGCATTGTTCTTCTCGTAGGTAGTAAGGAATCACCTACATCGCTGTATTTTGCCCATACAGGTAAATAACCTAATGGTCTTATTACGTTATTAGTACTGTTAGTTTGGCGTGATAAATCAGGATTTATGGATTCTGAATTATCGTCTTCAATTAAATTTGGCATATTATCGTCCAGGATGAGTAGTTTGATATCATTTGATCCAAATGGGGAAGCAAAACTGGAAAATCCAAACCATCGTAAGGGTAATCCATCTAACAATGCGTCGATATCTCTACGACCGTTAATATTGAACATATTTACTTGAGATCCATCATTAAATTTTAAAGTGTGTTTGATTTTAGATTCCTGGTCTAATTGGGAATCCTTTATGGAATTTGTCTTCCTTTTAGATTGGTTTACACTATCCTCTCGATATATCGTACAAAATAAATGCTTTATAATTTTATATGTTGGGCATTCCAAAATAATTTGAGCGTTTGCATTATTTGAAATGGCATCGATATCGTCAGTTAATTTAACTAACTCATATTTAAAGATTTTCATAATTGGTTCACTTTTGTTTGTCCTAAATATCGATTTCATTAAATTAACTGGGATTGCATGAAACAAAGGTACCCCTAAGCCTGTTTGCGGGTTCACATTATCAAATTTTCTTTTATTTTGTAAATATTGATTATATGATTCTTGACTTGAAAATGCAAAAAATCCCTTTGTTAGTAAAATTGAGACGAAACATATATTACGTATCGAATCAAATTGAGGTGATCTATTAACATACCCTAATCTTTGCATATCACCGATAGTACCAGATTCTGAGACATAAGTATTTAAGGTCTCAGAATCTGATTGGTCTGTAATCGTATTGGCATCATTTAAAGTTTCTGATATTGTATATACCGTCATTTGATCATCAGTAGTATTTGGATTGTTTACGTGACGAACAGTTGGTGTACGATTAGAGGCGGTTGTAGTTCTTCTTGGTAGAGAATTTCTGGCATCGTTGTTCCTTCTCCGGCCGCCGATAAGGGAGCGTACTCTATCCATTTTAAACTCAGTTTGAAATTAAACACGACACATCCACTACTTATAGAAAAACAAAGAGAGAGTATGTGTCTGTGTAAGTTGAGAAACTTTAGATTTCTTATATTTTAAGTATGATGATTCATTCTTTGCTTTACATTACCTCGTTCATCAATGGAGAAGTAAAAAAAACGCGGCAATAGAAAATAATCATCGACGCGAAATAACATAATTGAAATTTTGTTTATTATAAGGATTTTTAAATAAAGGTTTACAACATAAACTGTTCGATTATTTACGATGAGAAAGAGATAGGTTATTTCATTGTTTATGGTGATTAAGTCCAATAGTAAAAATAAGTTAACTGCCCATCAGTACAAGGAACTATGGGGCTGGATCAGGAAAAGATAAAGAAACGTCTGTCGCAGATTGAGCTGGATATTGATAAGATGAACCAAATGATTGATGACAATTTACAACTTGGTACAACCGATGACACAATGCAAGAACAAGTAGCAGCTGATAGCAATGATGATGCTGAGGATGAAAAGATTGAATCGGAGGTGAAGGAGGTCGTTGCAGAAGTGGTTAAAGCACCTGTACATCTAGATTCTATGTACGATTCTCAACATGAGGGACTAGGAGAACCTATCAAAGTCAAAGATTCTAAAATTGATGAAGCAACACAAACACAAGAAGAGGAACCAGTTAATGAGACACCATTAGAGAAAGTTGTTTCAGCAGCTAAGAGTATTGCTAGTGCTGCTGAAGAAATGGTTGATACTTCAATTGATGCAGCAGTAGGACCTAACGAAGAAGAAGAAGAAGAAGAAGAAATTGCAAATACCTCGTTAGAAAAAGTCATATCAGCAGCAAAGAGTGTTGGTAGTGCCGCTGAGGAAATGATTAATAATTCATTAGATATTGCAGTGGACCCTGTTGAAAATGAAGATACGGCAGTAAACCAAAACGACAGAGTACTTGAAGTAAATGAAACTTCAGTTAAGAAGATAGTCAATAGTATTGAAGAAGTCAATAACGCACCAGAGACGATGATCAATGAAACGGTGGATACTCCTGTAGACACACATGTAGTTTCCCAATTGAAACCAGATGATGACGAGTGGGAAGAAATTACTGAAGAAAATGTTGAAACTGTTGGTAAAGAGACTGATACTGATGAAAATACAAGTAAGATTGTTCTTCCAAAACATACTGGACATAACACGAGCTCGACTCCAACGATAGCAGACGATAAAATGATAGAACGTATAACTTCAAAACGTCTCCCATCCAGACCGTTCCGTGTGATATCAGTCGGTTCTGCAAACTCATCTGCAACAGAACGTAATATCTCTCCAATACCCGCAGGCACAGATCCTGAGGAGAGTACATTGGAGAGAATAGAACAACGATACGATTATCTAACAAACAAGACTACGAAACTAACCAAAGAGATATCGTACTTAACAGGAATGGTAAGTCAAGGTAACCTAAGTATTGACGACTCCAAGAGACTAAAAGTTGCGCTTACAAAATTGCAAGAGTACCTGGACCGTAAGACCAAAGAACGTTACGAAACGGGTGTCCTATTGAGTCGCCAACTAAGAAAGCAAATCGACAAGGGAGAGAACGGACAGTTCTGGGTCGGAAACAAATAGGCCGCGTAGCAATCATAGACACTTGGGACAAAATACATCAAATACACTAAACTGCCCAACCAAGCCAAACCAAGCTTCTACATATTTATATATCTTCTTTTTAATCATGAGTAAACGTCACTGTAATATAATTTTGTAGATAAAAATAAATAATCCTTTGAGGACTCCTATGATATTGTCTCTCTGTCTGTCTGGTTTTTGCCCATAGTAAACAGCGCGGGTTGGGCGAAATTTTCTGTTTTTTGTTGTTTTTTTTGGATTTTCCATTTGGATGACGAAATTTTTTGCTTTTTGGCATTCTGGGAGGCTGAATGGTTAATACTGTGTATATGGATCGACCAAACAACTACAAGAGATAGCCAAACTTAAAGGCAAAGGAGGAGGAGATACTTCTGTATATATTGTTAGGAGGAGTATTCAAGACATCGTTTCGTAGTAGCTTTAAAAAGTTAAGCTATAGATTCTAGGAAAAAGAGAGAAACAGGCCGTTGTAGTGTTTCTAATCGGTGTTTGTTTGTTTGTTTGTTGTTATTTTGACATTTTCGTGTTTTTATATTTAGTTTAGCAGCTTAACAATGACTATTGCTAATAGTGGTTCAGCAACAAGTAGTAATGTCGCTACTACTTCGACAACGACTGTTGCCGCAACTTCTAACGATCAAAGTCAACCTGTATCCTCTTTGAATTTAGAACCAAACCCTTTCGAACAAAGTTTTGCCTCTACAAAGAAACCATTTGATTTACCAATTAGTAACACAAATGGACTAGTTTCGGGATCTCCTTCAAGTCTGCTAAATTTGGCTAATCAACATAGACCTACAAATCCAAATAGTTCTGCACCTCGTGGATTTCAAAGATCAAATAATATTCCAAATGTTCCGTTAGTTTCCTCGAGTTCTACGAATGTATTATTTTCGGGACAACGTCCAGTTATTCATTCACCTCCAATGTTAACTCCAGGTGGTTCAAAACGATTACCACCTTTAATATCACCTAATTTTAATCCACAACCATCTGCACAACAGAGTCCCGATGGTGGTGTTGGTTTAATTTCTTCATTAATGAATAACAATAATAGTAATAACGGTAATAAACTGAATGGTGCAGGCACTCCTGGATTTTTATCGTATTTACCACGTACGGGGCTGACTCCAAATGAATCTAGTATTAGATCTGGTCTTACACCAGGTTCTCTTGGTGCATCATTCAATTATCCTTTGTTACCATCGTTATCCAATAGTGGAAATAATAATGCCACTAATAATAATAGCAATAATAATAAAGTTAATCAACCTTCTACACCTGGAATATCTGCAATTTTCAACGGTGTAACCCCATTGACTTCAAAACAGATTAATTCAGGAATTGGTAATGGAACTACAAATGACTCGGGTGATAGTAATGGGACTAGTAGCCTCTCACCACAACCACCTCTTCCATCAAATACATTGCCTATAGAAATAGTGAAAAATGATAATAATAGTAGTGGTGGTGGTAAAAAGACTATAGAAAAGAATTTGACTACGAAGAGAAAACGTACTGCTACTAGTAAGAATTCAAATACTAATTCAAAGAAAAAGACTAAGAATAATATTGAAAAGGATTTCATAGAGGAACCAATACAGGTTAAAATAAAAAAGGAATCTCTCTCAAGATCAACCACAGAAACTTCCAAGCCATCTACAAGTAGTGATAACAATACAACTATGAATACAGGTGAAGATATAGAAGAACAATTAAGTCCTGAACAAGAAGAACAAAAGAGGAAAGAATTTTTGGAGAGAAATCGTGTTGCTGCATCTAAATTTAGAAAGAGAAAGAAAGAATATATTAAAAAGATAGAAGACGACGTCCGTTTCTACGAGTCAGAGTACAATGAAATGAGTAAAACATTATTCAAATTGCTTCCACCTTCAAACATGATAAATAACAGTAACTCCTATATTCCATTGTTAGAAGATGCTATACGTAAAGGTGACATGGGTACTGCTTTGACTTTATTATCACACGTTAGACAAATACTCTCTTCCATCGGTATATATCAACGTAATGGTACTAACCCTCTCGCTGACGAATTACAAGTAGTAAAAGATCACAAGAAACATAATAGTCAAAGGAAGAACTCCTTGGTACCATCGCATTCTTCAAAATCTTCTGGTACAACTACAAAGAGATCTTCTTTACCTGTATCTATGAACTTCCAGACTATGAAGCCAGAATTTCAGCAACAGCAACACCATGATATAGCGGCAACAGTGAATAGTACTGCTACCGTTTCCACTGCATTGAGTCCGTCTTCGATACCTTCGTATCTAACTGCAATCATTCCACCTGGATCGGTCACTTCAGATCCCCAGGAGACAACAAAGGATCAAAATTTGCAGGATAATGACACAACCTCTAAGTGATTACATTTTCCACATTCTAATGACATATATAGCATGTATATAACAGTACAAGTAGTTTTTTCTTCATTTCAAATAAATTAATAATTTTTAACGTTAAAAGCATGATTCATTACTATTGTTTCGATCCGAATCGAACAAAATATCCGGAAATAACAAACGAAAAAAGTACTAAAAGTGTGACTCTCAAATAGAAATCCGTTGGAAAGTTTCAAGACCAGATTATATAAATAGTATAATACAGGGAATCTAAATAACATAAGAGTTTATAACTAAACTACCAAGTCATTAGGACACTACGAAAAATGAGCTTTAGATATTTGAAATCGGTGAACAAAATTGTGTGTATTGGTCGTAATTATGCTGCACATATTAAAGAATTGAACAATGCGGTTCCTAAACATCCATTCTTCTTTGAAAAACCAACAACTTCGTTGATTACACCATTATCCAGCGGTAATAAGCATATAGGTCAAGGTGAAGCTACGTTCAGTAAATTGAAAGAAGATGGAACCAATCCATCACCTATCTACATTCCAAAAAATGTCAATGTTCATCATGAAATTGAATTAGGTTTGGTAATGAAAAATACTATATCTAATATATCGGTTGACAATTTTGGTTTGCAGGATATGTTAGACAATGTTGCTGGTTTCTGTTTAGCATTAGATCTTACTGGTAGAAACGTCCAATCAGATGCTAAGAAAAAGGGACTTCCATGGTTTTTTGCGAAAGGTTATGATACATTTTGTCCTGTATCACAAATGCTAACACCTGAACAGATCCCTGGTTTCAGAAATACTCCATTGGACCAGATTCATTCAAAGTTCCAATTGAAATGTTATGTGAATGATGAATTAAGACAAGATGGTCATTTGGACTTAATGTTGAACCCTATGCACAAGATCGTAGGTCATATTGCAGAAGCTGTGACACTAGAAGCAGGTGATTTGGTATTAACAGGGACTCCAGCCGGCGTAGGTCAATTACAAACCGGTGATGTAATTCGTGGACAATTATTCTTCGGCGAGAACTTACTTGTAGATATGTCATTTGACTGTCAAGACCGTCCTGGTAACTACGAATATAAATCTTCATAAACATAGTGATGGACCCCTACCAAATCAGATTCGAGCATGTAAACCCGAACAGATATGTAAATATGTGTGTAAAGATCTAAGTACCCAACTAATGAATATTTTCGTAACCTTTGGCTGTGTATGTCTGTATATATATGAGGTTGTTACACATTACGCGTATGCGTTGTCTCTTAGCAGTGCCGTTTGATTACACGGCGAAGTTTCTAAATTCGCGGCACTTTGAGAAGAAAGTCATCGACGTTGGAAACTTCGAGCTGTCATTATCAACATGACAAACAAAACTGTAAAAGTGAGCAAAATGGGTGTTTTAACAAAGGATAATTGCGTACAGATATATTAGACGTACCTATTCATATACTTCTTTAAGTATACGTTATATATATATTGGTGTTTAAGTTCCTTATTTTAAGAAAATTTTTTACATACTAGTCAAAAATAAGAAATCTAATTTTGTTGCAACATTCACGTTAGAGATTTTGGAAGAATGCTAAAGATAGTTCCGATGAGATCCGCGTTGAAGCAAGGACATACGATGTTGAAGGGACGAATTGCAATGGTCAGTGGTATTTCTACACCAATGCATTTACGTAACAGAACCGCAGTTCTATTTAATAGAAGATTCTCAAGACATTTCTCCCGTAATGAACTAAGAAAGTCAACTCCCTCAGATATCGTTAAGAAGGCAAAGAATGCAGTTTCGACCAAATCTGATAAAAGATTATCCATGAAGTGGGCTCTGTTGACCGGTGTCACTTTGGTGATTGGTACTATGATTATTGCATCAAGGAATGATCGTTCTGGTAAATTAGATGTTGATGACGACGATGAAAATGATGAAAAAAAGTTAAAAAATAGATATAGCTCTCGTGGGCATTTCGCCACTTATAAAGGTATTAAAATATTCAATAACAACTGGATGTTTTTTTGTTATTCAACGTTACCTTTGAATGCAATGTCCAGACTTTGGGGTCAAGTAAACTCTTTGACTCTGCCAATGTGGTTAAGACCTATTGGTTTTAATTTTTATACCTCATTATTTGGTGTCAATCTAGATGAAATGGAAGACCCTAATTTGTATCACTATGCAAACTTGTCTGAATTCTTCTATAGAACAATAAGGCCAGAGACTAGACCGATTGCTGAAGGGGAAGGTGTTATTGCATCACCAAGTGATGGTCAAGTCTTACAGATTGGTATCATCAATTCAGATACCGGTGAGATTGAACAAGTGAAAGGGTTAACATACTCAATAAAAGAATTTTTAGGTACACATGATCATCCAATGATGAGTAAAAGTGAATCAAATTTAACATTAAAGCAAAATACACATGATGGTAAATTGGCAAAATTACTAAAATTGAATGAATCTATAGACAATATAGATGCAAACGCATCAAAAAATATAGAAACGAGGATACCTGATGATGCACCAGTTATAAAATTCAAGGATGAAGGGGATACTGCTGTGGTTAAGGGTAAGGATATATCTACTTCCAAGAAAGTAAAATTATTGAATGAACTCGCGTTGAATATCCCTCGTTATAGGTCTTTTAAGACTGACCCATCACAGAATATTCAATTATATTTTGCTGTGATATACTTATCCCCAGGTGATTATCACCACTACCATGCACCAGTTGATTGGGTCTGTAAACAAAGACGTCACTTCCCTGGTGATCTATATTCAGTAGCACCATATTTCCAAAAAAATATGCCGAACTTATTTGTACTAAATGAACGTGTCGCATTATTAGGTTATTGGAGATATGGGTTTTTCAGCATGACCCCCGTTGGTGCCACCAATGTTGGTTCAATTAAATTGAACTTTGATGAAAAATTAGTTACAAACGTAAAAAGAAGACCTCATGTTGAACCACATACTTGTTACGAAGCTACATATAAAAATGCCAGTTCTCTTTTAGGTGGTATGCCTTTGGAGAAGGGTGAAGAAATGGGTGGTTTCAAGTTGGGGAGTACAGTTGTTCTTTGTTTTGAAGCGCCTTCAGACTTTAAATTCAATGTGAAGGTTGGTGATAAGGTTAAAATGGGTCAAAATCTCGGTGAAACAAAATAATGAGATTATAAAATGCTATTATTATTTTTATTTCTTTTTTTTCTAAAGAAAAAAATAAAAAATAGTTTCACCAGTTTCACATTTTGAATGTATTCATGGGTAATTTAAAATGTGATTCATAATAAAATAGGAGCTCCCGTGTAATATATCTCACTCATCAACAAAATTTACCATGTATAATAAATAATTATATTCCTTTATGCTTTTCCAAAAAAAATACATATATATATATATTACGTATGAAAGTTTTCGAACTATTCTGGATACCAAGTGTTGTGGTTAGAGATTACATAGTTGTATAGATACAATCCTATGTGTGACTCCTCATATAGGACATTGGCTATTTATCTGCAGAGATCGTCCTCATTGTTCTTCCAGATTTCTACCATGTAGTCTGCTACATCGCCACTATTCTCATCAGAGCACAACATATCGTGGTTGTAAATATCGGATTCGTCTAATTTCTTGTTCATTCTTGTTTCTAAACTTAATTTTAACTTCAATTCTAGCATAGCTCCATCCTCCATACTTAACTCTTTTAATGATATTCTTTGACTTTCACTTTCTCTTTTCTCCTGAAATGATTCCATCTTCTTTTGGAGGCCACCTCGAATGTCATTAATACTGTTGTAAGATTTCTTTTGTGTAGGTTTTGGTTGAATATGGATGACGGTACCTTGTTTGAAGTAATCAGCTGTGTCAATATAATCTTTGAAATCCAATTCCAGTGGGTAATAGTTATCTCTATCTACTTTAATTGTCTTCAATGTTGTAATATCTGGGAGTAAACACGGGGTTGTTATTGAAATGGTCTCATATGATGGGTTAAGTTTAGAATCCTCGCTGGTATTGTATGTCACATCAACAGTAACAGAGTTAATTGGTTTGTTAGTGATAGCATCTTTTATCACTAGGCATCTAGGCTCTACCGCTAAACTCCAAAAATGTTTTAGTTCTTGGAATGGATAGGGGTCCATGTAAAGAGGTAATGTTGACATTACAATATAAGCGACACTTTCTAAACTAGAAGTTTTCAATGCGTATTGCCCAGAGCCCAAGAATAAGTATCCTAATGCAGTATTGGTTGCGAGATATTTACCATAATGGCACTCGTTATCAATCTCTTCGCGGATTTTCTTCCTTATATGCTCTTCAACACCATCCTCCCCTAGCATTTCGGCATCTTCATTATCTAGATCATTTTGGAAATCAGAAGTGACATTTGGAACATCCAATAATGGGTTCGTTTCATCATTCGATACTGTCGAGGATAACACAGTTTCATCCATTCTGTCCCTATCCGTATCTTCCTTGGAAGGCATATGCTTATATAAATCAGAGAATTTTCCGGTAACTACTTCATGTAAATACTTCGTTCTGCGAAGAACCTCAATATCTCCGGTGGCACACATTACCATGCTAGCGGATACTATCAGTGTATTTATCAGAACCCCGATACCCTTTATTGCCAGTTTAAAATCAGCACTCCTTCCGAAATTACTATTCTCTTCTTTTGAATATTGATAAAATGGTAAGAAGGTATCAATTAAAATTAGTAAATTGTTACGAACCTTGAGGTTATTTGTGGATGCATATTTAATTCCAATAGCAAGCACCCTACCAGCTATAGTGTAATATATGGGTAGATTGTCACTATCAAGGTTCCCGTTTAATGTTGTATCATTTATGCCATTGAGTATGAATTCTAGTGAATATTCTATTTCGCCCCATAGAATCATATGGTATGTCCATTCTCTGTACATGTACAAATCAGGTCTACAAACAGTTGGAGTTTCAGAAATGTTTAATCTGATAGCATTTGCAATATCTTGATTATTAGTTTTTAAAAACATAAACATTAGGCATATAATACACCCAATCTGTGAATTTTCAAGGACCCAGGATTTTTCTTGTTCTGTATTTTCATTTAGTATTGAAAGTAATTCGCTTATCAATTTATCGTTAGAAAACATAGTATATTTAGGAGAGGCACCAAAATCATCCGAACCCCCTTCACCCTGTTTATTTCCCTTTGCGTATGTAGTGGATTGTAAGTCTGAATCATCATATCCATTGAACTTATTTCCGTAACCTAAATTCATCAGACCTATTGATATACCCACTGCAATTCTGTACTCTTCGATAGCAATTTCTTCACCTTGTACAATAATTAGATTCTTGAATTCTTTCATTAAAGCCACACTGATTTTTTTATTCTGAGACTCCTGGAGGATCAGTCCAATACCTATTAGGCCAGCAATTTGGACTTCTACGTTTATATTCATATCTCTAGATCCACGTGGTTGTAGGGCTACAACATGAACACTTAAGACCTTAATTATCTTAAAGTCCTTTGACTTTCTTGAACTGGCACATAATCCAAGTAATAGACCAACACTTACGAAGGTTATTTTTGGACTCAAAAAGTTATAGATATGCCATTCTTCCAAATTTTTAAGATGACCATTTAGACCTAAACCAAGGAGGAATCCTCCAAATGTAGCGTTCAATACCACGGGTCTGTTAAACGCGATCCAACTACCTGTTATTTCTGAAGAGTTACTTGTAATTTTTAGACCAGATGCGACACCTGTATGGAAACTTCCCCATTTAGAGATTATCTCGGAGGTTTCTTGAGATGTAATGTTAAGTCTACTCCCGTTAGAGAATATAACTGTGTGGCAAATTTCAGGGATATGCCATTTTTGTGTAGATAAAGGTGTCTCTGTTCCATATAGCATAGCACCATACCCTAAGCCTGCTGTTGCTAACCGTAGAGAGATTATTTGAAGAAAGATTTTCCGTTTGGCTAATACAGCAGTGTATTCTGTGCTTGTTGTGATAAAATGAACGCGCTGAGGGATTGAGTTATTTACCAAAGTTAAGGCATCTTTGAATCTCTGATCCCCACCAAATATCAAATCTGAATTCTGTTTTATTTCGATATCTCTATTTTTGTTTGATATTTGTTCTGGGTTGGTATTATATGCTTCCTCGGGGTTATCATTCCTTGTAGACAACTCATTATCTAAACCTTGAGATGTTCGCATTATATCAGCTAAAACCTCAAAGACGTTAGATGTTGTTTCTTTCTTGGCATTATTATTTAGATAGGAATTAAAGTTGAAGATATTATCTTCGGAATTATTATCTAATTTTGCATGCTTTGCTTTCTTGGCATTGGTATTCGTAACAATTCTCTCTAAATCTGGTCTTGATATTAATGTAAAATTTAGGTCTGGTTCTGGTTTGGCTATAATATCTTCCATCAAATGCAATAATTCTTTCAGTGGTTTCATAATACCTATTGGATATGTTTCGATCTCGTGGTTTGATATTTTTAACTCTGAAAGTATGTCCAAAATGTACTCATTTGCGAAGTCTGAAGAATGAATTATCTCATATAAACGTAAAGTTTTGAAGCAACGTGGGGTTATAAGATTGTCTACCTCTGAAGTTGAATCTACCAGTCTTGAGAAGCTAATAAATTTTGTGAGTGGAATTTGACTGTTTTCTGTTATGCTGTACAGGGATTTCATTATAGAAGGAGGCTCATCTAGTGGATGAGCAAAAATATTAGCTTGTGTGTAATTGTTCTGCGAATTATGTTTTTTTTCTTGGAGCATGCTGTCAGTTTGGTAATATTCTTGCCACTGAATTGGCCAATTCATTCTATTTACAGAATAACCCAAAAATTCATCCAGTAATAATAAATCATTCTTTCTGAGAACATTCAAATATATTTCCTCTCTTATAAGATGGAATCCCATTATAATCTTTGGAATTATGGTAATAATATTATTTAATTGATTTAATAAAATTTGAAGGGCCGAATTTTCTTGCAGAGGACTATCCATGGATTCATTATTTCCGATTAAGCATGACTCTAATAATAATTTAATGACGTGTGAGAGTGCCTTGAATTCATGTGAAAAATCATTGGTCATGGGTATTACACCATTATGAATAAGGGATTGCCAAATGAAGAGTATGCACAAGAATATATTTTCTGGGACTATTAAATTTAAAGCCGTAAAACATTGTCTAGTAAAACGACTAGTTGGATAGATTAACATATTTTGTAAATGTGTGAAAATTGATTTTTCAAAATATGACTTAATTGTTACCTCTTTTTTTGCTAAAATATTAAAATGTGAAGGTTGAATATGTATGATATGCGAATATAATTCGAGGAATGGATTGTAAAGAATCAGGTCAATATCGTTATATATAAGCGCTAATGTACCTTGTATATCATCGTTTTTCATAATTATATTGCAGGTTGTTATATCTGTAATGAATGAAGACGTTTCATTGAAAGTGTTGTATAATAAACTATTTTGAAAATTTGATAATCTGATCATATTATCTGGTGTATTACCATATAATTTAAATGATGTAGAATTTATAACATCTGGAATCATATTTATAGACCAAATTTTGGCAAAGTTATTTTCTCTATCAAAGAATACCAGAGCTTCTTGTTGATGAAATCTTAGTGGTACGCATCTGAGCGAATGAAACCTTTTATCTGATGAGAAGCGAATATCATGTGGTAAAGAAATCGATGATACTTTAACCAAAGATATATCATTGGAAAGTATAGATTGACTAATCAAGTCGTCTTGTTGTGGGTTGGGTAACATGGCGTTATTGTCCAAATGCAAAGAGGTTAGTGTTGTATTCATCATGTTATTATTTGTTGTGGAATCTAACGTTTCCCCAATTATTTGATTTTCCTGTGCCAAATTGGTGCTGTATAGTCGACCCATAGTTATCGATATATCATTATTTGTGGACGGTAATTGAACTTGTGACAGTGGATCTGCATCATTTGAATTTAACGCTAATAAATTATTATTCCTATTATTACTCGAAAGCGATGATAGTTTTGATGCTCCACTTGTTGATGTTGATGTCACTCTTCTCTTCGAAGAAAGTATTCTTCTTAGGGATTTATTCTTGGTCATTTTGGAGTTATCATTAATAGTTGAGTTATTTATTTCATTACCCTGTAAAGAGGAAGTTATTTTATCATTGCTATTAATTTTCTGTGCTGCATTTGTTAAGAGCCTTGTATAATAAATATGTAACATATTTGTATCATTATCATATAGGACACTAAAATTATTATTATAATTAGAGTTAGCAAATGTAATCATTCGTGATGATCTCAAAATATCCATTTGATTGTTTGCAAATGATACTAATCCAAAGGGACCAATAGGATCAGTCAATGTAATGTATTTATGTGGGTACTCCATGTTACCCAATCGGTCATCAATGGTTCTCTCTAATATAATCCCATTACTATACCAAAATGCTGCACCGATAGGAAATGGAAATGACACAATCGATTGATTTCCTGAGGTTAAATTATATATACGTCCAGTATTTTGTGAGATTATAGCCAAGGAATGTTGTTCTTTCTCGAATTGAATTAATCCAGCATTTATAATGGGTTCATTAAATCTATACTTCCGTATCACTTTATCACCTACTACAAATTCTACAGTTTTCTTATCTGGTGATACCCATACATCACCTACATCTAAGTATGTATCATTAGGAGTCTTATAACATGCAAAATAATCAGGCCCATTATTTAAATCATTATTTGTATCAAGCAGTTGTTGTGTAGAGTTAATATCGGTTTCGATGGTCTGATCTGTCGGAATTTCACTTGTTTCAAATTGATGCATCTATAGGAGGAGGCGGAAAATAACGGATTCTTTAGTGTATCCTAATCTGTCGGATATTTTAATGAATTGTAGTGTTTTTAAATAATATTGACCTATATTTCATTTATTGTGATTATTGTGATTATTTAAATTTTATAGGTATTTTCTAAGGTGCCACACACTAATTAAATTTCTTTCCAGATTTGTTTTTGTTTTTGTTTTCACTATCCGCTTTCCTGTCTATACACCGGAGAGCAAAACTCCCGTAACAGTAATAGTAATTTGATGAAAGCTGATAGTATAGGGATGGACTCTTTATGGAATTTTTACATTTGTTGATTCAGTATTGTTTGGTAGGGAAAGGGATACCTCCATTATTCAATAATCAATAACAATTTTAAATAAAAAAGGGAAAACTAGCATATACTCAATATTATACCTTCCGTTTCAGTTTTCATTCTTTGAATTATTTACAAGAAACGTCATAGTCGTAAAATAACAACAACTCCCATTTACGCAATTATTTGAAAGATCCTTATATTCCTATTGTGTGTGTCTTTCCCCCCCCCCAATGCAGACTATATACTACTCATTCCAATGGCCATATGATTTAATTCAACGGACACCTCAAACCGTATCAGTATTTGGCTCGTTTGATAATTGGACAAAGAAGCATCCTATGTCATTAAATGAAGAAGCCAGAAAATATGAAATAGTGATCCCTTTACAATATAATACAGAACGAATCTATTTCAAATACATCGTCAATGAAGAATGGACCACAAATGATATATATCCATCAGAACAAGATGAACATGGAAATAAGAATAATTATATCACTAAAGAACAAGCTTTACAAGATGGTAAGACAAAGAAGATTAAGGTAGCGCGCAAATATAGGAGAAATAAAGAAACTGGTGAAAAGGTGCTAGTCTCCAAAGAACTTTTAGAATTGGATGCTAATGATAAATTGGTGAGAGTTATTGAAAGTATCGATTATGCAAGTCGAGATGCTAGTGAAAATAACAGTATGCATGAAGAAGGAACGATTACACCAGATATTATTGAAGAGATGAAGCCATCATTATTTGAAATAAAAGAGGATAGCGACTCAACAGATAAGATAACAGACGATTGTTAATTATGCGCAGATACATGTACACACACATATATATATATATATATACCTTTTAAGAATCGTAAGCATTTTGCTTCTTCTCTGATCTCTTCTCACAAATAAAGCATGAGGATCTTAAATATAATTTTTGTTTTTTCTTCTTTACATAATAAGTTGAAATAAAAATTGATGCTCATCGCGCGCAGCAAAGAAATCAAACAGCGATGGGGGAGGAAAGAAAAAAAAATTTTCAACTTGAGATGTGATATAATAGAGAGAGATGAGGTAATAGTAATCATTCATCTATGGATATATTTATAAGATATAACTTCAAGTCTTTTCTATTTTGTTTTCTTTAATATTTTTAAGGAGTCAGAGTGTGAGTGTGTGTATATATACCAAAAAGTAATTTAATCGTCATCCATTTTTTGTTAATTATAAAATATACCATAATTTAATTAATGTCTGAATCAGAGAAAAAAGAAATCGTCACAACTACAAATCCTGAGGAATCATCAGAAGTTACTGTTGCTACCGTAACTGCTCAAGATGCTGAAAAGATTGAAAAAGCTTTACAAGATCCAACCAAGAAACGTAAAGCTGAAGATGAAATCAAAATCGATATTAATAGTTCAGTTCCATTATCTAAGAAACAAAAACGTATGTTAAGAAGAGGTAAGATTACATTGGAAGAATTAAATGCTAAATATAATATTGATGCATCATCTATATCAGAATTTGAAAAAGAACAAAAAGAAGCAAAAGAACAAAAAAAATTAAAGAAAAATGGAGTTGAAGGTGAAGAAGATGATGAAGATGAAGATTCTGAAAAGAAGGCAAAATTGAAAAAGGAAACATTTGGTGTATGGATTGGTAATTTATCCTTTGATACAACAAAGGAAGATTTAATTAGATTCATTAGAGCTAAGACTAAGACTAATGAAGATGAAGAAAGTCAAGTTGATGAAAAAGATATCGTTAGAGTAAAATTACCATTAGCCTCTAATGAAGGTAAGCAAATTAAAAATAAAGGTTTCTGTTATATGGATTTTGATACTGAAGCTAAAATGCTTGCAGTTGTTAAATTATCTGAAAATCAATTAAATGGTAGAAATTTATTAATTAAAAATTCTAAAAGTTTTGAAGGTAGACCTGATAAAGAAGATTTAGTTGCATCTTCTAAAAATCCACCATCGAGAATTTTATTCGTTGGTAATTTATCATTTGATACAACAGATGATCAACTAAAATCTCATTTCCAACACTGTGGTGATATTACAAAGATACGTATGGCAACATTTCAAGATAGTGGTAAATGTAAGGGTTTTGCATTTGTTGATTTCAAAGAAGAAGCTAGTGCAACAAAGGCTTTAAAAGACAAATCATGTAGAAAGCTGGCATTGAGACCAATTAGAATGGAATATGGTGAAGATAGAAGTAAGAGACAAGTTAGAAAGAGACCAGAACAACAACAAAATGGACCAAGAGGTAGAAAACCATTTGATCTTCCAAATGAACAAAATACAACAACAAGAAAATCACCACAAGATTTTAAACCAAAGGAAAAGCCAGCATATAAGAAGAAATCTAACTATAACTCAAAGATGGGTAACAACAACCGTTTAAAGAGTAGTATAGCATTGTCCTCTGCTCAAAGAGGTTCAGCTGCCATTGTTCCATCCCAAGGTAAAAAAATGAAATTTGACTGAGAATGTAATGTACATATAAATCATTTATAAACATATTTGTATAGTAATAAAAAATAAGTATAACAAAAATTTAGTATATTATCATTAGATAATATTTGTTTACAATAGTACTGATCTTTTAACCTTTTACAATCAGCCCGAAACCTACATATTTTGTTTGTAGCTGTTAATAAAAAAAGTCCTTTCTCACTTTGAATTTTAGAATTCTCTACAAAAACTTTAAAATGTATACACATCATAATGGTTCATTGATCCACACATTGTTGCTTAATCATGAATCAAAACACAAGAGGAATTATATATGCTTCACTTTATAACTTTTGTTGTTTCATACCACTCTCTTTGGCGGCTATTCGGTTTGTATTTGCCAACATAAAATGCACGTGACCACAGTCATCACCATACACGAGCAGCGTATTTCTCTCTCTCTTTTCCATTAACCATTATCTACTACGTAGTCTCTTTCTCTCTCGCATCGTAACACGCAAATACCCGCACGGCACAAAGATACAGGAACGAAAAGAAAGAAATAACGTTCTACGGGGTGGTCTGAGTGGTGATAGAAATGAACAATGTTTGGGTGTGGAATAAAAGAAGCAATGCAATACTTCTTCCTGTGCTTCTGAGTACGCCAATATTTACTACGGCAATGACTATGCTTATTATTATTATTTACATATTGAATCTATATTTATATTTATCTATTTATATTCAGAAGCAGTTGTCTGTCTTACAGTTGCGATCGATTCATGCAACGACAATAAATGATCTTAACTTATTTCTTCTGTCTTTCAATTGATGGCCTGCTTCCATTACTTGGACAAGAAATTTATCTAATATTGCTGACATCCACAATTCATGATATTCCCTCAATACTGTTATTATCTAGTTAAACAATGCGAAATGAAGGCGAAAGGGAGGAAACTAATTACAAATTATCATTTTTTTAGACATTCTTGAAACATTTTATTCTTCATAGCATTTATATTTTATTTATTTATTAATTTGTTGATTCGTTTATAATATATAGATCTATCTACAATCATCACTCACATATAAGCTCATAGGTTCAGGTTTGGTGTCAGCAATGAATGATAACAGTACAGCAAAGTCTACTGTATTGACAAGTAAGACAGATACATGGCTACCTCAAACAGTAGCAGTTAGTTCACTTCCATCAACAACTACAGGGATCATTAATGAGGATTCTGCAGGTCAGAATTCTTTAACATATGGAAGTGATTTGTCTACCAATAATATTATAACGTCTATATCATCATCTTTACCAGATAGTACTTTATCCGATTTATTTTCTTCAAGTGATGACCTTCTATCTACTGTTTCTTCAGTATCATCGGTGGAAACCAGATATTCTTCTATTGAATTATCTTCATCCTTTGCAGATTCTTTATCGTCTACCACAGCCCCGTTATCATCATCATCATCATCATCATCATCATCGTCGCTCACAACAGATCAATTAGTTAGCATACCTTCCACTACAGGGTCCTCAAATGATTCAACTTCATCTGTATTATTACAAACATTCTTTTCTTCTTCTTCTTCTTCTGTCAGCGATAGTATTGAGAATAGTGTAATTATACCAACTTTGACAATTGAATATAACGATACAATTCCTTCACAGACTACAACATATACTCCAACGACATCGTCCAATGCGTCCAATTCGTTAATTGCAATCAAGACCACTGTAACTGATCCATTTCTTTCAATAATTAATGCTTTCAAACATAATACTACTCAGTCTACTTCATTTGTAACAACAAAGATATCTGATTCTTCATTAAATGGGAACAGTTACAATAAATCAATGATAACAAAAGTCAATCCGACTCCATCAATCATCCTGTCCTCCTCCAGATCAAATTTTACTGTTACATTTAATAGTAAACACTTCACGTCCTCATCACAATCCACTAGAAATACAACTACATTGCAAAAAAGTTCTTCTTCTTCTTCTTCTTCTTCTTCTTATTCTTCTTCTTCTTCTGCTTCACATTTTAGTCCTATATTTACCACCATGACTATGACTACTACAAGTAGTAGTAATGAAGTTAATACCACCAGTTCGACTGAGCTTTCTTCAAGTACCACGCAATATTCATACCTCGAAGATGAAAGTTTGCTCTATTACATATATACACAACAATATGATTTTACTGACTCCGTTACATCTTTCACAGCAGGATTTCCTGAAACCATAACAATAACAAAACCATCAGCCTCTGGTGAAGCGACTACTTCATTTACAATTCCATCATCAACAATTACTGCTAATGCTTCACTTTATGAAAAATTATTAAATGGTGGTGCATTGGACGGATCTGATTCTTCTTCATCAAGTGATGCAACGAAATCACATTCTAGTAAAGTTGGTACTATTGTAGGAAGTGTAGTTGGTAGCATCGGTGGTGTAATTATCGCAGTACTACTATTATGGTGGTTTTTGAGAAATAGGAAAAATAGATCCCCCAAGACTACTCACGGTTATGATAAGAGTTTTGCTCATGAAATTCATGAAAGACAGGGATATAACGCTACAGGGATGTTACATGCATCATCATCGTATGCTGATGAAAATACTTTAAAGATTACCACCCAAATGGATTCACAGATGAATCCCCCACCTTCTAAATTTTCTACAACGAACCCATTTATTAATCAAGATGACACCCAAGCAAGAAAACCTCCTCCAGTCCCACTACCTAGAAAGAACAAAATGAATACTTTATATGGTCCAGGCAGACAATCCTGGACAGAGCAAAACACTAATTCATATGTATCATCGTCTGCTGAATCATCATTTGCAGAAGATTCTACTCTTTCATCGAGTTCTATTAGATTAGGATCACACTACGATAGTCCATCGAGTAATATTCATTCGACAGTATCTCATCCACAAGGATTTTTCCGTGAAATCATTTAATCGAAAGGTTTTTTCCACCCTTAACGATCACAAAATATTTTTATAGATAAGATAGTTCAATATCTAACACCTCATTTTATGTACAATTTGGATAATTAAATCTCAAATTTTATAAAATAACTTTTTTAATAATATATTCTTATAAATAAAAAATAAAAATTTGACATCAAAACCTTACTAGAAATTGATATCTTCGGACATTTATCTATTAGCAATAACAAACCAAATCACTTATAATTATATATATGTATGGCTTTTTTAGTTTCTGTCGCCCTCTTTACCGTTTCAAAAAAAAAAAAATCAAAAGCCAGAAGTAAGAAATTAAGGAAATTGAAAATAGAGAAACTGTACAATAAAGGCCAGTACTTCTTTTTTTTAAAACAAGTAACAGGATAAGTGTTTAATAGAAGAAAAAGTATCCATATAGGAGGTGTACTACAAGATCCAAGCTTCAAATATAAGAGTCATTTCTCTCTCAATATGTTTTCTGTATCGAGAAATGTCTTTCGTTTAGTTACACCGAACGTGTCAAGGATTGGAACACTTTCTAGACCATTCAGTACAAGTCCCATATATTTTAATGGCAAAAACTCCCTGTTCGGTGATCTAGAGACCAAAACACAGGAAAAGAGTGGTTTGATGAATAATGTAAATCAAAACGGTGATGCTGTTGAAGGTAAAGATAACGCATCAAAATTGACCGAACGTCTTGAGATGGCTATGGAGAGGGATGAAGATGAAGAAGAAACACCTGAACAACAACAAGCTCGTAAGGATGCCATTACGTTTGAAAGTGATGAACATTTACAAAAGTATATCAAGGAACAAAGACCATTACAGAAACCTTCCACAGAGATATTACTTTCTCCATTAAAGAGACAACTTTATGAGATTGCTTGTAAACAAAATGGTGGATTTTATAAGCCCGACACTGTAGTGGCATTACCATCCTCTAAAGAATCATATAAATTACATCTTACCAAGAAAGAGATAGATGTATTGGAACCATCATTATATTTAAAATCTTATCGTATTAAATCATCAATGAAGAAAGCTACCATATTTTTAAGATTATTAAGGGAAATGGATTTGAAAAAAGCCATTACACAATGTCAATTTGGTGATAAAGCCATTGCTCAAGAAGTATCAGATTTATTATTACGTGGTTTAGAGGATGCCAAAACCATGAATTTGGATCCAAATGATCTTTATATTGCTCAGATATGGTGTGGTAGTGACGGTAATTGGTGGAGACGTGTCGATATTAAAGGTCGTGGTAGACATGGTATCTTTACACATAGATATATTCATGTTAGATGTATTCTTAAATCTAAGAGTGTTACCAAACGTAGATTACTTTATGAAGCACAATTAAAAGAATCCAGGAAGAAACCATGGGTACAATTGGGAGATAAACCAATCAGAGGATCTGCTGGGGGTGTTTACAAATGGTAAACAACAACAGCAACGATTCACCATTAATTAATTCGACGACGACATAGTGACATCTATATACACATATATACATATTTATCATGTAAATAACATACATTCAAAACAATCAATTCAAATAATTATTTTTATTAATGTAATCAATCAAATATGCAGATTTATTCTCTTTTCATTTTTAAAAAAGGAAAACTAATTAATTTATTGTGTTAATACTATATATATATATAAAAATTTAATATACTTCATGTGTATAAATATATTTAATAAATTTTTTTAATAAATTTAGTTAGCTTCTTCAGCAACTGGAGCGGCTTCGGCAGCTGGAGCAGCTTCAGTTTCAGCAGCTGGTCTGTAGTCCTTAACGTGAGCAACTTCGATTGGTTCTTCTTCCTTTGGTTCAACAATGGTGACGGCATCTGGTAGAGCCTTTGGACCAGATCTGTTGGTAGCTGGGTCTCTCATGATCTTAACCTTAATACCTAAAACACCTTGTCTCATTAGAACGTGTCTGGTAGCAATGTCAATGAAATCGTTGACTGGTTGACCGGAGTGGATCAAGAAACCGTCAGCGAACTTCATAGCCTTAGCTCTAGCAGCTCTTAATTTACCAGAGACAACAACTTCACAACCCTTAGCACCAGATTCCATAACGTATCTGACAACACCGTAAGCGGCTCTTCTGATAGCTAGACCGTTCAATAGCTTGAACTTCATGGATTCAGCTTGAGCAACAGCGGATAGACCACGGTCTTGAACTCTTTCGGCGTATAGAACAATGGTACCTGGAGCGTACTTGAATCTCTTTTGAACTAAAAGAGTCAATTCGTTGATTCTTCTACCATTTTCACCTAGAACATCTTGAGTTCTGGTAGCTCTGATGATAACTTCGGTCTTGGTTGGAGTAACTCTAACTTCGACACCGGAGTAACCTTCTTCAGCTAATTCTCTAGTGAAGAATTCGTTTAATTCAGCGTAAAAGACACCGTCAGCGACTAGCTTTCTCTTCTTGGAAATAAGTGGGGCCATTGTTAAATAGATTTTATGAGTTGGTTATCTTTGAAAAATGACAAAAGATAAAATATAATAAATGTGTATACATGATATATATATATATATAAAGCTAAGTTTACATATATAAATGAATAATTTCAAAAAGTTCCAATTGGATTTTACAGAAGACGTTTAGTTGCACCATCTCTATCTGTCGTATCTGTGTGTATATTGTTGCTTTGGAAAATATTTCACCAGTACGAAGAGATGCGTACAAATGGATATCGTGCAACGCTATCAAATTTTTTTACGGTTAAATTTTTCAAATATTTAGTTTTTATCCGCTCCCGAAAAAGAAGAAAAATCCAAACAAAATAATTCTCTTGAATAAGTTTTCAGGTGGGTGTCCGGATGCACAAAAACGCTTCATTATACATCCGGACACCATGAAAGCCGTCACAAAATCGAAACAAAAGAAAAGAAAATGCGAAATAAAAATACTTAGAGCCGCCGTCGGAATACACTACTCCGAGAAAAACATACTACTTTGTGGTGCGGGATCTCAGATAGCATCGCACGACAGCCATCAAAAAACAGACAAACAAACAAACAAAAAAAATATGACGATGCATTTCAATACATAAATGTACATCCATTGAAAAGAAATAAGGGGAACACATATATATAAAAAAAGGCAGAGAAAGCAGCGTAGTCAATCCCGGACTCAAACGTAAAATGAAAGAAAAAAATAAAATTTAGTTGTTTCTCCCACGGTTTCATTATCCCTCGTCCTGTTTGCCACCCAAAATCAACGCGAATCATAAAAATTTCTGCATTCCCCCCGTCGACCCCCCAGCGGATGTTCCCCCTCTCTGTCTCACCCCCTTAAAATCATGTACATACACACAAAACGGCGCAGAGAGATAAATAATTCAATAGATTGCCGCTCATTTCATATAAATTTTAATTATCGCACTGAAAATAAAAGAAGACAACTCAGAGAGGAAAGACAAAGGTAAGATGATTGATCTGTTTCTCGAAATGACCACTTGAATATGAATAGTAAGTAAACTGAGAGATTACACACGAAGACAAGTTAAATTACGGTTATTCATCCACCATCAATTCAACTCTCTAGATATGAAAATTGTTAAATTCTAATCTAATCTTATTCAAATCCCGAGGATTATCATTGTTCTATCTTCTCTCTCTCTCTTTAATAAAAATAACACTTGGGTACATCTAATAAAGTATTATTCTCTACATTTGGTTCTTTCAAAAAGTATCAACGAGATCAATGGTATTTTAACCCCCCTGAGTAAATATCTAGATATTATTTCTTATTCTTGTAAAATATTGTTATTACCTTTTTCTTGAAAGCTACGTTATACTTCGTGATCGAGGTGTTTATTGTTGATGAACAAGAGACGATCAATTAAGTAGAGAAACAATCGGTCCGCTTTTAGTTAATTGATCAACCTACTACCCTTCTACACAATCAATTATATTATATACGCCGACTTCAAGTTGCACTCTTGCTGTAACCCCGCAACCTTATATTTCAGTATTCTTCTGAGATACTTTTAACTCAGCTTTACATTTACATTTTGGGAGTAAATAAAATTAACTAATTCAAGAAATAAAAAAAAGGGGAGAAAATGTAGTCAAATATATGCAATATACACACACACACACACATATATATATATATGTGTGTACTTTACTATTGTTTACTATTTATTATTCAAGGAACAGTAATATAATTCATGTATAAGTAACACTATTTTGTTTATTTGTTTGTAAGACTGTTGTTATTTTCAGTTTCACTTTTGTTTCTGCAGTTTGTCCGATCTTTTCTCTTCCTTGTTTTTTCGTTATTTTTTTTTAAATTTCGTTCAGTTTACAATATAAATATATATTCTCTTATTTTTTTTTTTTCAGACGTACATTTCTCTATTGTATATATATATACAAAAGAATAAATTAACCAATTAAATAAACAGAGAGCCTTTTTTTTTCATCATTTGGTTAGTAAAAGCAAGATCAACAAGAACAACAACAACAGATATATAAAGAAAAATATATTATTTGTTTTTTCTTTTTTTTAACAGACTATTTTAAAATTCTTCCCTATTTCTTCCTTTCACGCCCCCAAATATTGGATATAATATAAAGTAAATTTGAAAAATAAAAAAAACACTATTAATAATTATTATGAGATCTATTAAATGTGTAGTTATCGGAGACGGTGCTGTCGGTAAAACTTCTTTATTAATATCATACACTACAAATACTTTCCCACAAGATTATGTACCTACAGTATTCGACAATTATACAACAACAGTTTCATTAAGGGATCCTAATGCACCTGCATCAAATTCAAATAATGATTCAATTGAACAAGATACTCCATCTGGTCCAATTTCTACTCATTCAAATGAACATTTAAGAGTCTTTAAATTAAATTTATGGGATACTGCAGGGCAAGAGGAATATGATCGATTAAGACCTTTATCATATCCACAGACTGATATTTTTTTAATTTGTTTTTCTGTCACCGAAAGAAATTCCTTTAGAAATGTTTGTGATAAATGGTTACCTGAATTAAAATCAAATTCAAATATTGAAAATAATTCTTTATTTACTAAATTTAATAAATTACCAATTTTATTAATTGGGACAAAATCTGATTTAGAAGGCACAATTAATGAAACTGATTCAAATTTTATATCTCAAGAAGAAATTCAAAAATGTGTTGAAGATAATGGATTTATGGGTTATGTTCAATGTTCTGCAATGACTCAGATTGGTGTTAGAGAAGTCTTTGAAAGAGCCATTGATGCAGTGGTTTTTGAACCTGAAAGATTGGCAAATAAACAGAAAAAATCAATTATACCAGATATTGGCAATACAACAACAACATCCACAACAAATGCAGTAAATGGAACTGTAACAACAAACTCTAATGGTGTTGAAACAAAAAAATTTAAGTTATTAGATCATCATACTTCTCATAGCAATAAAAGTGATCCTCGTTTAACATCTCCTACGAATACCGATTCTGCTAACATAATTACTAATTCTAGTAATAATAAGAAACAGCAAAGTGATAATACTAATGGAACATCTCATACTCATAGACATTCAAATAATAAGGATAAACCACTTTCAACAAGTGCTTCCAATAGTCATAGTCCATCATCAAAGAAAAATAGCAATAAAAATAAAAAGAAGGATAAATGTGTAATAATGTAAATAACATTAAATCCCTTGTCCTTCTAAGTTCGACTTCTATCCCTATCATTATCATCTCCTGCCATCTAAACATACATATATACTCATCTTCACACTATTTGATTAACAAGAAATCAAACCTGCATAATTCATCATACATCTAATATTATTTTTTAATAAATCTAATAAATTCTTTTTATAGTTATTATTATTATTATTATTATTATTATTATTACTATTATTATATATCGTAGATACAAACAACAACAATAGTAATGTATGTAATCATATTCACACATATACATGTAGATATGTCTAGCAATATAACCCCCGATATTCATACACTTCTCTCTATACTCTGAAGCTACATTAACATTGAGACACTATTTTTTTTTAGACTTTTTGTCTGTTTCTTTCTTGGTTTTTTCTTCTGCTTTCTTCTTGGTATTTCTAGCAATTGCCATCTTCTTTTCAAGTTCTAAGATATCTCTTCGCGTATTATCAAATAATTGTTTCTGTAATTCAACATCCTCGAATTCTTTACGTGCAAACTTTACGACAGAACAATCAGATACATATTTAGCGTTGGTATCCTTTAAATTAACTTCTTCAAACTCAGGAGTATTCAAAGCATAGAGAATATTCTGTGCACCACGATTCCCACTCTTTGTTAGTAACCATAAGAATGGATACAGTATCACACAATACAACACAAGTAACAATATAATAGACCCGTTAGACACCACACGACGCAAACTGTTTGACCTCATTGTACCAGGTTGTACCATTACAACTTTAATATTTAACCCACTACGTTCAGTATCCTGTTTCTCCTTAGAGACCTTCTTAACATCTTCAGTTAATCTTCTTTGTAACTCCATCATTGTAAGTCCCAATTGTAATTTACTACTACTGAAGAATTTCAAAGCACTTTTATATTTTTGAGATTGCCATAGAGGATCTTCTATATTCACATCACCCATCACTTGTGTCCAACATGTAGAAATAATGATTCTTACATCACGATCAGGAGGTTGAGCTTTAATACTTGGTTGTAATAGGTCCATTAAATGAAATACACCAGCAAAATTCACAGCCATTTGTTTCTCCAACCCATCAACAGATGACTGTCTCACTGGTTTCGAAAAATGAGGTATACCGATGGGTTCCATATCTCCTGACATTACAATGATACCATCCAATCTTCTTGGTGGAGAATTATTTAACCAACGCGTTGCAAATTGACGAACCTGGTAGAGGTCAGCAATATCACATTGTTCCATATACAATAACTCATTCCCAGTTGCATCTCTCATATCTTCTACCCAATCAGTAGACCATTCATCCACACTTCTTGTCAAAAAGATCAGTTGCGCACCTAACTTTGCCATCTCGAGAGCTACTGAAGTACCCATACCTTGACTTGTTGCACCGGTCACTAAGTAGACCTTTCCGTGAAGTTGTCTCTCCCATGTATTGGATGGACCACGAGACCAATATTTCACGGCAGCTGTAGCTGCAACGTAAGGGGCCACCTTCTTTATGCCATTGTAGTATGGAATTTTATCTGTTCCTTCCAGCAATGCAGTACCTAAAATATTCAATGGCATATTCTATTTCGTAAGTACTTTAAAGATTAAATTGAGACTTAAAACGCTAATTTTATTAATGATACTTACGATAACCTACGATAGATATTCAAAAACATTTATAATCTGCTATGTATTCTTTTGAATATGGTTCAATTCTTTAAAAAGGACCCCGTTTGACACTGAGAATTCACCATTTCCAGTGTTACACTGTGTGTTCTTTACAAAGTGGCTTCAAGCTTCGGCCCTCCTACACAACTACACTGCGGGGCGTACTTCCCGAAATAATAGAAAATTTTCACCTCATCTCAAAATTATTTGCATTTAGCCATTACTATTTTATTATATTAATACTGATGAGTATTTGAAAAATAAAGAGTATAGAGTCCAACCTTTTAACAAACTTCCAGTTTTATTTGAGATAGCTCTTTAAACTATTTGCTTGGTATTTCTCTCTATCTTTTTGGTTACTGCTGAGACTAGTATACGAAAATATCATTTGTGTAAAATGGATGAACAAATTATTTTTACCACGAACTCTACTGGGAGTATCACGAACGTCCATTCCTATGAGCAAGCCAATCTAAGACAATGTTCAGTTGCTTCCAGGAACAGTGCTGTCAGGGTTGGTGAAAAATATTTATTTGTAGCACAAGCCCAAAAATCATTGATCCATGTATACAGTGCTAGTTATAATTCTCAAAGAGAATCCGTGGAACAAAGATTGCCACTACCTGAAAAAGTCAACTGTTTGGAAGTAGTTGAGAATAATGCCTCAATATATAATGGAGCCAAGACCCACGGTAAGTTACACAATTTGCCACAATTGAATTTACCATATTTGTTATTAGCCAGTACAGAATCTGGTAAACTATATATTTGGGAATTAAACTCTGGGATTCTATTGAATGTTAAACTTGCGGCTCATTATCAAGCTATCACTAAGATTAAGTCTGTCATGAATGGTAAATATATAATTACATCTGGTAAGGATTCTCGTGTTATAATATGGCAAACTAATGACTTAGTATCACAGGATGAACCTAAACCTGTTGCTATCTTACATGATCATACTTTACCAGTGACTGATTTTGAAATTTCATCCGTACACGGAGAGGATTTATTTACCAGTGGTGTTAAATTGTACACTGTATCAAAGGATTCTACTTTAAGATGTTATGACTTGAGTACATTGGTTAATCAAGGTAACAATAAGAGCACCACCAGACAAAGAAGATCCGAGGATAAAGTACAATTATTGGCTACTTTCACTTTACCTTATCCAATCGAATGTATCAGTTTAGATCCCGCCGAGAGAGCTGTCTATTTAGGTACTCAAGTTGGATGTTATGCTTTATCATTATATTATAAACTGAATGGTAACAAGATATTAAACTTATTACAACCATCTTCTAGTAATCAAGGTAGTATTTACTCACTTATTGAAGAACCTACCGATATTTCTTCGAAGATCAATAGAGATGCATTATTCTCCAAGAATCAACTTATATGTAATAAGTTACTAGAGGATAGTATTGTATGTTTAAAGGTTTCAATGGATGGATCAATTTTATTAGTAGGTGATAAACATGGTAGAGTTCATGTTACTGAAATATTCTCTAAACAAGTATTGAAGACGTTACAACCATTAACTACTTCACAAGCAATGATAGGTGAAGTTACGAATATTTTATTAAGTACATATTCTACAGCGGATAATGAAAAATTGACTTTAACAATGAATAAGAACAGTCATCAAAATAAGAATAATGCCGGAGGTCTTGAAAAATTACCTGCATTACAAAGAGTCATCATTGACAAAGGACAATCTAATCATCCTCACGATGTATGGTATCAAATTGGTGAAGAATACGAGGGACCAATTGGTAATTCTACTCAAAACTCCATGTCATCACCATTGAACAATTTAGAAGATTATTTACTGAATGTTCAAACCGAAGAAAACGCATTTATGGATCATTCTGGAATCTCTAGTGACATAATTACGCCAGCACAACAAGCTCATATTACAAATACTACCAGTAATGATAGACAAGAAGAAATCGATGCTCTTAATCAAAAGGTCACCTCACTGACCTCAGCATACGCTGAATTAAGAGAGATCCATGAGAAATTGTACGAGCAACACCAACAACTTCAAAAGTGAGACACCCCTTCCAACCACTACCCAGCGTATAAACATATACATCTATCTACCTCTCTCTATATATATATACATTACCAATGCATCAAATCAGATCAAAACCTCTTCATCATCCAGTCTTCTACAGTTTGAGTCAAAGATTCATCTTCAAATTATAACGAGAGAACCAACCGGCCGACAGACAGAATAATCACCGCGCAAAATGACGCAATCAAATGAGCACACTAAATTCACGTAGCGCCATCAAAATTTTCAATGAAAAATGGCAGAGTGAGCGGCCGTTATCAATGACATGCAACGTCAAAGAGCCGTTATCAGCAATTGTCATTATCCCAAAGAATCAACAGGACCACAACCATTGCCACTACCACCGGAGACAGCAGTACCCCGGCTATTGTTAAACTGATGAACACAAACGTATCTGATGAGTACGATAGATATACTCTTTCCCTTTCTTTGTTCAGGTCGTCTGAAATGGAGAATGAACGTATCTTGAACTTGATAGCGGGAAATTTGGAACATTTTGATAAAATATTCCTGGAGCAACAACAATTCACTACACGTACACAGATCAAGATTACAGAACTCCAATCAGAATATACAATACTTGATAATATAAATGCCCTATTTTTCGTAAACAAAAACATTTCTTGATTGTCTATATATATATATATATATAAATAAATTAATAAATACTGGAGTTTTCCAATATTATAGAACATCTAAATATTGTTGACGTAACAGGATATTGCATTCATATTGTACCATCATTAATCGGATACTGTTTCAAGCATCAGCAAATAGATATTTATAATAACATAAGTTAAATTAAAAGGACTCATTTCTGTCTATCCATTTCATTTTTATTAGCAGGGAAAATAGTGCGAAAACCGCCTTTCCTATTCTTTCTCATTGCGCAACTTAACTAAGAAAAAAGTCACCACAGGTTGTGAGACAACTAGTTGCATCATTTATAAAGAAAGAGTCAGTTACGTAATTAAACTTTACAAGTGGATTTAGAACATACACACACAGACCTTTAACATAGAAGATTCCATAGGATTTGTTCAAGCATATCCATATTATACATTTATTATATTCAACACAAATCTGAGTATAGCTATATTTCCCCCTTTTTGCCAAGATAGAACTTTATTTGTTTTTCCCTAATCGTTTGATTAAAGTGTTCTTTCTATTGACTCACCTTCGATATATACAATAACGGGGAAAAAAATACTCTCATTGATTGAAAGCTTTATCTGAAACTAGAGATCTATTGTCTTTTCTTTAAAAAAAAAACATTCATTGGAATCGAGTCTATTACTAGAGATAATAACAGTCTTTCTCTTTAAGACTACACACATTAATTAACTCACGGAAATAAGTTATGTCTTCTTTAACTAAATTATTACAGGAAAAGAAGAACGAGCATTCCTCAGAAAGTAATTCTTCATTAGCTACCATCAGTGAGACTAAAAACCCACAACAGCAAAATGATTTTTACTCCGGAAATGTTAAAGTTATTAGAAATGGCCCTACTATTTTACGTACAACCTCAAGAACATTAGATTTAGGACAAACCCAACCTAGGAGAACAACTACAAGTGTAACAACTGTAACTCAAATTGATTCAGAGGATGATGCAAACCATGGTAGCATTGATTCTAATCTATCTAATAATGCCAACAATAAATATACTAATACAAATAATACGCCAACTGTATCTTCAAGTTTTTTAAATGCAAATTTTGCTCATACTGCCTCATTATACACTTCAAATACGGGCTCCTTTATTGATAATAATTATAATAATTCAATATCTGCAAATCAATCTACATCATACTCTAACAATGGATACCCAATAAGAAGAGATTCTTTAAGATCCAGTAATAGTATATCTAATGGAAGAAACATTCCTTCTTTATCTTCAAGTATTCCTTACTCGGTACCGAATTCAAATAAAGATAGTACACATGGTTCAAATTCTCATGACTCAAATAGTTCTTCATTAACTTCTTCTTGGTTAGAAGTATATGGAAGTAGTCTGCCGAAAAATGTATCTGCAATTGACTCAAATATTATTTCATCTCCACAGGTTGATTCTGTGGAACCACGTTTTGTAATCTCAAAACAAAAATTACAAAGTGCTTCCCAAAGTAACTTACAACAAGCACATGGAAATTCCGTATCTAGATCAAACTCATTTTCATCTCAATTTGGTAGCATGTTCTTCTCTAAGCCTACTAAGGACAAACAAGGTTCTCCCCATTACAATGATAATAATTATAACAACAATAATGCAATGAATGGACATACCTCTCATAATTCCGTTGGTGGTGGTAGTGGTAATACTAATGGAACTGCCATTCCAAAACCGACCAGGGCTAGAACAACAAGCATCTATTCTTCTTCCAGGCAACCTTCAAGTTCTTATACAGAAACTACATATGGTTCACCAAATGCTCAATATGATAATACTAATACAAATCCTCCTAGTCAAAGTATACCCAGGTCTCATCATTCTTCAATCTCCAACTTAAGATCTTTTTTTAAGAAAAGTTCAAGTAACTTAAACAACGGTACTTCTCATATAAATAATTCTAATGTCGGTAGTGTTCCCGTACCAAGCAATATTTCTCACCAATCTGTAGGTACAAGTAAATCCTCATTCACACCTGGTTCTTATGGTAGTATGAATGGTGAGACTATTTATGTTGCTTCTTCAGTAAACCACAATTCCTCTAGAGATAATCAATTACCATTTGCCAAACGTTATATTAGAACAGGTGAAGATTTGGGTGCGGGTGCTGGTGGTTCCGTTAAATTGATCAAGAGAATTAATGATAGTAAGATCTTTGCAGTCAAAGAGTTTAGAGCTAAATTTGAAAATGAAACTAAGAGAGATTATGTAAAGAAGATTACCTCCGAATATTGTATTGGTACAACTCTGAACCACCCAAATATCATACAGACTATCGAAATCACATATGAGAATAATCGCATTTTACAAGTTATGGAATACTGTGAATATGACCTGTTTGCGATCGTTATGAGTAACAAGATGTCCTATGAAGAGATTTGTTGTAGTTTTAAACAGATTTTAACTGGTGTACAATATTTACACAGTATTGGGTTAGCACACAGAGATTTAAAATTGGATAATTGTGTCATCAATAAAGATGGTATTGTAAAACTAATTGATTTTGGAGCTGCAGTAGTCTTTTCGTATCCATTTTCAAAGACTTTGGTTGAATCTAGCGGTATTGTTGGTAGTGATCCATATTTAGCTCCTGAAGTTTGTATATTTAGCAAATATGATCCCCGTCCTGTAGATATTTGGTCTGCTGCTGTCATTTTTGCCTGTATGATGTTGAAGAAGTTCCCTTGGAAGATTCCAAAATTAAGAGATAATTCATTTAAGTTATTCTGCTCGGGCAGAAACTGTGATTCTCTAAGTGCACTTGTGACAAGAACTCCAGACCCACCATCCTACGATAATTCTAAGCAACTCGAATCAGAAAAGAAATCCACCTCCAACAACTCCGCTGATCCAAACAATCTAAACATTGGGCCTCAAAGATTATTACATTCATTACCCGAGGAATCCCAGCACATTATTGGTAAAATGGTAGACTTGGCTCCCGCATGTCGAGCTAATATTGATGAAATCATGGAAGACCCATGGATTGTCAGTATAGATATGTGTACGGTTGTAGAAAATGGTTCTACGACAAATATTATCACTTCTTCTGACCATACTCATACCCAAGTTGACCAAAGTGAAGCTCATATTGCTGGTCTCGAAAAGAAAAAGAAAGAGAAGAATGCTGCAACTACGAGTAATGCTAATAAACAACACCATTGATTACTCACTGCTGGCTTTAAAACATAAAACATTAAACAACATACATAATTCATCTTGTAACCCCTTTATATATATATATTATCTATTCCAAGATTGTGACGATTTATAATTACATTGTAACTCAGGAACGACTGTTACCTACTTCAAAAATATTGTCCGCCTACGATGAGTAATTCCAATATTTGATATCTTATGATCTTTTTATTAATTAATTACATTATTCAATGGCATTTTGCTAGTTTGTTAGGAGACTGTCATTTACATGCGCTAACTCTGTTGGAACTTGATAATTGTTGGCGAGATTTAAAAAAAAAGAAGAACAGTGAAAAAAAATATCTATACGTAAAAAAATATAAGTCGAGAGAGTCAAAACATATAAATAGCATTTAAAGTGGATAACCTATAACTAAATACCACTAAAGCCACTAAGTAAGGTCTAAAACAGTACGATATGTCTCAGGCAGCCAAAAATTCCTTAGTGAAATTAATAGTTGCAGCTGGTCAAGCTGCACCATCCCCTCCAGTTGGCCCTGCCTTAGGTTCTAAAGGTATAAAGGCTATTGACTTCTGTAAGGAGTTTAACGCCAGAACTGCCAATTATGAAGCAGGTATTCCTATTCCAACTCTAATCACTGTGAAACCAGATAGAACGTTTACATTCGAGTTGAAGTCTCCTCCAACAGGATATTTACTTTTGAAGGCCCTTGGGATAGAAAAGGGATGTGGGACACCAAACCAGAAAGCTAAAGAAGGCACAGTTGGCCAACTTTCGTTGAAGCATATATACGAAATAGCAAAGATTAAAAAGACGGATCAAAGACACTCATTGCTAGAGATGGAAAGCATTGTAAAATCTGTTATTGGTGTTGCCAAGAGCATGGGTATTAGGGTTGTTCCATGAAATGTGTATATTTTTCCTACTACCCTGCATTATCTCATTCATACGAATTACTCCACTAACTTGTACATAAAACTTAAATATTCGTTAGATACTATCTCTTTAAATGTATCTTTAAATATATGATTTGAATCGACTATGGTTCGAAATTAAATGAATTATAAATATTTTTTTTTGCATTTTATTTTAATTGTGTAGTTTTTATTATAAGGGGTGCTATATAAATGCTTGTGAGTTATGAATCCATATCAGTGATGTGGATTAATGCTTAGTATTTAAGAACGTATTCTTAGTATTTGTTAAATCTTCTTTTTTTGTTCTTTTTCCAATTTTTATTCTTTTTGTTTTTATTACTGCCGTTTCTGGTGGAATTGTTACTCGATGTATTTGCAGATCTGTTATCTTTGTTGTCGTTGTTTCCATTAGATGTTGCTGATAAGAAACTACTTTGTAGAACTGAGTTTCTCAACTTTATAGCTTTAGGTGTTAGTCTAGTATAAACGAGATAATATGCATTTGGTTCTCTTAAAACGTCTCTTTCAGACATTTTATTAATATATTCATCATCATAATTGGCCCAAGAACCGTCCGGCTGCTTACAATGAGCAACATAATGTCCTGATGATAACGAACGGCCCTCATGAACAACTACAGATATTAATTGATATTTTACAGGTAAAAGTTTCTTCCCTGCAGGAATATCTTCTGTATCACAATATTCTGTTAAATCCATAAACATTGGATACGACACAGCTTGTTTCATCTTAGAGGATGAAGTTCCGTTGAATCTAAATTTCTTTAGATGAACCAATAGTGTCTCTGGAGCCCTCAAGATAGTGTTACGTTTGACGGCATTTGTTGTCTTGTGACATTTCTCACATATGTAACCTTTGTGTTCATTATCAACTTTAATTAATTCTGGATTGAAGAAATCTCTAATTGATTTCTCAATAGAAAATCTACGGTTAACAGCTTCACCATTCTCAGCATTTGATGTCTGTGGTGATTTATCGGTTGACACAGGATTTTCCTGACCTTTTGGTGATTTTTTACCATCTGAAGAAGGAGATACAATTTTTCTACCTTTCAAATGTAGGGATAAATCATAAAATGGTTGTTCAGTTTTTGAAACTTCACCACATGATTTGCATGTAACACATTGTTTCAAAAGACCTCCAAAGATATCATATATTATAGATTCTGTCAATTTGTGACCTGGAGGTACGGAATCTTCTTGTAAACGAGACATTAGAGACATGAAATATTCATGCGAATCTTCTTGTTGCCATTCACTCATCGAAAAGTTGATATCTTCAAGTCTAGAGATTAGTTTCTTCGGATCATAGTATCCAGAACCACTAACCTTTTTCTTATTCTTTTCATTTGGCAACCACATTTTTTTACTAGTTTCAGCAAAAATTTCAGAAACGGAATTTGGTTTAAGTTCTTTCTTATATTTACCGTTTAAGATGTCTATTAAATAATGTTGAATTGCTGGAATATGCAACATTGCCTGCACTGCTGCGTTGGTATAGCAAGTGACACCATGATTTAAAAGACCACGAGGTTTTAAAGTTGAAAATTCGGGACCCCAATTTTTTAAAATCCGTGAAGGTAAGATTGAACCTTGATCATTTTGATGTTCATTATATTTATAAAAATTGTCAATATCAGAAATTGTTGTTGGAGGTGTTACTGATCTTTGAGATAAGGGTGATTTATGTTTTAGTTCTTCTTCTTCATCATCTTCTTCTTCTCCTTCATTGTCTTCGTCATGCTCATTTTCATTACCATTAACATCGTCATTAATATTTTTAGGTCTACTATTTTCTTTTTCATCTCCATCTTCATCTTCTTCCATACGTTTTCTCTTTGGATGAATAATATCACGCATAGTTATATCAAGTTTCAATTTTTTTAATTGTTCATTTTCTTTTTTAGATCTCTCATATTCCATAGATTCATCATATAGAGCAAGTTTTTCACTTTGTGGAATTTCCAAATCTTCATCATCTTCACTTACACTATTGTCTTTATTATTAGTATGTAAAGTTCCTTTCTCTTGTTCTTCATCACTTTCAACTTCGTCATTTTCTTTATCATCTGAATTGGATGGTCCTTTCCACTCTTCATCATCATCGTCATCATCGTTATCTTCTTCTTCTTCTTCATCATCACCTTTAGTAGTCAACTCTAATGGCTTTCCTAGATCCTCGCCTAAGTCCTCGCCTAAGTCTTCACCTAAGTCTTCACCTAAGTCTTCGTCCATATTGTTATTATTTGTAGTAATGTCATTTTGCTCATTTTCATCACTTGCAGATGACATATATTCTTTTGCTTCATGAAACACTTCTTCACTACTAGTACTATCATCTACCATTCCATTATCAGTATCTTCTGGAGTAGTAGGTAAAGAACTAGACAGCTGCATTAGATTTACTGAGTCCACTTGTTTATTATTATTAGTAGTAGTAGTATCATTGCCGCCAGAAGAAGTAGTGGTAGTAGTAGAAGTAGTGGTAGTAGTAGTAGTGGTGGTGGTGGTGGCGACAGTTGCATACATTGCTAAAGCTTCTGCCATTGATGTTGGTTTCTTGGTCTTTAATTTTTTATTTGATGAAGAATTTTGTTCTTTAGTTTCAGATTCAGTTTCTTTTATGTTTAAATTATCTTTACCTTTATTATTCTTACCTATTGCATTCTTTTTATTATTTGTTGATCTAATCACTAAATACGATGGGTTTTTCAATAATTCAGATGATGTAATTGAAGAAGCTTTTGAAGAATTTTTATTTGTAGCTAATTTAAAATGTAAAGGATTTGATAATATTCTATCTACCAAAGGTTTAATATTTTCCTGAGTTGTCATTTATTACTATCTTATGCACAAAATGAGATATAATAAAAAAAAAAAAGAGAGAGATTAAATCCAAAGGGTATTATTATTATTATTTTTCTTTTCCTTTTGATGGAATATTACGATACCTAGTACAATGAAATCAAAATCAATTAATTAAAAAAGTAGTGTTTGTTTCCTTAGAAATAAATACTTTCTGTTAAAATGTAGTTATATCTTATAAATATTTATGTCTTTCTCTCTTTAATAGGATATAATTTTTTTTTCAAACAAAAAAAACGAAGAGGATGCCTATAAATAATATATATCTATATATGAATGGCACTATTAATCGGTTAGAAGGGAAAACAAAGAGTATTATATAATTTGCCAACTTTCTGAAATAAAAATCCTATTATAAGTTAAGACAAGAATTCGATATTTCCTCCTTCTCATCATCTACATAAAAGAAAAAAAAGAATAGTTGACCCATCACCGCTAGCAGTGCCAGTAGCCGATGGGGGGGGCATTATCAAAAAAGACACCAAATCATCACCATCACCATCATCGCTAAATTTTTTCAGAATTTTTTGTCGCGAAAATTTTTTTTTCTTTTCGATTTTTTCTTTTTTTGCCGCTGGGGAAAGAGAAAGCAGAACGGGCGCTGTCTCCGATGCTGCTGCTGCTGCTGCTGCGATTGTTTTTCTTTCTTGGTGGGGCTGTTCTGTGCGTTTTTTTGATAGTCAACGGCGTCGTGCCAAGTGACTGGGAAGAGAGGTGTCAGTAAATATATTCCAGTGACACCCTTAGTTAATCAGACTATCTCGCTCTTCATATTACATTAAGGTGTATCAATTAAACATATCCCTGAAGTATCACGTGCCATGTTTTGTGACACTGTTTTATCCGGAGAATATGATATAATCGTTTGGTCTAAGTATACAGGATTCTGTTTGATAATATTTATTCGTCTTTCTTGAATATCTCGTCTTTCTTCATTCTCTTGTGCAGGTTCTTCTATTGATGTTGTTATTGTAGGTAATATATTTGTATCTTGTTCATAATCATGTCTCGTAATGCCTCCAGACTCCACGATACTTCTGTCCCAGTTAATAATCTTGTTGTTATTTGTTCCTATTGATAGTCCATTGAAACTGGATATATTTGCTTTAAATTTTTGATTTTTAATTAAAAATGGTAATTTTAAATTTGTAATACATGTCTCATTTCTTCTTATATCATATACTTTAATTTGATTACTCTTTCTCATTAACACATATAAATATAACCCATTTTCACTCTTAAGTAATTGATATATACCATTTCCTTGTCGAGTATTATAAATACGTTCCATTCCTTGACGTTTTGTTCTAAGATCAATTCTATATATTTCATTCTTATAAGTCCCAAAATATTTCATTTTCAAATAATTATCATCCATGCATGTTTCATCAAAACATGATACAATAGATTTAAATTCAGCTTTACCACATTTCATTTTATCAGATCGTATATTCCATATAGGTTCCTTACGGACCATATCATATAATGATACTGAATTTCTAATTGAACCAACAAGAAATGTATCTGAATTGATAGGCATTATACTATATGGTGTCTCATATACTTCATTTTGTGGATTCATTGTAGAATATGTAAATATGGGTGTATCAATTATAGAGTTCTGATCATCAGATGACTTTAAAGAATATAATTGAATTGGTAAACTTCGAGATCCAATAAGAATTTTTTCACTGAGGGTCTCACCGGTAGAATTATCGTGTGGAATCATTGCGGATGATACTATTGATCGATTCTTGAAGAGACGTTTTGTTAATTGTAAATTTATTTTACCATTCGCATCATAAGTTATATAGTATTGTCTTATTGCATGGTCGTCTGTCACTGCAGTAACTTGCATACCATCATCTGACCAATAAAGATCCTGGAATATAATTGAACGTGGCGACTCATTGGTTTCGTTTGGTTCAAAGATAGGTTTTTCTAATGGTATGATATCATATTGGTTCCCATTGGGGAATAAACCCTTTATACTGTGAGAATTACGGGACCATTCTTTTTCTTCTTTATCCCATATGTCTGCTAGATGTACTCCACTAAGACTTTGTTTGGCTTTAATACCTATCACTGGTGAGCCATTCATCACCACTATTAGTATATCTTTTTGCTTTTTTTTTAACTCTGTTGTTCTGCCTTCTACTTCCATTTGTTAACGTTTAGTAAATAGTACTGAAATCAGAAACAATATATTTTTTATGAAAAATATCTCGCTGACTGAAGAAGCGATCTACCCTCTCGAAAAAAAGGCACTATTAACAAAAAGTCGAAGGAAAACCTCATCGCAATATTACATAACATATAACAAAAGTTAGATGAAATATACATTAAATAAACATAAAAGCTTTAAGATAAATATAAAACAAGTCACACACACATACATTACAATGGGATATAATGGATTTGGTCTTGAGCATACAATAGCACCACCAACATATAAACCGTTCAGAGAATTATCACAAATTGAACAAAGTGAAAGAGGAGCACAGATGATGATTGGCTTCATGTCTTCTTGTCCCGGGAAAACCGTTGTGAGTGGTGTGACAGGGTTCAGCTTAGGTGGTGTACTAGGTCTATTTATGGCATCAATGGCATATGATACGCCTTTACATTCACCATTGAGTGGTGTTGCGAGTGTTGGCAAAATTGCTGAGATACCGATGACTCAACAAATAAAATTACAATTCGCAGATATGGGGAAAAGATCATACTCTAGTGCAAAGAATTTCGGTTATATGGGGCTGATATATGCTGGTGTAGAATGTGTAGTAGAATCAGTTCGTGCAAAGAGTGATATATATAACGGACTTTGGGCTGGTTGTTTAACAGGTGGCGGATTGGCTTATAAGAATGGACCTCAAGCGGCGTTAGTGGGGTGTGCTGGCTTTGCAGCATTTTCTTTAGCAATTGACACTTATATGAACAGTGAAAATGGGAAACCAACAGAAAATGATTTTAATGACTAAATGAAAATGTATTTATACATATACGCATATAAAAAAAATTTATAGATAAAATATTATTACAGTTACATATGAATGAATTAGTATTTATAATAGTTATAATAATAGTAATAATACACGCAAAATATGCTTAATAGAAGTGTAATAATACAAATTGTCCTAATTAATATATGTTTCGAATAGAAACAATATAATGCCTTCGTCTTCTCTTTAGTTTCTGGCGTTAGATTGCTTAACATGGCAATGATCAAATCCAACTTTTCACTATTAGAATCAAGAGTTCTTTGCAACTCTAATAGTATTAATAGATCTTGTGTTGAGTCTGTATCGCTGAGGTTGTTGTGATCTACCGAGTCCCTGCTGTGCTCATGATCTCCAATTGAAAACTGTACAGAAGGTTGTCTAGACGGGAATGATAAGTCGTGTGAATATGATCTGGAGTGTGCTCTTTGTTTTCGTATTTTATTTCCAAATTTCGGTAATGGTTCAATAGGTGGGTCAAAATTTGTGAGAATATCCTCACCATCATCATTATTATCATCATTATCATATTCCTTATGCTTTAATTCATTTAGTCTTTTAACTACATTTATTTTGTCTTTAGATACCAATCGTTTAAATTTAGTATTAAAATGTTTACTTTTATTATCTAATTTATCTTTGGTCAGAACAGTTCTGTGATTATCCTCAAAAGATTTATTCACTATGACATCGTTTGACAAATATGGTAATGGTAATGGTTCACCTAAAAGTTTTCTTAATGTACGAGACCCCATATTATTCTGCTCATTTCGCCTTATTTCTTTCCTTGACTCTGTTGCTTGAAAAGTCAATAAATTTTTGTTATTTTCATTATTGTACCTAATAGGATTTTCAACAATAGGATCTTCATCATATGAAGCTGATGAATATCCCCTTGATTTTAAAACGGACTTTGGGGACATCACTTTTGGTAGAGGTGATGGTTCATCATAACCATCATCATAGCCGTTCAGTATATTATGTGTTTTGTCTGTGTTATAGTCATAAAAAGGGGAGGACTTGTTATCCTTTGATATATTCACATCAGAATCTTCATCATCATCCTTATTTTCGTTATTCTCAATAAAAGGTTCATCTTTGACGTGAACAGCCACATTAAATTCATTAGATGATTTCCTCAAGGTAGTCTCATCCTGAGAATCAAGACCTATTGAATGCCTCTTTTCTTGTATATTTCGTAGTCTTTGATTTCTTAGTTGTGCTTGTAACCTTTCTGTCTCAGAGGGCCTGTATATATTTGGGCGACCAGTTGGCCTACTATATCGAGCGTTGTTCATCCATACAATATTAATTAGACCTGCTAATTATAATGATGAAGATAGCAATTATAATTTAAATAAAAATGTAACAAAGAATAATAGATAGCAAAATATTCTTCAATTGATGCGTGACTATTTAATTTTATTTCGAATTGTAATGAACCACTGCTTTTTCTTTTTATCATGACGACTCTTCATCTGTTTATATTAATTGTGCAAGATTTGTTTTGTAACATCAACAAAACAAACAAATTTCGGGAAATGCGGATATATACAGAAAGTTGTAGAATAACAAAAACTGAAGAGAAATGACGTTTTAAAATGATTTATTTATGTTTTCAGTATTTAACTTATTTTCTTTTGAAAACTTTTTTAATTCTTTTAATATTATATAGAATTATATATAGATATGTATATATACATTCGGTGTTATTAAAACATGACTACAGTTTTTTTGATGAACTTCTGAAGTTTTTTTTTTTGTATTAATCATAAACTAGTTGAAGTTAAATTGTTGGTTGACATTAGAACCAAAACCAAATGTATTACCACTGGTTTCCGGAGCCATACTTTCATCAATGACCTCATCATCTTCACCGAAATACGTTTCAATAATGTTGAATGCCTTGTTATAGATTTTATCATTTTGATTTTGTTGACAATTGAAGATTTTTTCCATACCACCAGCTTTTTCAATCAAATCTGCATTTTCATTAACAGCTAAACCACGAGCTTCTTTATCCTTTTCACCGACTTTTAAGAAATTTTCTAATGCATCAAGGGATACCTCTATAATTCTATTATCAGCAATTTCTAATAAATCACACAATGGCTTTATACAATCTTGAGATACTAGATATCTAATAATTTCTGATTTTTGTAAACCACCTGAAGATGCATTAGAGATAGCCCAACAAGCTTCCTTTTGAGTCTTGTAATCAGCTGATTTTAAGATTCCAACTAAAGCTGGAATAACATTAGCATCAATGACAGCTTGAATTTGTTCTGCATTACCTGCAGTAATATTAGATATGGTCCAACAGGCTTCTTTCTTAATAGATTCCTTTTGTGAACTTAATAAATTTCTTAAAGCACTTAAGACACCACAATTAATAATAACTTGTGTTTGTAAATCATTACCTGTAACAATATTACCTACTGCACGTAAAGCTGGAGTTTGAACCATAGTAGATGCATTACCTAATAATTCAACTAATTTCTTTGGAATTCTAGCGTCAATGACTGCTTGAATAGCTTCTGGTGGACCATCAGATAAATAAGAAATAGCCCAACAAGCATCAACTAAAGTTTCATCATCAAGGGAATAAATCAATTTAGATAAAGTTGGTAAAGCTTGAGAAACGATACTCCAATCAGGTTGTGGTTTCTTACCTCTACATAAATTAGACAAAGTCCATGTGGCGGTTCTAATTAAAGAAGTCTTTGTAGAGTTAAATAAATTCAAAATTGGTTCCATGGCACCACATTGTAAAACATAATCTCTGTAACTAGTAGAATCACCAGCAACATTACCTAAAGCCCAAATAGCTTGTTCTTGGACCTCTACAGATCCTGTATACAATAATTGAATAAATAATGGAACAGCACCTGAATCCACAACATATTTAGTTTGTTCTGAAGTACCAGAAGCAATGTTAGTTAAGGCCCAAGCTGCTTCTAATTGTAACATTTCAGGTTGATTTTGATCCATAAAATTAACTAAAGTTGGAACAACACCAGATTGAATTACTACATCAATTGGAGGACGATATTCTCTTGAAAGAATTTGTCTAAATTTAATTGTAGCTGACAATTGTTCTTGTAAATCATTAGATTGAATTTGTTTAATCATTTGAGGTAATTCCTGTTGTAATTGATTATAGAATTGTTGATCTGCATCTTGATTATCTTCTTCATCTTCAGAATCATCTCCAGTTGTAGGTGGAACAAAATTTCTTCTCTTAGCTAATACTTCATCTCTTTTAGCTTTCCGTAGTTCCACTTGTTGAGTATCTCTTCTACGACGCAATTCATCAGCAGTAAATCTACTTTTATTTTTGAAATTAGTACGTCTGTACTCTGGAACGAATTTATTTGTGCTGGATTCGTTATCTTCCATAATGTATTTGGTTTATTGTCTTCTAATATATATATTGGATTATATCAATACCTAGAGCGACGCACAACAGTATAGCTTCAAAACAATATACTGAGAATTATTAAATATATACACTAGTATATAGTAATATTTTTGTTTCTTCCTTTGTTTCAAAAAAAACAGCAAAAAAATTGTGATGTATCTTCGCTTATTTTTTTTTTGATTTTTTAGTTTTTTTGTTTCTTGTTTCCAAAATAATTTTGTTCTAATTCTCAATCATCTTACGGATTGAGTTCCCTCCCTTTGCCACCAATTTAACGCTGAGCGAGAAAATAATTAATAGTATGAGAAAATACAATTTTCTTAAGCGAAAAAAAGATATATAGTACTAAAATTATAATATCTTTGGTCACTCAATACGAACGCCAGAGGGTAATTATTAATAGGAATTAATTACAAACCTCTATGAATATATATGGCTACAACAAAACAAATCAGTTTAATGAAAGTATTTAGATATATATTTATATATATAAGTCTAATATATTAGAAAATAAAGACAATCGAATAGGTAATATGTGGACAATATATTAGAGAAATTACCCCCTAACAATATACGCAAAAAATATATAATTAAACCTTCTTGTAAATAAAAATCAAAAGCTATCACTTTAAATACACACAAAAATAGCAAAATGATTCTCAATTAGTTATATCATATAATAACTCTTCCATAATACTAAAAAAACTTTCCCCAAATTATATTGCAATTCTTTTTTATTACTTTCTTTGGGACACACAATTAAAGAAAAATAACAAAAAATAGCAAAATTTGGAAAAATCTAAATAGTTATCTGAAGTAATCAAATAATAATTTAACTCTTATAAGAGGTCTAAATGTCGTTAAATAATTCACGAAATAGATGATGGGGAGGATAAGAAATTCAAAATAATATATTACCTAGATATACCAATTTCAAATAAATGAATCAAGTTGTCTATAATAATTTTTGTTTTGCTTAATGATTTGTTCAATCATTGAGAAGGGGGGGGGGAATAAAGCACAAAATCAAATAAAAGGAGCGAATGAAAGTTCTTCGAAAGAAACAATACAAACAGACCTAATATTGACTGCACATTCTATAAAATTTCGTTTCTGTTAAAACTTGTTTTGGAAATAAAGTTTTGATTAAGAAGAAAGAAAAAAGTAAAAGTTGAAGTTAGAGGAAAAATAAAAATAAAATTAATTTAACAGTTTCATAATAGTAGTTCTATCGAAACTTTCTAACTCACGGTTTTTTTTTCACACACACGCACACGAATAAAATATCCATTTTATGGTATAAATTGTAATTAAATGTAAAATAAAAAAAAGGAAAACACACGCACATTAGTTACAATTTCCCAAAGGGATTAATCAATGAATTAATTAATTAGGTATAAGTTGATATTGATGATAGAATAAGTTACGTTACTTATTTTTTAAAAAGGAAAAAAATAATAAATCGGTAACCTTAAGAAATTTGTATAATAAAAAAATTATTATACTTTTTTAATAGTTAAAAGATGAAATGGAGTGGATAACAGGGGTGAATAAAAACACACTACTGATTTTATTGCAAACAAAGAAAATAAAACCCAAAGTGTATTTTACAATTATAATAATAATAAAGCACCAGTAACAAAGGCAGAAACAGCAGTTAAACCAAACAATTGGAAAGAGTTAACTTGGCTTGGAGAACCAGCAGCGGCATTGGCATGCTTAACTTGTGGTAGACCACTCAAAGTAGAGTGATGCTTAGTCTTGTTAAACTTACCATACTTGTGAGTACCAGAGGAAGTAGAAGCCTTGGATTTTTTGGTTTTGTTAAATCTACCGTACTTATGGGTACCTGAAGAAGTAGAAGCCTTAGATTTCTTAGTCTTGTTGAATCTACCATACTTGTGAGTACCTGAAGAAGTGGAAGCCTTAGATTTCTTAGTCTTGTTGAATCTACCGTACTTATGGGTACCTGAAGAAGTAGAAGCCTTAGATTTCTTGGTTTTGTTGAATCTACCATATTTATGAGTACCAGAGGAAGTAGAAGCCTTTGATTTTTTAGTTTTATTAAATTTACCATACTTATGAGTAGTATGAGTAGAAGTAGTAGTATAAACATAAGTATCTTTACCATGATTATATTTAGTGGTGATAGTCTTTGTTGTAGTATATTCTTTATTTTGATCAACAGCAGCTACTAAGGAAGTAGCAGCTAAAGATAAAGTAGCAACAGTAGAAAATTTCATTGTTGATTAATATCTATGTGTATGTATATATATTTTTTTTATTAAAGTATAACAAATAAAAATGATAGTGGGAATATGATAGATATGATTCAGTTATTGTTTCGTTAATCTATCTTATATCTTCTCCTGTGTTTTATTTTTATTTTTATTTTTTCTTATTTGGAAAGTATACTTAATAATATTTTCAACCTCCTTCTAATAGAATTAAATAATAAAAACTATTTGTTTTTTCTTTGTATTAAAGTAGTTCAATAAAAGGTGTTGGTAGGTTGTGATTGAAAAGAAAAACTAATATTAGAGGTAATAAGAAGTAATCGTAAAGAGAATTAAAATAAAAAAGAAAAATAGACTAAAAGTATATATATAATATAAATGACTTTTTTTTATCAAATAAATTTGAAAGGGAGTAAACGGGTATCTATTTAATCGAAGATACATATTATATTGAAAAACAAACAAGAGAGTGAGAAAAAAAAGTGAAAGTAGTTTACCCAAGAAAAGAGAGAGAGAGAGAGAGAGGGAATAATTGACAAAAAAACGAGGGAATGAAAGTGAGTTTTACAGGAAAAATCTGAACCCCATTCATGTACAATTTAGTTATTATATTAAGATAAACAAGAGGAATTATACACACATTAAAAAGGAAGGAGATATGATAAAGATCATCATGATATTAATAAGAGAAAGAAGAATTGTTTGTTGGTCATCGGTAAATTAATTTTTCACTCACTTTTTTTTGTTAACTGATTTTGGTTTGTATTCATTTCAAAAACTAATTAAAGTACCATACGTAGAAAAAGGGTACCCAAATAGCAACATATACAGATTGTATGTGAACCCAAATGAGTATAAAGATTGGAATTGCAATAGGAATTCTGTCTTTTGTCCAAATAGTACGTACGTACAGTTTTAACAAAATACCCACGAATTCTCTTTACGTACGTACTTTGTTTACTATTTACTCTTAAAAGTCTTAAGAGAAAACAAACAACGGAAAACAAAAATATCGCACTTTTCTTCTTTTCCAATTTACCAAAGACAGCGCCGCACATATATAGCAAGAAAACAAAAAAAATATCCACGCGACGACCCAAACAATTTCTTGCTCAGTACTCCTCGTAGTCCCGAACCAAAGAAAAATAAATAGAGAGAGAACTATTTTCTCTCTTTCTTCGGCTAACCTGTGTGAGGTTTTAACGACAATAAAATGTATTTATTTTCTATCCGTTTTAGTTTTTTTTATTTTTAATTTACCTCATTTGGATTGTGTTTTTTATTATTGTTCCGTGAACAATACTGATCCACTGCCTAATCTCTTCTTATGAAAACATTAACAATATTGAACGGATGGGGGTATCATCAATCTTACCAGTCCTTGAATTAAACGGTAAGAAAAAAAAAGTAATAATAATATTAATGCTAGCAAAGGGTTCTCTGTAAGCTGATCAAAACAATTACACTACTCTGAAAGAAAAATGCTAATAATATTGAAATAATTTTATTTTTTCTTCAATGAAAATTATGTCATTTTGATATATTGTATATTCCCAGGTATATACGGATGTCAGAAATAATCCCAGTGAATGGGTTAAATTAATTTCATACCAAAAGGTGTGTGCGACTACCATATCTTATTCCATCTTTTTTGGTTTTTTTCAAATATGACAGGTAGGCCCGGAAAAATAAAACCATTATTCCCGTTGAAATAGTAAATAAGGGTTTTATGCTTATTTGCCAAATCATGATGACTATGGTAGGATTACGTATACAGTGAAATAATTGTGATTTTTATCTTTTTTTGAGGGCTTCTATATAATAAAACTGAAAACAAACTAGAATAGAATCTTATACACAACGTAAAAACAACAGCAACAACAACAGTAAATACTGCAAAAGTAGAGATAGTTTCTTGTTACTCATCATTAAAAAGAGAATAACTTCCGTCATTATAAATGTAGGCAAACAGTCTCAATTTGGCTTGGTGTATTCGTTTATCATGGTTGAAAAAGTTGCCAATGGTTTCGGGACTTTATCAGAATGAGGGACAGTTTACGAATCATGAAGCGTAACCGAGTCTAGAGCAGCTGTCAAATTAGGGAAGGTCTTAGACGCATCCACATTGGAACATTCAAAATCTTCTGTCACTGTTGTTTTTACAACATTCTCAGCTGTTGCACAAAAGAATCAGTTATCTCTTTTAATGTATTACCTCATAATTATATGTATTTACTTGTCACTCAACTAAACCTTGTTTTTTCAATGGACGCAGGCACAGGCAGACACACTCTGGTAAAATGCCGTAAAAAGTTAAATAATACTTCACCCCTAAGATTATACCTAGGATTCTCTTGATTATTGAATATTCTCGAGGGGGCCCCATTAAAGTTATTAATGTCTTATGTAGTAGTATCTTATATAGTTTTTAAAAGTCTCAGAGTAAGAAAGGTGCCAATATGATTCCTTGAGTCAGATCCGTATATATATATAACCAGAATTTCCCGTACTTGCGGGTTTCTATATCTACTAAGATAGTTTATAGCTCACACTCATACACATTTGAACCATTAATACATATTGTACTTAACCCAATTTTTCCATCATTAATAGTGAAATATGACGAACCTAGACAGCAAATCAGACACAGATGATAATTTCATTAAGAGGACCCAGATTGATTGGGATTGGATAATCATTGACGTAACAATCACTATTCTTAAAGCAGCTTTTTATGTCGCTCAAGGGTTTTGGTTTGCTACTTATGGAAGATCTTTATGGGATTTAGTTGGACTCATAGATAACTCAAATGTTGAAATAAATACGAAAGGTTGTGTAACTACCGGTGGAATACTTGTTCTGATAACTTTTCTATGGTGTGCTTTAGATCCAGATCCCAGTTCAGTTTTACGTCGAAAAAGGACAGAGGCTACGCATGAAGCCAAAACTTCAATAAAATATTACTTAAAAAAGAAATTGAAGGGAATGTTATATATCATATATCAGCTTCTTATTTCACTAGTGATATTCAGTTTGCTCACCCTGATATGGAATAAGATTCACGAGGAACGGTTGCCCAATACCATAGTAAAATTTGCTTTACAGCATACCGTAAATTTGACAATAGCCTATGGTTGGTTATGTTCCTAAAATTACTTCGTTGTCAATAATGCCTCACACAATCACACTCTGTATAGTGATCCTTAGTAAAATCGATCAAACATCGAGTAGTTTTAAATATAACAGTAGACTGACCTATTTTTAAAAATTGACAGGGGATCAGAATGTCAGTATATTAGGTACCACTTATACCGGGCAACAAATATATACACACTTAAGATGATTTGGTGATGGTCACATTAATAAATTTATACGAGTACTCTAAGTGTTCTCCGACTGGTTGTTCTACCCATCCAATTTGATTAACTGTAACTGTACCAGAGAATAAGAATCCATTAATAAAACTTGAATCTGATGTTATGCCGTCTTACTTATACAACTTTATGATTTTAGTATGCATTTTTATATATGTCTGTACACCAAAGAATTATCGTAGCGCAATTTATGTGTACATCTATTCCGATTTCTAAAGAATAAGTAATCGAATTACCTCTCCATCTATATGTATATATATGCCTCATGACTATTATAATTGTCTCAAACGACCTTCTCTCTCCAATGGAGGAACGTTCTTCTCCACCGTTTTTCCAACAGGTACAGTACCCATAAATCCTCTGTTTTCCACCAATGTTGAACTTCTAAGATATAATGGATCTTGTTGATAGTATTCATCTATTATTGGATGCATTAATATCGTTTGTTTTTTAATAGTTAATACACTATTTGTTGGAACTGCAGTCCAATCACCTCTCTCAAATGTTAATGGTTCCGAAGCAACCATAATAACGTCTTGGTTCCTATCAAGACGTTCCATTCGATATTCACCAGGGGAACTCTCTACAAAACTTGAACCACAACTAAAATGTAATGATGCAGCTTCGTCAGTTTCAGATGTTATATATCTTGATACAACAACTGTAGACCCATCCGTGACAGCAAAATTTAATAACGAAGGTTCCCATGGTTCATCACCTGTATATGCTTCCTTTGTCCAATCTTTAATATATTCTATTGTCTTCAATAATGATTGTCTCAGTGCAACATGGCCAAAATCACCCATTATTTGTTTTGGATCACAGCCAAATTTATCTAGTGTATCCAGAAATAATGCAAATGCAAATTCTGAATCAGTACTACCTTGCACATAGTTTAAATATTCATCCTTGATGTGATTCAATAATCTTCTTTTAATCTTATTAAAATTTGATATACCACCGTTATGCATGAAACAAATGTTATGATACGTGAATGGATGACAATTAGTCTCTGACAATACACCATATGTAGATGCTCTAACATGAGCAAACACCAAATCTGATTTAGTCTTCTCGGCTAAGGTCTCTAAGTTTTGGTTGTTCCAAGCAGGGGTGATAGCTTTAAACATACATGGTCCATCAACATCTAACTCTTGATCTTCAGGGTAGTATGCAACTCCAAACCCATCACCATTCATTGGCCGCCTTGTATCCAATCTTAATCTACTGTCGAAGGATTGATTTATAATAGAATGTGCTGGTCTCGTTAACAAATGCGATAACCGTATTGGCTCTTTCCCTTTGAATATTAAAAATCTACACATATCTTTACTTCTATTATTTTTTTTTTGTGATATATTAAGAAATGTTTTCTACTTTTGACTATTTTATGTCTCTTCTTTATCTGAAAATAACACAATAAAAGGATATATAACTTTCTTTCAGACTTAAAATATGAACACAATATATTGTATCGTAAGTAATGCCTCCCTTTATATCTTAATCTAGTAATGTTCTTTTGGAATCAACAATCTTGCTATCCTTTGACTCACTATTAAATAAATGTGAATATTCACAAGGAATGACTGTTTTCGCCTTATCAAAGGAAGCGCCAGTCAAAAAAAAAGGATAGAACCACAGTTTATAGGGCCATGCCCAATAAAAAATTTGATAAACTATTGCACTTCAAAAATTATAAAACAATAAAACAACTAACTCATCAATGGAACAGTATCAAAATGAAAAAATGCTTTTCTCCTTAAGCTTAAATATTTAAATATATGAATACATAGTTATAAATAATGATACATCTTTCACCTATGTGTCATTCTCTTGTAAAATCTACCAATCATATATATAGAACAGCCAAAAAATCTAACCAATGCAGATAATGCAACTAAATATAAGATAACTGTAAAATATATCGTAGCCTTATCAGTTAGTAATGGCCTTTCGATATCAGTAGCTGATAAAGTTTCCCCAGTAGTATTATTTTTTCTGGCACTTCTCATTGAGAGATAATCACCAATACCACCAGTTTCTAACACAGCAGCACAAACACCAAAATTGGTCATAACCCAAAAGATAATAACAAGGGATCTGATATTAGCATAATAACCTGGTTTTTTTTCTTCTAAGGATGCTTCTTTCGATTTTCCTTCTTTCGGTTCAGGTTGGGTTAAAATGTTCATATATTTGTTGTAATTGGATTGAATCTCCTCACTAGAGACCAAAATTTCCATTTTGAAGGTACCATCTTCTTTAGTAGTAATTTTCCCCAATGGTTTAGCCACTGAACCCTTTGTACCCCAAGAGATATCGTGAACGTTACAAAAAGCGTAAATATTCAAAACATTAATGTATGAAGGACTCAACAGAATATATTGGACAAAACTGGTAAACATATGCCATGGTTGGAGGTAGATGATAGAACTGATAAAATATAACGCATATGTAGAACCCATTGAAATTATTAAATCTCTGAAAGCTTCTCTAGAAATTAAACCTTTAAAAGTAATATTATCAGACTCTAGAATACTTTGGAAGGATTTAACACTCATAAACACACTACAAAAAATCATGTAAATCATCAATATCGCAAAAAAGATGCAATTTAAAACATAATACTTCTCTGTACTAGGTGGTTTATTACCTAACGATAAGATGAAAGTGGAAAAGATAGATATACCATATAACCATAAGAACACAACGGATAGAATACCAAAAACAGCATTATAATAAACAGCAATAGATAGGGTTAAAATTCTGAAAACCAAAAAGAAAGAACTCAATTGGAACCAAGCCACAACTGTATTGAATAATAGGTAAATGAATTCTAAATTCAGTAAAAATTTTCTACCAAAATTATGACCACTAGTCCAAATTTTATAAAAGTGAGCAAACGAATAAACACCTGCAAAAAATGAACCATTTAACCAACGTCTTCTTTGTAAAATAAATTCTGGAACTCTTTCTGGAACATCTGTGGAGGCATAAGAACTTCTACAATATTTCAGGACCCAGCTAGCATTCTTTTTCACGACAATCTCAAAACATAAAATACGATCTTCAGCTAAGTACATGTTTGAAGAGAAGAAATGCAAACCTTCATCAGCAACCTTTTCACCATAGAAATATTTTTCTAATGGTTCACCACGAACAGCTTCAAATCTGTAGGCAGAGAAAGCACCAGGTAACACAGTAATGAAACCAAAATTAGATTCCGTAGTTTTATCCAAAATATTTGACATCTTATATTCAAAATTTTGGGATGCAATTAATGGATTAACTAAGTTTTTGAAGTTTTTACCAAGATCGGTTCTAATTTCACCACAAGCACCACCAACATTTGGCACACGGAATTCTCTCCATAATTCATAAATAGAATCCTTACCAGGCATGGTACCAGCATCAAGCAAAACCACAATATTTGGTTGTAATAATTCTGCAAAACCTTCAAATGCCCATCTATGAGAATTGATTTTCTTTTGATTTTGTTCTTTTAATGCAAATAACAATTGTACAGGAACAGTAGTTTCATTAGCAACTAGTTCAACAGAATCCTTACCAATATTATCAATATTAACCATTGTTGTATGTTCATAAACGTGCATTCCAACTTTTTTATCGTTAATTTCATCCTTAGCAAAACCATCTTGATAACAACCAAGAGAACTGATTAAAGCTAGTGACCTTTCATTTATCTTGGAACGACCGTCAGAGACGATACAAACTACGATTTTTTTCCAAGCGTCTGGTCCCCAAGTACTTGAGTTCTTCTTACGAACCATATGCTTTATATTTTGCATAACACCTTTCAAAGTTCTACCCAATAAAATATGATCCTCATTATACATAGTGATAACAATCATCAATTCAGTTTGTCTTGGTCTTAAATATTTTAATTGTCTAACTGTAAAATTATTTTGAGCTAATTGATTTGGTTCACATGTAATAGCTTGGTATCTCATAAATTTAAATTCATTAGATAAAAGATTTGGACTCTCTACAGCTGTACTATATTGATCAATCAAATTTTTACTTATTGGAGAATCAAAGATAAAATTACCTCTCCATAATTTAAATTTTCTAACTTCTGTAGCTTCTCTTTTTGGTAACCATCTATTACTACCATCATTACTCAATATTTTATCTTCATCTTCTGTTGAGAAAAGCATTTCTTTAGAATCCACTGAAGAAATTGATGATTGAGTTCTTTCATTAGCCATTTTATCTAATGTAGTTAAATCATTATTAAAATCATCATTTTCATATTCACCTAAATCACGGTGTGATAAAGAAAGATCACTACCTTCTACACTATTTTCACCATCTTCATTATCACTATATGAATAATCAAAATTATTTGTACGACTATATGGTCTTTTCAAAAAATTACCATTATCATTACCATTATTAGCAAATTGATAAGGATCAATCATGTTACCATTTCTATCTAAATAAGAATTAATTTCATAATCATTACCATTATGATCTATATAACTATTTTCAATATCTTCATTAATATTTTGATTGTTAGAATCATAAGGATCACGGTAAGCCAAAGGATCAAAATGATCTGTTGACTGAGATTGTCCATTATATGGTAAAATTGGTTTTGTATCTTCATCACTTGATATAATACTTGGTGAAGCACCATTACGATCTGGTGAATAAGATCTATTAACTAAATTTGATTGACTATTATTTGGATATTCTAAATTATTTGTTGAATTTGTATTTTGGTAATAATTTTCATCATTAAAATAATTTGTTGGAGGTCTTTGATTTAAGCTTGAATATATTGGGTTTGGAGAATCTATACTTTGTTGAGTTGATTCATTATTAACAACTGAGGCAGGTATAACATTAATATTTGGTGGTCGTATTCTTTGTGACTGTTGTCTTGTGTTTGAAATAAATACATCATTGTATTCAGGTGTTGCCATTACATTATTATTATTATGGGTATTATTATTATTATAATTTGGTTGATGACTTACAAAATTACTATAATTACGAGTTGGCATATTTGATGTTGCTTGAATATTATTATTGTCATATTGTAATGGTTCAGTTGGAGTCAATTGTATACTATTTTGAAAACTTGAATCATTTGATATATTTCTTTGTTGATATGGGTTTTGAATGCCATTACTGTTATTGTTATTATTTGTAGTTTGGTTATTATTTTGATTATTATTCATATTTGAATTTGGATTATATGAATAATCACCATAATTACCATTATTATAGCCATTCATTGTATATACACTTTTATTTTATTTTATTTTTCGGTCTCTTATAATATATCACAATAAATGTATATTTGTATTTGTTTCTATATTATATATAATATATATAAATAGATTGTGAAAAAGTAAATAAATAAAAAGAATTCCTTGAGATAAATTTATTGATCTATTAATTCAAACTAAAGCCCATGATTTACTTTAAAACACACATACATCCAACATCCATGAACTATATATATATATATATAATTCTACTAAGTTACATGATCGAGATAAAATGAATGGAGAGGATCAAACAAACAAACTTTTATTCAGTAACTAACTTAATCATTGTATCAGATGTGTTAGATCAATTTTTTTTATCGATGACCTTTTCCGTCTGTGTTACAGCAGCTGTCACAGTGTTCCTCCCCCCTCGCCTAGTTAACCAGTAAATCTATTGTATAATATAATGCATCAAGACAAACTTTCAGTTGGCAAAAACGGGCTTGCTGGGCTTTTTTATTTTATTTTATTTTTAAGAAATTTAGAATTTTGATACGCGAATTTCTTTCAATATTTTAACGCGCCACGCCAATATTTTTTTTCTTTTTGAAATTTATTAATAAATTGCGTGGCGGTTCTCCGAGAAATGACAAAGAAAAACTAGTTATTGTTGTATACAATAGCCGTTAGCCAAATCAGGTAATTTAAATGGGGGAATTAAAAAAAATATATATATATATATGGTAACGTCCTGTACGCAGGTTTTAGAGGACGTTTATACATAACCCAATTTAATTTGAATTCTTAAAATAGGAGTGGCTTGGTTATCGCTATGAACGGAGCGCACGCTTTGTAAATATTTCGTTGCATAGTGCCTGGATATAGGAGGGCGGTTAAATATTCCATTACAATGCGATATGTATAAATAGATTTTGCATTGTTAGACAACTTTTCATCTATATATGGAACGCTTCTAACCTTAGTGTTTGCTTTTTTCTCTTTTAATTTCGTTGTTGTTTAAAGTAATCTTGAATAAAATGGATGATCCTTAAGTAAATCTTGAATTTCCATATCCAAGGATTCAATATTAGGTTGTTGTGATGCTGTAGTTGATTCTATCATAGCATTTTGATTTTCATAGTACTCCATCAATTGAAGACGACTTGTAGCTTGATTATATATGTAATTTCTTTTCAATTTATCAACTATAGTTTCTTGCATTCCACACGATTGTTTTGAAATCTTTTGTGCATTTAAAAGTAAAGTCTTGGCATTTTTCATTAATATTAACGATACTTTCATTGAAGTTTCATCCTTATTATTATTATTATTATTATTATTATTGTCAATCATTTTAATTGAATATCTTCTTAATTCGTTATCTGAATTTGTAATATAAATAGTGCAAAGTTTAAAAACAATTTCACTTAATTGATCCATTTGTAATTGATCATATATATTATTAGTTAATATATTATTTCTCTTTGTTGATAGAATTTTAATTACTTCAGTTAGTTTTTTTGATAATAAACTTGATAATTCCCATTCAATTATAGAGTCTTGATTTGTAAAACATTCAATAGATAATTCTAATGTATCAATTTTAATCATTTGATATGATAATAGATTTTCTAAATTTGATTCAATTATTTTAATTTCTTGAAATTTTAAAAATTCTTTTAAATCACCTTGTAAAATTTTTTTATCACCTTCTATGCTAAATTTAATTAATTTAATTTCAGTTAAATTTAAATTTAATTCATTAAATTCTGTTCTTTCAATATCTTCTAATTGTAAATATAATTTATCAATTAAATCAATTAAATAATTAATTTGAACATCATTTAATTTTTCATTTTCGGATATATCAATATTTAAAACTAATTTATTCTGTATAATAATTTCAATTATAATTTCAATAAATTTATAACAATTTAATATTACTTCTGATAATGTTTCAATTGTAATTTGATCAGAAACTTCCATAATTTCTTCCCTTTGAGAATTATTATTTATGCGATTTATAACAATACCTGATCCATCTTTATTTAGATTAACTGAATTTGAATCCTCATCTAATTTATCTTGAATTAAATTTGAATCTTCTTTTTCATTTATTGAAAAATTTGACCAATTTTCTAATTCATTAATTTGTCTCTTGATCAATAATTGTGATAATTCAATAAATTTATTTGAAATTTGAATAATTTCACCACTTGAAATTTTGTAAAATTCATTCGTCTCTAATAACGATAGATATGATGTTAATAAATTATACTGCAAATCCCAAATATCAATTAAATTATTATTTGCAAATTGATTGTAAACATTTTCTAAAATATTAACAATTTCAGGTAAATTTTTTAAAATTATATTAATATTATTAATATCATCTAATTTAATATATTTTAAAATATTAATATATCCATCATTTGATAAATAATCCGTATAAATTTGTAATAATAATCTACTTTTATTATACAGTAAATTATAAATTATTTTATCATTTGATTCATTTAAGTTCTTTAACCCTAATTCATATAAATTGAATGCTTCTAAATAAAATTTTAAACTTTTTTTAATATCTGAAAGTAACCAACGTTCAGCTTGTTCTTCTTCAAATGTACCTTGTTCATAATAATCATTCTGTGTAATCAATTCACGTTTAATTTCTGTTTTATTTTTATTTTTATTCTTCTTTGGAAATCTTCTATTCTTCATTAGTGTTTATTGCTATTTGGTATAAATGTTATCCTAGTTCTGTTCCTGTAGTGATTAGTAAGATAGAATCTCTTTTCTTATGAATTCTTTCCAATAGTTTAACACCCGTTTAATTAACTTTAACTTACTAAATTGAAGATCCCTTTTTACTAAATTTTTCATTTGGTATCCATCTGTCTCCCTTTTCCCGCTTTCTCCTCCTTCACTATTTTCAAGGACCAATACCCGAATACATATATGTATATATAGAAAAAAGTAAAATTAACAACAATCATCAAACATCAAACAGATTTAAGGCACGACAATTTAAAGAGAATCAGGGTCCATCATTCCAAGCCTGTGAAATAAAAAAAAGATTGCCGAGCAGAAGGAGAAGTGACAAGCACAAATTAGTAATATTTTTTTTGATTGTAAATGATTCAAACTCACGTAAAATTCAAATAGCTCCGCTATTCTTAGAAATATTACCAAGTCGTTTGATCGTAGCTAGAGTAAGAGAGGGAGAGAGAGAAGATATCGATTTTATATTAGAATGTTTAATGAGGAGCAATATCTCACATATGTAAAATATACATATACTCCATCACGAGGTTTTCTATGGCTTGCAACGGAATAGATTGTAATTCCATTCACAAAAACAAGGCAAATTGGGTTTTTTCTTTGTTTCCTAAACACGCACAGCCGTGCGTGTCATCCGAGGCACCATTGTCATGATGACGTCGTACTCACCCCCCTCTCTCCGTACATTTAAAACTATTAATAACAATTTTTTTTATTAGGAATGAATACAATACACGCACGACAAGAGATATAAATTAAGGGTTCACCCAATAGTATATCATCTGAACAGTGATAAAAATACTATATAAATGATTTAAAGCATTTTCATATTGGAAAAAAGATAGACTTTGACATGTCATATATTTGTTACAATAAAAAAAACCGTATAAAATAATCAAATTGATAAAAGTTAAGTCAAAGTAAGAACAAAAGTTACAACAAGTTAAAAATGTCACTAAAAGGAACACCACAAGATCCAAATTTTGGATATCATGATGCATCAGATTATGCAAGAATGTTAGGAGAAGGTCAAACTGCAAATGATTATATTCTTCAAAATGAAATCAAAGATGAAAATTCACAAGAAAAATTATCATCTTTATCAAATTCATCTTTATTGCATCCAGAATATCCACCAACACATCTTTTCAACAATATGACACCTGAATATCCTGATTTCCAATATATGTTAGATGACGAAAATTTAAATTATTGTCAAAATGGTATATTACCTGATGATTGTTCAGGCAATAAATTAAGTTTTGATACTAATGGTATTGGTATACCTGGATGTGGTATGCCAACAAAACATGTTGGGAATTTAGAAGAAAGTATGCTGCATACTATTGATCCAGAAGATATGGTAGAGTCAAGAATGGATGAATTAACCAGTTCAGAAACAAGCCAAAATACATCTCCAAGAGGGTTTGATGGTCATCATACACCTGTACCAGGTTGTGGAAAGCCTAATCCTTCACCACATACTGTCAAGCCATGGCATTTAATTCCACAAGATTTTTAAATTTATTAGTGGTTTTTTTCTCTCTCTCTCCCCCTTTCTAAATTAAATTTATTTATTTGTTATATATTGAATATATATCAGTTTTTTACGTTAAGGACATTAAATTATTATCATTATCAATAAATACCAACTTTTTCTTTTTTATAAATTATTTAGTGACATATCTGTATTTCAATTAAAATACATTTCTATAGCTATAAAGAAATTGTTATATTTCGGAGTAACTTCCTCCTTTACTAACATATATGCAGTGAATGATTCAATTAAATTGTAGTAATAAGTTATTTTCTTACAATATAACTATAAAAAAAAAAACGAAGTCAATTTTATCCGTTATGGCGGATGAGGCTGTAACGTACATAATAAATATCTGTATACATATATAAAATATGCATAAATTCAGAATGATTCAGTTTTCAGTTACTCGATCCCTTAATTTTAAATATCTTTATTTATTTATTTATAAAGAATCAAGATAGCAGGCGGTTGAAAGAAATTTACATATTTATAATTATTATAAGTAGAGGGGCTTATTCATAATATATACAATTAGTATATATATTACTTTAAGGTAAATCGCAATAAGAACAAAAATGAGTGCTATTGTTTCAAATAATAATGATACCACATCAACATATCATTATAAAAATTCAAATAGAAAATTGAAAAGAAATAAAAAAGATGAAACAAATTTAAATAAAAATAAGAAAAATAAAAGTAAAGCACATCAAAGACATGATTCTAAAAAAAACCAACGTTCAAAAAATATATCAAATGATTGGTCAACATCATTTGAAGAAGAAGAAAATGATGAAGATAATAGTAATAATACATTATGTGAACAATTTCAATTTAAAAATATTTCAAAGGATATGAAAAAACCTATTATTATGATAAATCAAGAAATTCAAACCGATCCACCATTAGGTAAACATATTGAACAACTTTTCTTCACTAAACCATCTAAGAGCTCGTCTAGATATAATTCAATTTGGAATGATAATATAAATAAACAAAATAATAATTTTGAAGATTTTAATTCAAATAAGATTAATTCAACACCGATTAAAGAAAGACGGTGGTCTGGTGAAACTGTATTTTCTGAAACTTCTTTGTTATCGCCATTTAATTCTCCTAGACAATCAATATCTGGATCAACTTTACCCAATCCAGATCTTTTCATCCAAAACAAAGCTATTACAACATCAGAAGATAGTCTTAATAAACAATCAATTCGATTCAATCATTTAAATTATGGAGATGATCAAATATATAGGATACCATTTGATTCGAATACTCAACAAGAAAATGAATTACAAATAGCTATTAAAAAATTAACAGAATTGTGTTCTCCTCTATCACAAAACAATACAACTACTGAGAAAGGTGTTATTTGGTCAGATATTCCTTCATGTTGTCAATAATAAACTACATGAAGAGTATATCTAATGATATATTTTTCTATCGCTCTCTTCCTCTCTTTTTGGCGGTTCTTTCCTAAAGAGATCCCTTGCATATTTAATAAACTTATAAAATCCAACTCTTGCATCGCTACACATATAGACTATTTAAACAAATATCAAATATAAAATAAATTATTGTCAATTACAGACATATGTAACGAGGATTACTTTTGCTGTCATTATTACTACTAATAAATAATATTAATCGTGTTTCAAATAAGAGAGGGTAACGCCCTGTCGCAATAATATTATGACTCTAAAAGTTACCCTGAAAAAAGATCCAATGGTTTTATTTCCGCCACATTTTCTTTTTTTTTTCAGATTGTAAAGATCCCTTTAATCTTTCATTCTTTCTTGTACTATTTCAAACAGGACAGTAAACAATGCCCCATTTTAAACAACGTCGATAAACTCGAAACCAAAAGTCTAAAGTTTCATGTATCATCTTGACTATATATTGTTATGTATATATATATGCAAAAGTTAATAGAACTCAACCAAACCGAAATAAAGCACAGCTGACCGCGTCCCTGTCTCTGCCTCTGTCTCGCGCGATCTCAGAAAGCTAAGGAAATAACAATTTTTTACTATTATTATTGATCGCCTAACCAACGAAAGCGAAAAAGTGCCCAGTAACAAAATAAACAAAATAAACAAAACGAAGCGAAGGGAAATAACACACACGCTCCCACAGTTCTTCCTAACAACTTGCGTACAGAGTCAAAGAGAGAACAAGACTTTTTTGGCTTTTGAAGCGAAAAAAACATAAAAAAACAATAAAAATTATTTTAAAACTTCCATAATTTAATTTTTTTTTATTTTTTTTTAAAAGAAAGAAAACTTATACCGTTACAAATTACATTATAAACATAACAACACACACATATAAACACAACTTAAATAGAGACATACATAAGTTAAAAGGATACTTAATATCATCAAAACACGGAAGTACTCAAGAGTTATTACAATCTATACTATTGATTTGAAGTTTAATAGTTCCTAAGAAGAAGAAGTGTACTATTAACATTTTCCCTTTTCTCTAAATTTCGCGGTATCCCCTTTTGACAGTTTAATACATTAATTTTTTTTTTTGGTTGTTAGTAATAATAATACTATACTAGGATACCCTCTTCAAAGTTGTGAGCTTTATCTAATTTGAAATTAAATTAAAAAGATTCAACAAGTTACTTATCTATTACAAAACTACTTGTTTTTTTGTTCCAGTTATTTATTTATTGTTATTTTTGCCCTTTTCTTTATCTAAAGGAAACGCGTGTACTATACATCAGAATACGAACAAATAAAACAGAACAAGAACTTACATTACTATTACTAAGTGAACTAAAATTTTGTTCATAGTTCTTTTTATTTAGTTTAATAATAAAAGAACACAGATTATAAAAATAAACAAACATGAATACTTTAAACGAGAAAACATCTCCTTTGCATTTATCATCGGTTTTAAATAACCTTTCATTAGACATCAATCAACAACAAGATGCTTTAAATGGAAGTTATTCTTTAAAATTAGGTAATTTACCCCAAGATATTACGTTAAGAGAAGCATATACTATCTTTGCATTAACAAATAATTTAGTAAATTTAGAGCTTATAGAAAATCAAACGGAAGAAACAGGAATTATAAAACCAGAAATTTTAGCGAAATTCAATTCAATAGATTCTGTTGTTTATTGTGCACAATTACTTGTATCAAAAACTGATATATTTGGTCCAAAGGATCCAATAATTTGCCATGTTGAAGTTATTGATAATTTAACAAATAAATTAGTTCCATTTCAAAATATTCAAATTAATGGACGTTCATCATCATCATCATCTCACTTTAATACAAATAATGGACAAATTCCACCTTTACCAAATTTAAATTCAATGATTGGTAGTAATACGCATCCAACAAATGCTCAACAACAACAACAGCAGCAACAACAACAACAACAACAAAGTAATTCATCACGTTCAAAATTTTCATTTAGTGATCCATTTGCTAATAATATGACAAATCAAGACTCTATTCAACAAAATCATCCAAATACTTCAAATGTAAACCAATCTCATCAAGATATATCTGTAAATACTACTGATGTTGGAAAATCATTCTTACTTATGGACAATGATGAAATTAATGATACGATATGGGGACCAAATGCAATTCCTTCAAGTATTAATGGTTTAAGTAATACACCTCAACCATCAACACCAACTGTAGAATGGGGTAATTCAAGTAGTAGGAAACAAAGTTCTGCATTTTTCCTACCACCTGCTTCAGGATCTGTTGGAACTCCAACAATACCTAATATGGACGTTAATGTTATGTCGATGCCTAAAGGAGTACAATTACAGGGATCAAGTAATCAATCTCAAATTGCACCAAATCAAGCTGTATCTTCTATTCAACCTTATGGTATGATGAATCAAATGGGATCTAACAGTAATAATAACCCTACATTACAAAATATGATTGATCCAAATGAAATTAATTATCCTGCACCTCAAAAACCACAACAAGGTAATTTTATGAATAATTCTCCATTTAAAGGTAGAATAAGTACTAACCAACCTAGAAATTTAAGTGAAGGTATGGTATCTACATCCCAACATGGTGGTCAAATTCCTAATAATTCCTCCAATACTAATATTACCAATGGATCTTCAAATAATTTAGTTAAGATAAATTCTTCAACTAAAGTATCATCTTCTACACCTGTATCTAAAGGTAATAATCCTTCATCAAGTATATCTCAAGCAGATTTGTCTTTGTTGGCAAGAGTTCCACCACCTGCTAACCCTGCTGATCAAAATCCACCTTGTAATACGTTGTACGTTGGTAATTTACCTCCTGACGCTACTGAATCGGAATTAAGACAATTATTTTCAGGTCAACAAGGGTTTAGAAGATTATCCTTCAGAAACAAGAATAATAATGGAAACGGCCATGGTCCAATGTGTTTTGTTGAATTTGATGATGTCAGTTTTGCCACTAGAGCACTTGCAGAATTGTATGGTAGTCAATTACCACGTACCACTACTAGTAATAAAGGAGGTATTAGATTAAGTTTTTCAAAGAACCCATTAGGTGTTAGAGGTCCAAATAGTAGGAGAAATATAAACTCCTCTAATAGTACTACTCTAGGTGGTGGTAACCCAAGTAATTCGTCAGCACCTAATAGTAATATGATTGGTTTACAGAATAATCCTGTAATAAATAGTACTCCTGTTCCATATAGCTATACCAATAATTATGCTAAAAATTAAGCATTTTCCTTAATTGGAATTTTATTTTTATTTTCACGCTTTGCCTTATTTTTTTGTCATCCCCCTTCATCAAGTCATTTATTCCTTCTAGTTTTGTTTTGTTTTTCTTTCTCTCTTTCTCTCTCTATTTTATTTCATAATCCATATTATTCCTGTCTTCAATCATATGTTGTTTTTACAGAAACAACAACAAAACACACATAAATGGAAATAATTCTGTTCAAGTAAAAAAAAACCTAATTTCTTTTCTCTTTTTAGTTTTACTTTTTAAGACTGCTGTTAATATATTTACTTATTCATTATTACAGTGTTGCACACCTCTCATTCTACTTTTAAAAGACAATAGCACACTAATTTGCGTTGCATTACATTTTATTATTATTAGACATATTATTAATATATTTGTTTTATGTTTGCACATATACATATACAGATACATAATTACATATATATATTTATACTATTACATCCATTCTAACTATATTGTATTATTAACTATAAATTAACGTTTTTATATGATGTTGAGGAGCAATATTTCGTGTTTAAAAACAGGGTTCATAGGTCTTTCAATAATTTAAGAAAGAAGTGACGCAAATTATAGAAATTATTTTTACAATTTGCCATTCCTAAAGAGAGTGCAAGTATACACATTGATGTAATCAAAGTTCGAGATGCTTTGAATATGATTTCATTACCATTTTCTATGTCTACAGAACAATGTGTAATATTTGCTTTAATTCAAGTATTCCTTATTGTTGTTTACAAGAGTTGAAATGACAGAATATCATTATTCACCTTATCTAAAGAAGGAAAGAAATCGAATAATCATAATTGATTTATCAATTTAATATTCGTATTATCAAGAATCGTTTGATACTTATCATATTCAGTCATATCTGCAATAATTTTGACATGTATCGTGCCAAATTTTATACCAGCGTTGTTTGCGATAGAATATCTTAGGTATTGCTTAGTTTGATATTACGGCTAAGTCATTTAATCGTACCATAAAAGTCCTACTAAGAGGAAATATCAAAACGTGGTAATATTGAACAATCCAGAAAAACAAAAAAACAGTGAGGCAGAATATCGCGCACAACGTCGACCAATTTTGAACAAAAAATTTGAAAATTTTTTTTCATGAATTTTAAAAACGAAGGTTGCTCCTGGGATTACTGTGGCAGAAAAGAAACTGAAATAATGAAAAGTTGAGTGCATCAATTGAGGGCTTAAAATCTAAGTAAACAAGGCCTGAGAGAGAGAAAGAGAATCTAACAAGTACCTCTCTGCTGCCTTTCTGATTGTCATTGTTGTTTCCTGCTGTCTGTCAATTAACAAATATTTCCTGGCCGTTTTTCTTTCCTTTCAGACGAACGGAACAAATAATCGGCCATCTCGTAGGAACAGTAAAATATAGTAAGCAGGAAAGCTCGTGGTTGCTCCTTCTACCTAGAGTTGGATGCTGTTGAAAGAAGATGAAATATATAACGGGAACCAAATCATTTAGTGTTGAGTATTTGTTAATGCATCAGATTCTCCATTTTCGTTGCATCTTATTTTGGAAACTTCGGTATCACGGTCTTCGCAAAGAAACGAAGTAATAACAATACGTCAAAATATCAAAAATCAAATCACTTGTCAAGTTTATTCTTTACATTAAAAAAGAAACCCAATCTTAACAGTACCCTTATTTTAATCATATTACTTCGTAACTATATATTTACTTGTTGACTTCTTTTGTAGATATATATATATATGTATTAGTAAGAACTTGTTCAAGCAACTTGGGGTACACCTAAAATATCCGCGACTTATTTATAGAGCTTCAGAGCAACAACCCCATATATTTGATAAGATTAGTTACAAGTCTAGATTTGTTTTTTATTATTAGGTTTTAATATTTATATTTGTTTCTATCCAGGAGTTTTCTTATAACAGAAAAAACATACTCCATATTTGTGCCTATAACTGAAACATGAACGAAATTGAATTCAATATAACAACTAATCAAAATATTACGACAACGTCACTTGGATTAGTCCATCATCAAACTAAACTTGATGTCTTTATTATAAAAGCCTTCAGTTTACTTACAAATAGAGCTATTATAGATAGTAACGGGTTTAATAGTACTGTGAACTCTCCTCAAACAACGATACCGCCAAGTACCACAGCGTCAAATTCAAAATCAGGAACACCGAATGGTAGTAATTCAAACGTTAATACACCATCTCAAGGTAAACTTGATTCTATCGATCAACCAGGTGATTTGACTTCAACGAATGCATCTCAAATAGTTAAGAGTGAGATTCAAGAACAAGCAAGCCAACAAAACAATATATTTACAACTCGTGGTCAATTTATTCCAATATTCCAAAAGGTATCCGCAGTGTATAATGCTACCTTAACAAATATACCTATCGATGAAAAATCGACGTCTCCAAAATCTGCAATAGAATTATTTCAAAGATTACATCAAATTATTCGTGAATTATCTTTAAGCTATTCATCCTCTCCATATGCTGGTTATTTCGATAGTTTAAAGGATAATATGTGGCAGATTAAATCAGATTCAGAACTCGCCACAGATCAACTTTGGCAGTTAGTAACAACAAGTATACTAACAGTGTTCAATCCTGAGACAGGAAATATGATTAATCAAAATATCCGGAACAAAAGAATTAATTCTTCAAATTCTTCTCCCAATAATTCAGGTTCTAACACAGAGGGAGCTACTGGAAACAATACTGCCGAGACTACACCCACATCTTTAACAAATTCTACGAATTCTACTGTAACAGCTAATAGTGGTAACAATGCAGGGCAGGCACCTAAGAGAGTTAAGAAAAAATATGTTAGAAAGAAAAACGTAACAACTAAAAAAATACAAAATACGAAAAGTACAAATGTACAAGGTACATGTAATTCTACTTCAGTGGTGCCAGATTTTTCACTCAATCAAGAAGACCCATCAACGAACAATATCAATGGTCAGCAACAATTAACTCAACAACAACCTTTTAATATGAACATTGACGCTTCATTACCCCATATCTTACAGAAGAGACTCCAAAATGTTTCTCAGGATGTCAATTCGAGGTCACTCGCCGGATATTATACACAACCAACAAGTCCAGGTTCTGATGTGAATAACTTTGAATTTAGCTTAGCGCCAAATGATTTTAATTCAACAGATTATAATGCAGCTCTCCAAAATGCAACAATTAACTCCAATGGCAATATAAATACTGAGGCAACTAACCTAATAGGAAATAATGGCTCTGTAAATATGAATAACAATTCATTAAATTCATCGATATGGAAAAGAAGATCAATGGGTGCATTAGATGGAACTGTAATGGATGGAGAAGATGCTGTAGATGACATATTACAATTTTCCAACACTCTGAAGAATAAAAATAATCGTGGCGGTATAACTGTAATGGATAACACATTAAGTAACCGTGGAACAGATGTTCAAATTAGTATGGAGAATAGCATACAAAGTAACGACGCTAAAAATGAACATGATATGATGTTAGTAGATCATATTTCAAAATTATTAAAGCAATCCTATGACTCTTTATTGAATGAAAAGGATCAAAGAATCTCTCAGCTGGAAAGAGAACTGGAATTACAAAGGAATGAGACACAATGGCTAAGAAAGATGCTTATAGAGGATATGGGATGTGTGAGAAGTTTACTAAGCAATACAAGAAAGTAGATTTTCTTCGTCATTTTATTTTATCTTGCTTTTCAGGAATAATTTGTATTTAAAACTGCAGAATATGTCCTAATTTACGATATAACGGTACCTAATTTTTATAGATTTTAGAATTCTTATACTTAAAAGTTAATTATAATTAACAGTATAGTTTTATTACTAACATTATATTCTTTTTGTAATTTTATAGTATCACTTATAGTCAGTTGCTGAAATCAGTTGAATGATACAAAATACTAAAAATAATAGTTGGTTATGTGTCTATGTGTCAACAGCATTTGAAGAAATCTCCGAGATGGATAGAAATCATAAATTGAAGAATCTTGAATACAGGTTAATTTTCTGGTTCTATAAATTTTCGCGAAGAGAAAGACGGAGGGGAGTGGGTAACTGAAAAAGTAGACGATGGTCTTCTTAATATTATCCCTTGTTCATTGTTACATTAAGGGATACTTAAATGATTAAAATTTATCATAGACCAGAAGTGTCATTGTATATATATAGATAGTTGTGTTACTTAATAGAGTGTTTACTATTCAAATGAAAATTTACACTTTCTTTTTGTTCTTTGATTTTACGTAAATAGTAATTATACTTGTAATAAGAAAGTTCAAGAAAGGACATCAAACCATATTATAGTATGACGTTAAAAGTGGTATCTGCCAAATTGGCAGCTGAAATCGACAAAGAATTGATGGGTCCAAAGATTGGATTCACATTAGAGCAATTAATGGAATTAGCTGGCTTTAGTGTAGCGCAGGCAATTACACGTCAATTCGATTTGAAGAAAACTGTTGGTGAAAAGACAAATGTCTTTGTCATTGCTGGACCCGGTAATAATGGTGGTGATGGATTAGTTTGTGCAAGACATTTAAAATTGTTTGGTTATAACCCTATTGTCTACTATCCTATTAGAAGTAATAGAACTGAATTTTATAAACAACTTACCAAACAATTAGAATTTTTCAAAGTTCCTATATTGTCTGGTGATGATGCTGATAGTTGGAAAGAGTTCGTAAAAGCGGATAGAACTTTGTGTATAGTAGATGCTATATTTGGTTTCAGTTTCAAGCCACCATTAAGAGAACCATTTCAAAGTATTGTTAATGAATTACATGATTTACAAAAACAGATACCTATTGTATCTGTTGATATTCCTAGTGGATGGGATGTCGATAAGGGTCCTGTCTCCGAAAAATATATCAATCCAAATGTTTTGGTATCTTTAACAGTTCCAAAACCATGCAGTGAGCTATTAGATCCAAAAAAGACTACACATTATGTTGGCGGTAGATTTATTCCTCGTGATTTTGCAAACAAATATGGATTCGAACCATTTGATTATCAAAGTACCGACCAAATTTTAAAATTATAAGACTAATGAATGTATAGAAAATTTTTATTTTACTCTATAAGCTGAGACAGATTTGATCTGATGTTCTTTTTTCTAATTTCCTAATATACGTATCATTTTATGTAGTTTTATAAATGAAAATTAGCATCACTACGCAAGAAAAATAATTCATAGTTGGACCAGCAATCCTAGTACCAAGGTAAACACTCATGCTAAGTAAAACGCCAAAATACCAATATATTATTCCTTCTTCTCTTATATTGATCGAGTGACTATAAGATTGTATTTACATTGACATTTATTCAATTATCGCTGTACATCCATCCCGAGGATTCTAAAATAGTCGAAGAAACGCTTCACAGTAAAAGCAAACAAAGAAGAAGAAAAAAAAAGGCGAACCACGTAAAGAACGTATTATTATTATTTTTGTTAATTACTGGAAAAAAGTAAGAAAAACAACAATAATAGTAAGAAGAAGAGAACATAGTCGAGATATATTAAAAAGTGACGCACTTTCTTTGTTCATTGGTTCATAAATTAAGTGAAAGAAATCTATTTAAAGATATATACTTTGGATTTACTTAATAAAATAGTTCAAAATTAATTGATTTGAATATCATTAAACCAAAACCGGAATATTGACAGATTAATAGTAGTTAAAGGGAAAATTGACATTCTATTTAGCCAGTTATAATATTCACTCAGCACCCGAGAGAAACAGATTGATCATAGTTGTAGAATAGCCAAAAAAAACATCCCATACGACTGTTGTTTTTTTGATTGTCATTTGTGTTATTTACAGAAAGTAAGCTTGTCACTACAGTCTTTTAATATTCGTTTTAAAATAATAAAAATAATAATAATAATAATAATAACAAATTGTTAGTTAAAATTGTATAATATGACAACACTACAAAAGGATGACGAAAGTACGTTTTCTAATACTGAACCTAAGAGGGTAAAAGTGTATATATTAGAAAATAATGAATGGAAGGATACAGGTACAGGATTTTGTACAGGTGAAGTATCAACTTTTAGTCCTTCCTCATCAACAAGTATAGATTCTAATGAAGATGTACAAGAAAAATCTGCATTTTTAATGGTGAGTAATGAAGAATTTCCAACTAACATTTTATTGAAATCAAAATTAGAAGGAAATATCGAATATCAAAGACAAGAAGAAACATTGATTGTGTGGAAGGACCTCGAAGGACATGACATCGCATTAAGTTTTGAGGAGAGTCTTGGTTGTGATAGATTATGTGATTTTATTGTTCAAGTACAAAAACATATTGCGAAGAATATTTCATTAGTGGCGGTTAGATCAGGAGATGAAGGAGTTGGGTCTATACATGAAATTATAACAGCACCAGTATCTCTGCCAAATATTGACGACAAACAAGACACAGAAAAATTATATGAAGCCCTTAAAATATTAAATGAAAATACAGCATATCAATTTTTGAAAAATGAAACAGTAGAATTTGTATTACAAAATGATTATATTAAGATTTTGATCGACTATTTTTCAGTTGCTGAAGATAATAGAGCATTAAAAGATTTATTTCTATTAAGTAATATTATTAAGACTCTAATCTTGTATAATCAAAGAGACATATTGGAAAATATGGTTGATGATGATCATATTATGGGTGTTGTCGGTATATTAGAGTATGATACGGAATTTCCAAATGTTAAATCAAACCATAGAGAATATTTAAAGACGGGTGCTCCAACCTTTAAAGAAATTTTACCTTTAGAGAATAAAGACTTGAAACTAATTGTCAAGAAATGTTTTAGATTGCAATTTTTAAAGGATGTTGTATTAGTGCGGTTTTTGGATGATCATAATTTTAATCTATTCATGGATATTATTTTGGATCTTCAAACATGCATTATCGATTTCTTGGAGGTCGATCCTTTCTTAGACAATATATTGAAATTGTATGATTTAACAAAAGAGGAGGAAAAAGGGTTTCCAGACTTGGAAGAGAAAAGAAATGATGGTATAAAACTTTTACACCAATGTGTTCAAATGTCGAAAAATTTAGAAGAAAGAGATAAGACTAAATTCTATAAGGCTTTAGTAAGAATGGGTTTATTCAACGTTTTAAGTTATGCATTTTATGTTGTAACCGACCCAAATATTAGAATCTTGGCCACTGAAACTATTATTACAATCATTGAACATGATATATTGTTAATCCGTAACGCTGCATCCAAAAACTCGAAATTAGATTCAAGAAGAAAATCACCAATACCAGGATCACAAAACTCTGAAGATAGATTAGAAAATTTGACTCCAATGTCTGATGAGATGAAACTATTAAAAATTTTATCCAAAATATTATTAACGGATAAAAACCCTGGTTTACGAGAACAGATTGTACAAGCATTGAATACACTACTACATCCTGAAGGATGTTTTAATAGCCTCGATGGTGATTTTGATGGAATGGGTTCTGGATCGATGTTGAATGATTTTAATTATCGTTTAAATCCAGAACGCGATAATGATTTTACTTCATCGACCTCCGTGAACAACGAATACACAAGTGAAAAAGAGATGAATACTTCACTGGAATCATTAGATAATGATCAAGAATTCCAACTACAAGAATATTTTAATGATTTTTACAAGTTGATAGCACCTATCCTTTTTTCTCCTATGATAGAGAAAAAGAATACCACTAATAAAATAAATGAAGAGAAAGAACAATACGATGACTTCCTCTTGATTCAATTAGTGAAACTGATTTCATTCATTGGCACTGAACATACTCGTATTACATCTCGGAAATTTATTCTAGAATCTGATATTTTGAAACAAGTGTGTCGTCTAATAAAACCAGGCCATATCTTACAATTACGATTAACAGCAGTAAGATGTATTAAAAATATTATATCCTTGGACGATAAATATTATCATAGGTATCTAATGACTAATAATCTTTATGATAATATATTTGAACTTCTGGAAGAAAACAAGCAACAGGACAATTTAACTAATTCATGCATCCAAGATTTTTTCAAAATTATTTCAAGTAAATGTATTGCTTCAAACATGGATAAAAATAGTATAGAAGAACTTCGTCAACAAACTGGTATAACTATTAGCAAGAAAAACAATTTTTCTGTATTGAATAAATATCTTGTTAATAGGTTCCGTGATAAATTATCAGAACTTTTAGATATTCCTTCTGTTGGGGTTATGATTAGTTTATGTGAAGCAGATAAGAATGAAACTGAAAAGAAATCAAAGACTTCAAATGATCATATGTTATCAAAAGTGGATACAATAAAGGAAGAAGATGAAGATGTTCCAATGAGTCTTTCTCAAACGTCGTCTGTTGAACATTCTAAAAAATCTGAAATACGGAAAAGAGTGCATGAAGACATTGATCAGCTAGACGTTGCGTCAACTAATAAAATAGAAACTAGTATCCCAAATGGTCTTCCCCCAAAACGCCAAAATTGAAATAGAATGATATATTTGTCTTTCATTTTTTTCGTAAAATAAAAATAAAAAATTACGAACAAATCTGGCGAAGTATCAGGTAATCGAAGTATAAATACACATTTTATATACTAAAATTATATAATACTTCTTTCTTCTTTTAGTAGTCACAATAATGCATTATAATATGAACCTTATATATCAACAATTAAACAGCAATGACAGAAATTGGCATTTTCTTTGCTTGAATAAAACTTAAAGTAATGAATCCTCGTAAACGATTTATTATACCATGGTCCCTGAATTACATTTTGAAAACAGCTATCATTAAGTTCTCCTACAATTTGGAGATGGCTCTTTCAGCATTCTTAATTATATCATGTGGATATAACTCCTTTGTAAACAGGGTTCCTGTATGCCACATTCCACCATCGACGACTATGACATGACCGTTTATATAATTTGCCGCTGGTGAAAACATAAAGACAGTAGCCTCTGCGATATCTCTCTTTGTACCTAGACGTTGTAATGGAATCATTTTCTTGACACTTTCAACCAATTCAGGTTTGGATAATCTCTTGAATCCCTCAGTGTCATCAATTGCACCAGGTGCTATACAATTAGAACGAATTCCCAAAGGAGCCAATTCCACAGCAAGATTATTTGATAAAGCATCAATTCCTGCTTTTGCCGCACCAACTGGACCTTGGAAAGGTACACCATAATAATGGAATGTCGCAGATACGAATAATATGGAACCTTTCGATTTCAATAATGCTGGGGTAACAGCTTTCACTGTATTAAAAGAACCTAAAAGGTCTATATTTACCACTGATTTAAAAGCATTAGGACTTAAATTCATGAAGTCACAGATAAAATTACCAGCGGCTCCTGCGATAACAAAATCAATTCTCCCAAATTTTTTCAGTGTTAGATTCACAGCATTTTCTAAATCTTTGAATTCCCTAACATCAACTTTTGGGATAGCCAAACATCTTTCCTTGTCGTTAACTAAATCACAAAGCTCTCGAGAGGTTTCATATAATTTTTCCTCATCTCTCCCCACAAGAGCAGCTTTACAACCTAATAACACTAGCGCCTCAGCTTGCACTCTACAAATGGTACCGGATCCACCCGTAATGAAAACAACTTTGTCTTTAAATAAATCAGGTTTCCAAGAACATTCTTTAACAAACGAATAATCTAATGTACAGGGCATTATAAATTTCAGATAATAGTAATAATATGTATATTTATGTGTGTATGTTTTGTTCTAATACTTTTAAATGAATATAAATAAGAAAAAAAAGGGTACAAGATTGTATTTTTATATTGACTTGTCTAGTTCATTCATTTATATATCATTAGGAATTAAATATATTTAACGGAGAATACAATAATTATATCCGAAAGTATATTGGAGGTTGTTTCTGTCTTAGTTGTTTTGTCTTTAAGTTCCGTTGGAGAAGTATTTAATATTGGGGTAAAAATAAGGGAAATAAAGGGTTTTTTTGTTTGTTTCTGATGATGATACCTCTCAGACATAATATACCCAGAATTGAGAAATATGATTAAAGCAACAATTAAATATACTTTAAGAGATAAAACATAAGTTTAAGTTATAAACAGTGTTACTTACCATGTAGTCATATAATTTAAAATAAGAAAATTTGTCAGGTATTGTCAAATTAAGCTATGGAGATGCACATGAACAGTTGAAGTAAGTACCAACTTATAAGACTATTTTGAATTGCTATTTTACGAGGGTAATCAATAGGAACGTCTTCACGACACACAGCATAGTTATATCTTCTAAAAGAGGTTGATACTAAACTTAATCCAACAAAATTCGCACAATATAATTTTTATTGATAGATTTCTAACACAAATTTTTAGGATTTCACAATAACGTGGTTATTGGCAGCTGGTTGGTATAAATATCAACATTTTAAAGTACAACTATATCCAGGTCTAATAAGTATTGAGGTAAACAACGTTCTCTTTCACGTTTTCATTATAGAAGAGCATAAAATTTGTTAAGTCTCCCTTCGTTTTCATACAAAATCAAATAAGTGAAAAAAAAAAATAAAGCGAACTAATACTGAAATTTAGCTACGCGAAATTTAGAAAATACTAAATTTTTAACAGTACTGATCTATGTAAGAAGATACGCGTTATATATAAAACTAGTTCAGTCGATGATTTCGATAGACTTTTTAAGTTTACACACTGTACATTTAACATTGATTATAAAATCAATACTGGAGAAATTGTAGCCAGTAGTTAGATATTTACAAAGTCGAAAACTTTTAAGCTGTTTGATAAAAAAAGAAAAGTTTTTATAAATTTAACAATTTCATAGAATTATTAAGTGCATATTCCTCCAACAAAAATGGCAACTGAGTTTTTACAGGATGTTCCTGCTGAATTAAGAACAAAAATAGAGAAGATTATATCTATTTTACCAGATTCTAGTAATATATTTAAAGAATTATACGATTTTGCATTAACTAAAGGGGAGACTTTAGAGAGGAAGAAACCTAATACTAGCACACCTGAAAATGAAAAGATAGATTCATCAGATATAATATTCAAATTAGATAATGCATCCGTATTGTCACCTTTGAGGAAAAAATTAGATTTTGTGTTTCATCTATCTCCAAAGGATAAGCAACCAATGATATCGTTATTGAAAAATGGTAAATCTGAATTTAGTATAAAAGATTTAAAAACGAATATAAAAATGGCAACCTTTTTACCAGTACCTGAAAAGAAAAATATTGTTTACCTTTTTCTAGAATGTAGATCTTCTAGTAATCCAAATCAACAAGAACCTATATTGATGACGTTGAATAGAACTACTACTTTAGAACAATTTTGTAAAATGGGTATATTACCAAATAATGAAAATGATTTTAAGAAATGTAAGGATTACATGAGAAAACAAGCAATATTGACAGGTTTTAGAATTATTGATCCATTTTCTAACAACAATACTCAGGGCCAATTGAAATCATTCCATGTTGAATGTCATAGAGGAACTAAAGAAGGTACGCTTTACTTTTTACCTGATCACATCTTATTTGGATTTAAGAAGCCTATATTACTGTTTCAATCTACAGATATTGCGTCTATTACATATTCTTCTATTACAAGATTAACTTTTAACATGACACTTATTACAAATGATGAACAAAAATTTGAATTTTCAATGATCGATCAAGCAGAATATGCTACAATTGATGAATATGTCAAAGTAAAACAAGTTACCGATAAGTCAATGAGTGAAGAATTAAAAGCAAAGAAATTAAAAAATGCACAACAGTCAAGTGCTGATGAATCGGTATTAAAAGAAGCAGCTTCAGAAATAGATAATGCACAAGGAACCAATATCCAAAATCTACCAGATGATTCTGATGATGAAGAGAATGATCAAAATTTTGAAGCAGAAAGTGATCTTTCGGATGGTAGTGACCATGGTGAAGAAGATGACGATGACGAAAATGATGGAGAACAGGCAGAGGAAGTTGCTGATGAGGAAGAAGATTTAGATGAGTTAGAAGAAATACAACCGTCAGTTGAAGAGATTTCGCAATCAAATCTGCAATTGAATTATGCTACAGCTGAAGAAACAAATACAATTGAAGATACGATTGATAATGTGAATATGGGATCCTTAGAAGATATAATGGTTGATGTGGATGATGGAGACGATGATGATGAAGATGATTCGGGTGTCGAATATGACTAAATAATTATTAAAATAGAGATATGAACAATTATATATATTTATATGTGTATAATGATATACAGATGCATCAGTAATTAATGTTTGTTTTTTTGATTTATTATGATTGTTTGTGAGAATCGTATCTTCTTAGAAAGTATCGTTATATTAATCTTCCAGTATGTAGTTACCCATTTTATCCATTTTCAAGTTTCCTACACCACTTGAAAGGGCTTCGATAATTCTTTCGTTCTCTTCTTCTTGGCTATCGTATTCCTCTTCACTATCCTCTTCTTCACTCTCTGAATAATAATACTCATCATTATCATCTTCATCATCCTCAGTAACATCTTCTCCATCTTCTTCATCATTCTCTTGGTCATCTTCCTGTTCCTCTTCGGTATTTCTCATGTCTTCCATGGCGTCTTCTAAATATCTATCACCAGGGTGTTTCTTACTGTAACCTGATGCTTGGACCAATTCATCAAGGTTATCAGTTCTTTCAATATCTCTATGGAAATCTGGGTAAGCATATCTATAACCATCACCAAACCCATCAGTGTCAAGCATTGATGGATCATCCTTAGGTTCATATTTTAATTTCTTCTTAAAAAATCTACGAATACAATCCACGTCTCTTTTAAAATAATATTCCGCATCTTTATGTTGAATGGAAATAGATTGTGGGAAATCGATTACTACAAAACCAACATCAGTTGGATCGTTTGGGTCAATTTCAGATTCATCTTTGATCATAATATTAAATTCATTGAAATCACAATGGATTAAACCACTACATCCTAATTTTACAATGAACTTCATTAAATTATTATATAACTCTGGTAAATTTTTGTGTTTCCTTAGTCTTCTCATTGGGAACCCTCTAATTAATTCCATGATTATAACATGACGAGAATTGTCAAAAGGTTCTGGAACTTTAAAACCTTTAGCATATAGCATTGTAATGAATTGATACTCCTTATTAGCAGCTAATCTTGAAAGAACCATCCAATTTACACCATTTTTCGAATTTTTCTTTAGGTAATCTCTATTGTTTCTAACTGTATGAAAGGATGTTCTACCTAATCTATGAATCTTCATTACTTTTTCAACTCCATTCTTATCGGAAACTTTATAAATATCAGATTCCTTACCTACACCAATAGATCCACCAATAGAATAAACTGTATTTCTATTTAACATAGAATGGAATGCTAAATAATCTATACCATTATAAGTTAAACGATAACCATCATACTTGGCATTTCTGACCTTTGAAATCAATTTTAATTTCGCTAAATCACTAATAGATCTGTTAGTACCCGACATACTCCTCATACCAGATAGTTGATGGATTAAAGTAGTTGGAACAATTTCATGATTTTTTGAACCTTGTTCAACGGCTTGTAAGACTTTAAAGTCATCGGCTGTCATATATCTCATATGAGATATATCTAACTTCATTTTTGCTTAGAGATAGTTGGTTCTATTTTTATAGTTTGATAAATAATTTACAACTTCTAAATACGTTAAACGTTGTTATCGTTTAACAGCCAAAAACTTGTTTCATCATCTCATCTCTTATATCGAAGTCAAGTTTTTTTTTTCATTGAAGAAATTAAAAAAATTTTCGGTCACATAATAAGTTATGGGACATATGGTCCGTGGTAATTTATATTGGGAATTTCAGCCCGAACATATGTCCCAATAAAAGTGTGAATGATAGAGCCACTCAAACTGATAGTGGATCGAATGCAAAAGAATTCTATAATTGGCAAATTAATGGTCAAATATATGAAATAATTTCAATCATTAAGGTGTTTGGTCTCTAATATAGTGCGAAAGCAAGAAGATAGCAAAAAGGGATTAATTAAAATAATGTGAATATTTATCATATACACATCTATATTTCATTACATCAATATATATACATATATATGAATTTTATCAATTTAAAGGTAAGCTCCCTTCTCAACTGAAATGGAGAAAGTATTTGCGATTAGACCAAGTACTATCCTTACCAACGGCCGCCTGGACCACCTGGACCGCCTGGACCACCTGGACCGCCTGGACCGCCTGGACCGCCTGGACCACCTTGACGACCATTATTCCATCCGCCTTGGCCACCTTGCTGGTAACCTTGAGGACCACCCCAACCACCTTGGTTTGGAGGTGGACCATTATTATTATTATTATCACCACGGTTACCAAATAGACCACCACCATGATGATGACCTTGATTAGGTGGTGGGCCATAATTATTATTGTTGTTATTGTGATTATTATGATGAGATGCAGTGTTAGATATCTTGTTTGCTAATAAAGCACCACCAAGGGCACCAAGAGTACCAGATAATTTAGAATGATTATTGGATACTTTTGAACCAGCATAGTAACCACCGGCACCACCAATAACAGTACTCAACAAACCTCTTTCACCATTTTCACCTTGTTGTTGTTGTTGTTGTTGTTGAGGTTGACTTTGGTTAATAGGAGCTTGGTTTTGGTATTGATTATTTTGACCCCTGTTTTGATTTTGGTTTGGATCATAGGTACCACTTTGACCTGAACTGTAAAAATCGTTAGCAGACATAATTATATATGTATAAGTTATATGTTTATTCTTTTATTGAGAAAAATTTTAAAGAGTGTATCAATTGAATATTATTACAAATAAAAGAAAAAATATACAGGGAATGATTTAATGAATGATCTATATATATATATATATATCCCTACATTTGCTAAAAGAAGAAAAGGGAAAGAATTAAGAATTTGTCATTAATTTCTCAAAAGATATATATAGCTAAGCAGATCATGTCTTTCCTTCGCCCCCATTTTCTTACAAATACTTACGAAAGAGAAGTCTCCCAAGAGGGTTAAAAATGAGAATACTTCTCTTTTTTGTAATAGAAGAGTAATATACTCGTTTCTTTACTGCTCCATTATCCTCGTTTGCTTATTTAACGTTTTTTTATCGATTTATCCAAGGACAACAAAAGTGAAATTTCCATGTAGAGAATGCTATGTATTATATTTTCTTGGCATCTGCAGTTGATGCTGGGTTAGTTTTAATCGTATTAACTGTTACTGTATAAGGAGGAGGTGCAACACTTGCAATCTTCTCACTATATTGATGCACTGCTAGTTGGCCAGTTTGTAAAGATGACGAAGTAGTTGATACACTGTTTACTGTGTTGGTTATTGAAGACCCAGAACATATGTCTGGGTGTGATGATGGTTGTAGTTGCCCTTCTGGGTGAAATTTCATTTGTCTTTCTACCAAACTCCTCTCGAGGCGGTGCTCTTTCCGCTGTCCGCAACGTTCTGCACGATGTTCTGCCCGTTGTTCTCTTCTTAAATCATGTCGTTTGGGACGACGTCCTCCGTGGCATTGATGAATTTGAACTGCATTCGAAGGTGTAGAATTACTGGTAGTAGTAGCACGACCGCAACCAGAAGTCCCTTGAGCAGGAAATGGATCCGATGAGTTGGTGCAGGATGAGAGTAATGATCCTAATTTATGGTGTATATTATTGAATACCAGGATATTTTAACTGGTCTTGGAAATAATATTGTATCTTACAAAGAAAGAAAGAAAAATTATGTTTATCTAGCTCTATAATTAAAAAATAATTGGACTACTGGTAAGAACCTTGTCTATGGGGAGGATCTATTTATAGTCATCAATAAGCATCTCTATATAATACCTGTTAGTTTGTAGTACTTCGCCTCCCACATCACATGATCTGTTGTCTTTATATCTCATTCTGATAAGCTATAAAAGGCGTATTCTCTCCGTCTAGCGCCTCTCGTTCGTTAGGAAATTTAATATTTTGTGTAGGGGTACATACAGACAGAAAAGTCAAATGAGTGTTGTTTGGTAATGAATCGTGACATTCTTAATAATTGAAGGTTTTAGACAGCTAAATTAACGTTTCCTATTGGACTTCTATGTGTTTGTACATTTAAAGTAGCAATCGTTATTGTTCCATGCCATTTCTGTCAAATTATATAATAATAAACTTAAAAAGAATAATACTAATTTAGGATACATGATGGGGTTTGATTTTTTAATTAGATAAAAATATACAGACACTTTTCCCTAATAAAGTGGATGAAGCATAGAAAGAAAGAAAGAAACTATATACAAAATAATTATATATATTTGCATTTCAAATAAAGTTTTGAAATGTTGTTGTTTTCCAGATTTCTATGATTAACGAGAAGACATAGCCTTGGTGACAACTCTCTTTAGACCAACTTCGGCCTTTCTTAGGTCATCAGTAGAAGCATCTTCAACAGATAGAGCAGCCATAGCTTCAGTTAGAGCAGCTTCAATCTTAGTCTTAGCGTTTCTCTTCAACTTGGAAGACAAGACTGGGTCAGTAACGTTTTGTTCAATAGAAGCAACGTAAGATTCTAGTCTTTGTCTAGCTTCATGTCTCTTGGCGAAAGCTTCATCAGCAGCCTTGAATTCTTCAGCTTGGTTAACCATCTTTTCGATATCTTCGGAAGATAATCTACCAACAGCGTTAGAAATAGTAATGTTAGCAGTCTTACCGGTAGATTTTTCAACAGCAGTAACCTTTAGAATACCGTTAGCATCAACTTCAAAGATAGCTTCTAGAACTGGTTCACCAGCTGGCATCATTGGAATACCCTTCAAGTCGAATTCACCTAACAAAGTGTTTTCCTTACAGTTAACACGTTCACCTTGGTAAACTGGGAATTGAACAGTGGTTTGGTTGTCACCGGCAGTAGTGAAAGTTCTTCTCTTGATGGTTGGAACAGTAGTGTTTCTTGGAACAACAACACCGAAAATGTCACCTTGCATACCAACACCTAGGGATAATGGAGCAACATCCAATAACAATAGATCCTTGGTTTCATCGGAAGTAGATTGACCGGTTAAGATAGCACCTTGAACAGCAGCACCGTAAGCAACAGCTTCATCTGGGTTAATAGATTTTTCTAATTGCTTACCGTCGAAGAAGTCAGACAATAGCTTTTGGACCTTTGGAATTCTGGTAGAACCACCAACTAGGACAACTTCGTCAATTTGAGACTTAGCAATCTTAGCATCCTTTAGAACTTGTTCAACTGGTTCTAGAGTAGACTTGAATAGAGCAGCGTTTAAATCTTCGAATCTGGCTCTGGTTAGAGAAGCTTCAAAATCTTCACCATCAAATAGAGAGTCAACTTCAACAGTAGTTTGAGTGACAGAAGATAGAGTTCTCTTAGCTCTTTCAGCAGCAGTTCTTAATCTTCTTAGAGCTCTAGCATCGTTAGAGATATCTAGACCAGTCTTCTTCTTGAATTCACCCTTGAAATGTTCTAGCAAGTTGGTATCGAAATCTTGACCACCAAGATGGGTGTTACCGGAAGTGGACTTAACAGTGTAAACACCACCAGCAATGTGTAGAAGGGAGACATCGAAAGTACCACCACCTAAATCGAAAATTAGGACATGTCTTTCCTTGTCAGACTTACCAGCACCTAGACCGTAAGCAATGGCAGCAGCGGTAGGTTCGTTGATAATTCTTAGAACGTTTAGACCAGAAATGGAACCAGCGTCCTTAGTAGCTTGTCTTTGAGCATCGTTGAAATAAGCTGGGACAGTGATAACAGCCTTTTCGACCTTCTTACCAATCTTAGCTTCGGCAATTTCTTTCATCTTGATCAAGACCATAGAAGAGATTTCTTGTGGGGAGAAAGTCTTATTTTCACCTAAGTATTCAACTTCGATCATTGGGTTACCGGCAACGTCGATAACCTTGAATGGCCAGGTTTTCATATCAGTTTGAACAGATTCATCATCGAATCTTCTACCGATTAAACGCTTAGCGTCGAAAACAGTGTTCTTTGGGTTTAGAGCAGCTTGGTTCTTAGCAGCATCACCAATTAATCTTTCTTCTGGAGTGAAAGCAACGAAGGATGGGGTAACTCTGTTACCTTGTTCGTTAGCAATAATTTCAACAGAAGATTCGTAAGTAGCAACACAAGAGTAAGTGGTACCTAAATCGATACCGATAGCACCTTGGAAAACACCGTCAGCCATTTTGAAATGTATAGTTTAGTCAACGATCTTTTATGAACAAGAACTAATTAAAAACGGAAGTTCAAAAACTAAATATTGTAATAAATGTTGTTTAAAAACATCTAAAGAAAAGATGAGTTTATAAAAGATAGTGACTGAAAAAAAATTTTCGTCGATGAAATTTCAAAAAGACTGCTTTCTGTTTGGTTTTTGATTTTTTTGCGTGCATCGAAGTGAAAAAAAAATTGAAAAAAAAATTGTACGGAAGAAATTTAGACAGAATAAGGCAGAGAATATGAAAACAAATGCGCAGTAAAAGAAAAAGCACCCATGAAATCGTCATTGACGAGCTTAACAATTTTTTATGTTTCAACTTCCTTCTGTGGTCTCATCGCTAGGGGGGCAGGGCATCGAATAGATATTGACCAAATAGGTATGGTCTTCTTTCTAGGAAATTGCAATGGAGTGAACGATGGTTTGATTTTTCTTTTACAATTCTAAGATGTTCCAGTAACTTAAGAACAATACATAGTGAAGCGAGATAAAGGGGAATTACGCAAAAGAGTCACTTGATAAACTATTTTTAATAATTTCAGATTGACGATTTTGGGACAGGATTAATTTGGAGGAGAATTATATCTTTCTGGCTAAAGTATTGTTCATCGAAATGCGATTTAAGGAACAATATATCCAGATATTCTGAAGTTCAGCCCAATTTGAACTAGACTATTTTCATCTTGTTATAAAATTAATTCATGACCTTGAGTATTTCATATTCGTCAGAGTCGATTCTATTAAAGTTAGTGTGTTCGTTATTTCAAATAAGGTACCTGTTACGATAATTGTTTGAAATACAGACCTTGGTGAACTTATTTGTTGCACAGTTAATTTCTTTGGAATAGGTAAAATTTTAATAGTTGCATCTGTGAATTCTCTTATAAAATTGACCCAATAACCTTCTTTACCAATCAAATATGATATTTGTAGTTTATTAAGACAGAGTTCAATTGATGATATTTCAGGAATGTTATTAGGATTATCACTGATGATATTATCATCAACAACAATATCTTCTATCGATGTAGTCCTTACTACTTCTGGAACACCCGCTTCAGGAACTACTTTATCTTCAACCATATGTGGTCGAGTGAAACACCATTGTTTAATTAAGTGACCATCATCAAAGTAAGATTTGTAATGAAGTAGAATTTCATATAGCTGCGAAGTATTTTCAATTAGAAAAGTTATGAGGTTGTCACAGTTTGAAACAATATAATCATTTGGGAATGGTATTGAATCTTGGCATAATGGTTTAGGTAAATGGATTTTCAATATACCATTTAAATTTAATATTTCAATTAAATTTTTAGTCACAGGAACCAAAACAATATAAGAAGAAAAATCAATGATATTAACAATTTCAATATCTATTTTCTCATTGCATGTATACTTTTTGACCAAATTTAATGTCCAGATATCGATTTCTACTAGAATATTGAATGGAGTTTCAATTCGATAGATGTTTCCATAAATCACAAAATCTTTGGTATTCTGCTCCATCTTACTTTCTCCAATTTCATCATTTGTGTAATCATCAGAGGAGCAACTATTATGGAATGCCATTATGTTTTCTCTTGTTTTTAATACTCAAAAATAACTTGTTTCAACAGACGTGAACAGGAAACCAGCTTTTGAAATTATCTGTAGATGTTACTATTATTTTTATTATTTTTATTTAAGATATTGTAAATAACCTTAATTTTGATATACTATTTCCCCAATATTTTGTTCGGCGGCTAATCAATCCGCTTCTCGATGATGTAAAAATGATAAAATGAATAGGGATATATATATATATATAAAGTGATGTAATTCTTTTTAATCAAAGAGTTATGCCCTTTATAGTCAAATGATTGTGGTTTACCTCATGGAGTATGGTATTGTTAATTAATACACTCTTCCAAAACTTAATATTTTGTAACAAAAGTTAAAAAATCATAACTTACAATTTTAATATTTTAAACTATTGACGAAAATGGCTAGATAGTTTTTGAGAACTTACTTAAAATTACAATAGAAGTAATATACAATAGCTTAACAGTATATCACAACCAATCTTTTCTTTATAGAACTTATTATATTAAATATATACAGCAATCAATTCTGATAAGTTATACATTTTCTCATAAAATAAAAGAACCCTAGTTGAGATTTCTAATAGGAAAATAACACTGAAGAAGAGGTAACTTACTTAAGGAGAAACAATAAAAATAATAATTATAATCTCGTATTATAATGTAAATATCTATTATGTTATATTCAAATTATATATCGGTATGAAAATCCTTCTTTATATACGTTATGCAATCTGACAAAAACCTGTCCCTTAAAGTAAAAATAAAATAACCAAACTAGTAACATTGACAGTTCACACCGTTTATTTATGTTTCTTTTCAAAAGTAGCACTAATAGTACTATAAGCAACAATTAAAGTCATCATGATTAAACCGGAGCAAATAACGATGGAGTTCAATTCAGTATCAGATATCATTTTAAAGTTGGGAATATATGTTGAATTATGGTTTTGCTTAGTTTGTTTAATTATTAACAGATCTAAAAACAATATATATGACTGTTCAGAAGCCTTTTTATATATATTGTGATATATTTACTAATAACTTGAAATTGAAAAAAAAAATATTATCAAATATTTATTTATTTGTTAGTAGTATAAACTTCCCTTAGATTCGTGTCTTTCTCTGTCAAAGAGGCCACCTACACGGAAAAAAACCAAAAAATAAAAAAACAAATTAAAAGAATACACGCGTACAGATAAAGTTTCGTGATTTAAAATATAAGGTAACAAAATATCGAGCGATGACCCGTTGATACATTTAAAGAATGAAACATGGATGCAATGCAGTTTACTTGTAACCGTTATCTGATAGTCTCGGAAAATGTAATTAACATCCAGATTATTAACTGGAGAGTGATACACATGATTATGTTCTAAGACCGAACAACTACAGTAACTGAGAATGAAGAGAGCTCCCCGTAGTATTGAAGAATGGCTATATTTCAAACTTCTGGATAGTGCAGGATTCCATCGTTTTGTTAGAAGAATATATAGAAGAATTAATGGAATTAAAGATACTCCAGATATTGAATATCGACAAACAATTTCTCCTCTTTTATATAAAACCACAAATTTGCAAAAATTCAAAGCATTTAAGATATTATTCGCTGATGAATTTAGGAGTTCGTTTGGTTTCCATAGAAAAGCTAATGACCTAATGAACCGTAGATAATATTTATATCAGATCCGGGATATAAATTCATGACAGTCATTATTAAATATTAATATTCTATTATATTACATAAGCATTATTTAAGTTTTTTTTTTTTTAGTTATATAGTTTAAAATTTATTTAAGAAATCCCTTGGATGGTTTCGTTTCACTTTTTTGTTTGTTCGATAACTACAATAAATGGGAGAACTATTAGATTCATTGATAAAATTCATTTATAGTTTCTTTCGGAATTAATATATTTTTATTTGGTTTCTTGAATGATCTAATTTTTGCCATGGAAACATCGTCTTTCAAGGCAACAATAACTTTCTTATTAGAACCAAATTCGAAATTATCTTCAACAACATCAGATTCGTATCTCTTAACAGAGTAAGGTTTATCAGCGTTTTGTGTTATACTTTTAATAGACCATGTGATAGCAAATGGACCTGTCGATGTTAAAATAGAATCTTCAGTCTTACCAATACCAGTATTAAAATAAGCTTTTGTGAAAACAATTGGTTTTTTCATATATGTCATCATATAACTTGCATGTTCGGGACTTATTTTTAAAATATAAGTCTTTGCATTCTCAGCAGCTGGGAACGATTTAAGGAAAGCTACGGAGCCTTGGTTCTTTCCTGTCTTCACAGTAAGATCCATAAGCATTAACATGTTGTCACATGTTGCTAACAACCATCTACCATCTGAAGAAGAACATATATATCTAATTGCTTCTCCTAATGATGGAATAGCTGTCTTTGCACGAATACCTAAACGATCATACAATTTAATATCACCTTTCTCAGAACCAACTGCAATGTACCCGTTCTCTGTTGTACTAATCGAACTAAAATTACATTTCGTCTTGTATTCCTTGGATTGATCAACAACAATCTTATTTTCACTATTTATTCTTGGATCAACCTTAAACATACCATTAGGGGAAACACCAACAAATGTTTGTTCTGCAGTTAATTGATCAAATTTCTTTGTTGGACCATATTGAACGACATCCTTATCTCCTGTACCCCATTCTTCAACAATAGAACCTCTATTCAAATCCATCTTATATAATTTATTCCTGTTCGAAGAATCTGATATAATCATTGAAGAATCTTCCATATACATCATAGGCGTTAATGGGGTAAATGAATCTCCTTTCAAGTCAGAAACATCTTTAATTGTTGTGACAAATTCCAAATCATCACCAGTTTTGAACACACCAATTTTATTTTCTCTAATAACGTAGGATCTATTATTTTTAGAAGAAACCGTAAGAGATTGATTCCCGGCTTTAGAATTCTTTCCACTTAAAGCAGATCTATTTGAATCACCAAAACTTGTAGAAGATAAAATTGTTGATGAATATTCACTATCGTCGTCATCCTCATCTTCAGAACTAGAACTATCAATAGCAGACTCCAAATTTCTTTCTTTATTTCCATCAATATGTAATATCTCATCCAATTGTTGAGTAAGAGCTTCAGCTGGATCATTAATATATTCTTTTTCTACCGCTGGTAGTTTATTCCAATCATCTCTATTTAATGACATCCAAACTGTTTCAGTCCAAGTTGCACGGAATTTTTTAAAGTCCTTAACATCAACAAATCCTAACATATAAGATAAAGTGATATTTTCGAAAGTATAATTAAAGACAAATGATTTCTTAGACGAGTTAAATGTAGGATTAATATTTGAAGAAATGTCAGTACCTAATCTATTGTCTTTACCTTCAATTGATAACCAGTAGTTATAGGAGCCTACATCAATAATACTAATTTTCAATAGGGATTCCTGCTTCAAAAACTTTTCTGCCATTGGGTCAAACAAATAAAGATCTGCATTCAACAACAACAATTGCTTCCCACTTGGCGCATTCTGAGGAGGTGATGGCGCTCTCTTTGGTTTTATGGATTTATTCATTCTAGTATTATGAATTGCTCTTACTGAATCGTTTGCATCTTGAAATTCTTCATTATCTGAATCATTATCTCTATCAATTGAAGTAATATTTTCCCTATCACCACTATTATCATAATCCTCAGAGACAATACCAGCTGTATTACAAATTAGTTCGATTTCTTTCATTGCTTCAGGTGATGCACTTAAAGAAGGTCGATGATATGTAGTTTCGTAGTAACAACAATAAATTGCATCTAAAAATCTTTCAATATCGTGATGTTGTACTTCATGAGATAAAACAAATTGAACTTTTTCACCTGGTTCATCTCCATTTAAATTTTTCCAAACAAATGCAACATCACCATTTTTTGTCCACGTTTTCAAAAAACCAAGATCCTTGGAAAAGGCGAATGCCCATTCTTCTTCTTTCTTCTTAGATTGAACAGATAAGACACTTCTTGTATCATCTGAAAAATCTTCATCATCTTCACCTAAAATAGTATCACCATCTTCAGAAACCTTCTTAACAATTAATTCGTAACGATATTTCCCGGCATCCCTAATTGATAGAGATGCATCACTGTAAATACATTCTAGGGATGATCTTGGTGATCTTTTCGATCTTAATAGATCAAATTCCCCTGATGGTAATGTCATTAAGTCAGATTTATTTCCTTGATCCATGAATTTCTTGATCAAATTCATTTCTAAAGCCTATTCAATCACTATGCTTCGAATATTTTTTTTCTTAAATCGAATGACCTAATATGAATATATATATATATATATATATATATCTATACATATAAATATATAGGTGGCAAAGAATCGATACTTAACTAAAAAAATATCGAAAACTATGGGTGAGTGTTGTTGGAAACAAATGAATATAAATAATATATCAAACAAAAGTAAATGATCTCTTAAAGTTATTTCTAAATATAGTTATATTCTATTAAAGGTCAAACCTCTCTAACGTATCCTTTACTTTTCCGGAAGACATTTGTTCATCGCCTTTAAAGATTCAAAACCAAAAAATATAAAATAGTAAGAAGAAAGAATCGGCATTTAAACTTCATTTCATGTTTGTTCCGCTTCGTATTAAATGATTATATAGTTGAATAATATTTCCTTATTGTAGAACAACTTTATTTAAAATTTAGTAAGTTATACATTCAAAAGAAGAGTAAAGATCATATACAGTAATATTACCAAGAAAATAAAAACTGTATATCAAGACAATTATAGTTGATATTGTTTTGTGCAAAATCCCAAATACCTATTAAATTCTGACAGTGGTTTTGCAATACCCACATTCATATTTACAAATATATATATATATATATATTGACCTTATGGTACCATTTGCTTAGATGCAAACGATTGGACTATTTAGATTAACAGGGAGATCGTTCCATGTACGACGTGAATTGTTATCGAGCAATCCAAAGGGGAAATCAGCAAAAAATGTTATTCAATTTTTAACTGGTAATACAAATAAGGTTGGTTCAAATCAAAAGGATAAAGTGATACCATTATGGAAACAAAGAGATGAAACCACAAAGAAAAAAATTAAAGGTGAACGTTGGAATCCTTCAAAGAGATTATCAAGAGAAGGTATAGAAAATGTACGACTTTTAAAACAACAAATGCCACATTTAACTGCTAGTGATTTAGGTACACATTTTAAAATTTCACCTGATGCAATAAGAAGAATCTTAAAGAGTAATTTTAGACAAACTGAAGAAGAAAGTGTAAACATTCAAAAAAGATGGAAAAGGAGAGGTGAAATGATAAAACAATTGCACGAAGATAAAACCTTTGATTTAAAACAAGATGAAATTCCAATCACAAGAAAGATAAGATTACATTTCAATTCACAAAGTAATACGATGGAAAAGACAAGTATTAGAAAACAATTTATTCCTCAAAATAACTCCACAAAAACAAAAAATGTCAACAAACTGGCTTTCTTAAGTAAAGTTGTTGATAACAATTAATTGCATATTTAATAATTCATTAAATTCATTAAGTTAACATATATTATAACTACATACCATGTAAATAACAAAATCACAGTAAACAAAATTTAAAAGAAATTCATTTTATTCATTTGTTCTTAATACATTTTTCTATTATACGTTTATCATCGTATTTTCCCACCAACAAACCAACCTTTGATTTCTCGTATTGAATTTACCATTTCAGTTCGCTGATCTGCTAGTAGTCCAGCATTATCAACATGATTGATATCCTGAGCCAATAACTTTGCACCCAAATTGAAAAAGTCTAAATTAGTAGTAGATCTGTTTTGATTTAGTTTGTTAAATGTATCTAGATCATTATTAAGTTCTTGTAAATTCTCATTAATTTTTACCCATGGACATTCCATATCATCAACTACAGTCTCTTCAATTTCTTCCGTTTGGGTTGTACGTTCTATATAGTTTCCTTTCTCGTTATAACCTAGTATAGCTATGTGTGTTGTCTTAAGTTTCTTTTGCAGGGAGATGACTAATTTCCTTAGATTAATCAATGCTTCCCCATTTAATTCACAACGTTGTAAAAATTGTTTCACCAGAATTGGTTTTATTGCCATAACTAATATCGCATAAAGTATAGATGTTACAACACCAACATTATTGAATAAATTTTGTATATACATGATTGTTGGATTTCTTAATCTGCCTTTTATAATTTTGGTTTGATCTGGCCACTGTACTTTATCCCAATGAGTGAACGACATTTTAAAATATAAATAGTTGTATTTCTTTATTAGTTATAAAATTCAAAATCGATACTGAATCAACAAAAAAGTGGGTCGTTGACACTATTAGTCTTTATTTATATCGTTCTATTGTCTTGCAATGTAGCTTTCAATTCTGAACAATTGCCCTTTAAATTTGAATTCCATATTATTTTTCTAAAAGTTTATGTTTCGTCCCCCATCGGATTTCTTTTATAACCTTTGTATGAGCGGATGTAATTGTATAATAACAAACAAATAAAACAACAAACGTCGATTAAATGTATTATTTTATGACTTGAGGACTCTAATTTAAAGTATATTAATGCTATAGATGTTATTGAATATATAAATAATTACAATGGATTTTCTAATTGAGTGATTTATTGTTCATTAGGTTTTGTTAAGGTGTAATTCATCCTAAATTTTTAGGATTATTTAATTCCATATTATTTGATGGGATATATGACAGGTCTAAATTAGAGTTTGGCGCTTGAGTCTGAGACCTTACCCGTACCATATTTTGATTTACAGCTGCTTGATATGCCTTGATATCCTGTGCTTTTTCGTCTACAAATGATTGTAAAGCTACTAAGGGACTGCCGATATTATGCATTCGTTGAAAGATTCTTACAAATCTTAAATCCGACATTATTTCATTAATCTGAAGAGCTCTCACAATGTCACAATGTACACCTAATGCAGAGATATTTCTAAACATTTCAAAATTCGATCTTAATTTCGTAATTGTAGCAAATTTTTGTCTTGTTTCATCTTGAGCTTTTTCTGGATCATTACTATCAGTATTATTATTAGGATTACCATTATTGCTATTTAATGATGTATGAAACTGTGAATTGTACGGATCATTTGGTGTAACTTCACTAGGCTCGTTTGCCGAAGGTTGCAATGTGCTTATTGTTTTCTCCAATGCATTCCATTCAATTCCAGGAACAAAACTATGTACACCGAAATCCATCCATTCAATCATAAAATTAGCATTAAATACACCTTTAAATTGAGAATAATGTGTAACATAACTTCCATCTTTATAATAATAAGTAAACGATAATCTTAAACAGGAAAAAAATATCGTTCCATTGCTTAATACTTGGGTAAATACTTGACTGGGATATAGTTCGAACCTATCTAGATCTAAATATCGATCTGCTTGACACAATACTGAAAACATTTTCGCAAGATAAATAAAATGTCTGTGTGTATTATGTGTATTTTTAGAGACATTAATTGTAGCAGCCGGAGTAAACCATTTGGTAACAACCGTATTCCAATATTCTTGGTCGAGAATTCTTTCTACAGGAACACTGGCACATTCTACTAGTTCAAATATCTTACACTTAGCCATATCAGCAAGATATTTTCTTAAGGGAAATGGCATAATATGATATTGTAGATTAGGAGTAGCAGATGGCTTTTGATGATTAGAGGAATCCTTATTATTTCTATAAAGATTTGACGAATTCAATGATGTGCTTCTTCTTACATTTGTGTTTATATTTCGTTGTTCATTATTGAGAAACTCAGAGATGTCTTCTGCACTATACCTTTGTGACTTATTACTATCAGTCTTTTGAACTCTTAGAGAAGCACTTCTCCCTTTTGTATGCTGCTGCTGCTGTGAATATTGTTTCTGCTCTGTTTTCCTATTGGGTATCGTATAGTTGCTGTTATTGGTATTCATATTAAACCCATTATCTAAATAATTATAATTGTAATCATCGGAACTTTCATTATTATCATTATTAAAACTGGGGTTTATCATGTCTTGATGAAATGGTTGTTGTTGTTGCCGTCTATTCATATTTTCATCGCATCTATTATTTTTCATATTAGAATCAATATTGTTTGCATTACCAACATTTTGCATGTTTACAAACTTTAGATCCGAATTTAACCTATGGTATGTATCCTTTTTATTTGATAACCCAAATGAATAAATAGTTGCTTAACAAAAAAGAAATATTATACAGTTGTAGTAATCAGATTAATAGGTAAAAAAACATTAGAATTAAAATACACCAAATAGAACACCTCAATAATGCTCGAAATATATAGGAAATATAATATATTTCAGTTTTTCGAACCTTTTTCGTGGACCCTCTCTCCTTTTTTGATGATTACAGTAATAGTAATATTTTTCTTGCTTATTTTTTTTTTCATTTAGTCCATGACGTTAACACTGTCAAAGAAAATTCACCTTATAATAAGTAGGATAACCTTTTCTATGAGTTATGCAATGCATGAAAGTACAAATCAAATCGAATCAAAAAATAGTAGTGGATGAGGGCAAAGAAGACAACATTTCGACCGTTCTTTCTCCCTCTTTCTTTTGTGAAAAATTATCATTTTCTTATTAATTAAAGTCAGAGACAAACAGTGCTGTTTATTTTACTTTTAAATTCATTCACATCTCTAAATAACTTGGAAGGAGTAAAACAATCCGAGAAGGACCGGCAGACGGAAGATGGAAGTGAAAACTCTACGTACTACAAGGATTAAATAAATATTATTGAAAATACAAAGAGAATGAATACTGCATCAATCAAAATAACGTAGTGAAAAATTAAAGAACAAGAGTGAACACGTACCGAGGAGAAGAATTTAAGGAGAAATAAAGACAATGAAGGGTCGAAGAAAAGTGTACGTAAAATAGATATGAGTACGAAGAGTTACAGAGAGATCGTCCTTGTGAGAGATTTTTAGTAGTTGTAAGATTTACGTTTTTCAGGTCGTAAATCCCTAAGAAATAAGGAGGGGACGAAAAAAACTGAAAACAATATGCTGTAGCAATGAAAAATTAATGAGAGCTAGGTACCCAAACACCTTGTATACCCGTCAAACGTTTTAATAGATATGTATCTACAATCATTAACGAATGTATCCTCATGTGTACATCCATATATATTTGATAAATACCATTGAACATAAAAGACATATTTGAAAAAAAATGGGAAAATTCAGGAAACGAAAATAAGACAACAATTTAAAGAATTGGTATTCTCTCTCTTTTTCTATGTCTTCTGGTACTATACTTCCTAAAAATTAGACAATCTAATAGAATATTTCGTTTTTTTATGTAATTGATATTTGACGTTATTTTCTCGTAGAATATTTTATGCATAATACATACTATCTAGGTAATGTATTGCTTTGTACATGTAAGTATTTTTTTTTTCAAAACTATTTAGATATGTCGGTGCTTACAAAAAATTGCATATTGCAAACACTATAATTGTGCACAACTGTATCTCTATCTGTTTTAGTTTGGTATTTCGTCATGTACGTAATATGTTTGCTCAAAGAAAACTTGTTACTACGGGGTTTTTATATCTTGAACTCACCTTATTGAATTTATTGGAACCAATAAGATATAGTTCACTTTTACTCGGTTCTCTTACAGTCATGTGGGAAGAAATACAACGTTACAATGTAATTTTAATTACGCTTTCAAGATTTTGTTTAATAAAATTCATTAATTAAACTTTGAAGGACGGTAGAGATCATTTCAAACTTACAATAACTACCATAATTCTTTGCAATTCAAAAAAAAAAACAGACGTCTCATCCTAAAATTCTTAGGTACTACTTTTTCTTTTCTTTTATGAAAAATCTTAACTTACAAATAATATAAAAAAATTATACAATACAATTTTAATGATAAAAGTAAACAAAACATTCTACCATTCCCAGAAATAGACAAGTAATTCTACAACAATCAATATTCTATCATTAGAGGAAAATTACAAGCATATTCAATAATTCACTTTTTGGAACATGAAACCTTTTAAAAAAGACGTCTGCAAGATATGTAATAAAGTACTTCGTAGCGACTCTTCATATGTTTAAATCTCAACATCTTCGCAAAAAAGCACATTCATTGTTATTAGATCAAATCCTTCTCAATGAATCTCTTTCTCATTTCAATCCTACCTGTACCGTGCTTCTTCTCAATAAGAGCTAATTCTTCTTCCTTTCCACCTTTCAATATTTCATCATCTTCTCTGGTCCAAATACCTGGAACGTTCATTGGTGGGTTGGCATTATGTTTGAAACTATTTAAGAAGTAACGTGGAAAAACCATAAGATCACCAGATAAAGCTGTTAGAATACTTGTACTGAAGGTCTTTCTAACACCTGCTTCATCACACAAATCTTGAACTAACTTCTCAGCTTGAGATGGTTCATAATCTCTAGATATAACATCCTCAATCTTATCCATGAATTCTCTCGTGCTTGCCATTTGAAAGAAAGTAGGCAAAAATAGGTCAATACTGGCAATATCAGGTGGGAAAGGAATACTATCTGGATCAATATTATCGAACTCAGCTTCTTCAATCGAGAAATCATGTCTGATAGCATCAGCAATCTCTTGTGGATATTCGAACGGTAAATTGTTATCCATGTTTTTCAAATTATTCTTCAGATCAGATATGAAGTTCATTGTCTCTTCGTCCAACAAATCAGATTCAGGTATTGGGTAATTTCTTTGATGGTTAGTCAATGTATTTTGATCAGCAGCGGCAGCGGCAGCAGCTGCCAAGGACACGGATTCATTGTCATTAAGTGTTTGAGACGCACCACGTGCGACAGATGGAACATTGACCTTAGCTCTCTTTATTGCTGAATTATAATTACCTGGTGTTGGTAATCCTTCTCTCTTTGGTCTATTAGTCATATTTCTAATAGGCTCTGGAACCCTATTCTCAGCCATCTCGGTATCATAGTAACTAATATATTGGTCAATACCATATTCCAACAAAAATTTTCTAAACCTATCTCTCCAAGCATTTTCTGTATGAGTAGGATTTTTTGAACCAAATATTTTGAAAAATTCTCTTGCAATTGGACCTCTACGTGCTCCAATACGATATTTATCAAAAGTTGGCTCAGAACCTGGAACATTGTTATGGTCCATTGTAACCTTTCTTTTTGCAATAGCTACAGGTGTATCGTTTGAGGAGATCAATGATTTACCTGTATCAGGATCCACTTGAAACAAATCACGATAAAATTGCCTCTTGACGGCTTGGGCTAAATCATAATCTTCCTTTGCAGTAAACTTCTTTTTCAATGATGGTGGTAGTACCTCCGTCTTAATTAAATTTCCTTCATCATCACGGATCAATTTTCCAAATTCATCAACTTTGTAAACGTATTCTAGTCTCTTGGACAAATATACACGGTATCTATGTCTAATAGAATTACCAGTATGGTTTGGTACATAATGAGAAATTTCATCAAATAAAGTATGTGTAGTTCTTCTAGTTGGATTTTTTCTAACAACATCTAAGATGAATTCATCTTCATCTTCTGTAAATGCTGCTTTATTATTAGATGGAAGATTAGCCCGAATTATATCATGATCTTGTGTCATGTAATGAGAAGATACATTTTGAGAATTGTGTTGTCCTACGTTATTATTTTGCTGTTGTGATGATGTTGGATTTTCAACTTGTACCAAAGGCTGTGATAATGAATTAGAGTTATCAACAGCATCATGAAACAATTTTAATTCATCATCAATATTATCATCATCATCGTCATCACCATTATTGTTATTAACATTTGTTGAAGAAGATTGGGCTGACTTTTCAGTGGTTTCAACGTTAATACCATTAGAGGTTCCTTGAGATTCCTTAATTTCGCCATCCTCATTATTATATGGAGTTTGTAATTGGTTATCGATCACTGCACGAAATTCATCATATGGAACTAGATAATTCTTCATATCCAATAATATACCACTCTTAATACATTCTTTGATATAAGTTGGGGTGACTGTTGGTAATTTAGTATCATTGTATGGTGAGACCACAATAATATCGTCAGTGGTTTCCTCAGGAATCTTTTCTAATAATTCACCACCATTTTCTTTAATTAATGTCTCTAATTTATCTACATCAGTAGTAGAATCATGAGCATCCGCATCACGATTAATGAAAAATTTTTTACCATCTAAAATTTCTGAAGAAGTATTTTCGGTTTCTTTATTCGAAGGAAGTTTCTTTGAATTATCCTCTTCATCATTTTCTAATTGTTCCTTTTCTTCAGTTGAACTAATATTCTGACCACTAGATTCTTGCGCTTCACCATCATTCTCCTTAGTAGCACCCTCCTCCGCAATAGCTGGATCAACAACTATGTCACCACTTAATTGATCAACAAAATCTTCAGCAGCTTTAGCTAAATCAGTAGAGTCTGACATTTCGAAGAGATAATATTAATTGAATTTAATGAAATGATCTAGTAAATTTACCAAAATAAACAAAATTCTTGCAATATACCAGCTGGTAAAACAAATTCAAGCAACAGTTGCGTTATAATTTTTAATCTTAAACAACTAAAACACTTATGTGTTTATAATTTGTTCTAAATCCTTTGTTTATATCGATGAGATTCCGGACTATTCAATAATCGATGACTACTTCTCTTGTTTATTAGTTTCAGCTATTTGTATATGGTGTTATGATGGATGGTTTCTGGGTGTTGGACAAATGCAGAAAATACATCATCGTCCATGAAGTAATCTCTCTCTATCTTAGCCAACTTTAAGAAAAACAAATATTTGTTTGTTTTTTTCCCTGGCAGCGAAGAGAAAATTGATGAATTATCAATATTACCCGGAAACTAGAATTCTTTTGGTAAGGTAGGGTAATCAAAATTTGTACTACTTGGACTTATAATCAATGATATATATATATATATATATATATACCTATGTTACTAACACAAGGAATGAGCATTTACAAATCCCAATTAATTAGTTAACTTAATAGTTGTAGAATCTGATATTTAGTTTAATCCTTACCCAAATATAAATAAATATTTCTATAAAAGTCTTTATGTTTGTCTATATGCTTGAACTAGATTGTACTTGATGTAATGTAGTAATGTAATGTCCCTTTGCACTATCATAAGTATATTCTAATGCTGTCAATTGACCACCTTTGACACATGCAGAGTCAAGACCCTTCGTGTGTTTTCTTATATTTAAACCTTTCTTTGCATCATGGCCATATAACACAGTAATATTATCAAATTTTTTATCACTTTCATCCCATAATTTATACCATCTCTTACTATTTTTCACATCATCTTCTTCTCTTGCACTCTTTGTCCAATCATGTTCATTAACATATTTCATATCAATTAATTCAACAATTGGAGGAATTTGATTCTTTTCTATGAAATCACCTGGTAACATACCTGCATGAACTGCAAATAATATCTCACTAGTTAATGTTAAATCAAACCGTAGAGTGACTGAACCAATTGAAGCCAAACGATGCAATCTTTCTGGTCCTAATTTTTTAACTAATTCTTTATGAATCTTCTTTGGTGGTTTAAAAGTTTTTGGTGGGAAATTTTTATCAGTTGTGAATGATAAATGATCATGAGTTAAGTCAAGATATTCTTGAACATATGCTAAAAATAATAATATTTCATGGTTACCAAATACAAATTTAATATTATCTTGATGTGATAAAATATAATCCACAACTTTTAAAGAATCTGGTCCCTTTACTAAAAAATCCCCCAATAATATAACTGTTGTATGAGAATCTAATGTTCCAATTTTCTTATCTATCATTTCTTGAAAATCATTAAATTGTCCATGAACATCACCAATGAATATTAATCTATCCTTTGGATCAGTAATTGTTATCACTTTAGGTAATGTTGTTAATATAGGTAGTAGCATTGTCGCACTTGTTGGTATATCTTCGTTTATAATATTATAAGTTAAAATAAGTATGCTAGCTATTGAAACTAATATTACAGGAAGTTTCCAATTGTAATTCATGGTCCATAAAAAGCACACAGAAATCTATCCAAAAAATAAAAAAAAATTTCAAGTTCTTATATAAAATATTCTTCTGTCAATATAAAAATAGATAATTTATCTAAATTTGTAGGAACAGTCCGATAAAGAGTCAATAGAATATATATATAAACAAATATAATAGCTCAATTTCCGATGCCCAATGTATAAAAAATATTTTCAAATTCAAGAACCATCAAAAAAAGAATAACATACTATACCGAATATGTTTTATTCTATTGTTCATGTTATATATATATATATATAAACATAAATTTTTGTAGACCTACAATCAGTACAAGTGATTTAACAATTTACCCACGAGTTCGACAATTTTTCCTATTATTAAAGAATAATAAACTGGTTGCTTACAACAGTAATTAATGATTGAAATTCATTAAAAAATTACCGCAGCAGTTACGTAAATACAATTTAACCCCATCGATGCTGCATATATTGAAAATACTAGCATTCATGCAACAACAAAGAACAATAAAAGAATAACAAATAATTAATTCCGTGATCCTTGGAATATCGTCATCGCAATTATTGTCAATAGTAATTCTACTGAAAAATTTAGCCTAAAGAGGGATTACGCTTTATTTTATTACTGCGCGCTTTTTCTTTATTTTATTTTTACAATCTACCCTTTTCTTCATGTGTTGCAAACACATACTGAGGTCAACTAAGCAGCACCAGTAATTATAAAACTTTGTGGAGCCACGTTCTTCTAGTTTTATGACATCTACTTTATTTGTAAAACTAGAAAAGGGTTGAGGAAACATCAGAATAACGTATTATTCAAAAATATTTTAAGCCTTATCCAGTTACGTAAAGGTATCAAATCCTTAATATGTGACGGATACTATATTTTTCACTTAATAAATAAATAATCAATTATACTGAAATCTTACTCATATATATATTATCTTGAACTAAATATATACTCTCTTGAGATCATCTTCTTTCAAGATCAGGGTCTCTTTTATTTCCGAAATGTTTCCCAGTTAAAAATTTTAATTCCTTAATATCTGAACATTTTTCTAATACCTCATTAGGCCAGTATTGTTGTTTACATAACCCATCTTTATATTCAGGATTATATTTATAACCTTCATGATAACCCAAATCTTCCATTAATTTTGTTGGTGCATTTCTAATATGCATCGGAATTTCACTACTGGCTAATCCGTAAAGATTTTCATTTATCATACTTTTCACTTTATTCCAAGCTCTATATAATTCAATTGATTTAGGTGCTCTTGCTAAACTCACACAACATTCTGCTAGTGCTAAATCTGCCTCAGGTAATCCAATCTTCATTACAGCGTCATGTGCTGCTACCGCCAATGGTAATTGTGTTGGATCGCGAAGCCCCACATCTTCTGTAGCTATCCGAATCATACGTCTAGCAATATATAATGGATCCTCTCCACCTTTAATCATCCGTGCTAAATAATACAATGAAGCATTCTCATCACCACCTCTTATGGCTTTATGGAATGCCGAGATTGTATCATAATGATTATCTCCCTTTGGATCATAATATGTACTTAACCCATTGGAACTATTACTCTTAATGATGTCTCTAACCTCCTCTACAGTCAAACTTTCGGAACTACTTCCACCTGTTCTTGTCCAAATTTCAATCATTTCTAATAAATTTAACGTTCTACGAGTGTCACCCATAGAAACATCTACTAGATATTCAAGACATGCTCTTGATAATTTTAAAGGTTTATCTATCTTGAGAACCAACTTTCGACATTTATTTAATAATGCAAGACCTCTTGACAATACAATACATGATTCATTGAGAGTTAATTTTTGTAATACAAACACATGACATCTGCTAATTAAGGCATTATTAAGTTGAAAGCTTGGATTCTCTGTAGTGGCACCAATTAATACAACATCACCATTTTCAACGTGTGGTAATAATAAATCCTGTTGTGATTTATTAAATCTATGAATTTCATCAATAAATAAAACAGTTCGTCTCTTAGTTAGTTGATATTCTTTCTTGGCCTTTTCGAAGATTGACCTTAGTTCTTGAGTATTAGCTTTGGTGGCACTAGTTTCAATCATATAAAAATTATGAGCAGATTTTGAAAGTAAACGTGCCAAAGAAGTTTTGCCTACACCTGGTGGACCCCATAATATCATCGATGGAATTGTGTTTTCTTGAATATATTTATATAAAGTTCCTGTAGTATTTGATAAAATATGTTGTTGGCCTACATATTCTCTTAATTCTTTAGGACGTAATCTTTCTGATAATGGTAAATGCATATTTTTTTGTAAATGTTTAATCTCTTGTTCTAAAGATCTTTCTTGGGCCTGTATTGGTTTCATTTTTCTTTCTTCAACTTTAATTAATTTATCAGGATGACTGTCAGTATCATCATCACCATCATTATTCTTATCATTTATATCGATCGCTGTTGATGAAGATGATCCGGAATTAGATTGTATTGATGACAATTTCCTCTTACCATTCAATATACTAGATAAGGACCTTTCAGGTTTTATAGTTTCACCTTCATTACTACCAGCCTTTTTCATATTTGTTATAGAACATCTATCTATATGAGAATTAATATTCATGTACAATATTGATTCAGAACATATGGGACATTTAATGATCTTAGTTTTTGATTGAGATTTACCTTCCGTTGATTTCTTCTGAAAGAATGACATTTTTCCGATTCAGTATTTTACCTTATACTTTATTGATCCAGAGCACATGTGATAGAGATCACGAAGTACATAAGAATGTTTATAGACATATAATTATAGATGAAAACGTTTGTTATTGCTGTTTCAAATATTTGTTGTTAATTTAATTATTGGCGTTTTCCGATGAGGGAAGTCGTGTTCTACGGCTATTTCTGTGATATTAAAGTGGAATTTTTTTGAAAAAATCAAAAAATGATATACAGAAACATATAATATTTACAGTACTACTCCATCTGGTTATATAACAATTTATCTCACAAACTAATATATATTTAAATATTTTCATATTTATAATCTCATCTACTAAGTGAAACTCTTACGAGGACTGTTGTTGCAGTTACAAAGAGATGAATTGTTTTTTTATTCGGTTGCCATTAAAATGTATAGACATCTTTGATCCCATATCTCCTCGGCGAAGGAAATTTTAGTGTCTTCATACACTTTTTGTATTTATTCAATGCGCAACGCTGCGTTGCGGTTGTAGTATTCAATCAATATGATATGCTGGGAAGGAAGTGACAAACGAGATACAAGATTGAATCAGGGAGTAAGATGTGATGATAACGGTTGTAGACATACTAGCTATTAACGTTGAAGTATTTAATTGATTGCATATCTTTATTTTTATATATATCAGATATATATATAATTTGTTTCGGTTGTTCTTTCACAAATTCTTATAAAAGGGTTAACCTGTGCTATATTAATTGGTTTTGATTTGATTAAAATTTAAAAAAAGTTTGAAGACTATAAAATCTTAGAATATTTCAAATACAACTCTGATATAAATATCTTATTTTTGCGGTATTGCTGGATCAGTTTAGGAAATATGACTTGCAAGAAAATATCATTTCTGTTAGTTACATTACTGTTTACATCACGTATTATTTTACAACCAAGATACTCTTTGATTTCAGATTGTGATGAAACATTCAATTATTGGGAACCTCTGAATTTTTTGGTTAGAGGATTTGGTAAACAAACATGGGAATATTCACCAGAATATTCTATTAGATCGTGGGCCTTTTTATTACCATTTTATGCTATTATTTACCCTTTCAACAAATTTACTGAATTAGAAAGTGTTTGGAATTTTTACATTACAAGAATAACTCTGGGTTTGTTATCATTTATTCTAGAAGTTCAATTACATAGTGAAATAAAAAAATCCATGTCTCACAGAGTAGCTAATATATGGTTATTATTTCAAATATTTAATCCAGGTTATTTCCATGCATCTGTAGAATTATTACCTTCTTCAGTAGCAATGATTTTATACATCGGATCCATTAAATATGCTCTACGTTATTTATCGACAAATAAAAGTTCCTCTTTTACTATGAGTCTTACTTTTAATTTCATTGCAGGAATATTAGGTTGGCCATTCGTATTGGTTCTAAGTTTACCTTTGTGTGTTCATTATGTCTTTTATAACCCAATAATAGTATCAATTAGAACAGCATTTGATTGTACATTGATGTTACTTTCAATTAGCGCTGTTGTCATTGGTATTGACTCCATTTTTTATGGCAAATTTGCATCAGTTTCATGGAATATATTATTTTATAATGTATTAAATGCTGATGAAAATAGCGGCCCAAATATTTTTGGTGTAGAACCATGGTATTATTATTTATTGAACCTTGTATTGAATTTCCCATTACCTGTATTATTGTTTAGTTTTGTAGGATTGACCCATGTTAGTTTAGCACCATTATGGATATCTTTCACCTTATGGATGGTTATATTTATTATGCAACCACATAAAGAAGAAAGATTTTTATATCCAATATATGGTTTGGTTTCATTAAGTGCTGCCATTGGATTTTCCAAATTGTTAACTTTTTCAAAACTGTGTAAATTATTAAAGAAGGTGTTGAAATCTATTGTTATCCTCGCTGTAATCATACAAGCATCATCACGTATAATTGCCCTTATTGTCAATTATACTGCACCATTGGATACGTTTGCTGAATTATACAATATAACCCCTAGTGGATTAAACGATATAGAACTTATCAATGTATGTGCAGGTCGTGAATGGTATCATTTCCCTTCATCATTCCACTTACCTGATGGGTATCGTCTACAATTTATAAAATCTGGATTTGATGGATTATTACCAGGTAATTTCCCAGAATCTATCCCATTGCTTGAAACTATTCGTACTATTCCTGAAGGAATGAATAATTTAAATAAGTTTGATGCTGGGAAGATTGTAGAGATTGATGAATGTACATATATTGTAGATATGGTTGATAATTCCAATAAAGCAGTCGATGCATTTAATCCAATTGAAGAAATTGAAAATCAAAAATGGAACCGTGTATTCTGTAATCAAATCATTGATGTAGATCATTCCAAGATTTTAGGAAGGGCATTCTATGTTCCACCTATTATTGCAGATTTTATGAATAAAAAGTTACCTTCATTATGGAATAGAATGTATGGGGTTCAATTTACAGATTACTGTTTGTTTGAACGTGCTGAAAATGCTCCAAGAGAAATAGATATATAATGACATCATTTGTAAATAAATAAAAATAAAAAAACGATCTTTCAATTTTATTATTTGTACTATTTTTTTTTTGTTATTATTTGCCACCATTAGCTAACATAAAAGATATCTTCTCTTATGATCATATATATAGTACCCTTCTACTACTCATAGTATCCATCTATGAATGAAAAGCAAATTTTTTTTTCTTTGTAAAAAATTATTGAGAGCCTTTAACTAAGCGATGTCCATATTACTGCGAAAATAATTTTAAGTATTTTACAACGTGCTCTATTATACTTGATCCGACAATTACTTCAGTAACCTAGCTCCTCTCATTATAACGAACTTTTAATATTGTAACGAGACTATTAGGACTTTGAATTAGAAGTAACAATGGCAGTTCAACAGTCGGCAAATAAGGGTGGAAAGAAGCAATACAATAAGAATCAGATTCAAAAGAGGCAACGAATCTATAATGCCAGAAGTATTCGAGCTGAGGCTATTATTGCATCTTCAAGTAACAAGGATAAATCTACTAATGATCTATCTGAATCTGGTTCAATGTTGAATGTTGATAAATTTATCAACTCCAGACAATTCGAGATTAAAGAATTACAATTGGCAATGCATAGATCTAAAGTCTCAGGATCTACTAGAGTATTTCAAGCTTTACCCAGGCGATTACGTAGAAGAACTGCATCACATAATATCAAAAGGATCCCAAAAAGAATGCGTAATAGAGCGTTACGTGAAATGATGAAGAATGATCAGGAGAGGACAGGGGCAAACTCAACAAAACCAAGACATGGTCTAACTTCGAAGGCCCTTTACAAAGCTAAAATGTCAATAAAGTTGTTAAGGCTGGCTAGTAAATCTAAGTCAATGAAATTAGCTTTACCAAATGAAGTCTCGGCATCAAAGAATCGTGTTAGACAAAAGATAAGAACCCTCCAGAGGTTAATTAAAGATGGGAAAAGACACAAAAAAAATATTAGTAAATTGAATAATGTAATGGGGAGTTATGACAATGTTGGGGTAAATACACTGGCCAAAATTCCAAGAGGTCGTCCAAAGTATGTTAAAAGACAGTTGAAGTTTACATGGTTACCGACTCATGTCTGGAATGCGAAGAGATCGCATATGATTAAAAGATGGGGGTATCAAATACCATGGTCTGCCACGCAAAAATGTTTTAAGATGACGCACCGTATTGGTAGTAACGTAGCAACATCTGATGGAACATTGTGTATGGACACTAGTTATTTGGGCACTATAATTATCAATGCAAAAGAAGGTGAAGCTGAACAACTAAAGGAAACTATTTCTAAATTAACCAATTCTCGTGGTGTAAATTCTAAATATTATAAATCGAAGAAATTATTTCAAGGACTAATACACAGTCCTGTTGATGGCAATATCTTGGGACCTGGTGAAGTAATATGGGTAGATGAAGTGTCTGTATTGTTAAGGTTACATCCCACCGTATTCGGTAATGTATTTAGTCATTTATTAACCTTAACAAATTCTTTGAAAATTCAAGATGCCAGATTTTCAATCTCTAGCATCACTTTAACTGGTGCAGAATCATTAACTGCATTAACAAGTGTATTGAGAAGCACCTCTAAATCTGAATCGTTCGAACAATTAAAATTAGTATCAAATGTTACAGATTGCAACGTGCTCCCTCAAAATTTAAATTTTGGTTTTACTGCGATCGACCCACGTCATTTTGGTTCACCGAAGAAAATTAAACATGGAAAAGATCAGTTAAATATTGATGAGGTAATGAAATTACAAACAAATGAGCCAAAGACTGAAATTTATGAAACATTATCAAAATTATTGTCCCAATCCGGCCGTACCGAATCTTACAAAGGCCAATTAACAATGAAGGAATTAAATAAACGTCGTCATAAGATGGTTCATGCTGACTCAAATGTTGCTGACAATGGAATAATTCCATTCGAGAAGGGTAAAGATCCAGAGATACCTTTATATATTTACAAAAGAGAAGAATCAAACGACTGGGTCATTCTGTTACCTTGGTTCTGGCATTTACCATTATGGTATCAATTGAATCGTATACCAAGAATGTACAATATCGGTTTAAGACAGTTTCAACAATTACAATATGAAAATAGTAAATTATATTTCCCTGATGATTACCCATTCACTGAAGCAGGTTCGATAGAAAATGCAGTTTATAAAAGAGAAACATCACGAAGTAAATGGGAAGGGAAACCAAGTGGTAAGAGAGTAAATTTCTCAAAAATTAAAAATATTCACAATACAAAGATTCCATCCTTGAAAGGTGAAATCGGTGACTTCTTTTCTTGTGATTGGAGATTTTTACAAGTATTAAGGAACGGTGTTTCATACCTTTCTCGAGACGGAAAGTCTCTAGCCATGATTAATCCTAATAGGACAACCCAGTTTGATCAAGGTGCGAAAAGATTAATCGAAGTAGTTAATGACCTTTTTGAACTTTCAAAGGATCTAGAGGTTGAAAACTTAACTATTCCTCGCTCTAAATTACCAATCTGTCTGTCAACTAATTCAGATAGAGAGCCGAAATTAGTTCGTACGAAAGAAGATATTTGCAATATTCCATTATCTGTCTTACCGGTACGTTGCAAATATGTAGAAAGAGGCCATATGAAAGATAATGCAAGAATATACGAAATTCCTAAGGAGCATGAAAAGTATTGGAAAGAGAAAAGAAATGGTACATTTAGGCCAGATGGTAAATTATTCCATGATGAGAAGACTCCGTTAGTAGAAGTATACAACCTCATTGGTTTTATTTCAAGTGGTGCATATGATTTAAGTATTGGTGGTAGTTGTGGTACCGGGTTTGTTGATGAAAGTCATTTTATTAATTCGAAAGATAAATATGTACTAGTGAGAAATGTAGGATCTAACCAATATAGGTTGGCTCTCTTAAACAAGCTAATTATATAAATGTACATAACATCAATGCATAGTATTTATAAAAATACACTGAAAATCACCGTATTTGGTTAAGCTGTCACCAAGCATCTTCCACTAAGGTCAATTGATGAGTTTCATATTTGATATATCCTGTATATATCATATATTACTTCACAGTATCTTCAACTCTTTTTAGTGATCAATTTACAGGATACGCCGTAATTTGGCGCGCAAAGACATTTGCCGTAGTTTCACAGGCTGAAAAATAATCGCTGTGATTTTGTCGTCGCTTTTTGTTTAGTTTTTTCCATTTTCTTCATCATTTGAAAATTGTATAAAAGGAGCGAAAAGGAACAGTTTTTTCGTTATTTCAATTTAAATTCTTCCTCTTACAATTTTAGTTTTAGATTTTATTTTTAAAAATTAGAGTTTTTCCTTGTTTCTTGTTTTAAAACCCCATACTTACCTTAAGATGCCAAGGGAGATCAAGAAGTCCTTTTGGCCAAATATGCGCTTTCAGTTTAGAGGGATGCTAGGCATTTAAATATGTTATATGACATATTATTTAATTGATGTAAGTTCCCTGGTCACTCGCACATACGACTGCGAAAGGTGTGTTTGCTGACGTCTCGTTCTTTTACTTTTTCAATAGTGGTATTATGTTAATTTCTTCGGAAGTACACCATTTTACCAATGTTGTCAAGTCCTTTTTTCCTTCTGCCTGGAGAAGTATGGTACCGAGTACAAATCGGTATTAAGGGAGTTGAGGTGTATCAAAAACTGCAATTGAATTTGAGGATGATTTGTTTTCGATAGTAGTTATTTACATCATGATAGTTACTGATTAAAATCTTGACTTTCTGTTTCGATTTTTAAGGTAGAGTATTTTATTATGACTAAATGATTACATATTGTTGTTTTCAGAGTGTCACTATTTGACAATTCGATATTCAGTTGTGTTTCCTCGGAAGGTTTTTGTTATATCTTGATAGAGACGGGTGGATCTTATAATTTTTGATTTAATCTTTTCTTTATTACGTTTCATTTTGTTACGTTTCCTTATGGGGTTTTGGAACAAATGGATGTAATGTTTTTTTTTTATTATATAATAATTAAATCATTATACATATCAGATGATAGTACTGTTTGAATTATTATATTAATATATATATTGAAAGAGAAAAGGTGGGATTACTAGAGGGGTCCGATTTAGATTCGTTTATCTTTTGATTTGATTTCTGTGTGTTCTCTCTCACAATTGATTTACGTTTTCTTTAGAATGCATTTGAATATCTGTTCTATTTTATGTAGAATTTATGTTTATATTTGTATGTACTGTAATAACTAATGTCTTTAAGCTACTAGTAAAGGTATTCAGTAGTAAGCTGGTGAATAAAGACTTGGTAAGTTAGGATACTTCTCTTGCCATTCGGTTAATATGTCCATTATTGTATCCTCGAACGGTATTTCTTGTATACGACATTCTTCGACTTTTGAACTAATGTTGTCAGCTAGTTGTAATATGGCCTTTGAACCACTTTTCGCATTTTCGTTATCATCCTTAATGTCAATATTTATAACATGTACTATTTTATTTTGAGTTCCCCCTCTTTTCATTAAATCTTCACATACAGAATCAAAGCAACGTTCTTCACATGTAAATACAAAATCAAAGGTCTGTGGTCCATTTTCTTGCCATTTTTCTGGTGCTTTCTTAATCTTTCTATTACGATCTAGCATTTGTAATAATCCATTTGACTTATAACGATCCGCGGATTGTGAAAGTAAATCATTGTATATATCATTGTAAGGTGTACCAAATGGGTATACGTTTGGTTTATCAATGGATAAACCAGGTAATCTAACTGCAGAACCGGTACCAAATGAACTCACATTATATCCAGCTTCTTGAAGTACTCTGTGAGACTCCATGGATCTATTATTGTTAGATGCACAAACAGTGCAGAATTTAATTGATGGATCGTGTTTCTCTGTCATCGGTTTTCTTTTATAGTTTTGGGATTGTCAAAAAGTAGGTACAAGTGGGAATTTGTTTTATTGCAAGATTCGTATGTTAACAACTAGTTGGTTGATACCGTAAAGTCTAACTAATATATATTTTGGACTATCTAGAGCTAGTTGCGAAACAAATATTAACTGATTGTATACTGGGTTGTTCCTTCTCTTTTCTTTTTTGACAAGTTCTCTCATACTAAAAGTTACCAATACTTAATATTTTTTTTCTATGTTGTTATTTTTCTTTTTCACATCTTCTTCATTTGTTCGACGTTTAAAAAAAGATTTAACAAAAAAAGGGAATTATAGAAGTCACTAACTACATAAGCTGTTACTTAATAAAGAATAATTTAATATTTAAAAATATATAAAAGGATGCAATTTATTTATTTATTTATTTTGTAGAATATGTTTATATGCGCTGATTTATGTAAAAAGGATCTACCATAGTCGTAATTTTGTTATTGTTGTTAAAAAATCTGCATAAAATATCGTATTGAAGAAAGTGGGCAAAAAAAAATGTTCAATTTTATAATTCATTTCAGGTGTTAGGGAAATTTGTTGTATCGTTTGCTACTAGTACTGATTCTATATCGTAATGTAAGTCAGATGTGTCTTTGGCACTACACTGGTTTTGGAAAATCATAATATTTTGAGTCTTGTAATTGAGTTTCTCAAATGACTCATCTACTTGAATTGTATTATAATTTTGTCCTCTAACCAAAGGTTCAATATCTACATAATCGTTTCGTGAAATATCACGTGTATCATTTTCATGACTTGATTCATGGGAACCCATACTACTAATATCAAATTCATCAAATTTTCCCTCAATGTCACTATAATGATTTTTTTGAATGTTAATTATTTGAATTTTATCACATTTTATTTTAAATTCTTCCCAATCCTGTCTACCGTCTAAAAATATTCCGATAAGCATCGATGGATCAATATCAGTAATATTTAATCTTCCATAATCTGTGGAACAGCATGTAGAATATACAGATGGTTCTAAGCAAGGTTGTGGGTAGTGAGGATCGAAATAAAGTAATTCATTGCCTTGGTATCCAAAAAAATATAAGGAAGATGATGGTCGACCTCCAGCAATTCCTACAGAGTATTTCGATGATAGTAATTCAAAGATATCATCTGAATAATTCATATTAATGTTATTTATCCCTAATTTAACACCCAGTAATAGCAATATTTTACTATTTTGTTTTTGTTCAAATATTGTTTCGATATCATTCTCGAATATGTCACCAGATGAAACAGAGATAATACAATTATCAATTCCGCATTCTGGGAAATCTTCGATTAATTTTTTAATACTAGTTGACGTTGCTGCTGGACCAAACCATTCACCTGGTTTCATATTACTAAATTGTTCACCTTTCTCAACGAACTTATGGAGAGAGAATGGGGCCTTAATATCATCTTCAAACCACCCTACAATTTTATTGCGTACCCTTAACTGTGTATCACTAACTATCTCAACTCCTTCATTATAGTTTCTTCCAAGATTTGCATCTTGAAGTGCATTACCCAGTAAACTTTGGCCTGTCCTTATCATACATCCCCATCCTATATCGGTTGTGAAACAATCAGGGTTTGACACAATATTTTCGATAGAATTTAAAGGGTTATCGCGAAGAAATCGTTGGAAATTCATAGGTGATGGACCATTCTCTGCTCTTTGAATAGGGGAAAATCGAGTCCTGTAAGTGAAATGTAGTTTGTTAGACAGATCACTTAAAAATGTTAAATTGTTCTGGGAAGATCTAACAAATAATGCAGAAAAGAATCGTTGAGCCGTGGCCGTATCCTCTCCACACTCAAGAGGTAAGGCTTTTCCTTTGTAAGATTTCCCAAGTAATACTATATCTGGTATATCTCCATTCACTTGTGTCTGTAATATCTCTGTCTCTGTAATAAACCTATTAACTAAATTCATCTAATGACAATGTTTAAGGGGGTCAACGTAAAACAATGGAGTTGCCTTTGTTTTCAAGGACTATTTCTGCTCGCAAAAGATTAAAATTGCACTATTAACAATAACTTATAACAAGAAACCGAGATTAATTTTTTATTTTATGGAACTGCTATGTGATTTTGCTCTACTTCCTACTACCTTGATTAATGGATAACAAAATATCAAATTACTTCAAATTTTGTGGAATTATTATAAATAATTCAATGAAAAATCAAAAATGAATAGCTAAAACTGAGTTTAAATTTTGCCTTTGTTTTGAAATAATTTTTAATTAGATGAGACGATAATATGGTAAAATGTTTTATTGAATGTTCAATGCTGTATTCCTTAAAATCTAATTAATATCAAAGTTTATATTGTTCTTATATATTTGTAATACTGATAAAAAAAACCCTTTTATTTGAATCACTGTATTACTTTTTTTGTAGCATGTAAATGAGCGATGCGCAAGTTATACATCTATATTTAAATAGTAATATTCACCACCACGGAGCATGAATTCTCCTACAAGAGATGGTTCATCAAGTAGAACATTAACTATTCTATTCAGCCATTATACTGATACAACGTAGTTAGATATCTTAAGACTCTACAAAAGATGGCTAAGAGACATAAGCATTATGCTGGTGCAAAGAAGAAACGCTCAAACGGCAGTGGTGGTTCACGTGGGAAGGTGAACCATAAAAGTAAATATCTGAGAAAACGTCAGCAATCTGAACAGAAAGATCGAAAGGGTGATGGGATAAATAACTGGTTTAACTCATCTCTTCCGATGGGAAATGGTGATTTATCATTGGGTATGGATTACTCCAATCCTGGTAGGGCAGTCATATCGGCCCAAAATATAGAAGATTATTATTTTGGTAGAAGAAAGGACAAATCAATGAAGCAAGGTGGATTTAGACTTGGGAAAAGGAACTACTCGTCAAATGATTTGAACTCTGCTAATAGTTCATTTAGAAAGAGGCCCATGGTTTTTGTTAAGGCTGCAGAGGTGTACGACCCATCGCATGATTTAATTTTACAACTGGCAAAGAACCAAAAACGTAAGTGCTTACCAACAGAAAGTCTATCGAATGACGAACCTGACTCAACTGATAATAGTGATGGACAGTATAGTGATTTTGAGAGTTCTGATGAGAGCGACAGTGTGTCAGATGTTTCATCTCGTTTTGAAGAGGATATCATTAAACAAGATGAGAACACAGGTGATGAAAGCTTAGATGTTGAACTCAAGGAAGCAGAGGACGATAAAATTATTGAAGTTAACCAAACAGAGCGTACTTATTCAGAAAATGAGGTTGATAAAATTGCTAATGTTGCTGATAATGAACTCTTTTTTGTGGATGACACTGGTTATTCTGATGATAACAAACCTATCATACGAAACGTACATGTCCCACTAAAGGAAACAGCAACACCACAATCAAAGAAAGTACCTGCTTTGGAGTTTGATCCATCTTTGGTTATTGGTAAGGTTGAGATTCCTTTAGAAGAAGGTGAGAATGGTGAAGTTATTGCTGATTTGACCCATGCACCTTATAGAAACTATATTAAAAACGTACTAAAAGATATTAATGCTGAAACTGACACAGACAATGATGAAGATGTGGGTTACGATTCTGGCGATATAATAGACGAAATACCCGATGTTAATGAAGATATTCATGATTACGATACAACACCTATCTCTTTCTTTGCAAGTCCGGCAGACTCTGATGTACAGCTATCAGAAAGGATAAAAACATTGGAATTAGAAAAGCATTTAGAAGGTAATGTTAAAGAAGAACCTCAGGAACCGGAATTTGGATTTGTTGAAGATGATTATGTTGTGAACACATCAGATATTTATGTTACTAACATCAGACTTGGTTTTAATGAAAATTCTTATTTTTTGAAATGTTATAGATTATTTGGTGATCATGAAGCAAGATGGGTTTCTCAAGATATATTTGTCGATTTTATTTTGGAAGATCTAGGTCTTCCTGAAACACGTTTAGCTGCATACCTGAGACACGTTAAGGATTCTTTGATACCGAAAGAAGAAACACCAGAACCAATTTACTCAGATATTCCATTTTCTGATTCTAGTGATGAAGAAGGTGCTATGAATAACGTCAATAATGAAGACGATGATATTACACTTATGGAAGGTATGGATGAAGGATTGGATGATTTAGTTAATTATGCTTTGAAATATAGTAAAGAACGAAACCAAGAATTTGATACAAAGACTCCAGTAATGACAGGTAAAGGGAAAAAGAAGAAGCTTTTAGTTGATGAATCTTTATCTCTTGATACTGAGACAATATTTTCATTACAGAGTAAATTGTCTAGTAGGTTAGGTAGAAAGGCTGACAAAAGAAGAACTAAGGAAGATTTTATTAACGAAGAGAACAAACGTTCGAATGATTTACTTAAAAAGTATCCTTACGGGTTGCATATACAAAATATGAAAGATGAGTTTGAAGAATTTTACTCTAATAATAAAGACAGACTAATTTTCCCTCCTTTAGACCCTCATGGTAACAAAACATTGATGAAATTTGCTAAACATTATTACATGAAGACAAACAAAGCTGGGAAAGGCATTCATACACATATGATGATTGAGAAAACCAAGAAGACTAGAAGGGCAATTCCAAATTATGGTCTAATAGCACAACTCCTAAAGCAACGTCCAGTTTTCATGAGAATTGATGTAAAACGTGTACAGGAAGATTTTGTGAAGACTGAAAGAGTTAAGATGAAGAGTAAATTCCATGTCATAGAGGGTGAAATAGTTGGTGAGAACGCTCCAGAGATCGGTCAAGATAATATTGGAAGAAGAATGCTTGAAAAGTTAGGTTGGAGTAGTGGTGAAGGTCTGGGAACTATGAGTAATAAAGGTATCAGTGAACCGTTGTTTGCTCGTGTAAAAAAGGGCAAAGCTGGTCTTCGTCTATCAGATGATAAGAAATAGGTTCATAGGTTTTATATTATGTAGAAATATATATATATATATATATTATTATTATTACACTTAAGAAAAACACCCTTTTGTAAGCCCACTTTCAGTATACTTCAGCACCAAAGTGAATAAAACCACTTAAATTATATATTAAATCCATACGTTACAATCTAAGAGGATATAAATGAGTTCGAACAATATTTGCTCCTCTAAATTGCTGCCACAAAGACTCGAATGGCTATCCGAGTCGATTTTTGCAAGGGAATAGAAGTTCATGAAAATGTTTGGAACGCGAAAAGCCGTTGATTCCAAAAAGCTATATTAAAAGAGTAAACATAGAAACTACTGAAACAATAAAGTTAAAAAGACTAAATTGCATCGAATTGTTGTATGGAAGAGCATATCTATTTTACGAGATACTTGAAATTAATAGAGAACCATTTCATTAAAGCTTACTTAGATTCGTTAATAAGTTAATTAGTTTGCACTAACAGATATACTATTATCCGAGATGGGAAATGATATGAAGGCACACATACTAGAGGCCGCTCAAATGCTGGATGCTGATAGCAACGATCGTGTAAATACGACTACCACCTCTACATATCGTACGAATAACACAAATGTTTTACCGATAGGTTCGGGAAGTCATGAGAGGCTCTCTGACCAGAGTATGGAGAAGGACCAATTTAGCAACGAAATTCATCCTACAAGATATAACCAATCGACTCCTAAACATGAACAAAATAGTAATCCGAATGTCCAAGGGTTAGATGGGAATACGGTAAGGGGCACGGGAGTAGATAAACCAGTATCTAATATGGAGACAATTAAGAATAAAATTAATAATTTACAGAAAGAATTGAACGCAAGAGATGACATAATTAGAAAGATTAATGATGAAAATTCGAAACTAACAGAATCATTTGATCAGTTGCAAAATACCCTGGAGTCAAAAGAAGACGAAATTGTAGAACTGAGACGAAAATTAATGAATAAGGAGAAAGAGTCACAGGAGTCTATTCAAAATAATTTGATTTTCCAAGATAACATGAACAAATTAGAGCAAGATAAAATTAGTTTTAGTAAATATATTGATCAACTTAAATTTTCAGATATTTCAATTGGGTCTATAATAATCGATAATTATAAATCGTTTGAACAAGGTGAAAGAGCACGCATCATACAATTAACCCAGATGTTATCAAATGAAGGAATCGATATTGAAGAACATATATTCAAAGATAGGAAGACTATTTCATCAATTCTAGACAATAGTTTCGATCGAATTGCAGAAACTTTAAAGGAATTCAAATTAGATGATTCGACTGGGATTAAACAAACTCTTACGGATATCAAAAGTATTGAAGAAAATATTAAATCCTCAAATATTACAACTCAAAAAATTCTAGAAAACATAAAATTGGAATTCTCAAGAGAAGGAGAAAAATTTGAAAATCTACTGAAACAAAAGGATAGTAAAATAGAAGAACTTTTGTCGTCAAACAAAGATAAGGATCTTCGTAACGAAATTTTGGAAAAAGAGTACCAGACAACAAGAGGTAATTCGAAAGACTCTTTAACTTATGATGATGTGAAGAGTGCAGATGTTACTAGGGTTGTATTTGATTCTCTGGAATTGGAGCAGATTGATAAACTAGATATGGTAACGTTACAGAATGAATTGAAAAAAATATGTGTCGGAATACAAACGCCGTTTAATAAGATACAGAGGAAAGTTATTCTGGCAAATGTACTAATAAAAAATGAGCTTGTTCATGCGTTAAACTTCATTAATTTACTATATTTTCAATTGCATGGTGATAACTTACACTTCCGTGAACTTGAAAATACCGCATACAGGCAGTATTTAAAGATTCGTGATGTTGATAATGTGCAACATCCATTAAAGCATATTTTGGATGAAATGTACCAGCATATATTGCTTGAAATGACATCCGATGTTTAGCTTTATTTTGTAATAATGTGTAATGAATAATCAATAATGAATTTTAATTACTGGATTTCGTTATGTCCCTATGTGAAGAAGGCTACTAAAACACTCTATGTGGAAAGGTTGTATGTAGTCTTCTATAGGAAGTTTTTTTGGCTCATCGCTCATTATTATTGATCGTCTTGAGCGTTGTGCGAGAATCTCTGACTAAAATTAAAAACTGAATAATTTTTCATAATAAAAATTATGAATATAAACATTCACTCATATTTTCTTCTACTGCAAGATAGAGATTTAAAATGCAAAATAACTAATGAGAAATCTAAAACTTTTTGTCAGTGGTTTATGAGAATAGTAGATTAATTAGTAACCAGAAGCATGAAAACCTGCTATTATGTATTATTAGATGTCGACAACAATGCCTCAGACGCAGAGTTAAAAAAGGCTTATCGTAAAAAAGCCTTACAATATCATCCAGATAAAAATCCAGATCGTGTTGAAGAGGCTACTGAAATATTTGCTTCAATTAGAGCTGCCTATGAAGTGCTATCTGATCCGCAAGAAAGAGCCTGGTATGATTCTCATAGAGAACAAATATTAAGTGATACTCCCATTGGTGGTGGTGATGATGAATACGAAGAGTATGAAGTAGATTCTTCAGTTACTGGTATTACTACAGAAGAATTGTTAATGTTCTTCAATTCGTCATTATATACAAAAATAGATAATTCGCCTGCTGGGATATATCAAATTGCAGGTAAAATATTTGCTAAACTAGCGAAAGATGAAGTATTGAATGGAAGACGATTAGGTCTTGATAAATTCTCAAAATATGAGGACGATCATTTTGAAGAAGATATGTCCAAAACGGGATATTTAAGAAGTGTAGATGATCGGGGATTTGACATAACCAATGAGAAATATTTGTTCCCAATGTTTGGATATTCGACATCGAATTATGAATATCTTAAAACTTTCTACAAAAAATGGGCAAGTTTTAATACTTTGAAGAGTTTTAGTTGGAAGGATGAATTTATGTACTCTAGAACCTATGATAGACGAACTAAAAGGGAGATTAATAAAAGAAATGAAAAATCAAGAATGCTAGCAAGGAATGAATATAACAAAACAGTTAAACGTTTTGTTACATTTATTAAGAAGTTAGATAAGAGAATGAAAATCGGTGCCAAGTTAGCACAGGAGGCTAAAAAGAATTCTGTTGAGCAAAATAAAGATAAAATGAAAACGAATAGCGGTAATAGAGTTTCTAACAATAAAATTCCTGAATTCGAACCACAAAGCTGGCAATCTGTCGAAGAACCAGATTGGGACAAAGTTCAACAGAGCTATGAAAAAGAGTTGAATGCAGAATACAATAATGGTGATGATCTAGAGAATGATGAAGTATTCAATAATTATCAAAATGTTAAAACAGCACCTAAGAGTAGCGCTTTTAAAGGAAACAATAATTCTGATGATAACTTGGAAGAGATCCTTATTTATGAATGTTTCATATGTAATAAAACATTTAAATCTGAGAAGCAATTAGAAAATCATGTTGAAACGAAAATGCATAAGAAGAATGTTAGAAAACTTCAATGGGAGATGAAGAAGGAAAGTTTAGAACTTGGCCTAGATGGAGTTTCTGATTTTGATGATTTTGATTCTGCGGAAAGTGAGATTGATGATGATAAAGAGAATATGCCCCCTCTTAACCCGAACGAGAATGCATTCGGAACTATAAATGTTGATGCCCTTAATGATGAAATAGCGGACCTAGAGAGACAATTAGCTGAGCATGATTTATTGGATAGCAGTGATTCCGAAGAGTCAGAAGAGTTGGATATAGTAATTGAGGAGCAATTCGAAACAACGGCAGCTGTTGATGAGATAAAAATACTATCTGAGTCGGAATCGGAGGAATCGGAGGAAATAGAGAGTGATGATGGTGTTGATCTGCGGAATGAAGAACTTGAAAAGCTACTTGCTTCATTAAATGGTGAGACTCTTGGATTGAATGACAATGATAGTGAAAATGAAGATGATGACGATTGGAGTACTAAGAAGAAGAAGAAATCAAAAGCCAAAAATAAAAAAAACAAAGAGGTAAAACCCAAAAACTCTGGATCAAATTCAAACGAGTTTCTGCCATCAACACCAGTAAACGGTGGCAATGTGTTAGACTCTGAAGGAGCAGTGGATTGTGCTACATGTGGTGCATCATTCGGTAGTCGTAATAAGCTATTTATCCATGTAAAACAATCTGGACATGCGACTCCACCAAGCAGAGTGGAGACGAATGTGAAAGGATCCAAGAGGAAAAATAAGAAGAAGAACAGAAAATGATGGTAATTGTTTACCCAAATAACACAATACGGATGTCGAAGCGTACAACCTAATAAAGGAGGTATATTCTTTAAACTATTCTACTGTTTATACTTACTCGTTATATGGCACTTCTTACTAAGAGGAAGTTCCACGGTTGGTATTTCTCTGAAAAACCATTTGTTATTTTGAGATACGAATGCCGCGCGCAAAGCCGGAGAATCTATCTCCTTCTCTCGATTTTATGATCCATAAGGTAGATGACTTTAGATAAGGTTGTGAAATTGGAATAGACCATCGATGAATCAAAAAAAGGATACGTTTTCATGTATGTAAAACTGTAACAGTTTATAATTTATAGATATAATAAGATAAGAGCAGTAGAAGAGAAAAGCTACTTGTATTTACATTCGGTACTTTTTTTAATAGCTATCATTGTGGAGATTTCCAATCAGGGTTAACTTACAAACTTTTACACATTACTGAGTTGAGTTTTTGTAGTGAAGACTTGGAAGCACTATACAATAAAAGAAAGACTTTTAAGAAGTGATTGCGTTTATTTTAGGTACTTCAAGATAAACAAAAAAAAATAATATAGTTGCAAATTGTTTTAGTCTAGAAGCAGCATGGAAAATAAAAGAAATGATAATCCCAATGATAAGGCAGGTGTGATTAATAAAGGCGTTACGAATCCTGTCTCACAACTATCCAGCGCGTTAAAACAAGTAAATATTGGAAGTGCGGGATCTGTTCCAAATGATGTTAGATTTGATATAAATGGTGATACAAGTTTAATGGAAAGTTCACAAAGTCAAAGTGATGAATCTCAAGAATATTCGAGAATTACGAGTTTTTTTCAAAATCAACCAATTGATGGTTACACATTGTTTTCACATAGATCTGCACCGAATGGTTATAAAGTTGCAATTACTTTAAGTGAGCTCAATTTAAAATATAATACAATTTTTCTTGATTTTAATAAAAGGGAGCATAGAGCACCAGAATTTGTAGCAATGAATCCTAATGCAAGAGTACCAGCATTAATAGACCATTGTTTGGATAATTTAGCCCTTTGGGAATCGGGAGCTATTTTATTACATTTAGTAAACAAAAATTGGAAAGATACAGGGAAACCTACTCTTTGGTCTGATGATATTGGTGAACAATCTCAGATAACTGCGTGGTTATTTTTCCAAACTTCTGGTCATGCACCAATGATTGGACAAGCACTTCATTTCAAATATTTCCATACTCAGAAAATTCAAAGTGCAATTGACAGATATACAAACGAAGTAAGAAGAGTGTATTCCGTCATTGAGATGGCTTTAGCTGAAAGAAGGGAAGCTTTAATAATGGAATTTGATTCTGAAAATGCTTCAGCTTATTCATCGGGGACTACACAGATGTCTCAAAGTAAATTTTTTGAATATCCTGTGTGGCTTGTTGGTGATCAAATTACTATAGCAGATATATGTTTTGTTCCTTGGAATAATGTCGTTGATAGAATTGGAATAAATATTAAAACAGAGTTTCCTGAAGTGTATAAATGGACGAAACATATGATGAGAAGGCCAGCTGTTAATAAAGCTTTCCGTGGTGAATAATAAACTCATAATGTGTCTGTATTTTTTCTTCTTTGGGGAACGCTGGTGAGTTTTAAATGAACTAATTCACTGTCCAGTAAATCTTATGTTTTGTATTATATAAGAATTATATTCGTAAACCAAATATGAATATTACATAAGTTTTTTAATGAAAATAATAAATGATAATGGAATAGCTATTGTTTTGGGGGGGGAAATATTTTCACTTGGAATGTGCAATTAGATGCAGTTTGAATTTGATTAAGACATATAAAATTACGAATGTGTCTACCAAATATAAATTCCGAATTTTAAAAGAAAAAAGCAAAAAAGAAAAATGAATCATATTATTCAGTTAGATCTTCTTCAGTGTGCCAAGTTTACTTTAACATAATTTTAAACACAACACTACAATAAAATTAAAACTAGATCGTAGATATATGTTGTAAGCGTTAAGTACTTTTAGTTAAATATGTCTTCTGCAAAATTTCTATAAAAATTATCAGTCAATGGACCTTTTTTTTGACTTTGCGAAGAAAAGGCTTTACTGTCACAGCGCTACGTACTGCCATTTTTTTTTTGAATATAGGAAACCTTTTAAAATTAATTGTAAATCATCTGATTCTCTGATTATGCTCATTTCAATGTGATAGATATACATAGATAAACAGGTATTATACTATACACTGCATTATACTATACGTAAACAGAAATATCAGGAACGTTCTCCTTCCTATTTTTTCCAAATAACAACGGTACACATTTTAAAAATCAATAAGATATCCAATTCAGTCTTATGGATCAAACATAACGTACGTACTAATATCAATATACTTGCTATTTCATTGATTAAATTAACATATATCTAATATGCAGGAGAATAAACCAGCAGGAAATAAGAGAAGAGTACGAAAGCTGAGTGAGTATTGTCAAATAGAATTAATGAAAAATCCTAAATTACTAGAAAATGTTGCAAATGTCCCATATCATTTATTAGAAGATGTATTTAAACAAATCAATCTAGAACCGGAACATTTAATGAAATTAGAAGAAAGTAATATATTCTTCATCTTTGAAGATGATGATCTTTGGTTGGATTTTCTTACTAAAGAATATCCAACAAATATACCTTATTCATATGTTAGTAATAAGAGACCTATTGAAAATTATTATATGAAGATATATGACAAATATGAAAAACAATTGAATGAATATGAAATTGATTTGTTTGATAGATATGTTATGAATAAACTTAGAAAAGATACTCAACGAAATAAATATAAGATCCCATCTCGAATGCTATTTGAACAATATTATAAGGATGCAGAGAAGAAAAAAATGAAGAGTGCAGAAAGGTTAAGACAAAGTGTTCATAAACTCGATGAAGAACGTAAAAAAAATCAAACGACTACAGTCGATTATTCAAAATTCATGCAAACTACTCAATCGAATAAAGGACGTAAACGTAAAGAATATTGGGATGATAGGAATCCTATCAAGAGTATTGATAAATATAATAGTAGTCAACATAGGGATATGCCATTAAAACCACCACCTGCAAGGATAGCATTTGGAGGGGTCGCTGGTCGACCTTTGAACAAAATGCCAACTATAATACGATCTCCAATGACAGAGATAAGAAACTCCATAAGTAAACCTATGACTCCTTTAATTAGACAAAAATCAAATATATCTGACAATGATAACGATTCACATTCTGATTTGAGCAAATCTGATAGTGATGTTAACCATTCACCAAAGAAGAAGAGACCGTTCCCATCAAGTAGAAGAAACCAACCTACTCAAAATATTTTCCTAAAGAAAAGAACACCGACTCGTGTGAATGTAACAACCACTAAACAGCCCGAAAACAATGACAATACTCCAACTGGTCATCAACAAGAATTAGATTCTAAAATTAAACAACCATCAAATACTACTATTCCAACAAGAAGACCAAACAAGACAAGGTCAGTCAATTCTGGAACTAAGAAAAAACGATCCAAATTTTTCCATCATACAGGGTCATCAACTGAACCAGAACCTGTATCTTCTCAAAATAACAAACCTGTTATAAAAAGACACATACCAAGGGTACACATGGACACTATACAACAACAACAACCAAAGGAACCTTCAAAACCTGCTAAACGTCTTACTTCATTGAAGAATTATTTAACTAATAAAGGAGTTGATCCCAGGTAGCACGTGATCAAGGAAAACTACTCTACTCACGTGATCTGCCGATATCGGCTATTAGCTCATTACGTCCTGTTTGACTTCATCCGCGGCATAATTTAATAAAATCACCTCCCCCATCGAATTGAATGTGTTTTCTTTATTATACGGAACCCACCAAAATATTTTGCACCCGCTATGCTCCTCCCCCCACACATGCATCCGCGGAAATAACAACCCAACCGTGAGCAAAATCCACCCAGAGAGACAGAGAGACAGCGCAACAGCAAGCGAAGTGAAAATTTTTTCTCATCTTTTTCTTGCTTTAACGGACGAAGCAGTCATCACCTTCACTCTCAATGCCATAATTTTCCTCTGCCTAATAAGTTAATAGGACAAGCAATCGCACAAAAAATAAGAACAAAATTGGTGATGATGATAATAATGATAATGCAAAGTTAACAAGAAAAGAATACGCGAATCATTAATAATAATAATAATAATAATAAGAATTGAACGCGAGAACCCTGTTTCTAACTCGTTTAATGTTCAGTGTGTAATTCAAAGTTAGTCCAACTTCTATAGATTTTCTTTTATCGATTTTAATCGGTTGTTATGCAGTAAACCAAGTATCTTTTTTTTTTTTTCACTTGGATCAATAGATAATAATTTATCTTCTTGTACTATTAATAATTTTATATATTATATATATATATGTACTATTTATGCAGGGTGTAGAAATTCAACAATAATATTAATTGTTATCTTTTTCTGTTTTAAACACATTTTTTTCGTTCTATTTAATACCAGAGATACAATATCAGAGCAATTTTATTTGTCATTCTAGGAGTATTATTTAAAATATCCGCAATTGTTTTTTTTACTAATTTTTGTTTGACAATTATTAAATCATACCAGATAAACCACGTTCTAAAATATGTTTAAAAGATTTTCTAAAAAGAAAGAAGATACTTCTGAATCTGATGCAAAGAAGAAAGCGAATTTGATTAAAATTGATAAACCAATTGATATTATACCAAGTTCAATTACTATCCCAGATGAGAAGAAACTTGATGAAGAACAAATTAAGAAATATAATATTATTTTAAAATATTTTCAAAACCCTGATTTAAGAATACCAAATAGTGAAAAACAAATTAAAGAAAATATTTCAAATACTGATGAAAATTCTGCTCCTTTAACAGAAATTGAAAAAGCTTGGATCACTAGAGAATGTATTTGTCGTTACTTAAGAGCTACAAAATGGGTCGTTGACGATTGTAAAGATAGAATCGCTGGTTCAATTGCTTGGAGAAGAGAATTTGGTATTAGTCATTTTGGTGAAGAAAATGGTGATTCTATAACACCAGATTCTGTTGCCATTGAGAATGAATCAGGTAAAAATGTTATTATGGGTTACGAAAATGATGCAAGACCAATCTTATATTTAAAACCTGGTAGACAAAATACAAAAACATCTCATAGACAAGTACAACATTTAGTATTTATGCTTGAAAGAGTCATTGATTTTATGCCACCAGGACAAGATTCTTTAGCACTTTTAATTGATTTTAAAGAATATCCTGATGTTCCAAAAGTTCAAGGTAATAGTAAAATCCCTCCAATTGGTGTTGGGAAAGAAGTTTTACATATTTTACAAACACATTACCCGGAAAGATTAGGTAAAGCTTTATTGACAAATATTCCATGGTTAGCTTGGACCTTCCTTAAATTGATACATCCTTTCATCGATCCTTTAACTCGTGAAAAATTGGTCTTTGATGAACCTTTCTCAAAATATGTCCCGTTAGATCAATTAGATACTCTTTACGGTGGTGATCTTGATTTTACTTATAAACATGATGTTTACTGGCCAAGTCTTAACGATTTAGCTAAACAGAAAAGAGTACATTATTTAGAAAGATTTCAAAAATTCGGTGGTGTCATTGGTCTTAGTGAATTAGATCTAAGAGGTGATCATGATGAATTGATGTTCCCTGTAGATGCATAAAAAGCAACAACAGTATAAATATAATTCTATTTTCGTCATCTAACCATTCCATCCAATTCCCATCATTTTGTTAATAATCGCATTTGTAAAACAAAAATAAGTATTGTGCAATTTAATACTACTTTAGTTACCTCATATCATTAATTCCATTCTTGTCTCACTCAGAACTTATATTGTTTACACCTCCATAGATATATATATAAAATCTAAGATCTAGACTTTCACACTTCCAAATCCTTAAATAATGTTTGCTTACTGCAATTATATATCTATTATAATATATAAGATCCTAGATTAGTAATTATATATATATATATATATATATATAAGTATAACTTTTGTGTACTTGTTAAAATGGATTGGCACATTTACGTTTTTCGGTAATTCCTGATAAAGGTGAAGTCATACTTAACCAATCAGTAGCATACATTAATCCACCAGCACCATTGTTAGCTCTTGCGAATATAACACCAAGGTCGTTACGTGCTGTTGTCAAATAATAATTGTTACCATCACCAAGAGAAATGACTTGTGCTTTAACAATATCACCTGGTTTGAAACAATCAATCATTACAACTTTATCTCTATCAGTAGCCCTTACATCTTGCGATCTGATTATACCTCTAAAGGTTTCACCTACATCAGACGAAGCCTGTGATACAGAAAAGGTTTGAGCACCTGACCCACCTTGAACAGCCACTGTACCAGAACCATTTGTTCCTACTCCACTATCTATTGGGATATTTTTACTACTAACAGCTAGAATTTCTACGTTAGCTCTTTGTAACGAAATTCTACTTACACGGCATAGGATTACATCTCCTTCCCTAGGTAATATATTACTACTCTCATTTTTACCTTGACTTTGTTTCATTAGTTCACTGTTACCCACACTGATCATTTTAAATTGTATTTTTCTTGATTCATCAATAGTTTTATAATCTGATGGTGCATCCACATCATACGAATATACTTTACCCAGTTTGGTACTTGAGATTACTGTAATTTCTTTACTATTTTTGGAGTTGTTTCCAATTGGATAATTTATCAGCTTTGTACCAGCCCCATTTATATACATTATTATAGTTGGTTCTTCATTCGATGAAGTTTCATTATCACTATTGTTATTACTCGTTGGGATTGGTTCCAGAAGATCAAATTGTGGTGCTAAAATCTGTCCTGGAATTGCTTGTTTTGGTAGCTCTTGCATAGTTAATGTGTAAATATGGGTTTAATCTAGTTTATTTGGCTCAATAAAAATCGAGAAAAGATTATCTCTCCTCCCTTATAAGTGGTCATCCAAAATTTTCTATTTTATTTGAGTTAAATTGTTTTGCAACTTTGTAGATATGTCTTTACAAAATTTTTCAAGTCATCGCGAAGTAAAAATTTACTATCTTAAGCAAAATATTAGGTGCTTGAGCTAAGGATCAGAAAAAACGCACACATCCACTCTGCATTATGTTCAATGAGGATTCATAATATAGAATAACAATTTTATTATCATCTTTCTACCATATTATTTAGAATATATATATACTTACTGTCTAATGAAACTTCTTAAAAATATTGCGTATAACATTTTGAAGACTCATGAACCTCCATTGAACTTTTCAACTCGTTCAATTCTACCTTAATCATTTGCGCCAATTGAGGTGTTAATTGGTTACAGGTACCAATATCTGGATGTCTATCATATTCAAACTCACCATATGTTTCGTATAAAATAATACTTGCAGAAAATGTCACACCTGCTTTAGCTTGGTCTTGTTCATCTTCCATCTCTGGTACAACTAATTCTTGAAATTCGTTCGAGTCATTCATCAAGGTAGAATTCAAGGAAGGACCAGTTAGTCCCCTGAATGACATAGATATAGGTCTATCGTTGCTCTCGAAATCTGAGTCCAGTATACTGTGCTTCCTTTGTGGTGGGATATCACGCATATCGTGGTCTTCAACAATATCATTAAAATCTTCATGATCAAATTCTTCACTATTTATATTAAACTCATTATTTTCATTTTGATCCACTTGTATACCCAAACCTTCTTGCTCTGAAGAAATGAAATTATCATAGTCACCATCTGATAATGCATTATCATCATCGTTTTCTATATCATTCTTAGTAACATCAATATCAATATATGCTGGAGCTAACGTTGATCTAAAGGGCTCTTCAGGTATATCATCATTTTGATTAATATCCACATCCAGATCAATACCCTCTCCAAAATTAATTAAATCTGCAAATTCCATAATGTCACTCATTAGTTCAGGATCGTCATTTACATCAACCTTTTCAGTATCTGTTTGTTCAAGATCTTTTTGTATTTGGGAATCATATATATTTTCTTTCCTGTAATCATTGGTTAGTTGATCTAATTTTTCTTCAACAGAAGCTAATAAATTTTGGTTGTCTTCCATAATATTGGTATCAAATGCATCGTCAATATCAGATTGCAAATTATTTGAAGGGAAAGTATCTATTCTATCAAACCTTCCGCTCCTTAAAATACTACTTGTGGGACTCTTTGTTAGATCAGGCGTAGATAAAACGATATCCGATGCTGTGGTGACAGTCATACCCTCATTTTGTGCATGAACTGACAATGTATCCATTGATCTTCTTCTTAAACTTCCTGAGCGCTGAGATCTATTTCTTTCGATTTTTACGATTGAGTCAATTTCGTCAGCGTCCAATAATTTAGGAAAGAAAGCTTCACCAGAATCTCTTTTGTGAGAACTATCAGGGAAACTAGGAATTTCGAAGGTAGGGATAATCAGCAATTCCTTTTCAGATTCTAAATCATTTGATGGAGTATTTAATGTATTTTCAAAATTTAACGGTGTTGGATTCCTTCTATTTTGTTTACTATGCAAATTTTTATCTATAGATTTCTGTGGAGAAGCTGTCGAAGAAGCAATTGTTACCGAATCTGGCTTTGTTGGTGATGATGTCACGGATAATAGACTTCCTTCTGTCACATTAGATACATCTGAAACTTGTTTAATCATTGAATTCTCTACATTGTTTCCTATTTGGGCCTTAGGAACATTTAACGTATCCGGTCCGATAGATTTTCGACGTAAAGTGTTGAATAAAGAATTGCTGCTATGAGATTTTTTGGAAATTTTTTCTGTTGGCTCAGATTCTTCTTCCATATGTGATGATATATGAGAATATGTTGCAGACGTTGGCATTCCTTTATTTAATTCTTTACCAGCCTTACTTGATTTAACTTCAATTGTTTCAGAAATGGACCTCGTGTTCTTCCTTTTCAAAAATGAAAATATACTTTTCTTCTTCTTTTGGGTAGTTACAGGAGGAGTTATATTTTTAACTTCAATATTCTTTTTTACTGTGTCCTGTTTATTTGATCTTGTCTTTTTCATTTCAATTTTAGAGGTATGTTGTTGACTTTGTTTAGATGACACACCTTTCATAATTTCTGCATATGTGTTTTTAGAAGATTGTTCGTCATCAACATTTTTATTTTTGGGTTGGGTTTCCAACGATGTTTTCTTATTATTTACATCTTTCTTTGTAGAGATCACATCTTTACCAATAGTTGCAAGATTAACACTGTGACGTTTATTGTAATTATTGTTATTATTAATATTAGTATTATTCTGTTGTACCACCGTTTCATAAGTTTCAGTTTCTTCTAATTCATTTAATGTTTCTGGTATTATATAATTTGGTAACTGGTTCCTGGGAACACTTTGTTCAACTTTCGGTGTTGTTAAGAAATCTGGTTGTTCAACTGTTGTGGCAGATTTTATGTTGGTAAATTTTATCCCGTTTGGGGAATCACCCATATCAATTAAGTTTGGAGATGATACTACCACATTGTTCTCTTTTATGCCTCCATTAGCTATATCTCCTTCTCCTTCTCCTTCTTCTTCACCCTCTTCTTCTTCTTCCACTATAGAATTTTCAAAAATTCTACTAGTTCTCATCATTCTTTCTGCATTTTTAGATTTTTCACTTAAAATCTCAGATAATGCACTTAAGGATGGCGAAGTAGTCATATTTACAGTTTGTACTTCGTCTTTCCTAGAATTACCCCTAAGCATAGAAGAATCCAAATCCTTGACATTGTTACGTTCGTCTCTTTTTGATGGTGAACTTTGATTGTGATTCATATCCTGCATGGAACTTACAGACATATTTAAAGAATTATCTGACATCTCCTTTAATAGCAATGAATTTCTGAAAGTTCTTGAATGCTCCAGAGCATTGATGGAATTGGAAGAGTAGAATGAACTGTTCAAAAGATCGGAAGCTTCAAATTCCTGATCATGACTGGCCATTGTATATATATGTGTATATTATATCTATTTCTTCGTAGCAGATCACTTGGCTGATAAGGATAATATTAATAATTTAGAATTGGATTATTCAAATCTACCACTTCCTAATAGGCTTATGAAATAGCTATGTGAGCACTCCTATATATATATATATATATATATATATTAGCGTATAGGTACAATCAATTCTAGTCAAGTTCACGTTCATTCAAACCTATCATTGATATTAAATGTTACAGACTCAATGGGGAACGAAAATATTGGCAAAAGTAGAAGAAAAAAAAATTAATTAAATTAATTCGCGGTTCTGCTGCGTTTTAAGATAAAGCGCGACGCGTTTTGTTCTTTTATTGCTTCTTTAAGTAAATTAGAACTATTTTTACAACAATAGAGAATTAAAGCAGAAGAACAACAACGATCAATGAAAATAACTAACCAATTTCAGGCATATTGATTAATAGCCTGATCATGTTTTTTTATTCTGTGATTTCTTTCATTAGTTGTTGTGATTGATGAGAATTATGTATTAATTTAATGATATATATATATATATATATATGTATGATGCTTAAAGAGTTTTTCGATTGTTATTATGTTACATTATACAACACTCCTTATTCTTTGATGTTGCAGATGTGTGGTGTGGTTTATTCCTTATATTTGTGTGATGAATACCCTTGGAAGATACTGGTGCGGAGCGTACTTTCTGCAATCTTGATTCAGTAGCGATTGTAAGGGTACTTCTCTTTGAATTCTCTTGATCAGTTATTATTATCTCTGGTGGATCAAAATCAATAGAATTTCCAGATGAAATTCCCATATCATGGCTTTTAGATTCTGTTAACACTGGATCTACACCATACACTAAGAGACTATCTGCTAAATAAGAATATAATTTGGACCATAAGCGTTCTAAATCAGGGGTAAAATAAGTACCTAATCTATCTTGTAACGTCACAATAAATGCATGTCCCATTACTTGAAATTTACTATTATCAATTCCAAGGATTCTCGTATGACGTTTTCCTGTACTTCTTAATTGATCATCTATCTTCTTAATATCATCCAAATTTTGAATTGCTGAATTCAGCAATATAGTAAATGAAACAGCTTGGTGTCTCAATGTTGGATACGTTTGTTGCATTTGTTGATCAATATTAACTAAATTATCGAAGAATTGTGTACAAAATAATGATTTACCAATATTTGAATCGTCATATCCCTTTCTGTTAAAATCAGTATCCTTTAATATAGATAATGTAGAATCATTACCGTTATTAGAAAAAGAAGACCAACTGCATTTACTACCACTGTTGTCTGAATTGCGTTTTTCTAAAACATCACTTGAGGAACTATTGTATCCATTACGAGAATTATTACGATGATGATGTTGAATACTTTGTTTATCTAAGATAAGAGCCATATGAGAGAATTTTTTTAAATCATTTTCAGTCAAATCATCATTTAAAATGAGATTCCATGAAGATACTATTAAAATCTTTTCATTCTTATTAAACTTCGGTTCTATTTTCTTATTCGGTCTAGTCAATACTGAATCCACATCACTTGGTGAATAATCATCAAAATCATCATCGTATGGGGATCCCTTACCATTATTTACAATTCTATTATCTTTAAACAAACTTTCTGTCCTTGATAAACGTGATATGTGTGATGAAACTCTATTGATTGAGCTCGGATCACTTGAAGAAATTCTTGAGGTCGTTGGAGAGATCGTTGTGTCATCATCCGGTATAGTATATGTGAAATCAACATTAGCCTTAGTGGGATCAAATGATTTTTCACCTGTGGCTAAACTTGAAGTTGTTGTATCGGTACTGGTAGTGTAGGTAGAATCTGTAATACTAGCACACGTCCCGTCATCAATTACCATTTCGAAGCATATACCTAATCTTATTTTCTTTTTTAAATTAATTATTAATCAATACAGCCTTTTCTTTGTAATAGAACTGAACTCTCTTCAACAGCAAATGCAAAAAGATAATTAATAAACCTGCAACACAAATCTTTAAATATCTGAACTCAAAAATTTTCATAAAAGGAACACCATAGTGCAATACCTGATTCCAAACGATTAGAAAAGAATGTGCCTCCTTAAAATTTCCAAGATTAAACAGTCGATGTTGATCATTTCCTCGAGGTTCAACTCCGTTGCCATTACAACGGAGCAATCATCGCAAAACAAAAAAACGCTCAAAAAATTTTTAGCCACAGGGAACCCCTTTGTTGAAAGAGATACGGATTAACAAGCGATTACTACTCTGTGCAAAATATCAAATGATAGAATATAGAGAGATGGCAGCTAATTATTTAAAGAACAACATGATATTTCAGTTACTATATAAATTAGACATGATATTTGGTTAGGTATATAATTAATGCTGCAACTCGTACAACATACCGGAACATATACATGTCCTCGTGTACATTGTAGGCCATCTTTTTGTGTGTATCGAAGTTGGAACGATAGTCTTATCCTCTGCAATGACGTAACCTGCTCTTGTAACAGCACCACATCTACTACAACGCTTCATTTTACCATTTTGAAGTTCCTTGGGACTAAATTTATCATATGTGACGCCATCAATGGTCATTTGACTAAATTTCTTAGACGAGTTCTGATCTTCCGATAAAAGATTTACCACAACCCCTTCCGATATTGGTTGTAATAAATGAGAGAAATTTGGTTCTAAAAATTCTGTATCTGTTAACCTTAAACCTGTGGTATCTGTGAAATAGACATCAGATGGTTTGATATGTGAAATAACGGCGTTACATGAATAAGCTAACAGGAAATCAGAAATTCTACTATGTGAAGGAGGAACTTCAGCTTGAATTAATAATGAATATTCTCTCTTTAAGATATTATCTTTCTCAGATGCAGGTTGTTGTTCACTGAATGCAGTGAATTTATTATTAACATCAATTAAGAATGTTTCGAATTTTTCAAAATTTACAGGGGTATCACTTAATACCATACGTAAATACGTGGAAGACTCATTTAAAACGGGATATGTTGTCTCTGGGAACTTTGATATTATTTGCATTATCTTTTTAATTTCATTTAACACAGATAGTATCAATTGACGTGGCATCTTAGCTCCAAAGACACCCAGTACTAAAGTATTTTTACTTTCTGACGGATTATTAACAAGTAACAACACTTCTTGAATTAAAAATGTGACAAATTTAACAAACCAGTTTGCGATAGGAATCAAAGAATAAATTAAATCTTGTTTAGAAAATAATGTTTGAAACATTTTTGTAGATGCATTTGTATTCCCATTATTCATTTGTTCAATGGCAAATTGTAAATTACGTGCTACTCCATTAAACGCAAATAAAACATTTTTTAAATATAAAATAACTCTAGCCATTTGTGCTATCCTTTCATCTTTAAGCCTGGTACCGAGTTCAAGTTGTAATAACATTATCTTTTGAATTGGTCTACTAGATATCATCTTATCCATTATATCCTTTGGAGCATCAGGCGAAACATTGAAGAATGGGTACAAGTTAGACATCAATGTCATTATAAATTCTTTAGCTCTATCTTCACTCATCTCTGATAAGTTTTTAATATGAGCTTTACACGCCACAGAAAGATCCTCTGAAGATAATTGTCGATGTGTACTATTGACAAATGTAAATGCGAATGCAATTGCATCTAATTCATCCAAAGAAGGATCCGTTAAATCAGGTCTGGTTAAGGTGACAAATCTCGGAACATGATCAGTCTTTAATTTGTATATTATACCTGTCATAGTCGGACTTAATCTTACCCAATCAATGGCACTAGATAATGGAATATTTTGGAAACTCAAACCTGTACTTAAGGCAGATGTCATTACGTTCAAAAATTTTGATTTATTACTTTGAGATTTAATTCTTTCTCTTTCTTTATTCCAATCATTTTGGTTAAAAACATCCACACTACCATCATCGTAGAAAAATGTTACAAAATTATCCAATAATTCAGTCGTGATATTAGATACCCTCTTATCTAAAAATATATCATGTCCATGACGTAATGTATAATGTTTGGATTTAATGGGTTGCATATTTCCACCATTAATCGATTCAATACCAGGTTTTAAAACACTTAAGAAATCCATAGCCAAATATGAATTCATTAATTTAAATCTTTTTATTAATGTCTTCTGAGTACCACATATGTGATATACAATAAGGACTTCTGCTGATGTATCCTTATCAATAGCTGTCTTCGATAAGACAACGAGATCATAAAATTTCAAAACCCTTCCTTCGCTATCCACAGTAGACAATGGAACTTCTAAGATAGGTGTTACTGTTAACGTTGGGTCATTTAATGTATTATTCTTATTCGTACTAGGTGTGTTCCAGTTGACTCTTACTTTGTAAAAGCATATTTTCTTTGTTAATTTGGAATAACCACTAACCAATATACTTTGGTCATCCTTCATTGGTGTTATTCTAGCAAATTGGAACCAGTCCAATTCTTTTAATCTTTGATTTTGTGATGGTAATAGATGTAAATTAATTTTCTTATGATCTTTGGAATTTGAAAATTGATACCAAAAATCCAATTGACCATTCCTTCTGACCGCCATACAAGCATATTTCATAAATGGAGGATAAAATACACCACTTGGAGCAATCTGAAGAGCTTTATTCCTGTATACATTAGACGTTGAGTCAAATGCACAAAATTGAGATATAATAATACTCTTTGAAGAACTTAACCAATGGAAATCTAAGATACGTGTGTTATATTCTTTTTTTGTTCGTTTCTTTTCAATAGTACCTCCAATATTTTTATCAGACTGTTGTGCTAGTGGTGCAACATGATTATGTATCTTATAAATATTATCTTGAAACAACATTGTCAATTTTTCAAACGTAGTTGCACCTTCTGGACTTTGTCCAGCGATTAACATTGTCATATTACCCAATTCGTCACACACAGCCAACATATCACCCGGAAGACTAAACCAGTTATTCCAGTGGATCGATGTAATATCGTAAAAGAAATGATTACTGGATTTACTGTTCGAGGTTGCTCCATTTGAAGCTGTGGTATGTTGGGATGGTGAACCGCTACCTCCTGCGGTTGTTGATTTTGAAACTGTGGCTGCAGTAGTTGCAACTGTAGTATTGCTACCAGAGGAATTTGTTTTTTTACTTCCACTGCTTATTGGCACCTCGTGCAATTGAGGATGGATTACATACCTTGCTGGTGGATGAAATCTCCAGTTACTACCATTAATATTTTCCAGAAAAGTTATACATAGATTACCTTTCGTTGAATTGGAGTCACTGTATGCAATGATACCATTCTTAGACCAAGACGCAGGGTGTTGGTCAAGCATAGTTGTTACCGATTATTGTGAAGTGTAGAAATATTCCAAATATGATAAAATTATATATGGTCAAAACAATCGAATACCAATTCTTTTTATGTAGTGGTGCCTGCTTGTGAATATATATATTATCAACGAACGTGGACTGATATAACAATTATGAATATATCGTTTCTTACTGCTTTATATATCTTGTTTCTTTTCTTCTTCTTTATTACTGTTTATGAAATTTTCAATGTTGTAATATGCTTTTTTTCTCAGTTTCTTCTCTCTTTGTTTCCGTCTTGACTGTTCGGGAAATTCGTTATAGTCAATAACAAAATGAAGACTAACAAACAGTGAAATAGTGTCAAGGTTCCAACGCTACTTAACGATACTTTTGATGAAGATTTACTCCGGTTATACCAATAAGAAGGATTAGGAAAGATTCATCAAAGGGCTCGAAATAACTGGTTTGTAGAAGAATTGATAAATAGACAATCTTGAAGAATATATGTATATATATACACCATAAATTATGTAGTGGAGCGAGGATGAAGTGTAAATAAAATAGCTTGCAAATCCATCGTTCTATGGAAGTAATGACATCACTTTTTTTCTGGAATTAGATTGAATTACATCTCAAAGCTATCCGACCTTACTTCAACCGGTTCATCATTTATGTCTTCCTCTAGTTCAAATTCTGCTCGTGGGTCAGGAATTTGTCTGGAATCAACATATTTATTCAGAAACCCAATCTGATCATGTTCTTCAGCTAGATAAACGTAAAGATCTAGACAAACTAAGATCCAGAAGTAAACTAAGAATGCACCAGATAATGCTACTAAAATGTATGAACTTTGCTCAGCGCCTAGTCTTAACACCAATGTTACTTGTTCTTCCGTCGCTCCCATAAATAAGATCCCTGCTGAAACAAGACAAAAAGGTGCAAGATATTGGAATGATAATATATCTCCAGCAGATCTTTTGTCTCTTAATAAGACACTGATTTCAAAGATCCTCAATGCACCTCCTATCATAAGTACTATACCAAAAAACAAATGAACTTTTGTACTGATAATTAACCGCTGCGAATGTTGTGTCATGGACCAACCAGTGAAAATAATTAACAAACTTGGTATAAAAGTTCTTTTGTTATTTCTTCCTAAATAGATACCTAAGATACCACCAGCCCACCATATTATGCCCATTGCTGTATGTTGATAGTCATGCATGAACCATTCTTCTCTACCCCACCTATGTTCTGTGAAAGTATTTACAATACCGTATAAACACATAATCCAACTATCAATGTAATCTTGACTATAAGAAGAAGTTGAATTTCGTAACCATGGAACCTGTAATACCATTGAATAAATAAACCCATAAAGGACAAAACTAGATCCCATAATTCCATGAGCTAAACATTGACCTGTGTGACCATCTCTACAAAAACCGAACATTGAGATGGGTGCCAAGCAAACTTTGACCCATCCAACAATAGTTGTAAATAGAGATAAATATGAATGTATTACATTCAATGTTTTTTCTCCAGCAGCTGAAGCAAATTTATTCAATCGTTTATTTGAAATAACGAGCTTAGTGCCACTATTCAACATACCAAAAAACAATGAAAGACTAGTTAAAATGAGTACAATCCATGCTGTTGCTCTGGAAGTAACATTCTCTACTCCTTTTCCATCTGGGAATCTTAAAATAGTAGCCTCTAAAAGTGCATATACACCTGATATGCCTTGCAACAAAACTGAAGTGTGTGTCTTCTTGGCGAAAGAAAAAGCAGATGAAATACCAGGCAACATAAATAGGAAAAAAACTGTCGCAATCCAATGAAACGATTTTGCTGTACCGTTGGTAATTTCAGGACTTGTCAAATCACTTGTGTCGTCCATACCTGACATATGCATATCACTGTCCTGCATAGCAAATATAGGGAGAATGAAACACGTCAAAACAAGAAGCACTCTGTGTAGTTTGAGAATATTAGCTATCATTTTCATAGTGTCACAATATATGATAATTGCACAGTAGTTAAAACTTTTGTTTGATTTCTTACTATTAGTTGTATAATGATAAATACTTGATTCGAACTATTCAATAGTTTACCAAGCATCTCATTTTATCAATGAAGTTTATGTCAAGCTTCTATAATTGACGTGATTTTCCATTAAATTAAAAAGAGAGAAAGAATAAAAACTCGGTGCAATTTCAGCATTTTTGGCTTGCGTCATAACTCCGACACCGCAATAATCGGCCGAAATTAAGATAGTCAACAATAACACCTCCATTCAATAAAAATAAATGGAAGAAGCCAAAGAGATTATGTAAAGAGGGTGTTTTATTTTTCCTGTTTATAAATAATGCATTATATAGTTTTTAAAGAGTTCTCTGTAGTTGTTTTCTCTCGTGTCGAATGTTTTAAAGTGTTTTTTTAAATGGTGTGACATGAAGTCAAATGTGCCATATACCAAAAAAAACTATTTTTCTTTTTCTTTAGTAGATGGAGGTGTCTCTGTATTATCTTCATTTAATTCCTGACCTTCATGTTTATCTTCAAAATCTTCAACTTCTTCGAATGGATTTTCTTCAAGCACATGATCGATACTAGTGTCAGCTTTTTTACTGTTTGGTAAATCTTCGTTTGCTGACGTTTCTTGATCACCTTGATTTAGTAAATTATCTTCATCAGATAAATCAAAATCAAAGTCTTCTAATTCATCTGTCTCAACGGCTCTATTGGCCGATATGTTAGCAGGATCCAAAGTTGAATCATATTCAGAATCTGTATCGATAATATCAAATTCGTATGTTTCTGCTCTGCTTCTTCTTATTCTTCTTCTTGATTTAACGAAGAATGAAAAATATAAAACAAAGAAGATAACACCGACAATAAACACAGTAATAAAATAATGCATAGCGTCTCTTGGCGATGATATACGTTTTGGTTGGTTATGATCTAATGTTTCATCGATATCTGTGTCTTCGTTTGATGTAGTTGAAGAAGGTTTTGTTGTTTCGGAAATAGAAGTTGGTTCTGGTGATGTTACGGTCTCTGATGGCTTACCAGCCAAAGAGCTATCATCTAATGCTTCCCTATCATTACCAAATTCAAATATTTTACTCTTTGAAGGATCAATAGATTCACCGTATAATTTTAATCTCCAACTATTAACTTTAACACTATTACCATCTTGCAAAGAACGAACTTGTAATTTCCAATCACCAATACCAGATTCACCCCAATGAGCAACAGACATAAATGACCAATGTTGGAAACCTTCTCTAGAATTATCCCTTTCTCTCTCAACACCCAAATTGGATACCATACCAAATGGAGAGACTAAATCAATAACTACTTTACCTCTAATATCAGCGGCTATATCAACTGTGACTACAATATGTTCAATTAAATTCAAGTTTGCCTGTTTCAGGCTTTTCTTAGTAACAGAAATCGTTGATTCTAAATGTTCGTTACTGGTATTTGTCCATTGATTAGTATATTTTGTCGATGGATAAAACCAAGCTTGCGGATTAACATTGTTCCATTCTCTAGCCAAAGAGATCAACTCATAAGCATCGATCTTACCATAACCATAACGGTGAGAATACATTTTGTTCAATGCACCCATTTGTGCATTACTATCACTATTCATTACCTCTTTTGAAGATAAGATTGATAAATATTGAACATCTCTCCAAGTTAAATTAGGGTTAGCCTCTAGTAACAAAGCATAAATGCCTGCTGCTAATGGGGCTGCTGCAGAAGTACCACCATGACGATCACTACATTTATCACCAATATCAGTTGAATGAATATATTCACCAGAACCAGAAGAATAAGTGACTACCAAAACAGCAGAACAACTTTCTGAATAAGGTGGGTGCAAACCTTTATGGTCAATTGCACCTACTGTAATAGAATATATTGAATTAGTGTAACCATCATAATTACAATTATCACCAAATGCCCCACCATTGCCACTAGCAAATACGTAAATAGCACCTTTCTTATCTCTGCCTTCATTAGTACCTTTGATAAATGCTTTTTTCACCAAATCGGATGGTCCTTGTAAATGGGTACCATCATCTGCTGGACCCCATGAACATGAATATATATCATTTATATCTAAAGCATGCATCAATGATGCAGCTTCATCTTCAGCTGTTAAGTCACCAGATAATATTCTTAAACCTGATACTTTAGCGTTATATGCGGCTCCAATCCCACAAAATCCATTATTTTTAACTGCGGCAATCTCACCAGCACATCTTGTACCATGATAATCATCCTTCAATTTAGGTTTTGGTAAATTGGTATTATCATTAAAATCCCAAGAACCTTCTTTGCAAAAATTATCTTTCAAATCAGGATTTTCATAGTCTAGACCATCATCTACAATGGCAGCTACAACACCGTTCCCTGTAATATTCTCATACCACAATTTTTTCACGTTTATATCATTCCCAGGGAATGCTGGATTTATTAAATGCCATTGCTTTTCAAAATTTGGATCATTGATTTCTAATTTTTCTTCAGCTTCCTTTATTGGTACCATACTCGAATCCATCGGTACATCTGGTACAGGTAATCTTTTAAAAAGTCTATTCTTTTGAGATGGTAAATCTTCAAATGATATAACTCCATGAGAATCACTATGATCTAATCTTTTATTTAATTTGTGTAAATTACTTGAAAACACATAATGATTTAGTAGGCCACGAACATTGTGTTCAAATGTCCATGTGGGATGTAAATTTTGTAATTCTTCCCGTGTAAGGTTAGACTCTATTGCAAAATATTGTTTTGAATCGTGATCCTTTTCGGGTACCTTTTCAGTTAAACCTATTTGTAATAGAAGGGACCATGTATATATGGACAGTAAAGATGACCTTCCAACCATCTTCTGTAATATGCGAGCACAGAGGCCAAAAATATAAGGATATGTGAAGGTATATGATAGAATAACAAAACCAAAAGCTAATTTTTCTTAACAATGAAAGAATAAAATGTTACAATAGTGTTGTCACTTATCAATCCAAAGTTGTTGAAATGAATAATGCAGTGAAAAAAAAAATGGCTGAAGTATCAGATGTAAAATATTGAAAATCAAAATAAAACCAAATCTGAACAGAACTATAAATGCAAAGTAAATATATTTGTTGATATCTATGGTTGTACTATAAATATTTGATGTATTAACGCCAATCAAAACTTCGAATACGCTAGAACCTATGAACAGTCTTCTTTCAAATTATCAAATCGAAAACAGGAAACGGAATGCAAACTTTATCTACCTGCAACTTATTAATTATCTATGTTTATTACACACTTAAATGAAAATGGGCTATTCTAAATCATAGAGCAAGACTTCACTTGTTAAAATCTCATTCCAATATTATTCCTGTTACCGTTATGAATATTAGTACAATGAATTGCAAACACGAAATTGTTTCATTTTGTTACTTTTTCATATCTCGTCGTTGTTCTCTCAGAATGTCGCGCGCCTTTCTCTGGTCAAAAACTGCTCCTCTTACAACAAACAATTCCTCAAAATGTTCTCTGTTGAATACTTTTAAACTTTGGAAACCAAATAGAGTATTTTGCATTTTTACTTACAAATGGTACATATACATATATATATATATATTTGAATATTTAGCTGGGCTAGACCCAGAGACTAGAAGATGTTAACTATATGTGAGACAGCTTAATCTGCCAATGCACCCATTGGATCCCACAATGGTAGGACAATTGCTGACTTGGCAGGGGAAACAAAGTTTTTGGCTAATTCCTCTGGTAAGTCCTCTAAGTCAACAACAATTTGGAAGCAATATTCTTCGAAGTACTCTTGTGTCATTACGTAGTAACCATCCTTCCCAGAATCCTTACCCCAGGAGTTTTCAACACGGTAACGAACAGGGATATCTTGACTGATTGATTCATCTAAATGACAAGCATTGATTAACATTGCGTGAGTCATTAAACTTTCGTTATATTTGATTCTGTTTTGTTTATCTTGTTTCAAATCATAACCAATAGCTTTGTAATTCCATAATTGAACATCCATAACACCGGTCTTCTTGTCCATATATTTAGGAGTATGAGATCCAAAGAAGACAGCTTTACCAGATTTCAATCTATTAACCACCAATTTAGATAAAGTGTCGTTATCAACATTCAAGTATAAGACATCATCACCGCCGATGACATTACCTAATCTATCAATTTTAATTAGTCTACCATATTCGTGTCTTGGATCATTAATCAAAGAAACAGGTAATTGATTTTGAGACAATTTTAAACCACAATATTCTTCTGCAAATTGTAAGGGAGTAGTTTCCAGTACTTTAGCCTTTTTATCCTTATCCTGATATTCCCATTTAAAGGTTTCGTTTGGTGCCACTGGAGGAAATCCCATAAACATGGTCATCATCTTAAATATTTCCTTCTGCATCTTTGATCTCATTTCATCAATGATGTGCGTATCTTCAGAAGAGGAAGAATCCATAGCGTCCCTTAATTGTTGGGCAAATTCTCTTAACTTTGTAGTTAACAATGCATTCAATTTACGAGATGCAGTGGTAGAGTAAGCTGTATCATTGTAAAGATCCTTTGGTAATAGACCGTATTTTTTAACAATGTTTAAAAACATACTATATTGACCACCATCTTCAGTTGGTGAAGTCAATAAATATTGAACCAAACGAGATTCAACTTCCTCATCTTTAGTACTAACAATTTGTTCAAGGAAATAATTGGCCTTTTCTAATTTATCATAGAAAAATAAATAAGCTTGGGATAATTCGAAATCTTTAAGATTTAATTTCTTAACAACATTTGGACGTAATTGGTTTGTGGCAGCGAACAACCAACATCTACCTGAAGCCTTTTGATTAGTTACAGGGGTTGTATTGTCTCCAGGTAAAGTCACATTGAATACACGGTTATCTTGGGATAATAGACGAGATTTATCTAATAAAGCATCATCTGCATTGTAATTTTTAAGGACAGTAGAGGCTAGACTGTAGGATAAATCAGTTTGAAACTCCTTGTTCCAGGATTTCAATGAAGTAATATTAACAGAGGATGACATTGCAGTACGACTAAATGATCTAGAGAAACGAGTTAAAGTTGTAAATCTCTTCATAATATTAGCGATATATGTTAAATCTTCACATGTAGAGAAAATATATACTTTCCATTCAACTGTCTTTCCTTTTGAAACATTTTTTCAAAGAATGCCCAATTGGCTACTGAATGGTATAAGAAGATAAGAAATGTGTCAAAGACGAAGTTTCAACTATAGTAGTGCGTATCATCTTAGACGAAACAAATAGTATCTTGAAATTTCATACGTAATAAATGGATTAGTCATCGCATCATATACTAATAATTAAAACATATATTTAATGTAATAATAAAAGGATTAGTTGGTTTATTTGATAGTTACTTAATTTAGTCTTCTGTGGTAAAGTCGAAATAGAGTAGATAACCAGAAAGAAAGATGTCATTATTATCAGAGGAAGATCTGAACGATTTCATTAGTCCGGCTTTGGCCTGTACAAAACCAACAGAGATCAAACGTACGAAGGTGAAGAGTAATGTTAATGCACTAGGTGAATACGAAGTTGGTGTTGATGATGGTGAAGATGAGATGTTAGAAAAAGTGACCATTACTTTGAGTGATTGTCTGGCTTGTTCTGGATGTATTACTTCAAGTGAAGAGATTATGTTACAACAACAATCTCATGGGGTCTTTTTGAAGGCCATGTCAAACCGAGAAGCAAATACCAAATTAGCTGTTAGCATATCACCTCAGTGTAGACTGTCGATGGCTACATATTATGGAATGGAGATATCTGATTTTGATAAGTGCTTTGCAAATTTTTTCCAGAAGAAATTCAATGCTAAATATGTTGTAGGAACTCAACTTGGTAGAAATGTCTCTATTCAACAAGTGGTCAAGAAATTATCCGAGTGGAAGCAAAGTAAAGAGTACGAAAAAGATTCAAGACCTCGACTCTCTGCTGCTGATCCTGGGTTTGTCATATATACAGAAAAGACTAAACCAGATTTAGTTCCTTTATTATTGAATGTTAAGTCGCCACAACAGATCACAGGTGCATTATTGCATGAAACGTTTGATAAACATTATAAGACAGAGACAAAAACTGAAGAAAAACTCTATGTTTTGGGAGTGATGGCCTGTTTTGATAAAAAATTAGAAGCTTCAAGGCCTGATAGTGCAGGAGAAGTTGACTGTGTTATTACACCTAAGGAATTTGTAGCCATGTTATCAGAATTGAATGAATCATTTTATCAATATAAAGTATCATCATCAGATGATATTTTGAAAGATCTATGCCCTGAAGGTTGGGACCCAGAGTTGCATTGGTGTATTAATCATGGTAGCAGCTCTGGTGGATTTGCTTATCAATATATTGTTTGGAGACAACGGACTCTACCTGACGAATTGGCTAAGAATAGTAAAATAATGAAGCTGCTAGGTAAAAATAATAATATATGTGAACATCGTTTAATCAATGTTAAGACAGGTGAAACAATTGCATCTGCAAGTGAATTAAGTGGGTTTAGAAATATTCAAAATATGGTGCGACACTTGAGTCGTAGTGGTCCTAATGGTAGTTCTGCATTTCCAAAGCGTCGTGTCCAATCATTGCGTAAACGTCAATCCTCTACAAACACAGCTAGTTCGACTGCCACTACAACTACTGCTGGTAGGCTTGGCACATTAGTTGCTCAACCGTATTCTAGTGAGTTCATTGAGGTCAATGCTGCTCCAGGAGGGTGCCTAAATGGTAGTGGGTTATTGAACGAAGAACAATCTACTGTACGTAAGAGACAATTTACACAACAATTAGAAGAGAGGTTCCATAGTTCTTTTACTATGGTCGATCCATTAGACACTACACAATGGAGTACTACTGAAATTATCGAACCAGAGAAGCTATATGAATATACATTCCATGCAGCTCAACCACAAGATAAACAAAAGGATATTGTTACGGTGGGTAATACCTGGTAATCTCGTAAATATAGCCAAGATTCTTATGAATCCACAAACTAGGTATTCCATCACAATGCAAAGAAAACCAAAAGCTTTATTTCTCTTTTCTTGTTGCTTTTATTTTCAGGAATTCCAAGTTATCGTACTTATATAGATCCTGTTTCTAGTGTTCCTCAAATGGTAATGCACACCTTTCAACAAGGATTTATTTATCTCTTTAAACAACATAGCACCGCTCCGCGGTATAAAACCGCCTGCGCTTATTTTCAAATGTACATATTGTGTAAATAGAGGCCAATCCTTGTAAAACCATATGTCTATATAAGACTACCAACACTGACAACCATCTATATTCAGTTGTTCATTAGAGCACACTGTCCCATGGACAACTACCCACAGAGTGATGAGATCTTACCGTCACGAAATAAATGTCTCACCCTCTCGCAGTTAAGAAATCGGTTCTACAAGTTCCGTTTCGGATGCGGAAATTTCGAGGAGGTACCGCGAGGAGGGGCGGGATTATATAATAAAAATCGGTCATATTTATTGTGCATTCGCTAATAGGGTGAAATAAATTTTAACATATATAAGGGTTGCTAGTGAAGAACTGCATTTCGATAATTTGATATACATAAATATATATATTTATCTGTATTTGCCACTATATTTCATAAACAATTTTGCAATTGAGGTAATTATACATTTATAAACATATAGATAACTGATTCTATTGTGTTTTGTTTTTATTTTAATTTAGAAAAATGAGTGACAATATTGTTCAACTGCCAGTGGCGTTCGAAAAGAATACTATTATCGTAGTATTTGGTGCTTCTGGGGATTTAGCTAAGAAAAAGACTTTCCCTGCTTTATTTGGTCTTTATCGTGAAGGTTATTTAGACCCTTCAACTAAGATTATCGGTTATGCGAGATCTGATTTATCCCTAGATGATTTACATTCTCGTATTACTCCTCATTTAGGGAAACCAAACGGTTCAGCTGATGATGCTAAAATTGAACAATTTTTTAAGATGGTTACTTATGTTCATGGTCCATATGATACTACTGATGGTGTAACTAAATTGAAATTACACATTGAAGAATTGGAGACAAAGATGAACGTTCAAAAGAGTCATCGTTTATTCTATTTAGCTTTACCACCAAGTGTTTTCTTAACCGTGGCCACTAACATTAAAAAAGTACTATATGATCCAAATGGTATCACTCGTATTGTTGTTGAAAAGCCTTTTGGTCATGATTTAACTAGTGCTCGTGCTTTACAAAACAATTTAGCTCCTTTATTCCGTGAAGAAGAATTATTTAGAATTGATCATTATCTTGGTAAAGAATTAGTGAAAAATCTATTAGTATTGAGATTTGGTAATCAATTTTTAAATGCTTCATGGAATAAAGATAATTTACAGTCTATTCAAATTTCATTTAAAGAACCATTTGGTACTGAAGGACGTGGTGGTTATTTTGATTCAATCGGGATTATTAGAGATGTTATGCAAAATCATTTATTACAAATTTTAACTTTATTAACAATGGAAAGACCTGCTTCATTCGATCCAGAATCTATTCGTGATGAAAAAGTTAAAGTATTAAAATCAATGGCTCCAATTGATCATAATGATATCTTAGTTGGACAATATACTAAATCGAAGGATGGTTCAAAACCAGCTTATTTAGATGATGAAACTGTCACTCCAAATTCAAAATGTATGACTTTCGCAGCTTTAAGCTTCAAGATTCAAAATGAGAGATGGGAAGGTGTACCAATTATGATGCGTGCTGGTAAAGCTCTTAATGAAGGGAAAGTTGAAATCAGATTACAATATAAAGCTGTTGCATCTGGTGTCTTCAATAATATCCCAAATAATGAATTGGTCATTAGAGTTCAACCAAATCCAGCTGTCTATATGAAATTTAATGCAAAGACTCCAGGTTTATCTAATGCTACTCAGGTAACTGATTTGGATTTAACTTATTCTAGTAGATATAAGGATTTCTGGATTCCAGAAGCTTATGAAGTCCTAATTAGAGACGTACTAATGGGTAACCATTCAAATTTTGTTAGAGATGATGAATTAGATGTTAGTTGGAAACTATTTACACCGCTATTAGAATATTTGGAAGGTCCAAATGGTCCAACTCCAGAATTATACCCGTACGGTGCTAGAGGTCCAGATGGATTAATCGATTATTTGGGTAAACATAATTATGTCTTACATAGTATGGGTAATAGCTATACTTGGCCAGTTACTAAACCAGAGGAAGAAAAAAACTAAAACCCAGCTATATAAAATCGCTACTTTAAAATAAAAATCTATTAAAAGGAAAAGATCGCTACATATTCTTTATTCTATGTACACATATTTGCTTATATGTTCCTTGTCCTTTTAATCTATATATGAAATAAAAAATATGATATTTTTTCTTTATTTAAGTATTTCTTGAGTACTTTTTACTTCAGCTCTATTCATGATCTCTTATCTTTATCACCCTTAGACTTATATTTGTCTTTCATTTCATTAATATTTTGTTTATCAATTTGATTAGACATCCCTTGAAACGTCTTTGATAATGCCTCTGTAACTCCTATCAAAGGTCGAATGATAGCGATTGGTGTTGCCTTCATAACACTCACTACAGCAGCTTTTGCACCGTTCGATTGGGGTTCTTCGTCATAATTCGACTCTGGTATCTGTTGAGTTTTCCATATTGCATCATAAGCTATATTAAAATGTTTCTCAAGAGAATAATATGCTTCCTCAAGACCTTGATGAAGATCTAATGGTTGATCTGCGTAAAGGCTAATAATCTTAGTTTCTTCACCTGGAATTTTACCAGGTTCAATAACAATAGCAGTAGGTTCATGAGAATGAATACGTGGATTTGTCCCACCAACTAATTGATCTTCACTTACTAATTTACCATAATCTAATACAGAACATTTTAATTGCTCTATTGTATCTTGATCTACTTTTGCCCCTCTCGAATTCATTCCTTGTCCACCAAGTTTCTCCTCCGTAGACTCCAAAAAAGCTTGTGTTCCACTAGATAATTTAACGCCGAGTTTAATAAAATCACCAGTTGTGGTCTTAATAAAAACATTCCCATTCTTTTTGAAACTTGTCGACATAGGCTGCCCACTTTTATAATCTGACAACAATACAGTGACAAACGTCTTGACATCAGACCCTAATGTAAAAAACGATTTTATTGGCGCAAGTCCTCCAACAACACCCCCAAGTTGTTTGCTAACGATATCAGGAGTCCATATTTCTTTGAGCTTTGTATTAATCATCTCAAGTCCGTTTATACCGTATAAGGTAACCTCTTTCAATGTAATTTTGGCTCCATCTAAAACAAAAAAATTAATAAATTCACTAGAATGACCAGATCTTAGGCTTGTATAATCAACACTCTTAGGTTTGTAATCTAAGCATATACGCACTGGCTTCAAATGAAGTTTATTGATAAATGGTACCTCAGGATATTCATCTATTAATTCAAATCTTGGATCTTTGAATTCAAATACCCTGGTGATAAAGTCCAACGTATCTTGATCGATATGTAACCTTAAAGGTGAAATACCAATGTCAAGTCTATAATCAATAGATTTTAAATAATCGATAGGTCTGGTTATTAAAAATTCCAATCGAAACATTTTAGATATTTGGGGGTTAAGACCTCCATGTAATTCTGTGGCAAATTTATTCCAAGAAGAGGTTGCAACATTATCAATAATTTCAAATTTATCAACACTTAATAACATTTTATTTAAAATATCTGTAGTATCATCTGAATCTTCTTGAGATGGGTTATCGATATCATAACTGATAAAATTCAGTTCTACATTGAGCATTTGTATCAAAACCTGGTAGTTTTTAGATGGGCGCAAGTTCATTTTGATAGTATTTTCTATATCTATAATACCATCGTTTCTTTCGTCGTATACATTGTAAGGAACTGAATGTAATTGTTTCGTTTGAGGAGTTACATAAATTGACTCAAATATTGAGGCCCCATTCATGACATCGTTTTGTTCATTGTTCTCTACAAAAATACCACCATTCGCCGTCATCTGTTTCAGAGACACCATAGTATCGTTGATAAGCTTTCTTGAATATTTCCAATCAAAACCATCGTATAATTTAATGTCAATTTTTCTTATTTTAAAAGAAACTTGGGTTTTATATTCAGTTTCTTTTTCTCCCATTGCATCAAAGTTATTGCTTCGTTCAGGTTCAGTTTCCTTTATTAAGTAATTTCGTGACCTTTGGCTGTCAATGTAGTTCTCGTCGAAGTGTAAACTTTCCATGTTTATACCTGTTGCATCAGTTGAATCTGTATGGAGTGATGTTAAATCTGTTGATGATTGTAACTGTTTGGAATTATCCAAAAAGTTTTCAACTACGCCAATAGAATTTGAAATATTGGATACACTCGATTCTTCTAGGTTTCTGATAGCCGCATCCAAGAAACTAAAGTTTATATCTTCAAAAGTGTCAATATTTGAGAATAATTCTGGCTTGAATTTCAAAATATCAGGAAATGTCTCAGGTACCTTAAGGTCTATCAAAAGCTGGATTAGGCTATGGAAAGAATCTGCACAGAGGGACAATTCGATCTCTTCGGGGTTCAAGTGCAATTTTGGTGAGTTTTGAAAAATTGCATACGACAGTTTCAATATATTGATCTTTCCGATTACAGAAAACCCTAGCTGAGAGTAGTATGATATTAAAGATTTATATTTCTTTTCAAATACTTCTAATTTACAGTTCTTTACATCATCTATTAATAGAAGTGAAGTTGTTTTGATAATTCCATTCAGCTCTCTCTTTGAAGTCGAATAATTGCTTGTGTATTGATCGATGAGAATTAAAAGTCCAGCTTTTAATCTAAATGGGTGCATCAATATAGAAGAGTCGAAAAATTTTAGCTCAATTTCAAACGGGTACGAACTTTTGCTGTAAGTTACACCTGAAACATCATTCATTAAAGTAGGGTCTTTATCAGTAGAAGTCTCATTGAAAAAATAAATCCAATCAGAGTAGTAATGCCATGATAAATTTCTTAGAAGTATTTTAATACGCTTCAAATTAGGGTTCCTTTTTATTAGCAAATATATCGACGGTTTTAGAGGGTCAATTGGTTTAATAAGTGTGACAATATTTTGTTTTGTGTGTTCATCCGAAAATAGGCGATCGACATTAAACCCTGCGGTGTGAAATATTATATCATTCGAATCGACCAACAATGCCAATATATTTTTTTGTAATTTACCCTTTAGGTGACCAAACTTAGTGCCAGCCATAAAATTATTGATTTTAAACTTGATAGACTCACAGTCAAGTACTACTTGTGCATGAATAGATTTTCGATAAATAATTCCAGAAGAATTTAATATTCTGACACTTTTTTTCATTGAATTAAACTTACGAGGAGGACTCGTTTCAGTATTTTTATTTATTGGTGACCCTTTTTCTATTGGGGAAGATAAAGTAAAATTGAAAACTTCATTAACTTCATCATAAAGATCTTTCAATACATCTTTTGACTCTTTTAAGGATATAGATTTAATATCACATCTATTGTATGAGCTAAGGATTATAGGATCAAGTGCTTCATTAAAGGAAGTTATCTCGAATTTCTCTGAATAATGAGTGAACTTGATATCAAGAAAAGTTAAAATTTCTGTCATTATTTGATCATCGTGCTTAACAAGTCTTAAACTTGGTATAATTGTAACATTATTTCTTGAATTAAACCTAATAGGATCTGATAAAATTGTCAATTTATATTCAGGAAGAACAAGCGATAATGAGACGTCATCCGTAGATATTGATACAAAAGTATTATTGTCTTGTTTCTTCGAGATCCCATTATGATATTTTGTGTTGCTTTTGCGCCCCAAATTAAATATAAACAATTTCAGATCATTCGTTACAGTAATTAAATCTTTTATTCTGTCTGGAGAAACAGACAGATTCAAGGCGTCAGTAATATTGATTATATACTCCTTTTGTTTCAGTAGAACTTTTATTATCGGATTTTCTTGTTTGGAAACTGTAATTCCATCACCAGTCAAATTGAATGAGCTTATTTCGACAGTATAATCTTTATTTTCTAGTTGGTTCATGTACAGTTTATTGACCTCCAAACTAATATTAAACGAAAGCTTTATAAAAACCTTTTCAATGCAAATATATGATAATTCATTTGGTGATAAGATATGCTGTTCTTCTTGAAATCTTTTATAAGATTCAGAGTCTCGAGTTTTGCTAACAACAATTGGAATATTAGTTTGGGTTTTTTTTGATGAATTTCCTTGTGAGATATTATTAAGCAATTCTAGCAAGTAACTAACAAAATCAGCATTCATCTGTACTATATTACTTTCTTCAATCATAATTTCACGGATATCAACCAATAAATCTGTTATCTTCACATCATCTATTGAGGTCAACCCTTTAAAGGATATGTTAATGTATTTCAAACCCATAATTTGGTCACCAAATTCCATATCACTTTCGTTACCTAAACTGTTGGTGTCCTGGGTATGTGGGATATCTAAAGCGCTCATATAGACTGAAGTTCCTCCCATCTTCGAATAGTACATGCTTCCTTCCATATTTTCATTAGATTCAGAATTGGTGTCTTTAGATGCATAGAAGATTTGAAGAGAGCTAATTATAATGTTTCTGATCCCTTGTTCATTGGTTAATAACTGAACATTCTGTAAATGCATTTGGAATGCATCGTCATTTTTGTCGTCTGTTATCGAAACCGTAATATTTGATAAGTCCAACGTAAGCTTGGATAAAATCGTTCCAAGAACCTTATTTCTCATATTCTGCATTCTCGTTGGTTGCGAACCTTTGCTAAAGTTTTCATTATTACTCTCTGGAGTTAAAGGTAATTGCGATTGTTCACTTTCTGGTCTGCTTTCCTCTGTAATGTTTTCTTCTGTTTCTTCAATAAGCTCTCCTAAGTCATTTACATCGATATTAATGTTTGTCTCATTACTCAGCTGTATTACGGATGTCGTTAAATCATGCATACTTTTCATTAAAAGATTAGGCAATGTCGTATCAATGTTATCACCACTTTTTCTACTTTCTTGTGTATCCAATAAAGATATATCAAAAGAAACATCAGATCCCTTTATGTCAAGTCCTCCACTCACAGTAAGTTGCAACGTTAATTTACCTACAGATCCGGAGTTTACTCTCAAATAAGGAATATTGATATCTGTAACTGATAAGTCAATATCAGTAAATGTAAAAACTGAGTTGGCACCAAGTGAAACATCGAGATTTGTGAGATCTAGATTTGAAAATAACGATATCTGTTGAAGGACGTACAGAAGTAATCGCCTCTGAATATTTTGAGACCATCCGAATACCATTTTCAGGTTATTGGAGGTATTTGAACTGTAGTGTTAAAAGATTGCTACACAGAGTTTATCTTGGTATAATAATCCCTCCATGCATAGCTTTTTAATGTACTATTAATTTGTTATATTTATTATTATTTTTTGACAGTTGAGATGACCCTTAAATCAATTTACAGAAATGGAAATATAAAAAAAAAAATAAAAGGAAATATACGAAGAACTTAAAATGAGACAGATACCGAAAACACTAGAAATAGTAAGACATATTGAAGTCGCATGATGTTCCCTTATTCATAATATTAATGAAGAACTGTCATAAGGATAATTAAATACATTATTAATACATAGAATAGTTACAAAAAGATACATTACATCAAAAAAGATTTTTTGCGGTTTTCTTCTGTTTAAGATAATTCTATACTGAACAGCGGAAATATAATAAGAAAAGAATTTATATTCTTTCTTAGTTTGGTTGGTCATCGTCTTGTAAATAGTAAGCGTGTTTTCTAATATCCCCCAGTCTTCTTCTGGCGGTGTTCAAAGATTGTTCAAGCTTCAAAATGGTAACTTGTTGTTCCATTTCAGCAGTCTTGACAGCGTATTCAGAACTGAAGTTAACAGGTTGTTGATCTTTCTCTGATTTTGTTTTTGTTTGGTCCATGATGCAATTTACAAGAGCTTTACAGACACCACTAACATCCTTTGATGAAAGTTCAAGTTGTTCTTGTGCCTTTGAATGTAAAGATGTTTTCACTCTCGATGCAGCCACTAATTGTATCGTTGATGCGGCAACTTCTCTAGACGCCACAATAAATTCCTCTAGAGAACCCGATCCATCTGAGCTGACCAAATTACCAGCAATATTGATCAAAGTGTTTGTGGCAGTGGCTACGGCTTTGGCTGCAGATATTAGACCCTCAGTCCAACGATGGTTTTTCTTATAAAACTCCTTTAATCCAAGATCTGTTGTATTACCTATTTCATTTTGACATTCTACGGCAGCTCTGACTAAAGAAACAACGGCATCAATAATAGCCAAAGCCATTGATAATAAAGGTTTTGGAACATTCACATCAATATTCACACGTAAGCTTTGAGAGGATTTTTCCAACTTATTAGCTGTATTAATTAATTCTTGATGTGGATTATTCTCTGAGGCTTGTGATAGTTCTTTTACAAATGGTTCAATCATGATGGATAATTCTTGTAGTTTTTCTTGCATATCGACATTTGCATTAATGACGATATCAGTCTTTTCTTCGTCATCTTTACCATCTAGATTTTCAGATAATAAATCCTCGAAAAAATATTTAGCTTCGTTACCACATCTCTTAACTAGAGCTATGATATTTTCTGAATCTTCACCTTGAGCTTCTAAGGTTGCTGCTACATTTTTAAAGTTCGATATTAATGTAGTAATGGAAGAACTAAAGTCACTTATATTTAAGACAACTGTAATTTGATCACCTTCAATTTCACCATCGACAATTAAATCATTGAAACTTGTAGCAAAATCTGTAGCTCTCTCAGAACAATTTTCTATTAGAGATAATAAGAATGTTGGATCAATTGCGGCACCTGACCAAGTTGAAGGAGCATCTAACGTATAAATGGCCTCTTGTATATTTGTCATACCATTTTCTAAGACGGCATCCATCATTGGTTTTAATTTATTTTCTGAAATTGAAAGCATCTTTTCTTGAGCTTCATCGGCCATTTGATTATTTTGATTTGATGAAACATCACTTAATTGTGCTTGTAATCTATCATTTTCAACTCTTGCTCTATCACGTTCTTTAATCAATTGAGCCATTTGTAAATCTTTTTGTTTATTTTTTTGTTCAAAATGATCTTTTTGTTTCATAGCTTCTTGAGCACTACTAACTTTCATCTGTAATTTTTTAAACCTTGGAAGTAATGATAAGTGCTCTTGACGTAATTGAGAATATAATTTAGCTAATGATTCATATTTTTTCTCCCACATATCTAACTGCTTACTCAATGATTCGATTTGTTCATCTTTATTTGATAATTGTTTTGAAGCATTTTCATTCATTGTATTAATTTCACTTTCCAATTGTTGAACACGTTGATCATATTGTTGTAAAAGAGTTTGATCCTTTTCATATTGATCAGTTAAAGCTAAAAGATCATTTTGATGTTGTGATTGCTGTTGTACCTGTAATTGCATCATTTCTTGTTGAGCATTTTGTAATTGTTGTTGAAATTGTTGCTGTTGATTTTGTTGTTCGATTAATTGTCTTTGACGTTCTTGTTCTAATTGAGCTTGTTCATTCATATATTGTTGTTGTTGATTAACCCAATAATCTTGAGGCATTTGAGCTGTCATTGATGGCATCATAGCTGCCGCTGCAGTAGCAGTTGGAATTAATGTTGACATATTAGTATTTGTTGCTGTTAACATTGGGTTCATAACAGAACTACTTGCAGTTCTCGAAGGTTCCAAAGATTTTGAAGGAGAAGGGGATTTTTGACGATGAATTTCTTTTTTCTCGAATTTAATTTCTGTTCTATTTTCATTATTATCATTATCGTTTGCAGCTAATTCAACATTTGGAGAATCCATTGGTAATTTTGGAATTGTTACTAAAGTAGTTAAATATTTAATTGAAGAACAATCTGCATAAAATTCAAACAATCTATTGTGTTGTTCTTGATAACGTTCCCTTAAAGGTTGTAAAGCATCACCCCCTTCTGGATCATTTAATTCTCTATACATTGCTCTTAACATTGAAGTGATAAATTTATAAATCCCGTAGGATTCTGCAATCATTGGAATTAAAGAAGAAATTTTACATTCTGAATTTCTTCTATCTGATTGAATTGAAGCAAAAATGATTTGAGCAAATTGATCTAATGAATCCTGTAAGGACATTAAATCTAAAATAGTTTCATAACCTTCGTCAGGATCAGCAACAGATACTAAAGAAACATATTCTTCGTATTCAAAAGTACCGTTATCAAAACCTTTGTGATGGGAATGGAAATCTAATTTAAGTATTAAATATCTAATATATTCTCTAATTAAAGTACCATATTCTGAACCACTTGAATGAATTCTCCCAAGCGATCTAATCCATTCACGGTTTTTAATTGCTTCTTTTAAAGCGGTCGGATGACCTTCTTGAATAATTTTATGAAGAACAATTAAAGATTTAAATAATTGAATTTCATCATTAACAAAAGGGGAAGCTTTTAAAGCTTCAAAGACTTCTGATGAAGAATGATGATCCCAAGTATAAACAATTAAAGTTCTTAAATGTTTTCTCTTTGGAGCACTTTCTTCAATAGAACAAGCTTTCTTCAAAGCTTTATGTAAATTAGCTTCAATTTTTGACATTTAATATACGATAAATAGTAGTTCTTAGTCTTCTGATATATGTGTGTATAAAAAGGGTGCTTAAAACTTTTAATGAAATAGAACCACTTAGACTATTTAAATAAAGTTACACACAAACACTTTTAAAAACGAATTAAGACTTAGTATCTTGAAGCAAACGGAGTACTATCTAATCAATTGATAAGCTGTGTATTTATTTATATATATATATATATATATATATATA